CTCAGGGTCTGGCACACGCCCACGGTTATTGTCAGGTGGCGAGAAGAAGTGGAGGGTTTCCTATATAAACGGGCCGTTACCCCTCTGTACTTAGTTCTTCACGCAACAACTTGTTAATTCAATCACTGTTACCTCTGTCCTTGCCTCGGCTGCCGTCTGCGCCGTAGTCCTTGTCCCTGTCTCTGTTCTCAGTTGCCGTCCGCACTGAGCCCTGCCTCACCTTGTCCTCTGAACCTGTCTTGTCTCTGCCGAACCTAGAACCCGATTCCGAGCCCGACTTCGCTACCTGGAGCCTTGCCCGACCGTGCCGTTACACTACTGTAATAAAGTTCACTGGGAAAGTACTATACCACTCGACCAAAAGGTATTTTGATGGCTGATGGCCATCATCTCAATAGCTACTTAAGGCCAGGATTTGTGAACTGTGACAGTATCCCCTCTTTAGGGGCTTACTCCAGGAAGCTTTCAAGTAGTTAACCCCCAATGAGTGACAGTTCATGATAAGAATCATTAACCGTCACTCACTGTAAGCCATGCAATTCCTGAACAACGCTGCAGCAGAGGAATGTAACTGCTCACAGTGGGAATTGAACTCATGACCTTTGCAGCCATCAAACTGTAATAAAGTACACTGGGAAAGTACTATACCACTCGACCAAAAGGTATTTTGATGGCTGATGGCCATCATCCCAGTAGCTACTTAAGGCCAGGATTTCTGAACTGTGACACCTCGGCTGCCGTCTGCGCCGTAGTCCTTGTCCCTGCCTCTGTTCTCAGTTGCCGTCTGCACTGAGCCCTGCCTCACCTTGTCCCCTGAACCCGTCTTGCCTCTGCCGAACCCAGAACCCGATCCCCCGCCCGACTACGCTAACTGGAGCCTTGCCCGACTGTGCCGTTACATCAGCGTATCTTTTTGCGGTGTTCCATGATGCACTGCCTCAGGCTGTCTCAGCCGTATCGAACTTTAATGTGCATCGCCCGCATCACTGATCACTGTGTAGAGTCTGCATCTTATTTGCTCATTCCTCCCTAATCGTCTCTATGCTATGACTATCTATTACTGTGTTTCAATCACTTCCGAACGAACCGCTCTTGCTGTAACTACGTGAGCGTCTGTTGGGGTGTAACAATTATTCACACGCTCATTTTTGGTACGATGGGTGGTCACGACTCTTGGTGCAACGACAGAACTACTCACATGATCAGAAATCTTGCCCCCCTTACCTACAAAAACATTATTTGAGATTAGATCTGTGGCTGAGAATAAGCAATCAACCCTATGTCAAACAATAGATTTAATTGACTGAGCCACCCCCAGCCACTGATCGAATCTCAGATACTATCTTTGCGGGAGGGGGGGCAAAATCTCTGGCCGTGTGAGTACACCCCTGCCTTGTCGCGTTCTTATGTCAGCAATGACTTGTCCGAACCCCAATCACAGCCTCTCACTCATAAATGACAGCTGATTTCAAGCTCGAAATGAGGCTGGGTTACTGTCATAGATGCTGGTAAACCGCCATATGGATGGTTCAATAATACCTTACCAGAGCCATTCTTTCGCTCGCTACTGTTCGCTATATTTCGCTCCGACACGGATTTTTCGGCTAGTACAAATCACGTCAATTGATGTCACTCGTGTAGATCGTCAATATGGAACAATCTACGCCCCATCGCTGGCAAGCATTACGGCTTTGTCGGTCTGTCTTCCGAGTGAGGGAGCTCATATTTCATTTTAATCTCTTCCTTTCTTTACTGTCGTGCCTGATGGTAGGCCGCACCTCGCCCCGCCCGAAGACCGACCAACCGTTCCACAAGTGACACCCTGGACACGGTGAGTGACATGATAGAAACCCAACACCCCGCCTTGCCGGACCACAGCCCGCCGTCACACTCCCGCTATGCGTCTTCTCGGACTATTCCAGTTTATAGCCGCCGGGCTTGCGCGATGCCGTTGATCCGGCCCCCCACGTTCCGCTAAATGTTGACTCGGTTACTTAAACTTCTCTAGCCATTCCACATTGGCAATTCCGAACAGCCTTTCACGACATCTCGGCCTTATGCCGCTCGTTTTGAAGAGCACACGAACGAGAAGCTCCAGCGCATTCCTCCACTCCCCCGGAGTCACGAAAGTATATGCAACTTCTCTTCCGCAGCGTGAGCAAGTACAGGCTTGATGATGCCACCGGCTTCCTCCACGTAGTGTAGAACTGCGTCGCTACCCGAACCGGTTCAATACCTTCACCGGGCTTGATGGAGGCATGTGGTAGCCTACCTCTTTGATACCGCAGTTGAACAAAGATTCTTAGTATTCACAGAAGTCCCTCCTGGCTGTCTCGCACCATGAATGAAGCACGACTGCCACAACACTCAATTGGAAATCGTGCCCCCTTTCGTCCAGGGTTGGTACACTCCAGACGGCTTATCCACAGGGACTCGGGGCATTTGAGTGACCACCCATGGTCTGGAGGTTGGAAGCCGTGCACCAGCCCCCCCTCCGAAACTTCAGCGACGGCTCTGCAGTGCCATCGGAAGCTCCATGCTCAATATGGGCTGCTATTTACCGGGAGCCAGCTCAGACTGCGCAGAATCGGTGTCCCGTAGCCCATGACCGCCACCGCGGTCGAATGCCGGGAAATCTATCATCAGATGCTGTGAGGGCCTGGTGCCGGTCGCCGGGCAGTCAATCATAGTCAGAACAACTTAAACGACCATTATGCTACCGGAACGTCCGACAACAGGGAGCTGAAGCGATATTTGGTGGAAATTTTACCTTCGACCGTAAAATTTCTGCAGTGCTGCCGCTTAGATTTTGCAGTCGGCCTCGTCCGAGATACTGCTATCTAGTAAGTTTGATGCCCCAGCCGTCGGGCCATACGAGACGGTTTTGGACAGAAATTATGTCCAGCCATAGAACTAACAGTAACTGTAGGACATGGTTTTAGGCGATGGTAATGCTCATAATCTCATTGTCCTCGGTCAATACCCCGCACTCTCACCATGCAGTGCACTTTTTGTTTAATCATTAATTGCTTGCGACCTAAACGGATCATGGCAATATATATACACACTCCGATTCCACACCACTGTCCAACACGACTTTCATCGAGCGGCCTGATGTGGCTTTCCCCACCCCCTTCGCCCTGGCCTGTCCCATGATAGAAGTACCTAGAGGGCACCGAGGAAATGATAGGTACTAGGACAAAGCAGCTTCCGCTCCTTACTACCCCGCTTTGCCCTTTGCCTCTTCCACAGGATATGCCAAGAAAGATGGTGTCGGGAGGAACAGCTGGAGTGACTCCGGCTCCTCGACATCAGCACCCTCCTCCTCCTCTCGCCTCAGCTCTGATTCCCTCTCTGCTCGCTCACCGAGCTCTCACTCGGACACCTCTTGCTGCATCTTCCTCAGCGGCCTCTGGGATCCGTCTGCCCACATCAGTGGAAGAGAGGAAGTCTAGGATGGTCTGCCTGCACTGCTCCCCTGTGGTTATCCGAGAGTTTCCAACTTATCCTACCGGAAGAACACCTATTTCACCATGAACTATCAGTGCTGGGCGGTAATATACTATCCATAATGCTCATATCATAGTCTTGAAGTAATCTACCATGAAGTAGATGCATATGAATGATAAATTTGATGGAGAATTGACCGCTGGCTGGCGGCGGTCAAAATCGGTTGGGAGGCGGCGGTCAAACTCGGTGGAAGGGAACGGTACCTTTGGCTGTACCGCGTGAACAGTACCGGCGATGACCGTCCCGTACCGACCGACCCTACGCTGTACCGTGTCTATGCTCCGATGAGGGTTTTCCCGGTACCGGCGCATTACAAGTGTGGTTCAGTGCCGTGAGAAGCAGTACGGACATTCGCTGAATAAAAACCGCTGGTTCTAATCGGTACTAGTCGTTAGGGTACTTTAGGTATACGGTACTCGCGCTGGGTGATCACCCAGGTGAAAATAGACCCCGTTGCGTTGTGGATTGTCCTAGAGTGACTCGACATGACGTGGTCCCGAAATGGCACCCCATAGGTGTGGCGGAGGGTGGCGATGTGCTTCCGTGCCTGAATGATGACTCTGCTAAGGGCGTGCCACTGCTTCCAGTGCTCGGGCAATAGCCGCCCATTACGCATCATACGCCTCCTGCTGGAGTCCCATGTTGACCTTGCGTCTCTTCCATTGAGTGCCGCGACGCCAGACAACAGTGTAGCCGGCTGCTCTGGAGTCCATACGGGATACATCTGTGTACATCGAGAGCCCTGGGGCTGTGGGCCTACTGCGTGCGCGCTGGCTGCGAGTTCCTCGTCCACGGTGACCGTGCAGTCATCTCAAAATTTGTGCTGTCTAGGTGGAACGGCGGTACTCTACTATACATGGTACCCTACTGTCGGAATAACCATGCATATACGTTTGTTCATCGTTTTTTCGGCAAATATACACCGTGCCCCACCACAAAGGTCCGCATGTTCCCGCATGCCACATGCAAAACCCTGCACAGGCGGGAGTGTTCCGGTGAGAATTTCTTTCCGCCGGAATTTCGGGCTCGGAAGCTTGACTATTCCCCACATATGAGAAATGCTCTCCCGAGGCTATTCCCGCTAGCCAAGTAGGAGCCTAGGTAGGTGATAGCCAATAGAAAAAGAGAGGGAAAGGCGGTCTTCTCATCGTTTCTCTTGAATTCGACATGGCGAGGGGACCGATGGTGCGGATGCGACGGTGTTTGATTGTGGAGAAGGCCGAAAGAGCCGAGCACGGAAAACAGTGCGGAACGTGCTCCCAGGCTCGGCGGAGATGTCTCGGGCGTATGTAGATCATAAGCACCGTCTGTGTTACATACTCTGATCCGTGCTTCGGAGATATCTAGAAGATCTAAAGCAAGCTCTCCAGGCCCAGCGATCTCCACCGCCGCCAGTGGTCTCGTCGTCTACAGGAATTACGGGCCATTTAAATCCCATAGGTCTTTTTCAGCGGTCTAGAGACCCTTTTCAGCGGTCTATCTGTCGTAAGCTGGGTACATAGAACACGTCTCGGGGGGTGAAGAGTGCTATTCTTCAGCCGCACCCTTGGTCGTCCGAAAGAAGCCTATCCTATCTGGGAGAAGCGCCTCATCAAAAAAAATCCCACTATTATTTTGCCCAAATAACAATTGTTGGCTGCACTACCGTCCCAATGGTCCCCATCCCCCTTCGCCCTGCATCAGCTCAGATCATTCACGCCCGGGCTACCCGCGCGATAGAACGTTGAGACTACATATCCCATTCGTCCCCCGACTTTCTCTCATTCTCCTTCTCTCTTCTCCTCTCAACTCCAACCACCGGAACCTAACGACGACACGAAAAAAAACATGGCGAAGAAGCAGAACATCCTCAGCACCCCGTTACACGGAATCTACATTCCCGCAGGACTCCTCATCCTCGGTGCGGCAATCATCGACCGGTACTATGTTCCGTACGCCATCGGTCTCGCTGTCTTGTTGGGTGGCTTCAAGGTGCTGCGAGGAAGTAAGTGATCACCCGCCCTTGACGCCGAATCGTTGTCGACTCGGTGGCCTACTCGTTCCTGAGATCTCGGAGAGCTAATGTGATCACCAACAGCGCCTTCCAAAGTCCTCAAGCCTGACCAGTTCCAGGAGTTCGCGCTCGCGGACAAGACCGTGATCTCGCACAATGTCGCCATGTACTTCTCCCCCCTGGTGTTGCCTTTGCCATTGACCGATTACTGACGGCGGTGTAGCTACAAGTTCACCCTCCCTCACCCCAACGCGATCCTCGGCCTTCCCATCGGCCAGCACGTCTCGCTGGCCGCTACCATCGACGGCAAGGAAATCGTTCGCTCGTACACCCCTACCTCCTCGGATGCGGATCGTGGCCACTTCAACCTCCTGATCAAGTCTTACCCGACCGGCAACATCTCCAAATACGTCGCCAACATGAAGATCGGACAGACCATCAAGTGCCGCGGCCCCAAGGGACAATTCGTGTACACCTCCAACATGGTGCGCGCCTTCACCATGATCGCCGGAGGAACCGGAATCACGCCCATGCTCCAGATTGTCCGCGCCATCACCGAGAACCCCGACGATAAGACTCAGGTCGACCTCATCTTTGCGAACGTCAATGTGGAAGATATCCTCCTTAGGGAGGACCTGGATGAGCTTGCGGCCAACCATGACAATTTCCGTGTTCACTACGTCCTGAACAACCCCCCTGAGGGATGGAAGGGCGGTGTTGGTTTCGTTACTGCTGATATGATCAAGGTACGCGCATGCATCCATTCCCCCTGATTGAGTTCCTTTTGCTAATGCTAATGGAATAATAGGACTGGTGCCCCGGCCCCGCAAAGGACGTTAAGGTCCTCATCTGCGGTCCTCCACCCATGGTCAGCGCCATGAAGAAGGCTACCACTGCGCTCGGCTTCGAGCCGGCGAAGCCCGTTTCCAAGCTCGACCACCAGGTTTTCTGCTTCTAGAGACGCTTTCTATATCTAAAAAGAAAAACGGATTTTTTCTCTTTAATTTTATGTCCCTTACGTTCTGGAGCGTGTAATTCGGTAGATCACATTATTTAGCTGGAGTACATGGACTGTTTTCTGAGAGTTTGAAAAGTGAGAGCACGAGTGATTGGTACTGTCATTTTCATTATAAAGTACAAATTCTCAGCTTTTCTCTACCACTCAAAAGTCTGCGGTGAGAGAACACAAGACGAAAGACAGAAAAACAGGCGCCATCCCAGAACGTAAACGAGATATAGCAAAAGAAGATACAAAAACACGCTTATGAAATATCCATAGAATCACCACCGGCCGTAGCCGGGTGGAGGCTGACCTTCCCCTCCTCGCCGATGAACCGCTTCTCGTAATCCTGCAGGAACTTGACGCTCCGGTTGGAATCGAAGAATAGCTGGTAGCTTCGTTGCACATCGGCCACATCGACGACCTGGCTCTTGCGCTTTGTGGCGACGAGCGAGGCTGTCGTGATGATGTGGCTGGCGTACCGAAGCGACGTCTCCTGTCCGATTTTTGTCAAGAGCGCCAACGCGTCGGGAGACAGCGTGACCTCCTCCTCCTGGGCGCGAATACCAAGGATCTCCCGGATCTCATCGGGGCTATACGGGAACGTCGGCATGATGAGTACGCGGTCAAGGAAATCGAGCGGCAGGCCGTGAGGACTCCGGTAGTTCGTTCCACGGATGACGGTGTTGCCGCGGTTGCTGGCCATGATCACGATGGGTGCGAGTTCGCTCTCCAGCGCACGGTTGATGTAGGAGAAGCATTCGATGTCGAGCATGTGTACTTCGTCGATGAAGAGAACACCGGGCACTATCTCGGCCTTTCCTTCCTCTTTCCATTCGCCGACTTTGGTGTTGATCTGGTCGCGGACCTCAGAGCGGATCTCACCCGTGTCGCCAGAGAAGAGCGCAAGGAATCCTTGCGTGCGCGAGTTGATCACGTCGATTTCGTGTAGTGAGACGGTGTGGATCACTTCTTTGCGGGTTTGGATCTCGCCTTCGGGACACTGGATGAATTTCGTGTCAGGGCCCATGGCGTCGTAGTCACGGGATTTGGTGAATGAGCGGCCGAGCTTGGTGATTTTTCCGGAGGACTTGTCGATGCTGATAATGTCGCCGGCCATCACTTTCTCCTTGCTCAATGAGTCGATCATCTTCGTGCCTAGGTCGTACATCGTCTCCATGTCTTGCGTCTTGAGCGTGAGTTTGCCCTGCTTGTTGCCGCCAGTGACCGAGCGGTCAATCTGGATCTCTACCACTTCGCCCTCAATCACTTCGGTCTCCTCTTTTATCCGCACGCCGATGGATCGTCGGAACGCTTGTGTCAAGGCTTCGGTCTTGGACATTTCGAGGGAGAAGATCTCGGAGGCGGCTAGCATAGTGAAGGGAACGTCCGGGCCGAGGGATTGCGCCATCGCCATTGCGATCGCAGTCTTTCCTGTACTGTTCACCTCATCAACACACCACCCGCAGGTGGGGGGACACACACGCGGTTTAAGCTTACCTTGGGGGGCCGGCGAGTAGAACAGCGCGACCAGCAATCTTTCCTTCCTTAACCATCTGCAGGATCACAGCAGCAGCCTTCCGAGCCTTCTGTTGCCCAACCAAACCCTGCGATGTTGCACGTGCCTCGAGAGTTTCGGTATCGATTCCGAGACCGCGGATGTGCGAGTGAGCTGCTATTAAGTTCATGCCGCGGATTTCCTTGGCTTCGCCGACGGTGGTGATTCCTAGGTTCTACGGAGAGCCGTTAGCTACATTGCACGTGTGCTTAAGATGGAATGAGCTTCCATACTGCCATGATGAGAATATGCGGTGTTGTGTGAGAAAGTGGAGGGGTTGAGACGTGAAGTGGGTTGACGTGTGGTGCCTGGTGCGCGATCCAACAAAGTCGAAATCAAAGAAGGTGCGTGTTCTGTGTGTCTGAGATCATTTTATTTACCCGGCATAGGGACAGGAACGTCTGGGGGAGCGATACGCACCAACCGCCACGAGGCCTTGATTCGGGACCATATCAAGACCGGCTACTCTTGACACTTTCCCCCTTTGAGTCTCTTAGGTAGACAGAGTAGTTATTCCGCTCCACCCGATTCCCATCTACGTCGAAGTCCCTCATTCGCTCCATGTTCTCCTACCATCGTTCCCTAACTCCTTAATCCCCTAAGCTTCCCTTTTTGCTCTCTACATTTCGTTTCCCTTCACCGAATGCACGCTGCGCGGTTGCAGCACCCTTGAATCCGCTACGATGACCACGCGGTCGCAGAAACAACAGCAACAACAGCCGCAGCAGAAGAAGAAACCTTCGGAGTATCAATCGATCGCCGGTCAATTCGCTGCTGCAAAGGAAACACAAGCACGGGAAGCGGCATCCGGACGCTCCAGTGAACAGATCAAACAGCGGAGCGCAATTCAGTTGACCAATTTCAAATACAACCATGGCCTTCTCGTCGCATTACTGCTGAGCTTCTTCTACTTACACGGCGTGGGATTGTTCCTTTTCACTAAGGGCTTCCTGTTGACGCGGCTGGTGCTCGAGCACAAATCCTCCTGCCAGATCTCACCGCTTCAGGCATACGGGGATGCGCCGCTTATCAACTCAGAAAATGGCTGTTGGCATCCGAAGACCTTCAACAAGGCGGTTGTGGTAATTGTCGATGCGCTGCGATACGACTTTACCGTTCCGTTCGTTTCGGAAGACAACTCGAGCTTGCCTCTCCACTGCCACAACGCCTTCACGACGCCATACGAGATTACCTCCAAACATCCCGAGAATTCTGTCCTTCTCCCGTTCATCGCTGACCCGCCCACTACCACGCTACAGCGTCTGAAGGGGCTCACGACCGGCACGCTCCCTACGTTTATCGACGCCGGCAGCAACTTTGCCGGTACCGCTATTGAAGAGGACAATGTCATCGCGCAGCTCAAGTCATTGGGCAAGCGGATGGCCTTCATGGGCGACGACACGTGGATGGCGCTCTTCCCAGGCTACTTTGAAGACGATATGAACCACCCGTATGAGAGTCTGAACGTTTGGGATCTTCACACTGTCGACAACGGCGTGAACGAACACATTTTCCCCCTTCTGGACCCAAAGAACTCGACGAAATGGGATGTTCTGTTCGCGCATTATCTCGGTGTGGATCATGCCGGCCACAGATACGGCCCCGATCACTTCGCCATGACCGAGAAACTGACCCAGATGGACGGCATTATCCAGCGGCTGGTTAGCAGCATCGATGACGAGACCCTGCTGATTGTCATGGGAGACCACGGCATGGATCCCAAGGGCGATCACGGTGGAGAGTCACAGGGCGAGATTGAGGCCGCGCTGTGGATGTACTCCAAGAAGCCAATATTTGGACGTCTACCGGAAGCTCTATTGCCCAAGGACGAACCTCGGTCCGTAGCTCAAATTGATCTTGTTCCCACACTCTCGCTTCTCCTGGGAGCACCCATCCCGTTCAACAACCTGGGAGCACCCATTGCGGAAGCTTTCCTCGGAAAGCGAGGCGACGAAGGGATGAAGAACTTGGCTACTGTCTCCCGGTTGACGTCTGCCCAAATCAAGCGGTACCAACGAGAGTACGCCGGGCCGGATTCGGAGGAGGATCCACTGGTGAAAGCTTCCTGGGATGACGGTCAGGCCAAGTGGAACAGCGTGCGAGGCAAGTGGAAGGTCACCGGAGACGAGTGGCAGGGCATCTACAGGGACTTTTCCACCCTTCAGCAAGAGACTCTTCGCATCTGCAAATACCTCTGGGCGAGGTTTGATTTGGTTAGCATGGGCGCCGGCGTGTCTGTATTGGCCGGCAGCATTCTGGTCCTGGCGATCTACGCTAGGGGATTCGTGGGCGACAACATGGAGCTCACGGATGCGCTTCTTAAGAGGATTTGCAATGGACTCAGTGTTGGCACTCTTGCTTCCCTGCCAGTGGCTTTCACTCTCAGTGAAAAACTGGAAGTTCCAAAACTGCATGCGATTCTGTTTGGCACGGCGATGGGGGCTATTCTCGGCTTTCTCTTCGCTAGCATTCAAGTCCGTAATAGGCTTGCATCCGTCCTACCAACCTCTGGCTGGGGATTCCTTTCCCTTCTCCTCACAGTCCTCAACTCGATCATGTTTGGCTCCAATTCGTTCACCATCTGGGAGGACAAAACGCTCACGTACTTCATCGCTACCTTTGCAGTTGCCACTTTCGTTGCCTCGCAAAGAATTAATGACTCTGCGAGCCGGATTTTGGGAACCTACCACTCCATCATGCTCCTCATCCTCACCCGTGCGGCTTCGTTTTCACGACTGTGCAGAGAGGAGCAGATGCCCTTTTGCGAGAGCACCTTCTATGCTTCTGCTACGTCCTCTGTATCGGCTCCATGGACTTTGGGCATGCTGTTCGTCATGGCCCTGGTGCTTCCGTCGATCGTCAGGTCATTTTACACCGGCAGCAGATCGTACGAAGGACCGGCGCCATTCTTCATTGGTTGGGCTTTCCGTGCAGGACTTTTCTTGATCGCGATTTTCTGGACTCTTGATTCTGCCGACAACGGTTCCTGGTTCCCACAATACGACGGGATGATCAAGGGTACAAAGATCGTCATTGCCCAAATTGTGCTGGCTGTGGCCCTGGTCGCTGGCCATGTCGGGTTTGGATGGTCGTCCCTTTGCCTTGACATCGATGTCCAAGACAACGAGGTAAAGCCGGAAGAAGGAAAGAAAGTGATGTCCGCCAGTGGGCGTACCGTCACAATCCTCGGTTATGCCAACGCCCACGGTAGCCGATACTTTCTCCTGGTTGTTTGTTGGGCTCTGGCCCTCATCCTCCTCCAGAAGCCGATGGGTGGACTCTCAATGGGTATCTTGTTGTGGCAGATCCTGACGGTGCTGGAGCTCATTGATGTCAACAACCTGTCATCCTCTTCGATTGGACCTGTGGTTTTGGCGCTGCTGGGCAATTCCCACTTCTTCTCCACCGGTCACCAGGCTACGCTCTCGTCGATTCAGTGGGAGTCCGCCTTCATCCCCCTCACTTCAATCCGGTACCCATGGTCGCCGCTCCTAGTGGTGGGCAACACACTCGGTCCGCAGATTCTCACGGCAATCGCAGTGCCGCTAGTCGGGCTGTGGAAGGCGCCGCCAAAGAAGGCACAGGACGATGAGGAGGGTGCATTGGGCAGAGTAGCTCGGGCAAGTGCCACATATATGCTCTTCCAGGCAACGATAGCAGGGGCGAGCATGGTTTGTGCTGGGTGGTTGAGGAGGCACCTGATGTTGTATCGCATCTTCAGTCCAAGGTTCATGTTGGGCGGTGTTACATTGCTTGTGACAGAAATCGTGTGTATTATTGTTGGTGTTGGAGGTGTGAGATGGAATTGGGCGGCGGTTGGTGAGGTGTTTGGATATGCGTAGTGAATGTATCAGGATGAAGGAGATCATAGATGTAATACCGTATGTGCCGTTAAACTTGTACTAGTTAGTAGGGACGGGGATGGGGATGTATCACCCTCCCGAGGAGTTCAATAGAATCATCGAACAAATGCGCTGTGCTTGTGCTCGATTTCTATTGCAGAATATCAATGTTTCACAAGTTCGGCGTTGATGAGGTGGATGATCCCGGCGAAGCGAGAGTCCCCAACGCTTGGCGTGCATGGGCCCAAACACCTTGAGCTTGACGTCGTCGTGGACCTTCCCGCGTGTGTTCTAAAGGCCAACCACATGCAATGGCGCTGACTTCAGTACGAAAGAACTCCACACCCAAAAGCTCCTCAAAGCTCCAGAACTGACATGGGATCGTATCGCAGTGGAAATCCTTCAACTTCTTCGCCGTGACAAGTGTCCGCGCAGCTGACGAGCCCGAAAATGCTCCGCCGCCATTTGAGGTCCGGTCCACCCAGTTCGCTCATCTGTCGCCTCGCACACGAATTGACGTCGTATAGGGCGTGGACATAACTTCACTCGCCGCCGGCTCCGACAACCTCTTTCTCGGCACGTCTGACAGTAAAGTACACGTCGTCAACTCCTCGTTCAAGATCATCCGCACCTTCTCCACGGCGGAAGCGGGGTTCACACAGGGCGGCGGAGCCATCACGCACCTGAAACAGATCGAGGGAACGTCATTACTCGTTACCATCAGTGAGGATTTATCCTCGGAGCCCGTTCTGAAAGTCTGGGCGCTCGATCAGATCGATAAGAAAACTGGCGATCCGAGGTGTACGAGCTCGCTCACGATTACGAATGGGAGGAAATATTTTCCAGTGGGTACTTCGAGTGGAGTTTCGGTGATGGGGAGGGGGCTAATGGAAGGGAATGACAGACGACAGCTTTTGCGGCGATTCCTTCGCTCGCGCTGTGTGCGGTCGGCTTCGCGAATGGGACAATTACGCTGATACGCGGCGATCTGGTACACGACCGTGGATCGAAACAGAGGATTATTTTCGAGTCCGAGGAGCCGATTACGAACCTTTGCTTTTCGCCGCCTGTGGATGGTGGGAAGGGACATCGAGGGATTCCAGGCAGCGAGGGGGGAGAAACTCTCTACGTCTCTACCACGGCGAGGATCCTTACACTCATTACGCTGGGGAAGGCGAGTCATCCGGCGAAGGTGCTCGAGTCGCAGGGCTGCGGAGTGGGTTGCATGACCCCAGCGCTGGACCTTACGTCCGATGAGCGAGGATTAGTCCATGAGGGAGGCGATATCGTGGTCGCTAGAGACGATGCGCTATACTTCTATGGGCCGAATGGGAGAGGCGCTTGCTACTCCTACGACGGGCCGAAGCAATCGGTGAAGGTGTTCAAAAACTACATTGCACTCGTGCAGCCGCCGGCTTCGCGGCCATCAACTGCCATGGCAACCGGCAAAGGACAGGGTGTTTCGGATACGCTCAGGCGGCTGGTCGGAAAGTCACCTGTGAATTCAGCATCCGATGAGTTGTTTGAGACTACGAAGTTTACGTTGCTGGATACGGAACTCAAGTTCATTGCGCACTCGGAGAGGTTGATTTCGGGTGTGAAGGAGATGTTCATCTCCTGCAATGACTTTTTCGTTCTCACGCTGGACGGGAAGCTTTACCGGTACCATGAAGTCGGTTTGCAGGAAAAACTCGATATTCTCTACTCAAGGAATCTGTATGTTCTCGCCATCAACCTGGCCTCGAAGGCTGGCATCAAGGAGTCGAAATTGCGGGGTATCTTCCGGCGGTATGCAGACTATCTCTACGGCAAGGGAGATTACGACGGCTCGATGCAGTGGTACATCAAATCCCTCGGCCCAGCAAACGAAGAAGGCGTCAGCACCGTCATCCGCAAGTTCTTGGATACCCAGCGAATCCACAACCTGATTGAGTACCTCGAAGAGTTACACAAGCACGATGCCGCGACATCCGACCACACAACGCTACTGCTCAACTGCTACGCGAAGCTAAAAGATATCGACAAACTTGAGGCATTCATAAAACAGTCCCCTGAAGAAGGCCTCAAGTTCGATGTCGACACGGCGATAGGCATGTGCAGACAGGCTGGATACTACGAGCAGGCGGTGTATCTCGCCGAGAAACAGCAGGAACACGACATCGTCGTTAGCATCATGGTCGAGAATCTTGAGAATATCAATGGTGCTCTCACTTATATCCAGAGACTCGACCCTGACGTCGCGTATCCGAATATGATGAGGTACTCTAGGGTGTTCCTGCAGAAGGCGCCGCAGCCGACTACGGAAATGTTGGTGGAGTATTATAGTGGCAAATATGTTCCGCGCACGAAGCCAGTGCTCGAGACTACTGAGCCGCAGCAAAGGGAGAATGACGGCGGCTTCCAGTCGTACTTGAATACCTCGCTGCTTCAGCAGCTGCCGTACATGGGTGGCAACTCACAATCGAACACTCCAACCCGAAATGGTGGCTCGGCCTCGGGAACAGCACCGACGGAGTCGCCAGGAGAAGGTGGAACTGTGCCACTTGTATTGCCAAAGCAGTACCCGCTCCCGAAGCCACGCACAGCGTTCTCATCGTTTGTGGATCATCCGGCCGAGTTTATCGAGTTCCTTGAACGGATCGTACAGGATGGAGAGAGCACTGGGAAACTTGCCGAGAATGATAGGGTTGATATCTACAGCACGCTGTTTGAGATATACCTGCACAGTGCGAACGCCACGAAGAATAAGGAGGAGAAACGGAAGTGGGAGGCCAAGGCGAAAAAGATTATTGAGAGCAAAGAGGTACTGTTCGAATCCTTAGATCAAACGAATTTGTTGAACTAAAACTCTCGACCACAGGCGCTGGTAGATACATCCAACGTATTGCTGCTCTCCCATTTAGCAGATTTCAAGGACGGCACCACCCTCGTACGAGAAAAGCAAGGCCTCCGCTTCGACATCTTCCGCTCATGCTGTTCTGCCGGTGACACAGCCGGTGCAGTCCGGGCACTCAAGAAGTACGGCTCCGAAGAACCGGAGCTCTACCCCGCCGCACTCTCATACTTCACTAGCTCGCCGAAGGTCCTCCGCGACGTGGGCGAAGAGGAGCTGGAGCGCGTCCTCAAGGTCATCGACGAGCAGGGCCTGATGAAACCTCTACAGGTAGTGCAGACACTCAGCAGCAATGCCGTCGCCACAGTAGGAATGGTAAAGCGCTACCTCGGTGATACCATTGAGCGGGAGCGACGAGAAATTCAAAATGTACTCCCTCTCTTCCTCCTCACCCCACTCCCAGCTAATATCTCACCCAGAACCGCAAAATGATCGAAACCTACCGCTCGGAAACGACAAAGAAAACCTTCGAGATCAGTGAACTCGGGTCGAAACCAACCGTCTTTCAAGCGCAGCGCTGTCAGGCCTGTAGTCTAACCCTGGATCTCCCCACAGTGCACTTCCTGTGCAAACACTCGTTCCACCAACGGTGTCTCAACGCCACAGACGGCGAGAACCTCGAGTGTATTGCGTGTGCGCCAACCAACCAGACCATTCGCACGCTCAAAAGGAGCCAGGATGAGGCGGCGGAGAGACACGATTACTTCAAGAGTACTCTTAGTGACGGCAAGGATAAGTTTGGAGTCGTGGCGGATTTCTTCGGGAAAGGGGTCATGGCAGCGCCGCCGCCGCTTGGATAGGGATAGTGAGACGCAGAAGAGGCGGTGTAATGACAATTTTACGATGCTATGGTTGATATCTGTTTTCACGCCCATGAGTTATTAGGAATGTATGTATATAAGTCATAGATCGTTCTAATACCTACCACAACTCCCCCACTGGTCACCCATCGGTACAATTGATCAATACGCCGCAGCGAAATGATCGATCAGTAGAGAGGGTGACCACAAGCCAACCTCCAGAACCGTATTTGTATCTGGTTCAGCTGCAAGCAGAGTTCATATGTGAAGGCTAATTACTCGCCGAAGAATCCGGACTTGGACAGCTAAAAATACGACCGCTCTTCACATCTGGCGGTGGGTTGTCGTTGATCGCGGCTGTCAATCTAACCGCACTCATCCTTACCCTACCCCTGCCCCCGACCGCCTCATCGCTACGCACTCGCACCGGTAGCTGGTTGTGCCACAGTTGTAGGTTAGACACTAGTTACGTCGAGCTCATGTCTCGCAGCACCGTCAACCCCCGCAATGCCCTCGACAGCCCACGCCGCCGTCTCCCATACCCCCAATCCCGATGACGACGAGACTTCCGCGCCGCCGCCGGCCGTCAATTCTTGCACCACGGTGGCCGAGCTCCAATTCGCGCTCGCGTACCTAAACGCTCAGGAACACCTCGTCGCCTCCCGCCTGCAGAAACTCCTCGCTACGCAATCGGAGCTGACGCATTCGATCTCGCGGCTGGACCTGATCCGCGCGCACCTGGGCACGCAGGTCGTCGCCGCGCGGTCATTGTCGAATACTATCCTCTCCACCGCGGCGACAACCGCGAACCGTGTCTCCTCCGCCGTGAAGCGGCTCGATACTGAGCAGTCGCGTGTGAAGGCTACGCTCGAGGTCGTCGATCAGATCTCGGAGCTGAAGGCTTGTGTGCTGGGCGTTACCGGGTCCATGGGCGCGCCCCAGGATTGGGAGACCGCCGCGAGCTACCTCCACCGTGCTAGTAAGATCCCGAGGGAAATCGCGGCTGGGGAGTTCGCCGAGGAGATGGTCGCTAGTGCTGAGGTGCCGGATCCCCCTGCGGTCACTCTGGAGAATGCCGCTGAGTCCTTGTGCGGACTGTTCTTGAGGGAGTTTGAGAAGGCGGCGGCGAATGCGGATGGGGAGAAGGTTACTAGGTTCTTTAAGCTGTTTCCGCTCATTGGGAAGGCCAGTGTGGGGCTCGATGTCTATGGGAAGTATGTTTGTGGAGGGGTGTCGACACGGGCGAGGGCGGCACTCGCAAATAAGCCGGAGGATACAGTGGGGGACTTCTTCTATGCGACAGCAATGACGAGACTCTTTGAGCACATCGCGACTATCGTAGAGCAGCACGGTACTCTCGTGGACAGACATTATGGCCCAGGGAAGATGGTGAAAGTGATTGAGCGGCTGCAGGTAGAGGCGGACACACAAGGTGGCATCATCATCGACACGTTCATGGACGAAAGGGGAATGGATAGGAAGGTAGTTACTGCCTTCCACGCTGTTACTGGGATGCAGTTGCTGAGGATCGCCAGCTTACCGATATCAAATCCTACGCCTTCTCGTTCCTAGTGCAGTCGTTTCTCCCGGGCCCGCGGGCTGCGCTCGGTGGGGCGTCGAGGTCGAACTCACCTGCACCTGGCGGAATAGCGGCACCGGATAACGAGGATGAGGGGGTGGATGTCAAAGAAGTTGACATTCTCCTGACAGAAATCGGCGTGATGCTTGGACGGTGGTCACTATACTGCCGCTTCCTCGCCAGGAAGTGTCAGGTGAGCAGCACGTACTCTTGTGCCGGTGAGCGTATTAACTCATCCATCGTAGACCCAACTGGAGCCATTGGATGGAGGACAGCCAGGCCTCCTATCTCTCCCGGCCGTGATTGCGAACTCTAACCTCTCCCAAAAAGTACAGGACCGACTTGTCAGTTCGTTCAACATAATGACCACGTTCTTCTGTCGCCGCTCCGTCGAAAAAGCCTTCCAGCTGGACGAAGCACCCACCGACCTTTCCCTCTCCCTCGCCTCTCCACCCTCCACCTCCTCAAACGCACCCTACATAACCTCCGCGGTCGACGACGTGATGTACATCGTCAACAAGCTCCTCCAACGCTCCATCGAGACCTCACAGCGGGCGCTCGTAGCCAGCGTGATCTCCACGGTCGGTCGAGTCCTCGGCTCCGACTTCGTAGGGATGATCCAACGGAAGATGCGGGACGAGAGCTACCCGCGGTCCACATCCTCGAACACGCCGCCGTCCGACGAAAAAGTCCTCAGCTTCCTCGTGCTAATCAACAACCTGGACACGGCGTCCGAGTACCTGCACCGGATAATCGACGGCTTCGGCGACGACCTGCGCGACCTCTTCCCCTTCGAGAGCGAGGCGGACTCGGTCCGCGAGGCGCTAAGGAACATGGCCGTCAGCTTCGAGGCCAAGACCGGCGAGCTGATCAACGACGGGATCATGGTCGTTTTCAACCAGGTGGTGAAGCCGCGGCTTCGCCCGCTGCTGGCGGATGCGTTTAGAGACGTCGATTACGTAGTCTCCGACGAGGAGGCGGCAGCAGCAGACGACGGAATGATGATGATGGATGGCGACGAGTCTGCGGACAACGCCGAGCTCGTCAAGCGAAGGTTCAGGGAGGGCTGGGAGGCACTCATGACGCCGCTGAAACGTATCCTCACCGATAAGGCGTACACGCGCCTCCTCGCCACGACGGCAAATTACTTCTCGAAGCTCCTGGAGAAGCGTATCTGGGGGTATTCTGGGCGGATCAATGAGCTGGGGGCTATCAGGCTCGAGAGGGATATTGCGGGGATAGTTGGCGTTGTGGTTAGAGGCGGGCGCTACGGCGTCAGGGATACGTTTGTGCGCTGCTCTCAGATCTGCTTGGTCGTTAATATGGAGGAGGACGAGGTCGGCGGGATACTGCGGAAGGGCGAGATGGACGATAGTGGCGTTGAGTGGAGGCTTGAGGTCGACGAGAGGGCAAGGGCGCGGGAGATGGTTGTTAGAGGGAGATAGGATAGGGCTTGTAGTTGGCATGGATATCCAATAGAGCGAGCGGTGGCATAATAGCTTCGTCTAACTGCAGGTATATATCTACCTCTTACGCTGACGATTCCACCGCAGATGGGGCGGAACCTTGAATGACCTTCCTCCCGTCCCACGTAACACCGCTGACTCTCCACTCCTCCCCCCCCTCTGCCTCCGCAGCACCAGCCACAAACTCGCACGCATACGCCGCACCTCGTAACTGCTCCCCCTTCCAGACCAGGAAGTACGCAAACTCCTTCGTCTGCTCGCTCCACATGCCCTTTCCCCTCCTCCTACCGCCGGGATACACGCTCCAGCTGAGCTTCATCTTCCCAGCCTCAGCGGCGGGCCGTACCACGACGCTGCTGATAGTCGAGTCCGGTAGCCCGTCCTTCTCCAGCGTCGACATGAGCACCTCGCCCAGCCACAGCTCCTCGCCCGCCAGCGCACCGCCGGAAAAGAACACGCCCATTTCCACGACTGTGCTGCCGTCTGCATCGCCGTCCTCGGCGAGATTTGGCATTCCGCTGCCCCATACCCGCCCCGGGTAGTGCGCCTCCAATGGAGACGTGCGCCGCGAGGTTGCGCCGGTGGAAGGGTGCCGTATGTCCCAGTATACACCTGCGGTGGACGACGTGGCCGCCCTTTGGAACTTGTACGTCATGAGGAGGTTCTGGTCTAGCGCTACGGAGAGCCGGAAGAGCGGCGCGAAGGTGGGAGATGTGGATGGACTGCTGGCCGAGGTTAGAGCGAGTTTTAAGGACCAGCTGCCGGTCCACGCTTTGGTGCTGTCGAGACTGTGAGATATCTCTGTTGTGGAGGGGAAGTGTGGGAGCAGCGATTGCGCCCCCAGGTGGATCCATTTTGTTTCTGAGATCAGCTGGTGATGTTAGCTTCCTGAGACAGGAGTAGGAGGGGCGGGGGAGGGGGAGAGAAGTACCTTTCCCTTCATAAACAGCCTATCTCCAAACCCGCGATTGAAGCAAGTATAGAATCCATCTCTCGAGCCCGCCGGGTGTGCCACAACATGTTCCCCGACCACGCCCCAAAACTTCCTCTCCACGCCTCTGAACCCCAGGCCCTGAAAGTGCTCCCACGTCCAGCCCGGCGCAAACAGCGCCGTCGCCTGCAGCCCCGCATTCCTCACTTCCTTCAGCGGCTCACCGACTCCAAACCCGCCGCCGCCCATACTGCCGCGGCCGTAACAATCGATTCCCATGAACACATCCTTCGTCCTGCCCATGGCCTCTGCCACCCGCTTCGTGGCGATCAGCTCCCTCGTCCTCCACCAATAATTCGAGAACAGCGCATCGGTCACATGGAGCCAGGGTGCATTCAAGAGCGTGAGTCCATTCTGGTAGTGAACACTATTCAGCACCGTGAGAGCATCATACCAGACTACGGTCCCGCCCTTGACCTTTATTCCCGCCCTCAGCTCCCCCAAAAACGCCTGCATCACCCCCACCCGCCACTTCTCACGCGGCAGCTCCGCCTCGACATTAACGAGCCACCCATCGAAACCGTAGGTTTCGGCCATACGCACCAACTGCGTGGCGAAGAAAAACTCGCCCTCGGAGCCCTTCTCGAACAGGCGCCCAGCGTCCGCTGACGCCTCGTCGTGCTCGAATAGCAGCGTCCCCAGCGAGCGCACGCCGTGCCGGTGACACACGTTCGTCCAGGGCGCGGGAGGCACCACTACCCGATAGTGCGCGAAGTATGCGAAGTCCGTGGCGAGGTGAAGGTACTCTGCCGTGTAGGGATCCTCGCTGCCTTCAGGGTTTGTTACGCCCTGTGTACGCTCCGTAGGGTGGTGCCCGCCTCGGTAGTCGTGGCAGAGGAGTACGCGGCTGAGTTTGGTGTCCGGGGGTGAGGTGGCCGGGGCCGGGGCCGGGGCCCGTGGGCATAACGGCGTGTTCGAGATGTTGCTGCTGTGTGTGGACGCGGATTCAGGGCGCCAGTCGGCTAGTTCCTGGGATGGGGTTTAGGGTGGATACGGAGGATGGGGAGGATGGGGAGGATGGGGCCCGCGAAGACGGAGCGGGTAGTTACACACTTGCATCGACGAGAGGTAGATGTAGTCATCGGTGGCCGGCATCGTATATAGCAGCCCTTAGGTGGGTGGGGGCACTGGGGGGCGGGCGGGCGGGATGGCGGGTAGGGCGACGGGTAGTGGGGTAGTTAAGGCGGCGGGTAGTGGGGTAATGGGTATGGCGGGGTTGATGGGAGGGAAGCCTGAAGGACCAGGGTAGGTATTTCAATGCAGAGTATGCAGATGCTTACTTGCTTATATACTACCTATCTGCTTTGTACGAGCTGAGGTCGATTTTGCAGCCCTTGGATCGTCGAGATGGATTCTGTCTACTGCAGCGGGGCTGGGCTGGGCTGGGCTGGGCTGGTGATGCGGAGACGGTGGTGCCGCGGGGATAGGTGCTGTATTGCGGTGGTGGGTTGGAATGGACGTACTCCTGCGAGACTCCTCGCCGGTCTGGCCGCACGCCTACGGAGCTGGCAGGAAAGGTCGGGTTTGTGGCCGCCATAGGTAGGCTCAAGCCTTCACCAGCCACTTCGAGAACTCAACAGCCATACCGGCGGCCCGAGTGACTGTGCAGATCATCGTTGGATCAGCCACTAGCAACAAGTGTGAGGCGCCTAGTGGCTAGTGGATTTAGGCGAGGAACGAGGCTCATCGTTAATCACGTGGGAGAGAAGTGATGATCTGGTGCGATCACCATCCGCCTCATACAAGTCTGTCTAGCCTAACAGATGCGGACCATGTCGTTGGCATTGATCGTTCTCTCGCTGGTTGATCCACTTTACTCTGGGTGGTGACCCGTCTCCGTGGCTCCCCCGGAAGGCCACTTGGTGTCGAATCCCCAGTCCTTGCACGAGAGAGACCGCCCGGGGACTTCCTTCCGCTTGTCGCTGATTCGCCGCTTAGAGCAGAGGCAAGCTTTGCATCCCGCATCTCTCGTTGTCCTGAAGCCATTCGACTCTGTGGCTTTTGATGGACTGCCTACTAGTACCGTTCGGTACATACCAGCAGTTCCTGAGATGCGTTGTCAGGAACATCCGGATGAGCCCATGCTCGCTTTCACAGCGTGGCCATCCGATTCTTCCGCGGCCAGCTTGGCTCAACCGTTGGCGATCGAAAAAACTTCGATGGTGGGCTCGAGCTGCGGGTAAACCAATATGCACCGAGTGAGAGGCCATGCTTGACGATGGAACGACGGGCGGAAGCTCTATGTACATAGGATTTCTCCCCATGCATTTCTAAAATCTTATTGCTTCTGTGTTCGCTTCGCGGCCTGTGGTCGGATAGTGGGCCCGTACAGCGGTCGCCGGCCGCCGCGTGCTGGGACGTGCGGATAGTTGTTTAGTCATGTACGGCACTCTAACTCCAGACTTCTTGGGACAGTATCGAAAACCGATACCCATTGCAAGACTTTGACACAATTTAATGGTGGAGATTCACCATCCACAGGCGCGAGGATGCCGCGAGTGAGGACCAATGTCTAATTGTGGGGCCGTCCTGACGCCGGTAGGTAATCGACAGCTAACGATTTGCTCGCGTGCTCGATTTCACGAGCTTCTCCTCATCCATACGGTGGCCGTCTTCTGAGCGCGCCTGTGAATAAACAGTCTTTTTCTTTCTTCCCAATGCTACGTAATCATCAGGGACCGAGGGAGTACTCTTTGTACCAGAAGAAACTTCACGCGCGGGTCATTTCCCCACTGTCCGTCTGTCTTCCCCGCAACCTCGGTTCCCAGTCGGAGTGTCCGGTTCGGTCGAGACCACGCTCACATGCACATGCCAAATCACGAAACACGCCTACCTCTCTACAGCCAGCCAGCCAACCAGCTGGGCAGTCATCAGATCACCACACCTCCTCCTCCACCACCGACCCTACCAGCCGATAATACCGAGACAACAAATCATACTTGTGAATAAAATACCCGTGCAATAATAAAGTCCCTTCTCTTCCCTTCTCTACATACTCTACTCTTACGACTCCTGTTCCTGTTCCTGTTCCTGCATTCTTCCAACTGCCCCCGTACCTGAGCTCAGCTTCAATCAATCGAACGACTTCAACACCATGTCTGACAACGTATGTCCCTCTCCCCGTCCGTGTCAACAAGGCCGTTCTAACAATCCACAGGTCCTCCACGCAGTAGCCGGCGCCGGTACTCTCTCCCCTCTCGTTCCACGATTATCGCGCAGCACTAACACCCACCTCTAGGCGGCGGCGTCCTGTCCATGGTCCTGACGTACCCACTAATCACGCTCTCCACCCGCTCGCAAGTCGAGTCCAAGCGAGCACAGACCACCGTCCTCGACGCAACACGTCACATAATCCAGCGCGAGGGCTTCAGCGGCCTCTACGCCGGGCTCGACTCCGCCGTCTTCGGGATCTCGGTCACGAACTTCGTATACTACTACTGTTTGTCTCACCTGGCTGGTTTCGTGTGTGTGTGTTTGTGTGTGTGTCCGTGTGTGTGTGTAGCTCGGTGCTGACGCAAACCAGGGTACGAATGGTCTCGCGCAGCGTTCGAGAACGCCGCCGTGAAGGCCGGTCGCAGCCGGAAGCTATCGACAGTGGAGTCGATGATCGCCGGTGCGGTTGCTGGGTCCGCGACCGTTCTGATCACGAACCCGATCTGGGTAGTGAACACACGTATGACGGCGCGCAAGCGGGGAGCTCCCCCGCCCTCTCCGAGCCTCAAGCCTACACTGGCAGAGCCAACGCCACGGCCCGCGGCGCCCACGACCATTGGCGAAGTCAAAGCGCTGCTGAAGGAGGGCGGCATCGGCGCGTTCTTTGCCGGCGTCATGCCCGCGCTCGTGCTCGTCATCAATCCCATCCTGCAATACACGATCTTCGAACAGCTCAAGAACCTGCTCGAGCGCCGGCGCAAGCGTAGCGTCACACCCACGGACGCGTTCTGGCTCGGCGCGCTGGGGAAGCTCGTCGCTACCGGGCTGACGTACCCCTACATCACTGTCAAGGCCCGCATGCACGTCGCGGGCAAGAATGAGCACGTATCGGTGCTCACGGCGCTGAGGAAAATCGTTAAGGAGGAGGGATGGAGCGGCCTCTATGGTGGCATCGCCCCGAAACTCGTACAGAGCGTTATTACCGCTGCGTTTTTGTTCGCGTTTAAGGACGCCCTGTTTAAGGTCGCCCAGGCGACGCTGAGGAATCGCCGCGCCCAGGCGGCAAAGCTGTTGCTGCTGAAGAAGTAGATAGAGTACGTGTGTGCCGTGGAGGGTGTAGGATAAGGTGCTTTGTTTTTATCTTCTCGCCGTTAAAATTGGTCTGCTTTTGGAATGGTCTTCTTGTTTTGTCTTGTCTTGACTTGACTTGACTCTCGAGCAAGTGAGTGAGTGAGTGAATGCGGGTTGTATTCCAAGCCTACGACTACATACTACATATGTGACGAATTGATGAGATACCTACACAAACCGTTATTGCTGCACATATGTAAGTGGGTGTCGCCGGCGATGGTGCAGCCTTGCAGGGGCCGATACCGAGGTTTGGAGCTTCAGAGTGCATGATATATGTACATTAGGATGTATATACAAACTGTCACCACTGCATGTGGTTTATCCACCCACCCAGAGTGTAGAGTAAACTCGTCGGGACTCGGCAGGGACGACACAGGGAGTACGGGAAACATGAACGGTCACTCACACCGCATTTCGATTCGGTGCCGAAGACAAGTTATAAGTTACAACTTATTGGGTGAGGTGACACCTGAAGGGCAGGAAAGATTTCATTAGTGTTCGCCATACAGCTGGGTAGTCTGGAAAGGGTGTATGCGGAATGAATTGATCTGTATCACTCTCTCTGGGTGAGATATAATTAGTACCTTGTGTGTACGAGTAGGGCTCATAGAGATGGTGATGGTTCATATTGCACATGTCTACTATGTCACGGCAAGACTCACTCCGCGTATGTATCCAACGGACTTGGCTTCTATGGACAGTGGACAGTGGACAGTGGATACTGCAATGATCCTACAAACAAGCTGAAGATGTGTAGAGTGAGATATAGTGGTTCCGGGAACGATATGGTCTACCCATCATACCTACTCGGGAATTGAGGCACCACCTTTCACCGTGGAATAGGACGCTGAATTCTCGGGCAGAGTCATTCCTCACTCTTACATATCCTAGGTACCCTCCCGCTTCCCAGCTGGGTGAGCAATGGCAAGTTCATTACTCGATGCTTTCTGTACCGTAGAGTGTCCGTTTAAGTGCGAAAAGCAGCGGATGCCTTACATTTCTCATCAAGTTACAGGAACGGCTTCGTCGTCGCCCTGATATCTTACAAGTTTCTTCAAATTCTGAAACCTGGGTGCAATAGTTACGAGATATCTTTTTTCGAGTGGGTTGTGCGTGCTCAAGCGGACTCAATCGATCCTTCGGAACGCCCCCAGTCAGTTAGCGCGGCCCATCCTTGGCCAATTAACGCGACTTCCAACGCGTTTTCCAGGAACGGCCAGGCAGCCAGCAGCCAGTACCAGGTGTCTCGACTCTCTCGAAATTCACACTTCGATCGCTCGCCCTCCAACGGTCCGCCCCAGATACCCACCAATCTCGCAGCCCTCCATCGCCCAGACACAGAGAAAAAACATGACGAGTACACAACTCCAAGGCCCGCTCTTCGCGCGTGAGTCCAAACCGCCACTCAATCAATTAATCTGCCTAGTGGGTATCCGGAAAATACTCACAGCTCGCAGACCCGCCCGGCCAAACAATCGTCAACTACTCCCCCGACGGCAGATACCTCTACACCGCCGGCACGAATACGTTCATAAGGAAATACACCACCGCGTCAGAGGACGAGCCGGTGACGATCGATACCACGGCGGATAACACGGGGATCGTGGCTACCGTATGTACAAGCCACCCACCCACGCTGTTCCCCTCGCTGACACAAACTTCCGCAGAATGACAAAATCATTTCCTGCAGCGAGGACTGTTCAGTCAGCGTCTTCTCCTCGGCGACCAACACTCCCGAGCGGCTGCTTCTGCGGACAAACCTGCCGGCACGAGGCCTCGCGCTCTCCCCAGACGGCAGCTGGCTCGCGGTAGCCAGCGACGACCGCGTGGTGAAGCTCGTCAACCTGTCGGACCCAACACGCGTGCTCACGCTGCGCGGGCAGAGCAACAGCAATAAGCACGTATCGTACGACCCTTCGGGGAAGTACATTGCAGTGTCGTGCACGGACGGGGCGGTGTACGTGTACACGCTCTCTGGCGCGGAGCCGGAGCCGGAGCTGGTGCAGACGGTGGACGGGGTGATTCTGCGGGTGGAGGCGGCGGGCGAGGCAAGTGCAAAGGTCGCGTGGTGTCCGGATGGCCGCGCGTTTGCGGCGCCGACGGCGACGGGGGATGTCGTTATTGTTGACTGCCGGGAGTGGAAGCGGCAGAGGAGCTTTGCGGGAGCGCATACAGCTGAGATCACGGATTTTGCTTGGAGCCCGAATGGTGCGTTCTTGGTCAGTGCTGCGAAGGATGGGAAGATTGTCGTGTGGGAGGCCGCCGGCCAGACCGTCGTCGCGACGTATTTGCATAGGAATGTTTGCGCGCTGGCGTGGCATCCCAGTGAGAATACTATCTCGTTCACAACTACAGAGGGCAGGCTGTATACCCTCCCCGGGGTCGTGCCCGGCGAGATCGCTGGAAGGTTGAAGCTTTCCACACGACCGGCCCCGCTGATAGAGGACTCCGACGCTGCCTCGACCACTACCAAAGCCGTCCGCAGCGGGCAAGGAAGACCCGGTCGCCGAGCATCTCCGGATCCGCTGGACGGTATTCTTGGTGCCGGGACAGACGACGAAGGCGAGTTAGACGGGGACGAGGAAGTGTTCGACTGGATAGAAAACGACGACAACGACTCAGACCGGGGGCCCAACGTGGCCAGCAAGCGTAAACTCGACACCACGGGGATCGTCGTGGGAGGCCGCGAGCCCAAGCGTCCCGCCTACGTATGGACACCGACGATCCACGAGCCGTTCCAGCCCTCGGCCACGCCGTGGCGCGGAAAGCGTCGCTACCTGTGTCTCAACATGGTCGGGTTCGTGTGGACGGTCGACCAGGACACGCACAACACTGTGACGGTCGAGTTCCACGACCGCGAGTCGTTCCGCGACGTGCACTTCACCGACCAATTCCTGTACGACAAAGCGTGTCTCAACGAGACAGGCGGTCTCTTCTCGTGCCAGCCGCAGGCCGAAAGCGGCAGCCCAGCAATGCTCTACTACCGCCCGCACGAGTCCTGGGCCAACCGCGGCGACTGGCGCACCAGTCTCCCGGACGGCGAGGAGATCACTAGCATCGCGCTGTCGGATAACTACATTGTGGCGTGCACCAACACGGGGTACGTCCGGGTGTTCACGCTCTTTGGCATCCCGTTCCGGATCTACAGGCAGAAACACACGCCGGTGGTGACGTGCGCCAGCTACCGCGACTACGTGCTCATCCTGGGGAACGGCGCGGTGGGCGCCGACGGGAAGACGCAGCTCACATACACGCTCGAGAACATCGCGCGCGACGAGACGCTGCAGAGCAACGATGTGGTGGCCCTGCCGCCGGGCGGTGAGCTAAAGAGCGTGTTCTTTTCGGAAAACGGTGATCCGGCGATCTACGATTCCGACGGCGTGCTGCTGGTGCTGCAGCACTGGCGCGAGGTGGGACAGGCCCGCTGGACGCCGCTGCTGGATACGAGGACGCTAGAGCGGCTGGCTGGAGGCAGGCGCGAGGAGAAGTACTGGCCCGTTGCGGTCGCGCAGGATAAATTTCACTGCATCATCCTCAAGGTATGTTTCTCCCGATGACGTCCGTGATATGATCTGACAGATTACATACAGGGCGGAGAACAATACCCGTACTTCCCGCGGCCGTTGCTGAGCGAATTCGATTTCAAGATCCCGCTGGTTGGAAAACCGGCCGAGACCGCTGCAGAGCCCAAGGGCACCGATGTGTTGGAGGAGACATACGTGCGCAACAGCATACTGCTATCCCTTCAGCGTGACAGCGCGACGGCAAGGACTCTCAGCGCTGAGGAGCGCATGGAAATCGTCGACCGCGAGAACGGCATCGATCGTGCTCTGCTGCAGCTGCTGATGATAGCGTGTAAAGAAGAGGATCAGGGAGCGAAGGCTCTCGAGATTTGTGGGCTGTTCAGGCAGAAGCGCACGCTCGATATGGCGGTCAAGGTCGCTATCAAATATGATCGCTCCGTGCTGGCCGGGAAGATTGGGGATCTGAGGAATAAATTGGAGATGGCGATGGAGATGGAGGATGACTAGATACTCGGTACTATAGATGGGGATGCGATGCGTAATTGGTTGGCTGTTTGGCGTTTTGGTTTTCTACGGTTGTGTACATACTTCTTGGATCTTCAGACATCGATTCTGGGTGGATTGAAGGAGGAGGATGTCATTTTTATTTCATGATATCGGCGAGTACCTTTGCGGCCAATTTCCGGCGCTCGGCCATCGGCAGCTCGTCGCCCATGTCTACGCACGTCAGCCAGTCCCGCAGCACAGAGCACATCCCACACACCTTTGACCATCTGCAGCCGCGCCAACACAGCCTCAAGATTCTCCACGCCGCCCTCCTCCTCGCCCTCGCCCCTATCCTCCCGAGCAAGCTCCACCTTCAACCCCATCATCTCCCGCTCCATCTCACCGCCAATCCCATCTAACCACTCCTTGTCCTTGCCATCCTCATCCTCGCCATCCTCATCCTCATCCTCATCATCCCCCCCATCACCGGCCCAATCCCCGGCCGCAAGAGCCTCCACAACCCTATCCATGCCCGTCGCCTCTCCATATTCATTCCTACCCCCTCTCCTTCCCCCATTATATTCCACCAACTCAAACCCGTAACCCAAGCACGTATCCTCTGTTCCCTCCGGCAGCGGTCCGTCCGCCATGGCGACGGCTAGACACACTCCGTCCCACATCATGCCCATCTTGTTGACGATGCGGTGGAGCGAGCTGAGGAGCAAGGAAAGCTCGGAGGTGGAACGGAATGTGAGGATTAGGCTGCCGAGAACGCTCAGCACCTCCGACGCGGAGGCGGAGAGGTAGGAGGTCGTCCAGGTTTGGAGTGTTTCGGGGGCTTCTTCTTCTTTAGAGGACTCCCCCCCTGCAGATGCCGCTGCCGCTGCATCCTCCTTCTCCCCCTCCCCCTCCTCCTTCTCCCCCTCCCCCTCCTTCTTCGACTCCTCTTCCTTCACCCCCACAGCCCCCGGAGCCGGCAGCTCATCAACCCACACGGGCACGGTAGCGCTGTAGTACGGCGTGTTTATCTGATACTCATGCGACAGCCCCGCATGCGGCCCGGTCGCGTCCGGCAGTGGCGGGAGAGTTCCCGTAAGTGCTATTCCCCCACGCATCCACGCATTAGCTGGTGCATAGGTAGATGGGTTTGGGCGAAGGGGGAGGGGGAGGGGGGCGAAGGGGGAGGTACATTTTAAAAATGTGAGTTTGCCGGAGTTCGGCGTCCCCACGAGGAGGATGCGCCGCGGGTTGGTGAGGGTTGCCATTGTTGCTGGGGGTTGCTGGGGGTGCTGGGTGGGGTGAGGATGGTGGGGGCACTGGGGGGAGGAGGGGGGAGGTGGGATTAAGGTCAGGACAGGGCTCGCTTGTGGGTTTACTCTAGCTTCTGCATGGTGAGCTGCTGCGGCCGCCGGCAGGGTGCAGCTCAGCTTCAAGCTCGGGCTCGGGCTCAGCTCCGGCGATCCTCGGCCTGAAAAATTATTATACATACGGTCCATGGGTGAGAACACGCGAGTAAAGTTAGAGGCTATAAAGCCGGAAGTCTCATTCACCCCCAGCAAAGGAATGTAGGTAGAATAATGTCAGCTCGTCTTTGGACCATAGCTTCACCGTACTTGACTCTTGAGCTTCGTGCAAGAGCTCGGGAACCTCTCACATTACCTCTCTAGGAGGTAGGTACCCACCTTCGCAATGCCGCCCCCCTCAGAATCATCGAACTCTCCCTGTCCCAGATCCTCTCCAACCCTGAAAACTATAACTACAACACCAGCAACCACGCCTTCGCCGATCTCCCCACAGCCCTGAAATCCCTCGAGCACTCCCAAGTCCCACTAACCGCCTACATAGGTACCGCCACAACCTGCGGCAAACCCGCTTCTCCCGCTGACGGTCAATCCTACCTAATCTCGCAGCAAAATATGCCGACGGGCACGCGCTCCCTCCCCGAAGACCTCACCGGCCATCTCTCGTTGTTCCAGCAGCTATGCGCAGCGCAGCGCTGCCGCCAGCGGCCGAGATCGAGATCAGAATACAGACTGGCCGCATCTCCGAGATGTATGAGGACCTACTACTCCCGTTGCTGCTGCAATAGAAACGGAGAGAAATATTCCATGCGCCTGGAGGAAGGCCTCAGCAAGCAAGGACGGTATCGGCTCCATCCTTCAAGGATGCCGCAGCGGTGGTGCCGAGTCTACCTTCTCGCCGGCCAGTGGGTATTCAGGGCTTTGCCGAACTCGGAGGAGGAGGGAGAGGTGATGCATTGTCTGCCGTGGAGGGAGAAGGGAGGTTGTGGATACTAATAACAACGAGTGGCTGCCCGCGGCCTGCGGGTCTTCGTGCCGGAGTATGGATGGGTGCGGGATGTTTCGCAGTATTCGGAGAGGCTGGTGGGCTGGGGATGACAGTGGAAGGTTGGATATAAGAGGCTCAGGGAGGTGGTGCTCAGGACTTTGGAATGCAATGAGATGTTTACATAGGAAGTGTGCGGAAGCTGAGGGTATTGCGATACCAGAGATTGGGCACCAAGTTTGTGCTTGATGTGCACGCGGCACTGAGAGAGAGGGTGAGTGGGCTGTTGACTCTTGAGACGGTGGAGGTGAATTGTTTTGGGGGTATGCAGATGGCCAGTGGGACTCGAGAGTGGGCTGTTCAATTGGTTAGTGGACTGGAGGACAATGTATGGGTTGGAGGAGGAGGTCGAGGTTAGGATCGTGGGCCCATAGTAGAGTCAATTTGCGCATGCGTTAAACAATGCGGTAGAAGCGGGATGATCATCAGCCCTGCAGATGTAACATGTAACCCCGCGATCATAGAGGTATATATAACCCAAAGCGACCCCGCCATTATCCATACGAACCCCGCAATCCACAGTCCGCATCTCACCAACTCCACCTCCCTCAATCCTCCATTCACCATCACCATCACCAACCCACCACCATCACCATGCTCATCAAAGAATTCCACAAAGACGTCCTTACGGCCTCAGGCGAGACAATGCGGATCTTCATCACGCACCCATCGATCCCGAACCATCCGCACGCCAAATTCCCGGGCGTAGTAGTATTCTCCGAGATCTACCAGGTGACGGGGCCAGTCGCGCGGTTCGCGCGGCAGATCGCGGGCCAGGGCTACATCTGCGCGGCCCCCAGCTCGTTCCATGGCTTTGAGGGCCCAGAGCCCCTCGCCTATGATGGCCCAGGGACCGATCGCGGGAATGAATTGAAGGTTACTAAGGTATGTGGTTGGTGGGTGGTTGGTGGGTGGGTATGCGGCAGCTAATGAGGGGGGATGTGCAGTCCGTGGCCTCCTACGACGAAGACGCCACGCTCGCGATCGACCTGCTGCTCTCCCTGCCGACGATCAACGGGTCGATCGGGGCGACGGGAATGTGTCTCGGGGGGCACCTTGCGTTCCGGTGCGCGATGGACGCGCGCGTGACCAGCGCGGTGTGCTACTTCGCGACGGACATTCACAGCCACAGCCTGGGCGCCGGGAAGCAGGACAACTCGCTGCAACGGGTCACGGCCGGAGACCTCGGCCACGCGGAGGTCGCGATGATATTTGGGAAACTCGATAATCATGTTCCTGCTGATGGGAGGGATCTCATCAGGAAGTCCCTCCATGAGGCGGGCGTCGTGTTTAGCTTCTATGAGCTGGCGTGGAGCCAACATGCGTATGCACCCACCAATTCCACCCCCTACTGACTGGCTGGCTAGGTAATGTACTGGGCTGATATTGGCGCAGATTCATCCGAGACGAGAGCTCGAAGAATAGGTATGATCCGGCGATTACGAAGGTCTGTTTTGAGATATTGCTGGAGCAGTTCGGACGGACGTTGAAGTCGGATCTTGGCCCGTTTGAGGCCAATCTCAAGGTGGAGGATATTTGTTAGTAGATACTTCCTAGTACTTGAGTTAAGGATCATGGTATCTGAAAAATGGGCAAAATGGCGAAATGGCAAATAATGACAAAAATGTGGCAAAAGACGAGTGATATCAGTGCAGAGCAAAGACTGAAACGTCATGATATCTAGCTCGTGTAACGACGCCTGTTCTACTCGGCGTATATATCCGGCATCGAATGTTCGAAGGCTTGGATACCAAGCAGGAAAGCTGTGATAGTAAGGACGGCAGGCACTAAGCTGTAAGGTGGGAAGGAGGGAACCATCATGAAAAGGGGTATAGGTAGTATGCCATTCGGGTTCCACTGCTAGCCACGAACCACTGAGGATGAGGTGCAATTCTTTGTTCATTGATACTCCTCTGTGCAGCGTGTTGACGAGGTTACGATTAAGTCGAGCGTATGTATCAGATAAACAACAAACATAAGGGCTTCTTTACATGGTCTCTGACACACCCCCAGCTCTATTGCTTTTTGCACCGCCTTTTCCGCTATCATGACACGCTATCCAATAGTAGTCTAACAACCCCTCCCCGTCCTCCCTCGCCATGCAGTCATTTACACCTGCAGGCCGATGTCCGCAGCGAAGGGGAGGTAATGCAGGTCTCCAACGGCGGTGTATGTGGCCTTGCCGTCCAGAAGCTTCTTCGCGGCCTGTAGATGTAGGTTAGTATAGGAGAGAAATAACAGGGAATGGAGAAGATGGAAACTTACGCTCTTGACGGTGTCAACGGTAACACCCTCCAAAGCCTTGATGACACCCTCAACCTGAGGAGCCTTGCCAGAGGCAATGACGCTCTGGCCGATGAGCTCCAGACCGACGGACCGGTCCTCAGCAGCAGCCAGGACATCGAACTTGGCCTGCGCGATGGCCTTCTTGACGTCCTCGGGCTTCACGGAAGCGAGACTTTTGATGGCCTTGACGACCTCTGCGCCAGCCTGGTGAAGAGCGGTCTGGGGACCGGTGACGGTGATGGACAGCAAGCCAGCATCCGAGTAGGCGACGTGCTTGGCAATGGCCTTGACACCGGCCATCTGAGAGACGGCCTGGGACAGGGCGCTGGTGCCGTGGTTCCACTTGGTGGACGACTCACCACCAAGGAGGTAGGCGAGTACGCTGAACTCGGCCTTGAAGTTGGGACCACCCTGCGATCCGGGGAAGGCGATAACGATGGCATCACCATGATCGTTGTAGATGCGGTTCTCACCACCGTAGTACTTGGTGACGTTTGAGGGGAGACCGGAACCCTCAGTCAGATCAGTGAAGAACTGGCCGGTCCACTTCTCGAGCTCGGCCTGGGCGGCACCAGAAGCAACGACGGCGATGTTGCCCTTCTGGTACACCTGCTGGGCGTATGAAGGGATGAGCGAGGAAGAGAACTTGTTGCTCATCGCGAGACGGTGACCACCGAGTCCGGAGTGGAAGGCGACGTTGTGGGCGTGCTCGAGGGCGACATCCGCGGGGTTGTGCGAGTATTTGCTGAGTTCGGTAATCATGATAGGACCGACCTCTTCCTGGAATTCATAGTCTGGTAGGAAACGTCAGGCGCAACGAAGAGCGGTGGGAAATCGATAGGCATCCTTACGGATGTACTTGGTCTTGCTCATCACCTCTCCGAGAGCTTCAACGAAGTATGGGAGGTCGTCACGGAGGAACTTCGCCCTCAGGACGATGTTCTCGCGGGACAAGGTCGAGCCAAAGGACCCTCCGAGCAACTCCGACTCTCGCTGCAGGCGCAGTGCCGAGCGTTTTGTGGTGTTCTGTCAATAATTGATACCCCAATCAGCACCCCTATGCCTCCAAGGTCTCTCGTCTCCCCTTCCCATCACCGAAGTTGTCGGGGTACCTTGAATGCGAAGGATGCCAATCCGTGGGCGAGACCTGGCGACGACTCGTATCTGCTTCCACCCCGCACAACAACGGCAAGGGATGTAGTTGGTCCACCGTCGTCCCGGGATGCGACCTTAACGCCGCCCGCATTGCCGACCGAGTAGTGGAAAGGGTTTGCGGCGGCAGCCATACCCCGGCGGGCCGAGGGAGCGGCTTTGGCGCAGCATTGGGGAAGGCCCCGTGCGATGGAAGACCTCGCGAGCATGTCGAAAAACGTGGGGGGGATGGGTTGTGGTGACGGAGGGTGGGGTATTTGTATTGGTGGTGGTGGTGGGGTTGGTTTGGCGAAACCGGTAACTTGTGGTATCGTGAGAATTGGGCAGACGGAGAAAAGCGGGAGTGTGTGATTCGACAAAGAGAAGCTATGATTGGCTCGGATCTGGTCTGAGATGTGTGGCGAGCGTGAGTTTTCTTCATCCTGGCAGCAGTTGCTAGGCTTGCGGCTCGGCTTCAGCCCCAGTGGCGCTCTTGAGCTACCATTCATGCGGCTCTTCTTCAGCCTCGGTGGGGTCGAGTGAGTCCTGTGATCGCCAGAGCGCGACTCACACAACACAAAATATTAGTCCGCGCTAGCATTTGCCTTCCCTCATCTCTTGAAGTCAATATCCAGGACACAACTTCAACAGCATCCCTCTTGCATGCGCATCTTCCAGACACCTTCAGACTTCCAATAACACCATTCTTTTTCTACGAAACCGGGTTATGTAATGTCGCAAGTACGCAATCTCTCGTCATTGCTGTTCCCGACGCCGATGAGTTCTGTCAGGAGAGAGACCGCTCGCTGACAATTCCCAGGCAACAGCAGCTGAGTTGTGCACGCTCCTTGTTCAAGACATATATGGAGAAGTGTCTTCGGTTGGCATTTCCCAGTCCTGTGCCTGAGTGCTTTCACTCACTGAATCCCAGAAAGTCGTCAGTATCCTTCTCGAGCGCGGTCGATTACCTCTCCTGCAAATCTGCCAGTACACTGCGCTGCCACAGAAGACGGTCAAGCAGACACTCGTGGTATTGATTCAGCAGCACCTCGTCGTTCACTTTACGCACAATGAGGGAGGAAACCCTGTCTGTTACTACGATTGCAACTGGACTCAGGCCTACCAGTTGCTACACGCGGGGCGGATCATTCGGACGATCGAGGAGCTCTTTGGCAATGATGGCGCTCTGATCGCCAGCAACTTGCTCCAGTTGGGCCACGCGAGGGTTAGCGACTTTCTGGCGGCCTACGGTATTTCGACCAAGAAAGCACGGAAGGCTAAGGACAGCGATCCTTCTGCTGTCATCGAGGCCGACACACCGATCACCTCTGTCGAAACGCTGAAGGAGGTCATAACGAATATGTTGCGCGAGAGGTTTCTGGTCGAAGTCAAGCAACACCACGTCCATACGAGGACCGACATAGAAAACGGCATGCGCGCCGAGCTCATCTCGAAGTTGCACAAGAACTTCAGCAGTGAATTGAAGTTGATGAAGGAGGTCAACGCGCAAATGAAGATCAGATTGAAGGAGATGGAGATCGGCGACGTATCGGAGAACGCAGGATTGAAGAGGAAGGCTGCTCAGCCGGGCGGAAGGTCCAAGAAGCGGAAGAAGGTGTCAATATACGACGACGAAGAAGAGGATGTTGATTGGGAGGTCGATGTAAGCTCGCGACCTGAAGTGGAGCCGCTTCCACTGCAAGCTGATTAACTGATGTTCGGTGTCTGTAGGAGAACCTGGTTCTACGAATCAACCACGATAAGTTTCTCGTCGTTTTCCGAAATGCTGAGTTGGTATCACTTGCCGAACAGCGACTCGGAAAAGTTACTGCGCAGGTCTACGCAGAGTTCCTGAGCATGATTGAGCCCCATATCTTCCGCTGCAAGGACAACATTGGAGACGAAGGGGTACAAGAAGACGAAGACAAGCCTTTAAAGAGTTTGCTGCTCACCTACCATTTATACGTCTTTCAGGAGCTGACCTACATGACAGAGATTAAACTCAGCTGCCGCGATTTAGCGAAAAACTTCAACAAAGACATCAAGCTGGAAGGCTCCATTGCTGTTGCGCCCAATGAAAGCAAATCGAAAACACGGAAACGATCACTCGACAATTCTGACGATGACAAACCCCGCAGGAATGGCAGTAGTAAACCGAACGGCAAGAGCCGTCACAATTCAGATGAATCCGAGGAAGAATCCGAGGAGGAGGAAGAAGAAGACGAGTGGGCCGAGGTGGACGAAGACATGGAACCCGAGGCACTCGAGAAGCAAAAACGCATAAAGCTGATAAAGCAGCATTTGCTGCTCCTGCAGGAAGACTCTTTCAAGTTCCTGATCGGTGAAGGCAACCGAGGTATGGGAGAGTGGAGTGTTAATTATAAGGAGCTGGGAAAGACGATGCGAAGCATAGAGCTCGAGAAGATTGTTGAAGAACGATTTGAAAGCACAGGGACTCGGTTACTTAGGATCATCAAGGACAAGGGAAAACTGGATGAGAAACAGGTAACCGGTCTTGCTATTGTTTACAAAGTCTGCATACTGACTTCAACAGATCGCCAACATAGCGTTACTTAAGCAGAACCAAATCCGCGCTGTTCTCTCCGGCCTTCACGAGTGCGGTCACATTGAGCTCCAGGAGGTTCCCAAATCTATCCCACCGCAAGCAACGAGGACATACTTCCTATGGTTCTTCGACGAGGCACGGGCCAATGCTCTACTGCTCTCGGACGTCTACAAAGCTATGAGTAGGAATATTCAACGGACCATGGCCGAGAAGGAGAAACGTAAGCATCTCATCGAAAAGAGCGAGCGTTCGGACGTCAAGGCAAACTACGAAGAGTATATGTCGAAGAACGAGAAGAAGGAGTTGGATATCTGGAGGTCACGGGAAGAACGAATGTTGGCACAGCTGATGAGGTTGGATCGGATCGTGATGATAATGAGGGATTATTAAAGATTTTGATAGGAGACTATGCTATCCAAGGTATGGAGCATTTAGGAGGACTCGGATGGGAATGTGTCTATTGTCGCTATACTTGTACAATTATTTGCAGATCACTCACTTATTCTTTCGCGTTTCCTACCTAATTCATGGTCACCTTTCAAGCTTTTTGCTTTGTGATCTTATCGTCAACTTTTTCGCCCGAGCATCTCGGGTTGCTACCAAGAGTGTGCGTGAAGATCAATTTTTTTTTTTCGCATACAGCCTTTCTAGACTATGGTGAAACGGGTTGTTGCCGTTTGCAATTTGCCCGGTTTGTTGTGAGCAACGGTGAGTGATTGATAGTGATCGGCCACGTTGAGCGACCCGTGCTAATTGAGCAGAATATGTCTTGGCACACACCTGTCTTGCTTCTTTACGCGACCGACATTCTGACGAAACGCGATTGCTCTCCTTTCCTCTCATTTTCCACTTCACTTCACTCTTCCCTCACTTTTTACGAGGTCCGTCGTCATCTATCAACCTCAGAGCTGCATTCGCGCCCAACGAAGCAGCTTAGGAAATAACGTTGCCCTAACAACTCGCAGCGGCCATAGTAATCGCGTCGCGTCCATTCCGCGAGCCTCGTCCACCTCATACATATCGGTCCACGGACACTTTTTTCTACCACAGCTCGAGCAAACCTACAACTATCATCGCCACATCCACTTCCCATAGTGCAAGAGCACAAACTCAACTCCATCCCCAAAACTAGCAACAAACATGGGCGACGAAGTCAAGATCGACAAGCAGCAGTTCCACACTCGCTTGAGCAACCTCGTATCGACATGGAGGGATCCCAAGAAGAATGAGGCGTTTGCTGGAGCTGGATCCATCTTGGTGGTGATGGGAAAGACCGCAGAGGGCCCGTATTCTAAATCCTTGTCGCTACACGTTTGTGCACCCCGATTTCGCTCGTTGTCAGGAATGTGGCAAGCTTACAATTGACTTGTGCAGTTCTGGCTACTCGGTTACGAATTCCCGGCGACACTGTTCTTGGTTACCCCAGAGAAGTTTTACGTCGTCACGACGCCAAAGAAGGGTGAGTCAATCATTGTGTTCGTGATGCTGTGTGTTAGGTGGCGCTGACGCGGTTGCTTGATAGCGAGACATCTGGAGCCACTCAAGGGGGGTAAGATTCCCGTTGAGTTCTTGATGAGGGGCAAAGACGAAGCGGAGAACAAGAGACAGTTCCAAACGATCTGCGATGCCATCAAAAAGTCGGGAAACAAGGTCGGTGTCCTTGCGAAAGACCAGGCCGACGGCCCGTTTCCTAAGGCGTGGCGGGAAGTCTATTCTGCGGAGGGGCTTGGTGTTCAAGAGGTGGATGTGTCGCTCGCATTCTCGCACTGCATGGCGGTCAAAGATGATGCAGAATTGAAGACCATGCGCACGTCTTCCAGGGCACTCGTGGCGGTCATGAAGGACTACTTCATCGACGAAATGTCAAAGATCATCGACGAGGAGAAGAAGGTCACTCATGAGGCGCTCTCACGGAAGATCGAAGCCAAGATCGACGACCAGAAATTCTTCAAGGCCAAGTCTTTGAAGCTCGGGGATGATTTCGATGTTACCCAGCTGGATTGGACGGTTGGGCCCGTTGTCCAGAGTGGTGGCAAGTACGACTTGAAGCAAAGCGCTCAGGCTGACGATAACCCACTTCACGCGGGTATCATCCTGGCTTCGATGGGCTGGCGGTACAAGTCCTACTCTGCTCAGATTGGAAGGACTTACTTGATAGATCCAAGCAAGGTACGTACGCCCCGCTGATTTACTGATAGATATCTCTTCTAACCGCTCCGATAGTCCCAAGAGAAGTATTACAGCTTTTTGATCGAGCTCCAGTGGACAGTACTCAAGTCGATGCGAGATGGTGCGGTTTGCAAAGAAATCTATCAGAAGGCTCTCCAAAACGTCAAGTCCAAATACCCTGAAGTCGAGAAGCATTTCCTCAAGACCATCGGATTCGGTATCGGCATCGAGGCCCGCGATAGTTGCCTGACAATTAACGCCAAGAGTACAAGAGTGCTGAAGGACGGAATGACTCTCTGTGTCACCGTTGGCTTCAGCGATCTCGAAAACCCAAAACCCCAGGATGCCAAGAGCAAAATTTACAGCTTGTTGTTGACGGATACCGTAAAGGTTACCAATTCAGACCCTCTTGTCTTTACTGGAGGTTGCCCCAAAGACCTCAAGGAAGCGGCTTTCTACTTTAAGGACGATGAGCCCGAGGTGAAGCCGAAGCCCGAGCAGAAGCAAATCCGGGCTCCGCCTCCCAGAAGCACGGCTGTCATCATGAAGTCAAAGCTCCGTGGTGACCGTGGTACGGTCGATGATGGCGCCGAAGCTAGGCGCAAAGAGCATCAAGCCGAGCTGCGGGCCACATTGCAATCTCGAGGTCTCGAGAGATTCTCTGAGGGCGGCACTGTGGGCGATGGCAAGGGCAAGCGTGCGATCAAGCGATTCGAGTCCTACAAGAGGGAGAACCAGCTGCCTCTCGCTGTAGGCGATCTCAAAATCGTCGTTGACGCAAGGAACCAGACCATCATCGTTCCTGTCTTTGGACGCCCCGTGCCTTTCCATATCGCGACCATCAAGAACGCCAGCAAGACGGAGGAAGACGATTTCACGTACTTGCGCATCAATCTGCTGTCGCCTGGTCAGGGTGTCGGAAGAAAAGACGATCTGCCGTTTGAGGATCCCAATGCTCACTTCCTCCGAAGTTTGACCTACCGCAGCACCGATAATGAGCGTATCGCTTCCATCTGCGACAGCATCACGGACATGAAGAAGAATGCCACCAAGAAGGAAAACGAGCGGAAGGAGATGGAGGATGTTGTCACTCAGGACAACCTCCGGGAGATGCGCAACCGTCGCCCCCAGCGTTTGCCCGACGTCTTCATTCGGCCCGGCATGGACGGCAAGCGTGTTCCCGGAGAGCTCGAGATCCACGAGAACGGTCTGCGATATCAATCACCCCTGCGCAACGATCACCGCGTCGATATCCTGTTCAGCAATGTCAAACATCTCTTCTTCCAGCCTTGCGCTCACGAGTTGATTGTTCTCATTCATGTCCACCTTAAAGATCCTATCATGATCGGTAAGAAGAAGACAAAGGACGTTCAATTCTACCGCGAGGCTACCGACATTCAATTCGATGAGACTGGAAACAGGAAGAGGAAGTACCGATACGGAGACGAGGAAGAATTCGAGCAGGAGCAGGAGGAACGGAGAAGGAGGGCCGAGTTGGACAAGGAGTTCAAAGCGTTTGCCGAGAAGATCTCCGAAGCCGCCAAGAAGATCGAGGCTGGTGTTGATGTTGATGTCCCATATCGTGAGCTCGGCTTTAGCGGAGTCCCGTTCCGTGCGAATGTCCTTTGTGCACCTACTACGGACGCATTGGTTTCCCTGACGGATATGCCGTTCCTGGTTATCACTCTGGATGAGATTGAGATTGCCCATCTGGAGCGTGTACAGGTATGTCACTTTACGACACATTTTGGAGAGCTGATGCTGACAAGAAACTGTAGTTCGGACTCAAGAACTTTGATCTCGTCTGCGTGTACAAGGAGTACACTCGGCCGGTGACCCACATCAACTCCATCCCTATGGAACTCCTAGATAATGTCAAGGAATGGTTGGATTCGAGTAACATCGCATACTCTGAGGGACCGTTGAATCTCAACTGGCCCACGATTATGAAGACTGTCATTCAGGATCCGAAGACCTTCTTCCAAGATGGAGGCTGGAGCTTTTTGGGCACCGACTCGGACGACGACGACGGAGAGGTCGAAGAGGAAGAGTCTGAGTTTGAAGCCTCCGACTTCGGCGAGGAATCGGACGGAAGTGCTTCGGATGAGTCAGAGTTCAGCGATGGTAATGCCAGCGCTGACGAGGGCTCCGAGGCTTCTGATATCGATTCTGGTGGTGAGTAACATCCGAATTCATTCTCCCCATCACACGATAGCTGATATATTTTACAGAGGACTGGGACGAGATGGAAGAAGAGGCCGAGATGAAGGAAGCGAAGACTGCGCGTCCTAACGGCGGCGACGAAAAGAAGAAGAACAGGAAGCGGTAAACTTGGGAGGGTACAGTTGACGTCATGACCTGCATTACACTACTCTCCTTACATCTCTTTTATTTTCTGCTCTTTCACAGTGGTGTATGATATGACCATGATTCTTGTGTTCGTTTGGGTTACCTCACATTTTGTCTGGAGGATCGTACTTCTGTTGCGTTTTTCGGCCGTTAGTTTCGCTCTGGTTCATTTTCAAAAGTAGATGGATGAATGAGATGACAATGAGTTTGTATGGGAGCGTCGAGTCTGCATGTAATGTAATGGGCTTGCGAAGAATTGTACAGCCGTCCATGCGCTGTCACTCGTGAGCGATTTCGCAGCGAGCGTTCACTTGACTGGTGAGGTTTCATTTTCCGAGCTGCAGAAGGCCTCGGGCCAATCGCCGGCATTAGAGAATGCCACCGGCACAACTAGCACATGCCGAGGTTGCCGCTTGTTGGCCCCATGGGCCCCCTCCCCGGCGCGCTACTTGTGTTGTTACCTCGCCTCGCAAACAAGCAGCAGCTCCCACCTAATTGCACGCAACCAACACACCACCTCTCGCTCCATCCCATTCCTATCTCACATCGATCTATCCCCGCCCTCACTCGACCCGACCGGCGTATTTTTCCACGGCACATATTCGCCATCCAAGCTACATACTCCTTTAACTAGTCTGGTCCATCGCATCCTTCGTCGTAATGGACGCCTCACCACCGGCGGCAGCGGGGAAGAAGAGCTTCCGACCGTACACGGACATGTATGGTGACTTCATCACAAAGAACGCGGGCGCGGTATCGCAGATCGAGAGTGCGCTCAGAAGCTTGACATATATAGTTCCTGGTCCGTCCGTCCGTTCCATATCCCAGCTAGATACATACATCCCCGCCCCCCGTTCTCACACGCGACCGTCATTTGCCCGCTTTGACAATGGTGATCATGACCGCTAACTATCCCACCCCACACCAACAGCGCGCTTCAAAGATGTCGAACTCGCGTCGGAGTCGCTCCACAGCGGGATCCAGCTCCTCTCGCTATACCACGACTCGCTGCTCGCGCGCTCGCCGGCGCTCGCCAACGCTGCTGCCTCGTCCTCCCTGCCGCGCGAAAAACCCTCCCCGCATAATCGCTACACTAAATTCTGGACGACGCGCAGTCCCTCCTACCGTCGCGTCGCGCTGTTGATCACCATGATCCAGTACACCGAGCTGCTGTGGGAGATGGCCGCCAAGCGCCGCGGGAAGAAGATGCGCTGGCATGTTGTTATTGTGCTCGAGACGGTCAAGGCGCTGTGCAGGCTGCTGTTGCTACGGTTGACGAACTCGCGGCCGTTGCTAACGCCACCGTTGCCTGAGAGGGAGATTGACCCGGCCGCGCTGGAGGAGAGCAGCGTTTTCGAGCCCGAGTCTCCGCCGCCTGGAGAGGCGACGGGCTGGAAGATGCCGCGCACGGGATTGGAACTTCCCAGTCTTCCCAACAGCGGGAAGATCTCGCAGTACCTCCTCAGCAAGGTGCTGACGGCCGAGGACGTCAAGCCGCCCGCCCAGCTCCTGCACCGCATCCGCGGCACCGGTTACCTCGCCGAGGTGCTGTACATCCTTCGGCCGGTGGTGTACGCGGTCGCGATGAAGCGGTTCGCCAACGACCGCAAGAGCTGGACACCGTGGTTACTCGGGTTCTCGCTCGAGTACGCTGCGAGGCAGATGACGAAGCGCGAGCTCGAAACGAGTGTACCGGGTGGACTACGGGGTTTGACGCAGCTGGAACGAGACGAGCTCACAAGAAGGGCTTGGGCAATGGGCTGGTGGGGTGTTCGTGGTGCTTTCTATGAGAATATCACCGGGTACGTCTACTCCTCTCCATATTTCTTCCCCTTTTTCTTGTGTTATTTGCTTTTCGTGTTGTTGCTATTATTAGCACACCCTTACCTACGACAGCGAGCAAGCAGTACAAGATAGGGCACTCATCTACAAGCATCCCTCCCCCCTCCCCCACATCCCATAAGCGGGTGTGTTATGATGTGCTGTACTGTATTGTGCTGTCTCTTACTCTCTCGCTGGTCTCATCCGTCGTCGTCGTCGCATTCCTTCCGAACGGAGAACTGATACGTGTGTGCTGTGTCCACAGACCGTTCCTGCAGGGCATCTCTGGTAGGCTCAATAACCAACCGGTACTCGGCCTGCTTGGCGGCGTCCTCGAGGATTACCAGTACCTCTGGGACAACTATTATTTCTCATCCGCGACACTATAGTATAGTCCACGCAAAACAATACTTCGTTCAGCTTTTTTTTCTTTCGCAAACGGATCTTTTCTTTCTTGTTACAACTTACATTTTTACAAATATTTACCTACCGGGACTCGGCGACCCGGCCCGGCAGGGAGAATGGCAGGGCAACGGGCGGTGGACTGTAAGGCAGAGGCCGAGGCAGAGACGGAGGCAGAGGCAGGCACTGTTGGTTAGAGTGTCCAATGGGCATGGCATGGCATGGCATACTCTAGAGCTTGGATGATGTATTTCTTTTTCTTTTTTCTACTTTTTACTTTATTTTTTTTCTCTTTCGTTTCGTTCAACCAGTAGGAAAGTTTATGGATTTTGATCTGGATTTTGATCTGGCAGGCTGGGCTGGGCTGAGTGTTGGTTTGGTTTGTTGTTTGGTTTGGTTTGTGTATGATGGATTGGAAGGATGGGATGGGGTGACTGGAGTCAAGCATGGAAGGAAAGTGGGTCTTTTTTATTTTTTTATCTTCGTCATTCTCTTCACAAGTACCTCTCTTTATGTTCTTGTTTTTCATGTACTTTTAACTGTGATGTTGTTTGCGCGCGACGGAATAATTTGGAGGGCCAGTTTGGTTCCTGATTTTGACCGGGGGCCGGGAGGAATTAACTAATGCTTATTCTACATAATTCTCCTTCTCCGTCTCGTCCTATGGCCTATGGATGGATGTATGGTATGATGTACTGGTACGTACCCGTAAGAACTTTACGTTTACTTTACGCGCAGACCGTTGTCTGGTTGCATCGCTCGCCCATCCACCGTCCATCCACCCACATAGGTTCAGTTATGCAAGACACAGAGCGTCACCGTTGGACAACGTGGAAGGCAAGTACATGATGTATGTAGTTTACATAGCATTACATCACGGGTGGGGAGGTGAGTACTTATGATACATGCCTACATGGTAGAGTATCCAGGTATGTAGTGGTACACTCCACTCCGCCCACTATGGCGCGCATGCAGGTACTACATACACTACATACACTACACACATCTCACTCCTCCAACGGTCCAACCGCGTAAGCTTATGTATCCGGAGCAAGTAGAGTACATCATACTTGGATAGAGCAAATGCCAGCACAAACGGTGCCGCTTCACTCCACTCCGCGCCACTCCGCTCCGCTCCCGAAGCACCCGAGCCTTCCGAGGACGATTCCTTTCCGTCCCGGGATGGGGGTGATGGCGAGTACACTACGTGAGCATACATACGTACAATGTACACTTCACATCTACTTTTTCTTTTCTTTTTCATTTGGGGAATCCCCTAGCGAGGGCGAGCTTACATGTACTCCGATCTGATCGCACGCACTCTGACTGTGCGTCCACACGACAAGACAAGGCTCCGATAGAGTATAGTAGAGTAGTTCGTCCCTCGGAGCGGAGGGCAGCAGGAGGATACTTTAGTGATCGTCACAGGCGGATCCCACGGTGGATGGACAAATGCTCTCCTCAGATGTCGTCACCGAGCTGCGAGGTCCATCCATCCAGCGGAGGGGATACGAGATGTCTCACTAGTCAGTCCCCTATCAAGGTCACCTGGGATCACTCGATGGTTTGCGGAGGAGTGGTGGGTGGGTTGGTCGGATGAACTCTGTGGCGTACACGTATGGCTGGCCGGTAGCTGTGGAGGTGCTGTCGTGTCGCGTACTCTGCGGTGTCTGGCCGGCCGGCCCACTCACGGATCGGATCAGGGAGGTGGAGGAAAGGGGGAAATCCGTTGAGAAGACAACCTCCACTCCACTACATCCTCCGCCCTGCCCTCGCCAGGGGAATTCTCTCGAACGCCGCGATGATGGAGAGGAAGGAATGCATAGGAGTAACACCGTCATCGTCACCATTTGTTGTTCCGGAGGCTGGGTTGCCAACCGAACTCCCCCGTCCACCCCCTCTCCTTCCTCCGGCCTGCAAGCGCAACCAATCGCGAGCACCTTCTACGACTACCATGCACTTCGATTGCCGGTCTACATCGTCTCCCATTTCGCCAGGTGGAGGTCGTTTGGATCGAAGTCGTCGGTAGGTCGGTAGGTCGGAGGAGGATCTGAGACCCAGGCCTACCGAGCACACACGACACAGACTGGCTCACCACCTAGCTGATATGCCATCGGGGAGGAAGGAGAAGGGGAAGCCACGATAGCTCTGGATGTTGGCGACCGAGAGCGAGCAGTTTTCGCGAGTCGAGTTGAGTCGAGATGAGTCAAGTCAAGCCTGGAACCGTCGTTACATCCTCGCTCCTCGCTCCTCCACGGAACCGCTTCCGAGCCCCCAAAGCCTGGTCTCTTTTCTTCCTCCAGACGGCATCGAAATGTTGAGAGCCCAACCCACTGCCTTCCTGTCATCGCGGGACGACAACTCATCGAGTGCTTGTATGGCCCGGATCCTGTTCGAACGAACCACCCGTACGCCTACGTATACACCGAAATTGTTGAGATAGGGGAGGAACGGACGCCACCCGCCGAGTATCAGGTTTGAACGACCAAGCCAGACCCCCACAACCACCACGAAAGTGCAGATCTCGGGAGGAAGGGGCTGATATGACTTGCAGTTGCAGATGTCATATCACGCAACCCCTAAACTCGCCGCACCCAGGTCCAGTGCGATGAGAGCTTTGAGCACTCACCCCTACTCCCTACGCTAGGTGACCCGGGAAGGGATGGAAACTCCGCCGCCTCGATTGCGTCTTCGTTCTTCCGGCGATTATCCATTGGGCATTCACATTTGCCGAGACTCGAGGAGTTCCTCTGCGTTCTATGGGACGGAAAGACTTGTTGGGAAATCCGTTCTCGGCATCACTGGACATCGTGCTATTACGTTGGGGGCTCCCTCGTTCTCGTTCTCTAGTCAATCGATCCGCCGTAGAATAGCCTCTCCCTCCGACCACACAGGACCCGGGAATGGAGATTGTGGCACTTTGGCTCCCTGCCGTGGTATTCTCGCCGTGGAGGGGGTGTTTCCTCCCAACCTATGGAGGACGATTGCAATGGGGCATCGTCCCTCCGTGCATGCTAGTTGGTTGGCCGGTCTTGGGGAAGTCGGAACGAGAAGAACTGCATTAATGAGTCGCCAGACAGGTTTCTTGATACCGACTGCTTGATTGTGGAAGGGGTTGCGTCAATAGCCAGGCAGCAATATATGGCGAGCCTATGGGCCCCCGGCTCCGGAGCTTGTGTTTCGATAGTCCTGGTCAAGTGGATTGGGCTGGCTGACTGGCTTTGACCGGCCGATTGTGAAGGACATGTTCTGTGGGGGCTCGATCGCGAGCATGAGAAGCGGTAAAGGGCGCGTGTGGCCCAGACATTCATCCATGAATCCCCCCAAGCCCGCCCACGGCAATTAGTAAAGATAAACGGTTGTTATGGGTGAGGGGGTAACGCAACAACACCCAATGTTGGCGAGTATACTCACTGAGCCAATGGATGGACGAAACTCCTAGGAGATGTGCAGTCCAGCCGCAGGTATACATCATGAACCTGGCCGAGCGTCTTCTCCTCTCCGGACAGCTTTCCTCGGGCGATCGTGCGGTGGTGCTGTTGCTTTGACGACATGGATTGTGGGTTGACTGTGGCCAAAACCAGCCAGCAAACTTCGCAGAGAGCTGGGAAGCAGGATGTAATAGCGTCCCATGACCTCCAAACTCAACCCATTGACTGGTGTGAGCTCCGTATTCCCCTCAGGAAGCAAGTCATAGAGCTCGAGCTGTTGCTAGCTGCCTGCTGCCTGTTTCCTGCTTCCTGTGAAGACCGGCCGTCGTATTAACTGCATCTCTCATGATCATGAGTTCTTGTGCAGCCCCAAGTTCGCCTGAGGATGCTGCCTGAGTTTCCTGGTCGTCTTATCAATCCCTCTCCTGCGTCCTCGTGCCCGCATTCTCCGCAATTCCGCTGCGCTCACCGCTATGCGCCGTAATCAACGAGGCTGGCGAGGTTCGCTTGAGAAGCTGGATTGCAGTCTCCCATTCGTTCCCGGAGAAGGTACCAGTACGCAGAGAGCCCATGAGTTCGTTCGCTGTAGTCGAATAAACCGACCAGTCGGGCAGCCAGCCAGTCAGCCAAAGGCAGCGGAGCGGGGGCCATAGCGTCTGCGCATGCTAGGAACCTGGAAGTAGATGCTGAGCCTGTGATTGGATTGTATGGATAGGATAGGATAGGAGAGTCCTTCGCAACGGGGGCCAGAGATCCTCCTCCGCCTCCTCCGCCTCCTCCTCCTACCTATCCCCGCACTCTTCCCTTGCGGTCTCTTCGCCGACCTCGGGGCTGATGGTGCGCCGTACCCTCCATGGACATCTCCTCATGCTCAAACAGCTAACTCATGATCATGCTCACAATCCCCCCACCGCCTCAGGCCCGAACTGAGTGGTCAATATCCAATCGCCCCCTCTGGCGGTCCTATGCATCAGCATTCGCACAACCAACGTCGTCCGAGACTTCATATCACCCCGGGTAGCCAACAGCTCTTCCCCCACCACTCCTGCCAGCATCCCGAAGCACACCCGCCTAAGAGCTTCCGGTCAGCTCCTCACGCTGGCTCGCCATCAGCAACTTGAGCTCGGGCTTAATGTCCACTGCCCACCATCCACCACCCAATCGTTCGTTCGTCTCATTGACTCCCGTGCACCAACACAACACAGCACAACCATGCCAGGCCAACGTCGCTGGAATCCCCATACCCCCCCATACCCCACCTCTTATCCCACTACTACTACCACTAGCACCGCCCTTCGGATACCGCATTCCCGGAGCACGCAGAACCACATGCTCACATGCTGACAGACAGACAACCGCTTATCAGACCACCCATCGTGTCGTGATGGTTCGCCGAAGGTTCGCTCGAGTCTGCAGAACCACGTCCAGCATTTCCAGTACGATCCACACACTGGGGGAGAATCCGCAATTGATCCCGCCGGCTTATCGATCGTCCGCATCCAGAAGGCGGCAGCCCAGCTCTGCAGCAAACGTTCCTCCGTCAATCCTCAACCAGTGCTCGGACTCGATCGTCTGGTGCTGCTGTTGGTGCTGGTGGTTCGTTTGGTTCGTGTGGTTCGTGCGGTTCGTGTCCATAGATAGCTGGTAGCTGGTAGCTCCGTTTCGGTAGCGGTTTCCACTTCCTTCCCATGATGCATCCCTCCCTCGCGGATCAGCTGTTCCATCAACCATCATCCATCATCCATCATCCAGTCATCCAACCAGCCAGTCGTCGTTACTGAAAGCTGAAAGTTCGCCCCGTGCAGTTCCGCATCTTCTTCCAGAAGCCAATCGATTCCAGAAGTCAGAAGCCAGTCGATCCCATAAGTTCGTCCGTCTCTTTCCCATCAGTCCCCGTGCCCCTCCCGGTGCCCCCCCTCCCCCCTCCCCCAAGCACTTCCTCGCATCTCGAAGCTCAGTCCCGAGTCCTGACTGGTTCGGACGAAAACCCTCACGACCCAAGAAGTGTAAAAGTGTCCCCGTGACGCTATGGGTTGGGTGTAGGTTGGGTAGGGTAGGGGGGATAAAAACAAAATGTCAATAACTGGTCTTGGTGCGTGCCCGCTCGTTCAAGATTGAGGGATAGAGGGAAGAGGTGCTGATCATGCTGCTCGAACTTGCGAATGCACAATACATAGAAGACCTGGTGGGGCGGTGGGGCGGTGGGGGACTGAGGGAGATATGGGCCCTGGAGGATATGGAGAAATATGATGGTTCGAGATATGTCGTACGCAGGATGCGCTGTTGGGCTGTTGGGCTGTTGGGCTGTTGGGCTATAGTTCAGATCGGTTTGCACTCCGAGCTCCGAGCTCGCTGTCAGTATCGTTGTTGTCAGTGTTGCCAGTATTGTTGTCAGTATTGCTGTAAACAGCTGTTGTTGTTGTCAATCACTGTTGTCATTACCCAGCTGTCATTACCCAGCTGCACTGCATGTCCAACATACCGTACACACACAACACATACAGCCAAACGCCCCTAAGGCAACCCAAGGCAAGTGAGACTTGGAATATTATGATAAAACCTTAACTCGAATACGACCCATCCGCGGCCATCCGTGGCCATCCAAAGCCCATCCACAGCCATCCATTCCACTCAACTGCACCGTACTCCACTCCACACCTCATCCCCCGCTTCACCGTTCGCTTCTCCGTTCGCCTCTCCGTTCGCCTCTCCGTTCGTATGCACAGTGCTTGCAGACCTGTCCCGCCATGATTTTCACACATCCATCCCCGGCCCAACCGAGCCCAATCCCGCAAAACCCTTTTTTTATATACAAGTCATACATCGATGACACAAGTCCGCCCGCCCCATTGGATGCCCCCCCAGACTGCGGAGTCGGCTATAGGATTAGTCGGCTATAACGTCAGTGACTCGATAATGTAGGTCGATACGGTAGTGCGAGAAGGAAATCAATCAAACAAACAGAAGCCCCCCAAAACGCCGGCCCACCAAGACAACGAACAAAAAACCGCCCGCCCGCCCGCCTCCCATATGCCAAATGAAGATTACTCCGAAGAGAAAAAGAAAGAACGGAAGAAAGAAAGAAGGTAAGAAAACGGGATGTGGAATTGTAAAAAAAGATTATAGCCACAGAAAAAAAAGAAATTTTTTTCACAGGTATCAACCCCCCGGATATGGTTATCAAAAAAGAAAAAAAAAGGGGAAAAAAAGAAGAAAAAAAAAGCGCGATTATCTCTGCGCAGCTCCGATGAGAGTGCAGGGGGCCCGTTTCGACACCTTCGAGTAGCCGAGGACGCAGGCCTGGAAGTGGCCGTCCTCGCACGACAGGACCGTCTTGACGGGAACTTCCCTCACCTAGTTCAAGTTAACCTTTGCTCGCAACAACTATTAGACATGAATGAATGCTTACACTCTCGTCGTTACATTCGGCCCATGTGCCGTCTGGCTGCTGGACGTAGGAGATGTAGTGGCCTGTAGTGATTGTATCAGCATCATCCTCGGAAGGCTAGCAAATTAGGCATTAAACTTACCCCCGGACATGGTCGAGCCAGCGTGCGCGAGCACGGACTGGAGCTCGTAGTTGACCGTCTTCCTCTTGCCGTCGGGTCCCACCTCGGGGAGAGCCAACTTCTCGTTAAACGAGACGTGGTTTCTAACCTTGGCTCCCCCCCTCTTCCACGCCATCCGCGCAGGCTTGTGCCTGGCAATGTTCACCAGCAGGAACTCCGGCCCCGAGCGAATGGTAACCCTCTTGGTGGCCATGCCACCAGGCTTGTTACACCTCTCACACCGGTACTCCACTTCCTCCGCCCGGAAGTATTGTACCAACTTGGTGTGGAGAGGGATCACCTCTCGCTCGGACCTCGGTGCCAGTGGCTCCATCACCATCGACACCCCCTCGTTGTTGTTGGAGCTCTCGTGTCCGCACACGGAGCACTTCACAACCGAGGGGAAGCAGCCATTGAAGGCACGGTACACAGGGTGCGCCTTCTTCTCAGATTCCGGAAGACCCCTGTGCCAATCAGTGACTGCACCTCATGCAAGTGTAGTGGGTGGGGGGCTCTTACTTAGTCAACTGGTCCTCGATGGTCGACAACACCGCAGTGATGTACTCAAAGGCATCCTCCTGTCCCTGCAACTTGTTGAAGGGTTTTGGCAGTGCTAGGTTTGTTAGCATGCGTCTCTTCATGTTGATGTTCTAACGTCTTACCTTGCTTAAAGCCTGCAACCGGCTTGGTGGGATTGGTCGCGAACTTCGCCTTGCCATTCCAAAAATGGTCGGCGAAGAACGTGGCCAGGCCACAGGCCACACAGGCACCCTTCACCTTACAGCCGCTTACGCGGTGCTTGGCCAATTCGTCGCGGAAAATCTTACAGCTGGCGAGGAGCTGCAGAGCCGAGTTCCTGTAGCAGAGGAAATGAGGGTTCAGGATACCCTTGACCTTGACCTTCTTATTGGCTTCGGCATCGACCTGGACCTTGATGCGTTGGGGTGACGGAGCGCCGAGCGCATCGCTATCGTCAGCGGCCTTTCGCTTGGACGGGGTGGCTGCCTTTTCCTTTCTTGGAGAGGTAGGTTCCTTCTCCGAAGCTTCATGATTGGTTCCGACAATCTGCTTCTCCTTCTTCTTCACAACTTCCGCTCCCGAAGTCTGACTGCCGCTGCTGCTGCTGGCGGGCTTATGGGTTTCGGCATTAGCCTGGACCTTGATGCGTCGGGGTGATGGGGCACTGAGCGCATCTTCATCATCGGCGGCCTTTCGCTTGGCCGGGGTAGATGTCTTTTCCTTCCGTGAAGAGGTATGTTCCTTCTCCGGCTTCTCTGAAGCTTCAGGTTTGGTTGCGACCACCTGCTTCTCCTTCTTCTTTATCACTTCCGCTTCCGTCGTCTCACTGCTGCTGCTGCTGCTAGCGGACTTGGACTTCTTCGCCTTCTCAGCTGACTCTTCCTCCGGCTTGCCCCTCTTATGTGGGGGTTTCTGCTGGGGTATCGCATTGTTATCCTCATCGATGCCATCGTCCTTAACGCTGCCGGCCTGGGAATCTGGGGGTGTCGTCGGCGCGGTGGAGGGGCCAGCGCTACTATCGCGGGAATCGGCAACCTGGGAGGGAGTGCGCGACGAATCACTGTAGAGAGCCGCCGCCTCTCGGACAGCAGTCGCAGTAGTCACAGCAGTAGAAATAGAACTATCGGCCACTCTTTGACTGTTCGGATGATTGTTGGAAGCTTGAGTAGTGCGCGCATGTAAGAACTTTATAAATCCGGAGGTGCCTGTGTTCGCCGAAATCGGGATCTTAGCCTCGATGAAGTGTATGTCGTTGGCCAATTGTCTGGGGTCGCATGCGACAAGTGCTAACGTAGTGGGGGCTATTGTAGGAGTAGACCGCGACGCCCGTATGGGGAACGAGGAAGAAAAAGGTGTCGCAGACATTGCGCCGGCGACGGTATCGATGAACGGACTCGGGTTGATGCGGATGTTCTCTAGTGGTTGGAAGACGCTTCTGCGAAATTGGAGCAGGGTGTGGCGGAGCGCGATGGAGAACAGGCGAGGAAGCGACAAGAGGTGAATGGTGTCGGCGACTTGTGAGGAGGAGCGAAATTGTGGGTTGATGGTTCTTGAGGTTGTCTCGTTGGTGGTTGTCGCGGAGGATAGTTGTCGTTGGTTGGAGGGTCGAAGTTAACGAGCGACGTCCGGGTTTGGTGGTGATGGTTGCAGAGCGGCCGATTCGGGGGAATTTGACAAGCGAACCGTACCAAGAGACCAGACTGAATGCAATCCGAGTGAGGGGTCGAATCGGGTCAGGCACGGGTTAACCTCTGGTGAGTATGCGACGAAACTTGACTCTGGAACTGTGGAGGGGAGAAGAAAAAAAGCCCAGAAAATTTTGAGGCGAAAAGTGTGCAGGGCAGGATACCTAGCACAGCGGCGGGTCGGCGGGTATGTTGTAGGCGGGAAGTTGACTTTGTGTGTAGAGGACTCAGGCAGCAGCTAACGGTTAGAGTGGGTGGGGGAATTGGCGGGGGATAGACAGAGTCTAAGTGGTGTGGGACAGGAGATGGTGGTGGTGGTGGAGGAGGAGGTGATGGTGGAGGTGGTGGTGGTTCGGCCTAGATCGCCTAGCTAACCCTTGTAATAGCGTGCTTCTTACGCTCTAGGGCAAGTCTATTACTAGCGGAATAGGGTATAATAGCAGTATATAGCAAGGGCGCATGCGACAATAAGTGCTAGTGGAGTAAATTGATTATCTCTCTCTCTCTCTTGAGTGTACATGATATCTAAGGCCATATACGACGACAAAATAATTGATTCTCTCTCTCCAAAGCGAGTCTACATACATGTATCTAAGTTCGTATGCGACGATGGAGCAAATCGATCCTCTCTCCCTCTTATGCCCCAGGGCGATTATGCGCAACCTTTTCAACCAGAAGGCCGGCCAGACGCTTCAGAGAGCTTTGACGAACCGTAAAGGGGAGGAAGAAGATAGCCCGGTGAATTCAGCTTTGCTTAGTGACAATGTAGCTCACAGCCCACTCTGCTCTAAGCACCGTGCGTGAGATCCGGGCAGCTCGGACTGTGTGATCATGAGTCGGAATGATTCCTTCCTCACGGATCAACTGAATCTGCCATGATTGACTCTTAGTCGACATCGATGGAGTCGACAACCTTTTCGAGACCATCACTTCGGCCTCGGTCAGGTGGAGCTTCGTCTCCAGCTACATAGGAGGTATGTAATCGAACCACGAGCTGAGCTTCAACTCGCCGTCTTGCATCGGACGATGGGCGTAATAGTACGACATGAATATCACAAACTTCAGACAGCGATAATGTGTTCTGCGTACGCACGAAGCAAACCGTAAGCCTAGGAGAAAACAGACTTGTATCGTCGGTTGGTTGGTTGGCAGCCCGCCCACCCGTGATCACAGCAAAGAAATCACCAGTGAAGTCGTCAATAGTAGTGGTGGTGGTACGCCGAGAACTCTTTGCCGGTATGCGCAGGGAATAAGGGAGAGACGTTGCGTTATGGAACCTTCCGCTTGCTGCGTGAGCACGTGTGTAGCACGCTCGCACCTGACTTGTTCAGCCCTCTCGCGGCAATGCGGTGGGGTCTGTGGAGTGCATACATGAGCGCATATGCCATACCTAAGCGGATCTGGATAGAGTCGATAGGTACTCTACACAGCATCATTGACCGAGTGGTAAATTGTATGCGTATTTTTGGCCTTCACATTAGTTGCTGTTATATACTCGCTCCAGTATTTATATACCTCATGCAGCTGAGGGAAGGAATCGATGGATCATCGGATTTGGAACGGACGAACCCATTCTTGTATCACCATGGCAATCTGGCACTACTCAGCCCCGCCATCACCGACCACCGCCAAACCACCAACCATCATCGTCCACCGCCGCAACGAGACATCACCGCACTCATCCCCGCCGCCGACCACGCGAACGAGATACACCCATTGAACGCTTGAGCGTTGGCTTCGGTGGATGGGAGGGAGAACAACCTGCTGCCTATAAGACCTTAGCTCTGTGTGCTTGCACTACCGAATTCGCGCTTCTCGATCATGGCCACTCGGACGCCTCCAGTGGCCCCCGAACGGTACGAATCCGAGCATGTCCACGAGGTCTATCAACACATAGCCTCGCACTTTTCGGCAACGCGCTTCAAGGTACGCCTCCAATCACTGCTGAGCACCTCCTTTTCTGCTCCTCTCCTCGCCCCGCCCCTCCCCCCTACCCGGCGCAGAGTCCACACGGCCAATGCATTGTGGTTCTGTCGATCCGCGGCGTCCTGCCACTCCGAATCGACACGCTTGGGCCCAATGTTCTGCATATCCCTCTGGCTGGCTGCTGGCTGGCCAGTTGGTGCATGGTTTTACCACCTGTCGGGCAGCGTCCAAACTAACAGCCTCTCCTATCTAGCCGTGGCCAATTGTCGAGCGGTTTCTCCGCGAGCTGCCCACTGCTTCGATCGGATTAGATGTGGGCTGCGGAAATGGAAAATACCTTACCGTCAATCCCAACGTGTTTATGATTGGATCGGACAGGTATGTTTTCGCAACCCAACTCGACCCAACACAATGCAACAAACATTGCCCCCACCCCACCTGTTCGGTGTGTGCTCAATTGGTTCAATTGGTAATTGACCGGTATGCAACAGATCGTCGAACCTCGTGCGGATAGCGCACGACCGCAAAATCCACGAGGCGTTCATGGCGGATGCACTCGACCTTCCGCACCCGGCGGGGCGCTTCGACTTCGCGATTAGCATTGCCGTGATCCACCACTTCTCGTCCACGGAGCGACGGGTGGCTTCGATCAAGAGTATTCTTGGCACGCTCCGACGAAGCACCACTCCCGGCGACGGCGGAAGGGCTTTGATATATGTTTGGGCGCTCGAGCAGAAGAACTCGCGGCGCGGATGGGACAAGGGGCATAGTCAGGATGTGTTCGTGCCTTGGGTCCTGTCGAAGCAGTATGTTGGTTCTGGTGCTGCTGCTGGTGCTGGGAACAACCCAACAGCGGAGGGACCCGGAACCTCGCCAGTCAATGGCGATCAGGTCCGCAGCGAGGGTCTCGCAGCACCAGCAGCAGCACCACCACCAAACGAGACGACGACTACCTATCAACGTTACTACCACCTTTACCGCCAAGGTGAGCTGGAGGCGGACGTGGTTGGTGCTGGTGGATATGTGATTGAGTCGGGCTATGAGAAGGATAATTGGTGGGCCATCTGCGGGATCCTTGGATGAAGCACAGAACAGCCCAAAGCACACAAAGCAAGCAAGCATCTACTCTTCAAGTTTCGCCTATAATGAGATGATGACGTGCATAATCGCGGCGCGGCGGCGGGATGCACCCCAGACCTGAGAGCTGCAGAGCTGCAAGTGCATGCCTCCCATCGGAGAATCTCGCCAAAATCCCACGAGGTACATAGCAGGGCCATTATATATTTTTTCTTCTTCTTCGCGTGTAAGTGATTTATATCTGATATCAACTGCCAGTATCTTCCATCCACTCATACGTCATTATTTAAGTTACATGCAGACAGAACGGGGGGGCAGAAAATGCAACCAAGTAACATTCAAGACATTCACATTCTATACTTAGGAAGGACCAAACAAACACCCCTAACCTCGCCCGCCACCACCACCACCACCGCCGATAATAATGATATGAAGGGAAATAACAGTCGGGAAAGCCGAATGAAGAAAAGGAAACAAAACAAACATATCACTCCAAGATCCAACCTATATGAATTACCCCCCCTCTCCAAAAAGCAAGTTTCGCCGTGTATAGTCCGCAAATTCACGCCCAATCTAAGCTTCTGTCCGTCTGTCTTGGACGGAACTATTTCGCACGGGAACCACCGGCTTCATCGACGGGACTCGCGCTCTTGGGCCGGCTGCTGGTGGTGTTGGTGGTGTTGGTGTGGGCAGAACTGCTGCTGCCGGAACTGACGGTGCCACGCCTCCGCGGTGCGTCGATGGCCACGCTGCTCTGCGAAAACGGGACGACGCCCGCTCGCCGCGCCATCTCCACCTCGCCCATCTGCCAGTGCATCGCCTCCGCCGCCCGCCACGGGATCTCCATCTCCTTGGCGACCATCTGCCACATCTCGGATTTGAACCTGGGGGTCATCGTCAGCATCGGGCACCACCACACACCACCACCACCAAACACCATCCGGGGAGGGGGGGGAGAACAAACCTCTCATAAAGCCTAGCCAGTCGATCCTTCTTCTCCTCATTCCACTCCGGCCTGCGCTCCAGGTAGTTTTGATAGTGCAGTCTACACGACAGCGCGGACCTGCCGGGGAGGCGTTTACTGATCTCCTCCCACTTCTCGCCTCTCCCGCGCAGCTCAATGATCAGCGCGTCCTCCTCCGGCGTCCATTTCGTCTGCTTCTTCGACGGCGAGTTCGCCGCCTTTGGCGCGAGCGGCCGCTTCAATGTCGTCGGTGAGGAGAGGGATGTTGCCCCGCCGCCGCCGCCTCCGCCGCCGCCGCACTCTTCTTCGGACGTCTGCGCTGCTGAGTGCTCCTTCGGTGGAGGAGACATCGAGCACAGGAGCGATTGGATTGATGCCAGTGCTGCGGTCTGGGGGGGGGGGAATCGGGCCTGACGGAGCCGACTTATCAAACAGGAGGGTGGGGTGAAGTGAAGTGCTATTATAGAAACGGTAGATATATGGAGTGGGGGGTGGAACGGTAGTTCTGTTCTTGGATCTTGGGAAAGATGTGGGTGCGTCGTCATGTACTGTACTGTACTGTACTACTTCTATCCTCAGGAGGGGGGTGGGCTCAGTCTTATATAGCTATCTTCTGCCTTATTCCTTATTCTCGACGAAGACGAAGGCGCTGCCCACGCCGTTGTTTGGGCCCGCTACCGCTACCCTAATAGCAACTGCAATGGCAACTGCAACATGGTTCTGGCTCCTAGGGAGGGCGCGCGCAGAGTCGCAGTTACTCTACTGGCTGGGGTGGTAATGGGTGGTACTGGTGGTGGTGGGGGGACGGGGGGTGGACACTGGAGGAGGCGCGAGTGGCATCCGGCAGTAATCGACGAGGGGGCATTATAGCGTATTAGACAAGTTTATATAGTATACCTACCAATATTTGAGCCCATCCATCCACCGGGCTGTCTGGCTGTCTGGCGATACAGTACTATTCTAGAACTCGACTGGAACTCGGTCCAGTGAATCGTCCAGTGAATGGATGCCCCGGGGTTTCTGTTATCAACTGGTTGGTTGATCGATACTTGGTTGCCAGTCTCATCCCATCCTCCTCCTACTGGGAGCTGTGATTGCGGCGTGCGTAAACATGAACCAGCCAGCTAGGCCAGGCGGTCCCGAGCCTCTCCGGCGCTGATCTGGGGGTTGAAGGGGGGTTTACGCAGTACCTACACCTAGGACTGCGTACTCTCCTACTCTAGCATAGGGGGTGGGGGGAGCTCGGCCTTGAGGTTCAGTCTTGAGTCTTGGGTTGGGGGAGGGGAGTTCGTTCAATCACAGTTGGACTCCGGAGGCATGCCAATCATTCAATCATTTACTTTCCACTGGTTCGTGAACATATGAGTGCGAGTGCGAGCACAATCGCCCCAACAAAGCTCCAGTACTCTAGTTCACACTTCCAACCAGTACGAGAAAAGCGAAAAAAGAAAAAGCAACAAGACCAAAGACTCCGGCCGATCCGCCCCCAAGGTCCACGGTCCAAGATCCAAGGAGCTGCTGGGCGATATCCCCATCCCTCCCATCCCATCCCCCCACACCAGGCTAAGGAGGGAGGGAGGAAGGGATGAATGGCTGGATCAAAGGAAGGGTGGATGGACGGAAAGAAGGGATGGGCAACGGGAAGTCGATGTCGTCAAAATCTGGATCGTGGCGCTGGTCGCACCATATATGGTTGAGCAAGGGAGTAAGCGAAGGCTGGCTAAGCAGCATATCTACTATTGACTACTGATCAGGCGTGATATCGACGTATGTAGGGTATATGTGAAGATACTCCACCCCACTCTGGCTATATCCAACCAGTAAATGTTAATGTGAAGCGGAGCAGAGTAAGACGTTCCTCGAAGGAAGAAGAGGACACTGCTAGTAAGCACAGTCGCCTCCCTACTACCTACAACCTAGGTACTCTATACGCACGTAGAGCACGTAGAACGGACGGACGACGGACGAGTGCGTGCGTACACCCACCTGTGGGCAGGACGTGCGAACACCCGTCGTGGTTTTGTCTGGTCTTGTCTGGTCTTGTCTGGTCTTGTCTCCTATGTAGCCAGTCCCAGTCCCAGTCCCAGTACTAGTTAACCAGTACCCCATCTGCGCCCGTTGACTCACTCACAGTCAAAAACCTGCTCTTTTCTTTTCTTTTCTTTTCTTTCGCCGTCCCTCCCAGTCACTCATCGTCTGTTACTGCCGCTGATGCTGCTGATGCTGATGCGGCGAGCTTGTCCATGTCCAGAAAGCTGCCACGTCTCGCGCCTTCTGGTTCGCATCAGCCATCAGCCACAGTGTTCTCGCTCTGGGCCCTGCCGGGTTGTGGTTGGGTTGCGTATGGATGGGTGGTGGATCGTCTGCAGGAACCGCCTGCATGCAGAAGGTGGCTCGGGGAATTATTAAGTAAGTAAGAAAGAAGTAACCAAGTCTGTATGTACGGAGATGATTATTTTCCGGAGGCGCAAGGGATGTAAGATGTATCTACCGTAGCGTATGTACAATACACTGTACTGTGCGTACAGACCTGCGCAAGTAAGAAAGAAAGGAAAGAAGAAAAAAGGTACTCTAGATAAGGACACTGTGGCTTGCGCGTGTGGGCTTGTGTTGCCTTCGCCCGTGTGGCCACTTGTGGGGAGAGTACCTACCTCATACCTATGTGGCGGAGTGCCACGCAAGGGCACTGTCCTATCCTATCCAGTCCTGTCGTGTCCGGAAGCTGTCGGCTTTCGTCTGAGCCTGCTCCTGCTCTTGGGGGGACCGCGAGGACATTGTGATTTCTGGCTTCTCGTACGTGGCCGGCGGCGGGCGGCCGCGCGAGCGCACCAGATGGAAGAACGAGGAGCAGGAGGAGGAGGAGCAAAGAGTTGTACTTGCCGGATTCTCTTGCGGGGTGCGGCTGCGGGTGCGGGTAAGTGTGTGGGTGCGGGTGCCAGTCTGCCAGTGCGGGTATGCGGTGCAATACGGTACGGGGGGTGCTTATGCCCTATCCCTGAGTGTGCGGGTGTGCGGGTGCGAGCTGTGGACATGCGAGTGAAGGAACAGATGGAACAGGTTGCGCATCGAGGAACTGGTGGTGGTTGCGGTTGTAGTAAAAGTGATAATACTGATGTTGTTGTTGTTTCGCTGGCGGATAAGCGACAAGCTTGTTTCCCGCGTCACGGTCGGCTCGGTTTGGGTTGGGCTGGGTTTCGCTTCGGTTCCGGTTTGCTGGAGTAGTTTGGGGAGTAGTGGGGTGCCCCCGCTATTTCGTCGTCATCACGCACCTCCCGCACTGCACAGTGAACAACCCAGATTCCATCTGCAGCTCATCGACCACCACCACCACCGAAACCGCCGAAACCACCATCACCACCACCACCGCCGAAACCACCACCGCCACCGCACCTCGCCGCTCCCCCCGATAGCAGCAGCAATGTCCATCCTCCAAACAGCCGCCGACATAACCGTCCTGATCAACTCGGACGTCTCCTCCTCGGAGCGACGCGTGAATCCGTCGTGGACCATCTCGACGCTGAAGAGCAAGCTGCTGCCGATCACGGGGATCCCGCCGTCGTCGCAGCAGCTCACGCTGCGGCTACCGCACGCTCCCCAGCCAATTCCGATTACCGCTGAGGACGAGGATGCGACCACCCTGGCGGGCTGGCCGTTGCAGGCTTATGCCGAGATACATGTACGTTGAATGAACTCTGCACTGGGAGGAGGGGAGAGGAGAGGAGAGGAGAGGAGGACCACCGCGAACGAGGCATATGAGGGAGAGGAGAGAAGGCGGATTATCGGGCGAGCTGCTTTCCGCCCTTTTGTTTTTGGGGAGGCGATGCGAGGGGGGTGCTGGAACGGAAAGAAAGAAAGTCGATGGGAGCATACATGCATGCATGCATCGCACGCACGCAATGATTTCCCATGCAAATGCAAGCTATGCATCCGCCCTTTCTCTCTCTCTCTCCGCCGCAGCCCGCCGCGCCCTCAAACTTCCTTCTTCCATCGCAATCCTAAATTCCCATCCCGCTTCATACTCCACTCCACTCCACTCCTACCTGGTCGTGTAACCTCGAGAGAGAGAGCAATCAAGCACCCATGCCTGGCTGGCTGGCTGGCGCATGCTGAGTGACACTGAGTGTGGCATATTTGCTTCCTTCCCATGCTCGTTTCCCCCATGTTTGCATGCTTCATTCGCACCGTACCCCTTCTCCCCACAATAATCATCTTCTGTGATATTTTTCCGCCTCGCTCCCACCCTCCCTTGCATCACTTGTTCTTCAATTCCATTTCCCTGACCCCAAACCCCCACCAGGTAACCGACCTCCGCCCGCCCTCGTCGCGCCTGAACCTGACCGACGTGTCCGAAATCACAAAATGGGAGATGCCGGTGGAGCAATACGAGAAGCGCTCCGACTCGGTGCGGGCGTGGAAGGAGCGCAACCAGCTGGGACGCTTCGACACCACGAAGCAGGCGCAGACCGACGCCGAGAAAGACGCGGCGCACGAACGTCTCTGGCGCGAGACGAAGGCGAAGGGGATTGAGGTCGGGAAGAGGTGCTTGGTCGGCGGGAAGGAGGGGAGAAGGGGCACCGTGAGATATGTCGGTGAGGTCGAGGAGATCCCCGCGGGAGGTGTGTGGGTAGGCGTGGAGGGCGATGAGCCCACTGGTATGCATTCCGTTTCTATGGGTGGTGTTTGTGGTGTTGGCGTCGGCTGATTACCAGAAGGCAAGAACGATGGCAGCATACAGGGCAAGGCCTACTTCTCGTGCAAGCCGAAGCACGGCAGCTTCGTGCGGCCGGACAGGGTCGAGATCGGCGATTTCCCGGAGGTCAATGATCTCGAGCTCGAGGATCTGGAGGAGATGTGATCTCGCTCGTTGTCCGTGCCCGTACGTATCCACGTGGGATAGGTGGTTGTTGGTTTCATCAAGGGCGGGATGGGAGCGTCGCGTATTGCTTTCCTTTTTCTTTTCTCTGTTTCGCACGACTCCAGACTCCAGACGACCGGCTGGGGACAATATCTACTCTACTTGGATACTTGGATACATACCTCCGCCCTTCAAACTACTACTATCTACTTTGCGCTGCGCATAATCGTTGATGATGAGAGTGATGGTGATGGTGGACCATGACCGCCCAATGCCTATAGGTACACAGTTCCGTACCTCGGACATTTCCTTAAGATTTGAACCCGGATCACGGCAACTTCCTTTCTTCCCAGTTCCAAGTCCTTCCTTCCCGGTTCCAAGCTCCCCCAAGCTCCCCCAAGGCTCGCTTATCGGCACGAGGCACGGGGCCGGTGGTTCATCCTATCTTACGGCCGATGCCCCCCCTCCCACTCCCCTCATATAGAGTAAGTACCTGGGCAACTATATCTCGCGTGGGTTTCGGTGAAACATGCGGAGTAGGTATATCTCGCGTGAGTTTTCGGTGAAACATACTTACCGGTCGGTACTAGGTACTCTAACTTGGAGCTTGGAGCTCGGCAGGGCAGAGCAGGGCTGTGTGGGGACGGAAGGGAAGGGGAAAGGGCCCCTTTTCATTGCATTGTAAGCGAGGGAGTGGGTGTGGAGATGGAGATGAAGGGGGTGCGAGGAAGAGGAACTCGAGGGGTAATATCATCCGTTGTAACGGTCGGTACCTGGCTGGCTGGCTGGCCAGTATGGAAACGCAACGTATACCCTGGCGGAAAACACGGATTGGGGGATTGAAGGGTTGAAGCAAACATCATGGCGGTGGGCTTGGAGCAGTTATCTCCCCCTTCCCTTCCCTGATGTACTTACAGACTTGCAGGCGGCAGTATAGAATAAAGCACTCTTGAGTGCCATTGCCATTGCCCTTTATTGTCATTACTAATCTTAAAACGAATATGCCATCCAAGTTCCGCTCCCCCTCCCATCCTATCCCATCCCCCCCTTCCCTCCCCTCCCCATTCCTAAAAAGCATCCTCCCCCAAAGAAAAAACGACATTAAAAGATATTATCCGCGCCGCCGCCCAGATACGCCTCGAAGCTGCGGTCCCACTGGAGGATATCCTGAAAGCCGCCCCAGTCACCCGAATTGATTCTATCGAGGACTTCCGGGCCGAGGGTTGGCAATTGCTGAGCAGCAGCAGTACCAGCAGCGGGCGGCGGCTGCTCGTGCGGGACAACGGGCATGATTCGTGCTGTGGCTTGCTGGCGCGTCAGCAGGCTCTCCCATGAGTAGTAGCAACTTCCGACAACAGCTGGGAACGAACGCCTACACTCATCTGAGTTATTAGTGGTGTACCCCCCGTGGCTGTGGCCGTGGCTGTGGGCTAGGGGGTAGGACGACCAGTCTGCGGGTGGGCCTGTGGAGGGTGGTGGTGCCGTCGCCGAGGAGGTAGGATTCGATATGCCCGTTTTGTGCTCGAATGGGATTTCGACCAGCGCTGAGGGGTGCCCGAAGAGGCTGGCGAATTGCTTGAATAGCTGCAGAAACCTGAGCGCGGTCAGAGTGGCTGATGTGATTAGTTGTGGGGAGGGGATCGCCCATACCTCCGCCCGGTGATGTGCACCCGAGCGATTGCCTGCAGCGTGCTGAGGCACACGTCGAGGTCGTCTGGGCTGACAGCGGGAGAGTGCATTTCCAGTGCGAGGAGGAGGATCACGGCGACCCGGAAGGTGTGCAGGTGTACCAGATCGTCCGTGACCACGCCGAAGTCGTCGTTGAAGGCAGGGTGGAGTTTGGCACGCCGCAGAAGACGTGCAGTCGTCACAGAGACTTCTATAGACTCTTGCAGGCAGTAGTTTAGGAGCTCGGGGGTGAAGGAACGGGTTGCGTTGGAGTCAGTAAAGTGCCGGAAGAGGATTAGGCGTGCGTGTTGGGCGATGAAGACGACTGCCCAGTTAGTATGCAATCAGTACAAATGGTTGAGGGCAGTAGATACCTCGAACCGATGGTAGGTCCAGAGCGGTGGTGAGCTGCGGGTTGGCCAGATCCTGCGGTATGGTCTTCCAGTACTCGGTGAGCTCATCTTTGAGCTGCTTCATCCTGTGCATCTGCTTATCCGGACTCTCCCCGGTTTTGAACCTATGGCCCAGAATCTTCTCGACCACTTTGCACACCCCGATCGCAGCAGTCAAAGTCTCGAGCGCCCTCCGGGCAACCGCCTTGTGGTGTATAACGTCCGGAGACTCCTTCGGCAACCCACCCACCGGCACGTCCGTGATCTGCGGACAGAGCAATGCCGTTCCAATACCAGTGCTGTCCATCACACCGGGGTACATGATGTTGCAGTCTTCTTCGCGGAGGATGCATGGTCGGCCCATCTTCATGCTGATACGCTTGTCTTGGATATAGGCTACCCAGAATAGTCGAACGCGGCATTCGAGCTGCACGTTGGTGAATTTTCCAACGGGGGGTTGTCGGTGCAGGCCTATGTCCTGGCAGACTCGGGCCATGGCTCCGCAGATCATCCAGCAGGGTGATGGAAGCGTTGCTTTGTCCAGATACAATGACATGAGGAGCAAGACTGCGGTCTCGTTAGATTATCTGCATACATCCAGACGACGGGGGGCATCGCACCTGTAGCATCCTCGAGTGTGTAGACCGGGTTGTTGAGGTTCATATATCGTCGAGCCAGCTCAAAGAACTTCCATCCGTGACTGATAGAATGAGCTTCCGTATCAGGGGGCCAAGATTGTGCGATGTATGTACTCACCGCTCCTGCGAGATGCTTTGGGAACCAGTTCCAACAGGAAACATCTCTTCGACCTTGACCAGCTGTGCGCCCACCGACAAAACCGTCATCACCACACAAAACACCTCGCGGACGACCTGCTCATCGCCCTCCATCATCGGCGATGACCACGCCCTCTCAAACTTCCGTTCCAGTATGGGCCAGTAGAATAACGGCTTGTAGTTCTGAATGGTCACCCGGAATGCCTCCAAGAGGCGGTTCGCCAATGTCCGAGCCGGCAAATATACCCTCAGGTCGAGTTCGGGGCCTCCACGTGAGCCGGCGACATCGGACAGAAGGGGGACTTGCTCGGTCTTCTCGTACATATTCGCCTGTTCCCCGGAGATGTGCTGTGCGTACAAGCCCTGGCGTTGGAGGTATTGCTTATACGAATCGATGAATTGCGGAGCCGACCCGGGGCCAAAAATGTTTGGATTCCATGTTACCTGCGCCGAATCCGTGGGACCGTTCGGCGGCGAATCGTAGTTCCAATCGTATCCCCTCCGGCTGGCAAGAGCGGACCCGGCGGGTGAAGACCGATTCTGTGGGCCGGAATCGCTCTCGCCGGGAGATATTCGAGAACTCGGTCGTCCATGCCGACTGCTGGAACCTCGACCCGTATGCAGCGTATTCGAAGGGCTGTCGGAAAAGCTCCCCATGGGTGAGGCCAAAGCGTAGTTTTCATCCTGCGATACACCATCATCCTGAGCCGAATATTTTCGATGCCGTTGCTCGGCCAGATCCAGCTTTCGAGTGAGTTCTTCTACTGTCCTTTCCAGCTCGCGTATTCGCCTATGTGACCGATCGATTCAACATGTGCTGACCGGACGGGGAGGGGAGGGGAGGGAGAGGGAAGGTAATTGCTACACACCTGGTAGGCCCCATCTTCCTTCCCTCGTGGTCCGGAGAGGAGAATGTACACGACAACTTGGCTGCCAAACACGCCGAGCACGGCTCGTTTTCTCTCGCATCGCACTGGCAGAAACCGATATCTCAGCCCAACAGCCCCCAACGACCATCAGAACGAGGGGACGGTTCCCATTCACCTGGAGAACCCCAATATACCCACCCTTGTCTTCCTAAGCTTGCACGAATCGCAAGACCTCTCCTTCCTTCTGCTCTGGAACGATCTCCTCTTGCGGCTGGCCTGGTGTGCCGCTGTCAATGCGTCTCCAGCTACGGAGCCAGTGCCAGTGCTACTGCCGGTGGGATTATTCGACATGGCTTCGGCGGCGTGAGAAGCATTTGTTCGGGAGGCTGTGGGAGCTGCGGCGCTGTGGAGCGGCTGTTGCCCTCTATTCGGTTCCTGCATCAGCCGAGGAGGGGACAGGGTGATGTGAGCTTCGGGTTCCTTCTTCTTCTTCTCTTCCTCTTCCACTTCCACTTGCCGTTCCTCTTTCCGTGTGTGTGTTTACGATTCGCCGTTTGTACGCTTTCGGTGTTCGCTACGCTTGCTCACGATAGGGGAGCTGGTATGAATGTGAGTGTATAAGTAAGTAAGTCTGTGTGTATATCTCTGGTTGTTGCGATCGATTGACCCGCGAAAAAAGAGCCGGCTGCCGCCACGGGCTGTTGGGCCATTGATATTTATGTGTGTGACTGACGTCACCAGTGCGGTCCTCCCGCCCGCAGGCTGCAGCAGCAGCCCAAGGAACTCGACTCCGACCCCGGACAGGGCAGGAATGGACTAGGTAAGCAGGGAGCCACTTACTCTAGAGTTGACTACACACATACCCGCTCTACGGTAGGTACCGTAGATACTCTAGGCAGCATGGCCACCCTGGTGTAGGCTGGTGGGCAGAGTTGGACCTTCTGGGGCTGCTGTCTTCGTATCATACAGACATATCATCATTCCCTCCGCCGCATGCAACGGAAATGTCTCGCAGTGATGGCACGCCCATTCCTTCCCATTCAGCATGCGATCGACGCAGGAACTCACACACGGGTCGTCACTCGACGTGCAGGTGATGTGTCTGCTGGTGCTAAGCGAGCCAGAGTTGGAGCCAGAGTTGGGGCCTCGAATTCATCGATGGACTGGGATGCATGTGTAAGAGCCAGGGCCGAAGCTTCGAGAGCCTTGGCCTCGGGGGGAAAGAGGAGCAGAACGAGAGGCGGAGCCCCCGATAGGAACGGGCGTCGGGAACGAGATGTTGGACTTTCCGATCGAACCATCATATCTAGTGCCAAGTATATGCGGAGGATGGACGGGGGCTCGGCACGGACTGCACCCTGAGGGGGGGTGAACCGGATATGTGGAACAACTGCCATGGTCTGGTAAGGTCGAATGCAACAGATGATTACAACCAAAAAAACCAGAGTTGGCTCCCACAATCTGCATGGTGATGAATCCCGCATCGCATGGCCGTTGCTTCTCTACCAAGGGTTGCTTTTCCCACGCACTCACGCACGCGCACATCCGGTTCTGCGCGTATGTAGGTATGTAGGGACATGCCATTCCGCCGCGACGTCTCGGAGACACCGTGATCGAACCTCGGACTCCTGTCCTTTCCTCGTACTGTATAGCTTCCTGCCACCGGAGTCCGTTCGGTCGGTCAAGCTCCCACGTCTGGTTCGCACGATTCGAATCCGCTATCCGAACCCCAGCCCAACCCAACCCAACCACTGATTCAGACGCCCCACCCGATACCTTGATGCAGCTCAGGCGGAAAATCACCCTGTCCCGTCCGGAAAACGCTTCCGTCCATCCACTCTCGGGGAAGGAGGGGGAAAATAGAGTTGACTCCTCCCTACCTATCCGATCGGAATTGCGACACAAACTAATGTACAGTACATCGATCCTGCCACGATCACAGGCGATGCATGCATCTTGGGTGAAGTGTGGCTGGTGAGGTTGTGGCACTCCTCCCCCACACACGGTGCGGGGTTACGGTTGGAACTTGGGCTTGTGGATGTATGTCCCGAGACAGTATGTATCATATGTATCATATGTATCTGGAGTATGATACATAGAAGGCTGGTTCAACTTCAGGCTTCAGCAGTTTGATGACGCCTACTACTCGTATACACAGCCTACGTGGCAACCTCCCATATATACTTGGACATACCTTGACTCCTTGAGTGAGTGCGATGCCGTTTCAATCAGGTATGATATGTAATACCTAAACACTGCGGGCTTTCATCGTCTCGCTGACCTCCTCCTCCCGCTTTAAACCTGCGCTGCCTCCACATTGATGTTCGAGCGGACCGCACGGGTATCTGGTCCATCGGCGTTAACGCCCCACCCCACCCCCCACCACCCCGTTCAGCGTGCAGTGTACAGTTGCGCTTCAACGTCAAGGTCAAGGAACATTATGGATTGGATTGAGATGCACTCATCGTCACATGGGTGCTTACCTTGTTAGCCAGCACTAGCACCAAGTACGCACCTGTTAACTACCCGGGAACGGATCTCCTGGGGACCAGGAAGTCCGTATCTATATATGTACACGTGCTATCTAATGGTTACTTAATCACACTTCCTGACCGCCCATTTGTCAGCACGACCTCCCCACCTGCGACCCCGCCAACTTTCCGACCTCTATCCACCTCTCCCTACAATACCGTACAGTCCACAGAGCAGGACCGCAAAAACCAAACTGGCACTCAAACGCACGCTCGCCCGCATGGCCAACTTCCAGATCGACATCATCTCCGGTACGTTTCTATCCACAGCCGCTCACAGGCGCTCACTCGCCCTTACACATACTAACGTTCCCGGCTTTTAGACACGGTCTGCCCCTGGTGCTACATCGGGCACCGGCGCCTGCAGCGTGCGATCTCCGCGTACCAGTCTCAGCACCCCACCTCCACCTTCAGCACGACCTACCACGCATTCTACCTGAACCCGTCTGCGCCCTCTCCGTCCGTCGACAAGGCTGCGTACATGGCCTCTCGCTTCCCCGCCGCACAACTCGCGGCAATCCACTCCCGCCTCACCGCCGCCGGGCGCGACCTGGGAATAACCTTCAGCTTCGGCGGCAAAACGGGGAACACGCGGTCGTCGCACCTTCTGATCGAGCTGGGACGCTTACGCGGCGTGCAGACGGCCGTGGTCGAGCAATTGTTCGCCGCGTACTTTGAGGCCGAGGAGGATATTACCGATTTCGCGGTGTTAGTGAAGCGTGGGGTTGCCGGTGGGCTCGACGAGGATGAGGCGTGGAAGTGGTTGCGTAGTGATGGGGGTGGTGAGGAGGTCGATAGCGAGGTTAATGACGCGAAGAGACGCGGGATCTCGGGGGTTCCCCATTTTACTGTTAATGGCAAGAGGAGTGTCAGTGGCGCGCAGGGTGAGAGTGCCTTCTTGGAGATTTTTGAGGAGTTGGCGGCGGAGGAGAATTAGAGGGGTTGGAATTGGAGAGTTGGGGAATATAACGGTACATCCATATCATGCTCTTAGCCTGGAATTCGCTGGTTATGGATGTGATTATTGGCCCGATATCGCTTGCATTGTCGACTATTTCTCTTCTCATCTATATGAAGGTACGATTCAACTCAATGGTGCAAAGAAATCAATGATATCTCCAGCGCTACATACATCATACTCTCCATCATGATATGTACACACAGCCCCTAACCAGCCCTCATGAACGTTACGTTACGGTATCAAGATCAAACAAAAAGCCCCAAATTGCAAAAGAAACCAAGATTCCAGCCCAAAACAACGCCCAAAAGCACAACAAAAACGACAATCATCGAAACTAGTAATCCGTCAACTTCACCATCCGCCCAACTGCTCTCCGTCCCGGCAGCTTCGAGTCAGTATGCGGTTTATCCCGCTTCTCCAGCAAGCGCGCCACGCTGCCAGCATCGAAGTATCCATATCCACCGAGCATCCCCGACTCGCCATCGCTGCCATCCTCGCTTCTCACGCTAGTGAGACTTGCATCATCATCGGCCAACATTCCGTTACCGCCGGCGACACTGATGACCTTTCCGCTGAGCTGGCGCTGGACGGCGCTCTTGGCGCCGCGACCCTGACCGGCTGGTCCGCGGGCGCGCGTCAGCTTGTCTGCCTCCCTCGCCATCGAGCGCGGCGGCTCCTTCTGCTGTGTGGCCCGCAGAAGATGGCGGATCTCGAGGAAGTAGTTCTGCAGCGTGTCGACGAAGCGCTTGGTCTGTCTGTGCTTGGATGACACCGAGATGGAGATGCTCTCGTCCTTGATGATGTAACCAATCCCGAAGCCGTCGCCCGACGTGGGGCCGAAGCCGAAGGCGCGTAGCGAGGGGTTGCCGCAGTTCGAGGTTGATAGGATGGTGTTGTTGAGCTTGTCCCAGGCGGGGTCCGAGAAGATGCTGGGAACGACCGGTGGGGTAACCTTGGTTGGTGGGGTGCCGGTGATGGAGGAGCAGTCTGAGAATGACCTTGAGCGGCCGCTGGCAGACATCGAGTCTTGGGTCTCGAAGCTGCCCGACAACGGAGAAGAGCCGTAGGCGTCCGGCGACATCCGACCGTCGCGCGAAGAGTCGTCGCTTTGGGAGAGAGACTCTTCATCGAGGCCACGCTGCCAGACACAGAAGAGTGCGTAAAGGTGTCGGTCCTGGCCGAGTCCCTTTGAGCACTCCTTGGTGGTAGCGGTGTGCTTCTGGCAAGCCTTTCGCAGGGCGTCGACCTTCTCCGACGCAGGAGCATTCTCGCAGAACTTCTTAACGAATTCAAGCGACTGTTCCGAGACGGTACGGATGGCTTCCGTTCGCCCGTGGAGGAAAATCTTGGTCATGGCTGGCTCGTAGGTGCTCTCGGCACGTCCGTAAAGACCGTAGTATGCCGCCTGGAAAGCCATTTGGACGAAGGCGTCAGGTGAGAACCCCATGGAGGTGATAAAGTTCTTTCCGTAGTGGCTGAACTCGAGGACTTCGAATTCATTCTGGTTGATCAAATCCGCGAGACGGGTCTCGGCAAACCGCAGCGCCATCGACAATTCCGGAACCATAGTCCACTCCAGCTTGTGGGGAGTCGTGCTCACATCGCCGAAGGAAGCCGGGTCCCGCTTGTTGGGGTCTGGCGACACAGTGGCCCAGAGACTTGGAGCGTTACCGTTGATGGTGCGGGCAAACCGAAGGATCGTGTCGGTGTATACATCACTGGTCATGCGGAGCACTGTGTGGCCGTCCACACCGGTGTGCTCAAAGTTGATACCCGCAGATCCGTTCTTGCAAACGATGATCTGCAGCTTGTCGTACCAGCGGTTCGTGCAAGTACCCACTTGGACTCCCTTCTCGACAACATTGGTTCCGCACAACATGTTCATGCTGAGCTCGGCGGCCGATTGGGGTGACGTCTGGTCGAGGCACAAAACAAACAAAGCGGTATCGACTATCCGAAGACATTCAGCGTTGGTGCTGTCCTTCCCATCCTGAGTCAGAACATCTCTCAGGTTGGCCCACACCCGCCGGTTCTCGGTCGACAAAACGCCGACTGCCGACTTTGCGGCCAGTTGGATCGGCGTCATCTGGGCGTCGTCGAGGATGGCTTGCAGGTTTTGCTGGAGATCCCGCTCGGTGATAATGATGTCGGAGTTGTCGTCGAGAACGTCGAACCAGTAGAATTGGGAGTGACACATGATAACGATGTGCTTTGCCGTAGGGTCCGACTGCATCACACAGCCATTCTCTGTGGGGATTCTGGAAGTGCTGAAGATCCGAGGGTATTGGTACTGAGAAAGATATCAGCGACAGATTTCTGTGGGTTGACGGGGAAAGAGATCTTACCATGCAAAGAGGAGTGCCACGGATCTTATCCGCGGGAAGCTCTTCCCGTCGCAGAGCACGAACGAAAGAGAGAGAAGAAATGACGAGAGACGCTGCTCTGGTCACTTGGTTCCTTCTAGAGGGAGTTGGGTCGTCCTCGAGAAGGAAACTGTAGCAGAGCTATTAGAATCTACCCGTATCATCGATACCTATGCGGATCACTCACAAAGGGTTCAAGTTCAACACCACTGGGTTATCGTAGTTGAGGTACGAATCATACCCTATCACTCGATTAGTTTTTCGTTCCCAAAACGATGGCCCTGAGGTGGTTTTCTAGACTTACAGAACTGTTCGATGTAACTGCTCTTGCCGCTCGCATACTTCTTGAGCCGTTCCTGGAGCTCCGGCCCGTCCGTCTTCAAAAATTCCCTCACTGCGGCCACGGTATCGGCGTGTTCACGTGGTGTCTGGAGAGGCTTCACTGCCGAAAGGTAATTTCGACATGTGTCTTGGAGATCGGCAATGGGGAGTTTCGGTAACGAGTCCTGGTGTGCGAAGGTGATACCTGGCCCGGCGTCGTATGGCAGTGTGGTAGCCGCGACCTCTTTGGCGTGTATGGCCGACATGACTGACTCGTTGAGAGACTTGAACTTTGTTGGAGATGCTAGTTTGCCGCTTGAAAGAGCAAGAGCTGGCAGGAGCGGTGTCTGCGGGGGAGAGTCTACTTTTGAAGGAGCCATCGTGTTGTCAGTATCGAGTGTGTAACTGGCTGGTTTCTCAAAAAAAAAGATGGGAAGATGGCTGCGGTCCCGGCTTTATGTAAAGGCCCCGCTGTGGTAGGAGGGGAGCCGTGATAATGCCAGGCACGGAACAGGAAGCTGTCAGGCGCGAAAATAACCTCGGGGATAGTTACCTTCGATGTCCGATGTCTGACAGTACCAGATCCAGGTTACGACGCCTAGGGATCAGAGTGGGGTACAAGAGATGCCACCGATAGTGTGCCAGGTAGCGTAGTCCGGGGAAACGCCTCTCGCCAGCCGGTTCTCCGATGAGTGAGTGGGAGGCGTTCGGACAAGAGGAAACGATAGCGCCAAGTAGGGCAGCAAACTGTCTGGACGGACGAAGGGGAGTGGGTATGTACTGGGCAGTGGGAATAGAAGCAGGCCGGGATCAAGGTGCCGTTGCCCTTTCGCTTATGCGGTGGATGCGTGGGATGCGTGGGATGTGTGGAAGGGTCCGAGGGGACAAATAATACCGCTCGTGGTGTTCACTGGGTTGTGTCAGTACTAAGCTCCTCAGTCATCCGGAGACGCGGGGGTGGGGGAGCGCAGAGATATACCTTGGTGGCGGGCTTCCCGGAAGGCGAGATGCACATGAAGAGTTTGGTAGCCTGGAACAGAGAGATTCGGCGCGAGAATTTGGCGCGCGATCTAGAGACTTCTCCAGAATCCAGATGCGGGGCCCCAGACTAGGCCCGCGAATAGCTCGAGCCTCCGTTTCCGCGAAAACGGCGTCCACATATGACGTCGGCTGGCCACGAAGCAAGTCTACGGACCAACGGAAGCAAGTGCTCGCGATATCTAGCCTGTAGAAGTGGTCAGGTACACGAGTACACAAGTACACAAGTACCAAAAAGTATCGTCAGATACCTGAGAAGGGGAGGTTGCCTACTTTTAGCCAATGGGATCCTCACGTACGATAACTCGGCTGAAACAAGATGAAGAGCAAGCTGTGGTCGTGAGTATGATTATTTGGCAGAGTGCAGAGAGCGAGCATGTGCTCACGTCTGAGTGGGTAAAGTAAGCTTAACCCGGGGTACTACCGTGGACTCTGCTCCAGAGTAGAGTAACGCGGCGACTGCGGGGTGATATGGTTGGCGGTAATTACGGCAATGAGCCGTAGAGGCATCACATGTCAGGCCGCTTTGCCCCAGCCCTGTCGCCGGACCATGTAGGTACGGTGGTCCGGTGTTCTGAAAAGCAGAAAAAGACACGAGATGGATATCTGTACCCAGAGGTCGACTTTTCTTTTTCCAGTTACCCGTACGACTGACCTATCCTGCGAAGATCACGACGGTGATTTGCACGCAGCTTTAGCCAGGCTCGTCAAGCCGGGCGGATTCTGGGTAAACGAGGAAGGCAAGCTCATTCGATCTCCAGAGATATTTGCAAAAATTCCACTAACGCTCACTGCTCTTTCGCCACGATTAATGGCATCGGATGCATGTCCCGACAGCTTGCACACACGGCGATGATTGTCGGTGGCAGTTGTCCCTGATGAAAGCCCACTGCTCACAACCACGCCTTCTCCTTCTCCCATGTTCCATCACAACCTTCGGTATCAACCCGCGCTCGTAGCAGTGCACTTTCAAACCCATCGCGAACAGCATTCGAGACATTCCGGGGAAGGAACCGTGGATCCATCTCACTGGTGCCGCAGAATCCCTTGTACCCACGTTGACCTTCAAGCGAGCCTTGCTGGACGATACGTTTCGGAACGCGGATGGTCCGGGTCTACATACATAGTCGATCATCTCGCCATCAGCCACGGACTGGTCCCGGGCTGCATCTCTGGTCTTCGTGATATAGGTACCCATCGAGTTCCGCCCCACCATCCACCACCGCTCGAGCTGCTATCCTGCTGGAAGGCTTAACTGCGTGCGGGGGTGGGCCTATCAAAGCGTTAGTGAAGGTATTTGAAGCGGCCTCTTCCTGTTGGCCTTCCTAGCAAGTCGTCGGGCAAAGTTTCATGGCCGGCCAACCGATAATTAACCAAACGATCGAAGTCCTCCACCGTTATCTGTCTTCTTGAGCAGTGCCTCTTGAGTACATACATACAGCGACCACCACGCAGAAACCAGGCATATGTATCTGCTCTTGATAGTGATGAACTGACCAAGTAGCTCGGGGCCCAGGCACATCTACAGCCCTAGCGATTACGCCGCTCCCCCGGCTCAGCGGGAGGAGATGCATCCGCATGTTGCAACGTTGCAACGTTGCTCTAGACCCGCTTCTAGTGTATAGTAGGTATCGCATGTCGCCGGACAATTTGCTAACGGCCAGTAGTTAGTTCCTGAGCAGCCAACGGATTTCCGCGGAATCAGCTTTTGGTTTTGTTTGATCATACTCGCATTCATCCTGTAGAATACTACCATAGTACATTATGTAAGTACTTAGTCATGGCGGCGTACTTTCCCTCTGCTCCTGCCCACCGTCCTGGTTCCGCCGAATCTGTGGATCATGGGAACCGTCCGTAGTATGCATAGGATCCAGTCACTCGAGTGGTTCCTGTGACTGTGAGGACTGGCATGTGACAACGTCAGCCCCTCAAAAATCACGTGCTCGCATCAGGCACACACCATTACTCACCTTTAGTTACGTTGAGCGTCCTGTATGTGGAACAGGACGATGGGTGCGACGATGGTTAGGCGGTCAAACGATTGATTGGTGAGTGTCTCGGTACAGAAAGAAGAACCACAAGAGAGTCTGCTTCTCCGCTGCTCGTCTCCTCCCACTAAGCCAAGAAACCGCTAAACATCTGACTCCCGATCTAACGCTCCACAACATATGAGAGAGGATTCTGACTGTGAGAGATTCTGGCTCTGAGAGATTCTGGCTGTAAGAGAAGGCCCGCTAAGTGCCCTCGCCAGCTGCCCTCGCCAGGTGTCATATCTCTCCAGTTACCCTCCTCGACAGACAACCCCGTGCAGAACCGCACTTGCATCATGCATGCGCTCGACGATGCTCTGTTTGATACGAAGGGGTCATGCATATCTGGCGCTCCGTCGTTACAGAGTGTCGCAACTGTTGCTTCAGACGTGAATTCCCCTAATTAACCCCAAAACGGAGCGCTGTACGGGCGGTAAAGCTGTTAGCCATCCATTCGATAAATTGACGGCACTTCCAGTCCTCGTCTTTGCTTGCCCTTCGCAGTCAATTATCCCCCTTTACGTTCCCGGTTCTGTCTTTTCCCGACTCCTCCTATCAGAACCTGCGTAAGTGCTCGACCGGCGACCGCTGCTCAAGTTCCCCTGCATCTCTAAACTCGCCTGTCTGGCAGCGAGCTGCGGCTGCTTTAACCTGTGTGCCAGTGGCTATTCTTAGCCCTGGACCCTTGCGAATCCAACGAACTTCGACTGTTCCCGTTGCTTTTCCCTGGTACTTACCCCCCCGGGCCAGGGTCGCTCTCATCCCCGGTCACTCGCCCCCGTCACCGTCACCGCTGGAAAACGGCCCCACGAATCATCCTCCGTCTTTGCTCAACCTTCAACAGACTCTCCTTAAGCCAAACAACCACGCATCCGTACACTGTGATTGGTCCACGGCCCACGCTCCTTGACCTTTTCGCTTCTCCAGTCGGTTTCGTTTCACCACGTTTCTGCCCTTCAACGTTTCTCCTTGGCTGGCCGGGTCCCTTCCAATATCGCAATCGTCCACTGCTACCCACCATCCACCACCACCACTACTACCACCAATACCACCACTATCCACCACCACCCACCCACCCACCCACCAACCCTTCTCCGGCGACGACTCGGCGTTGCCCAGTCGTTGCTAATATTAACCACCGGCGTACTGGCGGATCCCACTTCGGACGAAGGAGTTCACTCTCTTTCGTTTTCGCCCGAGCTGGACGGAATGGATCCGGACCAATACTCCAACGCGTTGGCCGGTCCCGATTCAGACGACGAAGACGACAGTTCACATTTTGTACGGGGCATTGCTGCAGGGGCGCACCACGTCCACTCGCAATCGGACGCTTCAAACTTTGCCGCGCACACCGATTTCGGCCGGCCCGAGTTGTCGATCGACCCGAACCTGAGTGCCCATCCACCACCTCCGCGGCCACACGAACAACAACTTCAGCGCCACCAACGCCAGGATGACCCCCACCACCACCAACATGGCCAACACGGGCACTACGTACAATACTCCGACCTTACGCGCGATGCTAGCCAATACACTCTAGGCACCCCAAGCGATCAGCTCTCCGAACGGTCACCGTCACAATTCGCGTCGGCGTCGCCTGCGCCAAATCGCTCCAAGAGTGTACCATCGTTCACTCCCACCGATCGCAGTCTACCAGATAAGCGGGTGACGGACGAGTCCCTCGACGATGCTTATGTCGCCTTCATCCTCTACTGCAATCCCTCCGTACCGCTCGAGTGCGACACCGCCGAATTGCGGAAAGTCTTTCGCCAACCGCCGAAAAGCGACGGCAAGACATTCAGCACCTACCACTTGCTCCAGCTCATCGAGAAATTCGAACGCAAGGACATCAAGACGTGGACGAAGTTGGCGATCGAACTCGGGGTGGAGCGCACGCCGGACTCAAGCGCGCAGAAAGTCCAGCAATACGCGGTTAGGTTAAAGGTAGCTATTAATAGTAACTCGCGGCAATGCGTTCAACTAACTAACCTCCCGGCGAACACATAGAGATGGATGCACGCGATGCACGTCGATGCCTTCTTCGAGTATATATTGGACAAACCTCATAAATACTACCAACAAATTCCTTCCGCCGACCCGGACACCTCCAATCCAGGCACTGCCGAACGGATCCGCGACGGAGTACCCGTCGAGGAAGATCTTGCCTTAAGAGCTCTACATCCCGAGACACGTCCGAAACGTGGGAGGCGGAAAACAGACGACAAAGATGACAACTCGGAGAAAGACGGCCCGGCGGCTAAGCGGCAGCACTTGGACACGGGTACTCCCGCAAGTGCAGCGGACGAAATGGCGCAGTTTGTGTACCCGAACTCTGCCGTTCCTTCCAGCGCTGGTGGTGATGGCATGTCGTTTCTGGACGATGCCGTGACACAAGACCAATGGACTGCTGCTACGCAAGTGATGAGTGCCGGCTCATCCACGCCTACTGGCGGTCAACATTACCGATGGCGGGCATATCCGAAGATGGATTCGGCTACAACCCCCCATAGTCCACATCCACCACCACTTCTTATCACTCACGACCTTCATAACTCTAATGACGAAGCCATGACCCCAGTATCCGCAACACCCACTTCTGGGAAACCTGCTCGACGGCGTCGCCACGGACCAGCGGTGTCGTCCGCGTGGCCGTCTTCGGGAAATCCGTTGACCGGAAAGCTTCGGGGAAGGCCTCCGAGCAACCGCTCGGTTCGAGACGGGCCATTCTCGACGTTTCCCGCAAACCCGTCGGCCAAAGGGGGCGCTACCATTAATATGTCCCCAGTAACCGCGACACCAACACCCACTCCCGTAATGTCACACCCCCCGCCTCACCAGTTCCCTCAATTCAGACCACACGGCCTTCAACTTACCGTGCCTCAACTACCATCTCGTCCGATCGTTATGGCTTCGCCGGCAGTCGAACGACATTCGAACGAATCACCTCACATGGAGTGGCTACAGCCCCCACAACTCCCAAAAATGGGGAAGACTTCTCCGAACATTCCGCCGGCCATGCGATCATTACCGCTTGACGAGATGCAGCGCCGGTTTGCCGTGGCAATCCTTCAAGCTATCGGCGGTGATGGTATGGGTGTCCGGTTGAACGATGCAAACATAATCGCCGAAAAAGTGTTTTCAGGATTCCGCAGGGCATATACAGACTTCGAAGAGAGCGGCATCGGAGAAAAGGTCGCGCTGCTGACGGGAATATCCACCACCGAAGCCGGCTTCAATGGCCTGCAAGTCCGCCGGCTACAAAGCGAACTCGAACTACTCGGGATCCACGATCCGGATGCCGAAGCCGACGACGACAACCCCGAGGACGATGTGCGGATGGATAGGGGAGAACGCAGGTATCAAGTCCGCTGGGAGACGATGTTCGGCGGGCTCAAGGGGGAGATGGAGCAGATTGTTGTGTTGCCGCCGCAAAGGCGCGCCAGTGAGGAGGACTTTGAGGGGCTCACGGACTTTGGCCACGACGAGGTCGATGCCGATGGCAAGGATCCCGAGAGCATGGATGAGCTTCGCAAGAAGGTGCTGGAGCTCGAGGGTCAGTTGAAGGGTAAAGAGAAGGAGCTCGGAACGCTCCGCGGAAACGTGTTGCGAGCCGTGGTGTTATGATGCTCATGATCTCATTCATTTCCCCCTTACGTCTATTCATTTCCTCTCTCCATCTCGGCATATGTGGGAGTTTGAGCTGGCTTTTGTTTTTTTTACATTTGAGCATGGTTGAGGCCATCTGAGGATGGCTTGCATGTCCGTCTGCATATTACTTGTCATTGCTGAAGAGCGGTGGCGGTCAGGGTATCGGTGTTTGGGGGTTCTGGGTGTTTGTTTGGGGATCTCTGGTCTGTTTTATTTTTTTGTATGTACTCTACATATTCCGCTACTAGATACCGGTACTGTATGTAGGCCCGCAGTGAAGACATGCTTGAATACCGGTACTCTACTCTAGTTACAACATCTCTCGGGATCTACCTACCTGCCTGTGAGTGATCATCCGGCATCGCAATAGATATAGCTAAAGCATGCCGATTCACTAAGGAGACTACCGGTGCATGAGACTCGAGTGCATGGTTAGGGCGATTACATCTTGTATTTTTCCGCTGGATCCGTGCGGACAGTTATTTGTGGTGAGACGCATGTGGAAGAAAGTTGTTATTTCTATGGCTTTTGTTTTTTTTTCTCTGAAGAAAAAAAAAGCCGACTCGACAAAGCGGCGATGAGCGGCTCATCCTGAGCATGTGGAATCGACAAAACACCGCCACACTGGTGGCTATTCTATCTTAAGAATGGCAGTTAGATGGCCGACGGCCAGTCCGAGTCAAGCCCCTAGGATTCCAGTCCCGATCGGGCGGCAGAAAGGACTCGGAAATGGGCCAAAGCCCAAAGACCGGTATCTATTCGACGCCAAGGGTCCAGAAACGGGGCAGTTCCTCTCGGATAGGAACTATGAATATTCGAGTAGGCAATATGGCAGGGAGATGTAGGCAGCTATCTGTCGAGTTACGGCGTCGGTATCTACGGGGGGAGGGGACAGTCATCATGTTTTGTTTGTGAGACGTGGGGCTGCAGAATCGAAGGCTTGCCACCCAAGAGATGATATGATACGGTAGATACACATGCGGCACTGGGTGTTGGGTGCCCTTCGCCGCACCAGGCTTTAGGATACTGTGTTAAATTCGATGGCCCAGCCGCGTGGGCTGAGGTTTACGCAAGCCACGCTCGAGCTGGGATGCTTTTGCTTTATGCTTGCCGCTGCCTGGCAGGGCAGATAGATACATGTTCTTTCTCTTCTGCTACACTTCTCCTTCCTTTCGAAAAGGACAGAGATCCTTTCGACTCACTACTACCACTACTACCACTACTACCACCACTACCACTACCAAAGCACCTAGAGTGGAGGGGTTCGATTCATCCATAGGGCTTCCTTGATCCCATATACCTACACAGTGCTGCTGCTGCTGCTTCTCGCACTTGCTCTTCATAGTACCTTCTGTTTATTGCTTTCCCGCTATTGTTCCGCTCGTTTGCTCCTTGGGTTTCATTCAATCAATCGAACTTTCTCTCAACTCCCGTTCACCTTTCCCTTTTCTTCTTTTTTTTTTTTTACTTTTACAAGGGGAGCTCCCCTTTCCCGACACACACGACGAACGAACGCACGACGCATCACACGCGAAACAACCCTGAGAACCCACCCCACCCACCCGCGGAATTGCGTGCTGAAGCCCTGAGGTCCCCACGATGGCCTCTAACGCTCCGGTCTACGGGACCGGCGCGGATCTCGATGCCGCCGGTCTGAGAAAACGAACGGTCGTAGGAGGAGATACTGTGTATACACCGCTACCGCTGACGGAGGAGGACGACACCAAGAAGAAGAGTCCGGCAAGAGTGAGTAGCTCTCTCTCCTGCGGGCCCGTCCCGGACATGTGTAATTGGCAGGATGCTGATGCCAGAGTTGCCAATTAGGGGGGCGGTATAGATATCGAGAGCATCCTTGCGCCCATAGTATTCACACTCGCGGCGTTCTTCACGCGGATGTGGAAGATTGGCCAGTCTGATATCGTTACGTGGGATGAAGCTCAGTACGTTTCCTTCCTACCCCGGGGATGCTGCTGTTGTTGCTGCGCCGTGCCGTGCTGATCGCTGGCTCTGTACAGCTTTGGAAAGTTCGGATCGCACTACCTGAAACGGGAATTCTACTTCGATGTCCACCCTCCGCTGGGAAAGATGCTCGTCGGTCTGTCGGGATACCTGGCTGGCTACAATGGCTCGTTCGAGTTCAAGTCCGGAGAGAAGTACCCGCCGGAGGTCGACTACCAGTTCATGAGGATCTTCAATTCTGCGTTCGGAGCGCTCTGCATTCCGCTGGCCTACTACACCGCCAAAGAGTTCAAGCTCTCGAAGAAGGCGACTTGGCTGATCACTCTGATGGTGCTGTGCGATAACTCGTATGCTACTATCAGTCGCTTCATTCTTTTGGACGCCATGCTTCTGTTCTTCACCTTCACGACCATGCTCTGTTTCGCGCGTTTCCACAGCCTGCAGAAGAGGTCGTTCGGCTTCCAGTGGTTCATGTGGTTGATCCTTTCGGGAATTTCGGTCGGCTGTGTCTGCAGTGTCAAGTGGGTTGGATTGTTCGCGACCGCGGTCGTCGGACTGTACACCGTTGAGGACCTGTGGAACAAGTTCGGGGATCTCAGGATGCCAGTGGTTGGTTCTCCCCGTGGATCTTGTCTAGGGTGCAGTTGCTAACATCTGCGGGAAAAAGCACACCTACGCAGCTCATTGGTTCACGAGAATCATCGGACTCATCGTCATCCCATTGCTGGTTTACATGGCCAGCTTCAAGGCTCACTTCATCATTCTCGAGAACTCTGGTCCCGGTGATGCTCAGATGAGCTCGCTTTTCCAGGCCAACCTCAAGGGCACTGATCTCGGAAACAGCCCGCTTGAGGTCGCCATCGGTTCCCGTGCCACCCTCAAGAACATGGGATACGGTGGAGGACTTTTGCATTCCCACGTCCAAACCTACCCTGACGGTTCCGGCCAGCAGCAGATCACTTGCTACCACCACAAGGATACCAACAACGACTGGTTCTTCTACCCGTCCCGCGGCGAACCCCTATACAATGCTTCTTCTGATGAGCTGCGCTTCGTTGGAAACGGCGACGTCATCCGTCTCATCCACGCTCAGACTGGACGCAACCTTCACTCGCACGCCGTCGCTGCGCCCGTCACCAAGGCGGACAACGAGGTATCGTGCTACGGAAACTTGACCGTTGGCGACCACAAGGACCATTGGACTGTCGAGATCGTCGCGGATACTTCTAGCAAGGATAAGAGCAAGCTTAGAACTTTGACCTCGTCGTTCAGACTCAGACACACGTCTTTGGGCTGCTACCTTCGTGCCGGAAACGTCAACCTTCCACAGTGGGGTTTCAAGCAGATTGAGACTACCTGCGTCAAGAAGAACAACCCCCGCGACAAGTACACCCACTGGAACGTTGAGAGCCACTGGAACGACAAGCTTCCCAAGGCCGATGTCAAGTCCTTTAAGTCGCCGTTCCTCAAGGACTTCCTGCACTTGAACGTTGCCATGATGACCTCCAACAATGCCCTTGTTCCGGACCCTGACAAGCAGGACGACCTGGCTTCCCAATGGTGGCAGTGGCCCATCCTGCATGTCGGTTTGCGCATGTGCAGCTGGGATGACAAGATCGTCAAGTACTTCCTCCTCGGCAACCCGCTCGTTTACTGGGGCTCCACCGCCACCCTTGGAGTTTTCGGCCTGCTGGTTATCTTCTACCTCATCCGCTGGCAGCGTGGCTACAAGGACCTCACCCAGGCCGACATCGACCAGTTCCACTACGCCGGTATTTACCCGCTGTTGGGCTGGGTATTCCACTATGTCCCGTTCATCGCCATGGGCCGTGTCACCTACGTGCACCACTACTACCCGGCTCTGTACTTTGCCATTCTCGTTTTCGGCTTCGTCTTCAACCACCTTGCCGGAAAGCTCCCCAAGAGTGGTAGCATCGCTGCGTACCTCATCACTTACGCGACGATCATTGGCCTCTTTGTTCTGTTCTCTCCCATCACCTTCGGTATGACTGGCCCTGCTAGTCAGTACAGCTACCTGAAGTGGTTTGTAAGTTACTCCCGATGTCCTCGCTTCACCTCGACCCCCAGTACTAACGTTCATGTAATAGGACCGCTGGAGGATCTACTAAATCCGGAGACGGTGTTGATCTCGGACAGAAAACGGTGTTCGGAGGGGAGATGGGGGCTTGCATTAGAATTAGTGGAGTAATAAGCTAGCTGGTGTTTGTTGAGGGAGAAAGTCGGGGACATCTGAGAAAAAAATAACGAATGGATGCTTTTGGGCATGTAGATGGATGGGGGTCGGTTGCTTTCATATCTCGCGTGTCTGTCTTCGCTTTTACTCTCTATTTAACTCATCGGGTGTTCTTTTTTCTTGTATCTTTTTCTTTTCTTCCATAGGGAATCAACGACGACGGATTTAAGTTGTCGTGCCAAAGATGAAGGCGAAGGTGAAGGGGTGAGAGCTCGTGATGAACAAGCGAGACTGAACCATGCTGGGATCAAGTTGTTTCCAACACGTCTCCCCACGCCTCGTGTAGAGTATGTACGCGTCACCACCACACGTCCCTCCCTCCTACCTCTCAACCAAGATGACCGACTCCGAAGCAGCAGACCAACCACACAACTATGACTTCGACTCCGACCTCGACGCGGACCTCGACGCCTCGGAGTCAGAAGTGGATGCGGACCTGAACCCAGACCTCGACCTCGACCACGACTCCTCGCCGTCGCGCGCGTCCTCGCCCGCCTCCATCCCGGAATTACCAACCGGCGAGTTCCCAACGGTCGCGTCGCTAACGGGGCTATTCATATCGCACCTCGAGTGCAGCATCCACACGATTCTGTACGCGCGGGGTATCTACCCCGCGCGGCTATTCATGGCGAGCCGCATGTACGGCGCCGCCGTAAAGATGTGTCGTGTCCCGGCCGTAAACAGATTCGTGCGCGAACTGGTCGATACTGTCGGCGAGCAGATGCTCGCCGAGAATGTGCGCATTGTGGCGGTGGTCGTACTGTCGCCGGGCCCGCTGCGCGCGCCGCTGGAGAGGTTTTGTTTTGATGTGGGGTATTTGCCACGGGTGGGGGGGAGGGAGAGGCATACCCTCCTGGTGGCGGAGGATGGGATTACAGACCTCCCGGATCTACATGCGCAGTTCAGGAGTCTTATGATGCAGTTGGCCAGTGTGGCGGGCAGGCTGGGGAGGCTGCCTGAGGGCTGCTCGTTTACAGTTGCGTTGGAGCTGGAGGAGGGGGGTGTCCCCATCGAGCGCGAGAAGCGGTGGGTCGTCGAGGATCCGAAGATGACGAATGGAACGGTGGGAACGGTGGGGACGACGACGGTCACGCTGAGGAGTATTGTTAGCGGCGCGATGAATCTCGATGTCTGGGTCGAGGAGTCGGGGGCTAAGGCGAAGCTGCCGGTTGCTTGAGCTTGGAAGGCGGGGGTTGCTTGGGCTTGGGCTTGGACTTGGACTTGTAGATGACTTGGTGCGAGCATTGCTTTGGGGTTTTGGCGTCAGTTACTTGGTTACTTGGGCATGGATGTTGATGGATCGGCGCCTCTTTCTGAGGGTAAATATTGCTTTTACGGGCACGGTGTTGTTGGGTTCTTTAGTGAGGATTCGGCAATGCAGGTTGGAAATGGTTGTGAGATCACTTCTTCGTATCCTGAGTCGAGATCGTCGACTTGAAATATCACTCGGTGAAATCGCGATTAGTAGCTTCGGGAGTGCATGGTCTTGGCAGCGGTGACCACCGAGAAAAAACGTCGCCGCCAGTCGCCATCGCTGCGGCGATCGAGTCCGAAAATACCGGCACATCATTTGATTCGTTCGTTGAATTTACCTCGACGACAACCCTAATTCAAAGTCTATTCCAAGTACAAATGTAGAAATTCCGTTTGTGTTGTGCTCGTGTTCATCGGTTCCATTGTTGACCAAAAGAAGGCAAGAGTCAACCACCACCACTTCGCTTCTTTTTGGTGAAAGCCACTTGCCGCCCCTCGACTCGCAACCACACAGCCAACGACAACCACCTCCCAATCAACCACATCCGCCTCTCCATCCGCTCATCACCACCCAGCATTACACGCCCCGCTTCCCTCCATTTCTCGCTATTTCTGCGCAGAACTCAAGAATCGCACTACTCTACACATCACATCACTCCCGCCGCCACATTCAGTACCAGCACCACCTCGTACCCAGCAAAAATCTTTGTCGTCACACCTCAGCAGCAATAGAACAGCCCGCACTCGCAACATCCAAGTTCCATCACACATTCATAGTCAATCGGCATAGTCGGGTTCTGGCATTCCACCAGAACCGTCCCCAGGGCCGCGTCGGACCGACGCGAGTCCTTCCAGCACGATCATGCATCCCACACAACCCGGGGCGGCCGTGAGGCCTGCTGTTCCCGACAGCGCATATGGTGTCGGCGGTGGTGCCGCTCGCCGAAGAACAAATTCTGCGGTCACTCCTGCTCTGCCCCAGCAGATGATGGGAATCCCGTACTATCCTCCCCTACATCAACCTCTTCCGCCGCAGCACCACCACCACCAGCAGCAACACCACCATTACCAGCAACACCAACAACACCACCATCCCCATCCCCATCACCATCCTCACCAGTACATGTCAACACCTCCGCCGCCGCCACCTGTACAATCTCTACCGGTACCGCCGCCGCCACCCCCACCACAGCAAGTTGTTCCCGCGCCAACAGCTGTTCCTGCACCAAGAGCTGAACCCGTTGTGCAACGGCCACACTTCATACCACCGGTACGTGATTGGATCGTTGCCTGCTGCGGGATATCTGAAACTGACGTGGTGTAGTTGCCTTGGTACTCAGCTGAAGGGCAGCCTTTTCCAGGACGGCGTCGAAGACGAAGACGACAGCCACCTCCGAATACTGCCTCGCAGAAACCACAGCCACAAGCAAAAGAACAAGAACAAGCACCCACCACCCCCACCCAAATAAATCCACAGATTCCATCTGCCCCTGAACCGGCGACTCCTGCAACCACCAACCCTCCCTCCGAAGTCGATTCTACACATCCTACCACCCCCTCCTCTACCGCTCCTCCGTCGACTGCGACATCGGTTGCAGCCAAGAATACCCCGGTGGTGCCTGTTACACCACCTGCGGTTCCCCTCGTCACGCCCAAGTCCAGAGCGAAGAAGGATGGGGAGAAGCCTCAACCTATCTCAACCAATGGATCGACAAATGGCGGAACAGCACCAACCACACCTACAGCTCACAAGGTCGTACCGGTAACAGCCGCACCAGTGATACCAGCTGTTCCAGTTCCGGGCTCCGAGACAGCGCCAGCGCCGGAGCTCCCGGCGGCCCCAGAAGCACCAGCTAAGCCGGCGTTGTGGGCTGATCTGTTGAAGAAAAATAACGCTCAGAAGCCTGCCACTGCGGCCCCCGTGGCTGCCAAGACGAACACTCCTGCAAATGGACTCTACACTTCCCTTGGAGAAGCTCTTAATGCTTTCAAGATTCAGGACGCGATTGTTACACCCTTCCTGGAGCCCAGAGGGCTGGTAAATACCGGAAACATGTGTTTTATGAATGCCGTAAGTACATAGTCTCGGTACTGAGCTGGAGTAGGAGCTGACTGTCACAGATTTTGCAAACATTGGTGTTTTGTGGTCCATTCTATCATTTCCTGGACCGCCTTTCCAGCAGTGCTAGGAACATGAAGAATGATACACCTTTGATTGAAGCGATGATCATGTTCATGCGCGAGTTCAGGGTCATCACTACAGACTCAAAATCGAAGATTAAGAGCGATGACTTGGAGGCCCTCGGAGAACCGTTCGCGCCAGAATATTTTTACGAGACTATTCGGCAGTTAAAGAGGTTTTCGCACATGAAGGTATGGCCGCCAATTCTTATCGGTGGTGCGTTGGATGCTAACGGTCTTTACAGAGAGGCCAGCAGCAAGACGCCGAAGAGTTCCTTGGATTCCTTTTGGACGGATTGCACGAGGAGGCTGTGGAAGTCACGAAGAGAGTAGCGACGGAGACTCCGAAAGCGAATGGATCTTCAAAGAACGACGAGGCTGGATGGCTCGAGGTTGGCCCGAAACAGAAGGCATCTACGACTCGGACCACGGAGATCTGCGAATCACCAATCACCAGAATCTTTGGAGGCAAGCTTCGATCGGTTTTCAGCGTCCCAGGACTGCAGAACTCGGTGACCTTGGAACCCTATACGCCGCTGCAACTGGACATCCACCATCCCGACGTCAACTCGGTAGTAGATGCTCTGAAGCACTTGAATACCCAGGAGAAGATGCAGGGAGACTTCAACTCTCCAAAGGGACCCAACGTGGTCGCTACCAAGCAGGTCTCAATAGAGACCCTACCCCCAGTTCTAATCCTGCACCTCAAGCGCTTCCAGTACGATAATACCGGTGGTACCCAGAAGATTTGGAAAAAGATTGCGTACCCACTCGAGCTAGAAATTCCGCGCGAGGCCATGAGCAAGCGCGGAGCGCTGTCGAGATACAGACTCATCGGCGTAGTCTACCACCACGGCAGCTCTGCCCAGGGCGGCCACTACACCGTCGACGTCCTCCGACAAGACACCAAGACGTGGATCCGACTCGATGATACCTCTATCCAGATGGTCGCGCCGAAGGATGTCGCCGTCGACATCAAGGACATCGGGAAGTACACTGACAGCGAGGAGGTGCAGGAAGGCGGGTGGGTGAATAATTGGGAGCAGGTGAATGGCGGTGGAAGCGGCGGCAAGGGAGGCGATGGCAAGAGATATGTCGGCAAGGATAGCAGGACGGCGTATATCCTGTTCTACCAGAAGATTTAGGTGGTAGAAGTAAGTACGCGTGATGATGATGGGGGGGGAATATGTTCTGTTTGTGACTGGTGGTTTTTTTTCTTTCTTTTTTTCTACCTTTTGTCTCTTTTTCCTTTTCTCATTTTTCTTTGTCGTGGTTCAGTGTGGTCTTTTCTTTTCTTCGGGGCGACTGGTTACGGGTTGGTTCTTTTCCTTTCTTTTTCCCTTTCACTTTTTTATTCTTCTTTTCGTTCGGGTAGTGTGATGAGGGAAGTGTGGGGACGATGGGATGGGTTCGATATTGGGAGAAAAAAAGTTCCGATTTATCTTGGGTATGATTGACTGTATGGGTGGTGGTATGGGTGGTGGTATGGTGGTATGGTGATGAGGAAGTGGTGGGTTTATGAGCTCCTATACGAGTACATATGCCCTTCATGATTGTTTATTGTAGGTACCGGTACTGGGGCTTTTTTTGAAAGGCGTGTGTTTCCTCGGTGTGTCCTTAGCTATTGATTCTAGGATCTGGTGGATTGGATTGGGTTGGTTATGATGGTGAACCGGAGTGGGTATATTCCATGGTGTTTGGTTTCTTCACTATCACTCAATATCACGTTCCCGATCCCGATCTGGAGATTCCAAGAAAAGTAGAGTCAATTGAAATTCAACTACTCACTCACTCGCTCCTCCGTTATAATACTCTCTCGCCGTGACATCAACCCCCCATCCCCCATCGTAATCATACTCTACTACTCTACTACTCTACGACATCAATAATCCTACCGCCCAGCTGATATTCAAAGTCCTAAGGTCCTGATAGTTCTGTCCAACGCCCAGAAACACCACGGGGATGCCGGTGGCGTAGACCATACTGATTAATGTTCCGATCTGTCACTGGCGTTAGTATAGGTACAGAAAGAGAGAGTATGAGTGAGGAGGGCATACCATGTCGCCAACAGTGTCACACTTGCTGATAATAAACCCATCGAGCGTCCTGCCACTTCCAAACGCAGCATTAAAATTCCTGGCCTGCATGACAGAGTCCGTTCCCACGAGGGCCTCGCCGACCATCAGGATCTTGTCTGGCACCGCGAACTTCGCAAACTTCTCGAGGGAGCTCATAAGGCGCTGATCGTTGTGTCGGCGTCCGGCAGTATCGATCAGGACGACGTCGAACTTCTCGCGCTCGGCGTAGTCCACCGCGTCCTTCGCGATATTCGCGGCGTCCTTGCCGTAGCCCTTCTCGTACAGCTCGACTACGCCGCCCTCGCGCGCCGAGAGCTCGCCCAGGTTGCGCACGTGCACGCGCAGCTGCTCGACGGCGCCGGACCGGAAGGTGTCGCATGCCGCGATCAGGACTTTATACTTGTTCTGCAGAAGGAAGAAGCAGATCTTGGAGAGGTTGGTGGATTTGCCCACGCCGTTGACGCCGACGATCGAGATGACGTAGGGGCGCGCGCCGCGAGACTTCTTGTGCTGGATTTCGCGGAGGAGGTCGAGCGAGTTGGTTGGTGTCAGGATGCGCTTGATGGCGGCTTCGACCGAGGACCGCACGATCGCTTCGATGCTCTGGAAGGTTCCAGTCTTTTGCCCGAGAAGGCTGGTCTCCACGTTTTTGACGATGTCGTTGACCGCTTCTTGCGCGATGTTCTTCTTCAACAGGTGTTCGCGCATCCCGCCGAGCGCTTTGTCCATGTCTTCCCTCGTGAGAACCTTTCCGCCCACAAAGTTCTTGAAGAAGCCGAAGGCGCCGCCCATGGCGCCACTGCCCGCGGATTGCTTCTCGTCGGACTGCTTCAGTATTGCCTCCACTTCTTCGCCCAGTTCCTTCAGCACAAACTCGCCCTTCGACGTCTTCTTGCCCCATTCCTTCTGGTCAATATAGTCTAGTTTCCGTGCCACGACCGACTCCTCGCCGGACGCATCCTGCGCAGAATAATCGAGCACCCTTTCGTCCGCCTCGTCGGCATTCCCGTCGGCGTCCCACACGCGCCCTTTCTTGCCAGATTTCTTGCCACTCGACGGAGCCGGCGAGAGCTCATCGCCGCTGGACGCCACGCCGGCGGACTTCCCGCGACGTCCACGACCTCCGCGCGGACGCTTCGCCGTGATCAAGCCCGAGGCACCCATTCCCGGCGATGAGGGCCGGGAGCTGTCGGATGTGCCTGGGACCAGGAGACTGCCGGAGACGGCGGGCGAGCCGGGTCGCAGTGGCGTTCTCATGCTCCCCGGAATCGGCGGCGGCGCATCCCACTTGTCTTGTAGAGCGGGCGATTCGCTGGGCGCAGGCGCGGCGGCGACGACTGGTCGCGTGACCGCTCCGTATTTCTTCTCGAGGTCGTGCACCCGCGTGTTGAAGTAGTCATCGAAGTGGCACTCGATGGTGGACGTGTGAGGCTTCTTCAGCTGGTCGCCGTACAGCGATGTGAACAGCGTCTTGACAGTGTCGAGAAGCTCGTCGATCCATGTGAGCTGCAGAAGCGACTGGTACACGGCGATGAAGATCAATCCCAGGTCGTTGGCCGTGGTCCACTTCAGTGTGTAGGAATCCTTTTTGTACCATTTACCATCGCTGCCGGGCTGTGCGCGCTCTTCGATCAAGACGTCGCTGATGAAGCTGTTGACCACGCTGGAGTTCACCGGGGCGTATTTTTTGGACCACAGCAGGATGCCGGAGGTGGTCAGGATCTCGAATGAATCGAGCGCTGAACGAGCACCTACTTCTTCGGCCATGTTCGGAGAAGTAATATTCGCTATGTTGAACGGATATCGAATGATAGTTTCCAAGAAAGAAGTAGAGGTCAATAGGGGTTCGGTGATGATGGTGATGTGGTCACTGGTGCTTCGAGCTCTTCCTCTCTTTGTTCAAGTTGCGAACCCTGCAGTTCGGAAAATCCCACAGCACCGGTTTCCGAGATGCCCAGACTTTAATTTGAATTTGGATTTTAATCCTGGTATCTTATCGATCCATCTAATCTTATCGTCAAACAATGACGATGAAGCGGAGGCGGGGTTGAGGGTTGGGCAGTAAAGGGTGCAAGTAACTACATCGAGAACATATTGCTTTGTTCACTGTGAAGCCAATTCAAGAAGCGAGGGACAGCACAGGAGCACCTACTCTGAGCACGAAGTCTGCAACCCACATCTTCACCTCCTTCCGTTCTCAATTCCGTCATCCGGCTGGCCTGGTGCCCTTTTCCGTCGCATTCACCCACCGATTGATTGAGTGTACCAGCTCGTAAGTAACCACTACAAACAACCCCCGTCCAATTGCACTCAGGCATGAATGACTCAGAAGAGCTCCCATCTCTCTCAGCCGGATAAAGTTGAACTGACGATATATGATCACTCCATAGGGCCGATATTCTCCCCGTCAACCTTCAATTCCGCCACATCACCACCGCCTCTCTCTCCAAAATGTCAGGTCGACCAGACCCCGCACGGGACCCGATTCCCACGGCCTCGAACGTAGTCATGATTGACAATTACGACTCGTTCACGTGGAATGTCTACCAGTACCTGACGCTTGAGGGTGCCAACGTTACGGTCATCCGTAACGACAAGCTCGAGCTCGAGGAACTGATCGCGTTCGAGCCGACACAACTCATTGTGAGTCCTGGCCCGGGACATCCGCAGACCGACTCTGGAATCAGCATTCCCGCCATTGAATACTTTTCCGGGAAGATCCCAATACTAGGTGTCTGCATGGGCGAGTAAGTATTTATTCTCGAGGCGTGGGGGCGAGGTCGAGGTCGCACCTCGATTGGCGGCATGGCTAACTGAACGGCAGACAATGCATCTTCAGCGCCTTCGGTGGAACGGTTGAGTACGCCGGTGAGATCGTCCACGGAAAGACCTCCCACATCAAGCACGACGGAAAGGGTATCTACGATAAGGTTTCCCAGGACATCGCGGTTACCAGGTATCATTCCCTGGCTGGTACCCAAACCACGCTCCCCGCGGTGCTCGAGGTCACTTCTTGGACGGATTCGGGCGTCATAATGGGAGTGCGCCACAAGGAGTACACGATCGAGGGTGTACAGTACCATCCTGAGAGTATTCTGACCGAGGAGGGCCGCATGCTCTTCCGTAACTTCTTGATGATGCAGGGTGGAACGTGGATCGAGAATGATGCACTCCGGAAGATTGCAGCTACACCAGTGGCTACCTCTGAGAAGTCTGAGAAGGAAACGAAGGAGCCTACATCGATTCTTGACAAGATCTACGCGCACCGCCGCGCCGCTGTTGAGGCACAGAAGAAGCTCCCCTCGCAGCGACCATCGGATCTCGAGACGCTCCATAGTCTGTCGCTCTCACCACCGCTCATCAATTTCCCTGCACGGCTACGGTCGGTGTCGACAAAGTGCGCCATCATGGCCGAGATTAAACGAGCTTCTCCGTCGAAGGGCGAAATCGACATTGAGGCGTCTGCCGCGGTTCAGGCCCGAACATATGCCCTAGCCGGTGCTGCCGCGATCTCGGTTCTTACAGAGCCGGAGTGGTTCAAAGGTTCTATTGACGATTTGCGGGCTGCCCGTCAGGCCGTTGAGGGAATGCCCAACCGCCCTGCCATCCTGCGGAAGGAGTTCATCTTCGATGAATACCAGATTCTCGAGGCGCGACTTGCTGGCGCAGACACTGTCCTGCTGATCGTGAAGATGCTGGATGATGAACTGCTCAAGCGCCTGTACGACTACTCGAAATCATTAGGAATGGAGCCGCTGGTCGAAGTCAACAGCCGGGAGGAGATGACGAGGGCGTTGAAGATAGGTTCAACGGTTATCGGAGTCAATAACCGGGATCTACACTCATTCAAGGTCGACCTGGAGACTACCAGCGGACTGGTGGACATGATCGATGCAAGCAAAGTCACGCTCTGTGCGCTCTCTGGTATCTCGTCGCGAGCAGACGTGGAACAGTACGAAAAGGGCAACGTGGGAGCGGTGCTGGTTGGAGAGGCCCTGATGCGCGCCGGCAAAGGCGTCACATCGTTCATCGCGGAGCTACTCGGCACATCTGCACCCGAGCCGAGCAGACCTGAAGTGCTTGTCAAGATCTGCGGCACCCGAACAGTGGAAGCTGCCTCGGTCGCCGTCGAGACGGGCGCCGACATGGTGGGCATCATCCTCGTTGAGGGCGCCAAGCGCAACGTCGACGTCGCCACGCAAAAGGCCATTTCCGAAGTCGTGCACTCGACGGTGAAGGGCGGCGTGGAAACTGCAGAAGACATCAAGGTCTCGGACCACCACTTCTCGGCCGAAGACTGGTTCGAGCACTCGCGGTCACACATCATCAAGCACCCGACCCGCGCCCTCCTTGTCGGCGTATTCATGAACCAGACACTGGAATACGTCCTGTGCAAGACGCGCGAGCTCGACCTCGACATCGTCCAGCTGCACGGCGACGAGCCCCTCGAGTGGGCGCGCATCATTCCCGTCCCCGTCATCAAGCGCTTCGTTCCCGGCCAGGAGGGCCTCGGCAAGCGTGGCTACCACGCCATGGCGCTGCTCGACCCCGGCGCCGGAACCGGCCAACGCCTCGATGCCGAGAGCGTGCAGCAGGTGCTCAAGAGCGGCGTTCCGGTCATCCTCGCCGGCGGCCTCGACTACAAGAACGTCGGAGACCTGGTCAAGCTCAAAGAGGACGGGCTCGTCGGCGTCGATGTCAGCTCCGGCGTCGAGACCGAGGGCAGACAGGATTTAATGAAGATTCGAAAGTTTGTCTACCAGGCGAAGGGAAGGAACGGCGGGGATTAGTAGTTCTATCGTATGTGCCTGGGAACTTGCTTGCTTGGTATACTTTGTTACTTTGTTACTTTGTTACTAGTGGTCGGTTGTGGGAGAATTGATATCAGCTTGAGGTTTTGTTGCGGCATAGGATTTCCATGTATCTAGATGACGGCGTCATCGCCGAACACTGTGATTCTGTGCTTGTGTGCAACTAATAAAAGTGCGGGGGAAACCCTCTCCTTATATGTATGTGGCTGTCAGATCCCAATCATCTTCCAGCACAATTCCTGTTGCCTTGAATGACTACCAGTGATCCGGAACGTTCCCAGATCTACCCCGCCGTGTCTCACCTTATCCCCTGGATCGTAGAAATTGATTTTGCGGGCTTTTTTAGCGACCGCAACCACTTTGCCCCATCAAAAAAAAAGTGAACCGATTGTACCCCCCCCCCCCCCAAAGTGAGAGTCGAAGGACTGCTTTTCATGTTGGCTACCCACATCTGAAGTTTGATAGCATTAGCCGATGAAGTGGTTGAAAAATAGTGGTGTAGAATGGGAAAGGTTGAGGCTAGTGTCAAACCTCGAGATGTCTGACAGAAACCTGCGTCATCAACCACGCAAAATCTCTTATGTTCCCTCCTTCTCAGACGATGATCTCCACCCACCGGACTCCACATCTGGCGAAAAAAGTCCACCGAAGGGCAAAAGACCGGTGAAAAAAACAAAAATCTCGGAAAATCACTCGTTCGCGTCCACAAACGCACACTTGGCTCCCTCGTCGCCTCCAGAAGAGTCAGATACCTCCGAGCTTCGCGCAATTGAGCCCAAGGCAACCCCCCACGCCGCCTATAATACGATTGCGCCAATGATCGGACATCTTGATACGATTGAACCTTTCAACATGTTGCGGCTCTAGGGTTACCGGTGACCATGAACGACCAGTGAAGAAGAGTAAAACTATGGGGAAGGCTAGAGAGGCATTTGACGATGTTCTTGAGACAGAAGTGGCAAATTCTGTCTTTTTCGATGACTACAATCATCATATGGGCGGGGTTGACATTGCCGACCAGATACGGAATTACCACGATACGCAACTTACTTCCTTACGAACATCGTGGCCTGTGCGGCTTTGGGCATTTGACACAATGATCACCAACGCGTATATTATCTTCTCTGCCATCGACGAGACCCCAACGCTCTCCCACAATGAGTTCCGGCTTCAGTAATTCTTATGACACCTGACCGAAACACTGCTTCAAAACCACAACCATCAACCACCGGATCGAAGCGACAGATCGTCACAGTGTCGACTACCCTACTGACTAGCTGTAGACATGATTTTGGAAATATCCCTAAGCATTTTCTGGAGTGAGTAGGATACTGGTGTTGCCGTTGGGTTAATCGCGGAGAAGGTGCAACCAAGAATTTACCGAAAAGTTTTTGGGCCTGGAGTTAGTGTGATTTACCAGTTTGTCTAAAGGAAGAGCACAACTGCTTTAAAGTATTTTATGAGTCTTGGAGTCTTTGGATGGCTAATGTTGGTCTTTGTCGAGGACTTGGTGGATGGGAGCGGATTGTTTTGATCATGAGAGCGGGAACTGCTAGAATAAGTTGCCCCACCACAGAGCTGTAACGAAATAGAAATGTTTACTTGCATCTTCTCTAAATTACTATCTAAGAATATTATGGGGTTTCAATCTCTGTATTGTGAGGGTGTGCTGGATCTTGCGGTCGATTGCAACCGCAAACGAGCTACGGTCCAGGGGATAGAGGGTTAAAAAAAGTGAATATCTAATCCTCCAAAAAAGCGCGCGTTCAGTATGGCTTCCAAGCAGCTCGTCCCTTGCCTACATAGGTATCACAGTCGCTCTGCTCCCTTGAAAGCTGAGGCTACGTCTTAACCTTAAGGCTTAGCTGGGCGGTGGGTGTGTCGTTAGGATATCACTCATCACCTCCGCTTTATCGTCCACGTCTACGGTCTTCTGGTAGCCAACCCTACAGTGACAAGTCTTTATCGAGCTCGAGCGATATATTCTCGCGGTAGTCGTACGTACTTACAGTACCACCAGCCCGAAACACAATAAGGAGTACATCGACGTACGTACACACCATTCAATCCATAATCGCGTTTTTCACCACCACTTCTAGACCTACATACCTAACATAACTTATAAAATAAAATAAAATAAAAACGTACAAAGTCCGCGTACATACTTCTTATACGCCTACATATCTAACCCAGGTCCTCGAGCGCCCGATCCAGGCCACTCATATCGAACGTGGCGAGACACTTCCCGCCCTCACAGACCTGGACGCACGATCCGGCGCTGTTCTTCTTCTTTGCGGCCAATCCTTCCAGCGTAGCTCTGTACAGTGGATTCCTATCGAGTAGCCACTTTCCGCTGGGCTCCTTCTCGAGCCCCGGATGCAACCGGACGACCGTGGTGTTTGTCAGCAGGCGGGAGCGGATCTTGGCCAGCTGCTCCCTGATTTCCGTGCCGTCTTCGTGTGTGTCCGCGAGGACGATAGAGCGCATGCCCAGGTTCGACGCGACGATCGACGCCATCAGAGACGAGAACATGGACGGGTGCTCGAGGATCTCGGCGGAGAAGGCGGTGCACGTTTTTCGTGCGTGGTCGGCGTACGATGGGATGTTCAGAATGGAGCCGAGGCGGAAGAGGTTGTTTGCTGAGACGCCGTTGGTGGAGGGTTCCTGGGAGTCGAGACCTGCGGAGTGTCGTTAGCCGCGTGTAATATTGTCACTCGGTGAAGGCGGCTTACCATCCTTGAGACGGAGGATCAGGCCGTCGTTGATTTCTGCCGTGGCGAAGAATCCGCCGTTCTCCTTGTCCCAGAAGATATCGAGCTGGGTCTTCTGGAGATCATTGGCCCACTTCAAGTAGCTCGCATCAAATGTCGCCTCGTACAGCGAAATCAGGCCGTAAACCAAGTATGCGTAGTCATCCGCAAAACCCGGCGTGTCGCCTGGTCCCTCGCGGAAAACACGCTTCAGGAGGCCCGTTTCCTCGTCGTACAGGTTCGTCTTGATGAATGCGGCCGCTTTCTCGGCGTATTCCAGCCACCTCCTTGTCTCATTCGGATGGGATGCCCCGAGAATCGCCGCAGCCCTAGAAAGCGAGGCGATGGCCAATCCGTTCCAGCTGGTTACGATCTTGTCATCCAGGTTGGGCCGTGGTCGCTCCTTGTTTCTGTGCTCGAGGAGCTTCTTTCGTCCGGCCTTGATGATGGCCTCGATCTGGTCCACCTCCAGCCCAAAGGTTTGGCTGAGCTGTTCGATTGTCGTGACCACGGCTAGCACATTTTGGTGGATGAATTCGTCGTGGGCGTCATCTTCCGGATCGACGTTTCCACCTCGGTGGACACTCCAGTACCGAGCGCAAACGGACGACTCTTGAGCATCGAGGATCACATCGAACTCTCGCCTCGTCCAGACGTAAAATGCACCCTCTATAAAAATTGAAGCTGTCAGGGCCGAGGACTCGTGCGCAAGCTGGGTATTGTTGGGTCCGTCTTACCTCGCTTTTCTGTATCTGTACTCCGGTATAGCGAGTCCGCGCCTTCGGACGAGAAGAATGCCCCCGCAGGGTTTGACAGTGCGCCGTCGCACAGATAGTCAGCGGTTTGGATCGCAGTTTCCAACAGCAGCTCGTCATCGGTGACCAGCCAGGCGTCGAGATATACGCCCAACAGTTGAGCATTGTCGTAGAGCATCTTCTCGAAATGAGGCAGGCTCCAGTCGGCAGTGACGGAGTAGCGAGCGAACCCGTGTCCGATCTGATCGTGAATGCCACCAAGGGCCATATTCTAAGAAGACGATCAGCACTGTGGGGGGAAAGGCCGGAATGACTGAATCCAGATACCTTCAGCGTTGTGACGACCATCTGTTTTGCATTCTCGCACTCTCGCTCACCGATGATATCCTTGATCAGCGTTGGGAATGCACCCAGCCGCAGCAAGAATGCCAACTTGACGGGCACCGGAAACTTGGGAGGAACTGCTCATCGCCTTGGTCAACAACGATCCTACTCTGTAAGGTTACAGAGGGGAAAAGCACGTCCAAACCCGCCATGCACCGGGTCATATCTGGTATTGAACTGCTGATAAGCCTCTTCGAGCAGATCGAGCTCGAGCGTTTCCTCCGACCCCTCGCCGGCACCCTTCAATCCCTCGTCCGTGAATTCTTTAAGGCGCTGTAATATTTCCTCCGCCGAGGCCAAGAACTTTGTGGGCTGCTCCTTCCATGTCTGGACGATCTTCTCCAGGACCTCCTCGAATCCAATCTGGCCTTTGCTTGAGTTTGGCCCGGGCCAGTAGGTACCGCCGAACACGGGCTTGAGATCGGGGGTCAGGAACACGTTTAGAGGCCAGCCACTACAGTAGACGGATCAGCAAACGGGTCTGAGCGCACACCCACGTCTACGGGGGGGACAAGATCCTTTACCCCGAACCTGTAGTCGCCTCGACCTTTGGGGAGGGCATCAGCAACTGCGATCTACCCGACCAATTCCATTCCGCCGACTTGACTCACAAAGTTCATGTATATCCGGTCGATATCAGGCCGCTCCTCCCTTTTGCGTTTGTCAGAGCCCATATAGATATATAGCAGAAGCACCTCTCCCGCCACAAGCGCACGCACCTATCGATTTTTATAGGCACAAAGTTCTCGTTCAAGAGCTTCGCGATATCTTCGTTCTCGAAGCTCTCGCGTTCCATGACCTGCGGCGTTTGAGCAACCCGTCCGATCCCCATCCCATCCTATGTAGGTTGGTTCCGACTTACATGGCACCCTTTTTGATCGCGCGAAAAAGGTAGCAAGACATCAGCACCGTCAGAGAAAACGAAACATCGGGAGGAACAGGCAAAACCCACAGTGACACGCCGAATAACCAATGCTCACGAACAGCACGCGGTTGTGTTTCTTTGCCAGCGCCAGCGTCTCGGGCGACCACAGCTGCCAGTGGACCGGGTTTCCGGCGTGCGCTCGAACCTACAATCCCCCCACCCCCGCGTCTATACTCAGAATCCCGTTGCAGATAAAAAAAGCAAGGGAGCAGGAGGAGGAGAGGGGAGGAGTGTGTGCGCGCGAAAAGAAACCTCTCCCGCCGCCGCCACAACCACCACCACCACCACCACCACACCCGCAGGAAGCGCGTACATAAGGACTACGGCTCTCCTCAGCCCTATTCTCGAGCACGAGTTCATCGGCGCTCTGGTTCTCGCTAGCATTTGCCGTTGACGTGGCGGATCCGGGAATCCCCTTCGCGGCGGTGGACGTAGTTATGTGTGGAGGAGGCATTGCGGCGGCAGCGGGGGTGGGTGTGGTGGTGGTGGTTGCGGTGGCGGCGGTTGCGGCAGGCTTTCCGCTCGGCGTCATGGAGAAAAGTTTATGGCTGCTTGCTTGCTGCTGCAGCGCAAGTTGGGGGAAATATTATGGGGACGCGGCGGAGATCAGGGCGTGGTCTATGTAGTATGGTGGACAGTTTTGTATCATACGGCAGGCAGGCAAAGCAAAGAACGACTGCATGCATCCTTGGGTGCGAGGGAGCCTCAGAGCCCCCCCACCACCACCCCACCGTCCACCCCACCTCGTGCACGCTAAGAATTGAGCCGGTGACGTCGATCAACATCGCTCATCTAGAAGGCCCAAACTATCTATGCACGCCGCCCAATGAAAACTCGCGACTCACGACTCTCCATCCGCGCGTGTCGGATATTTTAACGCTTCACCGCGGCCTTCAAGGCTTCGAGCGAGCGCAAATATAGTGGTTAAGCATCGAGAGTACGGTGGGTAAATAATGGCCGCATTCTCTATTTCCTCGACACCAGTGTACCATACGGTACCAGGCAAGTACCTCGGTAAGTAATACTTTTTGGCAGTGAACGATATAGCAGAACGGGCGCATTCCAGTCACCGGCCGGTGGTTTATTTGCATGAAGTTTGAAAGTGTGTCTATTTGGTATACATAGCAACACTGTTATTTTTGAGTGAGTCGGCTGTTGCCACATGCCACATACCAGGTAGAAATATTATACTTCCCGTTTCATGTCATACATAGAGCTTATCGACTGGGTACCCTTCTTGATTGCGGGTAGAAAACGGCTTTCGAGGAAGGAACTTGGAAGGAGCTTGGAATGAAGGGAGCAGGTCGTAAGGCTCACTCAATGTTGTCCAGACTCCAGTGTGATTTGGAGCCGGACCGTGAACCTACTGAAGTATGTGTTGTACTCTATCCAACGAGTGGTCACTGGTCTCACCTCGTCTCGCATCTCATCGTATCGTACCGTATGATAGCCGGTTATCTCTACTCTTTACGCGAGTATATAAGTACGGTATTATTACTAGCAGTGAGGATCATGAGGATCGTGATCACTGAGGATCACTGTGGGGATCAGAACCCTGTGTGCCGTGGCATCAATATCGATATTTATATCGATGTTGTCGATCAGTGGGTCTCGAGGACCGCACGCAGAGCGACGATGAGGTGAGGAGTGGGGGCATATCGGGAGGCCGCGAATGAATCATGATATTGGTCGACCGCTACAGTACAGTACCTACTTGATCCACTCGAGACTTCGCTTCATTATCTTCGAATCCACACAGGGAGTCGGTAGGTATTCCGGCGCATCCATTGGATGCCGAAACGATTCCTCACCCGGACACATAATATCACTCGGCCCACAGCCCCTCCCCGAAATCCGTGCGACTTGCAATTTCCGCGCCCCATAAGCGCGTCTCGGCTGTGCGCAAAACAAAACAAATTGATGATCCCCTGTGCTTACTGGTATACCGTAGTTCAGTGGAGGAAAAGTATGAGAGTACGAGACCTCCGGGTCGGTGAGAGTCGAGAGTCGAGACCTGCGGGCCGCACTGCGGCCGCAGCGACGGGCACAGCGGCGGACACTGCGGCCTGGGGGCGGCCTGTGCCGTACTTATGGTAGCCCGCCAGTCCGCCAGCACACCAGCCCGCCAGTTCGGAAACTGCATATCTAGACAACCGAACGAGCGATTGCCGTCGATACTCCACTCCACTCAACTCTAGATAAGCTCCTACTTTGTTACCTACCTCATAGGCAGCTAGGCAAGCAAGTAGCCGTATCCGTGATCAGCTGAACCCATCGCAACTCCCCACTGCGCGTGGAATTGCGATCGTCGGCCAGAGGAAAAAGCAAACAACCCAAAAAGCAAATACCACCACCAACACCAACACGAGTCTCACTGCGGACCTGCAGTCGTGATAGGGGCCAGGTCCAGGTAAGGGGCCAAGGGTTGGAATTTGGCTCACGCTCATTCCGTTCGTGCGTGCGCCGTGCGCGGATGGGACATGTGCGTGCTGGAATCAAAGGCAAAGGCAAAGGCAGTTCCTTAATCGGAGAAACGAGAGAAGCTAACCAAAGGTGTTCTATGCCAGAGGCAGATAGAATACTCTATTGGGCTACAGGAAACATCAAGACTCAGTGGCTCAGGGGGTTGCGACTTGGGACATCAGGACAGGTACTCAAGTACCGATGTATAGGATAGGTATTACGAATGGTGATAGGATTACGCATTAAACTCAATCGTTTCCAGAAACAACCAAAATGACATTCAAAATGTACAGCTATGGAACAACAAAAAACGCACACAGGATATCGATATGCGACGAAAGAACCTCTCAGCCCGCATGAGAAGAACGGGGGCTTTACACGGGAGCGTACAGAACGTTGTCCTGGTACTGTCCCTGAACGTTGCCTGCGGAAAAAATCATGAATCAGTTTTATGCTTCGAGGGGGCGATTCGAAGGATGGGACGGGGTACATACCGGCATCGGCGTATTCGCAGGTGAAGAAGTTTCCGAGATCACCACAGGCGACGGTGGCACATCCGAGACGGGTGGTTCCCTTCCAGATGACCTGGGTGAAATGACCAGTGGCCATCTATTCAACAGTTAGCGAGCCGGAAGAAGAAACGAGTCGATCGGAGTGGTAAAACTTACGGAGAAGCCACCGTGGGTGTAGTCGTAGTTCTCGTCAACACCCTCGTCGTACCATCCCTTGATGAACTCCTCGGGGGTTCCGTCACCGCCAGCAGCCAAGTTCTCTCCGTACGCGCCACCAGAGTGGGCGAACACACAGGTCGAAGACACGCCCTGGGCGAAGTTGGCCAACTCATCGTCCCACACGAGAGCGGGAGCACCGTGGGCGGCACGCCTGGTGTTGTGGGCCTCGAGACACTGCTCCGAGAAGGAGCCGGGCTCGACGGGAGATCCAGTGGCCTTGGGCGCGTCGCTGGAGGTGGGCTCGGCCTCGTCGGTCGGCTCGGGAGCGTAGGTGGGCTCGGGAGCGTAGGTGACGGTCGGCTCGGGAGCGTAGGTAGTAGGCTCGGGTTGCCAAGTGTAGGTCTTGGTCTTGACGGTGCCGTAGCGCGTCTTCTTACGGCGGACGGTCTTGGTCTTGATGACGGGAGCGGCCGTCTTGGTGACGTACTCGTGGTAGTACTCAGTCACGACGGGGAGCTCGGCATCGGTGCAGGTGGTCTCGGCAGCGTAGTAGTCGACACCACGCTCGACATTCTCGGCGGGGGACGCAACGACGGCCGTAGCGGCCAACAGGATAGCGGTGAGGGCAGAGTAACGCATTTTGTGTGATTCGATTTGATTTACTGTTCTGATGAAGGCACGGCCCGGGTTGTTGTCGGGGATTAAGGAGGGCGGACAGACGGGTTCGAGTCGAAGGACTGTAAATAAAGCTCTGCTTTAAATTCTCTGGGGGTAGAGGTTGTGGGGATTGAATTTGCAGTTTGGAGGATTGAAAAGAATGACGAGCAGCTGTGGGAAAAGCACTGAGAGAGTGATTGCTGTTTCGAAAGCTGGGATGCAAAGTCAGGACGGGGTGGACGTCTGGTGGTGGGAAATGGAAGCAACGAGGCGGGGAGCTGGAGAGACATATATACCCCAATTTACGGGCAGCCATTCAGGAGCTGGGGGAGGGGGGGATGGGATGGGGGATTGGGGGGGGGGATGGGGGAGGGATTGGGGAGGGAGTTAGGCCGACACACCCTGAGCGGTTCCTGCAGACGACAGGGACCCAGACGCTTATTGGCACATAGAGCAGTGGCACCCATGCGAGCTCGAGCTTATAGCACTAGCACATACATAGGGGGGGCACAGGCGCGAAGACACGACGGCGTGGGGCTCAGGCCGCCGTCTCTTGGAGAACACAAGACTTTTTTTTTCTCTCATTCTTTGCTGTGAGCTTGTTTGAAGGGGTAGGCGCATAAGCCCAAGTACCGTATGTACCCAAGTACCTGCTCTCACCTACATGTCGACCCCCTTTGCGGACGGCGTCCCCCTGCCCTGCCCGACTGCCCAGTGCCCAGCTCCGTTGGCGAACCTTCTAAGCTCGACTCAACTATGGACTAACTAGCGAAATTGGGTATTCAGGTACCAGGAACCAGGAGATCCCCTCAAGGAGTTGAAACCCACTTCCCCATGGAAGAAAAAAAGTAGTATGGTGGTTGCGATAGGGAGTTGACCCCGATAGGTATGTAGATACGTGCTTAGATAGCCATCACGACGATGCATCGAAACACTCCGTTCGCGATCGACAGACACGGGACAGAAGGACAACCCCGTATGTCTGTAACTTGGGACCGACGGGACGGGCGACAATGGTGATGGTGGTGATGGTGGTGATGGTGGTGATGGTGGTGATACCAGGCAGTTACCGTACACGAGGGTGTGATGTCCGGGACGCATTTTAGAGTATCTGCATACTACTTCTCAGGTAGATTGGTGTCCCGGCAACTGATGCATATGAAGAGTACGAGTACATAGAGTACCAATTCTACATACATGGAGTGAGAACATGTATTCCACGGGCCCAACAAGGCGGGGACAGCCGTCTCCATATGATATGTGCCATACATACGAGGGACGGACGGAAGCAATCTTCGAACCATGCCCTGAATCTTCTGCCTAACTTCTTGTCTATGCACATGGACGATACTCTAGGTACTCCACAACTACGACCAGCCAAGACTGACGATGTTGTTTCCAGCCCTGTTTTCCGTGGGGAAACCGGCGGTGCAGCCAGATTCCGCGTGGCATGCGATCCGCTCCTCCGCTACTATGTAACGAACTGGTTAGTTGGGCCACGCATCCAGTCACGACTCTCCTCGGGGAGACCACCAAGGCCCAAGGGAAATGAGCAACCCGGGCTATTCGGAGAATGGGGGGGGGTGGGCTTCGTGAGGCGTGACGTCTTCGCCGACAGGTTGGGAACTTGGGACGGATGGTGTTCACCTCCTGTGTATTCCGTGTAGTTATGTCGAGTGTGCACCGGTAGGTAGAGTAGTTGTTGGTTGGTTGGTTGGTTTACCTGGGGAGAGCATAGAGTATCGAGCAGGTACTTACATTTACCTGGGTACATAGAGGTTGGCCATGGCTTGCAGCGAGTTGGGCGGGAACCAACAAGCATGTAGATACTCTAACTGCATATCCAGGTACTCTACCGGGAAATTGAATCACGGTCGAGAAACGGCATGCGGACTTGCAATCTCGATCAATCGACTGTGTCTCGGTGTTTGCTTACTACTAGATACTAGTAGTAGGCCATGGATCAGTCGAGTCGGTGGAGTATGTAGATATTTGGTGGTAGAGTAGGTATACGCACGAGTTGAGGACCGAAACACCTCATCATCACCGACTTTGTACTCTACATGGCATAGGTACCGGTGGTAGGTAATTGGAGTGCGGTATTCTAGAGTACAGTTGCCACCGGAGGGAAGGAACGAGTGTCCAGTGGCCCTCTCTCGCTTGTGAGGGCATCGCCGGGGCAGCAGATGGCAAATGCTGGTTTTCGAGTGGATGTCCATCACTGGAGTTTGAGAGTTCCACCGGGCATGCAGATGCATGGCAAAGCTGACTTTCGAGTGGAAGTCCATCCACCATCCACAACTGGAGTTTGAGAGTTCCATCGTCGTACCTGCAGTCTGCAGTCTGCAGATGGCAAAATCCAAATCCTGCCACACATTACGGTATTATTATTATCGACATTTCCGCGCGCCTCGTACTCTATGTACTCCATGTACGGTACCTGCGTCCCCCGCACCTTAACACGTTGATTGGCCGGTTCCGATTCCGAAAGTCCATTCGTCGGCCGTCACGCAGCTCCACGCAGCTGCTTCTTCTTCACGAGAACCCGCACGCGCGCGCGCACTACCATCAGCAGCACTACCATCAGCAGCACTACCATCAGCAGCAGCAGCATCATCACCAGCGCCATCATCGCCAGCGCCATCGTCACCGTAATCGTCATCGTCATCGTCATCGTCCTCGCCGCAACGTGGTGGGAAATTACTGTCTCGTCTCCCTCTCCTCCATCTCCTCCCCCTCCTCCTCCTCCTCCTCCTCCTCCTCCTCCTCCCCTCCCCCTCCATCATGTTTCTTTTCCCCTCCCCGCCCCTCAGCCTCTCCCCCCTTTTCGCTGACGGAGTGACAGAAAAGAACAGCAGAACAGCAGAACAGCACAGCAGGAATTTGAGACTCTGCGTTTCGCATTCCTGCACGCCTTCGTTCTTTCTTTCTTTCTTCCTCCGCAGTTGTCCGTGCGGCCGCAGGCCGCAGGAAGGAAGGATGCCTGGGAAAAATAAGAAAAATACATGAGAAAAATAAGAAAATAAATGCCTGGCAACTGGTTGCACCTGCCGATCGCAGCGGATCGACTGGATGCGACTTGACAAGATTTGACAAGACTTGCCTCGCTGACACCAAGACTGGTGGCTGCAACTCAAGCTGCCCCTATGATCCATCGAACCCCGGATCGCAGCGGAGCCGGAATGATTTGTCTCGCTTGAGGGGCGGAGTGGGTGAAGTGAGTGTCGTTGAACTCTACTCAACTTCCCCGTCGAGCTTGAGCTTGTTCTTGAGAATACCCTATTTCTCGCAAGAATAGGTGAGTACAGTAGCTACGGTGCCTAAATGTTGTAGGTACCAGTACATTCCTGGACTGGCAACCGGCGCAAAGTCCCATTCCTGGTCGGGCATTCGATGTTTTCCAAGCAGTTTCCGTGAGAACCTCTCCATCGCATCTCCGTCCATCGCATCTGTTGCAGGAATAACTCGTGAAGAGCGCGGAGTGAAGTGTGCGGAGTGCAGAGCGGAGCCTAACTCCGCCAATTTCGTTCCCCCCCGATGGGCTCGTGTTCACTGTTGACAGTTGTGTCCAGACTCCAGTCCAGATCTATAACTAGAATCTAGTTAGAGTCGGGCTTCAGCCCCCCCACTGGTGTCCGCGGGGGCTGAGAGCTCAGAGGATAGGATAGGTCCCCGGTACATATGATAGGCCCCGGTATTGGTTGATACCGTATTCTATGATACGGCAGTACCTGACTAACGAATAGCAGCTTATGCTGTGCTATGCGATGCTACAATGCCGTACCTGCAGACGAGCCACACAGCAGCATGCCGAGCAGGAACAGCAACAGCAACAGGAACGGCAACAGGAACAGCACAGGAACAGGAACAGCACAAGAACAGGAACAGCACAAGAACAGGCACAGGAATAGGCTGCAGCATCCTTCAAAGGGATAGCTACTACCTATCATAGGTAATAGCCAGTAAATACACATCATACACACCATACACATCACACACCATACACACTATACACATCCCACATCCCACACATACCGTATCTACGGCATGTGCAGCTCCTGGGCATCTGAGCTCCTGGGAGTCCGAGAGTCTGAGAATCTGAGAGTCCAAGGGTCTGAGACAGCGCCAGCTACGCCTGCGGTCGAAACCTAGAGCTTGCAACTTGCAACTTGGAATCTGAGAGACAAAACCTGAGAGACAAAACTTCAAAGATCAAACCAAAAATACCCTTTCTGTTCGAATTCAGCCCTACACAGAGTACCACCGGCATACCTAGACTTGGGTATACTGTGATAGCACCGGTATGTACTTGGGTATACATACTGTGATAGTACCGGTATGTACTTGGGTATACATACTGTGATAGTACCGGTATGTATACTCCTGAAAATCCGCTACCAAGAAGCACAAATACCAATAGATACATACCGGTATTGACGGTTACAGATTCACCGTTCACCGTCCGCCGGAAGTCGGAAGTGGAAGTTGGAGCCCGCAGGTTCCACCGGACAGCAACATCATTCCGGTGTCCGGTAGCCGGAGTCTGGAGTCCGGCTGGCCTGTCACCGCGGGAGCATGAGCATAACTATCCACGATCATCCGCAAGATACCGGTATGTACTGTATGTACCGATATGTAAATACCGGCAGCAACGAAGGGATGATTTTCCAAAGAACCAGCGGTAGATGAGACATAGGTAGGTGTCCCCGTTGAATCTTGACATGTCCGCCCGTTGACATCTCCGCCCAGCTACTACTATACATAGCACTCCATTAATAGGCAAGGCACGTACCTATCCCCGCATTGGTACCTATCTCAGCAGCGAGGCCGCCCACGGTCCACCGCCGCATCGTTCGACGTTTGGCGAAAGAGTATTTTATGGAGTGGGCGAAGCGGCGGAGTTGTGGGACTGCAGTCTGCGGTGTGACTATGGGGTCCGTTGTTTCTGGACTCGGGACTCGAGGCTCGGGAGATGGTTATGATGTGCGGCGGAAACGGCGGTACTCTATGTATTGTACTTGGGTATTGTCGTTCGGCCGACCGCTCGCAGTCGCCGTCCGAGGGTTGAGGATTGAGTGGCTCGGTTGATGTCACTTCCGATTATGTGCCGTGGAGTCGTGGACATTTTCATCCTCAATCGATAGTACCTATACCAGTAATAATAGTTACCGTCCATACCACGAGTCCATGACCACGGTACCAGCGTGTATTCCGAGACACCGAGACGCCGATAGGTACCCCATACTCACGCCATACCCACCTCATAGGTACTCTATGTACCTATCATACATATTCAGGCATCTATATACGGTATGCACCTCCACAGTCCACCCGTTCGAACTTCACTTCGCAAGCGGTAGACGAGACACCTGCCCCCACCCACAGCCACACACACACACACACACACACACAGCCACCGCGCCTCCCCGGCTCGCAGACTCCCAGGCTCCCGCGCAGAAATGCGCAGTCTGCTTGGCAGAGCCAATGTATAGAGTACCTCATCATATGTACCGGCATGTTCCAATATACGTCCGTGCGCATGAGGAGCAAGAGAATCCCCATCCCCATCATCCATGGCCCACGGGGGGGGGCGGCGACGTGACGAGACGAATTTCCCATCCACCCATCCACCCATCCGTCCGGATGCGGGGGGCGGTGAAGTTCCACGGTTCCGTCCTGACCTTGGTCCCTTGGACAATTTTCAGGCAGACATCACTGCGTTCCTACTTGGGTTGTTACGTATGTGCCGTATTCGTCCCGGAAGCCTTGCGTGTGGTAAATTCGGTAGATTCGGTAATAGTAATAGTAAGCACTCGGCTGCAACTCGAGATTGCACGGCGTATGTACAGATGTAAGAGTACATACGGTACCTGAGTAGGTAGAGTGCACACATGCAGGTGCTCGTATTCTCCAGTGCAGCCTCGCCTCGGCTCCACCGGCATTGCTGCATCAGCCTGCCTGCCTTGCCCACCAATCTTCTGCCTGCCTGCGTGCCGTGGGCGAACATCCCCGAGCCGGCGCCGGGCTACTCGATCGAGTACGGTAGTCTCAAGCAGTCTCAGTTTCACCATCCCGTCCCGTCCCCTTCCCCCATCAGTCAACCAGTCAACCATGGCATCGGAAAATGAAAAAAAAATCACGAAAAACCATGGAAAAAATGGACATGAGAAAAAAAAGAAGCAGAAGAAAACCCCCCCGTCAAATCATGTATGCATACGGTACATACCGCATGTCCATATGTACCTCGTAAACAAGCAAGAAAGTACCGTATGTACCTTCATGTACACACTCGTACATACAAGCCCCGTGTTTCAAGTTTCAACAATTCACGCTTGCAGGATCTTCCAAGTCCCGACCCGATGGTGGTTGGGGTTTCCGGTTTTTGCTGATTCCTTCCTTCCTGGCCTTGCCTTGCGGGGCGAGAAAGAACGAAGAAGGTTCTAGTGCGGGACGATAGTAATCTAGAGCTCGTAACATGTGTATCTGTATGCAGCATGTGTAGACGCGGGCGGTAGCGCTGGTCTGCTGGAGCCTGGCGGTGATGGATGGATGCATCGTGGGCATGGGCATGGGCGGCGAGGTATCGATAGGCAAGTACCTGGGCAAGTATGTAGAGTACCTGGTAGGTACCGGAGAGTACACGCCCCTCAGTACACACCAGTACAGCACGGTACGTCCGGTGCGGTACGGTGCACCACACCGCACCACATGGTACACCACGCCGCACCGCACGGCACCGCGTCTGCGTCTGCGGGCTTTTGGGGGCGTTGTTTCAATATTACGGTACGAGCATGTAGAGTATGTAGAGTTGAGAGTTGAGGGTGGGATGGGGGGGGAGGAGGGGAGGGGGGGAGGGATGGGGGGCGACGAGGCCAGCGGGTTCCGACAACCGCTGGCGACGTTGCCAGCAGAGCAGAGCAGAACGTAGATACCGTACCGTACTTAGGACTTGGGAGTACTCGTATCTATTCTAGCCTGCGGTGTTTTCCGTTTCCGTTTATGTTTCCATCTCCGTTTTCCGTCCCTGTTTCCATTCCTGTTTCCATTTCCATTTCTGTTCGCCATGTCCAAACTTCAAACTTCGAACCTCAAGCGCCTGTGCAGTTTGCCACTCGGCCCCCGCCCCAACCCCCGACCCCGCCCGGTGAAACGCCGCCGGCGGCGGCGAGGCTCGACGAGTCGTCGTCGTTGGCGGCGGACGTTGCCGGTACTATGATAGTTATTCCCGTGAACCGGAGCGAGGGGATAGGGATGGTGTGAGCAGGGAGGGGAAAGGCGTGCGAGGCTTCGTGTTTCCCGTCGGCGAAACACCGTGAATATGTGCCCTTCCCCCTCCCCCCCTCCCCTCCCTCCGGGCGAGTGCAGGATATGTGGGACTTCGATCTCGATCTCATGGGGGCTGAAGTATGTACGGTAGAGTGCATAGTACACGTGGGCTGTGGAAATCATGCTGTTTGTGGGTGGCAAAGTTCTCACAGTTGTCACAGTTGTCACTCGGCTCTGTCATCGACCGCGTGGATAGTGTTTTGTATAGGTAGTACACCGACACAAGCCGAGCATCTATGTAGAGAATTGAACCCAATCTCTCCACCGGAGAACGACCATTTTACGCCTTCTTCTTCGTCTTCATCTCCTCCACGTTCGCCGCAGGGTCGACCAGCCCCTTCCACGCCACCGCCGTCAACAACGACATACCGACTCCGCCAGTGATATACGCAGCGTCCCTGCCAGCCCACCAATAGAGCGAGCCTGTGGAAACCGATCGACGCCTCGTTAGCCATCTGAATCTCCCTTATCATCTCCCGAGTGCAACAATCCCGTCGCAATTTCCCGGTAACGGAGTATGTGGGGTAGAGGGGGGGAAGGGCTGAAATGTGTGACTTACAGAAAAGTACGGGTCCAATTGCACGGCCGATTTGTCCTATTCAAAGTCGTTAGCGAGGTGCTACTAGACCGATCTCCCCAGGTGCCACGAGCTGAGCTACATGGCTGAATGTTGTGGTTATGTGTGACGTGTTGTTGGGACTCATCCCAACCAACCACCACCACCAACAACATACATCGAATGGCCAGGGGAAATGAGAAGGATTGAACGAAAGAAAGGAAAACCCGTACCGGCACTCCTGAACTCGCCCATGCCTCTGCCCCTATTCTCCTCACCCACCCGCAGGCTAGCCAGCGTGTTCAACGCCGTGACGACGCACGCCGACGTGACGGCCAAGAACGCAGCCGCAAGATACAACATCCCCTGGCTGTTGGTCTTCGCCAGGAGGAAGAAGCTAAGCGCCGAGCTGACGAGCCCAATCTTTGCGACGACGCTCGCTTTCGCACGACGCGAGAACCCGCCCTGCAGCAGCGATGCCAGCAAACCAATGAACCCGAGCACGCGGCCGTTTTGCGCCGAGCTGTAGTTGAACAGATCGTACGTCATGAACGGCAGAGAGAACTCCATGCCCGAGAAGATCAGCAGGAAGGCGAGGTGCGTGAACTTGAGCAGCCCCAGTCCCTTCGAATCGACCGGTTTCGCAGAAGCCTTCTGTTCCTCGGTGCGAGTCCTGCGCGTCTCGGGAAGCTTGAAGTAGAGGAACAACGTCTCGGCCACCAACAGCGCCAGCGAGAACAGCGCAGTGGTCATGAACGGATTCTCCAGGCTCAGCGTCTTGCTGCTCATGTACGCGCCCATCATCGGCCCGAGCGTGAAGGCGATGCTGAACGCCACGCCGACGAGTGCGAGCGTGTGTCCCCGATTCTCGGTCGTCGATACGTCCGTTGCGATCGCGATTGCCAGCTGAACGTTGCCCTCCGACAGGCCGCCGATTACGCGCGACGCCAGGAACACCGGGAAGGTGCTCGCCGAAACCCACAGCGCCACTGACGCGATGTTTCCGGCCATCGAGTAGAGGAGGGCTGTGCGGCGTCCGTAGCGGTCGCTCAGGGCGCCGATGATGGGAGAGGCGATGGCTTGAAGCAACGAGAACAGCGAGCCGAGGGCACCGCCGAGGAGGACCACATCGAAGCGCGAGCTGATCGGGCGGTGGAACGATTGCTTGAAGGCGTTGAGGAACGTAAAGATGCTGTCCAGCAGGGTGTTGTTGGGCTGCGAGCGATAGAAGTCGAGTAGGCGCGGGAACAGCGGGAGGATCAGAGTAAACGAAAGCTAGAGGTGCACGTTCCATTAGCTTGAAGCTTCCGCCGGGAAGGCGCCGCAACGAAGTTACATACCAGATCGAGCAGTAGCGAGAAGAACAGAGTTGTGAGAATTGACTTGCGCACTGCTGCTGAGAATTCCGGAGCTCCAGCTCCAGCTCCCGTCGAGCTACCCTTGGTCGATCCTGCCATGCTTCTGAGCCGCCAAGTGCGGATTTATTTGGTATTAGGTATTGCGTATGTAGGTTCCACGCGATGCGGGGGTAGATTCCAAGTGTAGTGTGTGCGTGCACGCTTCAAGCCGAGCTGCAGATGATGCTTGCTCGAGCTCGGGGACAGATGCGATGCGATGTGTTGCGATTATAAGCCAAAGAAAATGAAAGCGAGGTTCCTGACCTGGTGATTTTGGGACCAAGAGGACAGAGTGGACGGGCCCAGCGATGAGGGTAAAGGCGATAGGCCGGCGGGTGTGACCCTTGTATGACATGCCATCTGGATTTGTGGCGCGCCGGGACGCCAGCCCAAACGACCAGGGGTAATGTGGTCCATGAGCAATCACTCGCTTGTCGAAGATGCGTCTAGAAGTTCTAGATTTCGTAAACGCGACCTCGGGTGCGGTAGCACGGGAAGCTAGAAGGCTCTGGCAGGCTCTCTGAGGAAATCTTTTGCTTCGGACGTCAACACCACAACGGAAAGCTTCTCCGGATGTTTTCCCGCCTGTTCCGTGGGCCGTGGCGAGGGTTAAATGCAAAGCACAGTAACAGCACCTATCGATTCTCATTTTGGTCCACCCGTATAATCGCGATACATACTATCCCCCGGTACCTTTAACTTCTCACCTATGGCATACATCCCGCAGACCCTGCAATTTGCACACTCCCAGTGTTTATTTGTGTAGGTAGAACCACCGAGTGATAGGCAATGGGTGTCGCATCGGATTATGATCTCCAGCTTGAATACCTAGAAAAACGTTGAGATCTGTTGGCGGTACCTATAACAGCATCGGATAGGTCTGCTGAGTCTGTTATCCAGTCCCGCTGGGTTGATTCCGAACCCTTGAATGATGGCTGGTTGCTGTTGGTCATGTGCACGAGATATCACCCGGTGGTCGAGTTGTAGGTCATGATCTAGATGGGATTATATAGCATTCAGTGGAGTGGAAAGCGGGAATGTTATTGTTCCCTCCAAAGTACCTTGCATACTTAATTTATGCACATAGCGAGTCAGAGTGATCGTCTACAGTCGTATTGCTTTGTCAGGCCGGCTGATGGGACACTCCACGAAGCATCAGTTGCAGCGCCTAAGCTGTGTCATCTATCACCCAAAACTCGATAGAACTGCCTAAAGATATATAAAGGCTTACCAAGTACTGGTCACATTGCCTTCAATTCCGAAATGTGGTTTCGGAGCCGATTCCGGAGAAGCTGGAAGGTTAATGACAGTGGGGTTTTATTTGCCGGAGAAGTGCATAAGATATCATTCGCATTCATCGCGATCGAGAAAGTTCGCCAGTCACTTTTAGATCTTCATAGCCCAGACAAAGACGTAGTCACCAGCCCATATGGCGGTGAAGGACGGCGATGTACTCCCCGGTTGAGTGGGCCAATGCCGCCCAGGACGAATGGCGCAGTTATCGCAAAAATCACTCGCCCGTAAAGTTGCACATCCCTGCCTCCTTATCTAAGGCGGGTGAACCGCAAGCGCGCATTACTAATGTACGTCATGACCAACATCTAGAAGCTCCCAGGCCCGTGGCGCAGGCCTCGCAATACAGCTTCCACAACACGACCACGGCACCGGCCGCTATAAACCTCCCGTCTATCCTCCGTCGCAACCTCCATCCAGCTCGCATCACCCACCACCACCATGGCACCACCAATACCACCCGCGCGACCCGCGCCCTCCGGGCCCTCCTCGAACGACATGTACACATTCACGACCTTGCGGCCGCTTCCGCACCTGCCCAACCCGTCCCGGGCGCTGGAATACCTGGAGCGGATCCGGTCAGACGCGGGGGTGCGATCCGTGATGCGGCGGTACAAGTGGACGGTCCCGGTGCTGGCAGAAATGGAGCCGATCGGCAACACGGACACGAACTCGCGGACGCTGGGGCGCAACTACAACCGCGGCGCGCTGATCGAGGTGCGTCTGCGCACCGATGCGTACGATGGATATCGCGACTACAAGACCGTGCGGAAGACGATCGCCCACGAGCTCGCGCATAACGTCTTCGGCGACCATGATAAGGACTTTTGGGAGCTGTGTGGGCGCCTCGAGAAGGAGATCGAGAGGGATGATTGGACTACCGGCGGCAGGGCGCTGAGTAATCAGACTTTTTATGAGCCCCCGCCGGAGAGGAGGGTGGAACAGGATCGTGGGGCGAGCTGGAGTGGCGGCACGCATACGCTCGGTGGGGGTGGGAGGAAGACTGTGACCCCCACTGCGGCGCCGGCGGGTGGTGCTGAGAGTAGGAGGGAGATGATGGCTAAGGCGGCGGAGGTAAGGTTGAAGAAGATGGCGGCCGCAGGGAAGTAAGAGGAGGAGGAGGAGGAGGAGGAGGAGGAGGAGGAGGAGGAGGAGGAGGAGGAGGAGGAGGAGGAGGAGGAGGAGAGACGTGTGTAGTAATGATGGTATGGGTTACTGGAGTTTTGACATATATTTGCTGGCGTATTGATACCTTCTGTTGCACCTTTTCCATCTATCAATCTACAGTGCTTCATGAATGTGTTCCACTCCGTCACATATGTCCCTTGTGTGAATTGAGAATTGAGAATTTGGATCAAAGTGGCAAGCGCAGCAAAGGTGCGTCCATCTATTGCTCGTGATCAAGGTTCAACCGTCTAATATTGCGAACGATTCGATTATGCAGTGGTAAACATATGTCAGTTCAGAAGAATATTTCGTTTTGACGGTGGTGTTGTCTGCCACCTCCGATGGCTCTGGAGCTCGTATGCAGCAATTGTGCAATCGCCAACGACCGGCGGACCGTAAACGGGAAGGTAGCACTGCCTGAGGCTGGAAGAAAGAGCTGAACTACCCCACTTCTCGACACCAGCCTGCTCGAGGACGCCATCCATCTCGATTCCAGAAGACGATTGATACAGTTACAAGAACCGCTGACCGATTCACCTTACCTTACCGAACCCACGCAGACCAACCACGATGGAGACCTCCTTACACGAGGCCAAGCTCGGGGCCGAACAACGACAGTGCACCGTGTGCAACAAGCCCTCCACACTGCGCTGCTCGCGGTGCTCCGGAGCGTGGTACTGCGGCAAGCCTTGTCAGAAGGAAGACTGGAGCGCGCACAAGCTGCTCTGCCCGCAGTACAAAGACTTCCAGACCGCGCCGAACGGCCGAAAGAACGTGCATCGGGTCATCTGCTTCTCAGGGACCAACATCGAGCCTTTGGTCAGGTTCCTGTGGGTAACTCGGTCGGAGTTGTCGGCGCACGTCCGTCCAGCGCGCATCCACGAGATCGCAGACAATGAGATCCGCAATCGACCGTCGAAGAGGGGGCTTAAGCTGTGGCATATGAACCAGTCTTTCCTGGACGCTGTCGAACCGAACATGGGTGTTGTTGCTGCTACGAAGGGGAGGGTTACTCGCCATTGGGCGGGTCCGGTTTTTGTGGTGGGCGGTGACCGACCTAGCTCGCAGTTTTTCGATGTCACCATTGAAGATTTACGGGACGTGGTGGATTACCTCGTCTCGCCCGCAGATCCCGAATCCGGATCTGACTCGAATACGGATAAGGCTTTAAGCGTCGGCGAAGAAACCCTCTGCGAGGAAGGTAGTCAAGGGGGTGAGAATCAACTGCAAAGACGACGTGGATAATTTCGGACATGAGAAATATGAAGCTGTCGAAGTGCCATTCCCCAGTATTAACGACCATCGCTACACGGTTCCGCCACTATCGACGCGGGTCGGTATGCAGCTCGGGCTGAGGAAGCTCCCAGCCCAAGTTGGACGAGAGGGGAAAAACCGCGGCAATCAAGCCGTGACGTTCCTCCACTTGGTCGATGATCCGGAGAATGATTGGTGGGGCTGGGCACGAGGAGGATGGGAAAACCCCGCTGGAAGCGTGATCGTTGTCCGCTCGGACGGCGAGGATCTTCACCCGCTCCATGCGGAAGGGTTGTGCTATTTCGGCCAGTTTTATGCGGGTGTTATGTTCGAGGACTCGATGGGTAGCGGATGGCGGCCCGCGACCGCTCTCAGTAAGGATGAGGTGCTATACAGGATCTCGCCGAAGTCCTTTCAATTGTTGTATGGCGGATGGACGCATTCCAAACAAGTGGATGGTGAGAAGTGGATCCCGCCTCCCAGAATTGACAGTCCGATCGGAAAGAGGAGGGTCCTCCGTGAAAAGTTCTGTGTTCTCTCCGAGTTTTTGTGAGTTTCTTGGGCTAATTGTTTGTGGTTGACTGTTCTGGATCTTTGGTGGTCGTTGGTCTTTGGTTTCATGGTTTCCTTTTCGGATGGTGCTGGGTGGCCAATTCTCTCCCGATCGATTGAGAATATTTGCTCTCGCTCTGTCATCCTGTTATTCTCGTCCATTAGCTGCGTCTTGTCTTGTCGTGACCTGTGATTTGTCATTGGGGATAGTTATTCTACTCATTGATGTTCTCGAGTTGTCGACCCCGCAATATATGTACATAAGTGCTGTTGTGGATTTCTAAGGTCCGCCAGTGATTGGCTGCGCCAACGAAGCAACCGCCGGATGACGGGGGGCTTCCAATCGCCTCACATCATCAAAGAACTCTAGTCTTCCGTTCCACATCAAATAATCTCCACTCAAGACCTTCCCTCCGCCGCCACCACTCCCACCAACCCGACCCCAACCATATTTCGTCCTTTCCTTTTGTCTACCCCCCGCGATCTCAGTTCACGATGATGCGGCAAGGGCTATTACGGGGCTTGAAGCCGGCGCGCACTTTCGCCTCGACCGCCAAGAGAACTTTCACCTCCACACCACGAACCGCCGCCGAAGTCGAGATCACTGTTGATGGCAAGAAAGTGAAGATTGAGCAGGGAGCGGCGCTCATCCAGGCCTGCGAGAAAGCCGGCGCTACCGTCCCGCGGTATTGCTACCATGTATGTGGTCCACCCACTACCGCCACCCCCCCGCCACTCCCCGCCCCGCCCCGCCCCGCCCCGCCCCCGCGCACTGCAATGTGGCTGCGTTGCAGATTCTTGCTCCTCCTCCATCTAACCCACGCATGTAGGAAAAACTCATGATTGCCGGCAACTGCCGTATGTGCTTGGTCGAGGTCGAAAGAGTGCCTAAGCCGGTGGCATCCTGCGCATGGTAACGGGCGATCTATCATTGATTCTACATACGACATTGATCTGACTGCTGGTCTCGCAGGCCCGTCCAGCCGGGAATGGTTGTGAAGACGAATTCGCCGGTGGTGCACAAGGCACGCGAGGGAGTGATGGAGTTCTTGTTGACGAACCACCCTCTGGATTGCCCCATCTGCGATCAAGGAGGTGAATGTGATCTCCAGGACCAGTCGATGCGCTACGGAGCCGACCGCGGCCGTTTCCACGAGATCACCGGAAAGCGTGCGGTCGAGGACAAGAACATCGGCCCGCTCATCAAGACGTCCATGAACCGTTGCATCCACTGCACTCGGTGCATCCGATTCGCCAACGACATTGCCGGTGCTCCGGAATTCGGATCTACGGGTCGTGGAAATGATATACAGATTGGTACCTACCTCGAGAGAAACCTCGATTCGGAACTTTCCGGCAATGTTATCGATCTGTGCCCCGTCGGTGCCTTGACTTCCAAGCCCTATGCTTTCCGTGCAAGGCCGTGGGAGCTCAAGGGGACGGAGACTATCGATGTTCTCGATGCTCTGGGATCTAACGTCCGGGTGGACGCTAGGGGATTGGAAGTGATGCGTGTTATTCCCCGGTTGAACGACGATGTCAACGAGGAATGGATCAACGACAAGACACGATTTGCATGCGATGGGTTGAAGACGCAGCGATTGACGACTCCGCTCGTCCGAAAGGATGACCGCTTCGCTCCTGCCACCTGGGAGCAGGCAATGTCCGAGATCGCGGCGGCACACAAAAAGCTGGCACCGAAGGGCAACGAGTTCAAGGCAATCGCTGGACATCTCGTCGAGGCGGAATCGCTGGTCGCGCTGAAGGATCTAATGAACAAGCTCGGATCCGAGAACCTTGCACTCGACCAGCCCAACGGTAGTGCCCCTCCGGCGCACGGTATCGACGTCCGGTCCAACTATCTTTTCAACTCCAAGATCCACGGAGTCGAGGAGGCGGATGCTATCCTTCTTGTCGGCACCAACCCTCGCCACGAAGCTGCTGTCTTGAACGCGAGAATTCGAAAGCAGTGGCTGCGGTCGGACCTGGAAGTCGGACTTGTTGGAGAGCAATTCGAGAGCACTTTCGAGTACGAGCACCTCGGTGCCGATGCCGCTGCCCTCAAGAAGACTCTGGCTGGGCCTTTCGGCAAGAAGCTTCTGGCTGGCAAGCGGCCCATGATCATCATGGGTAGCGGTGTCACCGAGCACGCCGATGCCAAGACCATGTACGAGATGGTTGGACAATTCTTGGAGAGGAACTCGGCCAAATTCTTGACACCCGAGTGGAACGGATACAACGTCTTGCAGCGAGTATGTGTGATGTATGGATATGATGTAAACTTTGCTAACGTGCTCTGTAGGCCGCTTCACGTGGTGCCGCCTACGATGTCGGCTTCGTCCCGCCCTCTGCCACCACTGCGCAAACCACCCCCAAGATGGTCTGGCTCCTCGGCGCTGACGAGATCACCCCGGCCGACATCCCCAAGGGCGCCTTCGTCATCTACCAAGGCCATCATGGTGACCAAGGTGCACAGTACGCGGACGTCGTGCTCCCCGGTGCGGCATACACCGAGAAGTCTGGAACCTACGTCAACACCGAGGGTCGAGTGCAGCTCACCCGCGCTGCTACTAGTGTTCCCGGTGTCGCACGTGAGGACTGGAAGATCATCCGAGCGGCATCGCAATTCCTGGGTGCTCAGCTCCCCTACGACACACTCGCCCAGGTGCGGTACCGGATGGAGGAGATCTCGCCGGCACTGACACGTTACGATGTCGTCGAGCCTGCTTCCATGAGCGCCGTCGGCAACAAAGTTCAACTGGTGGACTCTAACAGGGGTTCTAAGCCCACCAACGCACCGCTCACCAAGGTTATCGAGAACTTCTACTTCACCGATGCGATCTCGAGGAGCAGTGCGACCATGGGCCGGTGCTCGGCAGCAAAAATGCAGAAGGAGGGAATCGAGGCGGATCCTTCTGGTGGTGAGGCGGCATACGCGGCTACTGCGTGATAGATGGTAGAGTAGATACACGGTGGCTCGATTTCCTTTCTGTCTTCTTCTTCACCCTTCTTCGTTTCATATTCTATGTCTATGTTTTTTCTGTTTGGGTTTACTGTTTTTCTTTTGCGCACAGCGTCTTCTGCGCAAAGATATGGGGACGGCGGCGATGGCGAGGGGGTTATGGGAGGTGCGGGCGGAGGTGTAATATAAGACACAAGACACGCATTTCCCCTAGTGACGAATCGATGTGTTGCGACGAATCGCCTGAGTAGTATCCAACTACGGCCATCATAGATATGGGGATTCAAAGCGAGGTACCTATGATGGAGCTGGGTGCATGGGGAAGGGTATGCCGCACTCGGTAGTATATCTGACGATTATCACAATGCTTTTTTGGGAGTCTTCGGGGCTAGCTATTCGGTCCCGGCGGCAACACTCACAGGAGGGATTGATGCTGGGAGCAGAGTTTCGGATGTAGACGGATCGACGAGATTCCAGCTCCGTCGAGACTTTATACCACTCACGGAGTCGTAGCATAAGCCTGACGTAGCCACCATACTACCATAGTTACCAGTGACAGCTCCCGCATTCCAGCCCCGGTTACCCGCCCTCGATCACCGCTGGTGTTCTGTTTGCGCATTTCATTCTACTAACGATGACGTCCCAGCTTCACAGGGCCTGACTCGGCACTTCACGCAGAGGGGGGAGAGTGCTTTGCTTTCCTTGTGCGTAGTGGGGTGATGTGCGCATGCAGGCTAAGTACCATCCTGCGCTAGAACGGGTTGGATATTTCGTACAGAGGTTCTCCACCCGGCGACCGTGACGCCCAGGTGCGGAGAGCTATGATATTGGTAAGTAGTATGTACTTACAAGACTTCGCTCTCGTGATGGATTCCCCACAGCTTGTTGATATTTCCCTCTGTCCGTGCTGGCACATTGGGCGATCCGTGCGACGGATTTTTTCTTTCTTGGTCGGTGCCGGTGGTTACAAACAATGACATTGTGTGTCCCGGAAAGGTTCGGGTTAGGGCCAATCAGTGGGCGCGGAATAGAGTTGGTGGGTGGTGTGAGTTTCCATGCTTTCCCTCTGGGGCTGCGCTGGGCGGTTGAGAGGAAAAATCGCTAGAGAGGGAAACGTCGTCTCGTCGGAAGTATCCATCCATCCACCCCATCCCGGAATCCCCCAAGTCATCATACCACTGCCACCTCCACCAACCATTACCCATTAACTAACTAAACCACCACTTTCACTTCTCCCCCCCCACAACCTACGGAAACCCAGCCAACCGACCAAAAAAATCTCCACTCAACCAAAACTCATCAACCACAACCAACAATGTCGATGGTGCGCAACTCCCTCCTGCGGGCTTCCCGTCTTCGCCCGGCCTCAGCTGCCGCGATCCTGTCGCGCGGAAACAGCTCGTACGCCATCTCCAACGTCACCCTGGCCGACATCGAGAAGCGCTGGGAGGCCATGCCGCCGGCCGAGCAGGCCGAGCTCTGGATGCAGCTGCGGGACCGCATGAAGGGCTCGTGGGGCGAATTGACTGCGCAGGAGAAGAAGGCTTGTACGTTCACACAAACACTTACCCGAATCAACCCCGGGCCTGTAAACTACTTGTGTACCCGCCTCTCGCTGACGAAACCCCCACAGCCTACTGGATCGCTTTCGGGCCTCACGGTCCCCGTGCCGTCCCCCCTCCTGGTGAGACCTCGAAGGTCATCCTGTACACCGCCATCGGTGTCGGTGTTTCGTTCGTGGCCTTCTACGCCATGCGTCTCGGTGGCCGTCCCGGCCCCAAGACCATGAGCAAGGAGTGGCAGGAGGCTAGCAACGAGTACCTCAAGGAGCAGAACGTCGAGCCCATCACCGGTGTTTCCTCCGAGAACTACAAGGGCCCGGGTATGGTCCAGAACAACTAGAAGAAAACAAACCATCGGATCGAAGCGATGGAGGGCGGTTATTTTTTTTCTCTGTTTTCTACCTGTCACGATAGATCATGTCGGAGAGGGGTCGGGGAGGGTGGGCGTTGTTGTGTTTAAGGCCGGTAGGGGGACCTCGCAAAATGGGAATGACGGTTGTTGGTTGGCAAGTGGTGCGACGGAGCGATCTTGCATTGTGTTGCAGCGGGGTTGTGTGTGTGCGGGGTGTTGGAGCGGGGTGTCGAGTGCGTGTGTACAAATCGAACGAAATCGCAGCATCACCACCATCATCGCCATCTTGTTACCGCGCTCGATGGAGCAGTCAATTTCCAAATGCCAATATAAATACATTTTTGGATTGTATCGTGCGTGAGCATTGAGACTCACCCCCTCGGCTCCGACCGATGACGTCCTCGGGAGTCCGTATGTATATCTGCCCGTAATTGTACTTCACGGATGCGTCGAATACAAAGGGTAAATCTGGCTCTCGAGTAGGATAGAAATACCTAGTACACTCGATATCCATTGGATTGGGTTTCGTTGTGGGTCCAACAGAAGAAGTGCACAAGGTAGAAGTGCCTCCGAGGTTCGCTCGTGCCATCCGAACTTTCCCTGTCCCACTTTTCTTCATGGTCGCGTCCTCCAACGACACGTTACCCAACACTCAATCCCACATCACCCATCACCACTACACCCATCACCATGGCACGCGACAAGACCAAAAAAAGGCGCACCCGCGATGATGGCGACAGCGGGAATCCATCCAAGAAGTCAAAGACTGTACGCCGCGTCGGAAAGCACTTCAATTTACGAACTTCGCTGACATGCCACCAGGAAATACCCACCCCCACCACCACGATCACCCTCCCCACCATCCCCACCAATGGCCCAGGAGCCGCTCCCACCTCCCTGCAACCGGCAGATATCAAATCCGCCTTCGCGGCGTTCAGCCAAGGGCTGTCAACGCTGCTCTCCCCCTCGGTCTCGGTCGAAACCCTCACGGCGACCCTCGGGCTCGAAAAAGCCAACTTCATCCTAGCCCTGCACTCGATGAAGTCCTCAGGGGACCTCTCCTTCCTGCCCACGACCGACACCGCCACCGACATTGACACGACGTGGCCGCCGCCGCTCCCACCAATCCGCAACCCAGACCTTCTCTCGCAGATCTTCACGCACATCTCTTCGATCCGGGGGGAGCACGCGTCGCTTCCAGGCGTCGAAAAGTCGCACTATGAGCGGCTCGAGTTCCTAGGGGACGCCTACCTACAGTCCATCTCGTCGGCACTTCTCTACCGGCGGTTCCCAGAGTACCGCGAAGGCCCGCTCTCGGAGATGCGCCAGCTCCTGGTCTCCAACAAGCCACTATCAGAGCTCGCGCGCGCTTACGGGTTCCCCGAGCGCCTGCGCACGAATATGAGCGAGGACCGCAACAAGATCAAGATCGTCGCGGACTGCTTCGAGGCGTACATTGGCGCGGTAGTGCTGGACGCCGAGGGCGGGCCCGACGTCGGCTACAAGACTGCGCGCGACTGGCTCGAGCGGCTGTTTGAGCCGAAGATTAGGGAGATGGCCGTCGAGAGAGCGAAGGTCTCCCCCGTAGATAAGATGGCGAAACAGAGTCTTAATGCCCTCGCAGGCGGGAGTATGGCCCAGCTCACGTACACGTGGACCGGCGGCGGTGGAGGCAATCATGGCGGCTATTGGATCACCGTCACTATCAATGGCTGGGGGTTCAAGGATCGCGTCATCGGGAAGGGCTGGGGCGCGAATAAATCGTACGCCCTCCTCCCCCACATCCCCCACATCCCCCGCCTCTGACGGAGGACCGTGGACTAACCGACATCGCAGAGACGCGGAATTACGAGCGGCCATGAACGCGCTGGCAGATACGGCGCTGGTGGAAGAGATCGCGGCGATAAAGCTGAAGACTCTGGGTCCAAGACCGCCGCCGAAGGAGAAGACCAAGGCGAAGGTGTAGTTAGTTAGTGGTTAACGTGGAATATGCGAGGGCGCATATGACTGGAAACTGTAGGACATGCTTATACGGCGTTATTATTTGAAGGTACAGAATGGAGCGCAGATATTATGGGTCTATTTACATGTGTGTGTACGTCGAGTGGAGTTGTTATCGCTTTTTTGTAGCCTAAGATCGATGGCTCAACTATATACCCATGAAATACATGAACCCGATTATCATACACAAAGTGCGTTTCCAGTATGTATCCATGGTGAATCGCGGCTGAGCCAGGTAATCACAGGGCTGATCCTGCCCCTCAAAGACGAGTCAAACCCGGGCGGCTTTCACATTGTGGGCGCACAACTTTGGTCAATTGGTCGGTTGGCTAGCCCGATGGAGAGACGGATTGAATCACTGGAAAATCGCGAAGTCACATTGTATGCAAAACACCAGCCGATGAAATTTAATTCCCAAGCAAAATTTTCACCATGAAACACCGATTCATCACTCGCAGCCGTTTTTTGAATATTATCATTGCGAACGAGAAAAAATCTAGATCTTGATCGCAGCGTCCAACGCCTTCTGCTTCTTGGCTATATCGGTAGTCAGTATCTATATCCAACATGATATTGTAGCAATCAAACTTACCAGTGCGGTCGTTGGCCTTGCGGCCCATGATACCTCCACCCCAGTGTCGTCGGTGCTCCTCGTACTTCTCGTTGTATCCCTCCTTGACGGCGGTGATGAGCTTGGTGAGCTCGTTCTTGTCCTCCGAGCGGACCTCAGTGAGGGCCAGGACGGCAGCGGTCTAGAAACATCAGGTCAGTGGTAATCCCGGAAAACGAAACTGTAAGAAGCGTACCTTCTTGTGAACGACTGTTCCAAGACGGGCCTTGCCCTTGATGATGCAGTAAGGCACACCCATCTTGCGACAAAGAGCGGGCAAGAAGATCACCAACTCAATGGGATCAACGTCGTTGGGGATGAGGACCAGAGACGCCTTCTTGTTCTCGATCAGACCGACAACGTGGTTGAGACCGTACTTGACAGTGTAGGGCTTCTTGGACACATCCTCCTTCTTCTTTCCGTCCTTAATGGCCTCAGCCTCCTTGGTGAGACGCTCCTTCTTCTCCTGCTTGGTCTCAGGGCGGTACTTGTTCAACAAGCGGAAGGTCTGGGTGGCCAAGTTCTTGTCGGCAGTGTTCGAGAACTGAGCGATCGCCGGAGGAACCTTCAGACGCATGTGAAGGATCTTCTTCTGGCGCTGAAGACGGACATACTCGGGCCACTTCACGAAACGCGAGAGGTTGCGCTTGGGCTGAACATCCTGACCGATACCGAAGTTACGGGGACGCTTCTCGATGAGTGGGTTCTGTTGTCGTATTACATCACGTCAGTAACCCAACGGTCAAGTGTGGAGTAGGGAGGTATCACTAACCTTGGTCTTCTTAGAAGCACCAGCCTTGCTCTGGGGGAAAGGGGCGGGAGCGGCCTTCTTCTTTGCGGGCTATTGGTCATTGAGAGATTTTGAATCAGCGAAATGTTTCTTTTCAACAGATACAAAATCAACTCTACAGTCTCGCGGCCATTGCAGCACATGAGACTTCAGCCCTACTACAACAATGCAGAGCCCCCACATTTCTGCGGAGGGGTACAATGGAATGTAGATTTGTAGTGTGCGTATCTTCCATCCAGTGTAGCCGAAGCAAACACATGGATTGCGCACGATGTAATCAGGAAGATCGCGAAAAGTGGTCGTCAAATCAAATCAATCACGATTTGATTCTCGCACAGTCCGTGACGACCCGAATATCATCCATCATCCCTCTTGATCTTCTAGCCGTTTGTTTCTCGATTGAGCGACTTCGACTGAGAACTGAGGGGGCTGTAGTGTTCATGTTGTTGCTGCGGCCGCGCGAGTCCATAGAGCGGGTGAAGGAGGTAGTACCATCTTGAAGTTTGTCGGGTTAGGTGGCCGCGGTGGTTGTCGTGAGGATTGTTGGGCGGGATTGTCGTCGAGTCGTCGCGGTCGTTAGTCGTCGTCGAAACGGGAAATTCTCTCGTAAAGTGAAAGCGCTAAATTGCGAATTGTGTGTGGCTCACGGGACAGGAGCGATGTGGGGTGGACTGCTGCTTTGTCAATTACCGCGCTAAGGGCCTTGCCCTAGCCCGTGTCTCCACAGCAGCTCACTCGAGGTTTACTTCAGTAACTAACTTATCATCAGGCCGATTTCACCCGCAGTCAGAAAGAGTACAGAGTCGCATATATTGCCAAAGCAGATACCTGTCATCTCGAAATAACTAAACAAACAACCCACCCAACACCGTATTCACCCCCAACAGGAGAGCAACTTTGCCATCCAGTTTCTATTTTACAAAAAGTGAGTATTGCATGCGGTTGAGGTAAACGGCACAAACGGAGAAATGGCCAGAGATCTTATAACACGCAGAGAGACAAACAGTTCAAGCACCGCGTTTACCGCCATTGGTCATGAGAGTGACCTTCTTGAACTTCTTCTTCTTCTGACCCTTTCCGTGGCTTGGAGCACGTCCACCGGAACCACTGCCACCACCGTTGCCCATTGACCCCTCCATCTCTATTTGCGCCATCATTTCCTCGTCCAATAATAATTCTCTCTCCCAATCCGGCAACCATCCGCTGTTGTTTTCAGTAAGATGTGCTGACTCCTCCTGGGAACCGGCGATAGCAGGGGTGCCCCAGACAGTTCGTTGATGCAGGGCATTCGCGGATGACTCGGTAGCCTGGGATGGAGATGTTTCTGCAACGGCCTCGTTATCGACAAGCTCAGAGTGACCTAAAGCCACAAAGTCCTCGTCTTTGAACTTTTCTTTGAGGAAGCCAGTAGACTCTCGCCTACGATATCTAAGCGTAGACCATTTCTCGTCTTCCTCAATTTTCTCGGCCCGAACCCTATCGCGCTCCTCCTTAGTCTCCTTGTCCCGCTTCCTCTTCCTACGCCGTTCGATATCACTCTTGAACTTCTCCAGAGTCTCCAGTGGCACTATGTCGGTCCAATCGCACTCGAGGAAGGTGACCTCGCAGCCGTATGGAAGATGCGCGAGATATCTGGCGCGCTTACGGAGGTCGTCGTCTACCGTGTGACCAGTGCTGACGTTTTCAACCCGAGGCAAGACCGTTGAGGGGAAATTGGCGAAGGAGCCGAACGTCACCTTCAAGATTCGGATATCGAGAGGCGAGAGGTAGTGGTGCAGCAAGGCTTGGTAGAAGAGATATGGCGAATCACTAGATGCACCTGCGCCCGCGGTCCGCTGACGTGGTTCTTCGTATTCGATCAGCGACAAAGACAGTTCGACAGCAGAAATCGAGTCGTCGGCATCCGGGGGCCCAGGTTTCGGCGTGTGGGAAGAGGACGAGTGACCGGAGCGAGCCTCGTGCATCACATGGTACATCAGAGGTACGTCGTCAGTGTTCTCCGAGAACACTATCGGCGGCCGTTTTTCTTTTTGCTTCTCCTTCTCCCGCTGCGGGACGATCGACGGCGGTGGGTTGCCAATGCCGATTAGCGCTTCCATATGCATCCGAATCGTTTCGATTGCCTTTCTCGCCCATATTCCGTCCTCTCCGAACATCACCTCATCCTCTAGCTGCATCTCCTGAAGCTCCACAATTTCGCGGTTGAACTGTTTCATCATGTAATCCTCCGATCCTTTCATGATTCTGGCATAGTCCATGACATCCTCTGCAAAATACCACGGAATCTCGTCCAGCGCAGACGGTGGATCAGCGCCATCCCTAGGCAAGGCGAGAGTACTCCCGGGCATCCTCATGACCAACCGAAGCACAACATCATCTCCCTCCTTGGGAGGGTCAGTCTGTCGCCCAGTGAAGAAACGCACCGGGCGAATGTCGGTCATGTACACGCTATCCGTACAGATCACACACTTCTTGTAGCGTGGCTTATTTACTACTGGTTTGTTGCCATCGGCGGAAGCCATGTATCTGTCTAGACAAGGCAGACAGAATATATGACCGCATTTCGCCATTCGAGGAGCCACGGGCGTCGAAAGGCAGATGGGACAGTTCGGACATTGGGTCAAGGCCGACGCGAGGATCTGAAGGATATGGTCCCAGGGTAAATGGACGTCCGAATCGATGCATTGAGCTCTGTAGTCGCCATGAGGATTGACAATGAAACGGTAATTGGCGTTCACATAGCTGCATGATATTAGTACCTGCAGGGACCTATTGAGCAGATAACCCCGAATTCGCTTACCGAGCTTTGTCGACAGCATGGTAACCAGAGCCCAACCCCCAAGCTGGAGCTCTCCGTTGAGTCCGTGGACGGAATTCGCCGTAGGCACGTGGGTGCGGGGTCGAGTAGTCCCAATTGATCGCGATAGAAGTTCCTTTACGATTGGTCGCAGGCGACGTCACCACCTGATCGCCACCGGCTGTTTGTCAGCTCCGCACATTGATGGAAGGGGCAGCGGATGCAAAGAAACATAAAAGAGAACCGGGAGAAGTGCATACCTCATCGTAGCCAATGTAACTATTCTCCTCCGAAGCAACAGAATCGGGCTTGCGGTGATTCCGGTGACCTTTACGCGATGATTGGTTGTTGCGCGGCGTGCCGTTGCGAGCGTTCGAGCCAGCTCCAGAATTTGTCCCGCTCCCTCCGCCGGCGCGCCTCGAGGGCTCGCCTCCGGCCACATTGCTCGGAGGTTGCGGTGCTGGTTGTGGTGACGGCGCACCAGCGCTGCTACCTCCAGGCTTTCCCGGGATGTTCGGGGTGGACGCGGTGCTAGACGACATGGTCTCTCGGGGAGAGCGGTGGGTGGTAGGATAGTATGCGTGATGGCGGAGGGTTGGAACTCGGACCGACGAACAAAAGAAGAAAGAAAAGCGGTGTCTATTTGAACTGTCTGGTGGGAAGCGAAGACGGTGGCGGGAATGCTCCCCGGGTAGCAAGACCACGAAGGTCAGGTTTGGAAGAGAGATCTCGGAAGACCGAGTCTCGCGGGGGGGGCAATGTTACGCACTATTACTCATAGAAGGATGCCATCTTTCTGGAACAACCTGTATGCATCAATGCCCCCCGATATCAGTATATGTGGAATTTATAAGATATCTTAGCGTAAAGCGGGGCTGCATAAGAGATTCTTATGCATTTTTGAGATGTTGACGGGCGTGGTCACTTCATAGTCCATGACTCGCCTGCCACAAGCCATTCCATGCGAAGTACTCGGGTTCACCATCTATGCCTGGAGAAACGGACCCAGGGAGATATATCCGATTGCGGACAAGCAATCAGATGGGGGTTTGAGGTACCTACCCGGGGTTTGTGGCCTTGATCATCGTGCAACTACACAATGGTGCTCTGGAATTGGGATATCGTATGCATTGAAGAACTTTCTAAATGTCCCAAAATCGCTAACCCTACTCCAAAAGCGACATGATATACTGGTCCAGCTCGACATACGCCCTCTCGAAATTGTCGTTGACTATTACCTTATCATGAATACCGGGCTGCTCCGCAAACTCCAGCTCCTTGATGGCCTGATCCAACCTCTTCTGCACAGCATCCTCGGACTCCGTGCCCCGTCCTCTCAGACGCTTCTCGAGCTCCTCAACCGAAGGAGGCTTCACAAAAATGAACTTGGCATTGAGGTCGGACTTCTTGACTTGTTTGACGCCCTGTTGCTGTTAGCATCAACCTTCACAATGCGAAATACGAGCACGTGATCTCTTCCGAGTAATCGGTAGGGTAGTCAACGGTATAGCGTGGCAGGGCTCGTGGGCCCAACTGCAAGGGCTGCGGGGAACACACCTCCATCTCGATGTCCAGGATGCAAGCGCGGCCCTTGGAAGTGACATCTCTCACTGCCGCGAAGGAGGTTCCGTAGCTGCGGCCAGCGAAGGTCGCATGCTCAATGAACGCGTCCTTGTTGATCAATTCTTCGAACCCTTCGGGAGTAGTGAAGTGATATTCGACACCGTCCGTCTCGCCAGCCCTGGGACTACGCGTCGTGTCTTTCATCCACCAGTCAGTAAAACAGCGGTAATGGCGGGAGTGCACGCAGGGAGAACACACGAGAAACCGAGAAACCGAATGATTCTGGATGTTGTGCAAAAAGTCGCTTCAACAGAGTCGATTTGCCGGTGCCGGAGGGGCCTGAAAGGACAATCACAGGAGGTGCGACTACTGTAGAAGATTAGCCAGATGTCGGCCCCGTCGCTTTTACTGCGCGCACGAGGGCCACTGCTGCGGAGAAGGAGAGATCAACGCACTCGGAGCCATGTTGTCTATAGATGACGGTGTAGGACGGGACGTTTGAAGCGACGTTTGAAGCGACGTTTGACGTTTGATGGGACGTTTGATGGAACGTTTGACGGATTGAAGTGGCAGTCGAGGAGAAAGGCGGGGGAGATGGCGGTGTCGAAGTGCCCGCGACCACGTTGCCCACCCTACCCATGCACGTGGCGTAGAGCTTCTGTCTCCACCGCTACTATAGCGTGATCCCTGCGTCGGAGCGTCCAATCGAACATCCCCGTTGTGTCGCACAGTCACAGACCGCGTTTCCTCGGGATCGATAGACGCGCTTCCTTCCAACCCCACACACCCTGGTGGTGCCTCCAAGTCCAGATGTCGCCAAACAACCGTGCCATGGGTTCTCCACAGGCCCCCATCGTGATTTCAGATGACGACGAGCAGTATCCTCCGCCGAGCAAAAGCAGTTCAGCCAAGAGGAAGGGTTCTCGGCGAAAACAATCATCTGCTACTCCTGCAAAACACCGTCCCAAGCTTGAAGCCGCCTCTCCAGGTTCGACATCCCACACCTTCTTGTCGTCCGTTCAAGCAACAGCTCCCTCCCCGCGCAGGAGCCAACCCTCCATCACCCAATTCTTCGGAACTCCTGCCCATCAACAGTCACGGCAATCGTCGATAAGCTCGCCTTTCAAGACGCCGCGCCCGTTCGCACCCAATCCACGGGGCAGCGACAACGTCGACGACGTCATGGCACCAGTTCCTGCTCCCTTCAAGCACAGAAGTCCTTCGCCGGCTCTTTGTCCCGACCCTCCCGAAGTCGAGCATACCCTCGCGAGCACCACTCCAACAGCGGAGAGAGATGTCGTCCAGTGTCCAGAGAGGAGCTTCTTCGGCGCAGGAAACACGCATGCTGTCAAGCACCTACCGGGTGAACGCACACCACTATCCACAGCCATGGATGTTGCGCTGAGATTCAAGGCTGTCCGCAGCACCGCATCTACTCCAAGTTCCGTACCACGATCGCACCATGGCTCCTTGGCTCGACCCTGCGGACTCGACGACGCCGAACCGATGACGCTACCGAGTAAACGCACACTCTCGATCGCACAGTGTCAGCCAGCTCTGATGCCATTCACCCAATCCGAGGAAACGTACGATTCATCCGTAGAAAACATGTCACCGATGGCATCCGCTGGAAGACAAGCAGTCATGGGGGAGAGAACGAGTGTGTGGAGACGTTCACCAGCCTCAGATGTGGAGGAGAACTCGCGGATGGCGCCCGCGATGCACCCGGAACCCGACGGTCCGTTGCGCTTCAGGGCGCACGGACAAAGCGTTGCGAGAAATGTTGTGCCGGCTCCATTGGGCCACCAGCGATGGCTGCTGGGGACCCAGCCAGCGTTTGTTCCGGGCCCAAAACCGTCAGACGTGCATCGACCTCAGCTTGTCGATGTCCCGCAAGACGACCGATCCCATAGGCATACAGCCTCGCGGGGATTGCGACGGCCACGAACGTCGCAATCCCCCACGGATCGGGGCTTAGGGCTGCGGGCGTCGCGCACGTCGCAAACCCCACACCCACATCGGCGGCCGGCCATTCATACCGACCTACAGCCACCAGCACAGCCGTCTCTCTTTCTTAAAACGTCCTGTGAAAACTGCAGTCGAACCTTCCCTGCACCGACATCAACAGCATCCCACCAGCCTCCTCTGCGTACGTTGTGTTCTGTCTGTTTCCACAAACACACTGCAATGGCACACAAGACCACTGGAAAACGGAAGAGGTCTCAGATAGAGTAAGTGCGCCTTCACCTGTTACTTTTGCGCTTTGCTGACAGTCCACCCAGGCCTCCCGCTATTGCTGAACGAGAGTCTTCGGCACCTCCGGAAGTGGACAATGAGGTATATCTCCATCATTCATTACTTCTACAATTGCGCCTAACATACATCCTAGGTCGATGGCAATATCCCTCTCCCGGTGGGCTCATCTTCAACTGTTGCGCAGACGGGTGTCGTGGCACCTGCGGGCAAGAGGCTATACACGCCTTTGTCGATGACGCAGGGCGGAGGCTACGGTCTCAAGTCTGTTGCCGACGCTCTGGAGAGCCCCGAGAACGAGGTACGACGCCGTAATGCACGCATCAGAAAGGCGGAATACAGAAAGAAAAAGGCTGAACATGGAACGAAGAAGGAACTGCTTGCTGTGTCTCCACAGCCAGTGCCAGAGGCCTCGACAACTGCACCCCCAAATGGACCAGATAACACCACTGTCCTTAGCAGACGCTGCCAGTTGCATGACAATCCTGATTGCACCGAGGAGAGCTGCGTCTATAATTTCTTCGAAATATATGAACCGAGCGACCATGTCATCATGGATTTAAGGCCATTTGAATCGCGCAGAGTAATGCCATCCGTGAAGAAAGTCGCACCTGTGCCCTTGGATACCCTCGAAATACAGGAGGCTGTTAAGCGAGACCTGGAATTGTCACTCATCACGAGGACGAGACTCGAGCAGCGTCCTTATCTTAACATTTCTTACGATCGCATGAAGATGATGCCCGAGTTGCCCAATCCCGGTGAGTTTCCAATTCTCGAGCGCTCATAATAAACGTCGACGACTGACAGGGGGATTAGGGGAAGCGACTACCCTCCATGTCGGCTTCACCATATATGAAGCCGAGATTGTTCGTTCCTTATTGGCGAAAGACGAAGGCCCGTTGCCCGGCATGGATGTCTTTCGAGAGATTGGATACCACGCTGAAAGGTCCCCGTGGCGTGATTGCCTCGTTTCTGCTGTGCAGCTCCTACCAGGAAGAGAAGTGGAAGACGTCTTCAAGTTCATTGAAGACTGCTACCGGATGAAGAAGAAGGGGTTGCCATATCCGTTCGCCGGTTATACCATGGTTCTGAAGCCTGAGCGCCCCCACACAACAGGGTCGGCATCACTTCGATTGCTCCGCGAGATGGGTAGCGGGGTCTTTGGTTTCAGCAATAGGCGCGAGCAAACCCGGGCAATGGAGTCAATGGCTAGAGATGGCATGCAGCCGTGGAGAATCTTTAAGGAAGGAAGTTCAGACATCATCGACATCAGCTGGTCGCCAGACGGCAGCAGGTTTGCTCTGTGTTGTAAGTGTGACCATGTGATTGTTTTTTTGTCTGTTCAGTGATCTAACATTCTCGCAGGTTGTACGCACAGTGACGAATACAACAGGCCAGGAAACCTCATGCTGGGGTCACTGGAACAAGACAAGATCCGCATGCTTGATGGGCACAAAGTCCTGCGAGATCCTCCAACGGCAGCTTTGAATCCGTTCCTTCATTCGACGGTGTCTGCAATCGCACACTCTAAAAATGGACGGGTTCTGTTCTCCGGAAGCTATGATAAGACAGTCAAAACCTGGCTCGGAGAGGATGGCACCTGTCTCGACTCGTTGGATGTTAAGAGTGAGGTGCTTCGCATGGCAACAAGCCCTGTACATGAGGAGGCACTCGCTGTTGCTCTAAAGGATGGCAATGTCATAGTTCTTGACGTTGGCCCTGACGGTCGTTATAGAGGGAAGGGACATCGCTTCGCCCCTCTCAAGAAAAACGTTGAGGCAGTTGCTGTGAGTTGGCACGGCCAAGTCAGGCCAGACTGGTTGATAGTGGGATACGACAATAAGTCCGGGAACAAGACTGGCGACCTGGAGATTTTCGATGCCCGTGCCATGAAGTTGGTGTGGAGTGTGGTGCCTGGCTCAAACCGGCAATTTGACATGTTCGTGCATGAATCAGGCCAGTTTGTTACTGGTGGAGCGGTAAACGGTCGGGGCGAACGTGCTAAGACGCAGGTCCGGGTTTGGGACTTTGAACAAGGCCATGACCGGAGGAGACCTCGTCCAATCCTGGATTTCGATAATCCCCAGGAGGACATTAACATGGTGACTATGTCGTAAGTCGCTCTACGTATCTATCTTGCGCTAGCATTGTACTGATGATTTTACAGACCTTGCCGATCATATGTGACTTCATCGGGAACCGATAGTACTACGATGGTCTGGGATTGTCGTTTCCCGAAGAGGGTTCTCCATACGTTGAAACATGGCGCTCCCCTCATGGCTGAGGACGCCAACGATACCGGAGCGAACTGCGCCTTGTGGGCATCCAGCAGTGACCGCTTCTACACTGGGGGCTCTGATGGCGCTGTTAAGATTTGGGACGTCCGACGTGCCGACCCATTCATGAAGGACTTGGCTACCCTGGACGGTCAGGTCATGTCTGCAGCCTTCTCGCCGTCCTTCGATTCTCTCATTGTTGGAGTATGCTCAGGCAAGGCGACCCTGTTCTCGATGAGGGGCGATGCCAGTGTCCCACCAATCGAATTCAAAGTTGACATTCGCGATGTGGAGGGACGTGGTAATCTTGCCGACGAAAACGACGACGATGAGAACGCTGGCAGGCAAGCCGCGCGCCAGCTCGTCAACTCTGGAAGAATGATGGTTGAGAACGGTGTTGCATGGGCTACTTACTAGATGATGTCCTTCCTTTTTCTCTCTTTTCTGTTTGTTTGCTTTGCTTGGGGGCGGTAATGGTGTTTGACGGAGTTTACAGCGTGTGCATTTGTTGGATTGGCTTGGGTTCATTTGATGCGTTTGGATCCAACATGTTTAGATACTTTGTTTCTTTTTTTGTTTCTTTTTCTAGAATATCTGATTTGCTGCATTTGAATCCAACCTGCTCTAGATACTTTGTTTGTTTCTTTCTGGAGTTTCTTACCTGATTGTCTTGCGCGGGATACTGCTGTTACTTAGATACTTCACCTTTACTACTTCTTCAGACCATGTATATACCTCTTACTCATACTCATACTCATATCCGGGTCAAATGCGAGTGAATGTCAACTTTGAATTCGATTGGTGGGACACTGGCATCGCCCCTCATCGAGAACAGGGTCGCCTTGCCTGAGCATACTCCAACAATGAGAGAATCGAAGGACGGCGAGAAGGCTGCAGACATGACCTGACCGTCCAGGGTAGCCAAGTCCTTCATGAATGGGTCGGCACGTCGGACGTCCCAAATCTTAACAGCGCCATCAGAGCCCCCAGTGTAGAAGCGGTCACTGCTGGATGCCCACAAGGCGCAGTTCGCTCCGGTATCGTTGGCGTCCTCAGCCATGAGGGGAGCGCCATGTTTCAACGTATGGAGAACCCTCTTCGGGAAACGACAATCCCAGACCATCGTAGTACTATCGGTTCCCGATGAAGTCACATATGATCGGCAAGGTCTGTAAAATCATCAGTACAATGCTAGCGCAAGATAGATACGTAGGAGCGACTTACGACATAGTATCATTCAGGAGGCTCGGCTTCAGTAACTGGTCAATTCATTCCCTAAATGCCTCCAGAATATCTTGATTTTTTTTTGGTGATAGGCTGTTGGCTTCGGTTCGGTGTCACAGGACGATCATGTTTGTGGTGTACATTCACCACGGCGAGGATGAAAAAAAACTAATGGTAATGGGTAATGCCGAGAACCGGGCGTGAGCGGCTCGGGACGATGGTGAAGGCAAGGACATCTGTGACATTCTGCTTGTACATACCACCGAACATAGTAGACTTCGTAGCGATCGGCTTATGGAGGAGATTAGAGTTTTAAGTTTTTAAGAGAGAGAGAATCAATTGATTGTCGCATGGCCTTGCCACATCACGTTCTCCAACAACACCGCTATGATATTAGCGAGACCTGTCGAGTGACCTCCGATGATAAGTAGCTGCAGCCAAGACGCCAACGGCCCAACCACCTCCCTGCATGGGTAGAGCTCTATGATAGGTAAGTTACGTAGAGGACCTAGATAGCGGACAGTCCTCGAGCTTCGAGCTCCAATTCCACACCTTACGACAGTCCTCGTCCACAATGTCGCTCACCACGTTCGCCAAAATACCTTCCGAGTGCTCCAGCCTACTCTCGCCCTCAGTAGCGAATTTAGTCTTCTCGTTCGTCATATTCTTTGGAATCCTCGTACGTCCTTCGTTGGCCAATGCACCTCCCTCCCCCAATTAATCGCGTGGGAATGTTCGTGTAGATATCGTACCTCCCGCAACACATACGGATTATCCAGCGCGGCACGTCGGAGGGTATCAGCCCGCTGTTCCTACTCCTGGGGGTAACATCGGGTACCTGCGCGTTCCTGAACATCCTGATCCTGTCATGGGGCGTCCTCGGGTGCTGCGGCAAGGGCATCGGCGGCTTTAACTGCTTTGCGGCGTCGATGGGCGTTGCGCAGGTGGGACTGCAGTGGGCCTGTTTCGCTGTTATGTATGTCTCCTCACTCTTCTGCGTGGAGACGAGCTAACGGAGGGCACTCGGCAGTCTCGCGCTCTTCCTCATCTACCTCCCGCGGTCCAGCAGCGCACTCGCGATCCCGGGGTCGCGCGTACCCACGAAGCGCACGGCAGTGGGGATTACGGTCGCGTCGATCGTGCACTTCGTGGCGATGGCGGTGGCGACGTTCTACCTGTCGCTGCTGCACTCGACTGCCGCGACGGCGGACCCGTCGCGTCCGCCGCAGCCTTCGGACACGCTCGTGTGGTGGGCCAACTTCCTCGGCGTGCAGAGCACCATCCTCGCGTCGATCCAGTACATTCCCCAGTTGTATACTACCTGGAGACTGAAGCATGTGGGCAGTCTGAGTATTCCCATGATGTGCATCCAGACCCCCGGGAGCTTTGTGTGGGCGATCTCGCTGGCTATGAGGGAGGGCACTAGGTGGAGTAGTTGGGCGACGTATGTGGTCACTGGTACCCTGCAGGGCGCGCTGTTGGTAATGTGTGTGATGTGGGAGATTCAGGAGAGGAGGGCCAGGAAGCAGGTGGATGCGCTGGTAGATGCGGTTAGGCCCGGGCCGACGGATGAGAGGAGTCCGTTGTTGGCTGGGAATAGGCAGTGAGCGGTGTCTTCATGTCGATGTCGGGCGAGAATTGGTTGGTTGCATTGTACGAGTGCTCGATGAGGTTGCGTTTTTGTTTGGGTGTGGTTTCAAGTTTATATATCATTGTCATAGGTATTCCAGTTTTTAGATTCGCACAACAGATAATTGTACATCCATATCCCCTCTCTGGACCCGGAACAGTGCTATGAATGATGTCCCATGTTCCCCCTAACGGCCACACTGCCATCCTCCATTCCAAAGTACGCCATGACTGGCTTCCTGTCGCCGGACCAGAAGATGCCATGCTCTACGACACCAACGATACTCTTCAGCGTCCTCGCCATCTCCTCCACATTCTCGTTCGAGCCCAAACCCATGCCTACAGCCGCACCAGGATGACCCTCTTCCTTACCGAGCACATTACTCCCGCCAACCCTCTCGTGTCCCGTATCGGGATTCAACCCAGTATCGACCGCGACCGCGCTGCTAGCAGGCGACAACGGCCTCGGCGGGGAAATCGACGACGAAGCGCTCGGGATGAACCCATCCTGGAACGGCGCGTCGATAATGAAATTGCCGTTGTCGGTGATGCACGGGCCCGCCTTTGCGGCGCCACCCATGCGGATGGTGGGCGTGGTGCTGCCGAGCGCGGACAACCGCGACAGGACGTAGTTGGCCGCCATTGGGACGACTTCGATCGGAACGCCTGGCGCGTAGTGTGTGCTCAGGCTTGGAGAGAGTTTTCTGAAATCTACCGGTGGTGCGCGCGCATCACACATGTCAGCGGCGCCACTCCCACCAGCAGACAGCGCAAGTAGAATAGAAAAGAGACCAACCAGCAACAACGACAAACTTCCGTCCACTGATGGCGACCAATTTCTCTTGGAACAGACACGCACCGCCACCCTTGATACAGTTGAGGTAGGGGTCGACCTCGTCGGCGCCGTCGAAGACGACCTCGAGAGGCTCGGTGGCCATGTCGACGCTTCCGAGCTTTAGCCCGGCGCGAAGAATCAGCTCGCGCGATTGGAAGCCCGTCGGAACGAAAACGACGTGGTCGGTGCGCTCGCGCGGTAGCTGCGCTATTCGCTCAACGACGTAGACGACTGTGCTGCCGGAGCCGATGCCGACGAAGCGGGCGTTGGGTGGAAAATGTTCGTCGACCGCCCGATAGGCGGCGAGGCGCTTCGCGCCTTCGATTATGGCGGCCATTTGTGAGTGTGGTGGAATTTAGATTTGGAGGCTGTGGAGGCGTTGGGAGTGTGAAGATGGCGGGGCAGAGTGGGGGGAGTGTATTTGGCGCTAGCCGGATATAGTCCCTTGTCTAGATTTCGAGCACTCTACTCAGCGGGGCGGGAGGGCATTGCTATATAACGAGGGCGTCGCTCGGGGTTAGCGGCATCGTGTATGTAAGGTGTACCGGGCGAGATGTTGACGAGAGCAGCTCTGTCTCACTTGATCGACATGCGTGTGGTGGCTATTATTATCTTACAAACAGCCAAAGAGCACAACGATATGGTCCCTTTCCGATCGGTGTGTCCCGCCGCTTCCTCCCCAAGACACTGTCCGTCGTCTATAGATCCAAATCCTTGTCGATTCCACCCTTCTTTTCCGTGTCATCCTTCTTGCCCTTCTCACCATCCTTTTCGGACTTCTTGCCTGTCTCCTTCTCGTCCTTCTCCTTCTCCTTGTCTGCCTCCTTCTCCTGCTCTTCCGCCTGGTCCTGTCGGTTCTTGATCTTGTTGTCGATCAAGTCGTGGAATGCGATGATGGCGCGGATCAGCGACGACAGGTAGATGTTCATCAACTGGTCGTTTGTCTTGACAGCCATGGCCCTCGCCAACTCGTTGTTCTCCTCGCCGTCGGCGGATGGGGTGGACAGGTTCGGTAACAGGTTGAACACGTCTTGTAGGAGGCCGAGGATCGCATGGTTGACCGGGAGCGTGCCGTTGTTGACCTTCTGCAGGTAGTTGCCAATGTCGCGCAGGCGGAGGTGGAGGCCCTGCAGGGACTGGAGCTGGTTGTTGATGCGGGTGGAAAGGGAGCCGACGGCGACGTCGCGGATGTCTCGGAGGAGGTGCTCAACACCGATCTCTTCGGCTTCTTCGGCCTCGATTATCGATGGGGTATGCACAAACGTCTTGGTGGTGGTGGTTCCGTCCTACAAGTCACACACAACGTCAGTGCGTCCTACGGTGATGCGGCGAAGCTTCTCCATACGTCTTTAATCTCCTCGATGGCAAAGTAGGCGTCCGTGGGCACTCCGATAGCTTTGGGCTCGACGTCCACGATGACAAGTAAAGGATTCGGTGTGTATCGCTTGAACAGCTCGTTGATCTGCAGATCCGACGCTCGTAGCTTCGGGCCGGAGTGGTACCATCCGATGAGCTTCTCCCTAGCATTGACCTTCTTGAACATGTCGTTCATCGACTCGACGTAGTTGTGATCGAGAAACCACACCGCGGGGTCCTTGTCGTCCTCCTCGAATGGAACTGTTCATCCCCCACCACCATCAACAACATCCCAAATCCATTAATCGAAACAAGCATCGAGAAGCTCCTACCAGCAAAGCTGTTTGTGACCCTCACTGAGTTACCGCTGTTCTGTCCTAGCAACACTCCGACAACGCGCTTCCGTGTAAACTTGGCGGAACGGCCATAGTGATCGCATGCGCTGAGGAGGATGAGGGGGGCGATGGAGACGGTGACGGAGGGAACGGCTTCCCTGACGGTGGTAGGCATGGTGTGATTCTGAAGGGGATGGGCGGATGGATGGGAGCTGTTTCGATGATGCACGATGGGTGGAGGTGTTGTGCTGGTTCTGGAGTTGCTCTATCAGCAATACCTGTGACCGCTAGAGCCGCCTGTGAGGCTGATTAGATAGCTGTCGTGATGACTAAGTGGCCACTAAGGTACATGTCGCTTATAGCGGTAGAGGTCTCCGAGCTTGTCGCGGCTACGCACGTAAGCGCGAGCCAACGAGACCCCCCCGAATTTCACTTGTAGCTAGGTGCTAATAGGCGAGCCATGACTTACGTCCTCAACAGCAACTGTTTCTACTGACGGGTGTGTTTGAGTCTCCAGATCCCCAAGGGCACTGGATCTCAGGAGGTTTGCCCATCGCTCAACATCGCCCATCGCTCGCTTTGATTTCCAGCTATTATTTGTGGTACCGATCAGAAGCTAGAGGAGGATCCGAAGTTTCATTTTGGGCGTTGAAAAGCCTTCGAGCATGCGTCCAGCGCCCTGACGGTGCTGACGTGGGGGTTTTTCAGACCTCGGTCTGCACATGCGCCACCGAGTGAGCACCTATGTCGGCTAGCCGTAATTATAGGCTAACTGGCTGTAGGTCACTGAGAGGCTCAACCTTGGCAGCGCTTCCATGATCATCAAGTCAAGTGAGCACAGATTTTCCATTACAGCCTGAGAGCGATCGCCGTGAGGCAGAAAGAAAAACGCCGTTCGTCCGTCAACGCCAACGCAGCAGCATACATATCGGAAGCACCAGGAGACGTGCCTGAGTTTGCGAGGCAACACTGGGAATTCTCCCTCAGGAGACAGCCGTGATCCGTCTCCTGGCCAGCCGCTTCAACGGAACCTCGACACCGGAAAATCGAACTTTGACCCTTGGATGAATGCTATAGTGAGGCGATGTGGCCCATCATCATCATTCCCCAGCCCAAAGTCGTGATCAGCACCAACCCCGGGTTTGGAGGGTGACTTTAGATCTACAGACTACAGCGGACTCCGCTCCTAAGTCCACGCTATTTCCGTTGTGACGGGCGGCGGGAAAGTTTGCTCCAAATGCGTTGACCTCAACCAACCTGGCCCTGCAACTCCTGCAGCCATAGAAAGAATAGAGGCTTGGCGCTCCGTTCCGCCAGATCACGTCCGGTTAACTTTCCCAGTGTCCGATCAAAAACTCCCACTCACCCGTATCGTCGTCCGCACCGCCGCTCTCAACACCATACACTCTCCCTCTCCCCCTCACATCCACATCTCTTTCCTCCGCTCTTTCTTGATCTCGCTGTAACGCTTTCCTTTCCCCACAAAAACAACACATCACACAATTCGCCATGGCCCCGACATTACAAGACGTTACCGGTCTCAAGGACTTGGTCAACCAGTTGCAGGACAGGATCACCAAAATTGAGCGGAGCATGAAGGGCGAGAACCCCACGGCTGCCGAGACGGTTCGGATGATTCTCATGGGACCTCCTGGTGCTGGTACGTTGGACACAATGCCATGCTCCCCACCCCCCATCTCCGCAGAACTCACCACCGTGGCCATTCCCGCAATTTTTTACATATATACGCGAAACATCATGGGAGAGCCTCGGCTAACGTAGCCCAGGAAAGGGAACCCAGGCACCTAAGATCAAGGAGAAGTTCTGTGCCTGCCACTTGGTAAATTGCCCATCCTCGGAGAAGACGACTACGACGGCGTTTTGGTGGGGGTTCCGGCGGGGGTGCTGACGAAGTTTGTGAAATACAGGCTACTGGCGACATGCTGCGCTCGCAGGTCGCGGCAAAGACCCCGCTGGGTCTGGCGGCGAAGAAGATCATGAACGACGGAGGTCTCGTCAGCGATGAGATTATGATCGGAATGATCAGACACGAGCTCGACACCAACGCCGAGTGCAAGAATGGGTACATAAATCACAATCTTTCACTCCGCCCTACAATAGCCGCCAGTACACTAATGACCACCTCTTCTTCCTGCGCAGCTTCATCCTCGACGGATTCCCCCGAACAGTCCCCCAGGCCGACCGCCTCGACGCGATGCTCGAAGCGCGCGGCGACAAGCTCGACCACGCGATCCAGCTCGAGATCGACGACGCCCTCCTCGTCGCACGTATCACTGGCCGTCTCGTCCACCCCGCGTCTGGCCGCTCCTACCACCGCATCTTCAACCCTCCCAAGGACGACATGAAGGACGACGTTACCGGCGAGCCGCTAATCCAGCGCTCGGACGACAACGCCGAGACCCTCAAGAAGCGCCTGGGAACCTACCACTCGCAAACGGCGCCTGTTGTCGACTACTACAAGAAGAAGGGCATCTGGCGGGGAATCGACGCTAGCCAGGAGCCCGGTCAGGTGTGGAAGCAGCTGCTTGGTGTCTTCGATGAGAAGAAGACCACGACGAGCAAGGTGATGGAGGCGGTCGGTCTGAAGAAATAGATTGTACACACTCGGCTCTCTAGCGTACGCAAAAGTTGAGCGCTGGGAGGGGTTTACACCGCTTTCCTTTTTTTTCTTTTCTTCTTTCCGTGATTTTTTATGTCTGGGCTCTTCTTTCAGCGGCGAACGACGGGATGGGATCACTTTTTTTTCTTTCTCCTTTGGTCATGCGAGCCGGTAAAGCGAAGGGATATCATTCAACAAAAATTATCGCATCGAAAAAGAACAGAATTCCCCCTCCCACCCCCCCTTTCTTCCTTCATTTTCTTTTCTCTTTGTTACGTTACGAGCCTTGTAAAAGTAGAACGATCGATATGTAGAGAAGGAGAGAAGTATAGTAAGTGGTGGAAATCAAAAACAAAATTCAAATTTAGATGTTGGGGGATCTCATCGTTTCGATACATACATGATCTAGATGAGCGCGTGTGTGGGGGCGGAGATGGAGATGGAGATGGGGGTGGTGATGATGAGATTAGATTATCATAAACTCTGACAGACTTTCTTGACAGCTGCCATTTGATAACTAAGCTTGGTTGCGGACGAAGCAACAACAGTGCAAATGATAGTGTACCTATGGTACTTAGGAGGACCACGGTGCATCCCTCTTGTGGCTCTGGACAGGACAGACCAGCGAGTACCTACTTGAATGAATATTAGTAACTGCGGGCTCCCATTCCGTCCAGATCACCATCGACGCCGCACCTCAAGCAGAGGAGAAGAAGCCGTTCCGACCAAATACCATACGAATGCGAGCTTCACCGCCTGTTCTGTTCTGTTCCTTCGACGACGATGAAGCACGGCCCCCCGGTCTATCTCCTCGCCGAGCAGCCGTTATCGCCCACCGGAGTCTCGGTTCAATCCCGGAAGTTCCGTGCCTGCGTTGCGCCACATGGATACATATGGGTATGGGTATGGATGAACTCCTCGGGCCCAGGTTAGTCGGTCCTACGGATAAACCTGACTATCTAGAGTACATATCACATGCCACCGGATGTTGCAAGCGAGCTTTACTACATATGCCTACTCATAGGGTATCACACATTCCTGTGGTTAGGTTTCGTCAACTTCATTCATATTCGTTCATGATCATGGTATCTACATAAGCCTGTACATAATTACGTCCAAAGAAACACCCGCCGTTCAGAAAAAAAGGGAGAAATAAGGAAGAGAACAAGCCCACTTAAGAACCCATAAAATCCAGTGCACTAACCAGCGACACCATTCCCACAATACTCGAACAAGCCGCGAGAACATAGCTGCCTGCGGCAATCCCCTGTTCCGGGCCCCTGAGAAAGCTCCATATCAAGGAGATTATGAAGCTAGCGAGGACCATCGCTCCAACAGTAGCAATGATCCTATCCGGCAGCCAACCCTCGGTAAAGATTATTCCCTGGCCAGAGGGCTCGTCAAGCGGCGGGGCGTAGACCTCCTTCGATATCCTTTTCCCGTGAAGATCGAGGATCTTTGGTACTGGCTTGCCGCCGTTCAACTCGGTGAATGCGTTTATCCACTGGTGGCTTGCTGGTTGTAGCTTTCTGGGGCTGTAGAAGTACCGCAGGAGCTGATTTCCGGCATAGGCTTCGTAATCGATGGGACGCCATATTGGGGTGACGATCAAATGGCGGAATTGGGGGTCGGCGTTTTGGTGCCATGGGAGTCCATCTTGGCCGTACTGTGGATGGATTAGCAACAGTGAATAGTGGATTTGAAGGGAGGAAACATACTTGGGCAAATTTGATGTCGGTTACTCCCTTGAATGAAAACCTGCGTCGCCACCCTCGGATATCATGGAACGTTGACTTTATCTTCTGGAATAGGGCTCGATCATCAACCTCACTCTTGTCGAGCTCTATCCGAAATACTTTATACTCGGATCCGGATGATTGGGATGATAGGAGGATGGAAACGAAGAATGTATCCGGTGCTACCTCCCTGGTGCGAGGGACAAACTTGAAAGGCGACTGATGATACACATCGACAACTTTGGCTTTCGTGATTTTTGGGCAAAGAGGAGGTGGCTGATAATGAACCATGGTTAATGGTAACTGCCGTGCAATGGGCGGAGGAGTTTCCGATGGTCGATTGGAAAATTCAGACGCCACAAAGGCAGGCCCAGGAAGCTCATAGTCGGTGTCCCTGATGCTGCGTGATGATGGCGTTCGTGATCGGTGTCTATAGCTAGGTGTAGATTGTGGTCGACGCTCAGGGCTGTAAGAAGACTGCGCTCGACGTTCGGAACGATATAAAACCATGGCTTTATCCCCGTCTCCGTGGTGGCCGTGGCGAGTAGCATCTCGCCGACTTAATGTTTCACGGTCTCGGTGGTGCTGGCGGTGGCTAACCCTGTACTGCCGACTGCTATCGTCGAGCTCGTGGATGAGGACAAAACTCCGGTCTTCCGCTCCCAAATTATGTGACGAGTGTTGAGATGGGGGATCTTCGAGTAGATGGCTAGGAGGCCGGGGTGGGGGACACAATAAAGGCATCGGTATTGTGTACGGCCTTGGAGGTATCTGGTTACCGGACCGGGTGTCGACCATCACGGACTCCTCTGTGGGATAAGACAACGCCTTTACCCATATCGGACCTGCTTCTGCGGCTTCCACACCTCTTTCCGAATCACCGAAACTCGGATTTCCGGCTTGCACCGGTTCCCTTGCTCGCGATGGGTTCGATCTGGTTATATTGGCCAACCCATTACCATCAGCAACACCACTAGAAACGCCACCGCCCCGGCGGTTGCGTAACCCTGGTGCTTCGTTAACCTCAAGAGATGTTGTCATTCCAGAGTCAGTCCTGCAAATTTGTCTCGGCACAAGATCTTGCTGCTCAACGACTGCTGTTCGGGTAGATTCCTGCTCATTCTGCCCCTCGGATCCCTCCGCCCCGGTACTTGACGAGGGGGCGGCCGGAGTTCGGGGGTCACGGGGATAACCTGGGGGATAACCGGGGGGATAACCGGGGGGATAACGGGTATCCACATATGATAAATAGGGATAGGAAGACGAAGCGTTTCTAAGGATATAGGGATGTGGCGCCGGCGGCCGCGGCGGTGGCGATGGTACCCTGTATTCGAAATTGGGGGAATGAGAATTCGGGATGAGGTGAAGACGCGAACGGCTATGGACATGGTGAATGATCCGCACAGAGCGCTGTCGGCGCTTTCTTTCTCTGTCGTTTTTGGCCCTCTCTTTGACAGAGCGCAATTCGTTCTCTAGCATGCGTGATACCTCAGAGGTTAGAGTTTGAACGAGAGACTCCGTCTGTTCGATAAAGTCGTAGGTGGTGTCCTTTTCCTGCTGCGAGATAGCTTGCTGATTAGATGATTGCTGCCGTGTCTGGACATCGGAAAGCTTTGGGTCCTGGTCCTGATCCGAAATCCACTGGGAGATCGAAGAATCTCTTTCAAGTACGGCCCGAGGACCTTCTTGAGCTGAAATTTGTGCATTACCATGCGATGCGCTATGTCTCCGTGCTTCTGATCTGTCGCCAGTGAGGTTCCGCTGTGTAAATTCCGATGGGGCTTTATGTGAGGGTACCGCGGGGTCGGACGACAGATTTGGAGGGCTGGTGAAGTTTGAATCTGGGAAACTAGAGGTGATTCTTGTGTTTGTGATCCAGCGTTGCACATCGGCCAGATCAGGAAGCAACTGGGAACTCAGCATTGGCTGTAAATCCCGAGAAGTAGGCTCCGTGAGCTTAGCAAGCTGCGACTGTTTGTGCGATTCATCTGGATGAATTGCGTCTACGACGTCAAAGGTGGGTAATTCCTCCTTCTCTCCACGGACGGAAGCGCTTGGTGTTGCTGCCATTTCCACGACTTGTTGCAAGCGATTCGAAGCCCACAGAGGGGGCGGCATGAACAGGCGGCTTAGTTGTGCTTCGTCTAGTTGTGGATGTGATCCCTGTGGCGTCCTTGCTCCCTCCCTCCATCCCTTCGGCGAAGGTGAATGAACGTCGAGGCCCAATGGCGGAAGCCCCGGAGGCCACGCATATGGATTATCACAGTCCATATCCTGTGCGTCGTTTTTAACCACGGGGCTCCGAGATGGTACCGATCTCACTCTTCTCTTATTCCACTTTGCCTTGCGTCTGGTTCGTGTTGAGGGTGACGATGTAGGTATTTTGGAAGATGGACTCGCTGTCGAGCTTGTATCAATGGAGTGATTTGGCTCCGCTCCAGTCCTGATAGTATGGGCATGTCTCTTCGGTTTCACAAGTCCCTTCTTTTTGCTCCGTTTGACGAGTGATTTCGCGTGAGTATGTTCTCGTAAGGCCTTGTTTTCTTTCGGCACCGTGTCTTTCGGGGATACTGGTGTTGAAGCTTCGGTCTGCAAGTTCTCATGTGCATCATGGGTTGGTGCGCTATCATGTGTTCCGTCCACTGGTGAAGTCTCATGTATATCCTTAGTGGCTACTAATTTTTTTTCGATACAACCGTCTTCGCTGCACCCAAGTTCGAGATCGTTGAGGTCCTCACAACCGGCTGGAATCGGCCAGATAAGTTCAGCGGACCGACTCGGCGCAACGGGCGGGCTCGGCGCAACGGGCGGGCTCGGCGCAACGGGCGGGCTCGGCGCAACGGGTGGACTCGGCGCAACATCCATGGAAGTGTTCGACGTAACAGAAGTCGCATCCCAAGATGATTGGGATAAGTCGCTGGACGAGGCCGTATACGACGACTCGTAATGCCTGTCTTCGTCGTCATCCCATTCCTCATGGGGGCCCATAGCGACTGGAATGACCACAGGATATCGGGCGCCTGGCAGTTTGATGTGTTTGCACCAGGTTCCATTTGGCCCGGCAACAACTGAAGCAGCTTGGAATCTCTTGGAATATTCTATTGATGATTAGTTTCGGGTTCTGTGATTTATATTGGCGCAATAGGAAAACCTTTCAAGACTATGGTTCGGTCAACCAGCTCCTCCTGGGTAGAAGTTTCCAGGTGTTGATCCACCAGAAAGTACTCATCCTGCAAACTGTTAGTATGTAAAAGAAAACGAATGAATACCAATGATCTTACCCGTTCGTAATATTTCACACCAAGCTCTTTTATCGCTTCCTTGCAAATCAGGGCTTTTGGTAGCCATGTACACACGGGCTCAATAGCTTGCTGAGGTGGTGAAGGAAGGGGAGGGCGAGAAGGAGGAGGACCTCCTTGAGAGGACCACTCCAGACATTGTGGACCCAAAAGATTCACAACGCATGCCCGAACCTTCGCCTCGAATTCTTTCTCTTTCGCGTGTTCGGCGAGCATGGCCTCTTGCAGCATCTTCGCCTCTTCCACAATCATCCGGTTGTCCCGCTCCAATAGTTCCGCCCTCTTGGCTTCTTCCCATTTGACTCGCTCACAAAATCGGCGGAATAATTCATCCATATCAACATTCGTTTCCTGCTTGGGATTTTCGGTCTTGACTAGCAGCGTTCTCTTGGCTTCGGCGAGCAACGTCTGGACTCGCTTCAAGTGAGCTTTGAGCTCGACACCGTACCGGTATTCTTCGGACCCCTCTGGCTCCTTGAACCTAACGGTTGTATGCCTACGAGGCTTCTGCCTCTGGGACGTTTCGGAATATAAATCGTTTGAATATACTGATCTGTCATTGTTGTGCTCAATCAATATATTGACCCCCTTTCGTTGGTCAGTTAGCTTTCGTTAATTCATCTCCGGCAGGAAAAGAAACGAGCAGTCTCACCGGTCTAGGCCTGGGTCTTCTTTGGTACTGCGGCACCTCCTCCGCATCTGTATCGTCCTCTTCCTGCTGATTCCTCCCCTCGTCTTCATTGCTCGTAGCGTAGTCTTCGATGTAGGGGTTCCGATAGTTGGAGTTATCATCGTTCCGCTTCCCCATCCTATCCGCGCTTTCGTCCACGGACGATATCTTCCTAGGCACATGCGCCCACTGGTCATCACCTTCGTCGTAGAAATCGTCCTCGCGTTCGGACACGACACTGCCGTTTTCGATCGTGCATTTCCTCCGCAACATATTTTGTATATTTCGTATGTAGAAGAAGAAGAAGGAGGAGGAGGAGGAGGAGGAGGAGGAGGTGATGGTGATGGTGGTGGTGGAAGGAATGATAGCCAGTGGAACGGAATCGAATGGCCGCCGCGGATTCCTCTGATTATATGTTTCCCGCTCTCGTTCCACACGACTCCGCCAGTTCCCGTCGTCGTCTTCGCCATGCTGTGCTCGGTGTGTGTGCGTTATTGCGCGCATGAAGAAAAGACACATCGATACAGCACACGGAATGGGGCTGTGTCGCTATTGCAGCAGCAGCCTTGTTGGTGGTGGTGATACAGGGCCATTGAGTTCGGCTCAATCCATGGCTTTGGGGAAGGAAGCATATCCACGCCGGCTGTGCAACACGCCAACCAAGCGACCCGGATCGTCACCGATTGTTTTTTGCTGGCACATCTGCGCACATATTCCGGGGTATCGATTCACCCGCAATGGGGAAAGGAGGCGGTGAGGCGACGACAGAAGGTGGCATTGCTGATGCAGCATGCAGTCACCAGTGAGCACCGTGCAGTTCGCAATGTCTCAGATAACCCTATGGCGTGATCTGGATGAAGACGAGAATCCTCAGGACGATGACTTTGTTTTGGAGTAATGGTCGGAGCAAGTGATGCCAGTCTCTAGCCCATGCATGGCCCGGCGATCCGACGCTGGTGACGACGTATGATCATGTATATACTTAAGTAAGCACCCACTGGGGGCTGATGCATGGGGAAAAGGTGCATATTTACGCATGAACAAGCCTCCAGCCTGTTTTCCAGCTTCTCTATCCATAGAATTCACCAGCCACCATCGCAAAAGCCGACAGATATGCAAACTATGTAGATAATGGGATAAATAGCACGGTTTCACCTTTCATAACTGTTTTGTTCTGCTTGATCATCATAGCATTCGACCTTATCAGATCATGGCTGTACACACGTCCGGTTCCACTCCATTGTCTCCGACCGCTGGCCGCGAGCTCGATGCGGGTTCCCTATTGCTCTCCGCCCGGCCCATCCGCACACTGTGCCTCCGATAGTCCAGTCTAGCCCGTCTTTCGGCAAAAATCGGACTGGACTGAGAGGTTCAGTCCAGCTGGAGGCGTGGACTGGACGGACTGCAGTCGACTGACAAACTGCTACTTGCTGAAATTTTTGGGTCGAACTATGACCCTGCACTACGATTGTGTCGATCAGGACGGACTCGAAGGCTATGCAGCCCTGGGAACGTCTGTTCTCCTTTCCTCTATTGTTTGGTCCCATGATATATCATATGCTAATGATATGTGCAGGCCCCATCCGACAGCTTCTAGTACGGCGTAGAGCCCTCCCACGACGACGAGAACTATTCTCGGTGGCTATTTTATACACTGACGACTACCTATGGCAATATCCACACATACGACGGCGGAGGCCCTCTAGTCCTATGCAATCTGTGGGAAGATCTGATTAGTATCGCTACTCGGTGAGATTTAATAGCCCCGCGAGGCCATCACTAGACCTTCTCTCACCATCTCTCACCATCTACGATTGAATCTCGCCAGCTTCAGATACCTATTGAAGCTTATCCTCAAGCCTGGGGCACAAACACGCCCACAAAACCCCCACGCCTACGCCCACCCTCTTCTCTTCTCTTCTCTTCTCTTCTTCTCTTCTATTCACCACACACATCCCACGCTTAAACAACTCTCTAATCCGAATTCAATCCTAAATTTGAATATCGAACTATTTCCGAGTCCACCAAAAATCTCAAGTCAGTAGGTAGATCCGTCTTATCACACAAACTCACTCACAAATAACGAATACTAACTCGAATAAGTACCTACCAGAGATGTCTAGCAACAGATACAATCTGCGTAAGCGGATCTCCAAGCCCTCTGCCGCCACGCCGCCATGCCGTAAGGCCAGCAAGGTAACTATTCAAATCATGACCCGAATCCTATCGCAATGCATCTGACACCGCGGCCGTAGAAATCCAAGGCTACCGCTAGCGGCGGAATCTCCAAGACCTACATCTACACGGTCAAGCCGAGCACGATGGCGCGCCTCGCGGAGATGGAGGTCACCAAGGACACCACGCTCGTCGAGGGTGTGCGCTTCCACCACCTGTCTGGCGGCTCGAAGCGCGCCCCACGCGGCGTGGTGGTCATGAAGATCTCCGTCCCCGCTAGCGTTGAGGGCGGCGAGTGGCCCCAGAAGATGGATGTTGAGGAGATCCGCGGGGAGGAGGAGGAGGAGGTGGAGCGCCAAACGGAGGCGGAGGCGGAGGCGCAGCTGGAGAAGGAGCAGTAGGAGCAGTAGGAGCAGCAGGAGGCGGACAAGGATGAGAAAGCGGAGGAAGAGCAGGAGGAACAGGCGAGAAACACCAGCCGCCTCAGTTGTATCGCTATGTAGAAAAAAAACCAGTTCTAGCAGTAACCACCGTTTGGGGCGGGTTTACTTTTAGTAAATCTCCCCAACGGTGGCTACGGAGTATATTTAATACTGAAATGGCTTCTGCCAGTGTGTCGTGGTGCCCTACATAACAAAAGTATTAACTTTGCACTGGGCTACTGAACTCTCAGTAGAAGACTAAGCCTACATGACAGGACAGCTATAGATTTTCCTTGGGATGCAATACCGGTATGTGTCTGGGTAGTCCTAGAGTTGGATCTCATATCTGGGCCAACCACCATCACCACCGACGTTCTCGGCACACCGATATAAGTAGTTTACCCACACCTGTGGAATCTCGACGTTCACAGACCCTCACAAGTCATCGTTGTAGAGTTGGTGTAGACGTAGTAGGTACGGAGTGCTTCGCTGACAGGTAGGTATGGTGTCTAAGGAGCCGTCGGGTTTCACTCGGGATTCGTCTGGACTCGGAAGGCTCGGAAGGTGGCATATATGCGTGTAGTGGGAGCAGCTTTGGGATGAGTACCTGTTTAAATATTTAATTCTCGTCAGCAATGCATCTAGATAGGGATATGCCCAGTGGGATGTTCTCGAGGTAAAGGATGTAGGTACTCGTGATATATGGGCGTGCCCATGTCCCCGCCGAATCCCGTCCCCTTAGAATCCTATCCCCGCAGAATCCAGTCCCCGCCAAATCCCATCCCCGTAGAATCCTATCCCCGCACAATCCTATCCCCGCCGAATCCTATCCCCACAGAATCCCGTCCCCGCAGAATCCCGTCCCCGCAGAATCCCGTCCCCGCAGAATCCCGTCCCCGCACAATCCTGTCCCCGCAAAATCCAGCCCCCGCAGAATCCCGTCCCCGTAGAATCCTCTCCCCATCCTCCCGTTGCTTCCGTCCCCTTCCCTTCCTATCGTAGCCAATTCTGGGTTGATGTAGGTGCCGCGGGTAACATAGGCCGGCCTTGTTTCCATCTCGCCGATAATCGTTACTGGAACGGCGTCGTGTCTGGTATGTACGGCATTCCGCGGCCCGTCCGTTCCGTTTCCGTTTCCGTTTCCGTTTCTGCTTCTGCCAGTTGCTGCTCTCAGAGGCGGGAGGATGAGGAAGGGGTGTCATCGCTCTCGGAGTCTCAAAGGGAAGAAGGTGTCAATGGTCATAGAAGTATGTAGCGGTAGTTGTCTGGTAGAATGCCTGTGTACTCATCGCAATGCAGTGTCAGAAACCCAGGGGGAGCGTATGTAGTCATTGCCCAGCAGGCAGGAAGTCCACTGAGCGGAAAGCAGTACATACCTGCGTGTATGCCCATGGGCCATGATGCTGCTCTCATGCTGCTCTCACTCCCCCACTGCTTCCATCCCTCCCTTCCATCCGTCCCTTCCTCAGCTCCTTTATGCGTCCTCTCGAGCCCCAATCGTTCTCCATACCACTATTCTAGATGCGAGGTGGACGATAACGATGCGGGGGTGTCCACAGGGGATAGTAGGGATTGGGAGTGCTGCGGTGACTGTTGCGAGGTTAAGGACTGTTCTGTTTCTGCTCGGAAAATGGCCGCTGAAGGTGATGTCGATGAAGACGGCGGTAGTTTTGTAGCTGGTGTCTACTGCTGTACATACCATAGTGTATGAGGGGTGTAGTAAATGTCTAGCAGAAATTCCTCCACGGTGGAGGTACATACCGGTGTCCATTTCTCGCTCCAGTACTGATATCTATGATTGAAAGTAACCCCAAGCAGCTCTGCCATGGATAATAGTTTCTTAAAAGAATTCATCACAACAAATAGTCGAGAACGAAGCTGAAGTATAAGCAAAACACCCCATCGTGTTGATTTCGAATGACAGCTCCACGGACTGTGTTCGACTAAGTAATGTAGTGTACAAGAACAAAAAACAACCCGAAAAAAAAACAGTGCAAAGTCGTTAACAGCTCCCTTTCTCGGTCCTTCAATCCCTCATCCATCCACATCGGCTCTGTCCCAGCTCTTGAGTTTTTTTTTTGCTAACCAAACGACCCCGCAGATTTCGGGAATTAAGATGATACTGCTGCACAATAGGAACAGAATGAACAGAACGGAAACGCAGAAAGAAAAGGTATCGTCGCTATGTTGCGATCTATGGATCGCAAGGTAAGAAGGCAAAAAAAAATATAGAAAAAACGTCAAATCCCTCGAGGAGACTTGTGCGTTGTGAACGCCAACGAAAAATGATACCTGCTGCCTCCTTGGGTCCTCTTCTCATCCTGTGTGTGCAAACTTGGAAACGTAAGCAGGAAAAAAAAGGAAAAAGAAAAGAAAAGAAACCCTAAGTAAAATCATTTAAGAAAAGAAATCCAAAGAAAGGAACGTCGTTGATAACGAAGGTCCCAATCAGCCATTAGGTTGGTCTAAGTGTGGAATTAACGCTCTGATCAAGAAGTTTGACTAGCGAAATCCGAACCTATTGAAGCGCGCCGTGGGAGATGGCGGGCCAGGAGTCTGACGGTTGTAGATGGGGTTGCAACACAACATCCCGACTCGAGATCCGAACTTGCTACCCCTAAGGGAGACCATGTGCTTGCGGATATGAGAGGCAACCTGCTCACGGTGCTGCATGGAAGCATGCTGAAGAATCCACTGCACTAAGTAGTTGCCGTACTGATCGCTAGCAACTGCAAGGGATGTCAGAATGAGCACTCCACGGGATGCAGTGTAGGGAGCATACTATCAATCAACGGAATACGGGGCCGATCCGGACGGCCCTCACAGACACGGTCCAGATATCTATCCAAGAATTCATTGCCGCCGACCTTGAGGCACTTCTCGACGACCTTCGAAGCGTACTGGTCCATGCTGTACTCCGGGGCATTCTGAATCACCACATCAATGGCACGACTGCGATCGTGTGGAGCTCCATGCTCGCTGTATGGCGGCGTACATGAGCAAAGGGTGCTACAGGTTAGGAGGGAAGTCACCATACCAGATGTGCTGGATGCACCAGTTTCCGAACTGACCACGGGCAATGAGATCGATGTATTCAAGCACCTCGGTAATGCATGGACGCTATTCCAGTCATCAGTTATTGAACCTCTCGGTGGGATAAATCAACCAACCTTGTCCCCCTCCAGGCAATTCTCAAAGATGTTCTGCACAACTAGAGATCCAGTTTCGCCGAGGGCAACCTCGTGCCACATTCCGCGCAGGGCTTCGTTGACATACTTCATGATTTGTGGGGGCGATCCGGCCCAGCGAAGCTCAAAAAGCTTCTGCCAGACATGACAGGCATCTGAGAAAGTTAGAGAGGAGAGAAAGGACGGGGGGAAGAGGACCTCACATCTATGGATGACCGTCTCCGGGATGCGGCGAAGCAATTCGCTCACCATCGTGGCCTTGAACTCCTCCGGGACACAGTCGAAAGCCTTCTGGATAACGTGGCAGCCGAAAGCGTCCATGCTCAACGCCACCGTGTTTCCACGGATAGCGTTAGCGATTCCCTGAATCTGGTCCTGCGTACCATGCTCAAAACAACGCTGAACCAAGAAGTTTCCGAAGCGGTTGATCATCAGCTGGTAAGCCTGTGCGACGATGGCATCCACGATTGCGTGCTTTTGCTCGGCCGTGCCAATCTTCAGCTTCTGCTGAAGGAAGATTGAAGCTTGCTGATCGTTATTGCAAACAATCTTGTCGACAATGTACTTCCAATTGCAGTTGACACTACGCTCCAAGAGCCGACGGTAGTTGAGAGGCTCAATTGTAGAGACATAAGTCTGTCCGGGACCTGGGGGCGCAGAGCCCGGTACCTGGAAAGTGCTTAAGTATATGTATGAAGCAAAAAAGAAAGAGAGATATATACCTGAACTCCTGAACCCCAGATCGCCGCAGCAGAAGCTGCACTAAAGTCGTTGCCAGTAGGTGTGGCCAACGGTGTTCCGATAGGACTGGGATTGAACTGCGCCGATGGCGACAGTCTATCGACCGAGGCGGTAAAGGGCATGGCACCTGGGTTGTATGATGCTCGACGACTATTGAAGTAACGCGGATCGGTGCTGATAGGTGGCGGGCCCGCCAACGACTGGGAGGCAAAGGAGCGGTGTCCCTGGGTATTCCAAACACGGTTTCCTGCACCGTAAATCTCACTCGGCTCCATGCCGGACGAACGCCGACCAGGAGCTCCCGGGAACTGTAGATCGACTGGGTTGGCCAGCGGCATCGAGGGCAGCTGGGATAGGCCATTCTTTCCAGACGATCCCCAGATTCCGGACGCCCCGGCAAAGGGGCCGGCAGAGATGGAATGAGGCTCACGGAACTCCATCGACGATGAGCTTGATTCGTCATATCCAGCAGAAGGCCACGTATCGGCTCTCTCCGCACCCGGTCGGGGCAGCTGGGCGAACTTGGATTGCAAGGTGGCCAAAGTGTGCTCCGAAACATCTTCAAGACCAACGTGATCATCGCCAGAGTGACTCATAGCCTGTTCCAGAGTGTGCTTGGTGATCCTAGTCTGGGCAAGTTCCTCGTTCATGACATTGATCTGAGACTTGGCGGCCATGAGTTCCGACTGGAGACGGTTGACGTCCTTAATGTCCTGAACGACGAGTCCGGCGGGATACCTCGTACCCGGAGACATAGATCTCATCGTTCCAGCAGTAGACTCTCCTGGTCCATGGGCTGGCGATGTATTGTAGCTGTTGCGGCCAGACGGAGGATCGAACCTAACCTTGCCTAGCTCACGGTCCTTCCTCTCGAGGGCGTCCCGCTGCTGATCGATAAGGCGCTGCTGCTCTTGAAGCTTCGCGAGGAGATCACGAACATCGGCGTTCTCGGACTTGGTCGTATCTCGGGCGGCATGGTTGTGCTTCATGAAGCTCGAATCCTGTGTAAGAATAACGAGTCAGCAGACGGTTAAAAAAATAAAATAAAAATGCAAGAACAAACAAAAAACTATGATGTCAGTTTAAACTCAAATAGGATGGGAAGGTACCATCATGTGACCATGGCCAATGTTGGCCATCTTAGAAGTCATAAGTGGGACGAATTCCTCGACTCCAGCACCATCCGTCGTGTTCACCTCTCCTGCAGACTGGTGCAGTGTCAGCATCATCACACAGGCTGAAACAGGCAGAAGCAAGATTGGTCATTGTGGTAGATGTTGGAAAGAAAATGAAAAAAGCAGAACATAATAATCATAATATTAATAGTAAGAAGTGAAGATGCAGAAGGTAGTGATTACAAGAAGAATCCAAAGAGATGAGAGTGTGTAAGAGATGTTATGAGCGATGAACATTGGAAGATGGGATGAAGATGAAGATGTGAATAGCAAGGGTATCAATTGTGAGTGTGTAGGAGATGTTATGAGCGATGAATATTGGAAGATGGGATGAAGGTGAAGATGTGAATAGCAAGGATATCAATTGTAGCTAATGTAGGAAGGAAAGATAGAAATGATGATATGGAGTGGAAGTAAACAGGGAGACGTGAGGGGGGATGGAGATGAAATGGAAAAAGCACAACAATTGCAGCAAATAGAGAAAAGTGGAATGAAAGATGTAGAGGGTAATAAGTTGTGAAGACATACCTGGGAGGGGTTGATGGCCTTCATGGACCCATCAGGAGAATCTTCATGGATGAAGAGGTTCTTATCCTGTTCCATTGAGCGACGCTGCTCCATCTCAAGGGACATTCTGCTGTAGCAGTAGATGTATTCCTTGATGATGGATTGATGCTTGAAATGGGCCTGGTCTGCAAACCTGGTCTGCAAAGGAAGGAGGAGAAGAGGAGAGAATTGAGGATGGAAGTAGAAGGATTCCTGAAGTTCAGGAGGGATAGATGTTAGAGAGAGAGGGCTGGGACGTTGAGTAGGAACAGTAGGTTTGGTGAGGACAGCACCAGAGAAGCCTGTAGAAAGGTGGTAGGGATTTAGAAGATTTGAAGGGAGTTAGGGGAGAAAGGGAGGAGGAGAGAAGAAGGGAGGAGGAAGGGGAAAGGAAGAAGAGGGTTGAATCGTGGGTTTTTTATGGGAATTCAATTAATTTGGAGTCGGCCAAATTTGTGTCCAAATGAGGAAATTTTGTGAGTTGCTTGTTAGTAGGGCAGGTTGTGTTGTTGCTGTGCACAGAAACGAGAAGAAGAGTGTTTGTTTTGGTTGAATGATTGTCTCTATGTCGAAGATGTGAACCACGATCTGAATGTATGAATGTATTAAATACAAGGATGCAAGATGCATGCAACACCCTTCGGCAAACAGAACAGCAGCGCAGGAGAGGTCTACGGCACAGATGCAATAGTACAACAGTATCAAGCAGGCACGTGATGGTATTCTGTATGTGTCTGCATGCATTTGTGCATACGTGCATTGCTGGAATTCGTGCCGTCTTGATCATGCCTCGGCTGTCTGTTTGGATGAAAGACAACAGCGAGGCTCATACATACGAAGCCCTTGAGACTCGCCATGTGGAGTCAAACATTCCAAGTGCTTTTGCTCCGCCCACCCCTGCCCAGCTCGAGTCTCTCCCGATCACAACAAAGTCGGGCTGGCCCACTCCGGTCCTGAGCGGCAAGAGGCGAGTAGCGGCAAGCAGGCCGGCCTCGTCTGCTCCCCACAGCACGAGCATCAACCGTCCCCGGGGGAGAGGGCAGATGTATATTGCGCCCATTCCGCTTTCAATTTTTAGCCGCTTTGTCTTGCCCATCGCATCGGTGATCTCAACGGCCTTGTCCGAGATGGTGATGGGAAAGCTATCGGTGGCACATGCGAGATCTGGCGATGGTCGGCCAAAAATGACTGCGTTGCCATCGGCGCTGGTATCTTCGAGCTGGCTGGTAATCTCGGTGTCTGCTGCGAAGAACTGATAGAGGTTCCTCGATACGTCTAGTGCTGCAGCCCGCTCAAAGGCAGTTGCTCCTGTGGGAACCATTATGCGGAACGGTCCGCGGGAAGCAAGGAAGGCGTCCAATGCACCACACTGCCGTCTAGCCCTCTCGCCCTCTCGCCAGTCCGCATCTTCCGTAACCTACAACGCATCGTTAGCCATGCCAACCATCGGCGAAATTCTAGTCCCATGACCATACCATCCAAGAACCGCTATTCGAAAGCAAAACCGTCGACGAAGGATTCCAGACAGCCGGGAAAACGACGGCTTGCTCGTCGACAATCACTCGCTCCGGATATTCGCTGGTATATGACCTCAGTCCCGCAAAATGCCATCTGCGGATGTTCGAAGTCGTCAGGGACCAGGTGCTGCCTTGCACCTCGACGTCTATACGGCCGATTCTGGGATGGCAAGTCAGAAAGGCCGTCACGGGGCACGGTGTGGAATCGGTATGTACATACCTATCCGGTTCTTCAAGTTGGTCCACAATGATACCACCTCTTGAGCCCATATCTGCAGGATTTGCCACAACTAGCGAGAATTTATCAGGCAACTCTGGAACCACTGGCTTGTCGTTCAGATGGTGTCTCAGGAATTCGGGCAGTCTACTGTCGGTCATGACCCCCTCCCACCAATGTCCCTTGTGCGGAATCTCCCAATACTCAGTCAACCAATCTTCTTCTGCGATAAGCTGATGCATTCGTCTGGAATGATAGACCGGAACGTTATCGTCGTCTCTTCCATGCTGTTGCAATACAGGCGTGCCTCGCACATTCGGAGCCAGGAGCTCGTGCTTATAGCTGTTCAACGATGCGAGGACTATCGCATTCTTTCGAGGATCGGATTCATGCCACATGTGGTATGGCACATACACGGGAATGGAAAGGTATCCCGAAAGTGGTGCTGCGGCGATGATATTGTCACTCCTACAGGCCATTAATCTTGGGGATTTCCACCTTGAAGCGTTTTGATATCGGATTACCTATGCGTGAGCGCATACCAAGTCCCTTGCCCGCCGTTTGAATGGCCACTGACAACCCATCTATCAAGGTGTACGCCTTGCCGTGTCCAGTTCACCTTCTTCATCCATCGAGGTATCGCCGCAATCGCAGCTTCGACATCGGGGAATCCCCACCTATCTGTGAATCAATCAGCATCTTCGGAAGGGAAGGCGTATAGGGTGACTGGAAACGCACGCCAGTCATCACCACTCCAGGTGGTTCCTCCGCTAGGGAGTACGAGCCATGCACAGAGATCAGGAAGCCCGTCATAAGACTCTTTGGATTGTGGGTTATCTGCTTCCACGCCAGCCCCGTGCAGAGACAGGAAGATAGGCAGTTTTTTCTCCAGTACCGCCTTGCATGGAGCGTTTGGAGACGGCGGTCTAAGTACAGCATACGAAACTATACCGGATGGGTGCAGAAATCTGACTTGTTGGTAATAGGCCAATCAGAGAATATGGGTTGCACTTACGTGTATTTCTGTGGCTGATACCAGTGTTCGATGAGATTTAAATACTTGGTGACCGGCACTTCGTGATCCTCGATCCCGCCCTCTCGCCGATATCTCAACACCATTTCCAAGGTCGTCGTGTTGGCAGGGACGTCTGTAACCCGAAATTTGATCGGCCTGGACTGTCCGGGTGCCAATCTTACCGACTCGAACCCCGCCACTCTGGTGGAATTCTTCAGAAACTTCCGGTTAGAAATTTCCACTGATAGTGGGGGAGTATCCACTTACTCTCTTTCCGCGTACACCCACCACCTGGATCCAGTCCACGCCATCATTCCGGACCGGAACACTCACCCACTCACCCACCAATCTTCCTTCAACCACATCAGGCACCACCACGCCCTCTCCCACGCTCATTCCACCCTCCACAACCACTGCCTCAACCCTAAACTTGACACTATCTACGCCCCCAAACGCTCTAATATCATGCGTTACCCTAACATCAATAGCATGCCTTCCGGCAGGCAGCCTGACCACCAACGGGGCGCGGCGGAACTCGTAATAATCCCCGCCTACATGTCGTCTCCCCGCAATACTGAACTCCGCAGCCGCGCCAGAGATATACAGCGCCACCGTCGCCTCGGAGCACAACACCACCTCGCCGCGCGCCCAAGCTTGGAACTGCAACGCCGACCAGCCGTACACGGACCGGAGGGCGTCCCAGTCCACCTCCGGGAAGGAGACCAGGACGTTTCCGCCAGAGGCTGTAGCTGCCGACCAGCCCGCGGTCCCGTTCGGGGCCAGGGCACTCGGAAAGCTCCCGTTAGAGGAGAAGCTCAATGCTCCGAACCCGCCGTATCGCGAGACTGGGTCGCCGGTCCATTCGGCTTCTGGAGAGGCACACCATTGTTAGTTGGTGGTGGTTACGCGGCTAGGTGCTTGGCTGGCTTAGCTGGCTTAGCTGGCTGGCTTACCGCGTGTACCTAGCTGGAACGGCCCCAGAAGATCCCAGCTAGTGGAAATATTTACGGCGCGTGGGCACGATTGTGTTGGTATTGGTGAGGATACCGACGCTAATATGCGCAACGCTGATAGGAGTGGCAGCTGCATTATCAAGAAGGTGGGGATTGTTATTTCGTGAAGATGCATCGTGTGGGGAAGCTGGTTAACCACTACTAGAGGATCTAGAGTACTGACTGGCGGCCCAGGGGCCGGGGCACGCGCGTATTTATGTATTGCCATGAATCTACATTATGAAGCAGCGAGAAGTAATGACCAAAGTGACGGCTGGATGCAAGATAAGAGGAGGCTGGTCGTCGGGTTTCTGCATTCATAGAACTACTTGAAGCTTCACCCCCTCCCGTAACGTCCCGTTCCGTTGATCACCCTCAAATCTCCAGTCGGTAGTAGGTACACTGCACCAGCCAGCCAAACTAGCATGAAGACCGAAGTTGACTATGAGGTGGATAGGCTCACGCGTTTGATCTTCTAGTGCCCACAAGGCGATGCTCGAACCGGTGCCAACTGCCAAGTGGTTGACCGGCGTCTGTCCCATCCCATCCCACAGCACGACGTCGTAGCGCGAGGCCATCATGGAACAGGTACGCGTTTAGCGCGTCTAGGTTCTGAGTACAGCACGTGACCGGAACAAAGATTTTCCGAAGAATGTTGGACTCCGTATGATGTACGGAGCATCTACATATGGATGTCTGAGAAGTCACGATATGGACGGGGTATGGGCTGGTTTGTATGGATGGTGTTTATGGCGGTGGCTGCGATTGAGGATTGAGTTCCTGCATTGGAGTAATTGGGAAACCCTCGGAGGCTCGGACTCAGACTCGGACTCGGATCCACAGCCACAGCCACGGAGCTGTGTACATAGGGTCATCCGAATAATCTGTTTGGCATAACTGCAGGCAGTTGGACTGGAATGGGGAGACTATCTACGGTAGCTGCCGGTTGTCGTAGGCTGGGGAATTCCATGATCGTCAGACAAGGGAGTGGCCAGTGAATGACGGCCAATACTAATAGCTCGACACCCTCCTTTGAAATCGTTACTTTTTCTTCCTAGGCGAGAGAGTACCTAGACGAGTTCTAATCGATATCACGAGCTGAGAAATAGGTGGAAGGGAGGAGCCGATCTGAACTCGAAGCGTGGATATCATATCACCATCCAATCTACCCAGGTATACCTCTCTCTCTCTATGTACGTACATACAAATACACCCATCTCTCTAGAGCGGAGAATAAATAAAATCCATGCTTTACGCCGGTCTCATCACTAACTTTCTTTCATCAAAGGTATGCAAAAAACAAACCAACAGTTGTCCGAATCCCATAAGCAAAAAAAACAAAAAAACGCAATTCCGAAGTCTACCCTAATAATACAATACACATGCATGTGCATCCATCCATCCAATTCCACCAAATCAGTTTTTTTTTTGGTACGCCGTAGTAAATTGCAAGTTTTCCGTCCCGTTTGCTCCGAGTCGTCAGGGGGTATAAATCGGTGAGTAGGGTGGAGCGGGATTGGGAAGGAGGGAGGAAGGAGGTGTTTACAAAATCTTGTCGAACGCGGGGATCAAAGTTTGTGCTATCATATGGTCAGCCGTACTTCGGGGAAGTGGATGTGGGGAAACGGGAGATCTTACCCAGCCAGAAAGAGAACACGAGCTTAGGTCCGGTCATCAACAGCTTAGGAGTAAGACCCTTGAAGAACGAAGTGGCACCCTCATTCTTCATCATTTTGGTAATGATCTTGAAGCCGCTCTCGGGGTTCTCGAAGTTGCGGTTCTGAATACGGGTCTTGATGACGTCGAGGGGAGCTGAGACAACTAGGGATGCGGTAGCACCAGCAATCGACGCGATGAAGTTCTGGCTCCAGGTAGCCTTGTTGTAGTCGGCAATGCCGAGGGCCTCCTTGGCGAATGCGGAACCTCCGAAGAGCGCAAACGATCCGGGAGCGTTACGGGCGGCGGTCCAGCCCCATCCACGGTAGAGTCCGAAACCCTCGTCGGAAATGATCTTGAACAGACCACGGCCGCGGAACGCCTCGGGGTTCGTCTGGCGCTTGATCTTCAGGACGTCAAGGGGCAGGAGCACGATCTCTCCGATACCGATGATGGAACCGGCGGTGGCGTGCATGATCGCCTTTCCGGTACCCTTGCCGAAGGTGCGGTCGAACTTGTCGCCGTGGTGGGTTCCGAGGTAGTCGCGGACGAAAGGCTGTCCACCGTATTTGTAGATGCGCTGCAGAACTTTGTAGCCGGCGGCGTATCCGAGACCGGGGAAGAGCGAGAGGAACTTGCGCCCGACGGTGGCAGAGGCGTACTCCTTGAAGATCACTGTACGGAGAGTGTTGCTGGAGGAAATCTTGCCCTGGTTGGACATCAGACGCTTGGCGATTGTGTCCACGGGGTGGAAGATGGCCAACTCGGCGATACCGGCGGAGCCTGGGGAGTGTTAGCAATGGCCATTGAGGGGCAGAGGCGGTGATTGCGTGTGTAATCCTTCAATTCCACCACGAGCTGAACGTACCAGAACCGAGGAGACGAGCTAGAGTCGACTCCTTCTTAACCGACTTCGCCGACGAAGAGGATGCTGCTATGGGAGACATGGTGGACGAGGTTTGCGTAGTAGGAGGTGGGAGGAGAGGAGAGGGCTCGTGTGATTGTGAGAATCTGAGGAGTTCGTGGAGCGCAAGACGAAGGAGGAGGAGTAGAAGGAGGAGAGGACTGAGGGACGTATCAACGATGTATAAAACACGGCGAGTGATAAGCAGAGGAAGCGAGAAAAAAAAGTTGCAACGCGAGCTAAAATCTGCACGGGCTTTGAACCCCCGCCCCCGGCTTGTTCCTTTCCCCGGGCCCACGCACGACGAAAAAGACCGATAGTCCACACCACGTCGCCCAAATGTTTCAATACATGCTAAACTTGGCGGTTATTTGTTCTTCATATGAATCTGCAAGCTTTGTCGCTGTAGTTTTCTTTGTCTGTGAATCATCGGTTTGTGGGCAATGTGGCTTGGCAAAGCATGAGTCAGCGTCGACAGAGGCCGGTCAACATGCATTCGTCGTTCCCTAACCTCATCTCCGACTTCAACCTTCAATATCACTGACTCCACCTCTCTTCATCACCACCTCCACGTCTCCACAGCCACCTTCGTCCGTACGCAAATCACAAAGCCGGTCGACTCTTCCACCGACAGTGCTCTTCCACCGAGTCTTCCCGGCGCGACAACTTCCCGCACAGTCTTGGTCTAACCACCCCCCTCGCTCCGTTTCGCGTGTAGTTCATAGGGACAGAGAGAAGCACGCGTGTGTGTCTGTGGCAGAAGTTCCTTCATCCGGGCACAGCAAGAGCAGAAGCAAAAGCAAGAGGAATAGAAGGGAACGCAGGGTCTGAAGGATCAAGAATCGCGACATTTGGACATTGTGTGATTCTTTTTCCTGGCCGATACCAAATCTATCTTGCTTTTTTCTTTCTCGCTTTGCGTAGTTAGGTTGCAACCGTTTAGTGTCAGGACGACGGAGAAGAGAACGGAGAAGTTCAAGAGAAGGAGAAGAAGAAAAGAAGAAAAAGCTGTTGTCGCGATTACAATTGTGCCTCCAACTGCCTGTCTGTCTGCGCACTCTTTGTTCACCTACTCACTTCAACTTCAACACTAACACCACCAACTCCCGGCATCCTCGCCCGAACACCCTCCGACACACGACTTCTTTCCTCAGGCTCGCGTTTATACACACAATATTCAACATACACACAGTTCAACAACAAGGCAATGTCAGGTTTGTCTTCTGATGAGTTGGCGGAGGATTACAAGGCCTCGCTTGAAGATTTGTCTTTCAACTCTAGGTACGAAATTAGCAATCTCACTGTCATCGCAAGGGAGAATATCCATGCAGCTCAAGCGATTGCCAGGACACTAGAGCAGCACATCCATAATGTAGGTTCATACACTCTCCCCCGGTGTAGGTACCCGTCGTCAGGTTGAGTCAGGTTCTATATAAACCACCCTCCCCCCAATATATGATGACAAAGTTACCGTGACAACAGGAGAGCTAACGACTTCTCCAGACCGCACCGTCGCGAAAACTCCCCGCACTGTACCTTCTCGACTCTATCGCCAAAAATGTCGGCACTCCCTACACCCTATTCTTCCAGCGGAACTTGTACCAGACCTTCATGGATGCATACATAGTGGTTGAACAACCGGTGCGACGGAAACTCGAGGAGATGCTCCAGACATGGAAGCAGGCAGTTCCAGGTTCGACCTCGTCAGCGCCGGTCTTTGGACAGGAGGTCACACGCAAAATCGACAATGCTCTGATCAAGGCTCGGACCGCGGCGCTGCATTTTCAGCAGAAACAGATGCGACAGAGCCAGGCCCTCGGTCTGGACAGAGCGGTCGGCAGGACCCCGCCCCCGCAACAGTTCAGAAATACTCCGCCACCACATCCTAATGGCCATGGATACGAGGATTATCACAGAAGTGCTACTGGAACACCCCAGGCACAGCAAAACGGTACTGCGGTGGGTGGGCATAAGAACCATTTGGGGGGGACGCAGGCTTATACATCTATGTCTTCTCAGTCGGCCATGGGCAACGCTTCGGCTTCTGGGGGATTGCAGCAGCTTCCCCTTCAGGGGGGCCCACCGCCACAAGCTGGTGGAAATGTAGACACGTTGCAAAGTGATATCTTCCGCCTCATTGATTCGTGTCAAACGGCCGTTAAACGCGAGCCACAGAATCACGAGTTGCAGAAGCGACTACAGGCCTTGGTTGACCTCCGGAACATCCTGAAGACTCAACAGCTGCCCGAAGCCCAGCTTGTACTCATCCGAGATCAGGTCCGGGCTCTGGCCAACCCGACTCCACCGCCGCCGGTGATGGCTCCGACTCCACCGCCGCCACAGCCACCCGCCCCTCAGATGCCGCCGCCATTGCCGATGTTGAGCACTCAGGATTTGGCCTCTCTCCTGGCCACGGTTCCCCTCCCTCCTCCAGGTTCTCAGCCGCCAATGGGTATGCCGGCCTCCTTTTCACTACCTCCGGCTCCGATGATGGTCCCGCCGCCCATCCAGCCACCACCTCCGCCACCGCCAGCAATGCCCAACTTTGGTAACATGGATCCAGCGGCTTTGTTCGCTTCCCTACAAAAAGCTGGACTGCTACCAAACCTCCCCCCTCCCCCCCCCTCCCCCTCCAGTTGGACAGCCTCTCTCGTTTCCTCTTCCATTACTGCATCCGAGGAATGTGATGTCCCAGCAGCCACAGCCGGCGAACCACCGTCAGCAGAATCAGTCGAACACAGGTAACAGAGCAAGGGACTGGCGTTCAATCGATGTAGAAATGAAATCGCTCTCTTTGAAAATGTAGTGTGCTCCCACTCACCTTTCATTCATTTCTCCCATATCTGTGGCCTTGCCCACTTGTTCCACAAAACTTGAAGGAAAACACGAATTGTCGCACCGAGATTGTACATATGCTGATTTTGGACCGTTCTCGGGCTTTCCTTGTAGGCCTCGTCCGCACCTCATCCCCAGACTGAATGAGACTCTCCCGAACAAGTGCAGCTCCTGCGCCAGACGCTTTGAAGATTCGGAGAAAGGCCGCGCGGAGAAGAGGGCGCATCTTGATTGGCACTTCCGTGTGCACCAGCGCATGGCCGAGAGTGTCAAGCGTGGTCAGAACAGGAGTTGGTATGTTGACGAAGAGGTATGTGTCCCCCCCATCACCAAATCACGGCCGTGGAGAAGCTAATCCTTTTGCAGGAATGGATCAAGACTCCGGATGAAGCAGAAGACATTATGACTGCCGACGCCGAGGCCGCTTCCTCCGCACCAAAACAGGAGACCCAGCAAGCCGCTGCCGAAGAGCTCCGACGCCAATACGTTGTCGTCCCCGATGCAACCGAGACGCACAGGGTGTGTCCCATCTGTCAGGAGGAGCTCAAGTACGTCTGGCACGACGAGACCGACGAGTTTGTCTGGATGGACGCCAAGCAGGTCGGAAATAGGATCTACCACGCCAGCTGTCATGCAGAAGCTAGTAAAGACCGTGCTGGTGCGGCTGCCCCGGGAAGTAGAGGGGGTACACCCGAGAGTGTGGGTGTTAAACGCAAGGCCGAGGTGGGTTTCTCCTCCTATCCATCCCCTTGTTCTTTAAGCAGTACTGATGAGACATCATAGGACGACGAGGCCGAGAGAAAAGTCAAGGTCAAATGTGAGTCTGCTTAGGCTTTCACTTGCACCTACGATTGTAGATGTCACGACAGCCTATATGGATCGAAGTGGGAAACAAAAATCTTGAGGGAGTAATGACTGGGTTGATTCTCTTATCTTTTCGCACGGGCGTTACTTGCATTCGCATCTTCCTTTTTTTTTCTTGTTTCATTTCTTTCGCTGGTTCGCTTTTTTACTAGGTTGAGTCGTGGAGAAGGGGATTTGGGCTGGGAGGAGTTCCATGACAATGCGGGAGAGGGGAGTACATACTACCGCCTTTAGCTACGACTGATATTACTCGTTACTGCTGCTCTTGTTCCCACTGCAAAACTTCATGAAGTTATCTTATTTGCAATCAACTGTCTTTACACACCTTTCGTTTCGTTTGATTTCAGTGAAGTGGAGTGAAGTGAAAACCCGAATCCATCGAACCAAATGCAAGTGAGTATCCATGCCGCGCGCTCTTTTGTGCTGGAGCCATTTGCCGTCCTGCTGCTACCACTTCACCCGTGCTGTCCAGCCATCTCAATCGCCCATGTGAAAACGCTGAGCCCACGGGTGTGTTCCTACAACGGTACCGTTTACCCTCTAAGTTCAAGTATCTCAGGACCTGACCTAGGTTCATAGTACGGAAGCTTGCAGCACCCCCTCACCGCCGGTGCCTTCGAGCAGTGGCATGTTTACCACGAGATTTCCAAGTCCAAGCCGGCATCCGACTTCGCCGCTAGGTCTATAGACGACAAATACGAAGGGGTAGGTGCATCTCCGCCTATGCTACCGTCCGACCCCGGGTCCGGAGCCGGGTCCAGGGCCGAAACCGGGCGTTAGGTCGGTAGTACGTTTGCAGCTGGAGATCGTTTCCCCGGGTGGTTGTGGTATGCACGATTATTACGTTACGGGAACTTAGCGGACCGGAGCGGACCGGAGGAAAGTGGCGAGACGGGGTGGTCTCCTGCCTGCCTGCCGAGACGGCACGGGACCAGCCAGGGAGCTTGAACTGATCGGCATGGGGACAGGCCAGGGCTATAATCGGAAGCAAAGGTCAGTCCGTTCAGTATGCCCGCAATTGAGTCCACACACACGGATGAAGTTCATCCTCCCTACACGTACAGTACGTCCGACGAGTCTGCTACACTCTAGACCTTTTGCACGTGAACAGAAACGGTTCTATCGGTATCATCTGCAAAAACATCTCAAGGTACACAGGCGCACAACACAGTCCGTGGTCCTCGACTACCTAGCCGGTACGGACACCTGCAGATACAGCTTCAGTTCTACATTACACTATTCAAGCGAAACAGCCACATGGAAGCACGAGCACGCACGGGTGCTTGGCCAGCTGCGGAATATGATACCATCTCCGGCGCTCTTTTCCACGGTTTCCACTCTATATTTGAATCGGAACTCCCGGATACCACGGTCTGTGGCCCTGTAGGATGTTTACGTCCCTAAAATTACGATATATCAACGGTTTCTTCGTATTACCAGAGCACTACCTGCTGTACCTTACATGCTAGTAGCAACGGTTCGTAAAGCTGGCGGAAGTGAGCGGAAATATCGGTCCACGAAGGAGGGTCCTGTATACACGTGGGTAACAGTGATAGCTGATAGTTCACGGCATCAGGCTACTTCATATCAATCCTTTCCACGGTCCACAGAACCAAACCTTGATATGAGCATCTGATCAGACGGCATACGAGGAAGATCATGCCGTTATTTCCGTAGGAGCCATCGGTGTATAAATTCACCCTCATCGTCCAGCATATCTATCGTCTCCTCACCGCAAACATGAAGTTCATCGGCACCCTCCTGACCCTCTTCCTGACGCTCACCAGCACTCTCAGCGCCCCCATCGCCGAAGAAGGCGCAGAGGACGTATCCGCCGCCTCCCTCAAGAGAGTTGTCTTCCCCAACTACCTCGGTCCCCCCCCCCCCCTCCCCCCAGTCGTCCCTTCACTAACGATCCCCAGTCCCAATCCTCCAAGACGACCCCGACACTACCTTCCCCACGCAATACACAGGCGACGTCTCCTACAACGGCCCCAGCGCCGGCAACGAATGGCGGCTTCTCGTGGGCTTCGACGTTCCCGCGAATGTCGGCACGCGCTGCTCGATCAAGTTCCGCCTGCCCATGAAGGAAGACGACGTGGGAGGCTATGAGTGGGTTGTTGTCGGCAGCGGGAAGCTGGATGTCTGGAGCCTCAAGAGTATCATCATTAATGGTGGCACGTCGTGGAATAATAAGCCCGCGAGGACGACGGTTAAGCCGCAGTTCGTCATAACGGTGAGTACCCCGTGAAACGAAATGGTAGGGAAACGGGGGGCTGATAGGGCATAGCAACCGCTGGAGGGTGGAGATGCAATGGTTGTGGGTGCTACAATCCCGTGCAAGGGTGGTCAGCGTATGGACTTTGAGGTGGCAGCGAGTCGCCCAGGGTTGGCGTTTTTCCACTGGTTCGGTGAGTATCACGTTTTCCGGACGAAGTGAATGGGTGATTGGCCATGCATATACTAACGTCTGCCCAGAATTGACGGATCCTCAGAGCGGGATTACGCTGAACATGTATACGTGAAAGGTCCGTCTCAAAGGGAAGACAGGGGATTTCAAGAAGGAGGATCAAATTTTCAATTGCTCTTATGTACGATCGCGAATGAACGAGAAGTCTGGTTTCTGCACAAGCAATCACTCGCCTATGTGAAGAATGAGCTCAATATTCGCACCTAATATTACAGCCCCAATCATACCTGATCCGCTGAGAGCGCAATTGCATTGAGCAATCACCAAAACGACAAAGCACACAACTACGCACGACCAGCCCTCTGACCCCTCGCCCTATTCACCGTAGCTCTTCCTCTGGCCAAACCCACACCTCGTCCACGAACCGTCCTCGATCTAAACATTGGGGCGTTCCTGCACAATCCTGTATCAGCATCCCATCCCAGCCCATTTCCTACTGGTGTAGCGGGCGGATAAGTACCTCAACATGTCGGGCACGATGAAGAACCGTACGTGCGATCCGCGGATGTACACTTGGTCGAGATGCGAGACGCGGCCGTCGCGCGCGGTCACCGTGATATCGCGCAGCTGCACATTCATGTTGTCTTCCGCCTCGATGAGCTTGCCGCGGAAAATTTGGCCCGACGTGAGTTCGAGCGTGCAGACGTGGCCCTAGTCGTGGGTGTCAGCTTCCAAGGGCTCGAGAGAGCCGAGAGGGGAAGTGCGCACTTGGGCCTCGTTCAGGAGCTTGATGGGGATTCCGATGCTGCCCATTGTGAATGTGTTCTTGTGTGGTGGTTGATTGAGATGGGGTGGTGGTGCTGCGATGTAGGGTGGTGGCTGTGCTGGTGCTGGTGCTGGGGAGGTAGGGTGTAGTTAATTGTGAACGTGAAGTTGACTACGACGCGGCTCTTTTGGCGTGGTGGTGCGTTTCGTTTCAGCTTTCGATTTTAACTAGCTTGAGCCTCAAGTCACCCCACGGCCGTCGCACCGCCCCACCAACGACCATATCTCGAAAAATGTCCTCAGAACCACCACCGACGGCGGCTGTATGCACGCGCTGCAAAGAGAACCCCGGAATCTACACCCTCCGTCTCGATCCCCACTGCAGGTCCGCTTTCGCGCCCTCTCCCAGCTCACCCAGCTAACCGGCCGCAGTGACTGTTTCTCCCACTACATCCGGTCCAAATGCATCAAGCGCATAGAATCGTACAAGATCCGATCTCTCCCCAACGGCTCAATCCCGGTGTTCCTTCTTCCCCTGTCTCTCGGCGTCTCCTCCACCGCGCTCCTCCAGATCCTTTCCACCGCACTCACAACGCAACGGCAAAAAGTCAGCCGCGCACGCTACACCCTCAAGATCGTGCACATCGACGAGTCGCTCCTCAATGCGCGCGCGCCGCCGGCGGCAGATCTCGCCGCGATACGCGAACGATTTCCGGAGGCGGGGGAGTACAGTGTTGTGAAGTTGGAGGAAATATACTCGTTTGAAGGAGAAGGATCCGGCGAAGGATCCGGCGAGGGGGACGGGGAAGACAACGCCGCCCGTCTGCGGCAGACATTGCAATCCCTCCCCAGTCCCACCAGCCGAGAAGACCTCGCGCGGGTGTTGCGCACGCGATTGATCCAGCGTCTCGCCGCTCAGCACGGGTGCGCCGGGATACTCTGGGGGAGCTCGACCACTACACTCGCGTCGCAAATCCTCACCTCCTCCGCCCTGGGCCGCGGGGCGAGCCTGCCGTTTCTCACACAGGACGGAGTACACGAGGGCGTGCTGAGCTACCATCCGCTGAGGGATGTGTTCAAGAAGGAATTGGTAACGTTTGTGAAGGATGTAGTGCAACCGAGTCTGTGGGGATTGTGTACGGCGGAAGAGGGGAGGCAAAGGCATAGTGCGGCCAATGCGATCAGTGCCAGGAATATCACCGTGGGGGAACTGCTGACGCAGTACTTTGAGACGATGGAGGTGCAGTATCCCAGTACGGTTAGTAATGTGGTCAGGATGGGGGATCGGTTGAAGACGGTGGGAGAGGAGAGAAGGTGTTGTACGCTATGCGGCTTGTCTGTGGATGGGGGTGGGAATGGTCTGACATTAGGGGCGGAGGAGAATGGGGATGAAGTGCCTAGGGAGATGTGCTATGGATGCTTGAGGTCGACTCATGGTGCCACGGTGGAGTTGAGTTGGCCTGTATTATAATAGATTGAATCATGAAGCCATAGATTCTGGATACTTTGGCGTTACTTAAGAGATGCATATCACTGGCGAGCTCAATACGAGACATGTGCTACGCATCACGTCGAAGGATTGGGAATTCCATAACCATTTATTTCGTTATTGAACAGAACCCATGTGTGACCCAAATGAAGCAGCAGTAAAAGGAAAAGCCCAGACACTCCCACCGCAAGAACAAACTCCTGACCTGGTTTTTTTTTGCAGGGGCGAGACGTTTACTTCAGCTTCTTCTTGGGGCGGAGCTGGTTGGTGTGTCCACACTTCCGCTTGCGGCAGTTGGTGGCGCGAGGAGGAAGACGAGCCTGCATGATCATCGTCAGTATTAGGACGCGTATGGAGATTTGGTAGTGTGGGATCGCGTACGTAGCACTTGCGGCAGATCATCTTCTCGCAGTTGTACTTGGACGCCAGGACCTTGAGGGAGGGCTCGATAACACCACCACGGAGACGGAGGACCAAGTGGAGGGTCGACTCCTTCTGGATGTTGTAGTCAGAGAGGGTACGGCCGTCCTCGAGCTGCTTTCCGGCGAAGATCAAGCGCTGCTGGTCCGGGGGGATTCCCTCCTTCTCCTCTGCATTTCCACCATAACCGTTAACTTTCCGCACTTTCTTGGCTGATTCGTGACGCGGGGAGAGGACGATAGTGGTGACGTACGGATCTTCGTTTTAACATTGTCGATGGTGTCGGAGGACTCGACCTCAAGGGTGATGGTCTTGCCCGTCAAGGTCTTGACGAAGCTGTGTGATGACCACCGTCAGTCTTCCATTTCGTTTCTTATGCCGCGGCTCGCTCCGATTCGGTAGAGGGTCGTGTGTAGGTAGGTCGTCGGTCGCGGGCTGGGGTTCATGGGGAAACTCACATCTGCACTGAAACGTCACGAAGGAATTAGAATTAGCGATATGTCCATTCAGCATTTTGGGGGACGCGAAATACGTACTCTTTGCGGCGTTGGACTGTGGTTTGTTAGTTGGGTTCGGTCTCGCAGTTCAAGGTTGGACTTGGGTGCTGCTCTTCGCGCTTCGTTGCAAGTATCTTGGGCGAGAAGCGAGGGTTGGGGGAGGAGCAGTCACAGTTTTGTGCGTTGGTGGCAATCCGGAGGGCACGTGATGAGGCTATTGTGTGTGTGTGTGTTTGTGTGTTTATGTGGCGTGACCCTATCGGGGCTAGCGGTGGCTGACGCACATCGCGTGTTTACCCGGCGGAGAAGGCTGAGGCTGAGGCCACAGGAGCCTTGCTCACTGGCTTCCAATCATGGTTGACGTAAATGTCAAGCATAGAATCTCACTGGATACCCCCCAAGCTCTAGATACCTCACAGCTCTACTTTTCGGTAAAAACTCAACATAGACAGAATACTAGAATTTGCGCAATGTAATGTGTACAGATGGACCGCCCCATTTATTGCTGAAGCCTGTATGGTACAGCAATCCCGTCCCCGACAGCAGCCTTTCGCCCGGTATATGACGGTTAACGGTTGAAGCTCCTCGTCCTTTCCCGCCAAACCATGACTACATCTAAGGGTCTATTTGAAGGTGCTGGAGCGGAGGTGTATCGGTGTCTCCCCCTTGGGTGTGTCGGGAATGACCTTGGAGAGTTTCTGTAGAAGGTCAGCAAGGACTAGCACCGCATATATGCGCTTCTGAACACTGACCAGCTTCTCGAAAACGCAAGCATTGAACGGTTTCTCCTGATTCCTACAGTGCCACAGCTCCATGTTGTTGTTCTGGAGACACTGCCAATGCGTTCTGAACTCGGAAAGGCAGTGCTTGTTGATATCGGCAATGCTACCATTACACCCCCGTTAGCCCGTGCGCGCCCGGAACGTTCCTAGCTGCTCGAGTGGAGAGAACATACACCGAAGCCGCACAGCGCGTAACCCGTCTCCCCTCCTTCAAGCAGTCCAGCTCTCCCCGTCCCTGTGCCTCGGCCTTGCAGAGCATGTAGTCCTCGTTGTAGGGCCTGCACTTGTCGCCGATAAAGAACGCCGCGGAAGTCAGTGGAGCAGAGGAAGCGCCGACCTCCTCCACCTTGGGGATGTGGTCGGGCATCGGCGTCTTATCGATGAGGACAGCATGGGTGAAGCTGCGGATGCGCGCGCGCGGGGTCAGCAAACCATCTCCGTGTTTTCGTGATGAGTCTGAGATCGCAGAGGTTTCTCACATAGCTTCCCGGTTGGTGGCCATGGTTGTGTTTTAGGATGAGCAGTGCGCGGTCGGAGAGCCAATTGCCTGGGCGGGGATGGATTGTTTTCGAGGTTCGAGGTTTGGATGTTTCGTGGAAAAGCCCCCGGTTGGTCTCCACATTCGCTGTTCCCGCAATGACGCGGGTTACTAAGCCGGCTATTTACGATATTGGAGGGCTTGGCTCAGTGGGAACGTAGCATAGCAACAATAGCAACCGCGACAAGACGCGACTCTTCAACACGACTCTTCAACACGACGCTGCACGGGACGAAAGAGAAAAAAAAAGAGTAGAGTAAGAGCGTTTTTGCGCCAACCACGATAACGGCTACAGCGATTCTATCCCCTTCGATTGCCACCACCAATCTTCAACACCCACTCCTACGCACCACCAGCTACTCATCGCATCACCCCCTCCAACGCGACAGCAATGTCGCTCTTCGGCGGTCAGCAACAGTCTAGCGGCGGCGGCGGCCTTTTCGGCTCGACCACAACTCAGCCTCAAACAGGTGGACTGTTCGGACAGACGCAGCAACAGCCTCAGCAATCCGGTGGTCTTTTCGGTCAAACGAATCAACAGCAGCAGCAAACTGGCGGTTTGTTCGGACAGACAAATCCGCAGACCGGGGGAGGAGGACTATTTGGCCAGACTGCACAGCAGCAGCCTCAGCAGTCTGGAGGTGGGCTGTTTGGACAGACTACTACGCAACCTCAACAGTCAGGTGGAGGATTGTTCGGGCAGACTATGCAGCAACCTCAGCAGCAGCAGTCCGGTGGAGGCCTATTTGGACAGTCGATGCAACAACCTCAGCAGCCGGGAGGACTCTTTGGCCAACAGCAGCCCCAGCAGCAGCAGCAGGGTGGTGGGTTGTTCGGACAACAAAACCAGCAACAGCAAATGGGTAATGGTGCTGGTATGTTTGGTCAGACAACCCAGCAGCCACAGCAACAGACCGGAGGCTTTTTCGGTGGGCAGAATCAGCAGCAACAATCGGGAGGAGGATTTTTTGGCCAGCAGCAGCCCCAGCAACAGCAGGGCGGAGGGCTTTTCGGGCAGTCGCAATTTGGAGGAGGAGGCATGTTGGGTGCTACAAACATGCAGCAGCAGCAGATGCAGCAGCAGCAACAGCAAGGTATATTCAGTATCGCTATTTGAAGTCCAGCACCGACTGACCCTCCGTAGGATCAAATGCTACCACCGAGAAGATCTACCGGGTTAGGTGTTCGTGGGATGTGACCCACCCCGATTACGCGTTCAAATACTACTTCTACAACCACATCGGCAAGGAACGGGCAGTGGTTTACCAAAAGCCCCCCGGTGACGACACCGAGGCATGGGAGAAAGCGTGGGCCGAGCGACCCAATGATGCGTAAGGACATCACCTCCGGGCATTCCTGCGGCATCACTGACTTACAACAGCTGCGTACCCGTTCGGGCCAACGGCTTCAAGGACCTTGACCAGCGAGTACAATCCCAGCAAGGCCAGGTCAATCAGTTCCGTACATCGCTACACACAATCCAGGAGAAGCTCGCTGCGATCCTGAACCAGCACGATCTGACCACCAGCATCAAACTTGAAGACTGCCGACGGAGACACATGGCACTTGCTCGTCGCGCGCTATCTCTGGCGGCCAAGGTGCAGGTCCTCAAGAATCGGGGATACGCCCTCCAGCCGGAAGAGGAGATGTTGAAGAAGCGGCTCGAAGGCTTAGCCAAGAATGTTCAGGATCCTGCCGCTACGGGAAGGATGAACGAAATCTGGGCGCGCATGATGGTGGTTCAGGAGAAGGCGCGGGTCATGGAGGAGAGCATGGGCAAGGTCGAGATCGTCTGGGATGAGAACCAGCTCCAGATAACCGGAAAGGCAAGTCTTCACGCAGCTCTTCGCAACAAGTACATTTACTGACCTACCTTTAGCTACTGGGAAGCAACTCCGATGGCCTAGCACACCTGACCAAAGAAGTCCTCGCCATCGAAAAGTCACTTGCCGAATGGCAGGAGGCGAACCAGGGTCGTCACGGCTTTCTATGATAGCTGTAGAGTCGAAGTGGTTGACGAACAACATTGATATCTGCAAGGGAACCGCGTTTTCTTTTCTTTTCCTTTCTTTTTATAAATCCTTCATACCTGGATGTGCATCAGGGTGTAGTGGTAGATAATGACGATTGGGCATGAGGCATGGGAGCTTTGCATTGAATCGAGATACTGTGCGGACTATATCCGAACCATGAAAATTGTTTGAGCTCCGTACCCGTCTTATAATACAGCCGTGACGCGGGGTCCCCTCGCTCTCACGCACCACCCATTCCTCCTTACGTCCGCAATCTAAAGAAGCTTCTGAACGTACTCAACCGCGAACGGAGCTGCATACCCCATGTCAGCCCAAGCCCCACACCTCACAGCAAGGAGAACCTACAGAGGTAGAGCAGGAAACATGTCGCAGCCGTGAACTGGATAGCACTCTTGGCCATAGCCTCTTGCTGCCTGACCTCGGCGATGCTGGGTGGTGGCGGTGCTATTCCTCCCACTCTGATTAGTCCAAGCCCGTCCGTCTCCTATGCTTCCTGGGATCGAGAATACCTCCTCCGAACATTGTGATTGCTGCTGTTGGTTGGTTGGCTGTTTGGTGGAGGGGCGAGGTGGATGTGGTGTTTGGGTTTTTTTTCGGGTGACGTTTTTGTTCTGGATTGTCGAGTGGTGGTTGCCGGCCGGCCTGCGTCTGGTTCGCGTAGAGTTCAGCTAGCGTCTAGTTGAGCTAGCGTCGAGTGTGGGCGAAGGGGGCAACATTCCTTTCCTTTCTCGACCACAAGCTTCTCTTCTTCTATTTCTCTACTTTACTACCACGACAACACAACACAACTACACAACACAACTACAAGCTGCTCTTCTTCTGTTTCTCTACCACGACCACACAAGACAATACACGACAAAACACGACACTGCAGCTACGCCAGGAGCTTTGTAGAAGCGGACACGAAGCACAACTGGTAGCGAGCGACAATTTTCACGATGTCGGACACAGAACACGCGCCTGCCGTCGCCGTCGACGGGGCACCCGCCGATGCCGCCAACGACAATAATACCACCACCGCGACCGCGGCCTCGCCTCCAAGCGCTGCCTCTCCTCCTGCCACCGCGGCCTCCCCTGCCCCCCGCTACGACGACGACGGTGACGACAGTCAACTGTCCGACCTTGACGATGAGATCTTCGCCGACTACAACGAACCCGGCGGCAGTCGCGCGGTCGACGAGTCGATCCCAATAGATGAGGACACGATCGTGAATTTGGGAAAGTTCAAGAAGAAGAAGGGCTCAATGGGTGAGGTCAAGGAAAAGAAGCGGCGTCGCCGGGATAAGGCGGTGAGAATGGACGATGAGCCCGACTTGGAGCAGCCGGTGGCGGAGATTGAGCTCACAGAGGAGGAGAGTATGTATTTCCCAATGGTTGTGGGGGCGGTGCTACCCGTCAGCCAGTGTTGAGGTTTTGCGTGGGAAGGTGACTGATGTGGTGTGAACAGAGCGCAGGAGGGATCTCGATCGTAAGATGGACGAAGCTCTCAAGGGTCCCAAGAAGAAGAAGAGAAGAAAGAACGACCACGACCTCGAGCGTATGGACGATGAGACGGTGGAGAACCTACGCCTCGCGATGCTCGAAGCCGCCAAATGCGACACTGAGGCAGTCGATAATAACCTTCCGGCTACCCACAAGCTGGCCATGGTCGACGAGGTCCGCGATCTGCTCGGACGTCAGACGCTCCTGTCCGTCGCAGTCGACTGCGGCATTCTGAAGGGAATTCGCCGCTGGCTTGAACCCCTGCCGAACAAATCGCTCCCCGCGTACAATGTACAGAAGTTGATGTTTGAGATCTTGGCGAAGTTGAAGCCGGATTTCACACATCTCCAGGAGAGTGGAATTGGGAAGATCGTCATGTTCTATACCAAGGACGCGAGGCCGGAGAGACACATCAAGCGTGAGGCGGAGAAGCTGGTTAGAGATTGGTCTCGACCCATTCTGGGACGCAGCGACGACTATCGCTCTCGGGAGGTCCCCAAAGCCGGCGACTCTCGTCCTATGCCTTCTAGGTATATCCACCCCCTCCTCCTCACGGTTTATGTTCAATACTAACCTTATTGTCAGCCAACCTCGCAAGAACAGCGCCGACGACACCAACAACGCTCGCGCAGCCCTTGCAGCTCCGAAGAAGAATACCGGACGCGCCACGGTCATGATGCCGTCCAGCCAGAGCTACGAGATCGCGCCGAAGGATCGTGTCGTGAGTGGCTCGCGGACTTTTGCGAAGCCCATGAACGCCCAGGGCGAGGCCTTCATCAGGAAGATGAAGGCGAAGAAGGCGAAGGCTCAGAGGTAGTGGGCAGGGTCGGATGGGATGGGGATTTTTTTGTTTTTGTTTTTGTTTTTGCTTTCTTTCTGAAGTTGATCACTCGCAATCTGTGTGATCGGATGGGAATGGGGATTTTTTTCTCTTTACTTTCTTTTTGATGTGGATCACTCGCCATTTGTGCTCAGTGCTTCATTTTACTGCTTTCTACTTCATTTTTTGTTCTTCTCTTTGCTTGCTTTTCGTACTTCGTTCTCATAGCTACGGTGTGGGTGTTTCTGTATCTCTGTCCATTATAAAATGCACAAAATCATCAACTGATTCCCATCGAGTCCACCAGTGCCCATCCACCCACTCACTCACCTAGAACCCCTCATCTACGCCCGACCCCGCAAACAGCACCCTCCTCCACCCCTCCTCGACCTCTCCAATCCTAACCAACACCCCCGCGGCCAGCGCCCTCGTCCTCTCCTCGGCGTCACCATCACCATCGACCCACCTCTCCGCAAACCCCCTCCACTCGCCCAGCACGCCTCCAAACTCCTCGGCGACGCCCCTCGCCCCCCTCCCCCCAGCAAGATTAACCTCTAGCACCGTGAGCACTCCCAGCAGCACCGCCTCACGCACACGGCCCTCGCCCGCGGCGGCAGCTGCGGCGGCTGCGGAGCCCCTTATCCCCGCCAGCAGCTGCAGCACCTCGCGACACATATCTGCCAGCGCGGGCGCGGCCGGCCCCGCCGCGTGCACGAGTACCGACAAGGTGTTGAGGAGGTGCACTAGTAGCGCGGGGTCGGCGTGTGGTTGTGCGCCTGCGTAGTCGCGCGCCGCGATGCTCCAGCCGCCGGTTAGGGGGAGGAGGAGGTAAGGGAATGCCTGCAGGATGGGACGGGTGGTGGGCACGGGAGTGCGGGATTGGACTGCGAGGCGGGAGGAGAAGGTGCGCACCTTGAGGATACGGGGGCCGCTGAGGGAGTCGGCGGCACGGGCGGCGAGGGGGGTTAGGTACGTGTTTGCGAGAGTGGAGGAGAGGGAGGTGATAGGGTCCGAGGTGGAGCCCCAGACAGAGGATATGTGCGCTGGGAGGTGCGGGGTGGTGGGGGGAGGGGCGGAGGTGAAGCCGGCGAGCTCCCGTGCGGCTAGGCCGAGTGTGGAGAGGAGCATGGCGCGCTGCGCGAGGCCGTAGTCTCCCGTGTAGAAGGAACGCGCGGTCCAGGGGCCCATCTTCTCGGGCGCGGCGAGGATCAGTGCGACCAGGGCGTCGCGGCGCAGCTCGTCGAACGTGGGGATGTCGTAGCGGTCGTCGAGGCCGGCAAAGGCGGCGGCGAGCTGGGAGAGGTGAGAGATCACTTCTTTGCTGGTGTTGCCGGGGCCGGATTTGCGCCGGATGAGCGCCGAGGCGTGTTGCAGCGCCAGGAGCTGCTTGTCGTAATTGTCCGGCGAGAGGAGGTAGGAGAGGAGTTGGCGAATGTAACTATCATTGAGGTGTTAGACGGTGATGATCAAGGCGAGGTAGGGTGGTTTTGTGAGACTTACACTGGTGGTGATGGCTTGTTCCTGTCTATCGTCGTTGCGTCCTCGTCTGGTGCATCCTCTGTGTCGGAGTCGGGGAGAGCATATGGCGTGAACTCGTCGTCTTCTTCCTCTTCCTCCTCCTCGTCTTCCTGCTCATCGACAACCTGAATCCCCGAGGAACTGACCGTAGTACTCGTAGCAGCAACCACGGGCTTGCGCTTCTTAACCACGGACTTCGGAGCAGAAATCAAATCCTTGATGTCCCCAATCTTATCCTCGATGTACGGAATCGACTTCCACCATTTAGCATCCGAGCCCAGCATATCCTCGGTTTCGAAGGACATCTTCATCTTTGCGTCCTTGTCGACGAGAGCCGAGAAGGCCTCGCCCACGATCATCCCCAGGAACCTAGAGCGATGCGATGAGGACGCAATGTGGTTCGAGACGCCGCTGAGGTAGTTTAATGATCGGGCCAGGCGGGCGAGGAGTGAGGGGGAGTTCTGGCGCGCGATACCTGCGCACAGTAGGAGGATCTGGACGCTCACTTACGAGCAATGAGCTTCGAGTCCATGCATTCACGGTGGGTAAACAATGTAATTTTTGAATATATACAGGTGGTGACGGAAAACAAAAGAAAAAAAAAGGATGGGTGGAGGACCGAGACGGACCTTCTTGCCGCATAATAGGGGTGTGTTTTATCCAGAGCTTGTCGGCAAACTGCTGCAGCAGCTTCTCAAATAGCCCTCTGAACGCCAATCCTTCATGCGCCAGTACCGCCATGATGGCCCTTCTGAGAGCGATGGGCTCGCCAATGCCCCCGCCAGAGCTCGAAGTAAGCCACTCCAGGACCAGAGATCGGTAATCGTCATCGTGCAGTACGATCTTCTCCAGGAGTGCGGCGGCGCCAGCGACTTTGGCTTCGTCGTGTTTCCACCACGTTTCGTCACCATCCTCGAAGGCATCCGATTGTAGATGCCGAGTCGAGATCACTCGCAACAATGAGAGGATGAATGTTCGCTTATCATGTACCGGCAGCAGAACAACCAGCTTCCTCAGGCGGACCGCCGAGTCATCCTGGGGAGTGATAAGCTTGTGCACCAGGCCATCCACCACACTGTCTATTTCCCGCACGCACTGTCAGCATGCAATGTCCAGTCAGCGCCATGTCACCCACCTACATACCCGAGTATCCCAGCCTGAAGCTCGCCGTCAGCAGCACCGACATTGCTTTCCAGGCGGCAGCATCGTCGGCCTCGTCGGGATCGAAGCCTAAGCACGCCTCTGCGATTCCGCGTCCCAGCCAGAGCGCATAGAGCTTTCCGGTTCCCACCCAGCGCTCCTGCGGTGTTAGCCGACCCAGCGTGGTCTCAGCCTCGGCCGCCACGCTCAGTAAGCGGCCGCCGCCGACCAACGTCGCAAACTCCTTCCACAGTATGTCCCTTTTCATCTCCGTCTCCTTCACGATAGAGAGTTCCCACACGCTGTGTACGAAATCCGCCCGCCCCAACACCACCTGCAACAGGTCCAGTAGATCCCCCAGATTTTGGCGAGCGCCACTCGCCCCCGCCGCCTCCTCGTTTCTGGCAGGTGGTATCAGGGCTTTTAACCTCGCCGTGATGCCGCCGAGCCCCGTGGGGGAGCCTAAACATCTTGCCAGCGCCCCGCGTTCCCGCTTCAGCACGGCCCAGAAATCTGGAAGCGTTCGTTCGAGCAGGACCTTTGTGATCTGCGAGGAGTGCGGGGAGGGCCTAAGGATGTCGTGATCGAGACTGAGGTCGAGGCAACGGAAACAGCGTACGACGGTATCGTACGTGGGGCTGGGGGAGCGAAGTTGGTCGAGGATCTCGGATAAGGAGGATTGCTGCGTCACGGGCGGAGCTGCCGATGGATTGTCGCTCCGGGTGGGGCCTGCAGTGGTGGTGGCGGTGGTAGTGGTGGTGGCAATAGTTAGGAACTCTTCCTGCGCTGGTGCTGCTGCTGCCGTGCCATTTGTGGTGGTGCGGGGTGGAGGACGTGTCGCTATTATGAGGCCGTCCATGGTATTATATTGGAGGGAGATTTGAAGTTTTTTCTTGTACTTCTCTTGCTACCTTGCGAGTATTGTCACCGAGAACAGACACAGCGTCTCACTTCTCACGTCTCACGTCTCGCCTCTCTCACACACGTTCGCCCTCTGTAGATTGATTCGGGTGTTTGGTTTGACGGATTGAATTACCGGAGATGGAGGTATCTGGATGGTTGTCGATGTGAGGTGTGGTGGTAGTATATAGTAGGTTGTAGTGTAGCCGTGGTGGCGGTAGTATTCCTTGTATGTAGAGTAGCCGTGGTGGTGGTGTGGTGGTGACGGCGTCGGTGTTGTCGGGAGTGGGGGTCTTGAGATGAGAGTTGTGGGGATCCTCGGCTTGGCCTTAGTAACATGTGCCTGAATAGTTTTGTATGTAGCGGTTGATATGTCGAGTGTCGACGTGCGTCTCGGTGAAGAATAGAATATATGCTCTATCCAAGTACCCAAAGCACTTGCTTAGGTACCTACATATGACGTGTACTCTGTGAGCTTCCTACTCGGTCTGTGGACTGTGCTGCGGCAAGGGTGAAGAACTCTGCGGGGGGGAAGCATGCTCCTTTTGTTTGTAGATACTCTGCCGTGGCGAGGGGAGGCATGTTCCAGCCTCCAATGCTCCATTCGGCTTTGCTGCCTCCTTCCTGCCTCCTTCCTTCCTTCCTTACTTCTTCATGTATATACCATCTCGATACCCATTTAAGTTAGATACTTGGTATCTACATGCTCCAATCATCGCAACTCCTTATTCTCCACCACAACCATCACGGCTCCACCACCTTCTCCACCATCACTACCTTCTCCACCCCTCACTCCTCACCCTTCTTCTCCTTCCCATTCGCCCCGCGCTTGTTGCGCCGCCACACTACTCCCCCACTATACTTCTTCCGTAGCTCCATCCCCTAACCGCTATCAGTCCTAGCATCGTTCTCCAAACGACTCGGCCATCCATAGCTGCGCTTCCGGGTCCGGGGAAGTTGCACATGAACGAAAGCTCAATCACGGCCATGCTAGAGTACTTGCTTACCCTCGGAACCTCGGCCTCTCCGGCCTGGACTTGGGAAACTCGTGCGCTCTCGGTTCTGTGCCATGACGATACATAGGTGGGTATGTAGTTGGATGCCCCGGATGTCCACGCCCCTCCGGTAACTGGGCCATCCATTCACATACCTGGCCGCTGTCAAAATAGAGAACAGTTGCTACCCTTCTCCTTCCTCCTCCCCCGATTCCTCCTCTTCCTCTTCCTCTTCTTCCACATTCCAAGACCTCAACCTCCTCAACCTCCAACTTCCTCCAACTGCTCTTCCATCGCGCCCATCTCCCAACGCCTCACCGTCCCAGCTGATTGGCTAGCTACACGAGAATCTGTCCGTACGACACCCATCCCCACAAGCCACGTCGTGGCCCCTGCAGTTGCACAGCGCGGCGTCTTGTGTCTTGTGTCTGTCTGTCACGAGCTGAACGAGAACTTGCAGCCGCAGTCGCCGTCGCAGACATCGCTGCTTTCCTTTAAAGCCAGCGCTTCGGCCAGCTCCAGCTCGCGCGTACATAGATCCCTCGATAGTTACATAGCCAACCGAAACAAACCAAACAACAACAAAAACAGCACCAATAACAACAACGACAATGGGCGTTCCAACTTCCCCAGACCCGTATCTCGCCGCCGCTTCGAAAAAGAACGGATTGCCGCCAAAGGGCCAGCCTCACGGTGTCGCTGTCCCGGGCAGCAAGAGGCCTGGCTGCACCGCTGTGTATCGCCACTACCATACTGGCGTCGGAGAGTTGCCAAAGACCATTGATCCGTCGGTATGATCTTTATTCGTCTCCATCTTGACTGCGCGCGACCACATGAGAACTAAAACATTTGATGTCGCGCAACAGATCACCACTATGTGGGAGGCGTTCGTCTCTGCATGTGAGAATCCCGAGTGCCGACCGATGTCGCCGAGACAGACTGCTGACTGTAATAAGCTTCCAAATACCCAAACAACAACTGCCTCGGATGGCGAGAGCAGGATACCAAGTCAAAGAAATGGGGCCCGTACAATTGGATGGACTACAAAACCGTGCAGAAGCGCAGTGAGAACTTGGGCGCTGGACTGGTCCAGTTGCATCAACAGGCGGGAGTATGTCGCATGCTCACCCGGTGAAGATGACGGTGACGGCGACAGTCGCTAATCGGGCGCGCGTTTATTCTTAGGTCACGGAAAAGCATGTCCCCACCGGTCTTTGGTCGCAGAACAGGCCTGAGTGGCAGATCACCGACATCGCGTGCATGAGCCAATCGTTGTATTCTGTCAGCATCTACGATACTCTCGGTCCGGATACGGCGGTGTACATCATCAACCATGCTGAGCTCACTACCGTTGTCGCCAGTCTTGTGGTGAGTGATACCCTGTTCCTCGTTTCCCGTTACGAGGACACGGGCTGATCCGAGTGATAGCACATTCCCACATTGCTGTCGATAAAGGACCAATGCCCCGGCCTCAAGGCCATCGTCTGCATGGACCCTCTGGTGGGCGAGGGCGAGGCCCCCGGCAACAGCAAGAAGGCAATCCTCGGGGCCTGGGCCGCCGAGAAGGGCGTAGCACTGTACACGATGGCCGAAGTCGAAGCGATGGGTGAGAGGAGCGGGCTGCGGCCCAGCCCTCCCCGCCCTGAGGACGCCATCACCATCAACTACACCTCCGGCACCACCGGATTCCCCAAGGGAGTGCTGCTGAAGCACAGCAATGCGGTCGCCGCCGCCTCGTGTGCCATGTCCAGCAACATGTACCAAACCCCAAATGACGTGACGCTCTCGTACCTACCACTCGCGCACATCTACGCCCGTATCGCCGAGAATACCACCCTCTGGGGTGGTGGAGCGGTCGGTTTCTTCCATGGCAATATCTCCGAGGTCCTCGATGACATCAAGACGCTGCGTCCCACAACCTTCATCTCGGTCCCGCGCCTTTTCAACCGCATCTACAACGCCATCCTCGAAGCCACCGTCGAGCAAGGCGGCATCAAGGGCGCGCTTTCCCGCCATGCCCTGGCAGCAAAGATGGAGCACATGAAGACGAACGGCAGCAACAGCCACGCCCTCTACGACCGTATCTGGGCCAGCAAAGTCCGCGCCGCCCTCGGCTTCGACCGCTGCCGCGCTATGGTCTCGGGCTCGGCCCCGATCGCTCCTGAAGTCCTGCAGACGCTCCGCGTGATCTTCGGCAACAACTTCATCGAAGGCTACGGCATGACAGAGACGTACGCGGTCGCCCTCGGGCAGTTAGTCCAAGACAACAGCGCCGGCAACTGCGGCCCGCCGTCGATAACCAACGAGTGCAAGCTCCGCGACGTTGCCGAAATGGGCTACACCTCATCCGACTCCCCCAAGCCCCGCGGCGAGCTCATGATCCGCGGGCACACCATCTTCAAAGAATACTACAAGAACCCCACCATCACCGCAGAGTCATTCGACTCCGAGGGCTGGTTCGCAACCGGCGATATCTGCAGCATCGACTCCCTCGGGCGCTTCTCGATCATCGACCGGGTCAAGAACCTGCTCAAGCTGGCACAGGGGGAATACGTGTCCCCGGAAAAAGTCGAAAACGAGTACCTCGCGAACCTGCCGGTGTTCGCGCAGGGGCTCGCCTACGGCGACCCGTTCCAGACGTACCTCGTCGGGGTCTTCGGCGTCGACCGCGCGCACTTTGCCGACTTTGCGGGTAAGGTCCTGAAGCGCACCATCGACCCTGCGGATACCGTCGCCATAGAGAATGCCTGCGCGGATAAAAAGGTCCGCATGGCTGCATTGAAGGAAATGGAAAAGGTCGCGAAGAGAGTCAAGCTACAGGGCTTCGAGAAGATTAGGAACGTTCATCTGTGTATCGATCCCTTCACTATCGAGAATGATCTGTTGACGCCGACGTAAGTTTCCTCCTTTCTGAGTGTTGGAGGGTAGTGGTGGCTAGGAATATTGCTAATGCACGTGGCGTGACAGACTCAAGATGAAGAGGATACCTGCCACAAAGAAGTACAAGGAGATCCTCGATGCGCTGTATGAGGAGACGGATCGGGAGAATCCTCAGAAGGCCAAGTTGTAGAGGCCATCCAGGTTTTGTGGCGGTGTGTATACTAGTTTCCCTTTTCCCTTTACCCTTGCTTTTTGGTTTTTTCTGTTGTCTTTCGCTTTTTGGTTTTGGTTTTGGATCGCTCTGGTGAAAAAGTGGGCGAGTGGTAGATGATGATGGATGGATAAGACGATCGGTCAGTCGGTCGGTCTATGAGCAGAACAGAACAATGGGCAGCTCCACGGGAGAAGAATGAGTGATACTCTACTATACCGAGGCCAATGCCCATCAATGATCGAACACGATCTTGAAATATCACTCGCCATGACAACAATCGTGTAAGCATAGAAGAAGAAGAAAAGAAGTATGTAGAGACCAACTCCGCTAGCAAACCTACTATCTACCCACGCACAGCACAGCACAGCACTCACTCCCTTGATATCGTAACGTAACGTACACCAACGCACCACCACCGTCCCCTCCCACACTACTTCCTACTTCCTCACGCCCACAACCGGCACGGGAAACGCCTCATGATACCCCGCGCCCCTATCGAGACTGACCTTGACCCCCTCCAGCCCCCCCACCTCCATCTCCCTAGCGAGCACGCCGACCGCCACAGCCGCACCAAAGCAGCTCCTGAGCAACCTCTGCATATTTTTCCTCCAATCCTGTTCACACAATGTCGCCCTAGCGGTGTCGGCGTCGAGTTTGGCAATGTGCATGTACCCTCGCTTGGCCTCCTGCAGGTGCTCGGCGGCGTAGGATAGCAGCTCGGCGTCAGAGATCTCGACGTTGTCGACTACGTCGCGGAACGCGGAGTACGCGACGACCTCGGGGCAGCCGATTGTCAGGAACGGCTTTAGACGGCCTTCGTAGCGGAGGGCGTCGGCGGGCGGGGTCGGGCCGAGCAGGGAGTGGCGTGCGAGCACGCAGTAGAGGTAAACTAGGCCTGTGGACAGGTCTTGCATCGACGTGATGGTTAGGAGGTGGTAGTTTAGCAGCGAGTGGGTCTTTTGGTAGGCCTCCTGGTCTTCGGCGGAGGAGGAGGAGGAGGCGGGGGGTTTAGTGACGAAGCTGCAGATGCGCTCGACGTGCGCGGCGCGCGTGCGGAGGTAGTATTGCAGGTACCAGTACATTCCGGCGAATTCGTGGAGGGGGAAGATCTCGAGTTCGAAGCCGAGGAGGACGACGGTTTCCATCAGGTGCAGCTTGTAGTGGTAGACCCAGCTGGAGAGGGAGAAGCTGTACTGCGGGCCGTCGCGGGTCTGGAGCGGCTCCTCCAGGGTGAACGTGCGGATCTCGGAATCGATCTCTTCGGCTTCCACTTGGAGACTATCCCAGTCCAGGATGGACTTGCAGAGGATGCGGCGGAGACGCGAGCGGTTCTGGCAGAAGTCGCGGTACAGGTTGATGTATGCCTTGCCAGCGCGCTCGACGAACCAGTCCATGCGTCGCGCGATCTGGAATTGTGGGCTCTGCGGGGCTTCGACCTCGAAGTTGGCTGGATTTAGGAGCTCCTGCATCGGGTAGCAGAGCTCGCTGAGGTCATCAAAGAGGATGCACTTTACCGGCATCTTTCCAATGATCTTGACGTCCTTCATGAACAGTGACTGTATGAGCGACCGGGTGTATGGCAGTGGGGCTGGCCTTCTTGCCCCGAAGTGCATGAAATATGTCTCCTCATGGTCAGCAATGGAAACCATCTGCGATGAGGTGCAAACTCACCATGGTATTCGTCGCCCCAGCATAGTTCAGAATCTTGAGTATATCCTTCGTTTCAGCACACAACTGCTTTAGCGTCGTTGCCGCCTCCTCGAATGGCAATTCCACCAGCGACCTGGGCGGGACGGAGCTGGCCAGCTTCCTCTGCACCGACATGCTCCACGCCTCAGGCACCTCTTTCGCCAGGGCATGCTCCTTCTCCACCTTAGCGACCAACTCGAGACACCCGGTCCACGTCGACTCAACACCCTCATGGTACATCTCAGCGCCGAGCGAGAAGTTCTCAAGCAGTGATTTCCTGAGCAGCAGGCGATTGCGCATGGCGGTGGCCAGCTCCTCCGACAACGATGGCGCCCCCTTATTCTCATCCAGCCACTCCAACGCCGACTCCAGGAGGGCAAAGACTTCACGGGCGTCCACGATCTGCAGGAGCGGTAGTCCGTAGGTCTGCTGGACGAAATCCTCTTCCTACAGTCATCAGCGCACACTCCCGTCCCCACCCCTCCCTTCCCCTCCCCTCCCCCCTCTCACGCCATGGCATACCTCGTACATGCGCTCACTGGGCACCTGCCAGCAAACATACCCGCAGCACTTTATCAGCGCGATGCAGTACGGCCTGAGCACGCTCTGCACAATGTCCTGGCCTAGTGCGTCCAGCAGATCTGCCGGCGTGCCCGGCCGTGCGCCGAACGTGGCCTGCTTCAGTGTCGTCGGACACGACGAGAGCAGTTGGTCGATGTAGAGATTCGCAAACAGCGTCTGGGAGAGTGCGGAGCCGGAATGCCACGCCATCTGTAGTACACATCCACCCGTCAGCAGTCAGTCAGCCAGCTCCCCCCTCCCCTCCTCCCCCCGCCATAGTAAGCGCAAGCTCTTGAAGTTAATCGTACCTCATTGCACAAGAGCCTATCCATAATCCCCACGAGCTCCTCGGGCAGTCTTGGTTTCCACGCATCAAACAGCTCGTACTCCGGCTCGAGCAGGCCGCTGTCCATCTTCAAGTCTCCGATCTGCGGCGGCCGGACATCATATCGTCAACAGCGCATCCTCGTGCTATCTCTTGAGGAGAGGCGGGAGAGTGACATACCTCTAACGCTCCCACCGCCTGGAATAGCGTGAACTCATGATCTTTGACGAGCTGGCCGACATCGAGCTCTGCGACCCACCCACGCGGAATGTCAGCATCTGGTCTGGCTGGCTAGCAGTACAAACGGTGGATAGGACAGGACGGGACCAAGCAGCCGTACTTTCAGAAGCCTCGATAAATTCCCTCGTGATGTCGATGAACCTGCTCATCGGGGCGGTCGCTGGCTGCGGCAGCTGCGGCGCGGATTCGTGGTGGATATTAGGATCCGAAGCCGTGTTCTTCTGGTCGTCGTGGTCGTCGTGGTCGTCGAGGAGCTGCAGCTTTGCAATGCCTGCGGGCGGGTCTCGAACTGTCGTCAGCGAGGTTGCACGCATGCATGGGTACCTACATGAGCATGTAGGCGATATGGGTGCGCACCGAGCTCTTCGACGCCGCTACCGTGGCCGTTGCTGTGGCTGTTGGGGTTGGTTTCGCACCCGTTCATCACTGCTGTTCTGCCGGAATATTGGGCACGTATGAGGTCGTGTATATATGAAATGTGGTCGTCGAAGAAGATGTGCGGCACAATTTGGGCTCAAGAGTCAAGAGGTATTTCACGCGTTCCTTAGTTACATACGGTACCGGTACAGGGTGGGTGCGGTGCGGCCCCACTACTTGACTTATGAAGTCATCCGGCTACATACGAAACGAAGGTGGGGCAGAATCACGGACTAGTGGGTTGGTTGGTTGGTTGGTTGGTTGGTTGGTTAGCTGGCTGGTTGGCAGGCAGCCCGGCCGGGTAATTGGATGGATGGAGGGGGACAGTGACCCGGCGGAAGAGTGAGTGCGAGTGCGGGAGTATCCACCACCACCACCACCACCACCACCACCACCACCACCACCACCACCACCACCGCCGGAAAAGAAGCGAAATTTCTGTGGCATTGAGCAGCACAGCACAGCCAGCACCACCATGCCATGCCGTGCCAGCCAATTCACGGTGGGCGAAGAAACGACAGGTAGGATGCGTGCAAGCGAGTGAGCGTGAGGAGGCACAGGTCAGGTCAGGTTGTAGAGAACAAATCGCAATGGCAATGTACAATTGTGTTTTTGCTGTCCGAGTCTATCCTTCTTCCCCCCCTCCTTGCCGTCACCATGATTCCACCATCCTTAGACGTACTTTCAAAGAAAGAAAGACCGCCCACCACCAGCAAGCAGCAGCAGCAGCTTATTTGGAAGACAACATCTGCGGCTCGGTCTGTTTTCCGTTCTGTATTTGCAGCCGCCCGTGTCAGCATCAGTACCTTCTCTCTGTGTGTCTCTGTGCATCGCATCCCATCCCATCCCATCCCATCGCAGCGACCGCAGTGACTCTGGGGAAAAACCGACCTCCCACTTAACGAACTTGAGCTCGATAGGGCCGCGACGGTCGGCCTTGACGCGGGCCTCCTCCTTGAGCGACTTGCGGATGACGCGGGCGGCGATGGCCAGGTACCTATTGTAGCTGTTGCCGCAGACCCCACCTTCGTTAGCGACCATTCAACCAGTCACAAGCCAAGCGGGGCGGAAGAAATGTGAATGTGTACACACCTGAAACCAGCGGCTTTCCACGAGGCGGCGAGCATTGTGTTTGTAGGTTTTGGGATGCGAAGACGTGCGTAGGTGGGTGTAGAAGCGTGGGGCGATGGCGATGGAGGTTGCTGATGTCGGTTGCAGGGAGGGTTCGGGTTTTCGGATAGCATGCCAGGGCGCGGCAACGATTTCCATCCACCACCACCACGCTCGCGGAGGTGTTTTACCCGGCCTTGGTTGGCTGACTATCGATTTGGATGGAGAATCACTCGAGACTGAAGGGCGTGCAATCGATCGGCCGAGATTGGATGAGGGTATCGCAATCATTTCAGACATTCATTGGGTGCGAGGGAGGGGTTCTTTAATTCTCGTATGTACTAGTAATGGGGCTGTGACGGTCTCGATGTCATCACCCGCCATGTCTTGATTATTTACTCCTCCACCCCACGATCTACCGTCATCGTCATCAATATCAACAGCCATTCGTTATTACATTATTATTTACAACAAGTCCTCATCTTCTCCAACTGCTGGGGGGGCCCTCTATTCGGCGTGCACGTAGCGGACGTATCATCCTTGATGACATCGGCCATCGTGAGTGCCTTCGCCGCCGGCGCTGCCGGACTACTAGTGCCGTGGAGTTTCGAGCTCATATTTTTCGACGACGGTACATCGATCGCCGGGTTGCGCACGAAGAAGTCCGCTGGCTTCAGGTGGATCTGGTGGATCTCCACCGGCATCACTGGAAAGTCTAGTGGTGGGGGGAAGCGAGTGAGAAAATGTGCAGTGGGGAGGGAGGGAAGGGGGGGAATTACCTTCGATTCGTGGATTGTGAGTTAGGCCAAACGAGTGCCACACTACTATGTCCTCGTTATCGATGTTGTCGCCGCGCGCGGCCATGTCTTTAACGCCGCCGCACTGCTCTTCGTCAGTAAATGCCCAAATCCAACATCAAGCACGGAAACGGTACCTCGACAGAGCTCTGGTTCGTGAACTTCCCCGAGGCAAACAGCTCGCCATCCCTATACTTTGTGACCCACACGTGATGATCCGCATAGCCCATTCGCTTTGCCATTATCGAGTCTGGGTGAGCGAGCGTGAGCTGTGTTGGCGACGGCACAAGCTTGTATCCGACTGGGCGGCCGCTGATGGGATTCTGGACGTTGGGGTTGACGATCTTGAAGAGGCGGCCTTTCTCCGGGGCGGCATTGACACCGCAGGAGACATCGAGGACTGTTTGGCGGACTTCGTAGGCGTTGCCGTAGGGGTTGAGCTCCGGCGTGTAGGGCACAGGGTGGGATTCCTCCTGGATGACGGAGTTGCTGTGGCCGTCGATTGCCGGGTCTATGCGGAGGTTGAATAGGTGTTGGTGGTTCTGCGCCAGCACGCCGGGCGAGACGACGTTGCCCCACGGACTGGTCTTTCCCGGGTCGATGGGGACGGTGCTCACGACCCCTGTGGCGCGGGTTTCGACAGTGACCCCCCCGGCTTGGTCGAAGTGGTACGCAAAGATGTATTCGTAGTTGGCCAGCGTGATGATGAATTGGATCACCAGCTTGCGGTTGCGGGTTACCACGGCGCGGCCGGTGCGGTAGTTGGTGTGTTTCCACAGGATGCCGTCGTCGACCTCGTGCATGCACACTACGTTTTTGGCGGTGACGCCGTTGCCCGCTGTATCGCTCATCGCGGCATCAAAATACTGCGATACGTTTCAGCGGGTGACTGACGTGCGGGGGAACGCCGGAGTGAGAAGTCCGTATGTATGTACCTTTATTAACCCCAGGCAGTCGCAGCCTAGCTCGAGGTTGTTGGCCGCACGGCCGGCGCCTCCGTCTCCAAAGTCGAAGGCCTGTTTTCGATGGTATGGCGCTCTGGGGTCGCCGTACGGTACCGCCATCTCGCTGAAGCTAAGTCTGTAAAAGATACTCCTCCCATCATACCGCTATTGCTCCCGCCGTCAGTAACGGAACTACGCAGTTGCGGCATTTTGGAGGCGAGCGTACCAGGTCGTGTATCACGGCACCCTCCCGCGGCGTAAACCCGACTCTGAACTTCCACTTCTGCCAAGTGACCAGGGAGTTCCCGGTGACGGTAAACGACGGTCCCAACGGCTGGACCACATTGAGCGGCTTCAAATCCTGTCTCAGCCCACCCTCCACCAGCTCGGGGATATATTCCGAAGCCCGACAATGTTGCAGCGCCTCTTTCGGCCCCGTCCCGTACTTCAGCCCGTCCTCCTTCCCGCCGGTTGCCAGCCGGTCCACCCGGATGATCTGTCCACTGGCCATGTCCATCACGGGCATCAGCGGCAGCGGGAAGGCGTAGTGATTCGAGTCCGGGTTGTTTGTGGACGGATCCCTTGCGTACACCAGGCCCTGCATGCACCGCGGGCTGGTTTCGCCGGGAAGATCCCACCCGCCGTACATCCAGGGGTCAATCACAATGTGGACGTTTTTTGGCAACGAGAGTTCTGCCAGCGCATCCTTGAATAGGGGGGAAGCCATGGCAACTTTAGGGAAGAGCTCGACCTCGTCACTGAGCAAAACTGTCAGTCCTACCGCTGCTGGCAGTGGAGGAGGGGAAGGCCACCTACGCATTCAAGGGCGAATGGAACCGCTTGTCGATGACTTCGTAGCTCAATTCGTGAGCGGTGAAGACGTTGACCATGGAGCAGCAAAAGTCCATCGACTTCCTATCGGCGGCCACGACATCGTACAGCACCTTTGCGATCCGCGGCGGCCGGTCGGCCCAGACCGTGAGTTTTCCCGCATGCTCGGCGTCCAGGAACGGCACCATCAACGCCTTCGGCGGCTCCTCGAGTGTTATGTCCCGGTATACCACCGACAGCGTCGAGCCGACACGCGCCCTCCGGATGACATCCCGCGCAGCATTGATCTCGTCGACGGATAGCGGTTCCAGCGGATGTGGCACTCCTCGGAGATTCAACATTCGCTCGGCTCTCATGGCGGGTTGTTGATATATATCGACTTCGATGAGCTCCGATATATCCAGTAACTTAGGTTCTGCTGCTGCTGCTGCTGCTGCTCCGCCGGGGAGAGTTTCGATTGGTTGCAGCCTGCAGCCGTGTCGTCTCCTCCGATTGATGGAAAATCCGAAGCTCCCAAGAAAGTGTTTTTTTGCTTCTCGGAAACACACGCAAGCTCGGGTTCAGTTGCAATGGGGTGTCGTGAATGCCGTGCGAGCGAGAGGGATGTGCGCAGGGGCGGACCCACTCGGGGATATATATGTCTACGGGCAGCTACTTGCCTGGGTATTCTATGTACCTACATACCTCGCGGCACTGTTGGTAGGTAGGTAGGTAGGTAGGCAGGCAGGTAGGTAAGTAGGTGGCCATGCAGTCGCTCGGACAGCAGAACCGAAGAGTGCGGAGAGTTCCCTGCAGTTGCTCTCCTGCCAGACTGATAACCGCAGCAGAAGATCTCGGATGTCACTGGGCGGTTCAGGAAGGTACAGCCTGCGGAGGGGAACAGCCTTACGGCATCTACGGTCTATGATGATAGCTATGATGGCCAGCAGATCCCTCATCCTCCCCCCCCCCCCCCCCCCCCCCCCCCAGGATCCGACTCAGAGTGGAAGAGGAGTTTGCGATGAGTGTTCCGAAGTTGCTCTCGGGAACAAGCAATATTGCAAGCTCCCTAGCGTACTGCTGGCGCCCATCACAACCCACATAGAAGTGATCATGCTGCCACCACCACCAGTGCCCAGCCCAGCCTCAATGCGATGTATCTGCAAACGATGCGCGCTAAAGCAGATGTCAGTCAGCCATAGCTCTTCTTTGCAGCTCTAGCAGGCGGAGGAGGAGTACATAGAACGAGGAGGTAAGAACTCAGGATAGCGACGAACACCCACGCTGACTCTCTCTCGATGCAAGGGAGGGAGGGAGACGCAAGATGTGAAATAGGGCGGGGTTATATCCATACATCCATAACATCGACACGAGCTAGACACGAGTTAGGGTTTTGCATTGTTGTGGCGACGCAGCAGTGCACGCATCCCCATGCTCGGGACGCAGTGACCAAGATTTCCATCCCGCATTTGTCCAATTGGGGCGGGTTCCGTGCTTGACGTGCCTTCGCCCATTGCCCCCCACACACTGGCTGGCTCCTATGTATTGCCCGATTACAGTGGAGCTCGGGCAATAGGTAGGAGCCACTGTGCAGTGCAGTGCGACTTGCCCATTGCCAGGAAACCCATGGTAGGAAAACAGCGGTGGTGGCGCGTTTCTCGGCCAGGGCGGACGAACGACGAACGACGAACGGACGAGGACGCATCGTCATGCGTACATACTCGACGGCGATTATACTAGTAGAGATGTAGGTATAGTAGGTGTGTACTCAGCAGCGTTTTCCCCAGCGTAAGAAGGATCCTCACATAAGCCAGTAGTTAGAGTCGGTAGGAAGGCAACTATGTCACGGCACAGCTGCACCGGACGATCGGGACCGAAACAGTAGGAAGGAAGGAAGGAAGGAAGGAAGGAAGGAAAGAAGGAAAGAAGGAGGCAGGCAGGTAGGCAGGCAGGCAGGTATGTAGGTGGACCGCTCTAGGATTGATAGGCCAACCAACCAACCAACTCCAAAATGAGGCTTTGTTTCTTTCTTCTTTCTTCTTTCTTCTTTCTTTCTTTTCTTTCTTCTTTTCTCTCTTTCTTTCTTTCTTTCTTTCTTTCTTTTTCTTTCTTTCTTTCTTTCTTTCTTCTTCTTCATCTCGGATCTTCCTACGTAAAACACATCGCGCCGCGCTCCAATCGAATGTTCCGTTTTATATCGCAGGTACTATGTACGAATTCCTATCCCACCGAAAGACACGGGGGCGTCCCTCCTCTTCCTCCGTTCGTTCGCTCAAATCTCGGGGGGCGGATTTAATCAGGAGCCGGGTCCAGTTGCGGCAGCTCCACACGGCCGCCGCCATCGTGTGGTGTGCGTTGTTGGTGGGAGGCTGGTTACATACTGCAGTTGCAGTTGAGTTGCAGTGGTGGTGGTTCAAGGGTTGAGCGAGTGCAGCGCGGCCGCGAGTGAGTGAGTTTCCCTCGACGGCTACAAGCGGAGCGATCGTGACCTCGGGAGCCCGGGCGTACATACCTCATACCTCATACATATACTTGTCTTGCGTTGTACATGCGCAGTCTACTCTACCTACATGGACGCAGAGAAGTGGGTCTCAGTCGAAGTGGGTGGATTCCGACGGCAAGTGCATCCGCCCGCGCGCGCCCAACTCCACTCCACTGGAAACACCGAGCTGGCACCTGGTTTTTACCGATCGAGAGCTCCGAGATAAGAATATATATCTATCTATCTGGTAGATCCAGCATTGATCCGACCCGTGGATCCCAGGGCGAGGCGAGGCGAGGTCCCACGTGACTGCGGGCTGGGCGGGGACGGAAACAAAGTGGATATCCTGCCAGGGAATGTGGTCTGTATTTGATTGCGACGTTACAGACCGGCCTGCAACATAGGATCCGGTCGGAAAGAAGAACGGCCGCGGTACCCAACGGGGCGGTCCCAGACTGATAGCTGGCGAGACCGTCGCACCGCCGCCGAGAGTGCGTGAATGCTCTGCCAAAGCCAAAGGCATTCGACATTACTCTACCTATCGCACATGCCAGTCCGTGATGGTTACCCGCTTTCCCACACAGAGTGTCGGCATGCCGATGCCAAGGTATACATTCCTGGCCCGGCCCGGACATTTCAGTTGTCCGCTCGCTGGCCAGCCCGGAGATGTTGAACCGTTGGACGCGGCTGGACTGGACTGGACTGGATATGGTTATGGTTATGGTCTCGTCCTAGGCGAGGGACTGACTGCTATGTAGCAGCAACCGCGTGGGTAGACACCGCTAGTTAAATCAAGCCCTACAGTCTCAGCCAGTGCGGCCACGGCCACAGCCACACGGCGACAGCTCACGGATAGGTACCGGTACTCTACCTACCCCGAACCATCAATACAGCCCGACCAGTCGGAATCCCCGAGCTTTTATGACGGTGATCATAGGTAGGTAGATCGGACCTCGCCTATGCACTGTACGGCGTCGATCTCCGAAGTCCAGCCGAAAGCACCATTCGCTCGCCACAATCTCTGGATCTCCTGCGGTAATCTTTAGGGCATAAGTGGAAGAATTGGTAAATTATTGACAAGCCCTGCAGGTTGGCGTTGCCGACGGCTTCGTTGCCACAATCTCGACCGCACTTTCGCCATCACACCGAGACTCGAGAGAAATGTCCCATTTTTTGTTTCCATGTTCACGGAGGGAGAGTGATATCCAGCGTTTCCAACATCATGATCTCATATGAGGTGCAGTTCGCCGAAACCTACTACGACTATCAACCGCAACTGACACCACGCTCAGTTGTACTCGTAGTGTCCAGTATCTAGACCTGTCATACTCCCATCTTATTCTGCCAGGTGCGAGCAATACGATGCATCCATGGGAGCAGTAACATCCAATAACTGTTTCTTTTCGTGTAGCACGGTGGAATGGTGTAACGGCGGAACCGAAGACAATTCATATCCAATGAATGTCTGATCACATAATATCACTCGCTACACTGTCCCCAACCCCTGAGTTCCCCACTTCCCGAGTCCCGACCCGTATTGCGAGCCCGCCTGCCTAGATTAAACCGCCCGAGGGTTCTCCAGGATGAAGATACAATTATCCACCCAGGCGCGTCGATCCGATTGGCCAGAGCGTCGTGGGGATCTCGGGGTAGGTTCGCAAGCGATATGAGTTGAAAACCTCAGCCCTTTTTTTCGGCAATACATACATATGTAGAGTACACCGTGTGACAATCGGCCATTGAAGCGAAGGATCCTCATTCGGAATGCCCGTGGTGGTGGGTATAAATACATTTTGTCCGTCCAATCGAGGAGGCGAATGGAGAATTGACAAATGACAAATGGAAAATGGCAAGGCTGGGAAGGGGTGGGAGAGAAGGAGAGAAGGCCAGACAAACATGTGAAATGTCACGATGTGAATGTGAATGTGATAGAGTAGGTACCGTATACCCATGCACACCGCATGTGGATCTCGACACGAACCACCGCCCCTCCACAAACGCAACCTACCTCCACCACCTTCCTTCCTTCCTTCCTTCCTTATGCCTTCAAGTTCAAAGTTCAATCCCACAGCACGGCCAACTCCGCCAACCTCATCTGATCAACCTGCTGCCTATCCACCTCCCCCGCAAAAACCGTACAATTTTCCGCCAGCACGCACGCCAGCAAGTGTTTACACACCGGCATCACCTCGCCCATACTGTACCCACCCCAGATGGCCGCTCGACTCCGGTGCCCATCCGCACCCGCACCCTCGGCCTCCGCCGTCGCCTTGGACGCAGTTTTGGACGCAGTTTTGGACGCCGCAAACGCAAAGCTCGCGCACGTGCAGTTCCACGCCTGCGTGCGCACTTCGTAGCGCGCTACGGCGCTGCTGCTGCTGCTGCTGCTGTGGAACTTCCGCGGGTCGCTGGCGAGGCTGGGCGCCGAGGAGTGGACGTAGTAGGTGTGCTGTTGCTGTTGCTGTTGCTGTTGCTGGGGCGCTGGTGCGGCGAGGGTGTATTGTGTTACTAGGCCGCGGTCGAGAAGGTCCAGGGCTGGGAGCAGCGCCGAGGGGAGCAGGCAGTGGAGCGTTAGCAGGATCTGCTGCGTGCTGGGTGGGAGGCTGGAGAGCAGGCTGCCGCCGCCCCTGCCTCCGCTATCCGGGAGCTCTGCGGCTGGCGGTGGAGGAGGGGTGAGGGTTGCGGTGGCATCGGATAGTTGCGAGATAAGGGAGGATAGGAGGGTTCGCGTCGAGGGGATGGTTGTGCCCGTAGTAGTGGTGGTGGTGGTGGTGGCAGCTGGGCAGGCTGGAGTCATGAATCTGTATCTGTATCGGTGAGCGGGGCGGGAGCACAGTGATTGGGGGGGCTGTATAAATTGCAGTAGGGCGAGGGAGGATCTTCGAGCCAATGGTGGGGCAGAGGGAATGGGTGAGGTAGGCGCCTTCCCCACGTTTTGCAGGGTTCAAGCTCGGCCTGGTCCGTGCGGCTGGTACCTGCGCCCTCTGATAGGCGCACTGTCTCACTCTCGCATAAATCACCGAAACTCCAGCGACCTCTCACAGCACACCGTTCGCATTCTGGGCCCTGCGCACCCCGTACCTGCTTTTACCATTTTTCTTCCCTGCATGCCGTAGGATACTCATCTGTCCCCACTTGCACTCTCCACATGCCATCAACTCAGGGGGAAGGTGGTTCTGATTGCTTGCGCGGAGGGCTCTCTGTGGAGATGGTCCCTCAGGAATGTGCCGCGTCCAACAACGGATGGAGCGCTTGAGCGAGGGGAGGGGCGTTCATGCGGAGGCTGGTGGATACCTGCCTGACGGCCGGCAGCGGGGAGCATCTTAAGTACTGCATCTCCCGCTGTCCCTCCGGCAGTCAGCGTCGTCTAGTTAGCCGTCCGGTATGAGTGTCCCCCATTGATCTCTCTGCCGCAGTCATTCTCTCAACCCTCTCAGCTGGGTGTGCCATTCATTCGTTTCTTCAGTTTTATATACGCGTTCGTTTGCGTGGGATCGCAAAGATGGTGTCCACTCAATATCTCGCATTGCCACTCCTGTGCGTGATTGGCTTCTCCACCGCTCGTCCCGTGCCGGAGCCCTTCAGCATCGGAGGACTGTGGAACGACATCAAAGGTCACGCTGACAATGTTATCGACAAGGCCAAGAATGCCTTATTCCCCGCCAAACCAAGCGGCAGTACGTCACTCACTTCCCTCCTCCTCCTCCTTCACACCCTCAAAGGAACATGCTCTAATCTTCACCAGCGCTCTCTCCCAGTTTGATGCCGGATCTTCTGTATTTCGCAGAGTTCTCTGCGGCGGCATATTGCGATCCCAATCATGTCCCGGGAACGGAGGTCATGTGCCCCAACAATATCTGCCCAACGATCACCAAAAACTCCGTGACAACGATCCTCGAGTTCGCCGAGTAAGTCTGGCCCTCCTCCTTCCCTGGACGGCCACTAACGCATGATGGCAGAGGCTATGCGGACACGACGGGCATCATCGCCCTCGACAAAACCACCAAATCCATAGTCCTTGCCTTCCGGGGCTCACACAGCGTGCGCAACTGGCTCACGAACCTGGCGGCGGACCAGCGAACGCTGCCATGGTGTGCAGGCTGCAAGATCCACCAAGGCTTCTACAGCGCGTACCTGGACGAGGCATCAATCATCCTATCCACACTGATCCGGCTCAAGCGCGAGAACCCCAGCTACCGCATAGTCGCGACGGGGCACTCCCTCGGCGGCGCGCTCGCGCAGATCGCGGCGACGGACCTGCGCATCCGCGGCTACGAGGTCACGACGTACACGTACGGCTCGCCGCGGCTCGGCAACGACAAGCTGTGCAAATTTATGTCCGAGCAGACCGCGGGCAAGAACTACCGCGTCACGCATCTCGACGACCCTGTCCCCCGCCTACCCCTCATGCTCATGGGCTACCAACATGTCAGCCCGGAGTACCATATCGCCCGCGATGGGGCTGGCGCCGTGGGAATCAATATCCTCAATGGATACGTCAATTTTGGAGGGAATACTGCCGCCAACGGACTCATCTCCACGAATATCGCCGCCCATCTGAGTTATCTCATCAAGAGTGGCATTGCGGATTGCGCCAGTAAGGGGTTTGAGATTAAGTGAGAGGGCGCGTGCTGTGTGCTGTGTGCAGTGTTCTAAGGAGTTTTTGGTTTTTGGTTTTTGGTTTTATGCAATGTACGGTGCATGTGTGGTTTGGTTGGTTTGGTTATTCATGCTGGAGGGGATATGTGGATCATCTCCCCTCCAGCCAGCGGATGGTGTTGTTGGGTTGCTTTAATGGGTTTAATTGGGTCTGTAATGTAGTGTAGGTACCTAGTGTAGTGTAGTGTATTGGCACCCGCAATTCCGCTCAAGGTGCGGAGCTTCCTATCGTGCGGAATGCAGCACTATATTATTTTTTGTATGAACAGTGAGAGAGTCGTGCGTTGGAACTTGGAACTTGGAACTTGGAACGAGTGATTGCTAGTAGGCGAGTGATGCCGTGCCGTTCGAATAAGCACTGAGCAGTCGTAGCTGCTAAAATCAGGTAGAATAGCACCTCGACGAAACACGTTTCAAGTGATTACCACTCAACAGCTGCAGCTTCTCGAATCTCGCCCCGTCACATCAGATCAGATCAAGGTGCCACGGCAGAAGGCTAAGCGTGAGTTCACTTCAGTTCCACAGGTGCCGTAACGCATACCCTCGGGTACAGGGAATAGGACGAGGCCCCTTTAGTTGAATGCGAGTCTGCATGTAAACTGGCTATTAGCACAAAGTGCGGCTCATTTGCACTGGTAATTCAGGCTTCTGCCAGTAAATTGGCCTTTTTTCCTCATAGGGCACAAGTTGCCATGTTTATTTGGGCGGAGCCGAGTCAATAGGCGGTTAGTAGTAATTGCGGCCAGTTTAAAATATTCAAATTGGGCGAAGCCTAGTCAATAGGCGGTTGTTAGTAATTGCAGGCCAGTTTGCGATGGTCATATTGGGCGAAGCCTGGTCAATGGGCGGTTAGCGGTAATTTCGGCCAGTTTACAATACTCAAATTGGGCTCTTTCACCTAATTTGGCTGTCAATACTCAATGTGACGAATAGACAAAGGCCAGATTTGGCGTTGAGGTGTAAATTGGCCATTGGAAGTAAATGCAATGTCTTTCCACCACTCTCTTCGGGCATCCGTTGATAAAAAGATAACTTTCCCGCTCATTAAGCTTCCGGCCTGAGTGAAAATGGGCTTCGATTTATAAATGGAGCATTTTGTCCTTATTCGGCCGACCCCGCCATGCCCCCCGCCATGCCCACCAACGTTGTAGTCCACTACATACTAACCACATTCGCTTCCTCCCGCCGACAGCTCTTCCATCACTTCCTCATCTCGCCAACAGCTCCTCCTTCTCTCCTCCCCTCGCCCACAACTCCTCCATCACTTCTTCATCTCCCTGACAGCTCCTCTTCTTGCATACAGCTTCTCCTTCCCTTCCTTCTCCCGCCGCAACTCCTTCTCCCGCGAACATCTCCTCCTCCACGTCCTTCTCTCTCTCTCTCTCTCTCTCTCTCTCGCTGACAGCTATTCCATCACTTCACCCTGCTCGCACCCACAGCTCCTGCATCACTTCCTCTTCTCGCTGACAGGCTACAGCTCCCCCATCAGTCCGCCCTACAGTATTCCCCCTTGCCGCCGCTCGCTCTTTGACAGTTTCTGGTCTTCTTACAGCAGGTACGCATCATCCTCCTATGCTATCCTACACATTTGCTTCGCTGCGGAAACCCCACTGTCATCGCCGTTAATAGCACTCTGTCCTCGCCCTCCTTTGCTGTCTAACAGCACCTGGCCCTCTTGCCACCGGTACGTCTTCTCCTCCTATGCCTTCCTACAGTATCAGGCCTGACTCGCTGCGGATACCAGCAGACAGTCTATTGAGCACGCCGGTCATGTTGAATGTGTGCTAAGATGACGGGGTGGAAGCCGGCGAGCGGGGGAAAGCGGGGGACAAGCGGGGACAAGCAGGGTTCGGTTTACTTGGGCGCAGACGGGAGGATATATATTGGGCGAGCAGCAGTAGCTAGAATCACAGCAATCTGAAGCAGTAGATTGCACTCGTATAATTGTTCAATGTCAGCCATATGAACTCCTAAAAGCCATTTATTATCAACGCCAGTTGACCAACTGTGCCCTTTTCTAGCCGTATGTACTAGGTATCGCCCTTTATACCTTACAGCCTTTTTAATCTTTCAAGCCTGGATACAGCCTTTTCACAGCCTTTTCACAGCCAAATAGAGGCTAATTACAGCCAGAAAAAATATTGGGAGCCGATTTAAATGCGTGCCCATTCAACAAAACGGGCCCTACCCCATTACCTGTACCATAGGGATATGGACATAGGAAACGTTCTTTTTGTTCCATCATACCATCATACTCGTGTTCAGCCCGTCCAGACTATGATAGCGATCACTTCGCCTCGTTTCGCACTCGCGGGAGAGTTGCTGGCTATGTAGAGTACTCGTTGAGCGTCGGAAACCAGACAGGGCAGTCTTCGCACGCTGCCGGTAGAAGTTGTAGTCAAGACGGCATGAATGTGGTGAGCGCTGCACCCCGCAATTTCCGGGAAAGAGCGTGTTCACACGGGGTATATATATTTTGCAAATACCTAGGGTACTTACGTAAGGATGTAAGGCGTCTCTGCAAACAACGTCACCGAATCATCGTTCAAATGTCTATTTTAGGCCCTCCAGAATCCAGCGGATTGGCGGATGCGGGCACCCAGGATACCCAGGGCACCGATGAGGAGAAACGATTCATCCTAGGGCCTAGAGTTCAGGCGGAACATGCGGGGAGGGCTTCAGACTCCGGGGAACACTTCTCACCGGCTTAATTCAGAAGGCTTCGGAAGTCCGGCCTTCATGAGAGAGCGAGAGAGAGAGCGAGAGAGAGCATCTATTTGTCATCGCGCCGAGTGCCGTGGCCGGTAAAAGCATCGGTAGTCACTCGCCTGCTTTGCAAAACACCAAACCTGGTTCCCCGGCGGCCGCCGACCCGGCTATCTGATGAACCTTTACCGGTCACTCCCTTGATGCCAGATGCGGGGGCCCGTGGGGTCTGGCTGTTGTCAATTCGCAAATCGGCCAATCGTTACTTCGGGCGCCGGTGCAGCGGTCTCGCGTCGTCGTTCTGCGGCCTGCGGATAAATTGCAGCAGTTGCCCGTCTGTTGTGCACCAGTCGTAGCCTCGCTACCCCACCGGAAGCGTACCTACTCCACAGCGCAGGGCTCTGACAAGGCTACTGTGGTACACAAAGGAGGCTCCCAAGGCTCCAAGGCTCCAAACCCCTGCCCAAGGAAGCTTAAATGGCAGCTCGCATAAAGTCTTTGCACCAATCAGCTTTAGCATAGGGCTCGGTCCTTCTTGTTCTTCGTCTCAACGTTTTCTGAAGCTTGACCGGAGTTTTTGCTGTTTTGACGCCGGTTCGGCAAAGGTCTTCGTGTCGGAAGCTGCTGGAATGACAGCTAGGCGCGAAGTGACGCAAACAAAATTGCCGAGATCGCTGACCAGAAAAGGTTTATCAACCTAAACAGCTGGAATAGAAATAGAGTACAAGAGGACGAAAGTTCTCCCTCCTCCTACACACTCCCATCGCTCAGTTGGCCTCTCCGCGTCACCCTCGCGCTGATGCGACTCCGCGCAGCTTGTGTCATCAATTGAGCGAGAATTCGAGTTCTGTGTGCTTCACGGAGATAGCGGATACACAGGTAAGCAAGTCCTAAAGAGCACATAGAGTTATGCTCATGATATCAGATGCGCATACGCATACGATAAAGAGGAGGCAACCGACTTCACCCACGCGTAGCGAACACGGTAGAATCTCCGATCCTTGACGCCGGCCATCGATTTTACGGAGTACCCCTGATCCTCGGTCGGTTGCACTAACTAGTAGCTTTCCACTTATACCAACCAGCCGGCTGCTCAGTGTTTTTCCTCTCTCTCTCTCTCCTATCTCACTCGCTGTCCTCTTCTCTTTCTTTATATCCTTTCTCCCCGTCTGGTCATTTCCGCCACGATGGTTTCCGTTACACGTTCGAAGAGCAGGTCCAGAATGCCTCAGTAAGTCCCCAATGATCGCGTGCCTTTCGTTGCGTCGATTGTGCACATCGGAACTGACTGGACAAAAAAAACAGATCGACAGAGCAGGAAGTACCCCAGCTTCGAGGGCGCAAACAAGCCACCCAATCCGACACGCCCAAGAAAGCCAACGGTGCCGTCAAATCGAACGGAAACGGAATCGCAAACGGAAACGGAATTAAAAACGGAACCTCGAATGGCAGCAGCAATGGAGTCGCCAGCAAGGTCGAAGATGATCCCAAGATCGATGCCAGCGGCGAGTTCGAGTTTGGCGGCGTGTACGGAACCGGTCTCGTGATGGTGTTCTTCCCCGTCCTCATGTGGTACCTGTGGGTCGGCCAGGTCTACTATGACGCGCAATTGCCCTTTCCAGCGAAGGGACAAGCCTTCGGAGATTTTTTGCTGGACTTCGTAAATAAGGCTATGGAGGTAAACATATTTCCGTGCACTGATGTTTCGAAACGCTTGGACCTTGACCCTGACATGACGGCTATCCGTACGTAGTGCGCACGTCCCACGCTCAGATCCTTTTCCGCGTACTGGCTTTTCCTCGCCTATCAGATCGTGCTGTACATCACCCTCCCCGGTGTCTGGACCAAGGGCAACCCGATCCCCCACCGTGACAACCTGCGTCTGGATTACTTCTGCAATGCCATCTTCGCTTTCTGGGTCACCATGATCACGGCCGGCGTTCTTCACGTTACGGGCATGTTCCCCATCACAGACCTGGTCGACAATTTCGGCTCCTACATGAGCGTTGGAATCCTGTCTGGAATCGTCGTCAGCTTCATCGCCTATTTCAGCGCTATCGCTCGTGGTGCGCAGCACAGGATGACTGGATACTTCGTCTACGACTTCTTCATGGGAGCCGAGCTGAACCCCCGTATTTTCGGCATTGTCGACCTCAAGATGTTCTTCGAAGTCCGTCTGCCGTGGTTCCTCCTGTTCCTGATCTCGATCTCCGCCTCCGTCAAGCAGTACGAGCTGTATGGATACGTCACCCCCCAGGTCTGCTTCTTCTTGCTCGCGCACTGGCTCTACTCCAATGCCTGCGGCAAGGGCGAGGAGCTCATCGTCACCACCTGGGACATGTCGCACGAGAAATGGGGATTTATGTTGATCTTCTGGAACATGGCTGGTGTGCCCCTGACCTACTGTCACGGCGTCCTCTACCTGGTCCGCAACACCCCCGAAGTCTACAAGTGGTCCTCGAAGACCAACATCGCGCTCTTCATCATGTTGCTCACCGCGTACTACATCTTTGACACGTGCAACAGCCAGAAGAACCGCTTCCGCCAGCAAGAGCGAGGCACCATGGTCCAGCGCAAGGCCTTCCCCCAGCTGCCCTGGCAGACGATCGAGAACCCCACCTTCATCACGTGTGAAGCCGGTACTCTCCTCACCAGCGGCTGGTATGGCCTCGCCCGCAAGGTCCACTACACCGCCGACTTCTGCCAGTTCCTGAGCTGGGGCCTGATCTGTGGCTTCAAGAGCCCGATCCCCTGGTTCCTGCCCGCCTTCTTCATGTGCATGATCCTGCACCGCGCTAAGCGCGACACCGACCGCTGTGCTGCGAAGTACGGACCCGCTTGGGACGAGTACAAGCGACAGGTCCCTTACCTCTTTATTCCTGTAAGTCTTCCTTATACACCCCCCTTTCCACCCACCTACTAACATTTCACCGTAGTACCTTTTTTAATCGCCGGATGAGAGTTCGAGGAGGAGAAAAAAAGAGATGGATAGGAAGAAGAGCGAGGGGGTGTATGCGGAGTGTACATACATACACAAGAGTGTTTTTTTTGCTTCGTTAAGGGGTGTGCTAAGTAATCAGTTATTTTCATATCCAAGTTTCATGACTTGGACTTGGCTTGAATAGGGCTTGGATTGGTTTTGGGGATATCTGCACTGGGTAATATATAATATACTTACCGTATGCATCTTCTTCTGGGAGTTGTCCATCGATGGTTGGCAACCGAGGGGTTCTACTCGGATTTCTGGAGGGGGAGGGAATGTGGGACTTCCTGGAGGTTTCCTGGAGGTTTCTGGGGATTTTGGGAGGTTTCTGGAGGTGGTAACGATTCCACATGATGTTTTTGGATTATATACCGGATTATGGGCCGGTGGAATTGGTTCGAGAGTTTGAAACTTGAGTAGGACTGTTATGGACTGTTCTGGTTTTCTCAGAAACAGGATTGAAGTGATTGAAGGTGATTGAAGCGGTTGGTTGAGTATTTGTTAGCACTCGACGTCTTTGGATTTGGATTTGATCTAAACAAGAAGGTGAAATGTGTGGAATTATCACCATAAAAGTGTCAGGAATATCATCATAAAGGCATCAGGAACATCAACCGTGAAGACCAGGCCTACCCGGGCCTGAGGCCGCTCGAAACGTATTATGCTGTGTCAGTTACAAAGTACCTTCAGTTGGACCGAACGGACTCGCCGCTCGGCCAGCCGTGTAGAAGACGCTAGTTGGCGGTTCGACTCACAGTTACAGATCACACGCATCTTCCCCGGAGTTACGGGAGGCTTTGCGGGTTTTTTTCTGGGGTTTTCTGGGGTTGGAGGTCACTGATCTAAGGCTCTAGATAGATTCTGGGACCGGATGGTCTGGGTGCATCCGCATAACTGGTGTGGAGGTGAGTACTACCACTACCCACAGCTGGGCATGCGATATCTCTCATCGTCTGATGTTTGCCGCTTGTGTACTCAATTACCAGGGACTTCAATCAAGCTGCTGTGACTGAACTGGACTGAGCGTCCTTCGAAGTATCAACTCCACAGTATTTCGAGTGATCTCGCACATATTCTTCCGAGTTCCTCGCAAGGAACCTCGTACTCTATGTAATAATTGACGAACCCCAAAGCATTAACTATTATACACATCCTAGGTGGAGATCTCTACGTAACTCCATACTCGGCCCCCTCCGTCGGGGATCCGGTTGAGCATCCACCCATCCACGGTCGGTCGATCGTGCAGAAGCCGCATCGGATATGCGGTGCGCAACTCCGTCTTGAGGTTAACTCTACATAGAGTGTCAAGGCTCAGGAACAATCAACGGCAACCCCGCAGTAGTAGGCGTAGAGTGTATAAATACTTATTAAGGTTTCCGATAGTTTAGGTACCCCGACATTACGAAACGAAACGAACAGAGACCGCCATCTACATACACACACCCTCATCGCATCTCATCTCGTCTCATCGCGAATCCAGATCCAGATCAAGATCAAAATCAAGAAATGTCGCAAGCAAAGCCGTTCGAGTGTCGCTGGGGAATCCTCGGTGAGTCTCATCCGCTTGTTTGATTATTTCACGGAGAGCTGCAACTGACTGACAGCGGAATACTAGCCACCGGCTGGATTGCAACCGGCAAGTACATATCCAAACCCCCATCCCCCCGCCGTATCGCCCACTAACCTCATTGCAGTCTTCTCGAAGGACCTAGTGCTCGACCCCACCACCCGGGGGGTGACCGACGTTGTGCACACGATCGCGGCCGCGGCGTCGTCCAACTCCGTGTCACGGGCACGAACCTTCCTTTCCGACGTGGGTGCGGCGGGGGCCACAGCATACGGCAGCTACGCGGAGCTCGTAGCGGACGGGAACGTCGACGTGATATACGTGGCGACGCCGCACTCGCACCACTTCGAGCATTGTCTTTTAGCGCTGCAGGCGGGGAAGAACGTCGTGTGCGAGAAGCCGTTCACGGTTAATGCCGCGCAGCTCAAGATCCTCGTGCAAATGGCGAGGGAAAAGAAGGTGTTCATGATGGAGGCTGTGTGGACGAGGTTTTTTCCTATCAGTGTCGAGGTCCGCAGGTTGATCAATAGTGGGGAGATCGGTGAGGTCCGGAGGGTCACCGCCGAAATGAATCAGGCACAGGACCCGGATGTGAAATATAAAGACGGGATGCATCGCATGGTAGGTGGTTCGGCGGTGGTTGTGGGGGGAGGGCGAGGGGGTGAGGGGAGTGATGCTGATGATGATGGGAGGATAGGTCAACCCGGATTTGGCTGGAGGAACGCTTCTGGACCGTGAGTTCCCCCGCCCGTTTCACGCAGCGATACATTTACATTAACGACCGTTGGCTGTACTCTAGTCGGCATCTACTCGCTCACCTGGGTCTACCAATGTCTGTACCACACGCTCTCCGCGTCCGAGAAAGCCTCATCGGCACCCAGCGTGATCGGCACGATCAGCCGCTTCGAGCTGACGGGCGTGGACGCCGAAAACGTGGTGGTCTCGACCTTCCCCAAGTCCATCGGCATAGCCACGAGCAGCATCCGGATCGCGACGGATCCCGACGACTCCGGGCGGCCGGCCATCCGGATCTCGGGCACCAAGGGCGAGATACAGGTTGCCCACCCGGCGTACCGCCCCGAGAAGCTGACCATCATCAAGTTGGGTGGAGGGGTCGAGGAGAAGGCGTTCCCGATCCCCGCAGGACATGGCATGTTTTGGGAGGCGGATGGTGCTGCGAGAGCATTGAGGGATGGGAAGCTCGAGTGTGAGACTATGCCGTTGGATGAGAGTATCCTCATCATGGAGGCCATGGATAAGGTGCGGTACGACAATGGGTTTTTATACCCTAAGGCGATCGAGAAGACGGATCATTAGATGTAATGTATATACTGTAACTGAGCCTGTCTCATTGGGATCGCATATGAGAATGTAAAACTACACCGTATGACAAACAAGACCTGAAAACACACCCGAAATGATATCCCACTGTCTACACAAAAGTCCTGAGAAAAAAAGACCGAAAAACCGTAACTCCCCTATTATACGTGTGCGCTGAAAGAAGCTTGAGAACAACAAAAAAAACCAAGCACCATGCAATTCACTCGTATGAAAAGGGAAAAAAAAGAGTCAATCGAATTGCGATGAATGCAATGGACATGGGAGAGTGTCGTGCAGGTGGTCACTTTTTCGTAATGGGAGCAGTGCGGAGATTGCGGAAATTGGTACCTCTCGCCGACCCAGGGGGGTGAAGCTCCTTCACGGCCTTTTCAGGATCGACGAACGTGATCTGCAGGAGGGAAATACAGAAATCAGCCCAAAACCAATCAGCACTGCTTAGGGGACAACTTACAGTCGGAAACAACTTCTGAAAATCCTGGGCCTGTGCCGATTCACTCTGAGAATGACAAACGATGAATCTCCTGTGCTCGGTTGCCTGCTCGAGGTGGAGTAGCGCAAACATGTCGATCATGTTTTCAAACTCGGCCTCAGTATCAAGTTCTCGTTCGGCAGCTGCAGCTACAAGCTCGAGCTCATTACAAGCAGCGGGAATCTCGCCAGGCTCCAGATCCATCATTCCAGGCGAGGCGAATCTCGGCGGCGCGGCTCGTTCAGGTAATTCAAGTGAGATCACATCTTCGGAAGTCTCAGACACGATGTGGCTTTCAAGCCTGTAGGTGATGGTGAGAACCTCCTGACCCAGTGCGGGATCGCCACCGAGCCGAGCCAATGTAATCGCGAATGCTTCTAGCCGGTCTCTGAAATCAGAAGCAACGCAGAACTTCGTGGACGCCGCTTTCACCTTCTGGTACATGAGCACCTGGCCCACGACAGAGACATGACATGCAAGAAATCTGTTGGTCATCAATATGACGGAACCAAAGGGCCAGATGCGTTCGTCGACTGTGATCAGGTGCTTCTTGCTGGGATCGGGGCCGCGGTCGAGTCTCAGGCCAAACATGCGGAACGAAACTCTATTCATGTTGCGAAGCACGTCGATGTGAGGCAGGAGATGTAAGTGGAACCGCATTGATTGGTGTATAAACACGACGACGTGGATCTTCTTCTGCCTCGACTTCTTCTCTATTTCCGGTGTGTCGTGAATCTTGAAAATGCGATGGCCCTGCAGCCGGAGGACATTTTCCAGTTCCAGACGCTCGGGCTTAGCGATTTCTGGACAGTACGTAGTACAATAGCTCAGCACCATCTTGGGATCTGTCGAATCGGAGTCCTTTCTTGTCGTGAGAAGATCTTTATAGCATTTTAAGTGCCTGAACATAAGGTTCGACAAGTACCGATCGAAGCCATCATCCAGCGCCTTCTGAGGCTTAGGCGTGTCCTGCTGGGGAATAGGAACCTCAACGCCAACTGGTGGATACAAGACAGCTCGAAGGGCCGTCTTTCGTCTTTGCTGTGGAACCTTGAAAGAATTCCGAAGCTTTTCAAGGGATGGCTGAAACACTATCAGAGTAAATTCCTTATGAACAACCATTCCAGCCCCCTGCAAAATCGACAAGACAGACAACAGCCCTGGGAGTTCGGGGGATTCAGATTCAAATTCCATGTCGACGTATTCGAGTGGCGGACCATAGACCTACCCCCAGTTAGTCAGCCAAGATAAGTGATATCACGACCGTGAGTCCTTGGACGTTGCAGCTTACAGGAATAAACCGTTCTGCAAGGTACTTGGCTTCCAGGGTTTTAGAAATCCACATCTTTTCTAGCTGCAGATCGTGCAGCATGGCCAAAAACTCAGTGCCGAAGCCCAAGAATTTGATTGTACCCAGGGATCGCATGGCTTTAAGCGATGGTCCATATTCGACCGCACATTTAAAAGTCGCATAGGTTTCAGTTTCATCTGCCAGCTTTATCTGATTCATCTGGATCTTGACTTTCCTCTTGGGAGGACCTGCTGGAGGAGAACCCGGGCTCCCCGTTGCAGGCGGACTAGGGCTGCGACGTCCCTTCTGTATCGGATGCTTATGTATTGGCTGCTTCTGTGTTGGTTGCTTATGTGTTGGCTGCTTCTGTGTTGGTTGTTTCTGTGTTGGCTGCTTCTGCATTGGCTGCTCCTGAATGGTCGGGGTTTGAGCAACTGGGACTGGGACTGTTTTCGTCGGACGCGATATTGCTCCCCCTTCACCAGGCTTGAAAAGCTGTAACAACTCGGCAGGGGGAGCCAGATCCCTCTTGGACTTTTTTTGGACCATGTTCCGTATTGAAAGCTTATTGTAGATCATGGGGACCTTGGCAGTCTCCTGTGTAGGTGGAATGTTGGCAGTCATGCGTCGACGATGCGGGCTAGGTTCACGTCCACGATGCGGGCTAGTTTCGCGTCTCTTAGGTATCGGTCTTCTCACTTTTGCCTCGGAGGCTTTCAGTGGAGCGCTGTCCGTTGCGCCGGCGTGTTCCGCAGCCAGACTGCCGTTGTCATAATCTGCTCTTCTCAACTTGGTCCTGGGGGTTCTCAGTTGGGCGCTGTCTTCCGCCAAGTCCTCCATCAGTGAATCGGCATCGCCGTCACTAACTCTCTCAGACTCTGTCGGGTACTCGGTCTCAGAAACCACCACGATGCTTCTCCTCTTGCGCATTGCTCGCCGTATTATGGGAACATCCGAATCCGGGTCTTCGTCATCGTCGTTGTCGTCATCGTCAACCACAAAGCCGGTAAGATCAACGTCAGGAACTTCATCAACGGTTGTCCGTTTGGCGGCCCTCTTCGGCCTCGTAACCGGCTTTGCCACGCCGCGCTTTAGCTTCTTTTGTTGCGCTTGGGGTTTCGCTGCCTTTTCCCTCCTTTTTTTCTTAGCAGCCCTCCGCTTGTGCCGCTCGTACTTCACGAGTGCGTCCCTCTCACGGTCTTCGTCCCATTTCTGCCAGTCGAATTCTTCCCGTTGGCCCTTGCTCTTCAGGTAGTCGGTGATGATGTACTCTCTCCCTTCGTCGAAAGAGCTGGCTGGCTCCCACGTTGCCCTATCAAGTGGGTAGCCGTCCCAGTACACCAGATAAACAGGGGCTTGGAAGACTTCGGACCATTTGTCTGCCAATATCTCCTTCACTGGAAATTCCTGGTTTTCGGCTTCCTCGCTGGCCTCCGTAGAGGCTGTTGTGATACTGTCTTCATCACTCTCCGGGTCCGCATCGGGGGGACGAGCTCTAAACATATTGTCGGTTGTCCTCTAAAGATGAGGAGCTAGAGGGTTCTCGTCAGCAGTTAAATAACGAAGGGCACATTCAGATGCAACTCAAACTCCGTTGCGTAAAAACACAGCTCAAATAATTTGAGGTGACAAGACGGAGAAGATGGGGATGCTTTACAGCTATCAACCGTGGAATTTTTGGGGTCGGCGAAGTAAGTGGAAGTAGGTTGATGTAGTTGGAATTAGGCCGCAATTGACGAGGCTTGGATGAGACGGTGAGATGGTGGATGGCGGGGTAGTTGAATAAGAACACGAGCGTTGATTGAGGTAGACGGTGGTGGGGTGGTGGGGTTGGTGAAGGAAGGACGCGACGGGGGTTGTTGGGAGAACGCGACAAGTCATAGTTACTAACCTAGCGTCCCCGTTCAGTTACTAGTACAGGCTGTTAGTTAATAGCAGCGACCGTTCACTCTTGAAGCTTCAGACAACGTCGCCAGTTTGAGTGATCCCCACAACACAGCAGCAAGCAATACTACATCATCACCGTGCCACCACAGCTATGGCACCAAACCTCTCTCTCTTCAGCGTCAACGCGCTTCTAATCCTCTCAACCGACGGCACCCGCATCCTCGCCAAATATTACCGATCTCCGCACACGGCCAGCACTACCGGGGCAACGACTGAGAACCCTTACCCCACGCTGAAAGAGCAAAAGGCGTTTGAGAAGGGACTCATGGAGAAGACGGCGAAGTCAACGGCAGATATCATCCTCTATGATGGCCACGTCGTCCTGTTCAAGGCCGAGAGCGACGTGATGCTGTATGTCGTCGGAGGAATGGAAGAGAACGAGATGATGCTGTACCAAGTTGTCCTCGCACTCAGGGACACGCTACAGATCCTGTTGAAGTGAGTAACATTCATTCACATGCCCATTCTACTTCGGGTGAAGCATGGAATTGACTTGGACCTCTCTGCTCCGTAATCAGGAACTCTACCGACAAGCGAACCATAATCGAGAACTACGACCTCGTTGCGCTGGCGATCGAGGAGATTGTTGACGACGGTGTGATACTGGAGACAGAGCCGGGGGCAATTGTGCAGCGGGTTTCACGGCCGCCGCAGCAGGACATCCAGGTCAGCAGTATCGACCTGTCGGAAAAGGGGCTCTTGAATGCGTGGGAGTTTGGAAAGAAGCAGTTGGCAGAGCGGTTGAGGCAGGGACTGTGAGACTGTATACACGGCAACGAGACTACCACAACAGTCATTTGATTGATTCCCTCTACTTTGAAAGGAAGGGGGCATGCTTTCCATCAAGTTTCCCAACGGCGGCAGCGTCATGGTGTGAGGCTTGTTATTGATGGAGATCCGGTCGCTGTTTGCTTGCCATTGCCAGGAATCGATTCTACTAGACGCGGAGATCTCGTTGCTGTTTGACTATTATGTACCTATATTGGAGTTATCTGGAGCGGTGGATTGACTGGAATTAAATCAATCGCTCGCCCAACCAAACACGATGTGACGACCACAAGAGACGCCCAACCAAACACATGTAGAAATGATCCAGAAAAGCCATCAATAGAGCAGCAACTGCAAACAATCAACCTGCTAGCCCTTCCAAACGAATCACCACCCAAAGTACCTGTGACATGGAATACAAGACAAAAACCAGCAACTACGTTGAACAAACGACATCTATCAATAGCCCGGAAATGAGAAATGTAGACAAGAAGTACAAAGCAATCCATTGTTTCTCCCGAACGCCATCATGAAAAAAAAACCCCTTCGCATGCAACTCGAATATCCACTCGCTCGAAAAAGATGCAGGAAAAAGATGCAGGAAAAAGATGCAGGAAAAAGATGCAGGAAAAAGATGCAAGAAAAGAAACACACGGGAAAGAAAATCCACAGGAAAGTAAAAACAAAAAGCATTCCTAGTACCAAAACTAGGGTATATTGGAGTATTTAGGTATGTTCGTCATGGAGAATCATTCAACTTCCTCCTCCAGACCCTCTCTCTGTGACATTTCCTCGTCCTCTTCCTCTTCCTCTTCTTCTTCTTCTTCCATCTCTACTTGTTCAATATCGCCGTCTTCGGTCATGTGATCGTACCCGTTTTCGGTGAGCTCATTCAGGTCGACAGCGTTTGCCGGGCCAAAAGATGCGCGCATCTCCGGGTCGAGAGGAACTCCCATGCGGAAGAGCTCCTCCCAGAGACATCGCAGGTTTTGTTTAACATCCTCCGACCAATCGGATACTTGTGACATCTTATTAGCATTCTCCCTCACAACCTTGTTGACTTCGTGTTTCATATCCTGCAGCGTTTCCTTTAGATTCTCCTGCGAGAACATATCGCTGCTTTCCTCCAGCTTCCGAAACTTCTCCTTCAGGTCCTCGAAGTTTTGTTTGAGTTGTTTGAGTTCGGTAAGAAAGGGGTCATTGGCACAGTTCCTGCTCTCCATGTTGCCGCTAGCACCGTTGGCGATCGCGCCATTGACGGCGAATGGGTTCCTAGCTGTCCCTGGCGTGAACGTTCCGCTGGGGGCCCCGGGTGACTGGAGGTGGTTTTGTAGCTGAGAATGGACAGCTTGAATTTGGCCGGCAAGCTTTTGAAGCTGAGTCCGTTGGAGCTCGTCCTGTTGGGTGAGGTATTGGACCTGTTGGGCGGTATTGAACCAACTAGGACTTCGTGCTATAAGAAGGTTGGCCACCTTCTCGTAATAGTCATTCGTGGACCAAAGGGATAGTCTATCGTCACAATGCCGGACAGCCACCTCAAGCCCTTCGATCCGCCTCCCTTCTCGCAACAACAGGTCCCTGAACAACCCAATCTCCCGACCGGACATCCCCCCAAGTGACTGCACATCCTCGGCGACCTTCGTCAGACTAGAGGTAAACTCGGTGCGGAGTTTCGAGACTTCCGCCGTCATTTTCGACGTTAATCCCTCGAGCTCGGCCAATAGCTTGGCAATATCGGCATTGGCTTTGTGAACGTCTCGAGCACAGTTGTCGGCAACATCACCCATCCCGTCCAGACTCTCGTCCACATACTTCTTGATAGGGTCGATGACATCATCAATTTCCTTCCGCAATTCGTTCAGTGGAATGCCCGTATCCGTGGACGCTGGAACAGGTATTGTTATAGTGTCTAATCGTTGCCGGAGAGCTTCCTGTTGCGAGTTGTGCGCAGCAAATTCTGTTCTGACTTCTGCGAGCGCCGAGGCTACTTTCTTCAGATCATCCTCGAACTGTATTGATAGTCAGCAATGCACCGTCGAAAATTTACAGTCAGCAATACCTGATCGACTCTCGCCATCAGTTTATCTAGCTTGTCCATCGAGTTCGCAGCCACGACGGCCAGTTGTTGTGCGGTGGTGACGTCCTTTTTCAAGGGCTCAATCGATTTGCGCATTTCCTCGACCTGACCGTTGAGGAATGTCTGTCTGCTTTCCATAGACTTGCAGGAGGTGTCAACTTTCGCCAGCGATTTCTTAAATTCTGCCAGCTCAGCGGTCCTCTGCCGGTCATTTGACTGCAATGTTTGCACCTGGGTTTGCAGCTCTGCGATTCCTGGTAAATTGGCAAGCGCAAGCTTCTCTCGGACGACCTTTTCAATATATTTGTCTATTGAGAGCGAACCAAGATCTTTCTGAATCTTTCGGGAGGTCGTGTCTTCCCCGTCTTTCTCGGGTTGTGGAGACTTGAAATAGCTGTCAGCCCAAGTGCTCACAAAGCTCCACTCCTCTTTGTATTTCCGACATTCCTCCTCCGCCTTGTCGTATGCGCCTTGGTATCGCTCGCGTATGGACGCGAAGGTATCGAAATGCTCTTTACGGTTATTCCGTTCAATCCCCGCCAGTTCCAATTTTCGTTGCGCCGCCTGGTACCTTGAATAGACATCAGAAACGCGAGCCACGACCTCACTACACAACACCGAACAGATACCAGTCAGCACTTCCGCTAATCTAAGCAGCCGGGGCGAAGGGAAAACCGGATGACTAGCCTGAAGCTCTTCTTTTTCTCGCCAGCTGCAGCGACAGCGACTATCTTCCGGGGACTGTTGCAATACGTCGAGGTGGCAGGGGAAGGATCGCGAATCGCAACGGCATCCGAAGGTGTACGTGAGGTAGGAGGCGTTCGTGCGGCCGGAGAAGCATTCGTCCAATTCACACTATCGACCGACTCCCGTCTGTTGCTGTTGCTGCCGGAACGGTATCGCTCAATCTGGCGGGGAAACCCTGCTCCCCCGCCTGCTCCCCCTCCGCCCCCCCCTCCTCCTCCCCCAACATCGGTCATCGTGACATCCCGAGGCGACGCCTCCACGCTCCTCCTCCCGTCATTTGAACCTCCCAGAGAGCGTCGCGAAGTGTCGACGCTTAGCCCCCGGCGACTGCCGTCACCGCTAGAGTACTGTGGATGTTTGTTCGACACAAACGATCCCCGGGAATCGGAGTTGCGCCGAGCTACATCAGAGGGGTCTGATCCGTGGAATGTTGGTGGCTCCATTCCACTCTGCGCTCTACGTAGTTGAGGTTGCTGCCGACGAGGGTCGTCGCTGCGGTGGTGAGGTTCTCGGTCCCAGTCCCGATCAGTTGCCATCTCACTTTTTATTCGAGTGTCTGTCTGCAGCGATTGAAGGAATGTGATTGCGATGCAGCGGCACGTGGTTGGGGAGTGAAAAGGTGTGGAATTGAAGAGTGGAAACGGAATAGAGTTGGTGCAACGCGTGTTTGACGGATGGAATGCGGAACTGTGCAGGTGCAACTGGGCATAAAAGAAAGCACGTGACTCCCGTCAGTGATTGAGGGTGACCGGAAGTACTATGATTCCTGGACTCATCGTGGGCCACGAACCCACATACATAACCCCAGCTCCAAGACTCCTTGCAAACACCATTGACGCTACATGCATGCGAACTGCACCTGCACAAACCACTTCACCGCCACATTGTGGCTCTGGGTGGAGCAAACAGCTTATCATGTAGGAGTGAATGGGGATGTGGGGATGTGGGGATGTGTACACTGTAGAAGCCTCCGAACAGAACCACCCATAAATTAGATATGTAGTGTACTCACTTGCATACATGCATTCTCCGCTCCTTCACAATTACAAGTTCTTTTTTTCCATACCATATCCTCCTACCTATTGAAGAAGAGAGCCCAATACTGACATCTAGTTAGATAACAGTCAGTGTGGTGAGGCAAACCAAAGAAAATGAAGGAGTAAGAAGAAAGCCAGTTCCAAGGAGAAACAGACTTACTTCGCACACCAGCAACCAGCGGCCATTTACCACGAGTGATGAACTGCAGAAAACACCTACCTATATTATGAAAATTGGTTATAACCCCAGGAGCGGCTGATGACAGTCCGACCCCAATCGGAGTAGTCAATCTGCATTGATTCGAGCCAGAATGACGCGACAACAGAATGAAAGGCACGCTCCTTAATCAATTAAGACATAGGATATCACCCGCTTGATCTCAGTCCACTCGCCATACCTCGGCAGGTTAGGGTTTCCTAAAGCGCTACACTCATTGGGCACTACAACCGCCACGGCCATCGTTAACTAGCGCAGTCAGCCCATACCATCCGACGAACATCGGTCCATCTATCAGTCAATCCAACCACCGATGCCGTGATATAAGGCGTCGTGGGTCTCTGTCCTTTCTTCTCTTCATACCGTGTCAATTAACCTAGGTTCCTTTCCATTACCCCAGCAAGATGTCTTTCCGTGTTCTCTGTCGCCGCGGCGGGAGTCCGAGTGCGACAGTTGCCCGCAGCTTGTCGAAGCTCAGTGGGAATGTCGCTCAGCCGACACAGAGACGGAGTTATTCCTTCTTTACTTCGTCGATAAAAGCTGGCGGCCTCAACAGCACATCCTTCCAATCACGCCACATGACGTTCCTTACAGTCACCGGAATCGTCGCTGGGTTTGTCGCCGGAGGTCTGGCTATGACCATGGTATGCAACCGTCACCTGGGTAGACATGTTCATCGACTGACGTCCACCAGAAGCCGGAGCCTCTACGCTGCGAAACTCCATCAAGCAACATCCGCACGAGCCAGGCCGACTCAAACCTCAAGCGCGAATCTGGCGTCACCGAAAACTCTCCCATCCGCCTCCGAATGGAAGCCATGATCCGCGAGCGCCAGAAGGAAATCGTCGAAGCCCTCGAGAAGGTCGACGGCAAGAAGTTCCTGATAGATCAATGGGACCGGCCTGATGCTGGCGGCGGCGGAGGAATCTCTTGCGTGCTACAGGACGGAAACGTTTTCGAGAAGGCTGGCGTAAACATCTCCATTGTATACGGCAAACTCCCTCCGGCGGCGGTGAAGAATATGCGTGCGCACCATAAAAGCTTGGATCTTACTGTCGACTCGCTTGACTTCTTCGCCGCGGGATTGAGTATGGTGCTACACCCGCGCAATCCTATGGCTCCAACGGTTCACCTGAACTACCGCTACTTTGAGACCATGAACGATGATGGCACAACTAAGGCCTGGTGGTTCGGCGGAGGGACCGATCTCACTCCTTCGTATCTCTTCGAGGAGGATGCAATCCATTTCCATAAATCCCTCAAGGAAGCTTGCGATCGCCACGACCCCGCGTTTTACTCCAGGTTCAAGAAGTGGTGCGACGACTACTTCTACGTCAAGCACCGTCACGAGACCCGCGGAATCGGAGGAATCTTCTTCGATGATCTTGAGGATAGGGAGCCGGAAAAGCTGTTGGCGTTCTCCACTGACTGCTTGGACTCGTTCCTGCCCGGCTATCTCCCAATCATTGAGAAACGCAAGGTACCTGCCTTTCCCGCCGCCCCACCTTTGCCTGATATAAACCGATTAACTTCATATCACAGGACATGCCCTTCACCCCCGAAGAAAAGCAATGGCAGCAGCTCCGTCGTGGCCGATACGTTGAGTTCAACCTCATCCACGACCGCGGTACCGCATTTGGCCTGAACACTCCCAACGCTAGGGTTGAGTCTATCCTCATGAGCTTGCCGTTGACCGCTAGCTGGCAGTACATGCACTCCCCCGAACCTGGCTCCAGGGAACAGCGTATGCTGGATGTGCTCAAGAACCCTCGACAGTGGGTTTGATCAATGGTAATGTAGGGCATAGGTACGAATGATATGATGTGATAGGGTGGGTCGATATGGGCATATTGTTTTCGGATCATTGTATTTGTACTCTCGTTTTCTTCTCTCGATTGTGTTTGCTCGGAAGTTTTTGATAGATTCCAATGCAAGTAATAGAGCAACATCTTGAAGCCTCTCCATGTGAAGCGCCGCAGAGTTCTGCACAATGAAATCTCAGGGACCAAAGTCTCACAGAGCCTCACGGCGCCCCACCATCCACTACAACTTGACACACCATCACCACAAGCTTCGTCCAACCATTGAAGATGTCGCCAGCAGAGTCCGTCGATCATCGCCGAACCCACAACCTCCTCCTCGTGTCACGACTCCTCAGCCTCCGCGATACAGCGTCCCCGTTCACACTCCTCCTTGACTCGCTGTCACAGTCATCCAGGCCTCTCGTGCGCGAGTATATTGAGCGAGCGATTGTACCTTCCGCCCTCACTTCTTTCCGGATATGTGATGGCAGCTAACAGAAACAGACAGCAAAATGCAAAACCGTCTTCGTTTCCTTTTCGACATTCAGCCCTCCCCAGGGGATCACCACTCTCATCAGCGCACGGCGTAAACCGATCCCGGTCCTACAAAAAGAGATCTTCGCCGCCTGCTCAGCCAACGGCAGCAGCAAAACGCTTCTAATCCTCGACTCCCTCAACCCGCTGTGTTCCTCGGCGCCCTCCTCACTAGCACCATTCCTGTCCTCGCTGCTGTCGCCGACAACGACCCTTGTCGCTATGTACCATACCGACGTGCCCCTCTGCCTCCCGCCCGAGGGCAGCGCAAATGCATATCCCGACTCCGCCCCGCAGCCGCTAACACTGCTGTCGTATTTCGCGACTACGATCATCACCGTGCATTCGATCACGCATATGTTGGCCGCCAAAGCTGCGCGCGATAGAAGTCTTGCCCCGCCGGGTTATGGGCTCGATGAGGGCGTCGACGGCGTGCTCGTGGGCCTGGGAAGTAATCCTGCCGAAGGCGTGGTGCTGGAGCTGGAGTACCGACGCAAGAGTGGACGGGGCGTTGGGGAATGGTTTTTCCTGCCCGGGGAGGGGGAGGCGGCCGGGATGAAAAGGAGTGTGCTCCCTGGTGGGGTGGAGGAGAAGGTCATGCTGCTGGAGGATCATCCGCGGTGGAAGGAGAGTGAGGCTGTGAAGCAGCGGGGCGGCGCCGGGGAGGAGGAGGAGCCGATGAGTACGTTCGAGCTTGGGCTGACGGAAAGTCAGAGGAAGGCAAGGGATGAGGTTGTATTGCCGTATTTTGATGCACAGAGGGAGGGTGGCATTGGGGGTGGTGGCGCAATTCTATTTACGCCGGATAGGGAGATTGATGATTTCGATGATGAGGAGGATGAGATATAAGTCGTGAGTAAGAAATTTTGATTTTTAAGCTGTTGTACGGTGGTAACCAAGTCCGTAGATATGTCAAGGAGGCCGAGGCAAAAGTCCGATACCTGGTACTTATACACCCGCAAACAATCCAAACCAATCCGGTCGAAATTCCAATGGAGGGATTTTGCAAAGGGAGGTGAGGATCTCAGTTGAGGTTCTTTGCCAGGAGCAACCAAGATCTCCCTAATGGTATCTCTGGTGACAGTGCAATGCAAAAGCACCAGCGACAGCAGCTGAGCATACACACCCTCTCATCCTCTTCACTACTCGTTCGGCTGCGAGTTGGTAAGGTCACGTTAAGCAAATGCTGGGATTGGTGGCTTCTGCAAAAGATTCAATCACGGGTGCAAATCCAATCGGGTAACGTGACCTTACCTTCCCCTGGCCGTACGAGCCTTCTGCCACATTTAAGAAAAACTCCTCACCTTATGTCTACATTTCGCTCCTGTAGCTATGCCCCGATTGTTTCCTTTGTTCGCTGCTGGGTGGCTTCTTGCGCCACTCCGTTGCACTCTGTTCCTGTTGTTCCGCCAAGATAAATGGTGTTCCGAATACACTGCATCCGGAAAATTCTCAAGAATACTACATAAGATATACTATACACTATTAAAGACATGGTAGCGCAACGCAAAAGTAGCAGTCGAACAGAAAGACCCGCTTATTCTCTCCGCAAAAGATCCCAAAAGACGGAAACTGTTAATGGGGTTGATAGAACAATGTATTGATCGGTGTCTAGCCTCGATATCGGGTTGGCTAGAGAACGAAAAGCCCAGAGAAGTGCAAGACAAGACAAAACGCCAGCCGCAGGTACCAAATCACACCTCTACACCGTATGGTTAAAAGAACCTCCACCAGATGAACACCAGCATGATGAACGCAAAGCCACCTATAGGACCATACTATTCATTGTCAGTCACCATCCCCTCCCACTGTCCACACGAACACAACATACCTGCTTCAACATATGCTCCCAATTTATCCTCACCGCCGCTCTCTTATACTTCTTACTCTCATCCCTCAGCCTTGAGCTCATATCGCCCATCCTCTCCAGCGAATCCCCTCGGTACAGCAGGTCCTCGATGTTCTTCGTCATGACCCTCGTCACATCCTTGAGATCGTCATTCAGCCGGTCCAGATTCGCCGTCGCCCGCGTATCCTGATAGGTCCGTTTGGTTCGCTGCATGAACGTGTCGAACTGCACGAACGCGTACGGTCGCAGGTTGGGCGACATCGCTTCCTGCCCGTACGAGTTTTGGAATTCCGTCGCGATGTCCGAGAGGTAGGTGAACGCGAGCTTGCGCGGGTAGCTGCGCTCGCAGATGCATACGTAGCAGATGTGGGATTGTATTATGTAGCTGTGACGGGTTAGTCTGTGTCGGGGGGGGGGAGTGGAGGGGGGAAAGACTGTATCGTGAAGGGTCCGCTCTCGATTGAGGCCTGTGGCTCGCTGTCGTTGTTGAGCTGTCGGAAGATGTACTTCACTTGCCCCTTGATTTCGGAGAGTTCGGCTTCGGCTTGGTCGTCGTCTACGGAGGCGGCGAGGGGTACGCCTGGTGGAAGTTCAAGTCAGTTGGGAGCTCGAAGCCAGGGCTAAGGTGTGGATACCGTCGAGACGCGCGATCTGTGTGGATTTAACCATGGCTGTGGATGGGTGTTTAGCTCAGTTTAGCTGTGGAGTAGTGTCGCGAACTGGTCGTGAACCTGTCGTAGATGTCGTGTCGTGTGTGCGGTAAATTCACGATTATTATTGCCTTGTTTGTTTGTGTAGCTCAAGCCCACTGTTGATGAGGACAGGTTCCAGTTGGCGTTGACATTTCATTGCCGCATCATCCTAGAACACAGGGGCCTTGGCGTGAGCTAACATTTAAGTTCCGGGCTCGCTGATCCAAGTTTATTGCTCTATGTGCTATCATATGGCTGTAGATAATTCTATGACAACACGATAGAAGAGAGTTTTGAACGCGCGTTAGAATAGATGCTCACATGTATTGTAGAATCGCAGGCAGGGTGTGCACTGTGGGTAAGGAGCAATCATTGGTTATCACTCACGCAATGTCTGTGGAAGTGGCCGAAACCAGGATGTGAAAATGAGATGCACGACATGATGCACAGCTGTTCGCCGGATTCAGGAGTTTCAGAGAGGAATGTGGTTCTGCTGGTGCCTGCTAAGTTACCAAGTACATTCTGGTCTATCTACTGGAGAAGAGAAATGCGACGGAGCATCCTAGAGTTTCGCCCCGTAGGTTCAGAAGGGAACCTCGACACTTGAATGGCTAGGCTTAAGATCACGTGCTAGGAGCTTGCGCATCACTGTTTCCGCGCCCTGATATCATGGAACACTCCCCACCTCCCTCCCTCCTTCTCGCCACCAACTCCCCACGCAACGACTACAACTCACACCATTGCTATTGCTCGTACTTCACCTCAACCCATTCAGAAACAATCCTCCCAGCGGTATCAACCACCACGAAAATCGAAATCATGAAGCTCATTACTGTCGCCGCCGCCCTGCTCAGCTTTGCTGTCATGGTAGCCGCCGCCAACAAGAAATATATCGTCACCTTTCCCAACAATACTTCCAGTCAGGTGGTCGACGATGCCCTTGCTGAGTTGGTAGCCGGCGGAGCCAAGCTCCTCCATCGCTACTGTGAGTGTTTTCCGAGAGTGCCTTCGCTCTCCCGGCTTAGCTAAGCTAACCTCCCGTGCAGCGCTGATCCAAGGCTTCGCCATCGAGTCGCCCGAGGAGACCATGGAGACCTACAGGGTCAAGGCCCAGAGTTTGTCCGAGAACAAACCCTCGATCGAGGAGGATCAGGTCGTACGTCGCATTACATCTACTCACCTTACGGCTACTAGCGTACGGAAGCTGATAGCATCGCGAACAGGTGACAATTCAGAGCTAGGATGAGGCCAGCAGTATTGTCACGAGCACTGGAACGACGGAGGGTGTAACTTCCAGTGTGGTTGACAGTACTGCTGCTACCCCGCAAACAACGATAACGTCGACTGCTGTGCAAGGAAGCTCCACGGAGACGGCGGATATGTCTTCTCCTTCGGAATCGTCTTCGTTCTCTTCGTTCTCGACTTCTTCCTCTTCTTCGTTTTCTTCTTCTTTTTCGGCTTCTGCTGCTGCGTCGTCAACGTCAGTTCCTTCGCCTGCAGCGACTTCTGCAGGGGCACGCGGCGTAAATACGAATGGCGTATCGCTGCTTTTAGCTGCTTTTCTTCCGATGCTGCTGTTGTTTGTTTTATTGCTGGTGGATGCGGGTATTGTCGATGTTATGTTTTAAGCTTTGCCTATCGTCGGAGGCCGTTCTTCCCTTTTGTTTCAGGTGTTTGGTCTTGGGGTTTGGTGCATGAACCTGATAGATAGCTGCAAAGTGCTTTTTGTCATGGCTCCTGCCTGCTGCTGTAGAGAGATCAAGCGTCTGACCGCAAGTCTGGGGAAATCATCAATTTGTTTCCGTCGGCACGATCATTTAAATGGATGTTGTATGTACGATAGTACTCAAGGGAAGCTGTGAATGCCAACAATCTGGGGATATAACGGTTCATTCCGGTAAACAGAGGGGATCCGACCATCACCAAGTTGCATGCTCCAGCTGAGCGAAACGAGGAACGGCCCACTGCCGCAAGCGCTTAGCGTCCTGTTGCTTGAGACAAGTGGTGGTGGTGGTGCTTGTGGTGGTGGTGGAGCATGGGAGAACAAGAGCCCTGACCACCCTGCACTGGGATTCGGGAACTCGAGAGCGTCCTCCTCCCTTCGCGACAACACACGCCCCCGCGCCTTCCACCAACCCACTTAAGTACCGATCAACCACCATCACCAGACCATCGCGACTGAGCTTCCACGCGTAACCTTCGCCATGGGCTCGGAACGAGCCGTTGCGGCAGCTCTTGTGGATTGGGTACGTTTCCATCCGTTTCGCCCCAGCGTAAATTGAAGTATACATGTGCTCACGAACCTACCCCCCGCTCGGCTCGTGCAGTTCAACTCCTGTCCCATCAGCCCGAAGATCGAAACCCTCACCGACCTCTCCGATGGCAGCACGATCGCCAAAGTCCTACGTCCGTCCACATACCCCTCGACCACCCCTCGTCCGGAGCGCAGGATGTAGAGCTAACTGTGCGCCGGAATCTACAGAGGACATCGACCCGAGCTATTTCAAGATCTCGGGTGACCCCAGTGATACGGGGGCGGCGGTCAAGAACTGGCTATGGAAGTTCCAGATGCGTGGGTTCTCCTGGCCAACGGAGAGATAGTGGGGGTTAAAGAGAGGGGAAGCTGATGTTTATGGGTGCAGTGAGGAAACTACATAAGGACCTGTCGAAGTACTATACGGAGACCCTCGGGCATCGACTACCCTCGCCGGCACCGAATCTCACGGCCATCGCGAAGGACTCGAATGTGGAGGAGACTATCAAGGTACGCACGACTTGATCAAAGGGGAAGGGGGGTGGTGGTCGGGGGTGGAGACAAGAGGTGGGCTAATGGATTATAGCTCGCGAAAATTATTGTCGCCACGGCAGTCCTGAGTGACCGGAAGGAGGATTTTATCGCGATGATCCAGGCTCTGTCGCCGAGCTCGCAGACGGAGATGATGAATATCCTCAACGAGGTATGTCCGAGTTGCGGTTGCGGATGCTATTGGACTAGGCTTATGGGTATAGATGATCTTACTGGATCAAGCGGATGATGGAGACAGCAGCAAGAGCGGCGATGCGTAAAGCCCCCAGATTGTGCTATCCGTGTTTGCATATCTAACGGGTGACCAGGCCAACGGATATTGATCAATTCCGCATGGAGGAGGAGCTAGCACGAATTGTAGGAGATCGAGAAACCGTCGAAAACGAGAACAAAATGCTTCGGCGGAGGTTATCGAGCTTGGAGTCCCAGCTCGTACGTAGTAGTTCAATCCCACCATCAGCTCGACAATGGGGGCTGACTGAAAACTCTGTACAGGAGGAGTCCCAAGCCCGTATCGAGGAACTGTCTCATCGGAGGCCCAGAGATAGCCAGGAGTATGATGATCGGGGTGAACGGCTTCAGTTCCGCGTCAACGAGCTGCAGGATGAGGTCCAGAAGCTCGAGGACAAGATCTTCGATAAAGAGGAGGAGATTTCTACCAAGGATCATAAGATCGCCAAGCAAGAACGAACAGTCTGTACCCGTCCGTCATCGACAACGAGAGTGCCTGCTAAAGCCCGCAGATTGAGGATCTCGAACCGAGGGCGAGGGATGGTATGAAGTACAAAGACGACCTGGACGAGGCGAATCACAAGATCGACCAGCTCACCAAACACCTCAACGTCACGGAGAAGTACCGCAGGAAGCTCGAGAGCATGGGCGACCTGGAGCAACAGATGAAGATCATGGAGGAGCAGCATGCTCGCATGTCGAAGGAGCTCCGTGCTGCCGAGGAGAGCGCAAAACAGGTGTCCGGACTGAAGCGGACCATCGAGCAGTACAAGAAACAGGTCGCGCGGCTGGAGAATGACTGTGCCGAGATGTCGAGGACGAAGAACTCGCTGGAGTCGGAGAAGCAGATATTACTATCCAGATCCGATGGCGCCGAGTACCAGAAGACGAAAGACCAGGAGCGGATACGAAATCTCGAGGAGAAGATCCGGGAGCTGGAGAGTGGACTGGTGTCGGAAGCCGCCGAGGAATATGGTGGTGATCTCGGTTCAGAGTTGGCGTACTCGACAAGGACTAAGGCGGATATGTGCGTGTTGACAAAATCCATCCGGATGATGCTTATTTGCTGACGATACCTCAGGAAGCTCAAGATTGCCAGCCTGGAGGCTGAAATCCGACATCTTAAGGACAGCGGCGGTGTCGGTGCTGACAATGTCGTCTTGCAACACATGCTCGAGGACGCAACAAGAGCACGGGACAAGCTCGAGCACGACTACCTGGAGGCCAATATGGCCAAGCTGGTAGCCGAGTCGCAGCTGGCCATGATCCGTTCTGGTACCGCGAACGAAGGGTATATACGAATACACACCCCCGAAATGGTTCTTCTCGGTTGTTGACTGTATCTATAGCTCGGAGGTCATGCTCAAGCTGCGCCAGAGCTACGTGGACAGCCAATCCCAGTTGTCGGAGATTAAGATCAAGGTATCGGAGTTGGAAGCAGAGTTGGCTACTACCAAACGAGCTCTTGTCACTGCACAGTCGGACTGTATGGCCCCAGGCTGGTCTATCCGTAGTTTATGTTTCATGCTGCTAATCCGAGGTGAATAGTGAGCTTGGTTGGTGCCGACCAGCTCGAAGCGCTGGATAAGCTTAAGGCGGAAGCAAACTCGGATCTCGCAGAGCTGCAAACAGTGCACGCGGAACTTCAGAGCAGGGTCAAGGACCTCGAGTCGGACTTACGGACAAAGGAGTCGCTCCTCGAACGTGTGCTGCTCGAGAAAGATGCACTCTCGACGAAGATGACCGAGCAAAAGGACCTTCTGTTCGAGAAGGAGCAGGCGCTTTCGGATCTCAAGGAGACGATTGCCGCGTTCGAAGGAAGCATCGGCGGCGCCGATGGAGCGTTGGAGAAGCACGTGCGAGAACTCCAGAACAAGCTCGAGGACCGACGGGAGAAGATGACCAAGTCCAAAGCCGTACGTTTCCCCCTTTCCCCACAACAAGCAGGAGATGGGTGATGGCTGACGTGATTCCGTTTTCGTTTCGTTGTTCTCCAGTTCATCAAAAAGCAAAACGCCACAATCAAAGACCTCACAGAGCAACTCGAAGCAGCGCGAGCGGCCGACTCGGACGAAAAACTGCAAGCCATGGAGGAGCGATATCTAGAGCTTAAGGTTCCACGCCCCCCCTCCACCACCTTGTCCTTTTCGACAAACATAAAACAAGACGCACAAACACAAATTATATCCTCTGCCACTGCTGCTGCTACTGCCACATCATCATCCACACCTCAAGCACCCAAACCACCTTCTTCTGCAATATTGAAAGCATCTGCATCCAACCCGTCCAGCGTAATCATTGGGAGTTTATTGACGTTCCTTGCGTACCGTGCAGAGAAAGAAGGAAGAAGAGCTCGAACTCCTGGAACGCGAAAATTTACTTATGGCTACGGCGTACCATGACCAGGCCAGCCGACTACAGCTGAACAGCGTGGTGCTGCTCCGGAGGAGCGACGCACCCACTAGCTGGCTCAATCAGCAGAGGAATGCGTTAGATGGATCGATTGTATGTTGACATTCTTTCACTTTTTATTTTCTTTGTTTTTTTTTTACTTCATTTTTCGGGCGGCATTGTTGTAGGGCTGGAGCGGTAGGTAATAGGAGGAGGAGCTGGAGGGTAATGGAGGTGTTTTTTTGCTGAGCTGACGGATTCTGTGGTTCTTTTCTTGCAGAGGAGGTGATTGATGATTGATTGATTGCACCCGTGTGGTGGCTTTGGAGACGATGCTGGGGGGAAAGAAGGATGATAGATTAGGGATACCGTTTCTTAATGGAAGTTTTGACTACTTTTTGCTACGGGCAGTATGAAGAGTAGGGCGGAGTGGGAATGGAAGCCTGGGGGGTTTTATTACTCTATCGATTATCTCTGGTGTAAGGGTACCAAAGTAGGTAGTCCAATGTCTGAGTTTGAGTGAATGGAGGATTGTGATGTGATGGATTTGTGTGCAGAATACAATGAATATCATTGATTCTACCCCCAAAGACGAGAAGCATGCGTCCATATAGATGTCTTTTCGCGTCCAGCTCTCAATTCATCTTACATCCGCCCCAAAGCAAGTACAACCCATCGTGTACATAAGTGCAACCCCCCCCCCCCCCCACCCACCCACCCACCCATCCGAAAATCAAACCCAAAGCAACCCCCATATTACCCGTATCCCACACCCAAGTCCCATACATATCCTAAAAATCCCCACCAAAATCCCCACCCCCAAAATCCCCACCACCGCCATAATCCCCATCCCCCTCCATGCCGTCCTGATACCCATCCTGATACGAGTCCTGCCTATCATCCGCCAGCGCGCCGCCCAGCATCATCCCGCCGAGCATGCCGGCGCCCAGGCCTAGTCCCGCGCCGCCCGCCATGCCCAGTCCTCCACCGCCGCCGGGGCGCCGTCTTCTGCCGCCCATAATGCCCCCGTTGCCCATCATGGAACCGCCCATCATCATGGGCGGATACCCGTACTGCTGCTGCTGCTGCTGTGGCGGATAGCCACCCCCGCCGCCGTAGTAGTACGCCTGCTCCTGCTGCTGCTGCGGATACTGTTGCGGATACGGCCGTGGCTGCGGCGAGTGGGACTTGAGGAAATTGGATATCTTCGCGCCTAGGCCACCACTACCAGAGGTGCGCGGGACGGCGTGGTCAGAGGTTGCAGGTGAATGTGCCGGGGAGTGCGCGGGTATGTGGCTGCTGGATGGTGGTGAAAGAAGGGATTCGTATTTCTGCTGCGCGGGCTTGGTGTCTGAAGTGGTGTAGCCCTGGCCCTGGCTGGCATGGCGATCGTTGTAGCCCTGGCTTTGCGAGGACTTTGATCTGCCGTCGATGTAGCCCGCCGATGATGGCCGTGCACCATATGGTGGCGGATCGCCTGGAAACATCAGCCATCAGCTACCTGCCACCTGCCACCTGCCACCATCTACTGCTGCTGTGTACATACCATTGCCACCCGCCCCCATCGCAGCAACCGTAGGAATTTCCCACTGGCTCTTCTTGGTATACAGATTGACGTAGTAGTACTGCCGATAATTATCGTCCCACTTGGCGAGCCATCCCTCCGGCAGCGAGGGCGGGGGCGGGCCCGGCGGCGGGGGCGCGGAGAAGGGGTCTGCTGTGTTTGTGTCGCGGAATGACATGTTGTTTTGCGCTTCTATTGTGGTGTGTTTGTGGTGATGTTCGAGGTCGTTTGGATATGGAGAAGGAAACGGGGGTTTTATTAAGTATGAACGAACGCAAATACTTGGTATCCAAAATATTTGGATTGGATGTTGTTTCCTTGGTGGCGAGGTACCTACCTACATAATGTACCGGTATCATGTGGGAACGGTTACGTCAGTATTGGATGTTAGTGGCTGAGGTGGGATAACAAGACTGCACAGCCTTGGAAGAAAGCCGGCAACCGGCCGGGCGTTTTTGATCGATAAGATAGAGGAGGGAGGTCTACACCAACGGGTACATAGCAGCTGGGCTCTGTCTGTCTACCCCACAGGTCAGTCACCAGTATCAACCGTGGGCTGGAATTGAGTTATATGTACCTGCCCTGCCCTGCCCTGCCAAACTATTCACTTCTCTTATGTACTCCATTCAACAAGTCACCCAAGTGTCACAACGTCCGCACCCTATATTCACTGAACATTTTTGGCAAACAGGCTTGAAAAAATTCTAGACGACAACTAAGAGTACATTTTACCGACCCCCCTCTCAATTACACCAGCTGCCTATTTGTCGGCCAACTCGGCAAGAATCTTCTCTCCCTTGGCGCGCGCAGACTCGATGCCTCCAACCATGTAGAAGGCGGACTCGGGCAGGTCATCGTGCTTACCGTCGAGAACCTCCTGGAACGAGCGGAGAGTCTCCTTGAGGGGCACAAGCTGTCCCTTGATACCGGTGAAGACCTCAGCGACCTAGAGAAATTGTTAGCATTGCAGATACGCGAGTAAGGATAGAGATGACATACGGCGAAGGGCTGCGACAGGAAACGCTGGATACGACGGGCACGCTCGACGGTCAACTTGTCCTCGGCGCTCAGCTCGTCCATACCAAGAATGGCAATGATATCCTGGAGCGACTTGTACTCCTGGAGGATCTGCTGGACACGGGTGGCGGTGCGGTAGTGGTCGTCACCGACGACACGGGGGTCCAACATGCGGGACTTGGAGTCGAGAGGGTCGACAGCGGGGTAGATACCCAGCTCGGAGATACCACGAGACAACACAGTGGTAGCGTCCAAATGGGCGAAGGTGGTAGCGGGCGCAGGATCAGTCAAATCGTCAGCAGGCACGTAGACGGCCTGGACGGAGGTGATGGATCCCTTCTTGGTGGTGGTGATACGCTCCTGCATCTGTCCCATGTCCACGGCCAGGGTGGGCTGGTAACCGACGGCAGAGGGAATACGTCCGAGCAACGCAGACACCTCGGATCCGGCCTGGGTGAAACGGAAAATGTTGTCAATGAAGAGCAACACATCCTGTCCCTCCTCGTCACGGAAGTACTCGGCGACGGTCAGACCAGTAAGGGCAACACGGGCACGGGCTCCAGGGGGCTCGTTCATCTGTCCGAAGACCAGAGCGACCTTAGAGTCACCATCGAGCTGAATGACACCTATGACGTAATGAGCATTGTGCCGAGAGAGTCGTCGAAGCGGAAAAAAAAACATACCAGTCTCCTGCATCTCGTGGTACAAGTCGTTACCCTCACGGGTACGCTCACCGACACCAGTGAAGACGGAGTAACCTCCGTGGGCCTTGGCAATGTTGTTAATCAACTCCTGGATAAACACAGTCTTTCCGACACCGGCACCTCCGAAGAGACCGATCTTTCCTCCACGAGCGTAGGGGGCAAGCAAGTCGACGACTGTAGTGAGAAAAGTCAATATAAAAATTCCGGGAGAAACCGTCATCATCGGGTATCAATTACCCTTGATACCGGTAACCAGGACCTCGGCCGAGGTGGACTGGTCAACGAACTCGGGAGCGTCGGTGTGGATGGGAGCCAGCTTGGTTCCCTTGATAGGACCACGCTCGTCAATGGGGTCACCAGTGACGTTCATGATACGACCGAGGGTACCGGGACCGACGGGAATCATGATGGGGTTGCCGGTATCGGTGACCGCGCTGCCACGGGACAGACCCTCGGTACCTAGTAGTCCATCAGTATAATCGTTCTCGTTTCATCCCACAATATAGATGATAAAACGCACCGTCCATGGCAATGCATCGGACAATGTTCTCTCCAAGATGCTGGGAAACCTCCAAGACAAGCTTCTGGCCGTTCTTGTCGGTGGTCAGGGCGTTGAGAATAGCGGGCAGTTGCTCGGTATCGAATTTCTATAATGTGCCGCTGGTCAGATTTTGATGTGTCTTGAGGTGATACGAGCCGCCGACCGGCGTCGTCGAGGCCGGCATCTTCAAATCAGAATTTTCCCCGGAACATACCACGTCAACGACGGCACCGATAACCTGATAGATCTTTCCCGTCTTTGCCGCCTCGGTGGCCATGTAACGTGCTCCGAGGGTAGGGAGGATGGGCTTGGTGGCCTTGAAGGTGGCGGCAGCATTGTTGAGCCTGGTCGGCCTCAGCGAGGCGCCGACTCGCCTTCCCGCAGCAAATCGAGCAATCCCGCTAAAAGGTGGGGAAAAACAAGCAGCATCAGCAATTGACCGTCGACGGGCGATGATATCGACAGGAGCATGGGCGTCGTCGTTACCTCTTGAACATGATGGGTTGGTGGGAGGGGGGGTATAGGATGGAATGAGAGGAGAGGAGTGTTGGGGGGGGGGTAGGAGCGGAGGAACTAGGAGAAAAGAGGGCGATGATTTTGGAGTGGGAACGCTGCCACCCGAAATCGCCGCAACGTACCCACCAACAATAGGATTGTTGCCAGGGTTGTTTGTTGCCGAATTAGCGCGGTACTATGTCACCTTTCATCCGGAACGCTTTTCAACCGCCTCACTCAGCGACGACCTCCAAACGACGTTTCGGTGAGGGGAAAAATTCGCTCGGGTGGAGAATTGCATGGAGAGTGGCTAAATCACTATGGAAGCGATAGGTGGAGCCTGTAGAGCACTCTACTCGCACATGCAAAGTCACTCTCTGTGCCAGCACGCCTCACTCTCCGCTTTTTGTATAGTATTTGCTAAATTCTTACATATCACTTCGATTTGTTATGTGGTCATGAATGTGCCTTCAATGCAATGTTGATATTATGTAACCGCCCAAAATGAGGACGATATTCCGAGAAGTTGCCCCGCAAAAAGAAAAAATTCATGACAATACGACCACCAGCTACCGGTATCCATCCATCCATCCAGCCATTCACCCTATCCAATCCTACACCCGCAACACTGGAGGAACAATATAACGAAACGACAAGCCAGTCTCTATGCCTAAACCCGCTGCTCCTTCTTTTCCAACCTAACCTACTCCTGATCGGGCGCAAAGACGAGGGCCGTCCTGCAGGGAACTAGAGATAAATGTCAGTACTGATACAGAGCCACTGCGTCTTCTCCTTGGGAAAACTTACGGTAGATCTGTGTGAAGTTCGACCGACCGTTCCATGGCATGTCCGTTGTGAAGAAGCGGACGCTCTCGTCAATTCGGCCCCATCCACCGTACTCCTTCCTGTCAGAGTTCAGGACAATCTTGTACTTGCCCGCGCGATCAATGCCAACTCGGTAATCGGTGAAGCTGTTCTGTATTTCGCAAAGTCCAATTAGACAACCCATCCGACACATTTCAGAACGTTGAGTGAGTACTTACGGTAGCGTGGAAGTTGAAGACGAAGAGCAAGCCAGCCCGCTCAAAGACGATAACTTTGTCGCCCTCGTGTTTCAAGCTGATGTATGCCTGCGGGGCGCCGAGCCACTCGTACTGCTCGTCGAGATGCTGCATAGCGGCATCGAACTCGTTCAGCATCTTGTAACGCAGGAGATCGTCGTCGATGAGGTTGAACTGCCGCCTGGCGTAGTGGAAAGAGTTGTTGTTTCCAGCACGAGGGAAGTCGAGCCATTCGGGGTGACCGAACTCGTTTCCTGCAGGGTGTTAATTGCATCACTCGGCTTGGGGGTGAAACGGAAATCTCACCTTCGAAGTTAAGGTATCCCTCTCCACCCAGCGAGTGGGTCAACAGACGGATCATCTTGTGGAGAGACATTCCACGGTCGATGATCGGAGTGCACTCGGTGAGCGTGGACATGTTGGTGTACAGCTCCTTGTCACACAGCCAGAAGAGGATGGTTTTGTCACCCACGAGCCTGGTATCATCAGTGCCTAGTTCGGACGGGGGGCTTTGGAAGATAAACATACGCTTGATCGTGAGACTCGGCGTAAGCGATGGTCTTCTCGCCGTGACGGCGGTTGGTCAGTGTCCAGCAGATGTTGGAAATATCCCAGTCCTCATCCTTCTTCTCCTTCAGAAGCTTGATCCACATGTCGGGGATAGCCATCGCCAGACGGTAATCGAATCCGACACCACCGAGAGCAAGTTTGAGGCAGAGTGCAGGCATGCCAGACACATCCTCCGCAATTGTGATACAGTCGGGGTAGATGTCGTGGAGCATCTCATTGGCCTGTGGGAAAATGATGTGAGTAACGGTGCGTTGCGTCGGTCGTACCAAAGAGATATACATACCAGCATGAGATAGACAATACCCTCATCATCGACATTGGGACCGAAGTACTCGTGGTAACCACCGGAAAATCCTCTATTTGGTCAAAGTTAGCGATACGGATCTCCGAAAGAGATAGATGTCCCGCAGCAAGAGCTGTGGATGCAACCACTTACGTTCCGATACCGTGGTGGGTGTAAAGAATACTGGTGACACCGTCGAAACGGAAACCATCGAAGTTGAACTCCTCGATGTAGAACCGCAGGTTCGACAACAGGAATCGCAAGACCTCGTGATGGCCGTAGTTGAACAGCCTCGAGTCCCACAGCTCGTGGCGGCCCTTTCCACCCTCGTGAAAGTAGAGATGGTCGCTGCCGTCAAACTCGTTCAATCCGTCCAACACGTTCTTGCAGGCGTGCGAGTGGACGATATCGAGCAGGACAGTGATGCCCATTCCGTGTGCGGTGTCGATCAGCACCTTCAGCTCCTCGGGAGTTCCATATCTGCTGGAAGCGGCGAAGAACGAAGTGACCTGGTAACCGAAAGAAGCGTAGTACGCATGCTCCTGGACGGCCATAAGCTGGATGATGTTGTATCCGAGCTTCTTGATCCTGGGCAGGATGTTCGAGGTGAACTCGTTGTATGTGCCGACCTTATACTCGGACGTGCTGATACCGATGTGGGCCTCGTAGACGCGGGCGCTCTTGGGCTTCGGGGGACGGGGGTTCTTAAAGACGTATTTCTTGGGGTTCCAGAAACGTGCGTCGTATACCGGGCTGACGGCCAAATCTTGCGTGACGTACTGGATCCAGGCGGGCAACCGGTCGATGTGTCCCATGTTGGGGGTCTCCATCGTGATCTACATCATTCGCACCGCATGTGAGCACATGTACTCTCTGAACATCGGGGGGAGGGGGAGGAGGGGAAATCCTGTGGAAGAGGACAAGCAGCTAACCTTCACTTTCGATCCATGCTCAATCGCCGTCTTTCCCTTCACTGCGGGGAGAGTGATCTCCCACACACCATAGTCGTTCTTCTTCATGGGGTGGGACGAACGGTCCCAGTTGTCTGTTTGATCGGCATGTCAGCGTCTCCCGAGTTTGAAAAGTATCCGAGAGCGGTGCCGCTTACTGAAATCTCCGAAGAAGTGGGCGGCAACCGCATTCGGCGCCCACTCCCGGTATGTAATGTCATTGTTCGGCGCAACGGTGATACCGAACTTCTCGTAACCCTGTACCGAAATCGATCAGCCAACCGTTTCCTCCCTTCCCATCCCCGAGACGAGACGGCAGAACACGAGTGAGTGATATTGTACGTACCTTGGAGAACTCAGCAAGTCCACCTTCGGTCTCACTCAGAGACTTGATCCACGACTGAGCTTTGGAATAGCGCGTGCGCAGGGCATCCTGGAACGGCTCGAGCCATGGGTCCAGTCTTATGACGCCAGTACCGTCCTTAGGGTAATCATCCTCGACGGACTCGACCTTCGGCGGTGCAGACTTGGGGGGCGCAGACTTGGTGACGGTGGTGTCCGTGGTCGTGCCGACGGTCTTGGCCTTAGCCTGAGCGAAGGCATCCTTGACGGAGGCCGTGACGCCTTTGGCCGTGGCCGCTACTCCTTTGCTCGCCATGGTGAGGATGGAGGTTGGGTGGGGGGTAGGGTTGGGGTTTGGGCGGTGGGGTCTAGGTGTGATAGCTGGAGGTCAGAGCTCCGGGGGGGAGGGGGGTAGGTGGGGGTGTTTTGGTTGGTATGAAGACGAGCAATAGTAGAAGAAGGGAACAGGAGGAGGAGGATGGCGGCGGAGGAGATGGAGTTATATAATTTTATATACGCTACGGCGGAGCTTTCTTGAACCTCTTTCTCGGCTCTAAGCTGCTGTGGGGGGGGGGGGGGATTGGGTGAGGGGCGTTATTTTTTGGTGTGGAGAAGGGAAGAGTTGGCGGTGGATGGAGATGAGGAGAAGGCGTTTTTTTCTCGGGTTTGTTTGCTGGTTGCAAGGTAATTCTGATCATTTACGTCACTGGCTAGCTTGCTGCTCGCAGCTATCGGCGGAGGGTTGGGATGGCTGAGGAGGGAGGTGGAGGGGGATGGCCATGGGCCATGAGCCATGGCGGAGACCGACACGTCCGTACTATAACCTATCAGTCTGTTTTGGCTTGCCCCGCTGCACGAAATATGGAAGAACAACGTTTAAATGCCGCGCTTATGAGGAATAACGGGCGGAGGCAGTACTCTAGATGGTGGATGGCACTGATACCGCACTGGTGCTGATATGTGAGCATCTTAGGGAGCAGCGCTCTCTATCGCACTGTATGGCTGTCCGCAATTATGTACCGCATTCCGCGCGGTGAGGTACTCTAGACACCACTCTAACACTCTAGAGTACCCACTCACTCTACCAGACAGTGGACATCGTCTACAAACCCACAGCACTCTACTGGTAGTGTGGGCTCCAATTGACAGGCGGCATTTCTCCACCTGGCTGGCCGCGATGCGGGACGAGTCGGAGTTTGAGAAGATTCGGAATGGTTCTGTGCAGAAAAGCTGCAGTTGTTTCTGCAGCATCTCATATCAAACAAGCAGTTTTCCGCAGGCTGGGAGGTTGCCCCTCTTCGACGCCAATCAGCGCGTGGATGCGGAGCCTCGTCTGCTCTATCGATAAGCAGCGGTGGGCAGGGAGGAGCTCAGGCCTTAATTGCCGGCAATAACCACAGCTGTGGGGTTGGACGACACGAGCAGGAGAATCAGATGGAAGCAAGGACCCTCCTCTTCTCCTTGGAGGAGATACCATTGATCGACACGAAGCAAGAGATGGCTGCACTCCTGCAAGGGGATTAACTGTTTTTTTCTTTCGCTTTTTTTCTTTCGTTTTGTCGGCGGGAGGTTTTTCTTTTGGATGCACCTTTATTTTGCCTTTTGTTTTTGTTTTTTCCTCTCTTTTTTCTCTTCTTTTTTGAACGGGAGGGGGATGCGGGAGGTGTTGTTTCATCCCTTCCTTCTTCTTCTCCTCGTGGGTGGATGGGCTGACAGGATAGCGATGGAAGGAGAGAAGAACGTGTGGCGATGGGCTGAGATGCTGTTGCTCCCAAACTTGTTCGATCGGTGAGAATAGCGGAGGGCGGATATAGCTCAGTTGCTGTACCTAGCCAGACGAGGAAACCAAGAAACCGCAAGAACGGGGCGAGATGCGGCGGAAGAATTTGAAGTGGCGGTGGGGTGGGTTTGGCAGTGGTGGCGGCGCGTAGACAATTCGTCTAGTTAGTGCTCACCTGGTGGCAGGAGGTGCTGCGGTGAGATATCATGATGATGGCAGTGGAGGCGGTGGAGGTGGTGGGAGTAGGTAGAGTAGTTAGTGGGTGATGATCCTTCGTGCTGCTCAGTGCTGCTTGCTGCTGGTTGACGCTCTCGAGCTCATCCTTGGTTGCCATGGCACATGCCAGTCGACTCCCCCACCCCCTTCCGCGAAGTTTTAACTTTTAAAGTTGTGTCTACTTGTGTAAAACGTTAAACGGCCGAGCACCCCTCGCTGCTGATGGTGACTGGTCCCTTGCCTTCCCGTCCCGGAGACGGCCAAACTTGAAGCAACGAAGCATCAAACCAACGAATTCGCACGCCGGAACGAGGAATGGATGCCAACATGCAGAAATCGGTGACCTAGCCATTGAAGTCCGTTACAGGCTTCACGGCAATCATTCATGAGTAGTGCACTTGAAAGACGGGGTGGTGAAGGTATTTAACTGAGTACTGCGGTGCGAGACCTCTCTCCTCTTCGCCTAAACTCAATTCTCCACCCCCACCCCACTGCCCCTGTTCGCACACGCGAACTCTCAACTCGCCGCCGCTCATCACCATCTCGACCGAACACTATCGGCCACCCTCCAAACCACCCCCATCTCTATCCACCTTATTACGAGTTCAACACGATGGCAGCCACTACTACCATCACCTCCGCTCAGGTGGAACCCATCACCTCCGAGAACATCATCCGGCTCTTTCCCGAAATCGACACCGCCCTCGCCACCACCTCGCGCGAGAGCTCTGAGCTCGATGGCTACAACGAGGAGCAGGTTCGTCTGATGGACGAGGTCTGCATCGTCCTCGACAATGACGACAAGCCTATCGGCAGTGCCTCCAAGAAGATCTGTATGGGCCCCACCAGCAAGGCAACTGCAGTCGTTCCTGCAGTCAAACTACCCACCCCCTTCCCCAATGCCACGCTGACAGCATCGGTTCCCCCCACGTCTAGGCCATCTGATGAAGAACATTGACCGTGGTCTCCTGCACCGCGCCTTCTCCGTTTTCCTGTTCGATTCCGAGAAGCGTCTCCTCCTCCAGCAGCGTGCCGATGAGAAGATCACCTTCCCTTGTATGCACTCACTTACATCCCCGAAGTTGTGGCAACGGTCCATGTGCTGACTCACATCCTCCCCTCGTGTAGCCATGTGGACCAACACCTGCTGCTCGCACCCCTTAGGAATTCCCGGAGAGACCGGTGCCGAGCTCGAGGCTGCCATCATGGGTGTCAAGCGGGCTGCCCAGCGCAAGCTCAACCAGGAGCTCGGTATTCCGACTACCCAGGTCCCTCCGGAGATCTTCCACTTCCTGACCAGGATCCACTACAAGGCACCTAGCGATGGTATGTGGGGTGAACACGAGAGTGAGTGCAAGCTTCAATCACACTTCCCGCAGACAATAGGTACTGACTTGCTTGCAGTTGACTACATCCTGTTCGCTCAGAAAAATGTTGACCTCGACATCAACCCCAACGAGGTCAAGGCGTACAAGTACGTCACGGCGGAGGAGCTCAAGGCCATGTTCAAGAATGAGGGCCTCACGTTCACGCCATGGTTCAAGCTCATCTGCGAGACCATGCTCTTCGAGTGGTGGGCCAACTTCGACAACCTCGAGGCGTACAAGAACGAGCAGGATATTCGCCGCATGTAGATATTGTCTGGTTTGTCTGTCGTGATTGTGGTCTTGGCGGGCGGGCGCGAATGATGATACCATTGGTGTTTCCGACTTTGTTTGAATTGCTTGAAAAATAAAATTTGGGTTTTCATGTTTGTTCCCCACAGTTCGTACATAACGCACCCTGTCGTTCTTCTCTTGCGCGAGAGACCCTGCGTCAGTAGCAGCCAAGCCAGTCACGAACGATGGTCTGCGAGACGGTATGCAACCCCACTACTACCGTACCCAGTAACTCTAACTCTGTATATTCGGATATTGAACGGTGAGCTGTAGAGAATCAAAACGCAACACGGAGACGCTGCAGTCTCCAGAGTCCAGCATCCACCGAATGCCCAAGCCCAGCCATAAGCGTCCACGATTATCACGGAGTAATACCTGTCTCCGTGCAGTATGTTGCGAAACCGTCCACTTTCCCAGCTTCGAGTCGAGTCAAGCACGTCCAAGTTTCGTTTCGCTGCTGCAGCCAGCCACGCTAGGAATGTTTTCCTATGCATACCATGGTGGGGCAACCTCCTCCAGCAGCCAGCACCAGTGACCTCAACCGCTGCCACAGAACAATGGCCACCGCACGCCAATTCTCCACAAACGAAGCCTGGAATGACTACTGCAACTGGCTGATCGCCAACGGCGCTTTCATCCACGAAGCGCTCGTGTTTCCACCCTACAGTAAGCAAGCAAGAGTTTTTTCTGGCGGGGCTGGCTGGCCGCTGGGGATTCCCTCTCTCCGCCACCCCTTCCCCCGCGCGGACTTCTACTAAACTGGGCTCCGCACAGATTCGGAGCCAGACTCAGGTGCACGCTGCATCACGACCTGGGCGGTCCCCGCCGGCACCCGATTCGTCTCGGTCCCGCACGCGCTGATCCTCGACGTTAGCAAAGCCTCTGCGGCGTTCCCCTCGGTCACGGTCTGCAACGACATCTCGAGTAAATCTTTCGATGGGCGCACCTCGACCCCGACCTTGACACCGCGCGCGGCGCTGTGTTTCTTCATCTGCCAGCAGAAGCTGCTGGGGGAGCGCTCGTTCTGGGCGCCGTATCTAAGAATTCTGCCGCGGGAGTTTGATACGCCGCTGTACAAGTTTGACGACGACGATATGCGGTTCCTCGACGGGTGCAATATGGACGCCAACGTCGTGGAGGGCAAGAGGGCCGCGTGGAAAGCGGAGTGGGAACAAGGTGTCGAAATTCTCACTGCCGCCGGGGAGGATGTTGAGGGGTGCTGCTGGTGAGGATATTACCTATATATCTACCACCCTTGCTCCGGCGCCGATATTGATGGGGGGCGCGGATTCTACAGGGAGCTCTTTCGCTGGGCGGCTACGCTGCTCACTTCCCGCTGCTTTCCGGAGGTCCTCATGTACGAGAATGTCGTGCAGGCTCCGCAGCTGCAGAGAAATCTGAACGAGCCGCAGTTCGAGATGGAGGGGGACCAGAATGCGCCGGACTCGGGCATGCGCGCCACGGGTGATAGGTACATGAACCCGGCCTTGGTCCCGCTCCTGGACAGCCTCAACCACCGGCCGCGAGAGCGGATAACGTGGCGCGTGGGGAAGGACGAGCTGGGCTTCGAGACGGTGGATGGGCTGCAGCTCGGCGTCGAGGTCTACAACAACTACGGCGCAAAATCGAACGAAGAGCGTAGGTCACATGAATCCGTCTGTCTGTTGTTGTCACGCATATCCCACGGGTAGGAAACTGAGGTGGAAATGTATGTAGTACTGGCGGGCTACGGATTCGCCCTCGCCGATAACCCGTCCGACAGCCTGATCCTGGCGTTTCCTCCGCGACTCTCGGGGCCGCAGATGCGCATCCGTGAGCGCCAGCCACAGCCGTCGATCAGGAATATATACCACCTGACCCTGGGCGGCGGATACCCCAGAGAGCTGACGACGCTGTTCCACATCCTGACGGCGTCGCCGAGTGACAGGCCACTGCTCGAGGCGGATCCCGCCGCGGACTCCATCTCGCTCCGCAACTCGATGGCCACAGAATTCCAGCTGTTGATGGCGCTGAAACACAAGCTGCGCAAATTCACGGTCGAGCCAGGCGAGCCGAGGAATGATAGGCAGCGCGCGGCAAATATTTATAGAGACGGGCAGATGGCGATTCTTCGGGCGGCGGTGAAGCGCTCCGAAGATGAGATCGCGAGGTTGCTGGCCAAGCATGACGGAAAGGAGATCTTCACTATCGAGACGGCGATGAGGGATGCGCTGTTTGCGGCGGCTACGGACGCCGCCTTCGAGGCGGGCACGGTCTCGGAGCTGTTCGAGTCCGAGCAGGAGGACGTTGTGCTGGCGTTCTTCCTCTGCTGGAAGTTCCTGACGGGCGACGACAAGTGGAAGCGCTGGTTCGAGTACATCGCACAGTTCCATCCGTTCCCCGAAGAGACGGGCGAGGATATACACGACCTTTTCGACAGATTGCACCCCGATGCTGCCGAGCGTGCGCCGCAGGTTTTCGGCGGTGATCGCTGGACTCCCGAGCTGCTGGGTTGGGCGTGGGAGCTGTATACGGAAGAGGGCGCCAATGTCGCCCTGTGGGATACCAACGGCCGCAGCTTATATGCCATTTCTATTGAAGTTCCCGAGTAACTTAGCGGTACATAGTAGGTACTGTAGAGCAATGAAAGCATTTGTACCGTACTCTACTGTGCAGTTGCCATCTCGGAATTCCGCTTATGAATCCCACCCCACCCCACGGTCCCCACCACTCAACGCGCCGTGCCGCCGTGCCGCACTATCCCGTTTCGTACAGTGATCGCCCCAATGCGGGGCCGGGCCGAGACCGAGACGAAACGACTCGACTCGGCGGCGTGCTATGCTACTGACATGACCAGGGATGTCCGTCATCGCATTGCATTGCGGTAAGCTTCTCCTCCGCAAGCATAGGTACCGTACAGCTCCGCGATATCGCACCTCCACCAGCACCTCCACCTCAACCAGCACCTCCACCAGCACCAGCACCTTCACCTGCACCTGCACCTGCACCTCCATCTCCACCTCCAGGACCTCCACGACCACCTCCACGACCACCTCAACCACCAGAAGCAGCAACCGACGCGCGTGCACAGACAGTACAATGTTACGCAAGCTCCCGCTACCTCAACCGAGGATACCCCATCTCGCCACCCTCCCGCGTCGCTGCCGCACCTGCCGCACCTACACCACCTACCGCAGCTCCGACTTCACCTTCGCCGATGGCGGCGGCGGGTTCACGGGTGTTATTGAGACGAAGGAGTCTATTGTCGGACCACTCGCTGGACCTCTTGTTGGCGCTGGCGGGCTGAAGATCACGCCGCGGTACGCCCCCTCCTGCTCCTCCACCTGCTCCTCCGTTCCCTTGACTGCGAGCTGATCGGCGAGGGTGGGGGGGGAAAGAATCCTCAAGCAGCACCTAGACAAGTACGTGATCTCGCAGGACCGGGCGAAGCGGGTGCTTGCGACAGCGATCTTTCAGCACTACCAGCGGGTGCAGATCGCGAGGAATCGCGAGGGAGAGCGCCAGGATAACATACTCAGGGAGACGCAGAAGTTTGCGCAGAGGGTTTTTGATGGTGAGTACCTACTCGGGGGAAGGGGAAGGGGAAAACCTGCGGGGAAAGGGGATGGGGATGGCGCTGATGGGGTGTGTGTGGACACAGAGGAACTTCAGGGTCGTCCACCGGTGCAGACAACGATTGCACCCCCACCGGCGAAACAGAGCGATGATACGGAGCTGGGCGCGGATCAGCCGCTGGTTGTCGAGAAGAGTAATGGTGGGTGCTAGTCTTGGGGGTTGGAGGGGGGGAGACAGACCGGGGGCTAATGTGTGTGTGTTCGGGGTAGTGCTGTGTCTGGGTCCTACCGGTGTGGGGAAGACGCTCATGGTTAGGACACTGGCAAAGATCCTAGATGTACCGTTTTCTATGTGAGTGTATTCTGACAGCGCGTGAGGTATTGTTGCTTATCGGGTGTCAGGTCCGACTGCACGCCGTTCACCATGGCGGGGTATGTCGGCGAGGATGTCGACCAAGCGGTGCATCGGCTGCTGGTGGCGGCGAACCACGATGTTCAGAGGGCAGAGATTGGCATAATTTGTCTCGACGAGTTCGACAAAATCGCCAAGCCCAAGAGCATGTCTGGAGGAAGTAAGGACATCTCCGGCGAGGTAGGTTGACGCCCTCCGCCGGATTAGACTTGGGTTCTAAACACATCGCAGGGGGTCCAACAAGCTCTCCTCAAGATCATTGAGGGTACGACCCTTCAGATAAACACCAAGTCTGACCGTCGTCCACCAACCGGTCTTCCCGGCAGTGGCATCCCCGGTCCCTTCAACCAGCCAACCGGCATGGGCGGCGGCGGTGGTCTCGGCGGAGCGAAGGGCGAAGTAGTCAACGTGGACACCTCCGGCATCCTCTTCATCTTCACGGGGGCCTTCATCGGCCTAGACAAAATCATCTCCGACCGCGTAGCCAAGGGCTCGATGGGCTTCAACGCGCACGTCCGGCACACCTCCCCCAACCAATCCAGCCTGCTCACTCAGACCGAGCCGGGTGACCTCATCACATTCGGCCTGATCCCAGAGATCGTTGGACGCATCCCGATCACCACCGCCGTCGAAGCGCTCAGCTCGGAGGCGCTCGTGCGGGTGCTCACAGAGCCGCGCAACGCGCTGCTGCGGCAGTACGGGGAGCTCTTCCGGCTGACCGGCATCGAGCTGCGGTTTACCTCGCCCGCCCTCCAGGAGATCGCCAAGGCCGCCCTCGCCATGGGAACGGGCGCCCGCGGCCTCCGTACGGTTGTCGAGCGACTCCTCGCGGACGCTATGTTTGAAACCCCAGGAACGAGCGTTAAGCACGTCCTTGTCAATAAGGAGGTCGCACAAAAAAAGATCCCCCCATTGTACTTTTCGAGAGGCCAGAGGCATCTGGTCGATGAGCTCGTGGCTAGCGAGGAGGAGATGTGGGTTGCTAAAGGGAATAAGAGCGTCCTGGGCGTGCTAAACGGTGATGAGACGGCCCAGCAGGAGACGGCGACTACTGCCGCGGCGGAGGCAGGTGCGTAGTTCTCAGATGGCTTTTTGTGAATGTTGTGTGTGTGTGTCTGTGTGTGTTGATTCTGGGTTTTGAGTACCTACTTACCTAGTACCAAGTACATCTTGTGGGTTGGATTGGCGTTTTGGAGTGTTTCTTCTTCTTCTTCTTTTGCGAGCAAGCGACTGCTTGTGTTTCGTTCTTTCACCATTGTGGATGTAGCTGTAAGTGTAGTCGATGGAGTACAGTACATGTGTGGATTGTGGATGTGTGGATTGTGGATGTGTGGATTGTGGATGTGTGTATTGTGGATGTGTGGATTGTGTATTGTGGATGTGTGGATTGTGGATGTGTGGATTATGGATGTGTGGAGTGTGTATTGTGGATGTGTGAAGTGTGGAGTGTGGGTATATACGTCGGAAGCGGAAGAATAGAGTATACGGTAGTTGGAGGACGCGGCTGCGAATCCAACTCAATGCTCTTCTCTTTGTTCTTTTTTTTGTTTTGTAATGGGTACAGCATATGGTATACGATCTAGGTACATACATAATTAGACCATTCAAACCATGCCTGAGTTCCGAGTCCTAGCTCACGGCCTATTCCCATGGCCTATACATCCACAGCGTCCACAGTGTGCTCAACCAGCTAAACCAGTAAGGGAGTGACGGCTTGTGATGCTTGTGAATAGTACCCAGTAGCCGCCAGAGAGCACGCGATGTCACTCGTACGCTCGAAACGCTGCCATGACGGACTGGACTGGGTGGATTGACTACGGTATAGCCAACCATGTAACCGCCATGTAACCCCCATGATCCAATACCGCATCTATAGTCGAATGCAAAGATGATAAACCACCAAAAAAAATACCTAGCATACGTCCGGTCCGGCCTGGTGTTCCAGGTACGGCTGTGGAGAGGTACTACTCGTTCCTCCCCCGCGGACACTGATACACCATACACGGCCGCAGAGCTGGAGTTGGTGGTGGTGGTAATGTCGTCTCTGGGTCGGACAGGACAGGACAGGACAGGACAGGACGGACGGTTGATTATGTTGTGTTCTGTACTGCGGTGTTTACTGGTCCTGTTGTGTTGCTAGGTATTGTGAGGTGACAGTGGGCAATAAATATCTGCTAGCCTACGAATTTTTTTTCCTGCCCCCTGCCTCCTGTTTGACGGGTGGATGGGTCTAGATATTGCAGTTGCTACCGATACGGTACAGCACCACTGCACCACAGCACTACTCAGCACGAGTAGATATCACGAATCACCACAGCGAACCACCCTGCTCAGCAACGTCCTCACACAACTCCAACTCCAATGATATTTTCCGCATCCCATCCCATCCCATCCCATCCCAAGCTAGCAAAGAAGAAGAAAAAATGAAATAACCCCAGCCCAGCCCATAAAAGTAAAAAAAACACCAATCTCACGAGTACCTATCCATATGTAATTTACACATCCAACTTCGCCACACCAGCAGCAATATCGCCAGTAACGTCCTTTGCACCCTCGTCAGCCGGGGCGTTGACAGTGATGGTCGCCAGCGCGTCGACAAAGTCCTCAATGATGTCGTCGATGTGCTCGATTCCGACCGACACACGGATCAGGTCCTTGGTGACGCCCGAGGCGAGCTGCTCCTCGTCGCTCAGCTGCTCGTGCGTGGTCGACGCGGGGTGGATGACGAGTGTCCTGTTGCGGTTGTTGTCTGTCAGTGATATGTGGGAAGGGGGAGAGGGGGGGTGAGGCTCACTTGGCGTCTCCGACGTTGGCCAGGTTGGATGCGAGCTTCAGGTTGTCGACGACGGTGACGCCGGCCTTCTCGCCGCCGCGAACACCGAACGAGAGGACACCGCCAAAGCCGCGCTTGAGGTACTTCTTCGCCATGGTGTGGGAGGGATGACTCTCGAGGCCGGGGTATGAGACCCACGCGACCTTCTCGTGCTTCTCGAGCCAGCGGGCGAGGGTGAGGCAGTTGCTGACGTGGCGCTCGACGCGGAGGGAGAGGGTTTCGAGGCCTTGGATCAGCTGGAAGGCGCCGAAAGGATTGAGGCAGGCACCGAGGTCGCGCAGGATCTCGACGCGCACCCGGATCGCGAACGTGATCGACCCGAACGTCTCGAAGAACTTGAGGCCGTGATAGCCCTCCGACGGCTCGTTGAACTGTGGGAACCGCGCGGCGTGCTTGCCCCAATCGAACTTGCCCGAGTCCACGATCACTCCGGCGATGGTGGTGCCGTGGCCACCGATCCACTTCGTGGCGGAGTTGACGACGATGTGCGCACCTGCGTGGGTTCATTAGGATTGCAGGGTGCTGGGGGAGTGGGATGGATGGGCATACCGTGCTCAATGGGCCGCACTAGGAAGCCTCCAGCACCGAAGGTGTTGTCGACAACCAGCGGCACACCCTTCTCCTCGCAGACCTTTGCGATGGCCTCGAAGTCTGGGACGTTGTACCGGGGGTTTCCGATGCTCTCGATGTAGACGGCCTTGGTCCTGTCGTCGATGGCGGCGGCGATGTCCTCGGGCTTGTCGCCGTTCACGAACTTGGTGTTGATGCCGAATCGCGGGAACATGACTTTGAACTGGTTGTAGGTTCCGCCGTAGAGGTACGAGGTCGAGACGATGTTGTCGCCGGCGTGGGCCAGGGCGGCAATGGCCATGAACTGTGCGCTCTGGCCAGACGAGCAGGCCACGGCGGCGATACCTCCCTCCAACGCGGCAATGCGCTTCTCAAAGACATCGACCGTAGGCTAGATACACGGAATTGCACCATCAGAACTTGGGCATTCTATCCATCCCATGTGCGGGGACACATACGTTCATGATACGGCTGTAGATGTTACCGAACTCCTTGAGTCCGAAGAGACGAGCGCCATGGGCCGAGTCGTCAAAGACGAACGACGTGGTGGCGTAGATGGGGACAGCTCGGGACTTGGTGTAAGGGTCCACCTCCTGGCTGTTTTAGACATTCCGTTGTTAGCCAGACTTTCCTTCATGACGACGTCCCGCCACAGTTCCGCCTCTTATGGCGGGGTGGTGGGGCAGGATGTTGCAGGGAAAATCAAACCTACCCAGCGTGCAAGCAGAGAGTCTCGAAGCGCGACATTTCGGGATATACTGGACAAGAACTGAGGGATTGAGGGATTGGATTGAGGGATTGGATTGAGGGATTGGATTGAGGGATTGAGGGATTGGGCGGAAAGGATCTTAGTTGGGGATCGTATCACAGGAAGAGAAGCGGAGGAGAGGAGGAGGTAGAAGAAGTGAAATAAAATGTCCAGGGCCCTCCCTCCCTCTCGACCATCGGAGATGCCCAACTCGTCCCACGCACGCACGCCCTTGACATAACTGAGCACGCAATTCGAAGCCAGAGATAGCACATCTTTCCCCGCAGTTTTTTTTACCGCCTTCTCGTTAGCACCTGCGTTCCGGCGCTCTCGTAATGATCTTTGTTTTGCTTTTTACATGCTAGCTGATTGTTTCGGTGATGTCTTATGTACGAGTTTTTCTTTCTCTCCCTCTCCCCGTAAACCCCCCACGGCGACGTGCAGCAGTTCCTGATACTGCCAGGAATGGGCTACTCCGCCGAGTCGATGAATATTCCAAATGGCGTTGGCTGATTGGCGAGATCGGGGAGCGGTGCGGGAACCGTAAGTTTTTCTTCTTTCTTTTCTTTGTTCTTCTTCTTCGGTGACCGGCGGGGTCGGCCGGACGCCGAGAACACCCCGCCGCGATTGAGTTGAGGACCCGGTGGAGGATCTCAAGGCATGGCATGGCAACTTGGCAAGGGTTGGTTAGCGATTCTTTATCTCTGTCGGCCTTACGTGCTGACAGCAGGTGATCCTCGGGACAACTACCCCAGCTATGTAGAGTCGGAATTCTATTCCAACGGAGGTGGGGGAGGAGTGGCGGCGGATCGCAGTATGGTGAGGCGGTGCATGTAGATGGGAATCGGCGACGACGCATGATGCGTGGCTTGCGGTCTGTGGCTTGCGGTCTGGTCTGTGGCAAGTATTCACAGCAAACACGTGGATTCGAAGAGAGAGAGCCACCAGTGACCGCACTCCATGCACTTCTCAGCTGGCTCTTCCGCAACTGCCCTTACATACGAGCTGGAAGCGGTGCAGGTGGTTGTTGTCATCTGCATCCTGTCCTGTCCCGTGCTGCGTGCGGTGTTCGCCCGACTTTTTCTTTTTGATGACTGAAGTCTTTCCAAGTATCTATGGCCATTCTCGTTCTCGGCAATCGTGTTGAATTTGCGTGGTTGCTGTTTCGTGTTGGGCGGAGTGTGTGTATGCTGTGTATGCGCAGTTTGTGTGTGCAGGGGCGCCGGCGAATGGCGATGGCACTGAGTGGATGCGTTCGCTGTCCTTGCTGGCCCAACGAGTGTCGTTCGTGGCAGTCTCTCTCTCGGCTGAGACTGAGAGACCGCAATACGTATCGTAGAGTACATATGGAGGGGAAGGTTCGTCTTGATCGGACATTGACTGACTGCAAAGTCGGCCTCTTCGATATCTATCCCGTCCCTCGTCGTCCAATATCCTCTTCCTCCTCCTCCTCCTCCTTCACCACCTCCTCCTACTTCCTCCTAGAGTAGGTGCCTCCTCCTCCTCCAAAGACATCATATCCTTCAAAGCCATTCGTCAATACCATCCGACCAGAGCCTTCCGCCCATCTATCCGCCTATCCGTCTATCCGCTTTCCCCAAACAGCTCGTGAGAAACGGAAATTGAAACACCAACATCACCACATTAAGTACCCACCCACCAAGTGCCTGGGCATTCCCCGACACAGTGCAAGGTACGCAGATAACCGCCCTCGGCCATTCCTCGTCACTGACTCCTCATGATGATCAGTTGCCAAGCCGAGTGGCCCTGCGCCCGCCGTACGTCATCACCGGTGATAGAAAAGAGCCCACAAGCTGTGCCCAGCTCCGAATTCTTGGGACGCCTTATATCAAACAAAAAGTAGCTCCTTCTTCCCCATCTTCCTCCTGCATACCATCGCTTTTTCTTCTCCCCTGCCCTCTTCTCTTGCTCTCTTGATCTTTGCGACAAAATCACCAACACCCCTCCGCAGTGAAACTCACCCTCACAATGAATTTGATCCTCCCGCTACGCATCGTCCAGACGTAGGTTCCCGTTCCGCTTCCGAGTACAAGCGTACCGGCGTCCCACATGCTAACCGCCACCTGCAGGATCCTGTCGATCATCGTCCTCGGACTCGCCGGATACTGCGTTGACGCTGTGGCCGGGAGCTATTCCGAGGCTGCGTTTCTCGTCTTTGTCGTATGGACACCCCCAAGCTCCTTCCGAGTGGCCGACGGAAGCTGACATGGGGACGGGATAGTGTATCTGGACATGGGTGGTCCTCCTCTACATGATCCTGACGCCCATGTACTTCCCGGACATGCACAACCGGTGGGTCGTGGTCGGTCTGGAGTCGGTGACGATGATCTTCTGGTTCGCGGGCTTCGTCGCGATCGCAGACAGCACGAAGGCCAGCCGCTTCATGTGCTTCGGCGACGGCTGCCGCGCCCTGCGATGCGCCAAAGCCGCCGCCGTGTTCGGCGCATTCTCATGGGTCGCCTGGGCGGCGACCATGGGCCTCATCATCGACGCGCTGATCAAGTACCGCAAGGGCGGGCACGCCAGCGATCCAGACGCAGGTAATTATTACTCCAGCGACACCTCGAAGTCGCATTCGCGATCGCGGTCGCGGTCGCACTCGCGATCGCGGGCCAGGTCCCGCTCTCGCAAGCCGCGCAAAGCTCGCCGCAAATCTTCGCGCTCCACCTCTGCTTCCCCCTCCCCCCCCTCGTCGGAAATGATGATGCCCCCGCCCCCTGCGCATACAAACCCGTTTAATGAACAGCACGTTGAAATGCCACAGACGCAGCAGCAAAAGCATAATCCGGCCGCCGCCGCCGCCGGCCCGCAACCCCCAAAGGCCGTGTATGGACATCCGCCGCCCGCTAGGAGTGGCGTTCCCACGCCCGAGCCGGGCGATTTTGGAGGCGTGGAATAGTTGTCATGGTTTACTTGTCCGTCCGTAGATAAGTCCTGCAATTTGCAACGTTCGAGCGTGATATGAGATACGAAGATATGACACTGCTTTTACTATTTACTATTTTGGCAGCTGGCAGAAGTTGGGATTGGTGGGATACGGGGGAGTATTGTTTTCGTTGGAGATGGGAACTGGTTATGGAGTTTTGCGGTTTTGCGGTTTTGCGGTTTCTGGTGGACCATAGTTATGAGGAGGGTTTTGCGGTCTGCGGTTGCGGTTTTGGCTGGTTGAATTTTGACTGATGTCTGCGAGGTTTCTTTGTGGATAGAATATCATCTTCTACTCCTACCTACTCTTTTTTATACTGCTATGATACTTAGCTGATGATGCGATGGGGGTGGGATGGGATGGGATGGGATGGGATGTGATGGGATGGGATGTGAGCTGGCTGGACTGGGCTGGACTGGACAGCTGGACTGGATGGATGGATGGATGAGGGTGGCGGCGGAGGCGGGAGTTGTATTCCATCACAAAAGCTCACGGTGATGAGGATGGGGATGGTCATGAAATACGAATGATGTTTTTGCGTTGTACTTTACTCTGCCCAGTGAGTGACACCAGCAGCACCAGCACCAGCACCAGCACCACTACATACCATTATGATACCAACTCCAGTCCGGCCGCGTATGTACGTAGTAGATTCCGAGGTGTGGCGGGGTGTGGCGGGACGGGGCAGGACGGTCCTTGAGACTGCAGGCAGGACGGACGGACTGACTGACTGACAGACATCGAATCGACAAGCCTGCTCTATATATATATGTAGACACCACTTAAATCTATGCACGGCGGGGAGCTGGTCTGACAGTCCGACATCGATATCGATGACCAATGGGGCCGGGCCGCTGGTGGTTTACTATGTATGAAGCAATACCTATCCATCGGCCAGCCAAAACATCGATTCGTATAGGTATAGCGAGTACTTTGCTTTACAGCCGGTCGCTGGAAGAAGAAGATGTAGAAGATGAAGAAGAAGTAGAACTACAACCCACTACCACTACCACTATCACCGCTCATCGTATTTGAGAAAACAAAACGCAACTAGAAACTGAAACTAAAACTGAAAATGGAAACCCATAGCAAACACCCAACCAGACGGGACAAGAAAAAGGAAAAGGAAATGAGTAGTTCTAGGTATCGATATCACTGTGGCCATTACTGCGCAACCCCGCCTCCATCGCCAGCCCCCGCAGTTCCGGGGGACATAGCAAACAGTTCCTCAGCCTGCTCCGGTGCGATGGTGGTGGTGGTGGTGGTGGTTTGGTCTCCGTGCGGACTCGTCGGCTTACTCAATGTATCATCGAGGAAGTCCGCCATGATCGTATCGTCGAGGACAGCGTCGTCGTCATCGAGGGCCGTATCATCGTCGTCGCGGGTGGCCTGGAACTCATCGAGCAATCCGCCGGCGGTATTATCCGCGCTCTCGAGGCCAGCGTCGGCAGCGGGAGAGTCGTTGGTGTGCGGCGTGGGAATGTCGAGTTTGAAGGCTGCGTCGTCGTCGTCGAGCGCGTGCACGTCGTCGTCGTCCATGACCGTGTCGTGCTGCTGCGGGTGGTGCTGCGGATGGTGCTGGTGCTGCTGGATTTCCTGCGCGACTACGCCGCCCATCTTGATGATTTCCTCGGCGGGGAGTTCGTAGCGGACCACAGGCTGCGCGGGGACAATCTTCCAGCCCGTCTTTGCCTCGACGTCGCGGATGACGTCGGGGATTGGACGGCCGGTGCCGGCGGCAACGGCGGGTGCGAGCGAGCTGGACGGGTCCTCCGAATCGCTGTCGCCGTCGGTCGCGTGCGGGACGTGCAGGCCTGGGAGGTAGTTCTCCAGGCCGAGACCGCCGCGGAGTTCAAACTCGGCGTCGCGGAAGATGGTGGCGGTCGATTTGATCTTGTTCATGCGCGCCTCGTGGGTTTCGGCCATGACGCGCATCTCCTCTTCCAGCGCCTTGATCTTGTCGACGGCGTTCGCTTTGAGGCTCGCGAGCAGCTCCTTGGGGTCTTTCGCCTCCTTGACTGGGTCGTTGCTCCGTGTCTTGGGCGTGGGGTACACCGGCGGATCCAGAAGCCCGCGGGTGACGCTCTCGAGATCGCCCACGAGCCCGAGACCGAGATCTACGGGTGTGATCCGGTTGATGGGGTACACGGATCCAATGATCTCCTCCATCCACTCGTGATGCTGCGTGTACCGCGTCTGGGCGATCTCGCGCGGCGTGAGATGGTCGAGGATATCTCCCCGCGAGGTGTCCTCCTCCTCGTCAATCGTCATGTTTGGATCGCCGCCGACAGCGTTCATGGTGATGGCCTGGGCAGCCTGGGCAGCAGCACTCCCCGGGTGCGGAGCATTCGCTGGGTTGGGCTTGTATCGTTTCGCGGAGGGCGGGGCGGCTCCTGAAGGCATCGGTGGTTGGCGCGGCGTCGGGCCGGGAGTGTAGTATCCAGGCTGGGGATGGTGCGGGTGAGGGCCGGGCACTTGGACTTGGTGATGGTGAGGCGTTTGTGGGGTCGCGCGCGCGTTCATTGGAGAGATGTGGCGCTGTGGTGTCTGCGGGTGATAGCCGGGTTGCTGCATGTGTTGCTGTGGATGCACCTGCTGTGGATGGTGCTGCTGGGGATGCTGCGGATGCTGCTGCTGTTGCTGCGGGTGTTGGCCTGGAATGGAAAGCATTGTGCTATGTTCTTATCTGCCCAAAGCTTAAAACCCCCCTGTTGTCCCTTTGCCAATCTACGACTATGGCGAATGCGTGTGAGTGTCCCTTTGCCTGGTAGGGGTTGCCGGTCGCGCGAGAAGGGTTTTGCACTTGATCCGGTCGAGTTTCGTACGGTCGGCGTTTCCGGTCGGTCTCCCAGCTAACTAGTGCGCAAGCCAACGAACAGCGGTAGTCGGGGCGACGAAGAGGGAGGGGTGGAGTGATTGGATTGAGCCTTGACTTTTGGGTCGCGAGCGTTCGAGGCGCGGAAACGGCGATCGCTAGTCTCGACGGAAAGGGTTGGGTGGGTAGATGCCGATGCGCTACAATTGGGGCTTTTCCGGGTTGTCGATCTCCGTGCGACTGCGGCGTCGGGCGATAATGATTTGTATGTACGAACTTTGACCGGTCCTGACTGTATCGGTTGCCTGTGAATTGTGCAGAGGTATCTTTCAGACGCGTTGTAGCAGGGCAGAGTAGTACGAGGTGAGCACGCGGCGGGTAGTTGAAGCGCGTGTGTGGGTGATGAGTGAGATGCAGGGTAAATCGGGGTTTACCGCATGGAGCAGCCCAACGGAGTCGGTTAGCGCTGCCGGCGGTGCTGGTGCAACGAGCCACCGACAACGTACGAGAAATCACTCGGTGGCTTTCCAATACAAGGCACAAAAACACGAAAATATAGGAGTGTCAAACAGAATAGAGTGTACGATAAAGAATGAGTGTTCGAGAAGATACTACCTATAGCGGCCGCGCAACGACCACGGGCGATGAAGATATCACATGATTTATTCTGAACTCCCCAACCAGCCAGAGGTGAGGCCGTGGTGAGGCCGTGGTGAGGCCGTGGTTCCCAGTAGGTAGCCCGACGAAAAGCCATTTGAGCAGATCGGTTACTGGGAACAATAGCACGCAGCATCGAATCTGCCAGCCTCTATCCAAGTCTCCCCGTTTCCGGATTCCAACTTCCAAGTATGCGGCGGACATATTCACAGCTCGACAACGACCCGCAACCCACCACTTATCAGTGATCGTTGCGGCTGGCTGGCTGGCTGGCTGAGGGCACTGTGGCATACCAGATCCCACGTAGAGCGCGCGGAAGAGCGTCCAAATTTTGCGGGATAAACACCACCACCACCACCACCACCACCACCACCACCAGCACCAGTACCTGCCACCGAACCAACTGCCACCGACCCAACGGCCCAGCGATCACCGCACCATCACCGCATCATCTCATCACATGCAGAGCACGTACCTCACCATGGAGTATGTACCTAGATTGCGTGGGATGACGCGGGCACATATCTTCGACGGATGGCATTTGCATTTGCATTTGCATCTGTGCACGAGCTGCTGAACTGCCGAGCTGCTGGAAGGTTGCAAGCTAGTTGATGAGCACGTCCCCATTCCAAGAGCCATCCCAAGAGCGATTCCAAGAGCAAACCTAAATCCAAGAGCACGCCCACTTCCAAGAGCAAATCTGAATCCAAGAGCAAATCCACGAGCCGTTCCAAGAGCAAATCCAAACGCCATTCCAAGAGGCAATCCGAATCCAAGTCCGCACCAAAACCCAAATCCAAATCCAAATCCACACTCTGCCTCGAGAGTGTGTAAGTAGGTTCCCATCCCCGCGAGTGAGTCGTCTACACCCGCCCACGCACGAGCACAGGCACGGGCACGACGGGTACGTATACCATTGAACCACTGAACCACTGACTGCCAGATCATCGGACCACAGACCACCAGACCACCGAACCAGACCATCACACCGCCGTCACGCTTCGAGCGGTCACCAGTCAGTCAGTCAGTCAGTCAGTCAATCGAACCTAGCGGCAACTCTCTCGCCCCGGCAACTCTCGCCCAAAAACCACTATACTATAGAGAAGGTATGTCGAGTACATACGAGACGTACACTATAGTACAGACGAGACGTACACTATAGTACATAAGAGTATGGTAGCATAGTAGCATAGGCAGTAGCATATTAGCGAGCGAGCGAGCGTCTTGAATGCCACGGCTGGTCACGGCTGGTCACGGCTGGTGACTACTTTCCTTTCCTTGCCTTTCCTTTCCTTTGCTTACTCGTTGGAAAACCCTGTAACTATGGCTGGGTCAGCGAAATAAAACAACGGTGCGAACGGGAAGTTGTAAAGTGTAAAGTGTAAAGTGTAAAGTGTAAAGCCTCGCGCGTGAGTGATTCATCGTGCTCTCCGCCAGCAGCCAGCAGCCAGGCAGATAAGTGACCGAGACTGCAACGTCATGGTAAGACGTCAGTGTTAAGCAGCTGTGTATTTCTTACCACCACGGCGACCCATCATGGATGCAGTGGAAGGGGAAGGAGATGTATTTGAAGCAAAGCGAAAGCACATGCTAGATATATGTCGGTATATCAATACCACAGCCATCACCCTTCACCAACAATTATGATCTGACAAGGTCGAATGCTATGATGATTGAACAACACAAAAACAAAACAACAGCGATCACCAACAACCAGCCCACTTATTGCAAACACTTCACCTCACATCACATCACTTGCGCACAGCATATCAAGATTGCATGAAGCTTATTTAACTATAACAAGAATTTCATCCCATCATCCACCATCGTCCGATCGTTTCCCGTCCATCCCTTATCCCAATCCAATCCCCTCCTTTTTTTCCCCTTCAACGGCCCAATCCAGTTCCATCCCCATCCCCACCCCATAGTCCTGTTCCCTAATAAGAAAGAATAATGAAGAGAGAAAGAAAAAACCAAACAAAGACCCCGAAAGAAAAACAGGAAAAGGAAAAAGAAGACAAAAAAAGGACAATATCCCAGCGGTCGTAGTCGACGGATCAGCAATGATCCAATCTTCCCAAACAACTGAAAAACATGAAAAGACCCCACATACACATCAACAAACACCTCTAGAGACATGAAAAAAGAAATATAAGAGAAAAGAAACATGAGCACCACCGAAGAAATAGTTCAAACAGACCGCTCCTATTATCAAAGGTATGTATTCTACAAAAAACACCACGTAACCCAAAACCGCTAGTGTTTTTATTAACAAAGATGATGCTTCATACAACCGAACACCAGATCCCAAAACATAAACTTCTATGTCGACTTCTCGTGCTGAGTGGACACACGCTGGAGGGAAACAACGAAGTCCTCCAGGGAGCGCTTCTTTGAGTCCTTCTTAGGGGTCTTTCCGTGCTGGGAGGGTGTTAGTGTATGTTCAAGAGATGTATAGCAAGAAGAGAGTAAGCTTACCATGAGGTTATCGAATGCGACGGAGTCCTGGAGGAGGTAGTAAACACCAGCCATGACGCAGAAGACACCGAAGGAGAAGATCCAGATACGAACGACGGCGACGATGGAAGTCTGCTCGCCACCAAGGAACCAACCGAAGAGACAGAAGAAGGTAGCGATGATGTCGACCAAGAAGATGGCACCGGACAACTGCCACGAAGGGATCGAAGACCAGAAGGGACCGTTGGCACGGGTGATGAAGATAAGCCAGTTCTCAGTGAGGGAGATCTCCAAGAACAAGACCTCGTCGCGGTTACCGAAGTTCTGGACGATACCACCGTCGGGGCCGTGGGCCAACATGGTGGTAAGGGTGATCCAGGAACCGATAGCAAGAACTATACCGAGCAGACACGACATACCCCAAAGACGGGGAAGGTTCCACTTGACGGGGGTCTTGGAGAAGGGCGCGTTATCGTAAGCAATGGCCAGGGTAGCGATATCGGCGAAGATGGCGATGAAGACGACCAAGTTCAGGTTGAGGGACTCGTTGAGGATGGCAATCCACAGACCAAGGAAGATCTCCAAGTGCAGGGACAGAGCGATACGGTAGACAACGTAGGCGTACATGCGGTGGAAAATCTGGCGGGAAGTCTTGAGGGCATCGATGATGGCAGAGAGACCGGGGGCGAGGAAGACGATATCGGCAGCGGAACGGGCAGCATCGGAAGCACCCTCGACGGCAATACCGGTATCGGCCTTCTTGAGCGAGGGAGCATCGTTGACACCGTCACCAGTCATGGCAACCAGGTAACCACGCTGCTGGAGAATCTCGACGACATTGTACTTGTGCTGGGGGAAAACCTCGGCGAAACCATCGGCAGCCTCAACGAAATCGTAGACCTCAGATCCGGGCATGTCACCACCACCGGAAAGACCGAGCTTCTCAGCGTTGTAGATGTTGGTACCGAGTCCGAGCTGGCGGGAAGTCTCACGGGCAATACCGACGGCATCACCAGTCAACATCTTGATGGAAAGACCAAGACCCTTGGCCTCGTGGACAGTGCGGGCAGTATCGTGGCGAGGGGGGTCAGAGCAAGGCATGATACCGAGGATCTCCCAGTGACCTTCACCACGCTTGCGAGCAACACCAAGGGAACGGAAACCACGGGTAGCGAACTCGGCGACCTTGTTCTTGTAGTCGTTGGCGACATCCTCGGGAATGGGGTGGTCCTCCTCGACGGTACGGAGCACGAAGAGAGGGGCACCCTTAACACAGATGATGCGCTCACCCTGAGGAGACTGGACAACGGCGGTGACCTTCTTGGAGACGGGGTCGAAGGGGAAGAACTCGAGGACCTTGTAGCGGGAGAGAACGTTCTTGGCACGGGGGTAGAAACGGAGAGACTTGAGGAAGGCCTTGTCGATGGCATCGAGACCCTTCTTCTTGCGGGAAGCGGCCAAGCAGGCAGTCAACATGAGATCATCGGCCTCGACACCCTCGACGGTGTAGGGCTCGGCCAGGGAGAGCTTGTTCTTGGTAAGGGTACCGGTCTTGTCGGAGCAGAGAATCTCAACACCAGCGAGGGACTCAATGGCGGAAAGCTTCTGGACGATAGCCTGCTTCTTGGCGAGGTATGCGGCACCGACAGCCATGGTGGTGGTGACGACAGCGGGAAGACCGACGGGGACACCGATGATGGTGATGGCCAGGGTGAACTCGAGGATATGGACAATTCCGTTGGAGCGGTAGAAGGATGCGACCCAGACGACCAAAAGGGTAAGGACGACGAGGACAAGCAAAACTGTACCGATACCGTTGAGAACCTCAGTGAAATGACCAGTTCCGGCGGAAGCCTTGTTGACGAGAGCAGCGGCGCGACCGACGAAGGTGTTGTCTCCAGTGGCAGTGACGACCATGAAGGCCTCACCACGCTTGATGGCGGAGGAAGCGTAGCACTGGTCACCCTTGTGCTTGTCGACGGCGAGCGATTCACCGGTGATGGCAGACTGGTCAACCTGGAGGAAAGCGTCTTCGGTGACGACACGGCCGTCGGCGGGAACAATGGTACCTTCCTCGATCTGGAGGATATCACCGGGAACGACCTGGGGGGCCTCGATCTCGGTAAGACGACCGTCACGGAGAACAACAGCCTTGAGGGCGAGGGTCTTCTTCAATTCGTCGACGATGGAACCGGCCTGGTATTCCTGGATGAAACCGACACAGGCGTTGAGCAAGAGAAGAGCACAGATGACACCGAAATCGACCCAATCCTGAAGACCGGCAGCGAGAATAGCGGCAGCCTAGATGAGAATTGATTAGTTACGCGTTCAATGGGAGACAATGGGGAATGGAGCAGCCAATTGGCAGCAATGGGAGCGGGAACTAACCTCCATGACGAACTGAATGGGACCGACGAAGTACATGAGGAACTTGAGAATCATGTTCTCCTTCTCCTCCTTCATCTGGTTGAGACCGTACTTTCGTCGTCTCTGCTCGACTTCGGCCGAGGTAAGACCGATGCGGGTATCCGTCTGGAGGAGGTCCTCGGGGACGGGGCGAGCGCTGGAACCAGCCACGGCCTCATCGTCCTCCGCGTACTCCTGTCCTTCCTGGGACTCGAGATCGTCGATGAGAGCATCGATGTCCTCGATGTCATCGTCGTCCTCGTCGAGAGGAGCAACGGGCTTCTCGCTGACTGCATGCTTCTCAGGATCGGAGAAGCCGCTTTGAGGGATGTTGGTGCCGAGGCGGTCGGGGGTGGTTGCCCCTGCTGGGCGAACGTCCGACATGGTGAGTTTTTTTGGGGTGTTTTTTGCGATGATATTAAGGTGTCGCGGTAAAGTCGACTATGGTGAGAGGGAGGATTGATTGATTAAGAGTCGAAGTTGAGGGGTGAGGGGGAGTTTTGTTGGCGGGAGGGGGGAGCGAATTGAGTTGTTGAGGAGGTTGCTTTGATCTTTAACGCCGGAAGCGGTCGAAATCCACCATCTAATTCCACACAAAAGCTAATTGGGCGGGATGAGGAAGGATAAACCGAGTTGTTGATCTGGCGAGGCCACCGTGGAAGCGATTCTGCCGGGAAGATGACTTGTGAGAAATCTTGGAGGGCGGTCGAAATCACGTCTGAACGGTAGGAGAAGAAGGAAAGAGGAAAACGGATGAGGGCGGGCGAGACGAGAGTTTTATATTGGAGTCGGGGCGGGCGGCTCGAAGCACGAACAGGGCGATATGGAGCGTGAGCAGCAGAGCAGAATTGGGAAGGGCAGGGCGCGCAAGGGTTCGCTGGGGGGGTGGGGAGGGGGGGGAGGGTTGTGGGAAGCGGCGGAAAAGGAATTGGTTTACTCTAGTTTTTTCTTTCTTTCTTTTCTTTTATTTTTCTTTTTTTTCTGGGGGGGGGGGCAGGAAGAGCGGCGCGGTGGAGTTTTTGCGACCATTGGGGGGAGGTGAACTCTGCTGAGCTCGCGGCGGCGCTAGCGTGAGTACATTAGTTTTTCTGGGTTGGTTCTGCTCTAGCGACACCCACACGGGTTGTCAGGGAATATCTAATGCATGCAAGTCCAGGGCAGGCAGCAGACAGGGCAGGGGCAAAGGACACTGGCGAGGGCAGGATAGCGTCACTGACAAGGGTAACGGAACAGAAGGCGGAAGGGGCAGAGGGGAGCAGGGGCAGACCAGACCTAGTGGGCCACCGGCCGGGAGCAAGATAGCGCCTGCGGGGGGGTATCGAGGAAGCAGAGTTCTGCCTGCGGGGGGGTACCGGGGACACAGAATCCTGCGTCCTCCTTCGGCTGGGGGTTATCGGGGAAGCAGATTCCTGTCTGCGGGGGGGCATCCTCCTCCTGCTGAGGGTATCGGGGAAGCAGAATCCTTCGCCCTGCTCCCCCGGGCATCAGAGTTTCCACATCACAACAACAACAACAGCAACCACAACAGGCTCCGGTAGCACGCACTCGCCCTAACAAAAAAGCAAAACTCACAAACAGAAAATCATCACCGATAGCTACTCTGCTATTACTACTCACTTGCCTACCCTGTAGAAACCTGACGGAAAGGGATCTCTTCTGTTTCGCGGACGCGGTGATGCAGTGGCCGATGGATATCAGTCGGATAGCGGCTAGCGTGAAAGGAAAGCGACAATCTCTGTCTTTTCATGCGCTTCTCCGTGTGTATGTAGCTCTCTCTCGGCCTTTGCCGCCGATGTCTCTTTCGTCGTTTTGCGAATTTCGCCATCGGCCTGGCCGTGGAAGGAAGCCCTGACCCAGTTTCTGGCTCACCTCGAAGCCAGAAGCCAGAAGCCAGAAGCCAGAAGCCAGAAGCCCTCCCCCGCTCCATGGCAGAAGCCAAGTTGGCCTGAAGACAAAAAAAAGAGACTTCATCTTGGCCTGGCCAGAACGGTAGAGAGACACGTCCAACACTCGGACGAGGCCTTCCAACCCAACTGGCCTCAACCCAGCTCAACCCATCCCAACCCAACCCAAAACCTCAAATTCAGATCCGGATCCAAATCCAAATTTCCAACCCCCGAGCGCCGGAGCAGAAACACGAACAGAAACAGAAACAGAAACTCCCCCAGATGTTGGCCCGCCTCCCGTAGTGCCCCGGAAGTGGGGTGCAGCAATCACATCGCATCCATCCATCCTTCCCTCCCTTCCCTTCCTTGCTGCCGAACAACCCGCACACACACAGGCACACACACACACACACACACACACACCTGCTCACGATTCGAGGGCGCGTATCTATGATATGTAGAGTAGCACCTAAGGGCAGCGTAGATGTGCAGAAGAAGAATCCGTACTATTCCGCATCGGCGTCGAGGCTTTCACGCTTCACGCTTCACGCTTTACAAGTCGGTGGTGGTGGTGTCGGTGGTCGGTGGTGGCGGCGGACTTGTCGACGGAGCTGCTGCTGCAGCAGCTATCTACCTGTCTATCTATCTATCGCGGTATGTATGTTTGTATGTAGCAAAGTGCCGCATCGAAAACACGCCCCATCCATCCATCCATCCATACATCCATCCATGCATGCCATGCCATGCCATGTTCGATCGCAATCCCCGGCGGCAGTAAGGTAGAGTATCTAGAGTATGTAGAGTACTATACGTGCAGGTAAACTCCAGCCAGCTGCCAGGTGCTTGTTGAGAGCCGCCTGCGAAGTGAGGGAGGGAGGGACGAACGAGGGAACGAGCGAAGGAACGGACGAACGAGCGGACGAACAGACGAGCGAAAGAAGTCGCTCACTCATCCATCAGCATCCCGCTCCGAACCCGACTCCCGAGTATGTGTGTATGTAGGACAGGGCAAAGTCCGCGATGTATCGCACTTGGAGCACTTGGAGCCTGGAGGTAACTACGATCAGGACCACACACAGTCAGCCCTCAGAGCAGGAAGTACTACATGGAGTAGAGTAGGCAAGTCCAGGTCGGTTTCGCCGAACAAGGAGTTTTGCGAGATGGATGGCCCAGCCAAGCGAAGCTCCGGATATCTCCCCACGCACAGCACTGTGGAACCCATCCTCCACCACCGTCGCCGCCACCACAAACCACCGCTCCCCCACACCGCTGAAATCCCACTTCCCTTTCCCGACCACCCACCCACACCCACACCCACACACATCCACACCCACACCCGGTACTCACATATGTAGGACGCCCAGAGCCCAGAGCCCAGAGGCCATCAGCAATTGGGCCTCGTGGTTGGTTGGAGGGCGCCGCGCCGTCCGTCTGACATCCCAATCGGCGTCATTGGATTCGAATTAGCTGTGGTTCAGTGGTGGTAGTACCGTAGTAACTATCTAGCAGTATCATAGTCGCAAAAGCCCGTCCGCCCGCCGCCGGGAAAGGCAACAAAAAAAAAGGGAAAAAGGAAAAGGAAAAGGAAAAGAAAGGAAAAGAAAATATTCTCGGTTCATCTCATCCATCTAGAGTATCAAGCGGGCCATCAATCAGAATCAGAATCAGTTGCCCGTTTACGTTCCCGCGCGACCCGGCCAACCACAACGAGCGCAGACCAGGGCAGAGATGACCTTCGACACCCGAGATATCTCCATATGCGGGCGCGGATGAACAGGGACAAGAGCGAGGAGAGCAAGAGCAAGAGCAAGAGCCAGCCGGGAAAGAAGGGAAAGAAGAAGAAAAAAATGAAGCCGGACGCAGATGAGAAATAATGAAATGATATCGATTTCCGGGAAAACGCGCATCCCCGGAAGAATCGTGATGGAGTGCGGTAGAGTAGAAGGAGGGCTTCGAACTCCGTCATCTCACCCACCACCACCACCACCACCACCACCACCATCAATACCGCCACCACCACCAGCTCGTCGTCCACTACCACCAAACCGGTACCACCACCACCCACTCCTCCTCCTCTGCCGATGATTATACGAACGTTGCGCTCGGAAGCTTCTGTGCTCTCTGCTCTCTGCTCTCCGCTTGTATGTAACTACGGGTGCTCCGCACACTCGCCACGGTATCCGCGGTGCCGCACAGTGGTATCCATTGATGGCAATGATGCCCATAGCATGGCATGGTGGAACCGGTACGATCAATCCCCAGATAAGATGGTAATCGACCGAGAAGGATTACCGCACATCGCACACACCGCACACACAACTGCTGCTGCTGCTGCTGCTGCACGTAGACGTAGTGAAGCCAGTACAGTACGTTATGTAGTGTATGTAGTGTAAATTATGTAGATAGATTGGCCAGATTTGCCATGGAAGAACTCAATCTGCGCACACACCACCACTTCCACCAGCATCACACCACCACTGCGGACAATACTCTAGATATATCCTTTTTGTTTGGCTTCCCAGTATCCAGTATCCAGAATCCAGAATCCAAACTTTCGATGCGCACGCACGCACGCACGCAGACAGGCAGGCAGGCAGACGAGGAATGGAAAGGTGGAAAGGTTACCTCTGGTCTGGTCTGGGAATTGAACTGCGTACATATGACCCGTCAATGATGCGCTTTCCCAGCCCCCCCACTTCATCCGTCAGTCCGTCTGGCCGCCCACTCTGCCCCTCCACTCCTCATGATCCTCATGATCGTAGTTTGCAGTTTGCAGTTCGCAACCAATCCGAAGGAACTGCGAACATGGTGATGTGAAGCTCGAAAGGAAGTAAGGAGGGAGGGGGAGGGGGAGGGGGAGGGGTGGTATAGGATAACGAACAGGCAGGTCGAGGTATATAGGCTCGGTAACTACGCGTGGAGGTGGGGGGAGGAGGGGGGGGGTATGAACCTACACTCTACTCTACTCCACGGCGCGCGGTACTTACAGTACTGTAACTGCTTGGCTACCAGGTAACGCTGTATGTGCAAACCAACCTGTCGTTCGCGATCGCAGGCAAATAAATTACATTATGTAGAATACTTGGTACCAAGACGTTTCGGTTTCGACTTTTGTTTCAACGCTTTGCTTCCTTCCTCGTCGTCTTGCTCTTTCCTCCGAGGAGGAGCGGGGACTCCTCGCAAGGGAGGAAGTACATGCCCAGGTGGGCGAGATTCAGGCAGGCAGGCCGACGTCGACCTTGACCTCGACCTCCTCTTCTCGTCACTTGTCCCCGAAGTGACGAAGCCTGAAGGGACGAGACGAGACGAAAACCCTGGCCCCAGTTCATAGAAATTATAGATACTCTATTCTGCTCTGGGTACTCTATCATATAATCCAGACGGCGGTTCGGTGCAACATGCCTGCCTGCCTGCCTTGCCAATCCAATCGCACCTTCCTGTCGGCGATTCCATCTCCACCTCCTCCAATTGCTCTTCGACGCCTTCGACGCAGCCGCAACCCGGACGGAACCCGAGCGGTACATACGGTACCCAGAGTTCTCAGTGGATGCTAGATGGGACGGCGGATGTAGCATAGCATTGTGGTAGTCCGAACCAAGCGGGCAAGCCCAGAACGTACTGTCCATACGGTAGGAACCAGAATTCGGCACCACCAGGCCGAGATATCCCAATACGAACGCGTTTTGTTTTTTCTTTTCTATGTACCACTCTCGAAACGGAAAGAAAAAGGAAAAGGAAAAGGAAAAGAAAAGGATACGCTCGACTCGAGAGAGAGACTCTCTCGCGAGTAGCATCTAGACTCCAGAGCCGACTCCAGCGAGGCAAAGGCAAAGGCAAATGCAAAATCGCTTCTTCGGTTCGATCGCGATCCCTGCTATTCCTTGCCTTTGCCTTTGCCTTTGCCTTTGCCTTTGCCTTTGCCTTTGCCTTTGCCTTTGCCTTTGCCTTTGCCTTTGCCTTTGCCTTTGCCTTTGCCTTTGCCTTTGCCTCTGCCTCTGCCTCTGCCTCTGCCTTTGCCTTTGCCTTTGCCGCTGTGTAGCACACTTGCATCCCACCTTCCCCGACCTCTTGCTCTTCCTCCACCGCTTGTTGCTCCTCCATCCTGAAATCCACCCTGAAATCCAGAAGCATGCATGTCCATCCAATGAAATATGATGGAATTCGCTGAAGAATTCGCGCTCACGTTCAAGTCCGCGTCTTCCCTGAGTCCTGATTGAAATCGGCCGTCTGTGCTACCGATGACGCGACTGTGTGATATGCCACTCTGCTCTACCACCCCGCGACATCGTATCCAGCCCCCCCCCCCCCCCTCCACCCCCCCTCCACCTCCACCACAATTGTTTTGCCGCCCACAGAAAGAAGAAAAGAAGCTGGGTTGGTACGATACCAGAGTTGGTAGTAGTAGAGTCTGGTAAGGTATGGTATGGTAAATAGTGGTTACCAACGCCCAGGTACTAGACCTGTAACTATCGTGGAAGCTATCGTGGAGTGGCTATCGTGGAGTATGGAGCAGTTACCAACGCCCAGGTACTAGACCTGTAACTAGAGTATCGTGGAGTTGGAGCTGTTGGAGCTGTTGGAACGGTTGGAACTTGGCGAGCTTTGGGTAGAGTACTCTGGGTTACTAGATGCTCTAGGTATTCTAGATAGAGAGAGCCCCGTGCGACGTTCTACGTAGATGTAATCAATCCACCCATTACGACCAGCCCACCACGGCCCCGCCGCGGGGAATGAGGGAGTAGTACCAAGTACTTGGCTATGTAGCAGTTACAGTCGTACACCGAGAACTAGAACTGGAGTTGTCTGTGGTTGGATGAGCCTTGAAGGACCGGCCAGACAGTCCATGCTTACCTACCGACTCCTACATGGACCATCACTCACATTCCCAAACACTCACTCAGCCACCCACTCCCGTCGACCCCCTCCCACTCCCGTCGACCCCGCGATCAAGGACGAGGACCAGACGATAATCTGCACAGGGGGGTAGTGGGGGGCAGGAAGTCCGCAGGGAGCCGGAAGCTGGAAGCTGGAAATGTGGACACGAGAGCTGGAGGCGTATGTGTGTATGTACATAATGTATGTATCCGGTAGGCAACGCAAGGGAGGGATGGATGTATCTATGGGGCTGGAGGTACGGTACTCTACCTACTGTACTCGTACTACATGTTCTCTACCCAATCACCTACGGCACTATGTAGGTAGTATGTGGACTTTGGATGCTGGGCACTGGATGCTGGAGGGAAGCCCTGCGTCTGTCGAGATTCGTCTCCGGTGGCGTAGGTATTTGGGCATGTATGATGTATCCAAGTACCGAATTCCCTCTACTGACCCCCACTGCACCGCACTCTCGAATCTCGATCCGAACATCTACGCACGGCGTGGGGTGTGGCCATGCGCAGCGTCGGCGAAGGGTGCAGTGTGCAGTGTGCATCACCGTACCCGGCGCCCGCGTACCTACGGTAGAGGGCAAAAAAGAGCTCACGCACATACATGCTCACGCACACACATACACACGACATCACGCGGCGCGGTACGGCGCGGTGCGGCGGGAGGAGGATTCGGGGACCACACAGTGCCCACAGTGGATGCACGGCTGGAGTGGAGCTGAATTCGCTCAGAGACAAGACACAAGACAAGCTTCTTCTACACACTGCAAGATGCAACTCGCAAGAGGCAAGATGCAAGACGGGATGCACTCCGTGCATATCCCATAGGCGGATGATGGACGTGGGTTGATGGGTACGTTGATGGGAACGTTGATGGTACTTGCTCACCTACTACCGTGGTTGGTACATAGCCCACCACCCACATACGAGTACGTACCGTATGCAGGCAGGCAGGCAGGCAGACAAGTCTGCGTGACGGTACGGTCCGGTTGGCTCGCGGCGACGTCGAAGCTCAAACCCCGAAGCTCGAAGCTCCAGACGGAGAGACCGCGTGGGGCCAGTCTCGGGAGTTGCACTCTACACACACACACATACGCATACACCTTAACTGACCTTACCTTACGCCTTGCTGGGATTCGCAACTCGACCGCAGCAGTGGATCATGCTTGCCGCTGCAGAAGAAGTTTCTCTGCAGCTGGCGTAGAGGGTGTCTCTCTCTGTCTCTCTCTCTCTCTCTCTATCCTGCGGCTGTTGTTGGAGGGAGGTTTTTCCGGCTGCCCCGCAGGCGAGGCGACGCGAGGGTGGTGGGGGGTGTGGATGAGACGACGGGGAAGAGGGAAGGAGGGAGGGGTGGGAGTGGAGGGGGGTGGATGGAGGGGTATGTAGAGTATCGAGGGGAGGACCGGGAGGGAAACATCAGCACCATCATCATCATCGTCATCATCGCAAGATCGGGACACCTCTTACGTCTGCCCTCGAGCATTCTCCGTTTCGCTTGGGATGCGCGATATTCTGATACCCGCGAGCCCGGCGAGGCAGCTCTCTCTCTCTCCATCTCTCTCTTCTCTTTGTCTCTCTCTCGCGTGTCTTCCCCGCGCGCACGCAAGTGGTTTCCATCTGACACAGCACACCGAAAGAGGCAGATCCTCAGGTAACCCATCTTCGGCGCCAACCCAGCCTCTCAGTTCCAGCCTCCCTCGTCGCAGCGCCCGGTGACCGAGATACGTAAACGATTACATACCACCACCGGCACCGGCCCGGCATCGCACCCCCACCGCTTGTGTTTTCCCTTCCTGGTTGGTCGGCCTCTTCATCTTCTTCTGCTTCTTCTTACCCGGTTACGAACGAAAACATGCCAAACTTACTCTGTGGTATGTCCGTACTCTACGTACTCTACATACCCACCAGCACCGAGTGAGCCTTGCGTTGGTTCCGAGCAGAGGGAAAAGTGGCGACGACGTCGGCGACATAAGCCAGCCAGCCAGGCCAGCCAGGCACGCATGCACGGTGCCGAGTTCCCACGTCGTCGCCCCCCCCTCCCCCAGCCATCTCACCCACCACCACTAATCTACTCTACCACCACCACCACCACCACCACCCACACCCAATCCGGACTCCATCCCATCCTTCCCCGCCGTCAATTCCGCGCGGGCCGGGTTGGCAGACACCCAGCAACTCCGACGTTCCGTCCACCGCCCACCACCACCCACCGCCGTCGCCGCCGCCTGCGAGCCCGATTTGGTCGAAGCTCTCTTCCCCTCTTCCCCTCTGCCCCCCAGGCCAGACAGCTGCCGGATTACCCTCGCGACAAACACTTCGATAACTCTCTCTCTCTCATTTCACTGCCGAGAGTGCCGAGCGAGGGATTTTCCCCCTCCCATCTTATTCCTTTGGGATTGGATAATTCCGCCCTATCCCACGATCGGATTTTTTCTCTTCTCTTTTCTTTCTTGCTCTCTCTTGCCCTCTCTCTCTCTTTCTCTCTCTCGCTCTCGCACAGGACTACGAAGTAAGTGGTTACTCTAGTACCGTAGAGTACCACCCCTTTTTCGGTGAAATTGCGATGATGAAATATCCTCCCGTGGACACGTGCCGTCGGATTTTTCCATCCACGGCCGAACAGACTCCAGAGTGTTTAGGGTAGGTACTTTGGTACTATTCCAGCCTCCAGGGTGCTATTCTAGGGGAACTACTCTAGAGACTTTATTGCTAGTAAAGTATTCGTTGAATCGTCGCTGGGGCTGTTGGACAGCTGGGGTTGCTAGGCTTGCACTACCAGAAGCGTTCTGTGTTTTGATATTGACATCACGATAAGCGATAGCCAGAAGAAGGCGACTACCTAGAGTGCCCTATACTCATTCGCGCCACTACTCTAGTTGGGACGGTGGAGTACGGACCAGGCGGCGCACAAACTACCATACCACTACCGTTACTACCACTACAACAACCACCGCCACCGCCGCCACTACCAACATCATCGTCAGCAAGCCTATCATGTCACACAATTGTCATTTGTCCGTCCAATGCGAAGCTTCGGCATCACAGGAGATATGTGCTCTACTCGCATACACGTCGACAGCTTAGCTTCGATTCGAGCTATCATCACGACGCTCATGTTGACGTGCAAGTGCTGAGTGCTCCTCCGCGGAACGGACTCTCCCTTCAATCCCGAAACGGCACGACTTGACAACTTGACAACGACAACGAAGCTCAGGAAAGGGGCCACTCGGCCTGCACCATACTCTACATACATGCATACCGGCGGATCGCAACCATGGTGCTTCTGCAGGATGATGCTGCTGCTGGCTGCTGGTTGACGGTAGTAAGCTACCTACCTACATACCCACTCTAATCAAGCTTCGTCGGGGCTTCTCGAAGGCTTCCTTTCAGCGCTCCCCCAGTAGCTCCGCTCGGCCCCCTCCCCACCCCCATACCTGTCAGAAATGCACCGGGCGGGATGGATATGGATCCGGAAGGAACAGACGGCGCTGGTGCTGGGGACAAACAACAGCTGGCAGTCTGGTCCGAGAAGGGCATTTGAGTTGAGTGAACAGCGCCGGCTGCGGCCGAGCTAGCCGGCCCACGCCAGCCAGCACCGACGCACCGTTAGTCGGTCGGTGGGGTGGAGTGGTATTGAAGCGTCGTCGACGAGACCAGCCTGTGTGTGTACCTACTTGTACCTACAGTAGCCGTAGTTACCGTGGAGTACGGTATTCTAGTGGTGCAGCAGCAAGCAGATAGTCAGGTACAGCCGTGTCCGTCACCCACATAGCATACACAAGTTTCCTGGGGAACCCCGACCGTACATATCTACGTGACATACATAAGTGTTGTACACACATGGCACGTAGGTAGAGCTGCTACCGCGCCGTCCGGCTCGGCATGGAACTTCCGGAGAAGTATCCGGGTGTCTGTGGTCTGTTACTAGTCCTCTACTAGTGGAATCTTTTTTTTCCCTCTTTCTCTTTTTCTTTTTTTTCTGCCTGGTCGGCAGCGACGGAACCCGCAAGCACGCAGGGCGCTTGCGTCGCTTGTCATTTCCCGTCCGTTGGCGGTATCTGCATTTTGTATGGGTGGGGGGGAGGGAGGGTGGAAGGGTGGAAATCCTTTTCGCCGCCCACCGCCGCCGCCGCACTGCGGTGCACTGCGGTGGCTGGGGATTGGGATGGGGGATGGGGGGAGCCCAGAAGCGAGGCGCGCGAGCGAGCGATGTGAGGGAATTTCGTGACCACTCTACTCTTACTCTACTCTAGATGCTCTCTAGATGCTAGAGTACGGTAGAGGGCTGGATGTGGGAAGTATGTAGAACGGTAGAGGCCAAGAGCTCGAGAGTTCGAGCGCGGGCTTTGTGGCGATTGTTCGCCTTCCGCCTCCCCCAAGACAGTGAGAAATGTAGGTAAGAAAGTGAGTGAGAGAGAAAGTAAGAGAGAGACAGAGGGTGAGAGGGAAAAAGAGAGAGGTATTTCCGAATCGGGCTCTAGCCGTCGAATCTCGAATCCTCTCAGGCTCTCACGGCTGCCTCCGTTTTTGCCGCTGCTGCGATGGATGGCTGGATGGCTGGTCGACGGCCTGTGCTACGCAGAGTGCGGTACGGTAGAGTCTACACCCAGCTGCCAGGCCCCATACAGCCTATTCTCGAGACGGGGGGGGGGGGGGGGGTAATTCTTCCATCCAATCCGTCACGCCTCACCACTCACCCACCCATCACCCATCGAACTCCCCCATCGATCGCATCGTCGCATCCACCGTCGCAACCAACCCGTCAGACGACTCGTGCATCCGTCAATCGTACATACTCTATGTAGCCAAGCCCTTACTACCATACTCTGTGTACTCTATTGAGCAATTCCATATGTCTCGAAGGAACCCCCTCATGTCTGGGCTCGTCGCACATACACAACGTACATAACCTTTCGTCCGCGCGCCTACATACGTTATGTATGTGTGTAGAGTACGAGCAACGAAATCCCTCGTTCACGATGATGATGTCCACTGGCTACTGGCTACTATTCCTATAGGGTACACAAAACACTCCCCACTTTTTAACTCTTTACACGACCCCAAACTCCCCCACTCCCTTGTATCCGCCTTGGCCTTGGCTTTGGCTGGCTGGTAGGTCCGGTATGAGGTAGAAACGTAGAAAGGTACGAATACGCACGCACGTCGCACACGTCGCGTCCATCCGTCTGTCCGTTTGCACGCATCACGCATCACGCGTCACGCTGGCGCAGTGGCGCCGCGGAGTATCCCCAACATCGAGACATCGGGATGTCGGGAAATCGGGCCCATACCGGCCGTTACATACCTCATCGTATGTATTGTTACATACGGTCCGTGAGACCGCCCGCCCGCGAGCGAGCCTGTGTGCCTGAGTGCGTGCGTGCGTGCGATCCCATGTAGCGATCACGGTCCACAAGCCATACCTCGCGAGTCACCTCGCGAGTCGCCGGAAATTATCCGGGTTATATATACTCTACATACCTACCGGTACCTATCTAGAGTAGAGTGCTCCTTGGTAAACACCGCAAATTACATCCGCTCGGTCGCTCGCCGCCGTTGGCGATATCGTGATTTTCTCCTATCTGCTAGTTTTACTCCACTGGTCTGGAGGGCGATGATGGGGAGGCTGGCTGCGCTGCGTTGGCAGCCCGTGCACTGTGAAGTCCGTCCGTTCCGCTGGTCTACACGGACCCTCTCTTCTACTGCCATCCCACTGCCCTCCAAGTGACACTCCTACATACCCCCCCCCCCCCCCCCGACCCACCACCGACCCGCCTGGCACCGACCCACCTACATACCACCGGCCGACTGCCCGAAGACCTACCTACCCAACTGACGGAAGGACGCGCCTGAGCAGAGTGAGCAGTGAGCACTGAGTGAGCAGTATGTAGAATAAGTGCCCGCCCGACGTCATGTCGGAACCCCCGGCGATCCCGGAAATTGCATCGCGAGACTGCCACGTCGCCTGCGCGGTATTCTGCGTGTGTATCTAGAGTATCTAAGGAGAAACGCCAAGTGTTTCTGTTACCTACTAGTAGTCTCCCCCGACCACCCCGACCACCCCGACTACCCCGGGCCGAGTTGGAGGATGCGGTGGTGGAGGATGCGGTGGAGAAGGAGAAGGCGGTGGATGCGGTGGATGCGGTGGATGTGGAGGTGGATGTGGATGTGGAGGCTCGGAGCTGGGGGCCGGAAACGGGTGTAGCGGGACTGGGGGACTGGGGGAGCGCTTGGTGCGTATGTTGATGTGTGTAACTATGACTTATGGATGTTTGTAGGTATTTGCTTGCCTATCAATGTGCTATGCACGGTTGGTGTGTAGGTACTTGTGCACTCGGCGTATCGCGTCGTATCGTGTTGTGTTGTGTTGTGTTGTGTTGTGTTGTATCGTACATACCCGTAGGGGACGAGCGGGCTGGCCGAGTGCTCGATTGGCTGGCTGGTCTTCTCGCCGACTGATCGGCCCACTGACTGACTGGTTGTCACGCCGCAACTCCCCCATATGTAGCCACACAGGTATGTACTTGAGTACTTGGGTACTATGCAACGGCTCCACTCTACACAACCCACAAGCCGGCGGGCATCACCGATTCTCGGTTCTCGGCGCTCACTGCTCAGCGCTCACTGCTCAGCGCTCAATACTCGGCACAAAGGCCGTAGAAAGTCTACTGACCACTGACCATGTCCATGACCACCGACCAGACCACAACCGTGACCACTAGATTACATACATACAGCAGAGCAGAGCAAAGTACGGTAGTCAATTGAAGTCTAGCCCTGCGGCCAAGACAGAAGAAGAGAAACGTAAAGGTAAAGGTAAAAGCACCGTAAAGGAGAAAAGACAACAGGGGAGGGGGGGTCATAACTAATTCATTACGAAACGCCGATGATGGAGATGATGAATATCGCCGCCCCACCACTCACACATAACGGCTAGTACCTACACAAATACATACACGTATATTTACATAACCAACCAACCAACCAACTACCTATCTGCATAATAATCTACGTACACATATCTGCATACACATATGATATGATAGATATCTGCATTCGCCGAAGAGCCCGGAGAGACATGTCAATCTCCCCCTTCTCCTAGGTAAATACACAGGTACATACGTCGGAAGCGCGCAATCGGAGGAGGATGAGGAGGATGGCACTGGAATGTACTGGACTACACTTGACTGGCCTCCTCCCGGGGTTGCCGCGGTCGTGATATTCTAGGTACATGCTTCTACCTCAGACATCTACCTCAGACATCTACGTCTCCGTGAGCGCGGGCCAAGATCTTCTGCATCGTTGTGTACGTATACATACTTCCATACTTACATACACATACGCAGGTAAGTGGGTATCATAGTACATGGAGTACGGTAGATATCGATCTCCACCACCCCCACCACCACTACTACATATCACCACCACTGCCCCTGCGTAGGTGTATGTAGGATGATCTCGCGGGAATGCCGCCGCACCTCACTGCCCTGCCCTGCGTTATACATAGTATGATATCTAGATTGGATTCGATCCCCTCTCCGTCCCTCCCTTCCCATCCCAACAAACAAACAAACACACACGTACTCGGGTGTAAGGGTAAGTGCTGCCTCACCAGTTTTTCCCCCATACAACTTGGCGTTTTTCTCCCATACAATTTAGTCACAACCACTCACTCATTTGATTGTATCTGGCTTGGTGCACTCCTATTATAGATTAGCGCTTATGATTCGTAATGGTGGTGAGGCACCACTTATTGGCAGCTCCTGGTGCATGCGCATGCACACGAGCAGAAAGAAACAGAATACCTCCGAAGCGGTGAGACATGCCAATAGATGCCATGCCATGACAGGACATGAGTGGAAGAAAAGAAACCCGTCGCCGGCGTCAAGTTTAGAGTATCATACCAACTCCATTGCTCGGACGGAAATCAAAGAAAAAGAAACGCAAAAGAAACGAAACAGAAAAAACCTCCCATCCATCCATCCACTAGCCCCTCTCTCCGACCCTAAGTTATAGATACCGCAAAAGTGAAAAGAAAAAAAAAAGGTTCACCGATATTAAAATCCCCAACCCGCGTCCCCCGAAATAGGTACATAACATACGGTGGACTCTCCGTGTCTCCATGATTGAGCTCCGTGATTGAGCTCCGTGATTGAGCTCCGTGATTGAGCTCCGAATCACGGTGGAACGAGTACCAGTATGCTACATATCACACTTCTTGGCTACCATACCATAGCATCACGTACAACACCTATGGAAATAAAAGAACAAGTAAAAAAAGCAACAAAACCGCGATACAAGTCAAGTCAAGTCAAGTAAAAAGAACGCAGAATTCAAATGTGCCCGAGAAAAATTAAAAACGGCCCCCGTTCCCGAACCGCTATGCTATGCGCACGAGATGTGTGTGAGTATGTAGTGAGTGACGTCTTGCCGCCCGCCGCCCGTTTTCTTCCGTACCACCATTCGTTCTATCCATCAGAAGGAAGGACAGCAGACTTCAACCAACACGTAACACGCACGCGCACACACACGCCCAGACACACACACACACACACACATAGACTCCCATCCAATAATGCCTCGTCCCCTCCGTCATGCACTGCTATCGAATCGGAGCTTTTCTTCGCGTTTTTTTTTTGCTTTTGCCTATCGGCTAGATGGCGGCTGCGCCCCACCCTGCTGCTGCTGGAAGCCAGGGTACGGCTGCTGCTGCTGCTGCTGCTGGAACATAGGAATGGAGAACGGGAACCCCGCACCGAATCCCGGGGTAGGAGGCGCCACACCAACGTTGTCGCGGCCGCCTGGTGCTCCCTGCGTTCCACGTTGACCGGGATCCTGGCCTCCCTTGTGGTGGTCGTCCTTCCGCTTGTTGCCTCTGTGCGTGGGACCACCACCTCCTCCGCCACTGCCACCACCACTACCCCCACCTCCACCTCCACCTCCACCCCCTCCTCCTCCGCCTGCATGGGGATCGTGGGTGGATCGGGGCCCCTTGTTTCCACCCGAGTCCGTAGGGAATCTCTTGCTAATGGCTATATGATGAAATATGGTTAGCCATGGAACGTGTATGGAATATATGGAAGGGGGTGGTGGGTTCGGTGTAAAAGCGTGGTAGCGAATCGGATTAGCACAGGGAAGGGATAACCTTGCCCACGGTGGCCTGTAGTTGTGCCGATTGTGCATATATAGAGCGGAAAGTGATTGGTGGGTTGGCAAAACGTACCTTTGGACGAGACACCTTGGCCTATTTCAATGTCCGGTTCCTCCACACACATGCCGCCCTGCAGCGGCTGGCCTCCGGTGCCGCCGTACTCGGCTGAAACCATCCATCTCTGGTCTGCTTCGGTGAGTCGTTCAATCGGGATGACGCTGACACCCGTCTGGTAGTCACTACAGTCCCTCGGTCCGAATCCAACACCCCAGCGTGTCTGGGTAGTCCACCAATCAGATCGAAACACCAACCATGAAGGACTTCGGAGCACTTACCCTAAGCGTCATATGCTCGGTCCTATAAGTTTCCATGCCGGCCTTGGCCTTCACGGCGTCCTCCCGCGTAAGCATTTTGATGAACGCGTGGCGCTTGTCTTGGTTCACTATGCACGACTGCACCAGTCCATAGTTCTCAAACAGCTGTCGGAGTTCGTCGTCGCCAATCCTGCCGCGATGGTTAGCCTTGCGAGGTCAATTGATGGGCAACTGGATGATGTATGTACTCACGTAACGCCTCCAACGAACAGGGTCCGACTCAGAACTGCATTACAAGGAAAGTCAGTGGCTGTATCGCAACAAGGGGCATTCTAGCAATTGCAGTTATTCTCACCTCTAACACAGTGCGGGGGAATGTCGTCGGCAAACTGAACATTCCTTGAGACTTTCGGAAGCTCCCTTGGCGGGGGAGACGCCTGCGATCCTCCAGCCTGCGAGCCGCCAGCTCTGCCCTGGGGACTCCTGTCCTTGCGACGAGGAGAACTGCCCTTCCTTCCACGGTTTCGTCCGCCACGGGCTCCGCGCTCGCCCATTCCACCCATGCCTCGTCCGGGGTCGATATTGTTTCCTTCATATTCACCATACACAGGGCTGCGACGGCGGAATGAGGGAGGGGACCGGGGCTCTTCGCGGCCAGGAAACCTGCCCGGAGATCTTGATCTGCTACGACCACGTCTGGCAGCTCCATATCGAGGAGGAGACCGGGGAGGAGGAGAATAACCCCGCTCTCGGCCGCGTTGCTCGTTATTATTGTTGTTGAAAGCGTCCGGCGCCCGCGGTGCTTCGGCTTGGGAGAGGGCTGGCTGCTGCTGCATACCCATGGACTGTCCCCAAAACTGCTGCTGCTGCTGTTGCTGCTGTTGCTGCATTGGGTCGCCTGCGTTCGGCATTGGGAAGCCTTGTGCACCAACCGCTCCGCCAAGGAGAGCCTGCAAAGCGGGAGCCAGTTGGGTTACATTCTGCTGTAGTCCTGGCTGTTGGAGGAGCAACTGCAAGATCGCGAGCTGCTGCTCCATGCCCATCTGGGGCTGCTGCGGCTGCTGGGGAGCATTGAAAGGATACGCGGCCTGCTGCTGCTGAGCCTGAGCCTGAGGGTATCCGGTCTGCTGGGGCTGGGTTTGCGGATATCCAGTCTGCTGCTGGGGCTGGTTCTGAGGATACGCGGCCTGCTGCTGAGGTTGATTCGGATATCCAGCCTGCTGTGGGGATTGGTTCTGGCCATACATCTGCTGATAGGCACCAGCCATCTGGTTCTGGAAAGCCGGATGGCCATTCGCGTTGGGCGACGTCGACGTGTATGGCATAGGCCCGGGGGTGGCCGAGTGAAGCGGCGGGCTCAGCATGGGGGCATGGCCATTGGTCTGAGAACTGCCCATATTGTACTGGGCTACCGGAGCCGAGGCGGGTTCTGGCGCAGCGGTAGGATTCTGGTTCTGTTTCGCCATCTGAGCGATAGCCTGCAACATCGAAGCAACATTCGTGGTCGCGCCGGCAGTTTGTGGCTGGGGACGTTCATTATACCGCGCGTCTGCCTTGAGCTGCGGACGCGGCGGCGATCCTGGTGGCGTCGACGACTGGTTGTGACTAAGAACTACGCAGAGCAAAGGAGAATCATCAATTAGTTACCGGTTCAAAACTCGTGAAGGATGCGTAACGGCCGCGGTGTGTGCGGGCACGTCGTTTACTGCCTAACAGGGATGCCAACTCGGCGTGCATAGAGGGAGATGATTGTGACTGTAGGGCTGGCTTACTCGGCTGAAACATTGGACTTGCGTTCATCTTCCGCTTGACATCTGCAAGAACCTCTGGAGGAAATGTGGAACTCCGCTCCCATATAGCATACAGCTTCTCTATTTTGTCCTAGGCACAAACGAAAATGTGTAAGTGGGTTGTCTCTACACGTGTTGATACGGTGTCCACCAAAGAAAGCAGTGGGAGGTGGGGGGAAGGGTTTCATGGGAACGGATGTGGGGTATGGGGAGGATCGACGCAACGTCTGATCGTTGTCAGGACTGCCGCCTGCTGCTGCTGTGGTTGGCATTGGCGGTGACAGCCCGACTACAGCGGTGCGAGTATCCATCCTTATGGACCTATCATCGCGGGCCGTTTTCCCGTTTCGTTCCCGTTCCGTTCCCGTCCATCATCCCGTCCCATCCCACATCCCACGATTCCATCCCATCCATCCCATCCGTTCAGCAAAAATGATAAGCGTACCTTGTTTTCTTCCGGTGGAGCGTGCTGAAGAATGTCATTCATCAATGGGGGCAGCAGGTTGGTGATTCTAAACACACCCGCCGCAAAGGTACCATCCGGCGCCGCAGAGGAGACTTCTTGATGGTTCTTCTTGGCCTGGTCTAAGTACTTGCGCGCAATAGAGTCTACAACGTAGAGAGGACCTAGTTTATGTGTTCCGGGACACTTCTTGAAATGCGTGTACAGTTTCTGGATAATGACCGACTCAGACTATACAAACGATGGCAGGTCAGCTTCTATCCGTTACTGTACGCAGTGACTCATGCGCTGGCTGAATTGGAGCGGTGCTTTGGAGTGTGTACCTGAACATTGTTGACACTCAGTTCAGTGATGAAGGTGATTTTGGTTCCAGATACTCCCGGCGGTTTGGTATTCTGCATGGCCTGCAGAGCGGCTTCTAACTCTGTCACCACTGACGACATGGTGGTGTGGGGGAGAGGGGGGGGGGTTGTGTATGTATGTGGGGTGGGAGAAAGATAGAGACTCCGCGATTGATGGCCCAAGGTAGACTACCCCCGACTCGGGAACTTTTACGGCCGGTAAGAGCGCGTTGTGTGTTCTGCCTGGGAGGATACGGTAGTCCTACGATGACCTTTGGATTGTCGGGACCGAGGTCGCTTCAGACACTTTAATTGGAGCGCTCCTTCTTCTTCTCCTTCGTCTCCTTCTTCGTCCTCCTGCTTCCTTTACGGTATACGATCCTTTGAGCGCTGGGCTGTGCCGCGGAATTCAGGCAGAGCCGGAAAGAGAGGTTGATCAAATTGGCTCTTTTCTTTTATGTACGAGTACGTGGTAGACGCGTGACAAGAGCGCCGACAACAATCTAGGGATCGAAGCAACGACCAATAGTACACGCCAGCAGTAGCGAACAACTTTAGGGTTTCTTTGCGCGTGCGGGCTGAAGAGTTGTTGGATCAAGCAGGATGCAGTACGCGAGTTGATAAAGCGGCGGGGATTGCGCGCGGAATTGGCGGTGATTATCGGAGCAGTTGAGGGTGTCGGTTGTAATTGCGGAAGAGTATGGAGAAGTAGCGGTGGTGATGGTGGTGGTGAGTGTGGTGATGGTTGTGAGGAATGTGGTGGCGGTGGTTGTGGAGGTGAAAGTGGTTGTCGCCGAGCCGTGTAGAGAGAGGATGTTGTAGGGAGTGAGGTTGAAGCGCTTCGGTTGGAGCAAGATAGAAGGGAAGGGTTGGAGAACGAAGGACGAACTTAAAGGGATCCCCAACAGCAGTCATGTTCTGTTCTGTTTCAAAAGCAAATGGTCCGCCAAGACAACGTTCCGCTTAGAACTCAACGTGTGCGAGACAAGATATGTGACTTTTAAATGTATGGAAGTAGTATTAGAGGCATCGACAGGGTCCTGATGTATCGTTTGGGGGATTTTTACTAATTTCGATACATTTGTTTATGCGGGCATGAAGGATCGAGACGGGCATGCATGCGATGGCGCTACTGCATCACTATACATCACTCGGATTGCGCCGCAGCCACACGCAAGTGTTTCCCATTCGACCCAGATCAAGATTTAGAGCCTTTGTGGAAACGCGTTATCGCTTGCCTAGGCTGAGGGCTGGAGATGCAAGGCTGCTTTACTGAGCCTGTTATCGCAGCTGCAGATAGGACCAGGAAAAGTGCGTATATTGCCATAGTCTAGATACGCTGCCTATACGCAATTGATAACAAATCGTCGGGGGGTTGGGACCCTCGTAGCCAAAGGTGATACAGCATGAAGACGCTTAGACTAGAGTTTGCCCTGAGAGAGAGCATTGTTTGTTGTCACATACGGCTGTGTTACACTACGTACAGAGAAGGGTTCACCTTGTTTATCATACTCACTCATGTGGGGCTGCTAGTAGTGACAGTAGTGACAAGTATGAGTGATCATGACTGACTCATTCGAGGTTGGAATTCTATTGTTGCCCTATCGACCCCTGGATTGACTCATGGGCCAGCGAGCGCAGCCCACCGAAATCACGAGTGAGTTATTGTGATGCGCTCACATCGGGTCGCTTCCAAGTTTCAGACACGATGTTGCGGATTCCTCCCGGGATGAGTTTGTAATCTACGTCAATAGGGTACATACCATCGTGGTACAAATCTAAAGTGTACAAATTTTGTTGTCGGCTATCGTGGGCGAGATCTTTAGTGTAAGTACCAGCCAGTGACTACGATATGGCTAGGCATCGAGGGGAAGGTTCACTCAGATGATCTGGTTCGGCCAAACAGGCTTTGAAGAGGGGAAGATGAGTTTTGCAATTCAAAAGTTTAGGTTGGCCTACTTACCTAGAGTACCGTACCGTGTATTGCTATGATGCACCCATCGTTCTTCGTGTATGTGGGTAGATGTTCAACGCGTATAGATTTTTCTTAGGGCTTATCACGACGCAGGATACAGTCTAGAGAGTACTTGCGAGAGGACACGGGTATCTCGCAGGTGAGTAAGGACTTGTCTGTTTTCCTTTGGTGTAGATATTGGTGGTTGCTGTGCTCGATCCCAAGCGTCACGACGCCACACTGTGGCGCCCGCCACCATTCCGTATTCATTCATCTTTCCCGATACCGTATCTAGCGCAGTGGAGTTACTCATGCTCTCCGTGTGCTCACTGGAGGTCATAGCTCCAGCACGCACTTGAGCTCTCCTTCTTTCGCTTGACCTCCTTCTCCTCCCTCTTTCTTCTTCTCCTTCTCTTCACACTCCCAACACCAGACATCATCACAATCACCAGCCTGTCGTGTCACCGTTGCTCATCTTGTCAGTGACTGAGTACCACCCCTCACAGCCCCCTCCCATTCTCTTACCCCCAGTCCACGAGACGAGAGCTTCGCCTGCTTTCTCTTCCCAACTCAGCTGACCGAGCCTATCCGTTTAAAAGCACCCACCCACCCCCCACCTTCTCTACCCAGTGTCATCTACATCCACCCGTCACCTCCACAGCTACAGCTCTCACCGTTACAACCCACAACCAACACCTACCTAACTAAATAACCCAACACCGCCAAAATGCGCAGGTAAATACCTCTAGATGCAGCTCCTCTCCCTTAATAGCAATCAGATAAACGAAAGACAACATGCTAATACCTCCTCAGCAAGTTTAAGGACGAACACACCTTTGAGAAGCGCAAGGCTGAGGCCGAGCGCATCCGTCAGAAATACGCGGATCGCATTCCAGTACGTTCCTCCTCCTCTCTCCTCTTCCGCCCACACGCGACAGGAACGGAAGCCATCGTCCCGCATATTCACGGAGTTCGTCGGCTAATCTCACCTTATCGCCACTCGAATAGGTTATCTGCGAGAAAGTCGAGAAGTCGGATATCGCTACCATCGACAAGAAGAAGTACCTCGTCCCCGCAGACTTGACCGTCGGCCAGTTCGTCTACGTCATCCGCAAGAGAATCAAGCTGTCCCCCGAGAAGGCGATCTTCATCTTCGTCGATGAGGTCCTACCACCTACCGCGGCTTTAATGAGCTCCATCTACGAGGAGCACAAGGACGAGGATGGGTTTCTGTACATCACGTACGTGTCTTCTCTTCCCACTACTCGGCTGGGCTCAGGATATGCTGCTGACACGAGGCGAAAACAGGTACTCTGGAGAGAACACCTTCGGCGGCGAGCCCTTGTAATCTGCTTTCTTGTCATTTCTTACTGCGTTTACGGATGTGCACATTCTAAACTGTTTGCTTCTACTGTTCGCGCGCGCCACTGTTGTCCCGTTCGTGTGTTTGTTCATTTGTTTGTTCGTTCTTGGAAGGCGTTCTTGTAGGGAGAATGGTGAGAAGAGAGACGGTGTGACGGCATACCGGACACGAACAGATAGGAGCTCCGTCTCGGGTTATCGCATTACCCTTACAGCTTTGTTCGTTGTTTATAGCAAGCTTCGAGACGCTTCTCTTTTGTTCGCTGAAATGCGTGTTTCGCGTGCCGCGGCGGAGGAGTTTGCCGGTTTACTGTTGCTGTTGCTGCTTGCTGTCTGTATGTATGTAATCTGCGCGCGAATGATGAGAATTTCGGTTCCTTTTGCCCTCGCGTGCGCGATACGTGTGAACGGTGCACGGTATGTAGGCAGAACCCGTGTTTGTCTCACGGGGATGATGGACGAGCCTTGTCCAACTGTCTGGTGACGTATCAGTCGGACGCAGCCTCATAGCCTCATACCAGCACTGACTGCACTCTATGTTTAGGGCGAACCGGTGGGTCGTCGACCGATCGGTCATATTGTAGGTATCGTACAGCCTTCCTTCCTTCCTTCCTTCCTTCCGCTCGCCCTTCTCACAACAGCACAGCACACCACAGCAGATCACATCCCGAAATAGTACCCCGCCCGCCGCCGCAGCGTCTCCAGCACTGTCCCGCCACGTCCTGCCTCGGCCTCTTCGCGGCGGATCCGGATGCTGGCGGCCGAGGCGCCGATGAATAGTGCGAACAGTGGGTCGGCGGCCCTGCGGGCTGTTAGTATGGTGCGCGGGGAGGCGGGCGGGGCGTGGGATGTGGGAGGGGCTGTGGGAGGAATGGGGGGTACCGTGAGATCAGGTACGGAGCCATGGCTGGTGGGCGTGCTGGACTGGTCGTGGTCGTGGCAGTGGGGGAGGGGTGTAGAGTGGTGGCGGTGAAGTAGTAGTTCTGTGTGTTTGGGTTTTTGGTGATGGGATCGGTAGTGGTAGTGGTGATGGTAGTGGGTGGCGGCAGTGGTGATGGTGGTGGTGATAGTAGTGGTGGTGGTAGTAGGTAGTTGAAGGTCACTTGAACTGGGGGCTACAAAGTCTCGTCTACAGTCTACTTTGTCCAGAGGCACAACTACAACTGCGCACCAAACATCATGAATTCCGCCGCGCACTTCACTACTTCTTCTTACCATGCATCCTCTCCGGCTTAACCCTGACCTTCTTCGGCGCGCCCTTACCCCTCGCCTTCGCCCTATGCACCGTCTACTATCAGCCTTATCCCATCCCCTCCCATCCCATCCCCCCAATCCCCTCCATCCACATTCACCTCCCCAGCCCAGCCTAGAATCGAGCACGTACCTCTCAACAGCGTTAACCCTGGCGTCCTCCGCATCGTCGCTGATGGCCAGGTTGGGGAACAACCGCCGCAGATCCTTCACTGTGGCCACGCGCGGCGGGTAGTAGTCCAGCAGCGCCGCGCCCTTCAGCCGCTGCCGAAGGACCTTGTTGCCTGTGCGGATGTTGGTCGGGTTGAATGTCGTGTTGAAGATCGAGGCGCTCAGCTGTGATTCCGGGGAAAGGGTGGGTTAGTAGGCGGAGGCGGCGAGGACGGGGGATGGGGAATGGGGGGAGCGCGAGGGGGGGGGGGCAAGGGGTGGAACTTTGTAGAGCGTTTGGAGGCGTGTTAACGACATGGCGGCGGCGGTGGACGTGGAGGTGGACGTGTGGTGGGCGTGTGGTGGGGGACGGCGGGCGTGGTGTCGGGGGATGGGTAAGTGAGGCTCTGCTAGTGGGTTGGTGGGCTGGATTATCTTTTTGGCGTCGCGGGATTCACAGAATCACGACGGAGCACTCGGGCTTGCACTTCCAGACGCCCGGATGAGCTCCGATCCTAGCAGCTGAGGGTAAGAGAGCTTGAAATACCTATTCACGTGCGCCCCGATGGATCATGAAACCAGATTGCACCCCGTGACAGTGGCCGTGCGCACGATACCGTCGACATCAGTGGTATGTAGACCGCGGAACATCATCATCATGGGTATGGTGAAGAGAATATGTACATCAGCCCTGTTCACCGACTGACACTGCTGAGACTCAGTAGAGGGTTGTAGTACGGACTTGGAATACCTAGGGCTAAGCCACGCAGGTTATGTAATCACTTCCGAAGTTATCTACAATGATAATATGGAAAATTGGAGTACCTGCAGTTGCCAGTGCTGAGTGCAGGCAATCCACGTTGACGTCCAGTGCAACTGCCGCCAAGATTGCAGGATCGAAATCGCAGAGGCTAGGAAAAAGGGATACTCCCATCCATCCACCACCACCGAGTTCAGCTCGGCTGTTCGGACAAATACCCGCATGGTCCGCACTACATACTCTATGTGCTCGATCACATCCACATTCCCACATGGCCATGACACGCATGTCGTCACCGAACAACGCGTGAGTGAGATTCTTCTGAGAGATTTTGTGCCTCATAATACATGTGTCCAAAGAGAAAAAAAAGAAAATTCTATCCTCGCAAACAAGAGAAAGCGCCAGCCAGCCAGCAAAAAAAAACCAGGCCGCCGGCGACTTTTATGTTCCCCTTCCCTCAAGCTACCACTTACTCCTACCCCCAAAACAAATCTTACACGCCTACAAGACTGCGCAAACACCAGACACTACTACTAACAGAGTGCCTCACAGCGGCTAATAACTCCATCCGTGGTTTCTCCGAACTTACAAAGTGGCACCGACCAACTCGGCGTACTTCTCAGTGCTGAAAGACTTGGGGCGCTCGATGGGGGCACCGAGGGCACGGTCAATGATGAGCTGAGGAAGGACACCGAGAGCACGGGAGACACCGAAGAGGACGGTGTAGTAGTTGGCCTCAGTGAGACCGTAGTACTGGAGCAGGACACCGGAGTGCTGTGGCGGATGTTAGTGGCAGTTCATAATGATTGGGAACTCGTAGAACTTACGGCGTCGACGTTGGGCCAGGGGTTCTTGGTCTTTCCGTGCTCAGTGAGGACACCAGGGGCGATCTTGTAGACCTGGCTGACAAGCTTGAAGAGGGGGTCATTGGGGAGCTTCTTGAGGGCAAACTCGCGCTGGGAAGTGTAGCGGGGGTCGGTCTTGCGGAGAACGGCGTGTCCGTATCCGGGAACGACACGTCCAGAGCGCAGGGTGGTCCAGAGGTAGTTCTTGATGTTCTCGTCGGACAAATCGTCACCGACGGACTTCTTCATCTCAGTGAGCCAGTTAAGGACTTCCTGGTTGGCCAATCCGTGGAGGGGACCGGCGAGACCGTTGAGACCGGCAGCCAGGGAGAGCATGGGGGATGAGAGAGCGGATCCGACCAAGTGGGTGGTGTGGGCCGAGACGTTACCACCCTCCTACAAGGGAATTAGCCTTCGGAACCAAAGATCGAGGATCGGGGGGGTTAGGGACATACGTGGTCAGAGTGGATGGTCAGGTACAGACGCATCAGATCAACGAAGTCCTTGTTTCCACCGAAGCCGAGCTGGTTGGCCAAGTTGAAACCGTAGTCCTTGTCGGCCTGAATGGGGGCGACCTTTCCATCTTTGTAGATGTTACGGTAGATCTTGGAAGCAATGGTAGGAAGCTTCGCAATGAGGTCCATGGAGTCCTCGAAGGTGTAGCTCCAGTACTCCTTTTTGTTGATACCCTTCGCGTACGCCTTGGCGAACTGGGACTCGTGCTCGAGAGCGGTGACGGCGATCGAGAACTGGGCCATGGGGTGGAGGGTGTTGGGGCAACGGTCAATGAGCTCCTCAACGAACTTGGGGACCTCGGCACGGGCAGCCCACTCGGCGGAGAGAGCGCGGACCTGCTCCTCAGTGGGGACCTCTCCGGTCAAAAGAAGCCAGAAAAGACCCTCGGGAAGAGGCTCCTCTCCTCCAGGAGCCCTGGGCAAAAGGGCCTGGCATTCAGGAATCTAGAAAACACTGCGTTTAGTCCTCGTCGCCAGTACCAATGGGAGGTGCAATTTGTGCTTACGGTCTTGCCTCTGAAGCGAATACCCTCCTCGGAGTCGAGGACGGAACCCTCCCATACGAGGGACTTGACACCACGAGCACCTCCGTAGACCTGGTCAAGAGTGACCTCTCCGATGACCTTGGAACCGTGCTCCCTGAGATAGCAAACATCCACATGTCAGAACTGCCGAACCCCGTGAGAGAGCATTGGGATTGAATCGTATCGACTTACTTGCGGAGCTTCTTGACCTTCTCGATCTCCTCGGGAATCTTCGCAGCAAAGGTCTCCTTGAGGGTCTGTGGTCACCGATGTGGCTACGTCAGAATACTGTTGCGGTCGGACCACTAGGGCATGGATTGAGTGATCGCTGACCTTAGGCTTAACCGCCGAGTAATAACGGTAACCGGCTCTCTTCACAGCGAAGGAAGAGGAGGAGGTGATGCTCGACCTGAAGGCGGTCGAGGCAATGGTGGAGACTCTGAAAGCGGAGGACATCTTCAATTGATTGTTGATGGGAGGGTGTGGAGGGGAGGAGTGGAGGAGGAGGAGGATGGAGATGGAGAGGAGGAGGAGGAAGAAGGGTGTTGGAGGAGGAAGGCCTTTGAAAAAAAAGAGGAATGGCGGCGAGATCCCGAGTCCGGGAAACAGGGTAAAAAAAGTTGTTGGGCAGGGGTGCTTATGCTCTTTGGACGGACGGAATAGAACGGGGTGTGTGGGGGGAGAGGACGCAAGGTGTACTGATGCTCTACTTACTCTATGGTTACTACGTTAACAGTTAGTACCTGAGTACTGACGACTTCCCAACCGCGACTGCTTGTCTTCACACCCCCAAGCAGCTACCTGGCTGCATCTACTAACTGACCTCTACCGCGGCCGTAGCTGCTGGCCTCTCCGGATGCCCGGCGATACTCGAACTTCTCCGTTTACCCCTCCGCAAGCCCCTCCATCAAACCGAGGACCCGCTGGCAGCTAAAATAGAGCTTTAACTCCAAGCCTTGAACAACCGAAAACATGACCTTTGCCGGTCGATGAAGAAGAAGAGAAGAAGAAGAGCCTCCGGGCGCCTGCAATCCTCCAGACCAATCCGGGTCCGATCCACTCCACCGTATTTGTTGGCCCGGCTACGATTGGCTCCACGGCAATTCAGCAGTTCAGCAATTCTCAGCCGCTCGGACTTGACCCTCTTCGCTCAAGAGATCCCAACGGATGCTGGCAAGCCCGTCCAGCGCACATTAGCGTGACCGGATTATCGTTGTTGCAGCGTAATCTTTTTACTGGGGCCGGTCTTTAGGTTCGCGAGACGCAATACAACTGTTCCTCGACATCGTCATCGTCATCCCTACGGACATTGAACGCGGTACTGACGCCACCTAGATTTGCCATTTCTACTACGCGAGCGCGACCAGACGAGACGAGACGAAACAACCGAGTTCGCCGAAAGCACGTCTTCAGAGCCACCTACAGACCTTTCTATTGGAGTAGCCACCGGCTGGAGACAAGATCGCGCGCTGCTCGCCATGTACCATGTGGTTGGGCATGTCAAGGTTGCGTCATCGACAGACGGATCATCTCGATGTATCCAGTCTCAGTCGGATACTTTGTTGATCCTCGTCGTCCTCGGGTCGCTTATCATCTCGGAGACGCATCCACCTGTAGTTTTGGATCACAGAGTGTTCTTCCTCATGTCCCGAGTCGCCGAGTTGGTATATGATTGGGGACTTGGAGCCACCGGAAATCTATTCCCCAACCGTGTGATACCATATGTATAGGTATTGTACATAGCCCCCCTCCCTCGCTACATAGCATCGCATCCATCCACCCTCCACCAGCTCCCATCGGAATGTACGACCCGTATCTGTGCTCCGGTACCTAACTCTGTGCATATATACGCAGCTCTTCAGTGAGTCCTATAATTTCATTCTCGGCAAAAAAAACACCACGGGGACAAATAGTAGGCGGACACAATTTGAATGTGATTTCGGTTCGTAAACGTCCAGCACTCACAAGGAGCAGCGTTCAGGATACTTCAAACTCACAAACAGGCCTCGTGGCTACAGGCTGAATGACTTGTGGTGACCGCAACCTCTACTCCGTGGAAAACCCTTGGTAGGGAGGGAGAGAGGGTGGGTGGATTCGCGCTGGTTGTGGGAGAGAGCTGGAGCTGGAGCTGGAGCTGGAGCTGGAGCTGGGGGGATCGCGGTTTTGTAGTATGTACGCGGAAGGCAGGGTAAGCGCGGTATAAGTACTCTATATCGGCCCTCACTCGGGGCTGGAGATCCCGGATTCCGCGATCAATGGTGAACCAGCTGCCGTTTACGGGTTTGTTTGGTAGTGGTGGGATGTTGTCTTCGCTCGCTCATTATCCGGTAACTAGGCTCGTGATATCACTCGACTTTGACAGGCGGACGAAGTTCGAGCCAGACGATCACAGCCGAATGGCTTAAGTATAGCGATAGATGTCGGAGACGAAGCCTACCAGTACCGGTGTCCCTTCGCTCGCTCATGATCCGGTAGGCTCGTGATATCACTCGACCTTGACAGGCTGACGAAGTTCGAACCAGACGATCGCAGAGCCGAATGGCTCAAGTACAGTGATAGATGCCGGAGACGAAGCCTACCGTTGCCAGTGTCCCTGGCGCACCTCAAACGGCAGATGGACGGAAGCCCACTAGTGAACCATTTCCCGGATCAAAAACCGGAGGTATGATACATATGACACCGGATTCATACCCGCCAAAGCGCCGAAACGCATTGTGACCCGGTACTACTAGTAGCAGCTAAAGACCGGCCACGCCATGGCGGTCACTCGTCTGAAGTAGATAAAGAAGCGAGAGGACGATCAGTGCTGGTGGTGCCGCCGGTGCAAGCAAACAGCACTTATTCAAACAATGCTCGCTGGTCTCTATGGGCGAGAGTGGAAAAGGAGACGAAGCACGGAAAGCGCTGGTGAGCATGGCCAATCTATTCGTATGCATAAATGAAGGATGCGGCAAGGCTGTTCTGGAGGTCCTCCACGACGGACGTGGGCAGGAAAGTCCCCGGGACGACGTGACTGATGGGGAGAGCGAGGCATCGGGGGTGAAGCAGGAGTGTCCAGCGGGACACTGTGTGTGTCTGTGGATGTGCTGGTAGAAGGGCGGGCAAGAATGGAGTTCAAATGTGAGTTGGCCATAGGTAAGTACACCTGCATACATATGGCCAGGGACTTATATCTACCCTCAACTGTGTGATGACGATATGGATATAGATATTGTATACATCCTCCTCCCTCACCAGCCAGCATCCCATCCTCCTATGTACACACCTCCAACCCTCGATCAGAATGTACGACCCGTATCTGTGCTTCGGCACGATCTCTGTGCAACGCAGCTCTTCATGAGTCCCATAATTTCTCTTTCACAAACACCACCACAACACAACACAGCACAGCCCATACACCCCAACACAGCACAGCAACCAGCAATCTGCCACAGCTAGGCCCTCGTACGACCCGTCACAAGCACTGTCCGCGAGCTCCCATGGAAACCCACATATGTATTGTACGAGTACATACACGCACAAGCCCCTCCAGGAACCCGCGTGTACGATACAACACATGTTGCGCGATGCATTCCTGGGAGCGCGCGGGCAGCTGGTCGCATGTTGGTCGTACGAGGCGCGGTGGCTAAAGGCTGGAGGCTGAATGGGGCTGTACCGTATTGGCGGTGCTGGGCTGGTGGTGCTGCTGGTGGTGGGACCGGCCCCTCGCCTCCGTGAAAATCCCGCGAGGGGGGAGGGGGGGCGGTGGGGTTTGCGATGATTACTGGGAGGAAGGGAGCTGGAGCTGGGGGGACGCGGTTTTGTAGGTGTTGCTGGGAAGGCAGGGTAAGTGAAGTGCAGTAGCTACAAGTGCATAGGTCGGGTGTCACTCGGGCTTGGGATCTGGACGCAACGATTGAGGGCTTTCGCCGTGTGGGACCCTCTAGAGCTCGCATTATCACTCGATCTACTGAGCTTACTGAGCTTCCTGAGCTTCCTGACGTCTCTCCTCCCAGAGACATCCATCCGGGCAATCGCGATCGTCAATGTACTCCACATACACAGGTGAGTTGCACGATCATCAAAAAACCAACAAAACCCCCCATCTAACCCCCATCTAACCCGCATCTAACCCCCCCAGGCTCCAGGAGAATGTGCGACCCGTATCTGTGCTCCGGCACTAACTCCGTGCATATATACGCAGCTCTTCATGGATCCCTTCATGTATTTCATATATATATCTCTGCGCAAACAACCCCCTCTCCCCCTCCCCCACCCCCACCCAACCGCGCAACACACCCCACCCCACCCCAACACAGCAAAACACAGCAAAACAACCAGCAATCTACCACTTCACCCATACGACCAAGTTATAGTAACCACCCATCCGCTCCCAGGAACCGCGTATGATGTATTGCACACCCACACCCATCGGCTATAAGTGTGCAGCTGCGTAGATTTGTTCCTGGAAGCGCGCGGGCAGTGGGTTTGGATGTCGTCGTACAAGGCGGGTGGTTAAAGGCTGGTTGGCTGGGCTGGGCTGGGCTGGATGGGCTGGGCTGACGGGGCTGGGATAGTGGTGGGATGGTGGGGACTGAAAGACCGCCCTCATCTCCGTGGAGGTCCCGTGAGGGGGGAGGGAGGGCGGTGGGTTTGCGTTGGTTATGTACTGGGAGGAAGGGAGCTGCGGGGGACGCGGTTTTGTAGGTGTTTGGGGCTGGGAAGGCAGGGTAGGTTGAGTGTAGAACAAGAGCTGAGGTGGGGCGTCACTCGGGGCTGGGGATCTGGACGCAAGGATTGATGGTGAATTTACTCATTCAGGAGGATAAGGCTGGTCATGGAATGTTTGCTTCGCTCGTGCAAAGGGCATTTATGCTCGCTTCATCACTCGACTTACTTCGGTTCCTAACATATCTCCTCTTGGGGACATCCATCCAGGCAATCGCCATTGTCTCTGCACATAGGTACAGGGCGAGATCAATAAAACAACAAACAGAACCCCCCATTCATCCAGACCAGGTAGTTGTCCACTGCCAATTCCTGAAGCATCAGGCTCAAGGTAGCCAAAAAAACCCATCAAATTTCAATGAAATACCTACCAGTAATTTCAACAGCTACCGTACAGCTACCGTACTATTCCCCAGGTCGTTCGGAGCAACATGTTCCATCACTTCCGTAGGTAGCCAAATAAGAACATAAACATTTCCAATCCAATCCAATCCAATCCCCCGTCTAAAGTGACAAAGGAAAAAGTCAAGTCAAGTGAATACATGCAAACAAGCAAGCAAGCAAGCACCTTCGCTCCGAAGAAAGAAAGAAACCCTAGAATGCGCGCAAAACAAGAAGAAAACAACGAAATCCAGCGTATACCTACTCTGTCATCGACAAGTGTAGTACACCAGCTTAGTTATCCGCCAAAAGCAGCCTGCGCCTCCCGGCAATGCGTTCCCTCGGCCCCCTCACTGACCACACACACCGCACAGGCATCTACAACGTTGGTGAGGCACCCCTCGGTCGCACCGATGATAGCCCAGCCGATGCACCCAGCTATGAGGCCGACAAGGTATCCGTACAGGCTGCCGCCATTGACGTGTCTTGCCGCGGCGATCCACGCGCCGATGCCGAGACAGATGGCGGTGACGGAGCGGGCCGCGGTGAGCAGCATCTTGCTGAAGCGGTAGGCAACGCGCGGGTGACGCTGCGGGCCGTAGCCGGCTGTGTCCATGAACTTCAGGTTCGAGGTGGCTTTGGAGGCGGCGAGGATTGGCAGCGAGTGGATCGCGCCGTAGGTGAGGGTCAGCGGGTCGATTATGGCGGCGATGGGCGAGGGGACGAAGGTGTAGCAGCACATGTGGATGATACGGGCAAGGTAGCGGGGGGCTACGAAGAGTGGGAGGCGGACCATCAGGGCGAGGAGGGAGCTTAGGCAGATACTGCCGAAGAGGGTGGAGGTGCTGTGCTGGAAGGCGGCGCCCATGATGGCGCGGGAGGAGGGTTTCGGGATGGCGTGCCGGTGGAAGTACCATTGGGAAACTGTAGCTGCAGACGTCGCCCTGGAATGATGTTAGTCGATAGTCAAGCTTGACATGGTGACATTACATACCTGTGTACACCAGAAGCGACACCCAGTGTCCAGAGATACATCATGATGTAGTAGATGCCCAGGAAAATCGTCCTGGTTCTCAGCTTCCAGATAACTCCGTCCCGGACTAAGGAGTTTCCAGTCAAAAAGACTCTTGTGAACATTCCCACCCAGATCCACGAAAATACGCATGTTCCCACCAGCGCCCCAAAGCTCAACAATACCAGTGCCGGGTTGCCTTGGATGATCCGGCATGCCAGCTGGATGATGTCAACCGCCCGTGTCATGGCGAATCTATTCCTCCACGCCGAATACGCCCAGGTCCCAGACATTATCGCCGGAATTATGCTCCCCCACCGCATGACCGTGCCTTGTCCGCCATAGCTCTTTTCGGGCACCTTAAACGACATAACGAATGGATATATACTGAAGACGACCAGCACCACCGGCACAGATACCATGACAAAGTATATCAGCGGTCGCGCGCACGACTTGAGCAGAAACATCCACCCCACCGCGACGGCAATCGCGACAAAAGTATCGATGGCGAGGAGGTGCAATGACCCATGGAGCGTGTTGTAAATGGTGTCCTTTGGATTATTGCTCTCCTCCGTGTGGAGCCAAACTACGAAAGACGTCGTGAACATGCCCGCCATCAGAAATATATATAGGCTACCCCATAATTTATCATGTGCTGGAGGCTCCAACGACGGATGGTACACCTGTTGTGGTATCTGTCCCGATTTAGCCCGTCTGCCAACCCACCGTTCAATCGGAAAAAGCGCCATACCGTGCTCTGTTGTGGCTTGGGCCGCTCAGACTGCCGCGGCATGAACGGTGTCTGATCTCCGATCTCCTCGTCGTGTTGCATGGGCGGTACAAACGCAAGCGACGCGGAGGGTGAACTATCTCTCCGAGGTCGCTGGAACTGTTGGAATGGCGGCGGAGATTCATCGCGGAGCATGTCGACAGCAATATCACTTGGCGGGCCCTGTTCCCATCATCAGCGATGCCCCTCCCCCCTCATACTCGCAAGCGCATGACATCGTGGGAGAGCCCACCTGGTCGAAGTCCTCCATCAGGGACTGATCATTCGGATCGTCCAACCGCACGTCCACCATCTTCCCTTTCGAACTCGCGGCACCCGTTTCCGTCTCGTGGCTGCGCGCCGGCCCAGATAGCGAACCCTTGGCCGTTCCTGACCGATTTGCTCTCCACGAGCTCCTGATATTACCGAAGCGCCCTCTTCCTCTGCTCTGCCGTAGCTCCTGAGTGCTATCTTCCTCTTCCGTATATCCGCCATCATCATCTTCGTCCTCATCCTCTCCGCCTGTAGCGTCGGAAGGAGCATAGGCGCCGAAGTGTCGTCTGCTGCGCTCGAGGGCGAAAAGATCCAGGCGGTCCTGCTCGTGCTCGTGGTCCTCGGGAAGAAATTCGGCAACGGAGTGGAACAGCGGTGCCGATGCCTGAGTGTGGTTTCGGCCTTCTCGTATCGCACTCATACGTGTCTGCGACTGTTGTAGGAATTTCGATGCATCTGTGCGTCACGTCGGCGGCTCTGTCAGTACCAAGCTATGCTAGCTAACCGCGATCGGGGCATAGATAGCAATTTAAACTCACATTCCGAGAACATGGCGGCGACGGCGGGAGGGGGGAGGCGAGCGCCAGAAACCGTGAGGCGCGGGAGACGGATAGGCTAGTGTGGATGAACGATCGATATAGCTGTAGCCAGTCTTTGTTCAGATAGAAAGGTGGGTGGATTGGGGTGGATGAGGTGGTGGAGGTGGTGGAGTGGGAGGTGGAGTGTGAAGGTGGAGGTGGAGGTGGAGGCGGTCGTTGTCGTCGTTGTTATCGTTGCCGCATCAATAAAAAAACTCTCGGCAGCAGCGGTTGGCTACAGCTCCGAGCTTTGTATGCACGGTGAGCGATCGAGTGAGTTGGATATGAGTGTGAGCGTGTGAGCGTGAATGTGTGTGAGAACAGTCGATAAGTTATCGGGGATGAATGAGTGACTGCGTAGCTCTGTCTCTTCTGCGCGGAGAGATGAATGGCGGGTGCACGGGCCTATTCGGTTTTTTCGTTGCTGCCTTGGTCCGGTGAAGATTGTAGAAGTGCTTGAGTCAGACAGCAACTTTCAATATTCTGCTGATGATGCTAACGCGGGTGAAGCTGTAGACGAAGATGATACCGCGACGAGGGAGAGCAGGAGAGGGGTGACAGCTTTGGGAGAGGCAGTGCGGAGCTTCAAAGAAGGCACGAGCATGGCTAGAGTTCCCGGTGACATTTGCCTATGACAGAAACAACCGCTACGATGCACCAGGTACACAACGGAGATGGAGATGGCGATGCATCAAGTTCTTCACAGCTTCTCCGAGCTTTACTGCTTTCCCTCAAGCTCGTCGAGCTCCTCTTCCCCCGCATCTTCTTCGTCTTTGCCGTCTTCTCGTTGGCCATATCGTCATGTCACTAGAGGAACAATGCCCCGCCAGTCTGAAGCTAGGTACTCTGCTTCCCACCGTAGTCCTCGAGCTAATGGCATCTCCATGTCCTCAACTCCACATGGCAGGTATCTAGACCCGCTCGTGACCAGAATGAGTGTCCCACTTGCCCAAACGCTCAGCCATCTTACCCAACCCAGCCAAAACTGCTATTCCCGCGGCCGGCATTTGCGTCACCGGTTCTCTTCCTCCTCCTCCTCTTCCTCCTCCGCTTTTCCTTCTTCTCACCTCGCCTCACGTCTCCGCACCCGCAAATTCGCCGCCGCAAACAGGCATCAGAAACAAGCATCCCAGTTCCAGCAAATGCCATCGACTCTGTGCTGTCCTCGCATCGTTGTGGATAGATAGAAACCGAGGGCTCTACTTTCTACAGGTAGAGATAAATCCCTGACTCAGAAATTCAACGTCGCACAGCACCGATCAACGGACAGCGAACGGACGGACGCGTGAAGAGACACAACCAACATCGAACACTTCACCTTCTTTGTTTCCAAGTCAACTCCCAACCCAACTACTCCACTATCAGCGCCGCGCCCCCTCCACCAGCAAACGCCGAACGTAGCTGAGCGCTCCACTACATCAGCGACCGAGTTCCCCCACGCCCCCGACTCGAATAGACTCGAACAGTCCCCTCTACAACCACCGCCACCGCCACTACTACAACCACCACCACCACTACTACACACCACCGTCACCACCAACCCCCGACCACCTTGTCGTCCTATTGTTTCGGCGCCTCTACGCAAAACCAGCTTCACTCTCTAACCAGCCCATAAATCCCCTCGCGATGCCTCAGCCATGGGACTACATAGCGGTGCGCCACCACCCCCTACTTCCCCCCCCCTCCCCGCACCGAGCGCGCACTACTAACAGCCACCAGAAAGTCGTCAACATCGGCGACAGCGGGTGCGGCAAATCGAGTCTCACGATCCGCCTATGCGAGGGGCGCTTCAACCCACAGCACGACGTAACGATCGGCGTCGAGTTCGGCAGCCGGATAATCCCCGTATCGGCCGAAAAAAAGATCAAGCTGCAAGTATGGGACACGGCGGGGCAGGAGAGCTTCCGTGCCATCACAAAGTCGTACTTCCGCGGGGCGACGGGCGCGCTGCTCGTCTATGACATCACGAGGCGCGAGACGTTCGAACACGTCCAGGAGTGGCTCGATGAGCTCCGCGCCGCCGCGGACCAGAATATATCCATCATCCTCGTCGGGAATAAGTGCGACCTGGCAGAGGCGGATCCGGGCAAGAGGAAGGTTACCGTGGAGGAGGCCAGGGAGTGGGCGGAGGCTCATGGGCTCAAGGCGGCGGTCGAGACGAGTGCGAAGACCGGCGAGAGTGTCGAGGAGGCGTTCGTGGACTGTGCTAAGGAGATCTATAAGAACATCGTGGGTGGCGTCTATGATCTCAACGATAAGAGCCATGGGATCAAGGCGAACACGGCGAAGACCAGCATTGGGATCGACGACCAGGCGAAGCCGCCGAAGGGTGGGTGCTGCTGAGCAGGCCAACTGACAGACAGACGGCAAGACTTATGAACCGAACCGACGGACAATTTTATGGGTGTTTTTCTTTTTCTTTCTTTCTTTCTTTCTTTCTTTCTTTCTTTCTTTTCCTTCACCCCGCCCCCCAATCTCCTTGTTGGTAACGGTAACGGTGCGGAAGAGAGAGTATGCTATTCTCAGTTCTGTTTCGCTAGAGATTGCTGGCTGCATCACATCCACAGGCGTTTTTACTCTATTCTGGTTTGACGGGCGACGGTTTGACGGGGGTGGAGGGTGGAGGGAGGGGGGAGGGGGGAGGGCAACACGATAACGCGGTTGGGTTGGAATCTTTATCTTCTCTATTCTTTATCTTTCCTTATGCGGGGGTGTAGGTGTACATTATGATTACGAATTTGAGGGAGAGGATCTTTTTGTTCCTGATGAGTGAGAGGAGAGCGCTGGAAGTTGCATGTGAAAGCCGATGCCGATGTCGATGCGGCAGCTGATAAGGACCTGCGGTCCGCGAAATCTCGTGATCGCTGAATAGACCGGTTGACGCATCACGTTACATGCATACATGGGCCGGCCATTTGGAGATCACGGTTGAACAGTGGAAGCTGCCAGCCTAGCAGCACTACTGGTAATATTTGCTAGCATCCCGATCTCGGTTTCTTGCTTCCAAGGACTGTGACTTCTAAGGACTGTAACATCACCGATCACTCGTCACCCGAGTGACACCATATGCACACATGGGATCCCATTCCAAGCAGGACTGTGGGTAGGGAACTTGGAAGGACGAAGATGTACGCTGTCCTACTGACTTGGTCTTGGATAGGCTGAAGATTAGTACGAACAAACAAAAAAACAATCCGCCGTTCCAAGCCTTCCAAGCAGACCTTCCAAGCAAGACCTTCCAAGTAAAACCAACAGACAATATGAGCAACAACTCGGGAGTCGGCTTGTGGACTCAGAGTCCCCATTGACGGGAGCTGGCTGCTGAATAGGTATGTCCAGGAATGTCGAGGCCTTTAGAGCCCTGATCGCTATGAGGTGGCGATGGCCCCCCGGGCATAAACTGAGAACGGAGTCACGGAGGGCACGGAGGACACCAGTGCCCCCGTTCCAAGCAAAACTTCCAAGCAAAACCGTCAGAAACTCGGCACATAGGCTCAAAGCCCCCATTGAAAGGATGTAAATAGGCATGTCGAGGCCTATGGAGACCTGACCGTCCCGGTGACGGCGCCCAGAGCATAAAACGACGACGGAGGGCACCAGTGCTCTTCTCCACTCTACTGCCAGCCGTGGACAGTGGACACGATGCTTCGCCTTACCAGCGACTACATACGCAAAGTCACACAGCAGACCTCGACTCCTCGAGCGCCATCCAGCCAGTTTCCCGGACGATTGCGGGGTAGGTAGCCCACCGATCCCTCGAGCCCCATACATAATCTACATAGCGACCGCAAGCTGCGGCCGAGCGTGTAAGGTCTGTGTACTGGTACCTCTCAAGTTCCAACGGCCTAGGTATTTGAAGACACCGTGCGCAGCCGGCCTAGCCTATCTTACTTATCCCCCGCCAGAGGATCACCAGCGGGCATCCGCTTCAACGAATGCTCGGACATCGCGCTTCGTCCCTGAGTCGTGACACTACTCTAACTAGCTCGCTTCGAGCTTCGAGTAGGATGGGAAATGATGGTGAGGCACGGTAGGGTGCAGGGTGCGGGGACCGGCGGGCCGGATCTCCCCATCGTTCATCGTCATCGGTTATCGTATGTAGATAGATACGCTGCTATACGCCGCTATGACGGCTCGGTCAATGACGGCTCGGATCTCCTCCTCTTCACGATGGGATCGTATATTTTGGAATGGAACAGAGCCGGCGGCCTAATTACTGGGATATCTACCTAGTGATAGTGATAGGGAGCTTGGGTGCGAGAAAGTACCCAATTACAAGTAATGGGCGCACGTGATGGCGGTATGATGATGGTGATATCGTATGATCCGCTACCTATTTGTTCGTAATTGTGTGACCTATTAGAGAACTATCCCACTATTCCCACTTCCCAGCCCAGCCTGTCCCCTCCCATACCTTTCCACGCCTCCAGCAACCATCAAGACACTCGTAAGTAAGTAAATCTATAGTCCTTTTTAGTTACATAAGCAAATACAACTACAGCAACTACTGTCATGGTATAGGTAAGGTATATAAGCAAATCGCAAATCGCAAAGCTTTGGTGTAGAGTATCTAGAGAATCATCTATCACAATGCAGGTAGCAATCGCGTACACATCTCCGCCCCCCTCTCCCCACACAAAAGTACAGAACAAAAACAAAAAAAAATGGGTATACAAAGAAGTATGTTCAAGAACCCTTTTTCCCACGGCGCCGCTCCCTCCCGCATTAAAATAAAAACCACACCCACCCCACCAGGCAAAACTAACAAAAAACGACAAAAACAAGGGAAAACAAAAACAAACGCCTCACATTAACATCATTACATACGCACCATCACATCACCATCCTCCTTCCGTAGTAAGGATGGAAGTCAGTCGGCAGGAAAATCAAGCATAAGCGCGTTCACCAGCCCCACCACCGATGGTAGACGGTAACGGCGTAGTGCCGGAGGTGTAGTTATCATCGGGCCACTCGTCCTCAGTGATGCTGCTCCAGAAGAACCACAGCGCTATTACGGCGAGCAGCACGAACAGCGTTTCGAACAGTGCGCCGTCGATCTTGCCGTTGGTCGCGGTGCACAGGTGCACGCTGATCACGAAGTTGAAGATTTGGCTTATGATGAATAGAAGCGCTGAGATCGTGAGGAGGACTGTGGGTTCCTGTCAGTGGATGCGGGGAGGGGACAGGGGGGGAGGGGGGAGGGGGGAGGGGGGAGGTGGTGGTGGTGTACATACCCATCGGCCGAGTCTCCCGTAACACCCCTAGCACCAGCACGCTCTCGAGGATGAAGAACGCGACGAGCAGGAGCAGCGGGAAGAGTAGGTACAGGACGTAGAGCGCGTAGTTCCGGAGGTTATCGTCGTTGATCTCGAATTCGCCCGAGTAGTTGAACCCCGTGTCGACCGCGACGTATGCGACGCCAATGAACACGACGAGGCCCGAGCCCGCCGTCAGACCATTACTCAGCGGCGTCCCGTCGTCCATCAATTGGTACCCGACGATCGCGTTGATGAGGAGGATCCAGCACGCGGCCGCGATGGCGCCTATATGTATGGCCGAGAACCACTGTCCGCACCGCACATCCATCAACACCCTCCCCACAAGCCAAGCATCGAAGAACACAACATACCACCAATTTTTTCCTATCCGTCAGAAACCCGCCAACACTGAATATCTCCGCGATCGAGACGATAGCGTATGCCACAAGGAAGATCTGCATCTCCCGGCGCCCGACGGCCGCCTTCTTCCGCTCCGACAGCCATATCAACAGGCCGGCGACGATCACGGCAACGGCGCAGGCAACTATCGACCCCAGGTTCCGGACTCGTCCCCCGCCCGCGGCGAAGCCGACTAGTGCGCACGACTTGTCTATGCCCCCGCCGTACTGCGTGCCGGAACGCTCGAGGAATAACTGTGTATGCGTACGCGATGAGCGACGGCGATGGTGGGAGGAGGAGCAGGAGGAGGAGGACGGGGAGTGGAACGTACGTTGCAGACGGGTAGCGTTGAGTCTCGACAGAAGTCCTAGATACATACGACAGCCGTTCGTTAGTCTGACAGTCCGACCGCAACCGATTTGTTTCCGACGATTTTCGAGAGAGAGAGGTGTATGTACGTGGAAATTCCCGAATTGAGACATGATGTCGTCGTATCAGCCGCCGCGCGCGTTGGAGTGCCGCTAGAGCGGAGTTCTCGTCTCGTCTCGTCTCGCAACCACCCGAGGTCGAGTAACTATGGACGGGGAGGGAGAGGAAACGATGGTCGTGTAGGCGTGCGGGCGAGCGAGCGAGCAAGCGACCGAGTGAACAGTCGGTGGAGTAAATAGAGTAGGCCGGTCGGTCGGTGGGTAGGTTGGTATGTAGTGGAAATCACGGTAGGTACTCTAATTGGAGCTTGTTGTTGTGGGTACTTTCTCACACAATCCGCAGTCGAGCGCAAAGTCAACTCACTAGAGTAGCCGACAGAACGGACGGGCGCGCGGGATGGATGGATGGATGCAGCGATGCGAAAGGCAGGAAGCAAAGCAAGCAAGCAAGCAAGCAAGCAAGCAAAGCAAGCAAGCAAGCAAGCAAAGCAAGCAAGCAAGCAGGAAGAACGAGAACGAGCAGGAAGAGTGGCTGGGTTTCTCATTCTGACCCACCCACCCACCCACGCCTTGGAGGAGGTCGCGCCTTCTTGATTGAGCGCCCGCACAATACCTACATAGACACCAGAGCCGGTTCCACACACCTTCCTTACATGCCATCAAAGTTCAAAGGTTCATCTCGGGCAAAAAATTGGAACAAAATTACCAGGTACTTTCATACTGCCATATGAACATCGATCCAGCCAGCCCACCTTCAATTTCGCCAGGCAGCGATTTGATTGGCCCACGCAAATTGAAACGACCGCCGAATTTGAAGGACAAAAGGGAGCGTGGGAGGGTGGGAGGGAGGGAGGGAGGTATGTATGTAAGGCAAGGGTGTTTAACACCTCGGCCCTGTTTCCGATGTGATGTGGAACAGACGGATCCCGTCTTTCGTAGCCGCAAAACAACATACCGCACCAACACAACGGGCGCCCGTTGAGAACGTGCAAAACCGCGATACTTCTGGAGCGTGTACTAAACTCAGCCTTGTTTGGGTGGCGAGCGAAACGAGCCCGCTAGTTAGAACGACCAGTCGATGGAACATCGGAAAGTGCACACTAACTAGAGTAGTGCTATGCACATTGCATAAATAAACGCCAGCTTCCCGCAGGCCGCGATAGGTGCATACATAGAATCTAGATGCAGGATGACTGTCGGGATCGGATGCGGACATGGGGTTTGAACTTTGCGGTGCTGCTGTGCGGTGGAGAGGGGGGGATCTGGGAAGAGTATGTGATGATCGGCAACGAGAAGTGTCATGGCGGGAACAACAGGTATCTAAATTGGCACTGAGATTGATGATTGGACTGGCCCGCACGAGACACGGGTCTCCGTCTTCTTCACGAGATATCACCAGGAGGACTGTACGATGCGTAAGATCATGCATGATCACTCGGTTACACTTCTCCACAGACCCAAATCTGAGCGGCGAAAAAGCATCCGATAGGTAATCCCCAATGCGTAATTTGTGATTTCACATCGAGATATCTAGCAAAATAAACACCGCCCCGATACTCCTCATCGCATCTCCACGGCCGCCGGTGTCAACATCCTCAGTCAAAGAGAAGAAACAAGATATACAAATCAACCTGCTGCACAAAGAGAAAACTAAAAAATGGGATATTGACCAACAAACAAACACGCGCCGAAACGAAACCCAAGAAATGAAGAAAGCTCAGTCGGAAGAATCCCCATCCTCAAAGTACACAACCGGCTCGCAGCCTTGCGCGAAAAACATCTTTGCCGGTTTGTCGTACTCGTTCTCGATACTGTACAGATTGCCTGGAGTATTGTCAGTACATACTAGTGCAGAGGAGTAGGTAGGCGAGTGAGTGGATGTGACATACCTCTGGGCACCATGAATTGACCTCCTTTGCCGACGCGGAAATTGTTCTTAGAAATAGTGACGGTGGCGCGTCCCTTGAGCATGTAAAAGACCAGATGCATTTTCCCCGAGTTCTTGAGCCTCTTCGCGCCTCCGGGCGGAATCTCGATGATCCCCGTGCCGAAGTGGTCTTCGGTGAAGGTCTTGACGAATTTGAACTCGCCGTTGGCGACATCGACGGTGACCATCCGGTTCCGCGAGAACGCGAGCTGTGCCTCTTCCATTTGCTCCTCGCCGTCGTCATCCACCACGGTTGGGAATGCACGTACGATGCCCTTCTTGACACCTACTTCGTCGTTGTTGCCGCTGTGCTCCCATACGTCGGGCTCACCAGGATCGGAGTCATCGTCACTGCCTTCGCCATCGGGAACCCGTTTGCGTTTTGTACCAGCAGAAGGAGCTTTCTTCTTGGGCGCAGGCGCTCTCCTTTTTGGCTTCTGCTCCTCGTCGCTCTCGATACGGACCACGCCGACGAGCTGAGGCATACGCATCGTCTTCTTCCGAGGGTCTTCCTCCTCATCGATATCGGCGAGTGCATACTCGGCCTTTTCTCCCTTCCAGTACTGGAGAGGTGCGACGCGGGCACGACCGGAACGCCGAGAACCTTCCTCATCGGCGGACTGCTGTCGAGGTGCTGGAGGTGGCTTCTCGCGGATGATTCGTTGAGTTCCACGGGTTTCCTTGGCAGTTGGTGACCCGTGCGCTTCGGCAGGCGCGGTCTTCTTAGCAACAGCAGCAGGAGCTTTGCCTTTGACTTTGCCTTTTCGGGGCGGCGGCGCGGGTTCCTCATCCACCTCGGGCTCATCCACATCCATCGGCTCTTGTTCGTCCTCTTCAGGTGCAGGGACGGGTTTGCGGGCTGGAACATTGCTTCGTCTTTGGGGGGATACTCGGCTCGGCATGGTTAACTTTGGTGCCTTTCCTCTAGACCGAGCTTTCTTTTTGGGCGGCTCTTCATCATCTTGAGGGACATCCTTTGGTTTCGCCTTTGCCGTGGACGACCTCCTTGCTGATTGAGAGGATGACTCGCTAAGTTCGGGTTCCGGTGCTTTGGGCGCCTTTCCTTTACCTTTAGCTTTCGGCACAGGTTTCTCAAGCTCAGGCTCGGGTTCATGTTCCTCAACAACCTTCTTTCCTCTACCTTTAGCTTTTGCTGCAGGTTTCGTGGACTCAGACTTGAGTTCTTCTTCGACAACCTTCGCCTTCCCCCGACCTTTGCCTTTTGGTGTAGGCTTCGCGGGCTTAGGTGCGGGCTCATCTTCCTCCTCAGATTCTGGGGTCGGCACCTTCTTCGGGGCTTTTCCTCCTCGTCGTGCTATCGGTGGTACGGGAGGTGCCTCCCCCTCCTCCTCTGCTTCTTGCTTCGGTGCCGGCTGCGATACAGCTTTCTTAGTAGCGCGGGACGACGTTTTCATTGTCAACTTCTTCCTTGGCTTGCTTTGCTTCTTAGTCGGAACAACTACTTCCGCCTCTTCTTCCTCTTCCGCCTCCGGTTCAGGTTCGGGTTGGGATACTGGCTTCTTCCCTCTGCCTGATGCAAATTTGCCATTGGGGCGTTTCTTAGAAGTAGTCATTTCCTGCTCCTCTTCTTCGACTTCTGATTCAGCCTCAGACACAGGCGCCGCCTCCTTGACGGGTTTGGCTTTGGCCGTCCGGTTCTTGAATTTGAGTGTTACCGGCTCCTGCACCTTCTCTTCAGCTTCCAGTTCGGGCCGGGGTTGCGCCTTCCTTCCTTTAGCTGCCGCGGGCTTGACAGCTGGTCGTTTCGAAAAACTGAACTTCTTGGGTTCCAAGTCATCCTCGTCGACTTCCTCTTCCTCTTCCTCCATCGGTTCCGATTCCGGTTCAGGCTCGGGTGCCTTCTTGGCTTTGGCTGGAGCCGGCTTTTTCGCAGGTGCCCGCTTCTGGAATGCCTTGGGCTCGATCACATCCGGCCCCGAGTCACTATCCTCCTCCTCCTCTTCGGCTTCTGGCGTCAGCTCGGACACAGGCGCTGGTGCCGCCTTCTTCTGTTCAGGTCGTTTCTTGGTCTGGAGCTTGACGGGTTCCAACTCCTCTGTTTCGGCTTCGTTCTCTGACTCGGGCGTTGGTGTAGGTTGCGGTTTTGGTTCGGGGGTAGGAGTTTTGCGGGCTTTGGCTCTTTGGTTGGGTTTTGCCGGCGATGGTGCTGGTGAGTCTTCTATTTGTGTGTCATCGCCATCGGGAGCATCGGACATAACCACATCTGCATCTCTTGATGGTGGCTCTGGGGTGCTATCCAGCATCTTTGATACCGCTTCATCTATGCTATCTCTCCCGTTCGTCGCGTCTCCGTTGGCATTTGTTGTGTCCTCCTCCTCCTCCTCCTCCTCCTCCTCCTCGGTGTCATCGTCGTCAAAGATAAACGGCTTTGCGACCGTCTTCGCAGAGATCAACCCACGCTTTGCAGGCTTCTTCTTCTGGACCGGTGAAGACTGCATGACTTCTGAATCTTCCGTCTTCATCTCATCCTCTTCCGCGATCATTTCCACTACCGGCGGTCGCTTCGAAGGCTGCGAATTCGTAGCCATCATTGCCACTGGAGCCACATATCTTTCGTGCTCCCTCGGCGGGTTGCTCATCTCACGCTCCCTGGGCTTGGACATCTCCTGCTTCTCCGGCACCGCTGGACCCACCGACGTAGCCCTTCCATTCGCTTTCGGCGGTGCAATCATCGTTCGTATCGGCGAGCCCAACACACTACTCACACTCGCTGCACGTTTCGCAACTCCAAAATCAAGCTTCTTATTCGGCGACGACGAGCGTATAGGCGAACTATCCAGCTGTCGCGTCGGCGAGCTCCTGGGTCCAATCGAAGATCCGCGTCTGGGGGAACCCGAAACCGTAAAATTCCCCGGCGACCGTGAAATATACGGGGGCAACGACGCCTGTCGCATCTGGAACGCGCGCGCCTCTTTGGGCTCTAATCCACTACCTGCTGGGAAATCAACACCCCACATAACCACCGGAATCGAGTGAAGGAGAAGCTATACTTTCAGCAACCGCCATGGACCCCTCCGTCGCAGTTTTTTCATTGCCTGTAGAGGAGGGCACTGCCGAGTGGCCGCGGAATATCCCCCCTCCCGCTGCTGGTGCCGGTTTCGGCGCTGGCGGCGGTGGTAGCTCTGCTTTCTCCGGCGAGAAGAAGTTGTCCATGTCCTCGAAGCCGTGTGCATCGCGTTTTCCGGTGTCTTCAACTGTGATTCCCGTTTTCCTGCGAACGCGCCCTGTCAGCACCGTCCCGCAGACACAGGGCTGACTCGATGTAAATACCGTCCCTGTGTACCAACGTTCCAGAAGTTGGTCTGGCGCGAGCCACGAGCCCCGTTCTCTGCCATTGTCGCGTGGGTGCTTGGAAAAGATGTGATGATCGACTCGCGTGGGGACTCCGGGGCGTGTGGTGTGGTGGTGGGTCTTGGTGTTTGTATTGTTTCGCGATGTTTTGTTAGATCTCCAGGAATGGCGGAGACGGTTGTTGCCAAGACATTCCTAAGACGCGCCAAAAGTCGCAACGCGAATTCTCGAGGACACAGCCATACGCACTCATTGCCTCTCACTCACGCATCCCCGGAACACAACTCTCAACGATGGCAGACCAAGAAACCCAGCCCGAAGTCGCAGCCGAGTCTCCGATCGAGTCACCGACCGAGCCACAGCGCGACATCCCCATATCAGAAACCTTCGTCCCGCCCTCAATCATCATTGCGAAGCTCCTCTGCAGCGAATCCTACACCTACCACTCCCCGGTCCCGTCGCTAGTCCTCGCCGACTCGAGCGTTCCCTGCATCCTCGGCGTGGACGAAGCCGGGCGCGGCCCTGTCCTCGGGCCCATGGTATACGCCGTCTCCTACATGCCCAAGACGACCGCCGACATCCTGAAAACGCACAAATTCGACGACTCGAAGAAGCTCACTGCGGGGGTGCGCACATCGCTACTCAGAGCCACATGCACGCCGGGGACAGACCTGTTCGAATCGATGGGGTGGTCCGCGACGCTGATGTCGCCACGGGACATTTCTGCGGGAATGCTCCGGGGCGCCGGAGCTTACAACCTCAATGCGCAGGCGCACGACACGACGGCCGCGTTGATTCGCGGCGTCATTGACGCGGGTGTCAATGTTGCCGAGATCTACGTGGATACCGTCGGCCCGCCCACTAGCTACCAGGCAAAGCTCGCGAAGCTGTTTCCCGGCGCGAGTGTCACGGTTAGTAAGAAGGCCGATTCTATATACCCGATTGTCTCGGCGGCGAGTGTGTGCGCAAAGGTCACGCGCGATGCGGTGATCGAGGTGTTTGTTGAGAATGAGAGTGGTGATGCGGCGGCGTTGGGTTCTGGGTACCCCGGTGATGAGAAGACGAAGAAGTGGCTGCGCCAGACGATAGACCCAGTGTTTGGGTGGGATGGGAGGCTGGCAAGATTTTCCTGGAGAACAGTGAGGGATATGTTGGAGGGAAAGACGGCAATTGCGGCGACGGCGGATTGGCCGGATGATGACGATGAGGGCACGCAGAAAATTACGGGATTCTTTGGGGCTGGGGGGGAAGGCTCGGGATTGGCGGGATGGTATGGGCGACCGGTCCAGGGTGACTTTTGATGATTTATTTACATTGCATCGTGTAGATGGCGTTTATGGAGTCAGTTACATGGGATTAATCAATTGTAATTAAACAAGAAGAGGGCGGAGTTGCTATGTCCACGTGCAAAAGACCGCCTATGCTATACACGCTCGCAAGATATGATACAGCGTCGTCCGAACAAAATCATCCCAAACACCTGCAGAACTATGCAAATCAAGTCCCATTAATCAATGACCATCGGTTCCCCCGCCGCCATGACGTTATTATTCCCACCGTTAGCTCGAGCCTCCCCGTCCACTGGAGCTGCAGCTGATGGCACCTTCTTCCTCCTCCCTCTCGTCGCGGCCAACTTGGCGCCATCAGATAGACTCTGGCAGCCGGGACAATTGTACAATGTTTCGTGGCAAAACACATCGCAATCCACACAGAAGTGCTGGGCGCATTCCGGACACCTATAGCGCGAACTGACACTTGTGTTGTGCTGTGTTTTTGCGGGCGCATTCGTGCCCTCATCCGGAGGCACTGGGAAGGCCGTCTGACAGCTGAAGCAGTTCGTGCTCTTTCTTGCCTCTACCCAGTTTACCTCACGCCAGTTGCGTAGCGGGAAGAGGTGGTGATACGACCGTGCCAGATGTGTAGACAGGATAAGCGTCAAGCCACAGGATGGACACTCGCAGGGCAGTTGGCACACTTTTGTGTTGCAGCGCGAACAGAGGTAGCCCCCCTTCGTCGCGTTTGAATGGCAGGCGCAGAGCGACGCCGTACGTTCCACTATACGTGAAGGGAACCCCATCATCAATAGGCCGTTTGCCGACATTTTTTGGGACCGAGTGACGGGAGGAGTGGTTGCCTCCAGCAGCTTCTCGCGGAAATGGACTTCATGTAGCGCCACCGCGTAGTTACCGGTATCGCCCGCATTCGTGAGCTTGACCAGCTCCTTGCAGATCGAGACCTGCGCTGCAAGACCAACGATGGCGACGCGGATTTTATCGGTGACCAGCGATCGTATGGTATTGTGGATGTCACCGGGGTCGGCAGACCACAAGGCGCCGTAGACGATGACGATTTCCCGAGTGCCGTGCGACGGTGTATGGAAGAGAGCTCCACGCGCCATTTCGAGGGCATTCTGCAGTGACGGCGAGCCCAACGGGTCGTCGAGTCGTAGCTTCTCAATCGCGTCGATGTGGTAGACTGGGTTCCCCGACATGTCTGACACGCGCAGCGCAAGTCCGTCACGCATGCCCACCACCGCCATCTGTGAAATTGGATTCTGCTCGAAGTACTCGCGGACAAAGTCGCACGCATACCGGATCGAGAGGAGATATCGGGTAGGCCGCAAATCCTTCTCCGCCATAGCAATAGACAGGTCTAGAATCAGAACAAGATGCCGAATGATACCTCGCTGCAGTGGTGTCTCGTCCTTAAGGAGGCTACGGACTCGGGTTTAGTGGCAGAGTCTGCTAAAGAAGGAAAGGGAGGGGGTACCGCCGCTTCTTGCCCGCTTCCAACAGCCCCGCTACTGTCGATTCGATATCGTCACCGAGACCCACGTCCCAAGCTCGCTGAACCTCCTCCCATCGCTCGCGTGGTTTCTCTCGTGATTTGCCTTTCTCGCGTTTGCGACCGTCGCGCCCTTTTTTGGACGTGGAAATGCCGGCTTCGTTATCGGAGGAGCCAACGTAATCGGAGTCGGAGTCGGCCATGGTGAAGTTGGGGAGGAAGTCGTAGCTACACGCGTAGTTTTGAAGGTGTTGTAAAAACCAAGCTCCGGATCAATGATAATCCGTATGAGGCTTAGGTAAATTAGACCCCTGTAACACCGATTAGATCGAAGCTTCTAATCTAATCGCATCTGATCCAGCAATCGCACAACAGTCACGGCTGTTCCCCACACCACTGATTTCTCCCTTGCAAACAAGTGCAACGCAAATTCTAGGCCAATCGTCAAGTCCACGAAAACGCTCCACGATTAAACCCTCGTACGTATCAACCACACCTACGGCCAGCCAGAAATACTGACCCTCCGGACCACGCAGCTTCAACTCCTCCACCCCCCAAAACCACCCAAACAACCGCTACAATGGAGAACGAGAAGGGAGAGATCGTCGACCTGTACGGAGTCCCCGCAAACCCCACCCACCACACACACGCAACTCTAGCTATCTAGCTTAGCCCAACTTCACGAAGCTGACGGTTCTCGAATTTCAATAGCTACGTGCCGCGCAAGTGCAGCGCCACCAACCGCATCATCAAGGCCAAGGATCACGCGTCCGTCCAGATCTCGGTCGGCAAGGTCGACGAGACCGGTCGCTACACTGGCGAGAGCGTCAACTACGCTCTCTGTGGTTTCGTCCGCTCCATGGGTGAGAGCGACGACTCGCTGAACCGCCTCGCTCAGCGTGACGGTCTGCTCAAGAACGTCTGGTCCGCTTCCCGACAGCATTAGAAGGTCGGTTCCATCCCAGGGTACAAAAGATGGGATGGGAAGGAGCTGATGTTTAAGGGCAATTAGGGGAATGGGACGGAGTTCTTGGGGGTTTTCTGGCTTTTTTCTTCAAAACAACGGCTAGTTGAAATCTGAGCGTCGTTGAATTCTGCCGAGTGGTCTTGTTCGTCCGTGAAGCTTCAAAGAACCAAACCCTCAACTAGACGTACCGAAGTATATTACCCACAGCGGCCGTTGATGGCGCTATTTACGGAGAGCATCAACTATTCCAACCGTTGCTATTCGTGTGTTTGGTTAGGAGTGGCTGGAGCCTGGTTGTCGTTGAGCTGAATGGCGGTGGTAAACCGTAAGAAATAGCCTCCGTCTCGGGGGCTTCGTGGAGTGGCTCACCGTTCCTGCGTCTGGGTGCCACGTTTTTTCCTGATGCTTATGCTGCTCGAGGAAGCTTGAAAGCTATCCTAAGAGCTACTTCAACATCCCCAGATGCATCGTATGGAGCAATTTGGGTTTTGGGAGGTCACTAGGCACCGTGAAGAGGGAGATTGCATCTGGCTTTGCTCGGCCGCTACATTTCATAGACGACATCTAAAAGTCTCCTTATCTACTTCCATGTGGACGCATGGATTCATTTGTTTTATATTTATTATAGATATCGCTTATTAAGCCGAATGAGCACATCTTACTATGCTCATTCTCCACACAATCGAGTCACGATCCGTGAGAAATAATTGCAATGCTGGACGTATGAAGGCTCAACGGAAAGAGACGAACGCAACTTTTATCATTAACCACAATCCCCCCAAATCCCCTAATCCTCCAATCCAGCGTACCGCTTAGGCCACAACATAATATCACTACAGGAGACCCATGAGGAAAACAAACCCCAAAGCAAACAAGAATACAAATAGCAAAGAAGAATACAAATGGCAAAAACAAACCCGGTACTAGACGATTCAACAAAAATGAGGACACGCGGTATGGCCGGTGACCCTGGAGTGTCCTTATTTCTGTTGGATCGTGTTGTAGTTAGATCCAACAAAGCGACCCAGTACGAAGAGACCCAGTAAGAAGAAACCCAGAAAAGAAAATGAGACAATAATCGAACAAAAACAAGGAGACTCGTAACAAGAAGGTTGGATGGATAACAAAATAAGCGTACAGAGACCCCCTATATATCCCTCTTCTGAAAAAGGCTGATATATGGGAACCCAACAGTACACAAATTTATTCGGACAGGTCGTCAGTGTCCTTGCAACTGCAGTCGACAATGCAGCAGTAGTTACGTATTTCATTGTCGGAATCCCTGCGTTGCAAGACGCACCATCAACGCGGGTGATGAGCCATTGCGCTGAGCTCCCGGGCGCGACGGGCGATTGCCGGAATCTTCTTGAGAATAGGATGACTGATTTGCTGGTTCTGATGCTCAGAGGTCTCAGCAGTGCTCATGTATAGTTGTTCCAGTCTCTGAACGACGACAACCATGATTCTGTTGCAAATCTCATGAATCTCAGGATCCTAAATCTGCGATTAGCGGGAGTTCGTCTGGGAAGCTGTCTGCATTCCGACTTACCATGGGATCGAGGACTGCCAGAACGCCTTCAAGCCAGCTCAAACGCTCCATCACTTTGTGCTCGAATTTGACGCTGACCGCGGCAGAAACAGAGAGCAGAACCAGCTGGCTGAGGTTAGGGAGGAAGTCGTATCTGTAGCGGACCATAACCTCGTCGAAAAGCTCGGCTTGACGTTCCTTAGATTGCAACCACTGTGGAAACATGATTAGCATCATAACTACAGCAACCCGACTAGAGCTTCAAAGTACCTTTATGGTTCCATCCTCGTACTTCCCACTCCTCAGAAGATCCTCAATTTCTTCAGCCTCGAGCTGCTCAGCAGATTTCTCCGGCTCAATGGCTTGCCCACCGTGTTCATAGTACTCCACCTGGGCTTGCCGGACCTGCTCTTGGAATTCAGCCTGGTTCTTGGCCATGTTGTTCATGGTCTCGGCCATTTGCTGAACGGTCGCCATGAGTTGATCAATCTTCCTGGAGTCGTTCCTGTGCATTTGTTCCAGCGCGGTAATGGTTTCATTGTGCTTCCTCTCGGCCTCAGTAACAGCCTTTTGGGCAGTTTCGATGGCCAACTTCTGAAAGGCGGGAACCATTGTGTTATGGATGCAGTGGGTGAGTTCGCGCTCAACCACTTGAGTCAGGGGACGTGAAAGGTTTTCGGTAACCCTGTTCAGCAAGTCGGGCTGAGCCAAGGACTGATTCACAGCATTCGGAACAATCGCGCGAAGCTCCTGCGGCAGTGAGACAGCCAAGGATCTGGTCAAAGTCTCTCCCAAGACGCGGTTGATCGAGGTGGCAGTGACGTCTGCAATCGCCGGCACAACTTGTGTCTGGATGTTATTCATGACAATGCGAGAGATGACTTGGTCGACGTTGTCCGTCAGAGTGCTGGACAGAAGACGCAAGATGGCATCCTGCTTGGCGTCGCCGGCAGCTTGCTGGATCCTCTTGTCGTCATCAAATCGGCGATCTACTCCATATATTAGCCATGAATAATCCTTATCCCGCACTAGATACTTACAGAGCTGTTCTAATTCGTTGTTGATCACCCTCGTGAACTCGGCAGAGACTGTCTGTTCGATTCGCTTGACCTCACGATCGAGGAACCCGGAAGAAACACCAAGCTCCTGTTCGACGCTCTGAGGAGCGGGGGCAGTAGCACCGGGTGCCTTAGCCTTAGCGCTCGCTGCCTTCTCCGCCTGAGGCTCGTCAGTACCAGACGTGGTTGCCGCGGACGCGCTTGCGCTTGCCTTGTCCTTCTTTTTCTTCTTTCCAGCGCTGCTGGCGGCAGCGGCTTTGTCCTCTACGTCAAGTTTTTCCGGAGCTCTTGCTGCTGGGCTGACACTTCGCGACTTCGTTCTGCTAGACTTGGGCTTAAGGCCTTGGCCAGAAGCTTCGGTGCTCTCGCTCTTGTCGTCTCGCTCAGGCAGAGGGGGCGGTGGCAGGCTGGTCATGGCGCAGACGCCTTTTGCAATCGCGTCGACCGAGTTCTTGACCCTGCTGTCTGTGTCCCAACCCAGATCTTCCTTGTAAACGCTCAGAGTCGTCATTCCCTTGCTGTGAGCGACGTAGAGTTCGAAGAGAACTGGATTGTCATCCTGTGGGTCGCTTTCACAGTCCAGAATATCGAGGCTCATCAGTTGACCCTTGGAAGCGAATGAATATTCGCGTAGCCCGCTAAGAATCGCAGTTGCATCGGGTTTCGGGATTACGGACGATTTGTCAGCAAGACCCCTGATGTACTGAGCCTGCGACATAGGAGGAAGGTTGTACTTCGGTGCCGAGAGGTGGATGAAATAGATCGAGTTTCTCGTCGGGTTGCCTACAACGATGATTCCCGAGAGTGGATGGTATGCAACGGAGCAGAGTGCATCCGTGTCGCTCTCCTGAGGGAAGTTGATCTCCTGTACCGGTCGTCCCAAAGCAAGATCCCATAGCTGGAAAGTGTGGTTCTGCTTCATTCCGACAATGACGTATCTCAGGGCCAAACACTTCAAGTACGGTCGGAACTTGTCAAGAAACATAACTGAAGTTGCTCGGTAAGATTCACCGGCGGCAACTGCAGAGAACACAAGATTGGGAGTAGACAGAACCATCGGAGGTTCAGGAGTTTGGGCAATGTCGTAGGCATCGCTCTCGGTAAAATTGAGCAGATCCAACACGTCCCAGAGCTTCAATTTTCCGGCCTTATCGATGGAAATGATGACCGAGTCGTCGTCGGAGAATGCGAAATCTTTGGAGGCCTTCCCAGTGTCAATGGTGCGGGTGTGATCTGCGAGATACTTCTTCGACGCCACAACGTTGCCCTTGCGACCCTCGGCATACGCCCTGGCTGTGGGAGCGTGAATGATGCTGATGGTTTTGCCACGTCCGATAGCAAACGCATCGTGGTGCCGCGAAGTCTTTCGAGCACGTGACTTCAGCACGCCATTGCTCTGTCCTTGCTCTTCGCTCGGTGGAAACACGAACATGCTGTCCCAATTATCGCCATCGAAATCTGCCTGCAGGTCGACCCAGACTACGGCGCCCGAAACACCCGTACCCAGCACTTTCTCACTCTTTCCAACCGTAACATTGAAGGTTCGGTCGGTGCTATCCTTCATGAGAACCCTGTCAAGTCCATCGTATTGCCTGAGGATTCTGATTCCACCGCGTCCATTGCTCTTGCTGAGAGCATAGGCGATATATTGGTGAGAAGCGGCGATTAGATTCCTGTCAAGTTGATCGAAGGTTCGAGCCATCCTGGCAACATCGGAAATCTTGGATGACGGATACTTGGGCCTCTTAATGGCGGTGGGGATAATAGTGATGGATGAAAAGGGCTTCATCGGGAAGTTGTAAACTTCGATGGTTTGGGTTTCCGGAGCAGACTCGTATCCATCCTCTTCTCCGTCAACGTGCTCCTGCACTTGCATCTGTACCTCGGGAAGGACGGATGGAGAGTCGTTCTTTCGCTGCTCAACCTCGACTACAGCATCCTTGACACTACCCTCGTATTGCTGGGACGGCTCAGACTGAGGTCCGTCTTCGACACGAGTCTCCTCTGGTGACTGCTGCGAAGGAACGTACTCTTCTGCGTGTTGACCAAGTTGCTCCATCAGCTGTTGCTCGCGCTCTTTCACCTGGTCCAGAGTAGAAGCGTCCATGGCAGCCTCAGCCTCAACCGGAGCAGGGGGAGGAGGGGAAACTGAAGTCGATCCCGGCAAGGGGAAATCTTCGGCTCTCATCTCACTGGTTCCCAACGTGCTCTTCCTGGTAGCCAGCGGACCTGGCGTTGCGCTCTTAGGAGTCTTATTCCGTGGACTGGTAGCCGAGAGTTGCTCGAAAGGATTGACGTAGGTGAATAGACCCTTGCTAGGAGTATGGCTAGGCGGAGGACCTTCAGCGGGAAGAGATGGTAAGCCGTGAGATGGACCTGCTGAAGTGTAATTCGGCGGCGGCGGCGGCATCGAAGACACGCTCGAGGATGACCTCAGCAAAGGCTGCTCCCCGCGACTCTGCTCTGCGTTTGACGCTGCCTCTTGACTTGGGGTCGCCGGAGGAGGACCCAACTCTTCCTGCGCCGGTTTCGTGCGCCCTAGAAGCTGGAAAACCAAGTCCTGTGGGTTGACTGGAGACTTGTTGTGAGGAACAGATTCCGCCGTCGCGCTGCGCTGCTGCAATAGATGGGTAGGCGCGCGTTGATGTACAGGGCTCGAGCTCGCCGACGAGGCTATGTTCTCTCTACTCGCGTTGTTGAACAGCGACGCGACGAGGTCCGAAGCTGAAATCGATCTATTATGAGGCAACGGCGGCTGCGAGACCGGAGGTGGCGAATTGACAGCAGGGCGGGGAGGAGTTGGCCCTCTCTGTCCCTGTGGAGAAGGCGCGTGTTCAGACGTAGGAGAGTCGGATGGCGGGACTGCTTGGGAGAATTTCAGAAGCGACAAGAGACTATTCCTGTTGTCACCGGCGCCGCCCGCCGAGGGAGACATGGGCATATTGTACGGCTGCTGAGACGAGGCTGGAATTGCAGGAGAATGATTCGACGGAATACCCTGCTGGGCCTGCTGGGGCGGTGGCTGGTAATAACCAGGAAAGCCGTTCTCGTTGCTCGAAGGGAACCCCGGTGTGGAAGAGTGAGGCTGTGGCATCGGAGGGGCGTATGAAGGAGACTCTGAATGATATTGTTGGTGTTGTGGGTAAGGGAACGGATGGAAAGGCGATTGCTGGACCGATTCCATGGGAAGAGTCTGGGAAGTGTACGAGGTTTGCTGTTGCTGCGGCGGCGGCTGCTGTTGCGGCTGCGGAGATTGCTGCATTTGGTGCGGACTCTGGGTGGCCTGCCTCCGGAGGTTCGCGAAGAGACCCTCTAACCCGGGGTCTGCCATTCTCGTTGCTGCGTAGAGATTGCACGGCTGCGGGAAGAATTTTCAGTGGCAGTTCTCGGGAGATGATGTAAACGAGATTTGCAGCGGATGACTTACGGTGTAAGCGGGCGGGCGGCAATCGGTCGGGGATGCAAAGCAGAGAATAGAGAATGCGATGCAATGTCAGAGCGTGTGGATAGTGGGGGGATGTGTGAATGTGGGGATGGCGGGGGGATTAGATGTGATGTAGAGGCGGGAAGGTTGATTGTTGAGGGAAGAGCGATGGAGGAGATGGGGGAGCTATGGTTTGATGTGTTGTCGCCGTGAGCATGTTGCTGGTTGTTTGCAGCAGCTCAATGCAGTTTAGCGCCAGTTTCCCTTCGGCGGCAACAAAGTGATGGCAGGACGACTCACCGCCATGGACCACGGCACCTGCACACTCCGTCACAGAATGGAATTTCGCCATTCCAGATGATCCGAATCACCGGATGATGCCTAGAGCGGACGACTTCCGTCTTTTCGTTGAATCGGCTCCGACTTGCGAGAATAGGGACATGCGGAGGCCAACTATTTGCATACTGTGTCCCCAAGGTCCGCGGCCGGCGCTGTTACGATGGCTGGCCGCTTCTAGGATCGCGCGATATGGTTGGCTATGGAGCGGAATTGCTGCCTAAGTTTTATACACTATATGTCGATCGCGTACCTACCTCCGTTCGGTGGCCACCGTACTGCAGTTTCTTTCATCAGAAATCCACGCATTCGATTTCCAGTTCCTCCTTCCACAACTGCCAGGTTGATTTTGTCATGGCCTGTTTATTGTTCGTTTGTGTATTGGCACATACAATGCAAAGAGCCGAATTCAATATAACTGCTATAGTGCATATATTTTAGGATTTTTTCCGCGACTCTCACTCGATCGTGGGCTTGGTGCGTACCTATACGCGGTTCGGCCCGGGAGGCAGCAGCCAAGGCACCGTGAGAGCCACATGCTACAGAGATATATACTCCTAAGGTACCGATTCAAGCAGCCCAATACCCTAAACAACACGATGGAAATGTTTGGAGATACGCACTAGAGGATGGAATTTCTCGCGAGCGATTTGGAGGAATGGCTTTAGGCCAGTTGCTCCGAACCCTCATTGAGTACTACTGTATGAGGTAGGTACCGTCTAAATTTGTCACTTCACTATCTTGAGACGCATTCTGAAGTATTGACAGGCCCGCGTATGACGAGCTGAAAGAACGCATACGTCTGGCCAAGCTCTTTGACGACGCATTGCCTAGACGAGACACCTGTCGGACGAGCCAACCAACGTATCTACCAGTACATGCCGGTCCGGGTAGCCAACATAGAGTGCAGTATAGCGGCGTGGTCCGCACCTGATTCCAGACCTATGGGTGCCGCTGCTACCAGCAGCATTATGCATGCTACTGGCGGTTAGCGCTATGCGGTCCGGCCCCTGGCTCCCCGACTGCATCACAAATCAGCACTCGGATATGTACAATCCATGGGACCCGCGCGGGGTCCTTTGTTCGACATCTGAACAATGGATGTGGGAGGAAGCTTCTGGTCCTCTTGAGTAGAGTACAAGATCACCTCATGCTCTCGGATGGGTAGGACTGATCAAAACAGCCACTGCCATGCATATGCGGCGTTTCCTGACCTCCGCGGCCACCCCACCGGCCAGTCACGCTATATACTCACCAGTCTGTCGCGGTCGGTATCTACTGGCTAGCCGTTGTCTATATCTACTGTCCAATCATGGTCGGTGCCTATCGGCTAGTCGTGCTGTGAATCAACAGCCACAAAAACCAGTCCGCAGCCCTCCGCCGGTAGAATTACGCCCGTACCAGGGGGAATGCATCGACACGGTTCTGGCAAACATCTACGAAGAGTGTAGGCGGATGGTCGTTTGCCTTCCAACCGGCAGCGGGAAAACGGTCTTTCCCTTACCGAAATCATGGCTACGGTTGCTAACAACAGCAGGTCATCTTCACGCACGTTATTTCGCGGATGGAGCATCCTTCGCGGCCTCAGCATGCAACACGAACATTGATTCTTACGCATCGCCATAGCCGTGTACGGCAAGCATACGAACAGTGCCACCGTGCCCATCCTTCCATGAAGATCGACGTCGAAATGGGGAAATGCTGCGCCACGGGCGAAGCGGATATCACGATTGCATCGATAGCTTCAATCTCGAACGAAGCAAGACTGGGAAAGTTTGATGCCCAAAAATACAAACTGGTGATAATCGATGAGGCCCACAATGCCGTCAACTCGCAGTATCAGACCGTATTGGACTACTTTGGCGTGTTGAATATGGGCAACGGAGATCCACGGCAGAAGCCAGTGGTATTGGGTCTTACCGCTACAATTGAACGTCCAGATGAACAGTCGCTTGGAAAGGTGTTTGATCGCATTGTTTATCGCAGGTGGGTAGTGAAGGAACCAATATTGATAGGAGAATGGAGAGCTAACGAAGGCGCAGATCGTACGCTGACTTGCTCACACTTGGCTGGCTATGCCCCCACAAGATCGTATCGAACGGCACTGATGTCTCACGCCTCAGCGATGATAAACGGAACGTAAAGACAGTGCACAAATGGTTGCAACTAGCTCAGGATCGAAAGTCCACCATTGTCTTCTGCGCCGATACCTCCCAAGCTGAGGACATCATGAAAAAATTCAGGAATTCCGGCATCGATGCTAGGCTTGTTACCACTTACACGACATGGCCGGACCGTACGGCCATATTGAATGCGTTCAAAGCCGGAGCGTTTCCAGTACTCGTCAATTGCCGTATCCTCGCCGAAGGCGCCGCCATCCCAAGAGTAGACTGTATCGTTTTGGCCTACCACACGAAGAACGGGAGCCACCTCGGGCGGATGGTGGGGCAAGGCACCCACCTGCATCCCAGTAAGGCTGATTGCCTTGTTATCGATATGTGTAGGCAGGCTGGGGGCAAACCGGTCATACATCCGCTGCCTGTGGAAGCCTTGCCAAGTATTAACAAAGACGAGCCACAAGCCCTTCCACAGCCTCAAACTCGAGGATCCGAAGTAACAGACACATCCAGCAGCCCCGAAAGCCCGCAATCACCGCCCCCGAGGCCCTTGCATTGGCCACCGATCTGGATTTGCGGCATTCTTTTGGCCAGCGGGTTCTGGATGGGCAACATGATGTGATTGCACATGGTAGGTTCACTAGAGGGCACTCGGGTGTGCTATGCATAGGATGGAGGTTTAGGAGTACTCGAGTTCTACGTAGCTTCGCAGTGAAAAGTGGTTCTAAGGTTGGAGCATTGTTACCTGTGGGCTTACTGGTACTCCGGGCACTTCTAGCTACATACGTTCGATTCACATGTGGTCACTCGTGTTATTCTCTAGTTACATACCTACCTATGTTCGATTGGCTAGGTGAATAAGTTCCTCCCTCTCATACTTGCACAGCTTACTCTTCCAAGTGATTGCCATCCAACTCATCCCTTCCCCCAGCAGCCTTTTCCGTTCGGATTTCTTCGACATAACCGTCCGGGAGCGGGAGGCACTTGGGCAGGTCAATTGGCCCACGATGATGCAAGTCATCGGCATAATCGTCTGGGGGCGGGAGGCACTTGGGCTGGTCAACTGGACCACGACGATGCAAGCCATCGACGTAATCGTCCGGGAGCGGGAGGCACTTGGGTAGATCGACTGGCCCACGATGATGCAAGTCATCGGCGTGATCTTCTGGGAGCGGGAGGAACTTGGGTAGGTCAACTAGCCCATGACGATGTAAATCAACTGGCTCACAGATATATCCGCCCGCAACGATTTCGCCTGGAAACATTGCTCGAGCACGTGCGTAGCCGTCGGCGATCCTGATGGCGGTTTTAAGAGTTTTGACGCCTCGTGCAATGCCATACGAGGGGCTGGAATAGTGATTCCCGCGGGATGTGACGTCGAAGCATTTGGGCTTGACGGAATTTGGAGAAATCACGACGTTGTCGTCGGGGGTCACTGCGAGGAAATGCATGGTCTGTGAATTCGATGCAGCGGTTTTCCAGTTCGTATGCGGCGGTAAGGGGGTATTGCGTTTGCTGTCCGCGCTAAGGTCGGGTCCCAATCCGAACAAGGCGGGTGTCGGTACTATGCCCGCTTCATCGGGGTTACGAAAATAGATCACCAGGCAGTCCCGCTTTCCTGGCCACAGGCGCAGGCCGCGACCTATCATCTGCACTAGAAGGTTGGTGTTATGGGTGAGTCGCGTGAGCACCACACAGTCAATATTGGGGATGTCCGAGCCCTCGGTGAAGATTCCCTTGTTGACAAGCACCGGGTACTTTCCTTCCTTGAAGTCGTCTAGGCGCTCTTTACGATCCTTGAGCGATGTTTTACTGGTGATCAGTTGCGCGCCGATGCCGTGGGCTTTAAACATCTCGGTGAGTCCGTCCGCGTGAGCGATGCTGGCGGCGAAAACGATGGTGGACTTCCGTTGACCCTGGGCGAGGGAGAGCCAGTTGCAGACTATGAGCTCGTTCGCTTGCTTCGACATATCGCCGGTATCCCCCCGTGTGAGATCGATAGTGGTTTGAACCGGGGCGAACTTGACCGGACACAACCAGCCGAGTTCCATCAAGTCAACCGAGTCCCTTTACACACGCACCTTCGTCAGGCCACGGGGTACTGCTTATAGGTTACTCACTCTTCACGGATCAGATATTGCGCACTTGTGGAAGACTACATGATTGAAGACTGTTTGGAGCTCCTGTCCGTCGCAACGACACATCGTAGCGCTGACTCCGATAACAATCGGCCTGCTCTCGACACCCCCTTCCGTGTCCAACACACCAAAGTGTTGCAGCGTGTAATGGTAGTTGTTGGAAGTAGCATGGTGTGCTTCGTCGATCAATATCAGCTTGAACGTGCTCGGATCATACTTCTGAAGCCTCTTCCAGTTGGAGATGGATCTAATCGACGCAACCGTGATATCCGCTGTACCAGTGGCCACTTTTTTCCCCATCTCGATGTCGATCCTTAAGCCTGGATATAGGAGACGAGCTTGTTTGAAGGCCTGGAGGACAAGCTCGACACGGTGGGCGAGAATCAAGGTGCGTGTTGCGTGCTGAGGATGAGTGGGATGCTGCACCGACTGGATTAGGTGAGTGAAGATGATCTGTCTGAACCGTTAGTTTGCGTCCACGCTACATACGAAGAGTGCAAGGGAAAGAACGGTTTTGCCGCCTCCTGTAGCGAGGGAAACCGCCAGCCGCAGATATCCTAGTTTGATGCTTTTCAGCACCTCGGCAATGCATTCCTCCTGGTATGGACGCAGCAGTGGCCTAGGACAGACCAGGGCAGTTTGATGACGACTCTGGGGATGAAAGAAGAGGTATGGACGCTTCAAACGAACAGCCGGCCGGGCTATGGGGGAAAGAGCTCTGTGCAGGGTGTGCATCATCATCGAAGACTTGTGTTGAAAGGGTAGTGCTTGGTCGATCATTCACATCCATATATAGATCAAGCATTCGGACCACTAACCCCATGGCACGAAGAAACTGCCGGAAAACCCGGCAAACCGTTCACTGGATACTACCCCACAGATGTGCGGGTCATGATGGAGGTGAGCTAGAGACTGATAGTGATTGAGCGAAGTTATTCCCACTGTGGAACGTATAAGACCACTTCTCAAAGGAAAACGGCCGAGAACGCACGCTTCCTTGCATGGATACATGGATGGTGAGTACCTATCCGTTACCGATTGAAAGCTAGGTCAGCTTGGCGTGATGGTGATGGTCCTCATAGCTGGCGTTGGAGCGTTTGCCATGGCTTGGATGTTGTTTTCATGATTATCACTCGGTGTAAGCTATACATAGAGTTACTTCTTGCCTATATGATGTAATTAGGTGCTTGAGTACAGTTACAAAAACGGGGTAAAATCAGTGGCGCCACAACGGACTGCATGGTAGCGGGTTTCCCAGCCCGACCCACCACCGAGCAGGCAGGAACGGTTATGTGGTTGATTTGTTTCGCCATAGTCTTTTAGGGCTGTAAGCGAAATACCGGTAAGTACCGGTAAATTTATTTTCTATCTCTCGCGGGGTGAAAATCCGTTGTGGTGAATTGCCGTTTTTCACACGAATTCGGCGACAGGGCGGAATTGACGATTCGAATGCAGCACCACAGCACCGATATCTACCGCCTACAACCGCTTTATTACGGAATCGCAGAAAAATCCGGTACCTACTGAATTTTCACCTTTCTTTTACTACTGTATGCATCGAGGCGCTGAGATGCAGTCAGTCGCTTGGTAGCACCATGGCGTATATAGGCGGCGGAGTGCAGCGAGACAATCCAGACCCCCTTGACCACGGACCACTGGGATCGCTTTATCGCGTTTGGATACCAAGAGTACACACATGGCCCTGCAATATTTGCGTCCGGTCAGTCGGGTGGGAGCTCTTTTCAGCTACATTTGGCCACCGGCGAGCGGCCATGGCGTTAAAAGTGCGCGGATCACGGCTGATATCCGTGGCTTGGGGAGGAAATGCGCGCACCTGGAGCGGTGGGATTAGGTGCAGGGCGTGAACTCGAGCGGCTGGTTGACGACGTAGACGACACAGAGGTAGGTTAGATGGGTTAGATACATAGTCGGTGGACACTGGGCGTAAGCAGGATCTCACTCGTTTATTTCGCCAAAGCCCTGAACCCTAACCGAGACTAACGACACTGCTATGATAATAAGGTCGGTTGCAATGATGAGGAAACCGATAAATAAACCAAGAACACACTACTACAAATCGATGATATCGCTCCACATCTGTTACGGATTCCTCGAATGTCGGCTGCAACTTCCCAGTAAAGGAATCATCGGACCGCTTGTTGGAGATATGGGTGAATGCAGCAATGAAAACCCTCTCAGCGGCATACGACCGTTCAGCCGCTGCGCCTGCGCAACTCTAGCGTGACGACATCGGCACCGGTATGTAGCCAAGTACCGATGTACCTCTGTACAGGTTGCGCACATACGTACAGGAATACCTAAGAATCAAACACTTCTATCCACCGTCATGGACTCGAGTTCAGATGCCAAGCTCGAACACCTCACGGCCATGTCCTCCACTGTCCGAGATTACTCACAGTCCGCTCTGCGAGGAACTCGGCTTTTTTTGAGGGGAGGGTGGAGAGGGGTAGAAGTCTGAGGAATGACGCCGCTCGTGGGCCTTTCTGCGCTCGACGCCGGTCCGGCCGGCTCTCCGATTGGGGGTTTCGCCGTGCAAATGTATATTCACCCATCTGGATATGCATGTGGATGAAGCCCCCCTTGCTAGCGTGACGACTGCAACATTCATTCGAAGTCAACCTCGCGAAAAAAACGTCTCCACTTTGGTACGTAGATATTGCAACCTTGCTTTCTGTTGGCTCTGGAATGCTTCCCATTCGTTGGCATCGGTCTTGCGGTGAGGCCGGGGCCACACCATACGGGACGTAGTAATGATCTATGCAGAGGGTTAAAGGTTTCTCGGATCGGCAGCCAACGGCAATTCAAAGGCTTGCGTCTATGACACAAACCAGTATTCCTCTATGCAACCGCTCAACCCTGAGGGAGTGGAGGCTACGAGGGGGCTATGTCCTTTGATTACAAGGTGAAGGACATACCGACATGTACACACTTCGAGTATCTGACGGACTGCACGGCCGGATGCTGGCATCGTCGCTTCCGGGCCCCTCTAATCGGACCAATGCATCGGCTTCGAGTCTGTGAAAGACCTTTGGCGTTGGGCTGGCCAGAACGGAATGGGGTGAGGTACATTGGTATGAAGGCAGGGCACGAAAGAAAGGCGAGTCCTGCGGTCGTGATATGTAGGTACCTAATGTACATACATGGTGTCCAGCTACCTATGCACATAATTGACATTGCTACCCGGCCGGTTTCGTGTACGTATGATGGTTCTTTCGTATTATAGGCTGAACGTGCAACAGGTTTGAGATATCCGCCGCAGTATACGAGTGGATACCCAGGTGTCGATCGCCCAAGATGAAGTCACATGGACCCCCCGAGAAGAGCTCCTTCCATCCTCCTCCGCCTCCTCCTCCTCATCCTCCTCCTCTTCTTCCGTCTTCTTGCCCTCCGTCGAGCTCCAATCATCACCGAGCCACATACCTCACGGAGCCCGGAGTAAGCCTAGAGCTTGCCCGCCCACTACCTGCCTGCAATTCCGCCGTATTGGCCACGCAGATGTATGTACATACATACGAGACTCTTAGTGTGGCCGTCGCTTGTTGCATGTCTTGATATCCAAGATACGTGGTCGTGAGAGTCGGTTTCGAGCTGAAGAATGCGTACTGACTACGTATCGGTGAGCACTTATTGCTGGATGTGAGTGAAGGGACAGCCAAAGGGAAGCGCATGACCCCGTTCTACACCCGGGCGCCCCCACCTGGCCAGGTCGTTCTGAATCCTTGTGTTTAAACTTTCATGGTGTTTCTGGGTCGCATATCGCTCTACCTGACGCCAATCACACTCCCTTCCTCCCCTACCTCATCATACATAGTTGAGCGACCGTCTGTTTGCTGTCTTCCCATGGTGCATGGCGGAAGCCACTTTTCACCCACCTTCCGGGTCCCGCCTGGCCGTCCGGTATCACCATCGGATATCCACCGGCGAATGTAATATGAACAGTCGCACCCTGCGGAAGCCGTCCATGTGAACAGAGAACTGCCCACCCCTGTTTCTGGCTTGCTATCTTCCACACCTCCCCTTCTGCTCCTGGATCAATATTGGCTGCAGCAAAGAATTGCGAGCCAATAGCGAAGATCTATCGCAAGTACCCGCATCTTACCTTTCGAGGCCCTTGTAGTGCCAGTGGGCGGCAACGGACAATCCTACGCCTGGCCCCACAGTTACGGTAAAATAGACGAGTGACAAACAGTGCAGCCCCCATTAATTAGCCATGGCCAACTGGTTCGTGTCCACAACTTTCACTCTCGATGTAAGGTGACGGCTGAAATATACAGCTTCATTTCTTCACTCACTTTGCCCCCGCTTTACTATCGGAGCGGCTGGCATCTGCTGCCTACTCATTCTTGATCCTTGGCCCCTCCGCGCCTAAACGGTCCAGCTTGGATCTTTTGCCGCTGCTAGCCAGCAAGTCCGAGGAAAATTCAAGCTAAGGCGGGCTGATTGTCATAGACACTCCCCTCGCAAGTCATGCTGCGGGTGTCTGAGTGCGTACAGTGACGCGTTAATGTAAGCGTACATACTTGCCAGCCGCTATGCAGTATCGAGCATGCGGAGTGTATTCGAGCCAAAAAGCAAGCTGAAGGCTTGACCATTGTATCATACCACTTCGTTCTCAACGATGGGCCGCACTAACACGCCATCTACATACCCCCAACCGCAGCGTCGAACAGATTCCTCGGGATACTCTATCTGTGAACCCAGAGATCGGATCCCTGGTGGCCGGTGCCGGGCACGAGAGCGATCAAGACCTCCCCTCAAGCCGTGCTCTGCAGAAGGGTGGTGTGGGAGGCCAGGTGGGTAGGCGACTGTCTCATGATCTGCTTCAAGCCTGATAGGAGGACATGCTCTCTAACTCGATACAGAGGCACATCTTGGCCAGAACGACTGGAATTCACCGCTGCCAACCACCAACCACAGGAAAGAAGCGTGGTTGCATGTGGTGGGTATGCGGCCCACTATTTCCCAGCTTACCGTGCGCTGGGGACCGACCAGTCCCTCGTACTGGGCCCGGCGCATACAGGTGCAGATGCGAGCTACTGCAGTTTCACCCGCCGCTACGGGGGGTTATCTGGTCAAATGTTGAGATGTGATATCAGGTTTCTGACTAGGTAGCAGGACCACGGAAACCAGTAGCAGCAGCAGCAGCAGCAGAGCCCCCCGGGGAGACTCGAGTCTCGATCCTTTCCGTCATGACGAAGAGAACCTCCCCAGTCCAATTTGCCGTTTCCACACGGGAGACTTATCCTGAGTTTGCTCGTAATCCTCCAAGACGAGTTTCCACAACTCCCAACTGCTTCTTCCGGGAGGTATGCGGCATACTACCCCTCCACCCTCCCAATATCCCCCCCTGAGACATCAAGCCTTGTAGTCACTGCGAGGCTCGCCCAACCATCATTCACGGATTGAACATCGTCCAGCGTTACTTTAACTCTAACTTTACGCTCGCTGGCAATCCTTCGAGTCTCAGATATGTAGGTGGCGGATGGAGATTGCACGACGGAAAGCGGTGTGCATGCAGGACGGGCGTCACCACCGTTCTTGCACCGTAGATCCAGCAATTGACTCTCACGGGTCGACGGGAAGGGATATAATGTGGGCTCACATCCGTGTCCAAATCGCTGGTCCTCCACCGGTCACTCTTTCGATCCGCACTTTCCAGCGACAATTCCACGTCTGTGCTTTCTGCCCTTTACTTCTTTCGAGCTTCCATCTCATTGCGCGCCGCAGCCATGGGTTTCCAGTCAGCCCTGCAAGCCGTCCGCGTCGTACCGCCTCCTATTCCGGAATGGCTTCATCCGCCTATGGCGCTTCCGCCGATCTTTGGCGGCCACGGAGGCGCTAGGGGAACGTGCACTCCACACCTGCCACATCAGCAAGGCGCAACAGCTCCTGTTCCCGCCCCTGGTGCCCGATATGTCACGCCCATAGAGTAAAAACCTCCAGTATTTGATTGCGGGTGAGTCTTTGTTGTCCATCACCTTGTTACAAAAACTGACGGACCGAAAAAAAAGAACAGCAAGACGTTGAAAGTTGGAGCTACCTACCTAGGTTGACAGAAGGGACGCGAGAGTTAGCGGCTATTTGCTGGTTCTATTTTGACATTGTAACATGTATTTACTTATGGGCACTTGGAAAGAGGTGGAGAGTTGGATGACCATGAGATGGTCCATTGCGTGGAGGGGGAGGGGTGGTCTTGAAAAGAGGCATCCAGACACGTCTAGAATTAGAATCGACGTGCACACCTATTTACCGTCCATATATCTGCAGAATTCTTCCGAGAAAAGATGTACACATACTTTAACGAACGTCTAGAACCTTAGGAAGTAGCATTTTAGTCAATGCCGACAGAATTGCTTTTTTTTTCTCCCCACACCCTCATCCTCTCTCTTCCGCAGAAGGTCGTCGAGTGATCTCACATGAACCACGCATCTAAAGCTTTCTAGCCTCCGAAAAGTGTCCGACCTACTCGTCGATTGGAGGTCAACGTAAGAAGCAATTATGCTAGGCAGCTGCAGCAGGTAGCTGTATCTTCTCCCAGAATGATGTGGCGATTCTTAGCCCCATCGTACCTGCGCGGTGGGGTGGGTTGACCGTGGGTGAGAAGGAGAGGGAGACGGGGGGCGGGGACGAATTTGATCACAGGACCGGCTGCATTTGCGTTCGAACCCCCATACCGTCCTGAGACTCCTTGATCTCGAAGTCGCGGCGGATCTAGTCCTTGCCCCTAAGGTTCTGGAGAACTAAGAAAGCCTTACTTTGACGTAAAGCGTTACTGCGAGCCAATCACAGCCGATACTTTAAGCTTTGGGGCGTCAAAATCTAGTTCTAATCCCATCTGAATCGTTATGGATGGCATCCAGTATTTTGCCCCACAGTCAAAAGGTGGGGATGCGAGACTCCGCCAGAGATTGGCGGAGCTTTGATTTTGACTTTGTCACTTTCTCCGGAAGTGGGGAAACAAACACTGGGTCTTGGAACTATTGCATAAATAAGTGTGATCTTTTTGCACTTCCTGAGATATGGTCTAGCGCAACGCAGCACGAACGGATAGAGGTGACAGTCTTCGTGGATGATTTTGTACCAACTTTGCTTTTTCAGATGGTTACATCTCGACAACACCCAATGCTTCACCCATCTTTACCCTTTGTCCTGGCTCCACACAGAATCTAAAACCTCCCCGAACTGGCGGACCATCTGGATCGGCCGCCACCGCTGGTGCCTCAAAGACTAAAACAACGGTGCTACCTAATTGGAAGCCTCCAATCTCACTTCCCTTGGTGATGGGATGGCCACCCAGTAATGCAGATGCACCCTTGTATGTGGCCTCGGCGAATCCGTTCTTCGCGGTTGCCTCGGTGGGATCCTTGGTGAAGCTGTTTGTCCGCAGCTCACGATCGAAATTGATTATGATGCTGCCTACATTGGTCGCGCCGACGGGGGTCATCGAGAACATTCCGTGTCGCCAGCGTCCGAGCAACACTACGCGCTCGTTGAGGACGAAAAGATCCTTCAGTCGCGACTGCAACCAGGGAGATACCGAGTAGAGTTCTCCTGCGAAGTGTCGGCGCTGCTCGACGACCCACGAGACAGGAGAATGGAAGCGGTGGTAATCACCGGGGGCGAGATAGATGACGCAGAAGAAGAGACGCTTTTGCGGCGTGGCGAACCAGCTTGTTCCCGAGGGCTTAGCGACTTCCGTGCCAACCTCGAGGGCGGCGCTGGTAGAGGCGGGAAGGGACGCATCGTGGGTGGCCGGGGATGGCTTCGAGGAAGGTTTTCCGGAAAGTAGTGACGGAAGTGTGTAAGATATGCCATTAACGTTGGCGAATTCTTCCTCCGAATTGTACACGGTAGCATTGGGGCCGCTGTCACCGCCCTTTCCGTAGCGTGCTGTGGTTTCCCCAGGCTCAACGCCCTTGCCCTGCAGCTTCTTTTTTACGAGGGCGGCCGCATTCGGAGATTCACCTTCGCTGTGGATCGGCCCACCTTGTGCACCAAGCAGCGCGTCCAGCGAGTATGTCATTCCCTTCACTTGCTCCACTTCACCACCAGCTCGCACTTCACCGAACTGTAGGACTTTTCCGTCGGCGGGGGAGACCACAGAGCTGGAGCGTGGGTCGATCGGACGACTTCCAGGTTTGAGTTGACGGTAGAAGAACTCGCCGAGGTTTCTGTAGTGGTCGAGGGGTTCCGCTACCTCCTCGAGATTGGCGCCGAAAAACCATGCGTACAGCTTGAAGCCTGGTGCACGGAGGAAACGAGGAAGTGGGATCTCGTTGAAGCGGCCCCAATAGTACGAGAGGGCCTTGAGTGGGAGTGTGGAGAGAATTTGGACTTGCCTATACCGTAGTCAGTGCCGGTGTGGTAGGGAACAGCCAACGTAGGAGGAAAATACCATGAGCCCATGGGGCGAATCTGCTTCTCCTCAAGTAACCTTTCCCCGCCACTGGCATCCTCATTGCTACGCGAATGGTTCTTCCGTATCTGTGTGAAGCCCACGACACCTATGCCGACACCAATTGGAATCGCGTACCATTCCGTCTTCGTGTTTCTGAGCGCTTCGCCGAGTCTATTGAAAAAGGATTGTCGGTGCTGTTGCTGTTGGCCGCCATGGAGCTTCCGGCGTAAGATGAGGGGACACGTGGCGGCTCGTTGCGTCGGAATCCGTGGAAATGAGAGAGATGACCGTATGGGAAGCCGACACACTGTCCTCACGGCACGCGTAGGGAGAGGCATTATGAATGACAGATTGAGGAGTGAATCGATCTTCTGTTCCTGCGTGCCAGGTAGGTTACTTTCGATGACGTCTGGTTGGCTGGAGTATCTTGAGATCTAATCGCGATAATCGGTGCACGGACCCAAGCAGATTCCACACAAACCCTAGACACTCTCACCGTGGGAGCTGCTCACCCATCAACTTCGCGCTCCCACGATCTACTCACGACCCCATTGAACACCCTGTAGCCGGCCGCACTCACGCTCGTCACATTCCCGCAATCACAGATCTTCTCCGAGCCCTTCACCTTCTTCACCTTAGGGATTGCGCGTTCGTGCGCCGCATTTCTTCACCATGTCGGGCGGTTCGAATATGTTCCTGTACTCGCTGTCGATTCTGCAGCCCTCCGCCGTGACGCAGGCAATCCTAGGCTCTTTCAGTGGCAAGAAACAACAAGAGATAGTTGTGGCTCAGGGCTCGCGACTATCGCTCTTCCGACCAGACGCCACCCAAGGGAAGGTCCACGAGGTGCTGACGCACGATGTCTTCGGAATCATCAGGTGCATGGCGGCCTTCAGGTTGGCAGGAAGCTCCAAAGGTATGTTTTTAATCCATCCCCGACCTCTCGAACCCTCATTCCGCGTCAGTTTAGTGATTTTTGCAAGTGGTCTAAGGTCAGCAAGATCGCATTTGCCGGAACCGGGGCCCAGGGAGATTGGTTTGCTAGGAGGAGCGCCTGCTAACGCGATGATCTTTAGACTACATCATTGTCGGTACGGATTCGGGACGTATCACGATCCTCGAGTACCAGCCACAAGTCAACAGATTCCATCGCCTCCATCTGGAGACCTTCGGAAAGTCGGGCGTGCGGCGCGTCATCCCCGGACAGTACCTCGCGTGCGATCCGAAAGGCAGAGCGTGTCTCATTGCGTCGGTGGAAAAGAACAAGCTTGTATATGTGCTGAACCGAAATGCTCAGGCAGAGCTTACAATCTCGAGCCCTCTGGAAGCTCACAAACCTCACTGTTTAGTGTTCGCGCTGACGGCATTGGACGTCGGTTACGAGAATCCGGTCTTCGCGGCACTGGAGGTAGAGTACGGCGAGTCGGATCAGGATTCTACAGGACAGGCGTACGATGAGATCGAGAAAATGCTGGTGTACTACGAACTGGATTTGGGATTGAATCACGTTATCCGGAAATGGTCGGACCCCGTGGACAGGAGTGCAAACATGCTGTTCCAAGTTCCCGGGGGGGCTGATGGCCCATCCGGAGTCTTGGTGTGCGCGGAGGATTGCATCTACTACAGGCACGTGGGACGTCTGGCTTCGCGAGTGCCAATTCCGAGGAGGAGAGGTGCTACCGAAGATCCGAACCGGAAACGAACCATTGTGTCGGGTGTCATGCACAAAATGAGAGGCGCCTTTTTCTTTCTGCTGCAGACGGAGGATGGCGATCTGTTCAAGGTTACACTAGACTACGACGACGACATCGGAGTTTCGCGAATCAGAATCAAATACTTCGATACCGTACCAGTGGCCACGAGTTTGCTTATTCTCAAGAGCGGTTTCCTGTTTGTGGCCTCGGAAACGGGCAACCAGTACGTATCATCTCATCCGGAGTGTGAGGATTGGTGCTAACCAGACGCTTTATAGTAACTTTTACCAGTTCGAGAAGTTGGGCGATGATGACGAGGAGGCGGAATTCAACAGTGAAGATTTTTCGCCTGACCCCTCGGACTCATACCAGCCGTGCTATTTCCAAATCCGCGCTCCAGAGAATCTGTCCCTGGTGGAATCCATGCACAGCATGAACCCCCTGCTTGACTGCAAGGTTGCGAATTTGACGGACGAAGATGCCCCCCAAATCTACACGGTATGTGGTGGCGGCGCTCGCTCGACTTTCCGGATTTTGAAGCACGGATTGGAGACAACGGAAATTGTGGCTTCGGAGCTTCCAGGTGTGCCGAGTGCCGTCTGGACCACAAAGTTGACGAGCAGTGATGAATTCGATGCTTATATCATTCTTTCTTTTAATAATGGAACTCTCGTGTTGAGCATCGGGGAAACAGTCGAGGAAGTGACAGACACCGGCTTTCTGTCGTCGGCACCTACTCTCGCGGTCCAGCAGCTTGGCGACGACGGACTTCTCCAAGTCCACCCCAAAGGTATCCGGCATATCCGTGCCGACCGAAGAGTTAACGAGTGGCCTGCTCCGCAACACAGATCCATTGTGGCGGCGACGACCAACTCCCGTCAGGTCGCCGTGGCCCTTTCCAGTGGTGAAATCGTATACTTTGAGATGGACTCGGATGGCCAGCTTGCCGAGTACGAGGAGAAGAAAGAGATGGCTGGCACAGTAACGTGCCTGTCGCTTGGCGAGGTGCCTGAGGGGAGGTTGCGGTCGTCATACTTGGCTGTTGGATGTGACGACTCGACCGTTCGTATCTTGTCCTTGGATCCGGATTCTACGTTGGAGTCGAAATCGGTACAGGCTCTGACATCTGCTCCTTCGGCGCTGTGTATCATGTCAATGCCGGACTCTGCCTCCGAAGTGTCTAAGACATCTACGTTGTACCTCCACATCGGATTGTACAGCGGTGTTTACCTGCGGACCGTGCTTGACACTATCACAGGCGAACTTACCGACACCCGGACCCGATTCCTTGGACCAAAGCCGGTGAAAATCTCACCAGTAGTGGTTCAAGGACAGCCCGCAGTATTGGCCCTGAGTTCACGCCCGTGGTTAGGTTACAATGACAGCCGAGGACAGTACATGCTGACGCCGCTCACCTATCCGGCGTTGGAATGGGGTTGGACCTTCAGCAGCGAGCAGTGTCCGGAAGGAATGGTCGGAATTCAGGGCCAGAACTTGCGGATTTTTGCAGTCGAAAGACTCACCGAAAACCTTCAGCAAGAGACTATTCCTCTCTCTCACACTCCTCGGAAAATGATCAAGCACCCCGATCAGCCTTACTTCTACACGGTTGAAGCGGATCCCAACACCCTCTCCCTCGCCACAAAGCAGAGTTTGATTGAGAAGGCGAATGGTGCCCCGAACGGCGATAGAGCTGCATACGACCTTCCCGCCGAAGACTTTGGTTACTCGCGAGGAGAAGGGCACTGGGCATCGTGCATCTCCGTTATTGATCCGTTGAACAAGGAGGTCACACAAAAGATTGAGATGACTGAGAACGAGGCAGCGTACAGTATTGCCATCGTCCCGTTTGCTTCCCAGGACGACCAAACCTTCCTTGTGGTTGGCACTGGAAAGAATTCCGAGGTTGTCCCACGGAAGTCTCAGTGCGGATTCATCCACATCTACCGATTCCTTGACGACGGAAAGGGTCTGGAGTTCGTTCACAAGACTAAGACCGACGAGCCAGCGCTTGCGCTATTAGGATTCCAGGGACGTCTCCTTGCTGGTACCGGAAAGAGTCTCAAAATCTACGACCTGGGAATGCGACAACTCCTCCGAAAGACACAGGCTGACATCGCCGCCAACCTGATTGTCGGCCTTCAAACCCAGGGTTCGAGAATCATCATCTCAGATATCCAGGAGTCGGTTACGTATGCGGTATACAAGTACCAAGACAACAAAATCATCCCTTTCGCCGATGACATGATCTCTCGCTGGACGACCACGACGCACATGCTCGACTACGAATCTGTCGCCGGCGGTGACAAGTTTGGCAACTTCTGGATCCTGCGATGCCCGAAGAAGGCCTCGGAAGAATCCGACGAAGACCCTGCCGGTGGTCACCTTCTGCACGAACGTTCCTACCTGCAGGGTACTCCGAACCGACTCGAGCTCATGGCCCATTTCTTTACACAGGACATTCCGACGAGTGTGCAGAAGGCGCAGCTTGTGGCGGGAGGCCGCGAGGCAATCGTGTGGACTGGTCTCCAGGGTACAATCGGACTCATGGTGCCGTTCGTCAGCAAGGAGGATGTCGACTTTTTCCAGACGCTTGAGCAGCACATGAGGACCGACGATGCGCCCCTTACCGGTAGGGACCATCTCATCTACCGGGGATACTATGTTCCGGTTAAGGGAGTCGTGGATGGAGATCTTTGCGAGCGCTTCTCGCTACTGCCGAGAGACCGGAAGGCGGTGATCGCAGGAGAACTGGATAGGACAGTAAGGGATGTGGAGCGTAAGATTGCGGACATGCGGAGTAGGGTTGCGTACTAGTAGACGCGGTTCGGTCGGAGGGAGGAAGCGTGATGTACTGTAATGACGGGGAGACGAGTTTTGGGCATGTGGTTAGTTTGGTTGATGCGTGTGATGGAGAGCGACGGGCAAGACACGTGTGATATCCTCTTCGGTGGCTGCCGGACATAAATAGGTGATACATGAATGATGAACATCACATCTCTGCAATGAAAAGGTGCCGTTGGTTGGCTTGGCCATGTTCCAAAGCACGTGACCGAACTCGATGGCAAAGCAACATCAACTGACTGCAAAGAAAAGTGCTTTTGTTCGATGTTCTCAAACTCAAAGCGTCGGTTGTAGTTTTCGGCGTGCTGAACGTGGTTGACCCGCACATGTGAGTAGGGCACTAGGCCACATTCGACAATTAACGCGAGCCTCTCTTCGAGGTGGTGTTCTCCGCCCTGCCGACAACGACATCAACCTGCGCTGGCATGCTGCCATCGACGCCCGGAACCAACCAACGTTTCGTCACAGCCACAGCAAGAGAAAAAATCCCCCGAACGGAACCATTGAACGAGCGAACGCTGCCCTACCCCCGCACGCACGCATCCTCACCCCGCCTCCCTCGCGTCAAACACACCGCCCACCACCCCTTTCCCCACCGACATCTGCACACGTCGTCACATCGACCATCGACCGGCCCATCGCCCGTCATGTTCTGTCTCCGCAGGTTCGTAATGTAAATGCATGGTTTTTATTTATGCAACCCGCAAGCCGCACCGACTGACATGGCCTGTTATCGCAGCTGGCTCCCGCTTCTATTCATCCCAACGTCGGCTTCGCCCGCGTTCATAATCCTCTTCCTGATCTCGACATACCTCTTCCATCGCCCCTGGTATACGCCGAACCCCCCGTTGCTTTTCGTCGCTGCTCCCGCTAACACAGAATAGTATCTACTGCTCCTTGATCATGCTCACGCTGTTCTCGTCGAGCTGCTACTGGTCCGACCGTTGTTTCCTCGACTCCAACGATGGCCGCTGGTTCGAGCCCCGACTATACTCGCTCTCGACCGACGGTGCGCCGTGGACCGGGATCGGCCTCGGGTGGCTACGGAATGTGGTTGGAAGACGCGAGTGGCGGCTGCCATGCGTGGACGTCAACGTCAGGCTATAGACGGAAGGGTCACATGTGGTACTAGCAGTGGTAGCAAAAATCAGGCATGGCGTTGTGGGTTGGTTTTCGTTTTCGTTTGCGATGTTGTGTTTCTTCTGCTTCTGTAAGTTTCTTTGCATTTGGCTGCTGGGCTGGGCTGGGCTGGTATGGTCGGATCGGATGCGGGTGCGGGTGTCTTCAAAGTACCTATTTCATCTTGTAATTGCTTTTGTTCTATTATTGCTATGGATGTGTGTTCTTCATCGAATGTGGCCATAGACTCGGCTCAGGTGGGTTCTGAGGTTCCGTCCGTGCGTTAGATTCCGCAGAGAGGATGGATGCCTAGGGATCTCCGAGGTAAGGCTGTGGATATTTTAGCTATAGGTGTGCCGCGTGGTGTATTTTTAGATCACATGATACCACTCGTATACTTATACTATGGACGACGAAGGTCAGCTTGCAGTGTGTGTATCCGTCCTGGAAACCAGCGGGAGTGGCTTCGATTTCATAAAGTGGTCTGGCCCTGAGATTCCGAGTGCCATCTTGAGGTCAGATAACCAGGCCATGTCCAATGTAGCTCCACAGCCGCAGAGCCGCAAGCGCCAAACAAAGTCCCTTATCCAATTCCTACCCGGCCGTCACCAATTCCAGAATGACGTCGATCCTAGTGCTTTCAACAACCCCACATACAGTTCTTTGGGTACAGCATTCCACCACAATCCCCAATAATACACCATGTGGAGGCCACCATCTCTCCGTGCGTCTCTTCGCAGAGGAGGAAGTACGTCTGCAACGACGCATTGCTACTGCTACGGCACATCCACGCGGGTGCCCCCACCAACCCCACCACCACCACCACCACCAACAGCACCACCCACGACACTCCCGAATACCTACTTCCTTCCGTCGACACCACGCACCAGCTCCACCAACCCCAGCTCCAGCTCCGCATCCAGCTCCTCCTCCTCCTCTTCGCCGCCAGAAGACGACCGGACAATCCGGCTTGGGCGGACAATCCGCGTGCTGCAAGAGCGCATGCCGACACTTCTGCACTCGCCCTTACCAACCGAGATCCTGAGCCCGTCCATCTCGCTGCACCTGTTTCCCAGTACACATCCGCACCTTCCGGTCGTGCGGGGGCGCGTGGCCTACATCGCGGCGCTATGGACGGCGCCCATAGCGTGGCGGCGGCTGCCGGGGCGGAATACCACGCTCGAGGTTGTGAGTGAGCGGATGCTCGCCGGCGAGGTGCTGCGGATCCGGTGGAAGGGCGAGGAAGAGTTCGAGGGGGTCTTCGAGTTCGAGTTTGATGAGCTTGGCAGGGTAAAGCGGCATGTCATTGAGAATTGCGAGAAGGGCGATGGCGGTGAGAGTTTGGCTGGCGTGATTACTGTGACTGAGTGGTTGCTGGGGAAGGCGAGGGGGCAGACTAGTGGCGGAGGCCTGGCGCTGCAGTGCGAGAGGGTTAAGCATGCGAAACGGTAGGCGTGCTGTGCTTTGGATTTCCGTTTTTATGAGGCGTTATGGGATGTGGATGGTTGGATTGGGTTGCCTTTACGTAGCTTCGGCTTGTTTGTACTATAGGCGGTGGGAATTTTTTGATTGGTGTCGATAATGGGACAGCGATGTACGAGTACCGGTATGTATCTCTCCTCATACTTGGGCCTGGTGGTTTGCTGGCTGGAGCTGGAACTGCGAATTTCTCATCTTTTCAACTTTGGTCCCTCTAGTACTATGTACCGGAACACACCGCCATGGTGACTATCATTTTGTTTAGTCATTGATTGCATTACGAGCCCCGCCAAGGTCCACGCCAAATATCACGTTCTATTATCAGCGAGTGATATCATATGGATCAATTTACCACCCGAGTTCGACAAGAATTGTGGATTCCGGTCAGTTTTGTACAATCAGGCCGTTGCGATGGGAAGTCCTCATCTGTGCGTATCTGCAACCCCCAGGGCCCTAACTCTGCGCTGATGATGATCCCTCAATGATTATCATCGGTTTACCTTATGATCACCGCCAATCCCTCGCCGAATCAGCGGCTTACATACCCAATAGTCACGATTGTGCTATCTACAGACGATCAGATGGACCTATCCACCGGTGCCTCCAAGCACGGCAATAGCCCGCGTAGATCCGTGGTGGCATCCCCGTGACATGACGTCGAACGTTGACGTTCATCACCACTGAGGCACGGTTGACGTCACGGCCCGAGGAAGCTACTGAGGTGTGTATATCAAGGATGGGGTTTCGCACTGTGGTGGGAGACTCTTCAACGAACTTGCATCTATTCAGCTTCGAAGCATACACCACACACATATACACACGCAAACTCATATACACACTCCAACAATGTCAGGCTCACACTCCACCCCCATCGCCGCCTCCAAGGACCAGCACTCCTACAACATCGACGCCGTCAGCAACCAAGGCCAATTCCACGCGAGCCGACCTCGGGACCACCCGATGATGACGGGCGGCGTACGCCTCCCCCTCCCTCGTTCCTCCTCCCATCTAACCTTTTTCCAGCACCAACCGGGCCGGATCACCTCCCCCTCTGACACAGTCCCGACCTTCCACGCGCAGACCATGGCACCGGGCAGCGCGCCTCCCGAGCGAACCTTCCAGCCCAACGCCGCCGAGAACACAGTAGGCGACTCGATCTTCCCGACGGGGATAGAAGGCATGCCGGGTGCGACATCTGGCGACGTCCACCAGGGCCTGGGACATCCCGGCTCCGGCATGACCAGTAAGGAGGTTCACCACGACGGACAGCATAAGCGCACGCGCCAGCGCCTCGGCCTCGCGAAACATGCGACGGGACAGGTCTCCCAGGCCAGTGAGGAGCTCGGTGGCGCTAATCCACGCCAGGACCCCAGGCAGAGGGGACTGGGCCATGAGTTACCCATGGGGAATAATAGGGGGAATAAGGGCGAGAGAGTGGCGGAGGATTTGCCTTCGGATATGGCTTAAGAAGGGAATGAAGGGCTGGGATGCACCGGGTCGTTGGGTGCATATTTAAGGGCTCAGGCTATTTTTTGTATCAATCTCGCCATGAGCGCGTATGTATTCAGTAGTCAAATCATCACGAGTATGGCCGAAGAGTCCATCCAATTCTTTGCAAAACCAGGTAATACGGTCTTATGCAGCTGATAGTGAGGGAGTGAGTGAGTGAGTGCGGAAGATGGACGCAAACACAAAACATCGTGAAACAAGTTGCAGTTCTATACGGTCTCATTTCCTTCTTACACCTTGCCCACCCATACCTACGGGAAGGAGTGAGACTGGCCATTAACTGGCCGGAGTTGCTGTGGCTTGTTTCTGCTTAGAAACTGGAGAAATCAAGTCGCAATACCTATCGTATGAAGCCACACCCATTTGATCGGCAAAACAAACAGCCCACCGGCGGAGACGGGGTGGTGGAGGGGTGGGCGGTCGGCAGCGGAGCATCATCAAGAATTCGTCCACCACCGAGTTGAAGAAGGCTTGCTTCTGACGTGGGGATGGTGATGCAGTGGAGATATATGTTGCGGCGATCCCCTCGCGGCCAGAGAGACTCCCCTCTCGCTGTTAGGGAGACGCCAAAGAGAGACTCCTCGCGGCCAGGGAGACGCCTAAGATCTGCAGCGCCTACAGAACCAAAGATCTCAATATCTGACTCAGTTCTCACTCGATTCCTTCGACCAGACACTCGCTGGGGCCGTCAAGACATGCTCGCTATATCCCGCGTCTCTTCCACGGATGCGACTGCGTTAACCAGGTGTCCGTATCCCAGTGCGGCGCTTTGCAGCTCACTCCAAGACCACTGTCTCTCCCCTCCACACTCTCCCCCTCCACTGTCTCTCCCCCTCCACCCTCTCATCCCCTCTACACTCTCGACAGCTCCCCACTCTCCCCCTTCCACACTCTCGACCCCTCCACACTCTCGACCCTCCAAACTCTTCCTGCTCTCCACTCTCGTCCACTCCACTGTCTCGACCCCTCCACACTCTCGACCCTCCACACTCTTGTCCACTCCACTGTCTCGACCCCTCCACACTCTCGTCCCCTCCCGACTCTCGACCGATTCCCACTCTTCCCCCTCTCGACTCTCCCCTCTCCACACTCTCCCCCCTCCACACTCACGACACAAAATTGGGGTCCGTCAAGGTACGTTCATTCCACTAAACATCCCGTCCCATCTGTCCAAGGCCGCTGACCAGGTCTCCACAGTCTACGGTTCATTAACACACTTCAGAGACCAGCAAGGTCACCAAACTCCCACCATGAGGAAGAGCTAGCAGCATTGCATGAGGCGGAGGATTACGAAAGCTCAGACAACCACGATGCAAACCATGAAGACAATCACGACGACAACGATGTCAACAAATAAGCCGACAGCACCGATGAGAATACTCTCAAGCTAATGGTGGAGATGGTGAGGAATGGGCAACTAAAAGTTCCTGCCAAAGTCCAACGCGCAGCAGTTATGCAGAAGGTAGTTACTATTGAGCTGGTAATTAATTAAATGGGACCGCAACAGTACTGACGTGTTATTAAGGAAATTGCTCTGTTGAGAAAGGGAACCCAGTCGGATGTGGACAATAGCGCACTCTCGCCAACCAAACGGCCAGGTTAGCGACCTGCCACATTGCTGCTACGCTTACCCCCGGGCGAGATAGAGGAGGAGGTACCGAAGTACCCCGGGGAGGGGAAGGTTGCGCGGCGATGGTTGAGCGGGGAGGGTTGAAAGAGAAAGCGTAAACCTCTAGTCCGAGGGAATCACGAGTCATCCGGCAGCCTCTCCAGACATGAACTGGAGATGAACGATTTTCGTCCGCCAACTACCGAAGATTATCAGCTGCAAAAGCGCTTTAAGATGGATTGCAGCCGACTGCAACTATGTATGTCTGAACCATTGCAAATAAACGAGTTGTGCTAACCGCATGTGAGCAGTAAATAGTGGTGGATCCGACGAGATGACTGGTCACGAATCCAGAGTCTATCGACGCTACAACTTATGATATCAATAAGTTTCGGTAGTTGGATGGCAGCAAGAGAATTCCACAATGGAAATTTTGAGCGGCGATATTTGAACAGGAGTTTGAGTGGGGGGAGGTTTGACTCGCGGGGAGGGGCTGGGCGGAGAGCAATAGGGAACCGGTATCGAGCTCGCGGCCGGCCAGCGGTCCGGGACAGCCGGGTGGAAAAGGTTATATAATCTGCCATGATCTAATAAGGTCGAATGCAACGATGATTAAACAAATAAAAAAAGTTCAGCCCGCTCACTCCCTTGCTCCTAAGAGTGCTAAAGGCAGTCAAAGAGATATCAAGTTTGTGGTATTCAGGCTGGCTCGGGAGCGGAGTCTCTTGGCGGGCAGGACGGAGATGCTGTGTCCCAAGTGTATACAAATATGTCTTGTTTTCTGCGTGGGGTTCACTGTGGATGCATACGAGGGATCTTTGCTGGTGGGCTCAGACTACCTATCCTTTCCGTTTGGTAATGGCTGGGCTAAATACCAGTGCATTCGTGAAGACGGAACGGCAAATTCAACGGTTCGGTGTCAAGCTTGCGGACTAGGTAGGTAGTCTGAGGGTCACTGGAGTCTGGGGCTTTCACGGCCGTGTGGTGTGGGGCGATGTGGAGTGCAGCTGCGGATTGTGGTAAGTAGCTGGTTGGGTGCAGCGGGGACGCACGTCTTGTACATACATGATATGTGGGAAAATATGTGTGAACGATAAAGTCGAGTGTTCGGTATTGCAATGGGGAGTTCTAGTGTCCACTGTCGTCTAGTTGCAAGTTGAATGAACACACAACTACTTACTCACGTAGTTACTAGGTAAATGCTCGCCTTTGCTTACCCAGGGCGAACGGTGCATTACGTGCACTCTGGCGGACTGAATGGGACTTGCTTAAACACATGTAAGCAAGTAGGTGGGAGCTTGGAATATAGAATCTCGTTTGCTTCACTCTGCCACGGCGGGCATGGGCGCATGAGGTCTCACTCGGTGTGTGGGTTTCGAACTTGGAAGCCCGAACTTGGAGCCCGATGGCTCCCACAGCATAGCAGTTACCATAGTGTAGGTAGTAAGGCTGCATGCGACAACAAATCGATTTTCTCTTCACTCTCTCCTACATCATGACAGAACATGACTGAATATAGGTAGAATTATGGAACGGAACACCCTACATACAGTGGGTACAATATAGAGTACATACGACGAGCATGGCTGAATATAGAGTAAAGCGATGAGACTGAAGCCCTATATATAGCACGACCCAGGCACTCAAGCCCTGTCCCCAGTGTCCTGCCTTTTGACCAATATATTACCTTACCTTACCTTACCAGGCCGTAGCCGTCGCCAGAGCCGTCGCCAGAGCCGCCGCCCAACAAAAGTCGTCGTACCGATACCGCGCTGTAAGCCTGTAACCCGAGCTGCCAGCTCATGATCTCCCTCGCGATCGTCCCAACACTCACACTCGTCGGCGGACTGACTGACAGGACGGACAGACAACGAGGATAACCGCGAATGGGGTTGCCTCTGCCTCTACCACCACTACCGGTACTCTACTCTACTCTGCAATACTCCAGTCCCTCCACCGTCAACGTCTTTCCCGCACCGGAACGAAACCGCCGATCCGATCAAAGCCCACTGAGAGCTACGCCACCTCTGTGGAACAGTCTGTCTGACTCGACTTCGAGGCGACCATACCTACGGGCTTACCAGTCGCCTACCCATTTATCCAGCTCCCTTCCACCTGCGCGACACGGCGGTTTTCCGCAGGGCTGCAGTGAATAGTTGGAACTTAGGCCCCGTGTAACGTGAGATACCTACGTGAGATACGTACGGCGGCAAGGATATTGAACTTCCCGCGAGCAGGCGTCTCCTGACTTGCGGGCGGTAGAGGATTTGTAGATGGATGACTGGATGGCTGGCTGGCTGGGGCAGGCCGCTGCGATCCCACATTCCCTCATCGTGCGTATGTTAGTCTGGGCGTGTGTGTGTGTTTTGGAAGGAAGAAAGAAAAAAAACCTGCGTCGAGCAGATGGATGCGGTGTGCGCACTGCGTGCATTAAGCCCACGGTCCAGCCAGCCAGCCAGCCAGCGAGCTGCTGCCTGGGGGAGCTAGACGTTGAGTACATATACCCACGTACATACCGCCGTGCTCGACATCATACATAACACCCCATCCGTCCAGCCATCCATCCATCCATCACACGCAGCTCGAGCTCCGCCCCTCAGCAGCAGCATCAGCCCCCTCATTTCATTTACCTCACCGTCAACAACTCCTCCTCCTTATTTATTTTTCCATAACATCGCGAGAAACATGCCGCTTAATATTGTCGTGCGCAGCGACGATGAAGACAGCGACTTTGGCGACTCCACGTCTGACTACGAGCTAGTACGGCCGCCGTCGCGGCCAGGCTCGTGGGAGACGTACCGCGGTGACCCGAACGACGATGGCTACGACAGCGAGGACGGCTACGTCGCGCCGCGACAACATGCCCATCCGGGTCAACACCATGGACAGCACCCGCATCCCCATCAGCATCCCGATCCTCATGGTCCCCATCCTCATGGCCCTCCTCACCATCCGCAGCAGCACCCTCGCGGACCGCATCCGGGACAGCACCCGGGACAGCACCCGGGACAGCACCCGGGACAGCACCCGGGACAGCACCCAGGACAGCACCCGGGACAGCACCCCCACCAACAACAACAACGAGAACAACATCCTCACCCGCAGTCGCACCATAGCAGGCGCTCAACGGCTACCGATGAAGAGCGTAAGCTTAAGCGAGAGGAGGAGGAGCTGAAGGAGATGTTGCGGAAAATGCGGGAACAGAAAGGAGGGGTAAGGGATTATGGGAGGGGGGGCCGAGCAGGGGTGGTGAGGCGAAGCGGGGCTGACATTATTAGGCCGATTCTCCTGTCTCGCGTGCGCAGTATTCGGAAGGCCGAGGCGGCGGCGGAGAGTTCCAAGATCCACACTCCCCGGCATCAGCGTCGTACGCATCTTATGCCACTGCCGACGGCCGTCGCGCAAAGGTCTACCACAACCCGCCGGGTGCTCCCCGCTATGCCGGCAGCAGTCATGTAAGTTTGTTCGCGATCGTGATCGTGATCGTAGGATTGGCGGGAAAAAAACTCATGCGTGTTTTTTTTAGTCTTCTCAGGCGTCAGCTTTGGCAGACGAGGTTGAACGCCTCCGTTTGCAGGAAGCCCGTATAGCCGAAGACCTTGCAAGGCATCAGGGCCGTGCGCCGTCGATACACGATCCCCGACAGGCACAGGCGATGCAAGAGCACCGACAAGCAGCGGCCATGCACGAGGCGCGACAGGCTCAGGCGATGCAGGATGCAGTGCACGATGGTCGTGGAAAGGGACGTGAGGGGCGTCCGCCGCCCGGTCCATCCCGCCACAGCAGTAGGGGTGGTGGACCACCCGGTGGTAGCGGGGGCAGGGTGAGTTCTCGGAGAGAATATTTGTGATTGATCGGCCTGATCTAACTGTAAAACAGCCTCCCCCGAGAGTTGGCCATGGTGCAAGCTACGGCCGGGGTGCCCCGGTGCCACCGAGTCCGAGAGGCCCCCCGCAAATGGACCCGTACACAATGGATTCCGATCCCGAAGACTACCTCGACGGCCCGCAATATGCCAGTCACCCGCCCCGTGGTCCGCCGTCGCCGCCCCCGCCTCCGTCATCCCGCCATGGGGGACCATATGCCGAAGCCCCACACAGCCGCCCAGGTAGTCATCGTGACTTCGGCGGTGATCGACCATCCCCCGTCCGATACGTCAGCGCCGGCACTCATGGCAGTGACGACGACGACTTCCACCCGGGACCCCGTGGCGCTCCTCCGCCGCCCCGTGGCGCCCCGGCACCCCGTGGACCACCGCCGCCCCGCGGAGCTCCTTCACCTCGTGGACCTCCCCCGCCAGGGTCCGGATATCCCTTCGACCCTCGCGGGCCGCCGCCACCACCGGCAAGGGATGACCCCGCTTGGAGCGAACCAGCCTTCCGCTCGCCAGCGCCCCTACCCACACCGCTGAAGCTGATCGATCCCACCGGTCGTGTCGTTTCTTTCCCTTACGCGCAGTGCAAGAAGTTTGGTGTAAGCTTTAAAATCCAACTTCCCACCCATCTTGGCTAGAATGCTGACGTAATATGATACCCGCAGGACATGCAAGAGCTCATCAAGGGCGCTTGCGGCTACCTCGACAAGATTGGTCCCGCCGTGATGTCGGGCATGTACGAGCTCCTCGAGGCCGACGGCAGGAGGATCAGGCCGGAAGAGTGGCAGGATCTGGTGACGCCCGGATGGGAGCTGACCCTGAACATCATCTCGCCGCCGCCGCCACCGCCGAGGATGCCTGAGTTTACGCTCGAGGGTCATCGCGTTAGGGAGGAGCGGAGCGCTTATTATAGGTAAACGAACAGGCGTGGCGGGGGGAAACGTGGATACTCAGTTGTCTTTTTGGAATGAGGTACCAAGTCGGATATTGCGGTCTTTTTGGTTGGGCATTGTGGTTATTGGGTTGTGCTTTTTGCGTTTGCGTTTGCGTTTGTAGTTTTTTGCTTGCTGCTTTCGAATCTATCTGCTGCCTGTAGCAAACTTCTTCCCGCTCTGAGCTGTGGACGATCCATACTACCTACTCGCAGCGTGAAGTGCCGATACTGTTGGACGCTACACTCGCCGGCGATAACTACGGTAGAATACGGTTCACGGAAATGGAGGAGCCGTAGCGGGTTGAACGGGCGGGGACAGCCGTAGAAGGCGTGAATATATTACATAGACATCCGACAAAGACCCTGTCCACGCAGAAGGCGTCCTCCCAACTTCCCAAGTGAGGCTGTAGGTGCACGAGTAGGTATCCCAGTATCCTCTAAACTCCCATTCTCTAAAACTTCAATACCGCTCACTAACCACCCCCCAGCGCTCCCCTTCCACACCTGTCTCGTACGACTCGCGGCCCCCCAGATCCCTCACCACCGCGATCCTCCCCTGCCAGCCCGTCTTCGCATCACGCAGCTTCTTGACCTCCGCTAGGGTCTCGCTTCTTCCAGCCCCACCACCCTCCCCCCCACCATCCTCCCCACCATCACCACCACCCTCCCCACCACCATCGCCGTCGAAGAAACTAAACCCCGCTTCCCCTTCCCCCCCCCAGCCGCCCCCTCCCTCCCATCCCACCCCTCCATCCCCCCCCTCACCAAGCCCCACCATCTCAAGCCCCAAAACCACCAACCCATCCCCCTCCCCCTCGACCGCGGCGGGGGTATCAATAAACTGCAGCAACCCCGCCACTTGCGCGCGCGGCATCCACTCGGCCACGCCGCAGAGCACTAGCGTGCGTAGGCGCGGCAGCATGTGTCGTCGCAGGCCGTGCGCGTCTGTGACGAGGCGGTGGGAAACGCGGAGGGTGCGCAGGGTGTGGGAGGTTAGGAGCGCTGGGAGGAGGGCGAGTATGTTACCACCCCCGCCGCCCCCGCCCCCGCCGCCCCCAACGCCACCGCCACTACCGTCAGCGGAGGCAGGGGTGGGGGTGCCTAGGTCAAGGGTCACCAGACGTGAGGTCTTGAGCAGCTTTATTGCGCCGGCCACGGTCAGGTGGTTGTCCGCAATGCGGAGGTGGGTTAAGCCTGCTTCTGGGCGAAGCTCTGCGGCCTCCCCCGCGGAGGAGGAATCGTGGTATCCCGGCGGCGCAAACGAGTAGTCGAGCATCGCCTGCACGGCCTTATCAGTGAGTGCGTTTCCACGTACGTCGAGCGAGCGAATCCCGAGCGCCATCCGCTCCGCCAGCGGCTTCCACGCGGCATCGGTCAGGTCCAGGTCTCGCAGGGCCAGACTGGTGACGGAGCGCGGGATGGAGCTCAGCGCGGCGGCGCTACCCGCGCCGCTGCAGGTGGAGAGGTCGAAGGACTGCAGACGGGGGAGGCGCGAGAGTAGTGCGGCGAGCCCCGCCGCGGTGGCGTTGTAGCTCTTTGGCGCGGAGAGACGGAGAAGCGCCGTGTGTGGCTGCCGTAGCCCCCCCACGGCGAGGAGCGAGGCGGAGTCTAGGAACGGGAAGTTGCTCATGCGCAGCTCCTGAAGCCGCGGGAAGGCCGCGAGGAGGTCGTGCAGCCACCGCGGCGGGAGAGAGGTGTAGATCGATGGCTGCACATGTTCGAGCGAGAGCGTGCGCGTGTGAGGGATTGGCTGTCGCAGCGAGGAGATCACTTGTGCGAAGAGCTCAAAGCTGGCTGTGACATAGGTGGGTGCATATCAACGTCTGCATAATCCGTGGGCGGCGGGTTAGGCGTACAAACTCACTCACTTACTTAGCTCGCTGCGCTCGCCCATGCCCCAATATCGATGCGGCGCCTCCCAGATAATCGGGTCCAGAGCTGAGTGCCAGGATTTACACACCAGCGTCGCCGAGAATACATCGCTGCGGTGGATGTACCTGCAGAATAGTGGTGCTGGATCCCGCACAGTAGCGATAGCCGCCTCGTAGGTTGGGAGGACATCGGCTTCTAGGTCCGCGGGCGGGCGGGCGTAGTAGACCATCTCGGTGATGGCGATGTATTACTAAAGGAGATACAACCGAAGGTGATGCGGTGTTTTTGCGCAGGGCCTAATACTCTACAGCTCTTGGTGGGGCTGTGCTGCCTGCGCAGGAGTGATGATGATATGTCATGTGCATTGATCCTGAACCATAGCCGCAGCAGCTATGCAACGTGGGTCGCACAAGACTCGGACGGAAGCTTGAGGTAGGCAGAGTAGACTCCGCTGGCTGGGCATCTAGGTAGAGCTCCGTTCGGCGAGTGCGAGCCGAGCGCACGAGGATTCATCGAATAACTCTCGGCGGCGGTGGAGGCTGCGGCCTGTAACTGAAGCTAGAGCTGACTGGGTGGAACAAACGTTGGCGGGGCTGGCGGGCATGGGCGGAGAGGCGGTCATGTCGGTCGTCGAAAACGCTGTGAGCTCTACCTACTCCACCCCACTCTATTTCGCTCGTCATTCCTCCTCCTCCTCCTCCTCCTCCTCCTCTTCCTCTTCCTCCTCCTCTCCTCTCGCTCCACGACAGGCAACCCCACTACCCCTCCTCCCCCTCTCCCCCCTCTCCCCCTCCTCTCCCTCCTCTCCCTCCTCTCCCTCCTCTCCCTCCTCTCCCTCCTCTCCCTCCCCTCTCTGACCCAGTGCTTGCTCGGCGGCTACGAGCTATCCCCAGCCAAGCTTCAACCCACCGATCAGTACGCCTCCCGACCCTTGTCCCCCCTCGGACCGAGACCCTCTCCGCTCGCACAGCCACAGTACATGTCTCACGCCACAGCCGATGCCGGCGACGCCGCCAACGCCGGTGCCAATGCCGGTGCCGACGGTGACCACGACAGCGACGCCGCGATTCCTCCACGCCGGCAGCCGCCGGAGCGCCCATCCACGTCGGCGATCGAATGGGCAGAAAACATCGTGCTACAGTACCGCTCCCTGCGGGCGCACCAAATGCGCTTCATCGCGCGCGCGGTGCGGTTCGAGCGGCGGCGGCCCCGCGCATCCGTCAGGCTGAACCCCACCGGCAGCGACTACGACGATGTCAGGTGGTTCCTCCCCGGTGAGGAGAGGGTCGTCTTTAGAGCTTTTCATCATGCACTCGAGAACACACTCCCCCCCATGAGGGAGTGGGATTCGGACGCTGCTGTGCCCATGCCAATGCCCGTGCTGCTGCAGCCCCACGTGGAGGTGGAGGTGCAGGTGGAGGTGCAGGATCCGGTCGTACCGTCGATGCTGCCGCCGCCGTCGCAGGTGGAGGATGGCGAAGCTGCCCGACAGGTGCCAAAGGAGCCAGCCTCCACAATCCCCAAGGGTCCAACCCCGAAGGTGTCAACCCCGAAGGTGTCAGCTCCAAAGGTGTCAACCCCGAAGGTGTCAACCCCGAAGGTGTCAACCCCGAAGGTGTCAGCTCCAAAGGTGTCAACCCCGATGACGTCAACTCCCAAGCGCGCGAGGCAGCCAGGCGGTGCGCTGTCGCCGCCGGCGCCGCCCCAAAAGATGAGGAAGCAGGTAAACCGGATGGCGCTGCGTAAGGCTAAGAGTGTGCCCGTTGCAGAAGAAAATATCATGGTGTTGAATGAGAACAAGGTTGGGCTAACTAACCTCTCCCCCGCCCGCCCGCCCTCATCCTCAACGACAGACGAGTGCTGACGAGTGCTGACGAGCGTCTAGACGCAGAGCGACCCAGACAACACGACGACCAAAATGGATGTGGATGATTAGCTAGCTATCTAGTTTAGTTACCGTATCACCATGCGTGCATGTCGACTCTTAACTCATACCACGGATCATCGGTCAAGACTCGAGCCTGCTTTCCTTTCCCATTTACATTTGTCCTTTTAGATTTGCTACTCTGTTTTTCACGGTTTTTCACGGTTGTTCCTGACGATGTTTTTTTCCCCTTCTGATTTCTGATTTCGGCGGGTGCTTTCATCATTCATGGTGCTATGGTCATTGTATGGGCGTGGAGTTAGGAGTATTACGGATATCTTGCGTGGCGGCGGTGGTGTTGGTGGTGGTGGTGGTGGCGGTGGTGCTGGTAGCACAGTGGTTGGTTGGTAGAGATTCGGAGCGTTGCTTGAACAGTTGAACCGTTGAGCAGTTCACCTGGGAAGATCAAGTGAAAATATTCCTTTGCCCATCAGAGCGTTCTTACGTGAAGAACGAAATCGTCGGAGTAGCCTACCTGGGTGGGTATGGGATAGCGCGGTAGTAGGCAGGTACAGTGCCGCGTTTGCTCGACATTTGTGGTCTCTGGGGAGTTGAGTCTTGTCTTTAACAAAGGTACCGCATGTGCCGACATCGCAAAGAGCTCCGTCTGAAAGTGATGGTGGGGGTGATTGGCAGTGGTACTGGTCGGGTCACTACCAAATTACTGGTACTGCTAGGTAGCAGTCCACAGTAGACAAGAACCTGTAGTACATACAGCCCTTCCAAGGGATACACGTGGTCGTACATACTTTAAAGTTTAAGCACTTGCCATTCTACTTCGTGTGCCCGCAAGGTCACGGAGCAGTGCGTGCGCTGTTAGTATGTATCCCTTACTCCCGAGCGGTATGGGGCCTGGCTAGCGACACAGACAAGAATTCCAAGACTTCCGGAGTACACCAAGGATGGAGCTGAAGAATCCGACTGCATCCGGTAGCGAGGGCACTGACACAGGAAACTGCCTCACCGGCCAGTACTTCCAGTGGACAACAGGCCGACCAGACGCCCGTTACGGATGGTGCCGCTACAAGACTCAGACCCGGGAGCACCTTTTCAAGAACCGCCCCGAATTGAAGAGCCAGCAGAAAATTCTGTGGGCCCAGGTCCGGAAGCAGACGAGGAGGGGCAAAGATCGATTCAAGATCCAGAACCTCTTCGCAGACGAGCGCTGCAGCAAGGCGATTCTGGAATTACTCTCTTCCGCTGATGTGGGCAGATAGATGCCTGAGACCGCTGAGGAAGATACAGAGAGCGAGGTTTCCGAGTGGGAGCTCAGGGGGCGGGAAGAAAGGAAGGCGGAACTGAGGCGAGAGGAGGAGGATGGTGCTGGGGTTGAGGAGCCGAGCTCAGGCCCGCTGTTCCTCCCCACACTTTCTTTCAATGCATCCCTTTTGGAAGAGGCAGGAAGCGGCGACGACGACTAGTGGCTTGCGGTGAGGCAGAGACGAGTCGAGGGAGTGGAATTTGTCTTTTCCTAGTGTCATTTCCTTAGTGCACTCATATATCGCTGGAACAGGCCACGGCGGGGGCAGAGAAAGCCAAATAGGGCCACTTGATGATTCTGATTAAACAGAGGAACAAAAAATTTGAATATGGTCTAGGTGATGGCAAGGCCACATACACCGCCGTTGGAGACCTGCATTACCGAACTACGGCCCAGGCGCACTGGTCAGGCGCGGGACTGCGCCTGCGGATTTCGGAAACGGATACGAATTTACAACTTCGACTTGGGAGTCAGGCAGCGAAGGCACTGACTACCGCGGCTTCGAGATACCTGGAATGGGCAGGAAGGTCCAAGATCCATGCTGCAAGATTCAAGTGTTCTGGCCGAGTGCCATCTTTGAGGAAGCCCTTCAGGTTATAACTTATAAGCAGGGTCAGTCGCCCACGGCTTCCCTTCTCTTGCCCGTCACCATTCACGCTTCAACATACTGAACAAAGACGGACACACACATACCAGATCAAGGACCAGAAGCAACTCAACCTCTTCACATCAATCTAGTTTCCACAACGATCACCACTACCCAGCAAGAAAACCACCCAACAATGTCACGAAACGTCTTCGGCGATATAGCCGTGATACCTCACCTGCCTCATGCCGATCAGGCGTTCGCCCTACTCACGCGTCTCGCGCGAATCGTCGAGCCGATGATGATATCCCGTGGTCTCTTCGTGTCGCGCCTCACGGAGTTCCTGCCACAGCCAGAAGAGAATCTCCTATTTCGCTCTAAAACTGGAACTGCAAACCGAAGCCATCCAAACGGGTCCTGTGTGGCGGCAAAAAAATAACCTCCCCGAGGTCAGTACCAGTTTCGTCGCTGGAGCCGCACAGTTTCAGTTCTTCTTTATTAAGCTTTTGTACCATCCAAACAGGGTTACAGTTTTGTTGCTCAGTTTTCCCAAAAACTGAGGCTATCCAAATGGGCCCTTAGTATTTTTTCGTCAAGAGTGTTGTGTCAAAATCGCCCTCATATATGGCTGCCATAATGCTTTTGACCTTAGTACACTGCTCCATATGGTAGGTATGGGGTAGCGCGGTTGCGCGGTAGTGGGCACAGTGGTGCGTTTGCTCAACGTCTGTGGTTACTTCACTGCAACATATGCGTCAACATCGCAAAGAGCACCGTCTGCGAGTGACGGCGGGGGGATTGGCAGTGGTCGGGTCGCTACTAAATTACATACCTGGCAGTGGGAGACCTAACTTCCCTCGCCGGTCGTATCCGGGCAACGGCAGGTAGTAGGCAACTACCTGATACATACTTCGAGCACGGTGCACCTGCCTTTCTATGTACGTCGCGTGCCCTCAGGGTCACGAATCAGAGTACGCTGCTAGTCAGTTATGCTTTACTCCCGAGCGGTATGGGGCCTGGGCAGTGACACAGACAAGAATTCCAAGACTCTCGGAATCATGCACACCGCAAGATTCAAGTGCTCTGGTCGGGTGCCATCTTTGAAGAAGCTCTGAGGGTTATAAGCAGGGCGGTCTCCCACGGCTTCCCTTTTCTTCCTCCTACCCTCCCTATCCACGCTGAACTTGACGTACGGAACAAAGACTGATACATACCAGATCAAAGGCCAAGAAGCAACTCAACCTCTTCACATCAATCTAGTTTCCACAACGATCACCACTACCCAGCAAGAAAACCACCCAAAAATGTCACGAAACGTCTTCGGCGATATAGCCGTGATACCTCACCTGCCTCATGCCGATCAGGCGTTCGCCCTACTCACGCGTCTCGCGCGAATCGTCGAGCCGATAATGATATCCCGTGGTCTCTTCGTGTCGCGCCTCACGGAGTTCCTGCCACAGCCAGAAGAGAATCTCCTGGGCCTCAACTACGGCCAGGGCTGGTGGATCTGCATCGGCCTGCGCAAGAACAACCACCGGGGAATAAACCAGTTCAGGCCTGAGGAGGATCTACTGGACACCCTGCTACATGAGCTGACGCATAATCACTTCGGACCGCATGACGCGAATTTTCACGCATATCTAAGGGGGCTGAAGGAGCAGTATTATCTGCTCATGTCCCTGCAGGGTGATGATCGCCAGCCGGAGAGACAGGGAGACGGCCGCTACCACCAAGACCGCGACCGCGACCCTGGGCGACGTCCGCAGGTGCCCGGAGGACGGGACCATGATGGTATGTACTATTGGTAACTACCTATGTACTGACGTGCGGCGGGATTGAACTCACGTTGACGGACGGACGGAAGGGTAGATGTCAATCCTGGAGACATGGAGACATGAAGAGTACTACCGATTTTGATTGGATTTGCCGTTTTTCTTTTCTTTTTTCGTTGCTCGCTAACTAGCATTCATTCTATAATGACCGCAAATTAATACCTACTTGGCTTTGATTCAAACCGAAGCAGAGCTTCACTTCTGGTTCAACGTCTAGAGTACTGTATGGTTTAAAGTTTCCTTCTCGGTTGGTGGCTCTTGGTGCACGGGGTGAATGGCTAGTCGGCAGTGAATATCTTGAGTCCAATATTGGTCGAGAAGTCCATCCGGTTCACTCGAATCCTGTCCGTACGATGGTACCCCCAATACCCCCAATACCTATAACCAAATGATATTTCTTACCAGAAGCATTAAGCTTGCATCGACGAACCGGATCCAGTGATATTCCCTTATGTACTCGGGTGTAAGGGTAAGTGCTGCCTCACCAGTTTTTCCCCTATACAGCTTAGCGTTTTCCCCCCTTACAACTTAGTCACAATCCCTCACTCATCTCATTGTATCTGGCTTAGTACGCTCCTAGTACAGACTAGTGCTCAGAATTCGTAATGGTGGTGAGGCACCACTTTTTGGCAGCTCCTGGTACGGAATCGGATGGCTGACGCTGATTCGCGGTTATGATATACCAAGCTGCTGTAACTAAGTTATGGGCCACATCGATATCGTGTGCAATCATCAGTCTCATTTTAAAGTAATAATACATTAGTATTTTTTCGTCAAGAGTGTTGTGTCAAAATCGCCCTCATATATGGCTGCCATAATGCTTTTGACTTTAGTACACTGCTCCATATGGTAGGTATGGGGTAGCGCGGCAGTGGGCACGGTGGCGCGTTTGCTCAACGTCTGTGGTTACTTCACTGCAACATATGCGCCAACATCGCAAAGAGCGCCGTTTGCGAGTGACGGCGGGGTGATTGGCAGTGGTTGGTCGGCTCACTACTAAATTACATACCTGGGAGACCTAACTTCCCTCGCCGGTCGTATCCGGGCAACGGCAGGTAGTAGGCAACTACCTGATACATACTTCGAGCACGGTGCACCTGCCTTTCTATGTACGTCGCGTGCCCGCAAGGTCACGCGCAGTGCGTGCGCTGTTAGTTATCCCTACTGCCGAGCGGTATAGGGCCTCGGCAGTGAAACGGGCAAGAATTCCAAAACTTCCGGAGCACTCCAAGGATGGAGGTGAAGAATCCGACTGCATCCGGCAGCGAAAGCAGTACCGCAGCTTCTTCTTCAAGATACCTGGAATGGGCGGGAAGGTCCAAGATCCACGCCGCAAGATTCAAGTGCTCTGGCCGAGTGCCATATTTAAAGAAGCCCATATGGTTATAAGCAGGGCCGGTCACCCACGGCTTCCCTTTTCTTCTCCTCACAATACACGCTGACTTCAAAATCACACTGAACAAAGACAGATACATACCTCACACCAGATCAAGGACCAGAAGAAACTCAACCCCTTCACTTACATCTAGTTTCCAATAACGAGCACTGCGAACCCAGCTGGGAAACCACCCACACAATGTTGCGCAACGTCTTCGGCCATATAACCGTGATGCCGCACCTGCATAACGCCGGGGAGGCATTAGCCCTCCTCACGCGTCTCGCGCGAATCGTCGAGCCGATAATGATATCCCGTGGTCTCTTCGTCGAGCACCTAACCGAGTTCCTGCCACAGCCAGAGGAGCGTCTCCTGGGCCGCAACTACGGCCAGGGCTGGTGGATCTGCATCGGCCTGCGCAAGAACAACCACCGCGGGATAAACCAGTTCAGGCCTGAGGAGGACCTGTTGGGCACCCTCCTGCATGAGCTGACGCATAATCTCTTCGGAAGGCATGGTGCGGATTTCCACGGATATCTAAAGGGGCTTAAGGATCAGTATTATTTGCTTATGTCCCTGCAGGGTGATGATCGCCAGCCGGAGAGACAGGGAGATGGCCGCCACCATCAAGACCACGACCACGGCCATGGTCGGCGTCCGCAGGCTCTGGGAGGATGGGACCATCACCGCGAGCATCCCCGGGCTGGTGGCCGGGCTCCACCGGTCCTACCACCAGCAGCAGCAGCACCACCCCGTCGTGGCCCTCCAGGTAGAAGACCAGGCTACGGCGGCGGCAATAACCCCGCAACCATCAACAATCCCCCGCAAGTGAGGATGCCCAACGAGCCCATCGACGGCAGGGGCTTCGTCGGCGACGGTCGTCGCCTGGGCGGCCATTTCCAGGTCCCGAGTGATGCGGATGAGGAATGGCTGCGTATTGCGAGGTTGCATCGGCTTGGGTGATGGTATGTACTATCATACCAGGTAGGTATACATAGTATGGGGTGATGGTATGTACTGACGTGCAGCGGGATTGAACTCACGGCAGCGGACCGACGGAAGGGCCGGTGTCAATCCAGAGGCGTGGAGAGTACTAATTGAATTTGCGGTTTTTTCTTTGTTTCTTTCTTTCGTTGCTCGCTGACTAGCATTCATTCGACAATGACCGCAAATTGATACCTAGGCTTTAATTCAAACTGATGCAGACATTCACCCAGTGATATTTCCTTATGTACGGAATCGGATGGCTGACGCTGATTAGAGGTTATTGTAAGTTACCTAGCTGCTGTAGTTAACTATGGGCCACATCGTTAGATGCCCACGATTTGTTGTGGGAAACGGCCAATGTGGAGCCCTGCGTTCGATATCTGCTCACTACGACGTAGTTCGTATCGGAAGAGTGAGTGCGGTGCTCATACATGTACAATCATCAGTCTCATTTTGAAATAATAATAAAAGTATCCTGAAAAGACACTGTTTTTTCTTGGCATTCGCTGAGGAATCGGTGTCACTGCAGATCAATTGTTATGGCGACGTCCAAGCATGTGGTTTGTGTTGGGATGTCTCGGTATATTCCGCGACACTAACAGAACCCGTTGGTGTTGATCTAGAGCACTTCCACAGCAGTGATCTTACCCTCGCCGAGCATAAGCGTTACGCGCGACGACGACGGAAGACGACCACGACCACGACGGAAGACGACCACGACCACGGAAGACGACCACGACCACGGAAGACGACCACGACCACGACGAAAACTTCCACTCCGAAACTTAACAGCTCCTCCAACTTCTTCCCGGTCCCGCAGAACCCGAAATCCGCGAATTGCCTGCCCCTCCAGTAGACCCAGCGACTACGACTGTCCTTAAACTTCACACTGCTCGACAAAGTCCCATCCACCGAGGTATGCGCGCGTGTCCCCTCCCCCATTGAGTCTTCCTTCTTGGCCGACTCTGGCTAACGAATGCAGACACGGCGTGCACACCCCCACTTACTCACCCGCTCGATTGTTTAGTTCCACACGTCAGGGCCCGCCGAGCCATGCCTCCACCGATGTTCAACGAGACGGCACGGCGAAAGTTTACGGGCAACATCACCTTCTACCGGGAGCAGTACTGTTACCGGCAGCGAGTGTTCCTGCCGCGGAACATCAATGCGGTTCTCAAAGCGAACGCGACCACGCACGAGGCCAGCTGGGACGCCCAAGAGCCCGGGGCTTCGAGTCGGCAGAGGAGGAAACCCGCCCCTGAAGTCCAGCGGCCACGCGGGGAAACCATCGCCGAGATTTGCAACAAACTGCAGCCGCCAAAGGACGAGGCGAGACTCAAAATCAATGTCGTCGCCGTAAAACGCACCTCCTCCGCCCCGAGGAACAGCGCAGCCACATCTACCCGTAACGTTTCCTGTTCGGCTTGATGGGGTGGAGTGGCGGAAGTGCTGATGATCTCGTGGAAGAGGCAGCGTCGGGTCCGATGTCGTTTCGGTGTATTGTCAAATTGACGGTCTGGTACCTCAAGGACGGCACAACGCCAGCCGATATCTCTTACACGCAACAGCTACATTGTGAAACGGAGATGGGCACCATCACATACGACACCGAGGACTCGGCCACAGTAGACATGGATGATTGGTTCATTTTGGGGATCAGCAAGTTGCGCGCAACGATCGAGAGCGACGACGGGAAGCCAGAATTCAGAGTAGCTGATAGATACCGTTACGAGCTCGCGATATCCGCCGTTGACCATGCGAGCACATGGCCACCCCTTCATACGGGAGACCCGGGCTTCGGGCGTAACGCTAAGAACGTTGAAGTCGTCGTATGGTTCGAAACCCATAGGCTCAAACCACCCAGCAACACGCCTCCGACCAGAGTTTTCTTCAGGTCGGCAGGAGTGGTCGGCAAGAACAGCGCCCATCTGAGTGTAGTGATAGAGACTGGATGGCGGAATCCGAGGAAGCGTTTGCTACTACGGCAGCAGAAACCTAAGAGACAAGCGACTCCGGGCTCGGACGGAAGGGCTCTTGAAGCAGCGTCGAGTTTCAATACCATACTGACTTGCTACACTTTCGTCGCCGAAGTCAGGAACGGACGGAGTACGTTTGGCCCGCCGGATTCGAAAGGTCAGCACACGTTTACCACCCCAGGATTCGGTTGTTGCCTATGCGATGGACGACAGTTCCCTTCTGTGAAATACTTGCACTTTCATTTTGTTACTGCCCACGCGCTGTTTCACTTCAAGGTCACGTCCAGGAAGCCGCAGCCGGGTTTGCGCAGCGGCGACCAGTACGCCGACCTGTATATCAAAGTTGTCGTAGATTTAGCCCGGGACACGACACATAGCAGGGCTAGTGACCACACCCCGGACCACAGAATAATGACCTGGGTCAGGCCAACCAGAGAATTTGATGTCAACAGGATACTGAAGGGTGATTGGAGTTGGATGAACGAGAGGAAAGGCACTGTTGCGGCCAACCGCCCAGTTGCAGGCCCCGAATTCCCCGAACCGGCGGGAATGAAGAGGCATTTCGACTGGAACGATATACGTGATGTTACTCAGAGGGAAAAGAGAAGGTTTCTGGTGAAGAAGCCTCGACATACAGAGAAGGGACTGGTCTACGTGCGGACCGTGTCCAAACGATACGTTGAGGTTGGGGAGGTATTGAGTGACAGCGACGATGACGTCGATGAAGAATGGTTGTTTCGAAAGCACGAAGAGGTGTGTACCAATCTCGTAGTCGGTGTAGTCTTTTGGCGGCGATTCCTGTCCAATGGCAGTGGGAGAGTGTTGGCAAATCTCAAATTCTCTGAAGTTGTCCGTTGGACGGCCGGGTTGTGACAGACAAACCGTGAAGTGAACTTCAACCATCCCGCCAGTTGGGGATTGTCGGCAGGTGTCACCATAATACGTGGTTTTCTGCTGGGAGCTTGTGAAGTTGATGTTGTTTGGAGTCCTGCTTACTGACCCCTCCATGGCAGACGATCTGTGATTTCGAAGACATAGCTAAGACTGAGCACACCTTCATGAAGTTGTGGGATAAGCACATGTTCGAAGAACGGTAAACTCCTCTGCATGGTTTTGCGTTCCGAGGGTTCTTGAGACTGAGACTGAATGAATTTAACGAGAAAACAGAATACCCAGCATGTCCCACCTCGGCCCCTCGGTGTACCGCTTCGCAAAGAAACACCGGGAACTTCTCTGCAGCGGGCCACTTTTTGTCGAATTCTGGAAGCACTGTTTGAACCAAATCCAGTACCGCACAATCGATGCCGAGTGCCTGCGCGTGGTGATGGAAGTCGTCAAGGGCGGCAAGGACAACTGGTCGTCGGCGGGGAAGACCGAGTGCGGTGTCGGACTCAAAGGCCCCTATGTGCTGGACGAGCCGAGTCCTTCGCCGCCGCCATCGCCGGTGGCAATGGCGAACCGGAGGCGGTCAAGCATGCGGAGACCGGGGCGTGTAACGCGCGGGGATACGATCGATGTCGATGCCGAAAGTGACCTGCTATCGGCGAGTCAACTCGGCCAGGCCAACAAAGTGAAGCAATTCGCAGCCAAAGCACTGGCAGATAAAACGGCGTCCCCCTTCGGCATCTGCATTTGTAAGGGACCGTGGGATCGGACGCAGATGGTGCTCTGCCGCGGAAAGGTGAGATTTTTTCCAGATCCTGCACGCCTAACCACCACCACCAAGCAGCTAACGTGAACCTGCAGAGTTGTTCCACGCGGTGGTTTCATCGCTCGTGTTACCAGGTCACCCGGTGGTCCATGAACTGGGTGTGCCCAATGTGCGTCGTTGCCGATAGCAAAAAGGTGGAGACGCCAAATTCGGGCTCAAATTACGACTCGGGGGACGAACGTACGCCGTAGGTCAGTGGAGCGTTTGAGTGGTGGATTGCAGAGGATTTTGTTTGCTCTTCGGCGTCTGGTGGGCTCGTTTACCGTATTTCATTTTTCTGAGGGAAATGCCAGTTTCCTTTTACATCCATATGTTGTTCTGCCGTGGTCACTATTGTTGAGTAGAAAACATGTTGTGGCGTTTTTCGGTCTGCCGCATTCTTGATCCCTTTCTCTAATACTTGTGTAATCTGTACAATACATATAGATAGTCCCATTTGGCTGTGGGAGACTGGGAGTTACGATAGGTTCATTTTCCTTGCTCGGGCTACTACCTATTTGTTATCATGGTATGTAGCAGCGAGTGATTGCTGGCAGAAGCTTGGGGGTTTCGTCGTTCTCCTGGTCAGACTTTTGGCCCGTAGATGTGCCGTTCGTAGTGCATATACATTATATAGATATTATAAACCCGGGGAACTTTGTTGTCGTGCAAAAACTTTGGATATTACGGTTTCCCCGAACCACATTGCCATCAGTGCGGAGGATGGCTTTTTTCCGGCCACGTCCAGGCCGTTCGGACCTGGCAGTTCCGCATCTGAGCCCATCGGACTTGACACATGTTCAGCAGTTCCCAGTGACAAAGCCGACCTCCACACCCAGTTTCCCGGGAAGTAGTTTTAGTATGTACCGGCAGTGTCTATTTGCGGGTGCGGCGGTGGTTATACAAACCCAAACCTGCGGAAGCTGTGATTAGCATTTGCTCAGCAACGAGACGTAGTTGGTGGTACAACCCAGCGGTCCTGTGGATGATCACAGGACGTTGGGAAAGAGAAGGTGTCCCGAACAAGCGAGTAGTTACTAGCACATAGCCGTTACCCGTTTCGTTCAGCCGAAAAGCTTATCTTGACGTGTGTATTGTGGCGCGATACTACTCTATAAGAACTGGTGAATAGCTGGCGGCCCTGCTCCAATGGCCCAGAATTTCACATGTAGTTGTGTCTGGGTGGTGGGGCTGAACAACCCCAACTATGCGTGTAGCATACCTTATCACATGGCGGGCATGTTTTTTTTTTCTCCAGGAGTAGCTTTTCTAGTCTTTCCATGGCGCATTGGAGCCTATCTCTCGGCCGCTCCAGGCTCCAGCTGGTCCAGTGATAGAGTTCGGACGGAAGCGGTGATCCGTTCGACGAAACTTAAGCTCGAGTATCGTAGTGACTAGTCATAGCCATATTGGGCCTGCTGAATGGTGAGACTCAACGGAAGTTTAATACTTGTGTAAAGCGGCAGAATTCGACCCCTCTTTCCCCCGTTCCTCTCTTTCCCACTTCCACACTTCCAGACTTCTTCACTTCCTCCTCACTTCCTCACACCCTCACTTCCTCACACCCTCACTTCCTCACACCCTCACTTCCTCACACCCTCACTTCCTCACACCCTCACTTCCTCACACCCTCACTTCCTCACACCCTCACTTTCGATCATCTGGAAGCACTCAGCTCAAGCTTGCTATTCACAATCTTCCGCTCTCCCTCTAAATTCTGCCTCCGACTCCTCCTTTCTATTTTATATCTCTTCTCCGATCTTTCGAAATGAGTACTCCCGTCCGCAACATCCCCACTCCCGCCGCAAATCAGCTGTCGGACGTCCAAATCGTAAGTTCATCCGCGCCCTCGCGATCCCCCAACTCGTTACTAAGTTCTGTGAAGGTCCGCGCCGGAAAGATGGACATCGAGCAGCTCGCCGACATTTTCTCTCTCGGCCTGACCTACGATTGTTCGCCCTTCCTGTGGAGTCACACCACCGAACAGGCCCGTAGGCTACCGGTCGGACACGGTATGTATTCCTGTTTCCCAGCGCTGCCGCCGCAGTGTTATTAACAACCACCGCAGAGACCTGGGACATCCTGTGCGCCGTGTCAGAGCTGTGGCCGCGCCATCGCACCAACGAAGCGCTGCTTTCCGTCGCGACTCATGCGTACAACCGCACGCACGCGGATTCGTTGGCGACCGCGACCCGCGGCCGCGAGATCACCGCCGACGTCGGGAACATCCGGTTCATCGGCACGGTAGACTGTGCGGCGAGGATTACCGCGGTCGGGGACAGGCCGGCCATCATCGCCGTCGACGTGGCGGATTCGGAAACGTTCCTTCGCTACGGCCGCGATCAGCTGCTGAATACCTTGCTCATGGAATGGGACGGGACCGGACTCGTTCAGGGTTTTGTCTCGGACGGATTGATGTTCTGCTTCGTGGCGGTCGACCACAGCATGGTGTTCCAGTCGCCCACTTATCACATCGATCGCCGGGAAGACCTGATCGTCATCTATAACCGCCTCCTCGATATGCTCCGGTTCTGGCCAGATGCCCAGCCTCAGCCCCAGCAGTAGCTCGAGAATTCGAGCCGTACGGAGGAGAAGCTGCGATATCTCGCCCGCACCGCCCCCATAGCTGGTGAATCAGGTACAGACAGTCATCGCACTGCTCCTAATATCACCGATCCTCGGTCTGCAATCTAGTATGTAAGTTGCATTAACACTCAACCGACATGGTATCAGTCGCTAACCCTTCTATTCTAGGTTTTTCGAACCGCCGTTTTGTTTTTTGTTTTTGCCACCTGTCTTGTTTGGCTGCATTTAGTATGGGATGAAAGTTTGAAAGTTTGAGAGAGAGAGAGAGAGAGATCTTGTTTTTATTTCGCGTGCAGCCTATCTAGACTATGGCGAAAATGTTTGAAAGTTTGAAAATTTGAACATCGATGCAACCGCGGTGACCATCGAGTGATCCCGCATGCTACTGTGTAGTCGCGCCTAATCCCCCAACAACCACCTAGAAAGGGCCAACATCGCCGAACACCGCTGTAGGCTGTAGCAAGTGAATGCCAACACCCCTGGAATAGAGGGTCCGTTTGGATGGCCTCAGTTTTAGCGAAAACTGTCAGTTTTTCGAGAAACTGAGCAAACAAAACTGTAACCCCGTTTGGGTGGCACGAAAACTTTTTTAAAAAACTGAAACTGTGCGGCTCCAGAAATGAAACTGGTATGTACTGACCTCAGGAGGTCATTTCTTTGCCGCCACTCAGTATCGCATTTTAACTTCAACCATGGACTCCCATCACGGTGAAGAGAAAAAAGCGGGGCTACAATGTGTCCACTATTAAAGTTCTGGCGAAGCCTATTATTTAGACTTATTACTGAGTATACTGAGAATTGCCAAACACTCTGTTCGCCTCACAGTTCTCCGGAAACTGTAACTGGACAGTATTCGGTGTCCCGGCGGGGAACTGAATTTCGCTCTGAAACTGGAACTGCAAACCGAAGCCATCCAAACGGGCCTACGAATGATACCCCCCCAACATCTGCCGCCCCATCACTAGAGGCGAATTCTACTCCATAATGACGTGCAAGGTTGAAGTCACAGGGAAGACACGACTTGCGGAGCAGAATCTAGTGAGCTATGCCTTCCCTCCCGTTATAGCCCTCGCTGAGCTACTATGGCACCTGCGGACGGGAATGTGGATGGGCGGCTTGTGAGTTTGTACCGGGCTCGAGCCTTGCGGACCTCGTGGTCCCGGCCTTGCATTGCGAGAAAGGCAGGCGTGTATATACGCAAGACGGGTGGTAGGCTGAGTAGAGCAGGCGGATCTGGAAGAAGTGCGGTGACTGGTCTTGAGCGAATAAGGTTCCGAAGAGAGAGTGGGTTTTAAGGAGTGGGTTGGCTATGTTCGTACGTGAAAATACAGCTCCGGTGGTGGTGGTGAGGACTTAATCGACCTACCAGGTAGGTAGGTCGCCGGGCGATTGAGCCCGGGGCTTCGAGTGACGCCAATATCCCAGCCTTCGTTGTACTTTACTCTGCATAGCTTGAATGGGCCGACCAGGCTTGTTTACCGAGAACCCCGCCAATCGTACCCCCGCTGCGTGGGTAAGCGTGTAACGCGGCTGGCTGCAGAGTTCGCACCATGGGTGATGTCATGTGAACCTCGCGAATCGCTTGTTGTCACTCGGAAACTAGGCTCTCCGGCCTCAGCTGAGTGCTAATTATACACGACAGGGCATGAGAGATTGTACATACACGGCTCAAAAAGAATCATGCATATTCAGGCAGAGGAAATGTGCGATGCCCACACAGCTTCTGCTATGTACCTATGTCCGACCATTTGTTCGCCGTATTGACTCAATCAACTACAGCAACCCTTCCAGAGGCGATGTACCTAGGTCGGCATTGACTGGTCGATGCGCCAATGCCTACATGATACCAGTAGTTGGTCGTACAGTTTCAATAAACTCCCGTTTTTTTACTATCGTATGGAGCACTAATAAAGAATCCATTTTCTCTTCTCTGGCTGCTCAAGTGACTACCGCACCTAGGCCGTATGTGACAACAAAATAACGTTCTATCTTTCAAATTTCCATGGCTCGAGTGGTTGTTTGTGCATTGCTTACCATGCTTCCAGTGGGTACATATTCTCAGTTATCTGGATTCTGATATGCTGTCGTAGAGTACTCTACTAGAGTGCTGTGGCGCGATACTACTCTATAAGAACTGGTGAATCGCTGGCGGCCCTGCTCCAATGGCCCGGGATTTGACATGTACATAGTTGTGTCCGGTTGGTAAGGCTGTGTGATAGCTTCAAAGCGCCATTCGCATCATCCGGTGAAGTTCCGCAATCGCCCGGAATTGGTCTTGAAGGGGCCAGCGCTGTGTTACGCAGGAATACCAAGAAATGATGGAGCGCCGGAATTTGAAAATTGAAGATACTACCTCTGCCATTTGCCGCAACACCGAGACCGAAAGACTTCATGGCAAACAGACAGCAAAGCTGTGAGCTTGGATGTTCTCGTCTACTAGCAGCAGCGATTCGGAAGACAAAAAAAGATGATCTTCCGTTACGGGGAATTGAACCCCGGTCTGGCCGGTTTATTGCTCTGCTTGAGAGCGGCCGATGCTAGCCACTACACCATAACGGATTCCTGTTAGCAACTAGCTTAATATAAATTCAAGCCCTCCCACAAAGCCCGGAGAATGTTGACTTTACTAATTTTCTAGATGTGAGTCTAGGAATCAGCATGGGGAAGATCGTACTAAGATGCCAGGCGCCGTATAGCGGGTGAGGCAGGCGTCCTAGCGATGCTAATATTCGTGGAGCTGGAGTAATGTCCATACATTTAACATATACCTACGGTACCCACTTGGCTACCCAGCCACTGGCAGTCGAACGGTAAGTCGCCCCCACGGCTGAGAGCTTCAACTAAAACCGCAACCGGTCAGCGGATCTCCTGAACTGACAGGTCTGAGCTGCCAGAGAACCTACAAAGGAATTCTCTCAACGCCGATAATCTCTAGCATAAAACTTCCACAGAATCAGGCAACAGTCCATAAAAGAAGTGAATATTAAGGCAACTAACACTCTTTCTCACTCGATCGAGAAGACTTCAGGCTTCCCATGTTGGTTAAAATCTTGAGATTCTTGTCAGAGAATGGAACCACGATGTGATCTGTAAGGATGGTGTCCTGACCGGAGACCGCCCAGGCATCAACTAGGGTATCTACTGACGAAGTCACGAAGTAGCCACACGGAACGGAAAGCTCACCATGTCGGCGGGTCCCGCTACCAATAACATAACCCAAGCCCCACCCGAAGAAGTGATTTCCCGTTGACCGGGTATCCGGATAGGGCATCAAGTTGATGGCAGCCGTCAACATTCACTGTACTAGCCATCGATAACAGCTAAAAACTGCATTCGTCGGTGGTAGGTGCTGCTGGATACCAAGTCTATTTCTAATGTCAACTACTCTCACGTCAGCGAGGGGAATCTTTCCTCAAGTGGGAAGGAAGGGCCGCGCATTGATCCCCAATGACGGGGCTGATATGTAGCCTGACAGGTGAGCAGTGGGGATAATGTTACGGCAGTTGGGAGGCCTTGGGGTATACGGATGTGCCTCCCGATCGGTGCTTGAACGCCGGTCCACGGCCCGGCACTACAAGCCAATGTATCTTGCTATATCTTGTTCATAAAAGAGCTGGAGCCCAGTCGTGAATCCATTCTGAGCATATCATCCTTCTTTGATCAAGCTCCTCCCCAACTCCTACACCGATGCCAATCCCACAGCTCCGCCAGCTTAACACCTCCCCCGCCGCATACTGCGACGCTCCAGATATCTGGACCCAAGTTTTTGAGAATCCTCACCGAAGGTCAGTTGTTCCATCGGTTGGAAACCGTCAAGTCTAACCTCCCACAGCTTCGACGAAGACAAAGTCGTCCTCGTTCAGAGCGAGACTTCCGAGACCGTTACCTACTCGCAAGTCCGAGATGGTTCCCGCGCGTTTGGAGCTGCCCTGGTGAAGAAATTTGGCATCAAGCAAGACGATGTCGTAGCAGTCCTCTCACCAAACCATACCGACGCAAGTATGTTGCGCTAATGCCGGATACTCCGGCACTATTTTGCGAACCGCACCTACAGTTCCGAGCTAATTCGCTGTACTGTCTCAGTCATCGTGGCCTTCGGTATTGCGTGGACCGGAGCCCTGATGAATCTCCTGTCTCCCGTTGCCACCAAGGAAGCGCTCGTCTATCACCTCAAGGACTCGAGTACGAAGGTGCTCGTGGTACATGCGTATTTCGAAGGCCTAGCCACCACACTGGCCGATGAAGCGGGTGTGGGACGTGAGAATATCTTCATCCTGGGAGGAGAGTCAAAGTCGTTTCCATCGTGGAAAGACTTCTCGAAGGGCGTGGGAAGTGTTCCGAAGCCACTGATATCGTCAAGAGACAATGTAGCGATGCTCAATTACACCAGCGGAACCACATCTGCGCCGAAGGGCGTTATGACTACCCATGCAAACATCATGTTCCTCGTTTCGCAGCTTGGGGCGATCGACGGGCCGCAAGTCAAACTCAACGGCTCATTATTGGTAGGAAGCACGGGCACTTCTAGAGCTGAGTGGTGGAGATTCTAATGGCGTTTCTCGCAGCTCGTCGTTCCATGGTCTCATTACTATGGCTTCCTGGTGCTCACAGTATATTCCTTCCACCTAGGAATTAAAACTGTCTTACTCCAGAAACCAGATTTCATAACGGTCAGATATGAACCAAGGACCTACATACTGTTTCCTCTGACCCGCGCTAACTCCGCTCAAAGATCCTTCACAGCATCGCTGACTACAAAGTTACCAACGCCCCTCTGGTCCCCGCACTGATCGCTGGTCTCCTGCATCCGGCGGCCAGGTCCATCGACTTCTCCGCGCTGACCGACATCTTCGTTACCGCCGCGAACCTGAAGATGCCGATCCGCACCGCCGTCGAAGCCCAACTTGGGCTCAAGATCCGCAGCGGCTACGGGATGACCGAAGGCGTGTTTATATACTCGAGCTCCATCGACTACGAGACAATGGACACATCCGGGCTCCTCATTCCCGGATTGACGGCTAAGATCGTCCTCGAGACCGGAGAGGAAGCCAGGGCGCCCGGTCAGGTCGGCGAGTTCTGGATTAAGGGCCCCGCTGTGTTCAAGGGATACTTCAACAGGCCCGATATCAACGAGAAGGTGTTCACCAAGGATGGGTTCTTCAAGACTGGCGACCTGACCTCCGTTGATGTGAACGGTGCGGTTAGTGTCCATGGTAGAAGGATCGAAGCGATTTACCGTGAGGGGAACTGGGTCATTCCCCAGGAGGTGGAGGAAGTCATCGATACGCACCCCAGCATGAAAGAGAGCGTTATGGTTCCCGTTGTAGTGGATGGGGAGAAATTGCCAAAGGCATTCGTGGTCGTGAATGAGGGCATTGAGCAAACAGCAGAGCTATTGGAGGAGATCCTTATGTTTGTGAACGCAAAGGTTTTTATCCGCAGCGAATATTACGGTCGATTCTGGGCTAACAGTTATACAGCTATCGGCGATTCAGCAATTGCACGCGATTGCTTACATAGAGACAGTCCCCAAGAGTTTGGCGTGAGTGATCCCTTCCCGCAGACCAACCGCACTACCTTCCGAGCTGACGATTGATACGATGTGCACAGTGGGAAGATCCACCGGACCCGGCTGGTATAAGTGTGTGTGTGGGGCGGTGGGATTCATATTTTGGAACTTTTTTCTCCATGCTTCTCCATATCATCTCCCAATATAAGTTCAGTTCACCGGTGCTTCTCGCCACATCGGCGATCTTGACATCTTCCACGGGCCTCCGGATGTTTCATGCCTTGGATCCCAGCCACCCGTAACTACATGGTAGCATACCACCAAAACAATCGGAACCAGAGGCCCATCTGCCCGTACCTAGCCAACCCCGCCATCCAACCTTTCAATCTATCTATCCATATGACCGTACCGGCGCAACGGCATGAATCATGATCGACGACTACCGAGGGGATGTAGATTACGTGCACGTCCCTTTACCGCAGCCGGGAATTAATCTAGCCACAAATTGCGTACATGCACTCTTCCTAGATAGTAGGTAGCCCAGGGCGTCGACATCGACCATGAACACGAGCTTTATATTCACGCCCAGCCCGAGGATATATGCAGCCCGGAGCACATTGAAGCGTACAGTGAAGCGTATGGTAGTTACAGTGAGAAACCAGCTCGCCGTGACGATGCCCCCTCCCGCAGCACAGAGTGCGCACAAATCATGCCCGCGATGGCTGCCTGACACTCTCCTCCGCCCGCCTCAGGGCCTCCTGCTCCTGCTCCTGGGTAACCTCGACCCTCCACTCCTTGTACGAAGGGTAAGTGCCGTTCTGGCCCTGCTGGACGTCAGTGTCTACTCCTCAACTCCTCCACTCATGAGAACCCACCTCCGTGGCTACGTTTCCCGCAGCAGCAGCCTCGTTGGGGGCTGCGTGCGCAGCGGAGTGCGTCTGTGTCGATGAGAAGCGGAGGCCTACGAGGGAGGCGCGGCGGGGGATGGTGCGGAGGATGGTGTTCATTGTGGTTTGTTATTCGTGGTAACGTATGTATGTGGTATATATTGGATTTGAGGGAGCGGCCAGCGAGATGGAGATGGAGATGGGAATTGCGGGAGAGCTCGAGGGAAGCTCGAGGGAACATATATGCCCCATCAACCACTGTGTTACATTCACACCTTATGCCCATTGCCCACGCATGTGGCAGCGAGAACAACCGTTGCCGCGGGTACAGTCGCGCGGGGATTTGCGGGTTGGCATGTGAACTAGTGCGTGAGCAGGGTGCGGTTGAGCTGGATACCTACTGTCATGAGATGAGGACTCCCGGTGTGGTGGAGGTGCTGTGGGAAGGGCTCGGAACACTCGATGTTTGGCACATGAGGATGGGCCGGCTATGGGCTGGCACAGGTGGTGTGTTGCCAGATCCTGGGTTGCTGAAAGCCGTTGGCCAGGCTGTTTCACGAGTCAACTTCACAGCTCAAACAGTGTATGCTCTCCGGTCCAGTGCTATCAGAATGTTTTTTTTACGACCGTAGATAATTCATGAAGCCTGCAATGTTTGCCCGCCATTTCCTAGGGATGTTGGGCCAAGTGATAATACATGACGCATCCCCTTATGCTGTTCTCCTGTTGACCCTAGGGATCATAGCCCACAGCACCGCCATTGCCACCAACAAGCCGACCAATATCGGCTGCAAAACCTGCACGCCCACCTTCGAGGCCACGGCACCCGTCAGGAAGGGAAACGCCGCGCTCCCCGCCTGTCCAGTAGTCGCCATGAACCCGACGGCAGCCACGTGCAATTCTCTTGGTATTAACTTCGTGGCGACGCTGATACCGGTAGGGAAGAACGGGCCGATGAAGAAGCCCAGAAGTGAGATCATGACGGCGTTCGCGATGATGTTCGGCACGAACCAGAACACCAGTTGCACTCCGAGCGCCGCGATGAGGTAGAAGAAGACCATGCGCCGCTCACCGAGACGGAAGGTGATGTCTGCGAGGAGGATGCGGCCGGCTGTCAGACCTCCCCAGAAACCGGAGGCTACGTAGCCAACGTGCGAGGGTTCACCGCCGCGCACCCGGATCAAAAATTCAACGACCCAACCTGCACACCATGTAAGCAACAAATTCTGTCGACTTATGGAGGGGTTGACTCACCGCCGGCAGTAACCTCAGCACCAACGTAGACAAAGAAGAAGAGACTCATCAGGATGACGACTCTGTTAGAAATCGTCTTCTTCAGATCGCTCCCGGCACGCTCCCTCGCGCCCGCAGCTCCCTTGCCCAATCCCTTCTTGAACGCCATCAAAATAAGGCCAATATTGATCGCCGCAATGCTCATGAGCACGCAATAGAAGTAGTGCCAGTACGGCGTCGAGCTCGCAATCTTCGTCGCGATCAGCGGCGAGATCAAGGCGCCTAAGCCGTACACTGCATGCAGAACACCAAGCCATCGATGCGCATCGTTTACGCCGCCCACGAACGAATTCGCCTGCGCATCCTGAAGCGCAATGCCCATTCCAGCGATCAGATACGTGATAACGAACAGCGGGAACGGCGGCTTCCAAAACTGCAGCGAGTGCGCGATAAACTGCAACACCGCCCCAATCAACATTACGCCGCCGGTGCCCACGCGCGCCGTGAGATGGACATTCGAGAATGCGGCGGCCGTCCACCCCGCGAAGTTGAAGAGATAGACCAGCGCGACAAAGAGGAGGCCGATGTTGTAGGCCGGCTGCAGGTACGGAACGAGCGCGCCTGTCGCTGCGTCGTTCACCCCACAGAGGAAGACGGAGAAGTTCATCGAGATCAATTGCAGCTTGACGGCGGAGACGTCGGGGCGCGAGAAGACGACAGCGCCTTCTGGCGGCTGCGGGGATGATGGCCGCGATTGCTCCTCATCGTGGACAGTTATTTGCTCGAGTTCACTGGACCGAGACTTCGTTGGGATCCGCGAGAGCTCGATCGCCGCTGGAGTGGGAGTGGTGATGATGGTGGTCTGGGTGCTCGACATGGTAGGCAGCCTGCGAATTGGAGTACACGATTCAAGCAACAATCTGGCAAGAGATTACCGCGCGAAGTACTTATGCCATCCCATTTGAAGGTGAAACAGATGCGGGGGACATCGTGGGGTCTGTATGTATGAAAGGCGGAAGGCGGAAAGTCGGTCCGCGTATTCCCCCGATTCACGATCATGTGCAGGTCTAATGCAAATCAGGCCTGAGGAAGGCGCCGCGCCTACGGAGAAGGCCGACACACCGGATAATCAATGATCGTCTTCCCCTTTGGAGTAACAGTAAACGAAGTTCGAACGACTTCAGCATCAAATTCTTGCTAAACCCAACAGGATAGACTGGTAGCTTCTACTAGAACTTTGCTTTTCAGAATACCATATCCAAAGAAGGACAACAATTGGCCGTCAACTCACCAGGACGCAGAATGTTGCCCCGAACCTGTCCAGTCAGAATCGGCACGATGTGGCCACGCCGCAACAGAAAACCTGACGCTGGGAATTTCAGGAGTATGAAGAAGAGGATTGACGACTGATAATGGAAGTTTTAGAGACAATCAACCAGCACAGTGTGGATGTAGGATAAAAGCCTGGCGAACCTCGTAAACTCACGGAAAATAATTTCCCCGTCCTACCCGCCTAAACTCTTTTATGCATAACTCTGTAATTAGTATTTGCAGTCCGGCCAAGAGTCCGCGTATAGGTATATCGTGCGAGTAATATCACATGATCTGATTCGATTTTGCATCAAGATCTGGCTTCCAAAATAACCAGATCAAGCCTACAACCTCGTACCGCTCGAAACGACAGTGATTCCACTAACCAATATTCCATTTCTTCGGTAGAGACGGATGGGTGTGAATGGTAGAGTATTGTACACTGATGGGGGTTTTTGGAATAGTGAGGAGAGAGAAGAGAAGTAAGAGGGCCCTGCAACAAACTCCACTATGTACAACACACCACAGAACTTTCCAACGCCAATAACAAAAATAAAGAAAACGAAATCACTCGCTGCCACTTTTGAATCCATCCAAATCATTCCTTATACCCCTCCCTAAAAGTACACTACATCACCATCATTCGTGGGTTTGTATCTAGAACATGCCACCTCCCATACCGCCCATTCCACCCATGCCGCCCATGCCTCCAGAGGGCATACCTCCACCAGACTTCTCCTCCGGTGCCTCGACGATAGTGCACTCGGTGGTTCCAAGCAGGGAGGCAACACCGGAGGCATCGGCAAGCGAAGTGCGGACGACCTTCAGGGGGTCGACGATACCGGCAGCAATCATGTCGACGTACTCGCCCTTGGACGAGTCGTAACCCTTGTTGAAGTCATCGGCGAACTCGTCGGTGAGCTTACCAACGACAACGCTTCCCTCGCCACCGGCGTTCTCGATGATGGTCCTGGCAGGCTTGGTGATGGCCGACTTGACAATGTTGACACCGAGCTGCTGGTCAAAGTTGGACACCTTGACGTTGTTGAGGGCGTTCTTAGAAGCCTTCAGGAGAGCGGTACCACCTCCGGGGAGGATACCCTCCTCGACGGCAGCACGGGTGGCGTTCAGGGCATCGACGAAGCGATCCTTCTTCTCGCCGACCTCAACCTCGGAGCTACCACCGACACGGATGACGGCAACACCACCCGACAGCTTGGCATTGCGCTCAGCGAGCTTCTCCTTCTCATACTCAGAGGTAGCGGGGTCGTTCATGACACCGCGAATCTGCTCGCAACGCTGGGCAATGGCATCCTTGGAACCGTCACCGTTGAGGATGATGGTGTCCTCCTTGGTAATGGTGAGAGAGCCAGTGGATCCGAGCATCTCGGCGGTGAGCTTGTCGAGCTTGGCATCGATCTCGTCGGTGAAGACAAGTCCGTTGGTAAGGACAGCAAGATCGCCGAGGATGTTCTTGCGGTTGTCACCGAAGCCGGGAGCCTTGACGGCAGCCACCTGGAGCTGTCCGCGGAGCTTGTTCAGAATGCAAACAGCGAGAGCCTCACCCTCAATATCCTCGGCAATGATGACCAAAGGACGACGCAGCTGGGTGGAGATCTCAAGGGCGGGGATGATGTCCTGGACGGCGGAGATCTTCTTTTCGCTGAGAAGGATGAGGGGCTTCTCAAACTCGACCTTCTGGGACTTGGCGTCGGTGATGAAGTAAGGCGAAACGTAACCGCGGTCGAACCTCATACCCTCGGTGATCTCGAGCTCATCCTCGGTGGTCTTGCCCTCCTTGACAGTGATGACACCCTCCTTTCCAACCTTCTCCATGGCATTGGCGATCAACCGTCCGATGTGGTGGTCACCGTTGGCAGAGATGGTAGCGACCTGAGCGATCTCCTCGGAGGTGGTGATGTCGCGCTTGTTGCTCTGGATGTACTCGATAACAGCCTTGACGGCAGCCTGGGTACCACGGCGGAGGTCCATGGGGTTGCATCCGGCGGCAACGTTCTTGACGGTCTCAGTGAAGATAGCACGGGCAAGGACAGTGGCAGTGGTGGTACCGTCACCGGCGACGTCGTTGGTCTTGGAAGCAACATCTTGCAGTAACCGGGCACCGAGGTTCTCGAACTTGTCCTTCAGTACAATGGCCTTCGCAACAGTGACACCATCTAGGAAGTATCAGTAATGAGAGCTACGCATAGAGACGCAAGAAACCCACCCTTGGTGATCTTGGGGCTGCCGTAAGGCGACTCAATCAACACATTTCTTCCCTTAGGTCCCAATGTGACAGTAACGGCTCTCGCCAAGATATCAACACCGTTCAACAGGGCTTGTCTTCCCTCAACACCGAATTTCAATTCCTAAAAGCGCGAGCACCAATCAGCTATTGCTCAGCCGAAACGATGATTGATGGCAGCCGGCCCGACAAGGTGAGCTCTGAAAGTGCGGGGTTTGGTGCCGTACCTTGTGTGCATATCCTCGCGACTGGGTGTAGCTGGGGACAGCAGTCAAAGGTCGAAGAGAAGAGACGGAGGCACGGGCCCGGGTAGCAGAGGTGAGTGCTCGCTGCATGTTTGTCTAGGTGGTGGGACTTTGGTCAGAGGAGATTCGGACAAGAATGTAACGTAACGGCTGACAAGGTGCAACGTCCAATGCGTGTGAAGCAGGTGAAGCAAGTGAAGGTGGAGAGACGGGGGAGAATGGAAACTACTTACGATTTAATTGAGGTAGAGGGCGATGGAGTGAAGAGAAGTTGAAATGGAGATGTAGAGAACTTGGGGATCCCGTCGGTAAAAAAATATCGGCTCTGCGCAACCGGTGCCACTTCTCGAAGTTTCTCACCCACTCGGCAGCATTGTGCTAACCAGGTTTGTCATTAGCGAGTGTCATGTGGTGATTAATCAGTGCTCCATCGGATCGACCTCGGGCTAAACGGAAAGAACTTCGGCCCTTGCAAAACTGAGTCCGGACAGGTGGGAGTGTTCATTCGACTGCTGATTCCGTTTTCCTCAAAATCAACAACGTGGTGAATTCTCCCTCATCTCTCCACCGATCTCTAACGTTATGACGACTTGCCGCTCAACACAGCAAGTAGGTGCTCTTGAGCGATTTTGGCGACGAGGACGAGCAGCGAGGAAGGCCAGGCCGGGTCACCAAGCCCTTTGCTGTGTCGCCTTTGTTGTCTTGGCAGAGTCTCCCTCGCTTGATATGGTCTCCACTGCAGTCATCCCTCCCTCTCCAACTAATGCACCGCAGCCACTCGCAGTCTTGCAACTAACATTGGACTGACTGGACAATCATCACTCATCCCACTACGAACCTCCCCCACCCAACCTCCCACCTTTCGCACTCCTACCCCATCTTCCAGTCCAATTCTGATTCCTGTCCTCAAAATCGGTCGGATACGTAGCCACGCGATAACGAGCGAATCCCCGATTTTTTCTTCACGCGACCCAAACAAAAACAACAAGCACTTCGAGCTCTGCTACGCGCGACGCGCCGCCAACTAAACCTACCGAATTTACGACTCCGAAAAGCAATTAGAATCAGCAACAATGTCAGGTGGAAAGGGAAAGTCTCATGGTGGCAAGGCTGGCCACAAGGCTGGGACCGAGGGCCGGACGCAAGTCTCTCACTCGGCTAAGGCGGGGTTGCAGGTTGGTTTTTCTCCCCTCTGCACACTTTCGCTCCGACGGTTCGCGCTTGGAATCTGAAGGCCGCAAATGACCTCGAGTTCTGTGGCGCGACCTCGTTTGTGGCGGCGTTCGGCCCTGCGCTCGACTGCAACTGCAACTGCAAATGCGCACTGGCCTCGATCGTCATATTTTTGACTTATCCCTGTTGCTGATGGCTGACATCGTTGCTCTTAGTTCCCTTGCGGTCGTGTGAAGCGTTTCCTCAAGAACAACACCCAGAACAAGATGCGCGTCGGCGCGAAGGGTTTGTTGCCATCGTTGCCCGCTGCCACGCCTTGCGCTGATGTCAAATAGCTGCCGTCTACGTTACTGCGGTCCTCGAATACCTCACGGCCGAAGTCCTCGAACTCGCCGGAAACGCCGCCAAAGACCTGAAGGTCAAGCGTATCACCCCACGTCACTTGCAGCTCGCCATCCGCGGTGACGAAGAACTCGACACACTGATTCGCGCTACCATTGCGTTTGGCGGTGTCCTTCCGCACATCAATCGCGCTCTGCTCCTCAAGGTCGAGCAGAAGAAGAAGAGCAATACGAATAAGGCATGAGCTGTTTTCCGGCGCTGGTCTTAGATCCTCTGGTTTTCGTTCGATCCTCAAAAGTATCATGATTTTCATGTTACGGCGGCGTCATTCTTAGAACCGATCGATCAATCGATTTCGACGACAGCCTTTTCCTTCATCCATCAGTAAATCTTCGCGTTGGTCCGTCCATTTCGTTTCTGTTTCTACGGGGGGTTGCAAGGTTTTCTTCTACTTGTCATGTTATGTTATGTTTTTTGCCCTGGTTTTTTTTTTCTTTCTTTTTTTTTTCTTCTTCTCGGCAGGGTTTTTTTTTCGGGTCCCTTTCTTCTTTTGCGGAATACCGGCGTGGACTCATTCTGGTTTGTGTGTGCCACTGTTTTCTTGTATTCTTTTCGCTTTGCTGGATGCTTCTGGAGGAGGTGGGGGCGGCGAGTGAGGTACGGGGAACACCGAAGTGTTGTAACAGTAGGACCATTTATATGGAGCGCGTTCTGAGGATGATGATCTGGATGTCGTGCATGCTTTCTACTCTCTTGTGAAAGGTGAATGACACTGTGAGAAGATTTTGCCACTACCTACCTAGGTGGCAAGTGAAGGGACGAACCTTTGAATGACAAGATGCAAGATATCATTGATGGAATCGCAAGCTGCCATTGAATATCACTGGTCCTCCCTTGAAGAGACAATAAGCCTGGCTAGGCCGCCACCATCCTCCCTCCCTGCACACCTTGCGAGATACCGCACGGGTTTGGAATACCGCAATCGGACACTAGGTAGGCGGCTACTCGCACTCCCCGCCTCATCTCTCGAGCAAACCACACTTCCACTTTCGCGCGTTTGCCTACTTTACTCCAAAGTTGTCGACAAGGTTGAAGGTATGATATCAGGAGCAATGGGGCCCACCAGAGGCACCCCACAGCACCCCACAGCACCTCACAGAAGCACCCCGACCATACTGAATCGGACGTGGACGTGGATTTTAACAAGGCGGTACCTAGTAGAGGAGGACGAGGAATCGGTCAGCGAGTGATCTCACGTTTACCGCCCGAGACGCAGCAGCTAATGAACGACGATCTGGCCGTCGAACCAGCGGGGAACAAGTCCTCCACGTTTACAGTTTTCCATTGGATGGCAAATGCGCGAGGATATATTCTTCTGGCTTGCTTTAGCTGCTGAGTAGGTAGAGCAGAGAGCTCTCCGGAGGGGATCCGGCGAACGGATTCGAACCTGCCTACATGTAACATACCTCCCCACCTAAGCCGCCTCTGCCTGGGGTGCAGTGATCAGTGCAGTGATCAGTGCAGTGCAGCTGGAATCCGTAGCTGCATTGTTACCCCGCGATCCAGTGGGGCCGGTGGTCGTCGAAGGACTCTGGACTCTGGACGGAAGAACCGTCGAGGACTTCCTCCCGGTCGGGGAACAGGGCAGTTTCGATTCCATACATACGATCAAAGTTCTGGCCGCCGTGGGGGAGGAGTTAGGTAGTTTGGACGGAAGGATCGGATGGATCAATCAACGTTGACGATGTCAGAGTGCTTTTTTCCGCTGCAGCCAGCCCACGGCGGGCGGGCGAATCACCGGATATGATGTAGTTAGGTGCTATATGTACCGGCAATCGATATCCGCCGGCCACGATAGAGTACTTGCGCACGATTGGATCTTTCTCCCCCCTGGGCCTGGGGCTTCCGGGCTTCTTGGAGCTTCCCTTTCCCCACACCACACACGTCGTCCCATCATTTCATCACGCGTTCGGTATCGTGTTTCGCCCTGAACCACTGATGCCCACGTCCCGCCACTTGTGGTGGGTGGGTGGGTGGGTGTGGTGGGTGGGTGTCGTCGGCTTTCCCAGCGCGGGGTATAGCTACAGATACCTATAGGCTGGCTGCTGCTGTCGTTGCGATTAGATTAGAGCTTTGAATTGTCCAATGTGCAAAAGGGTTAGGGCTGATCGAACGATCTGCTCTTGACTTATATTGCAGTTGCTTGCTGCAACTGCAACTGCAGTCTTAACGCATCCAACGCCATCAACAAACCATCATCGTGCTGCTGAGATATTGGAATACGTGGTTCCCAGTATCGATCTCCCACCACCTCCCTTTGGGGGCGCGCGCACGCTAGGTACCAGTACTCTAGTGGCCTCGGCTACTAACGAACGACGACCACGACGACGCCGAAGCTTACATAGGAGCATTTCCAAAAACGATGGAATCTGCAGCAATGGACTTTGTCCTCGAGCGAAAAGAAAAATAATAGACAGATAACGAACGGGAATAGGTACTGTACTCGGAGTTACCGCCAGAACCATGCCCTCGCCCCTGCTTTACTGGTTCACCAGTGCTGATTCGAAAGCAGGCCTTTGTATGCGACTGACTGACTGACGTGGTCGCTTGGTATGCACATTGCAGCCTAGTGGGAGAATGGCCGAGGGAAGCCAAAGGAAGAGAGAGAGAGAGAGAGAGAGAGAGAGAGAGCTCCCACTCCCGGAGCCACCTCCACGCGGAAGCGAACGACGGCCATCCGTCATGACCGGGCAGAGGAATGGTGTCGCCCAACAAAACGGACACGGTACACGGATCAGGTACGCTACAGGGGGGCGGTGTGGATTGCTTCCGTACCTATTCTCTTCGGAGGGAGCGTCGCATGAGAGGTGCAGGTAGGCAGGACTATGCGCGGGTGGTTGGCCGTCGGTGGGTGTCCTTGGGGTGTCCTATGCTACATTGTAGTATGTACACTCGGCCCTCCATACAGCCCGCTCCTCGCACATCACTCTACCCTCTCTCTGTAGTTGTTGCAGCTTCATACTGCGCTTGTACATGCTTTAGAGTGCCCATATACCCTAGCTGGCTTTCTCGTATCGTCTCGCCTTTTATTTTATTTTAAATATATCCCTCCCCAGCGGCCCTGCTGGTGAATGTAGAGCTCATCAATAACGCTTCTGTGTCTGACTACATCTCCGCAGGCCAAAAAGGTCCCTTTCCCCTCTCCCCCTCATCTGGGCCAAGTCAAGTCCGCCTGTGCGCCTTCTTTGCCTTCGTTTCTTCCCATACGGGTGTGTTTCGAGAAAGAAAAACGCCCATATAAGAGAGCCAGTAGCTGCAACTCGTCCCGGAATCACCGTACATACATACAAAGCACAATGTCGACATCCACGGGCACCTCGCCAGCGTCCTCGCCCCGGCGCACATCTTCCATCCGGAAATCCAGATTACCCAAAGTAACACTACCGCCACCACCACCAATCGCCAACGCCTTCTCGTGGCCCTCACAGAGCCGAACGCGGTTCGTGGAGCTGGTAGCACTACAATCGCTTCTCCCACGGGTCACTCTCAGCGCCGACCCGACAGACCGCGTTGCCAAGCTGAAGGAATGGGAGAGCCTGACGGATAAGCAGCCAGGCTGGCGACTGTTGCCCGGAAAGGTCGAGCGCGAGATCGCAGACAACTTCGCTTTCCTGGCCGCCGCCGATGTCGGCGCTGAGTTCATCTCGGCCGTCTGTGTTGAGGAGAGGAGGGGCGGTGGTATCCTGTTCAGGCTGGCCATGACCGAAGGTGTCCTCAACGAAGGCGTTCCCCGCAGGATCGTGGACGGCTTGTTGGATGTCTGCAAAGAGCTGGAAACTACCGCTGTCGATAGTGAGTACCTCCTTCTGTTCCTTTGTTTCTCCTACCGGGGCGGCTTCGGCATATACTAACAGTGTGGGAACAACACAGCCGGCCGAAGCGAGCGCAGCTCCCGGGAAGCCGTCTGGCAGAAAGTGCTGGACCTGGAATGCCAAAAGGTCGTTAAGGATCTCCGCCAGAAATTTAAACGCGCATCGAAGCCCCTACCCGAGCTATTTCAAGAAGCCCTTGCGCAGAAGGACCGACTTCCCTGCGAAAACAAGCGGCCCTCCGAGGTGTCCCTGGAATCGGCGCTTACCGCCCAGACTAGTTCCACCCTTATGGATGGCGGCTCGTTGCTCGAGAAGATCTACGATCAGTGCCAGGATGTCGTACATCAAACCGATTTCACCCAGTGCAGAGATGGCGTTGAGAGGTTGTTGGATACTTGCTATTTGGCAAAGAGGTCGAGGGTATGGACTTTCCCCCCATCCGGGTGAGACGGGCGGGTGAGACGGGATGAACCGACAGCTGATGATTGGTGCAGGGCTTCAAGACACTCGTCGGCAGCATCGAAATCCGCAAGCAACTCGTACAGTTCATCGACAAGCTCGGCCGATATAAGATTGCCAGCCACACGCTCGTATCCCTCGCACGCAAGAACGTGGAAGCCTTCAAGTCCATTGACGTCCAGACCGTTTCTCCATCAGTACGGGAGTCCTTCGCCCTGCCGGAGAACCCCGAGACCGGACTTTCAAAAGTCGCCTCCGACTTGGTCGGTAACACGATCGAGGAAGCCAGTCAAAGCCTCAGGAAGAGGTCCGGACTCTCGGCACAAAAATTGCTCACCAAGTACGAGGAGCTGTATCTCGGCCGGCCCCAGATTCACGCTGAGATCCAATTGGTCAAGTACTACGAGGAGAACCCGCCTACCAACCCGCCCAGATTCATTGGCTCCAGCAAAAAGGCCTGTCACTTGTGCAACATGTTCTTGGAGCTGCACGGAAAGTTCGCCGTGTCAAAGTCGTGCCAGAACCTGTACCCCAGATGGACCGTGCCAACGATCGTTTGCAGCTCATCGGCGGATGTTGGTAAATACAGCGCTGTGGTCAACAAGATGACTTCCATGTTGGAGACGTCTTGCACCGCCTCGCTCTGCCAGAAAGAATCCTCGGTGGTATCCGTCGCACCTAAGAAGGCCGTCTCGATCGTGTCTGCCCCGGTCTCCGTCGTATCTGTCCCGATCCCAATAATACTGCCGACACCATTGCTTGCTGAGCAGCCTTTGTCCAGTCTCAACGGTTCCGTCCGTCGTTCAGGAAAGCTCAAGACGCCCAACCGCAGCATCCTCAGCATGGGCAAGGAAAACGCTTCCGGAGTTTCCGGCATCGCAGGACCAAGGTCGTCGACCCCGATCAAGGCTCGCCAATCGATTCCGGGACCTCGACCATCCGTTCAGACACCGACGGGGGTATCTCAGTTGTCGATGAAGAAGGTACAGGATTGGTCTTTGTCCCCGCCCCAGTCGCCGGAAGGCATGCCACTTCCGCCGTCCGTGCGGGCATCCAGAATCTCCACTCCTATTCCTGCTGGTCCACTGCTGGCCGGGTTCCAAACCCCTCCACCCACTCCACCGGAGGAGGTCGGCGGTGTATCGCTTTTCCCAGCGGCATCCCCGGCAACGCCAACCTTGCGAAAGACCATCTCCAAGCGCTTCGACGCCGTATCGGCGGTGCGATCGCATGCCATCTCTCCCCTCAGCAAGCTCTCCCGCGCGCCAAAGGAGAAGCACCGCTCCGCCTCGCCAGCAATGAAAGCCATGGCAGCTCTCACTCAAGGTCTCTCATCACATCACCCCTCGGCCACATCCATCGATGAAGTCGCAACCGGCATAGCCTCAATGGAGGTCCAAATTTCCAAAGGTAGAGGCACTCCCAAGGCCCCTCCAGACAAACACTCGCGGCGAACCGTCACCCCACTCCGCTCTGCAGCCAGCATCAAAGCCCACGCCTCACCCCCCTCCGAGCCCGCCACCCCCAACTCGATGAAATCCAACACCACCCGGACAACATCCACTTCCGCCACCAGCACCTCCCATCCGCCCACACCTACCCCCTCCGCGCGGGAACGGCGGCGGCAAGAAAAAGGAAAATTCCGTGCCGCGGCCACTCCAAGCCTTGCCACCAGCACTCCCCCACCGCCGCGCCCGCACACGCCGCTCGGCCCCCTCAATCTCACGATAGAGCGGCACGCCACGCCTCCATCATCGCCCATCAAGGCGCCTCGCAACCCATGGCTCGACTCGCCCCTGCCCACGCCCAGCCCTCAGGAGGCAGAGACGGAGTACACCATCTACCTCGCGGGCAACTACAGCGAGGGGCTATCGATCGGTGACGCAGTGTTCTCGGGGAAGCTGAGCGACATCAACCTCAAGGGAGAGATGGTGCAGTGTCGCGGGTTCAGGCTTAGAAGTGGGCTGAGAAAGAGGAAGATGGACGAGCCCACTATGAGAAGGCGAAAGGGCGATGCCCCCCTCAGGGTTAATGAGGTCGTCAAGACGAGCGAGATGATGGTCCTCGATATCATCTTTCCCGATGCCGTCGTGAGGATGGAGGTCCTCTGGGATGAGGAGGCGCAGAGTATTCTTTCTGGGTCGGGGGTTTAGTTTTTTATTTTTACTTTGGTTTGGGTTTGTGTTTTGTCGGGCGTTTTGGGTCGCATTTCGGTCAATCTATCCTTCTCTCACGACGTTCTTTTTTTTGGGTCTGCATTTCCATCTTTCCATCCTTCCATCCTTCTCTCACGACGTTCGTTTTTTTTGTCATGGCATATGCATCACCTATCATAGTACAGGGTCGGAGTTATCTCAATGTTTACTTGTGGAAATGATTTCACGTTTACGATTATTATCATCCTCATCGTCCACTTCGTTTTTGCATGACGAGTGACGAGTGACGGGTGCAAAAGAGTGCACCGACACCAAATATCACTCAACTCTCGGAGACTTGGAGTGCAGTGCATGAATGGACAATGCAAGCCACGGCGGTTATCCAGAGTACCCTGCGGTAGCTGCCATTCTCTGCCGTGCTCTTTCACCCTGCCAACAAATCAACCAACACGACCAGCCAACCAAACGGCCTAAGCAACGTCTCCAGTGTCTCCATGCAATGCGCACTGCATACGACAGTCGGACAACACATACCCCCCCCCCCCCTCACACGCACAACGAACACAGACAGCACACGAAGAAAAAGCCACCAACCAACCGAACTGAATCGCAGATACATACCTGGTAAAACCAGCACAGGCCACGGCACAGCGGGAGTATTACTTAAGTAATTAATACTCCGAAGTCCGGTCCGGGCGATCGGCGGCCAGTATTGTACATACTCGCTAGCTCGGTACGGGCTGCGTACGTACTCTACCTGCTGAGCCAACGGGGGCGAATGGAGCGAGCGAGGGCGAACAGGGCAATATTGAGTGAACGGGCGATATCGAGTGATACCGCAAACCCCTTGCCCCCCCCATTAACACACAGCACACCACAACGCACCAACCAAATCGCACATACTCTAGTAAACCCAGCACAAGCCATAGCGGGAGCATTACTTATTACTCCGAAGTCCGTTCCGGGCGATCGGCAGGGAATAACTTTTGCCAGCTCGGTAAGAGGTACGTACTCGCCGTGGGATACCTACTGGGCTGCATACCAGGTCAATGAGAGCGAATGGAGCGCTCCGAACGGGGGTGAATGGAGCGAACAAGAGCGAATGGAGCGACTTCGAGTGAACAGGGCAATACCGAGTGAACGGGGGCGATATCGAGTGATACCGTAAACCCCGTACCCCCCACACTCAGGTACTCAGGCACTCAGGCACTCACCCCACCCATTTACATACACCCCGCCCCAGTGACCCCACCGAACCCAGCACAGCCCACCCTCTACCATGTCAACCGTCAGCACAACACACGAGACATACAGTACCGTACTCTACTCTGTTAGTAAACCAACTACTCTGGATGGACTTCGCACACTTCATACTTCACACACTCCAAAAACTGCATACAGTTCATACAGTTCATACGCTACAAACCACTTCAGCGATGACGTTCGTTCGCTTTTAGCGAGCGGCGACAGGAACAGTCTCAGGAACATCAACGGTATGCCGTCGCGCGCCAAAAATAAAATATGAAAAGGCAATGGAATGAATTAGGTAACCAAGTAGAGTACTTTGGTTACTAGTATGTTCAATTGCCAGTGTCCAGTACTGTCCGATGTCCATGAAAGAAATGCAAGTACGCAACTCATAAGTACAGTAGTGATGGCCAGCCGGCTGACGGCTACGCACCGTTGTCCTGTCTCTCTCTCTCTGGCCCGTCCCATCCTGTCCCGCCCAGTCCGGCTGGAAATAGAAACGTCCGTATCGTGTATCGTACACGTGTCGGTCGTCGTCGCTGTCGCTGTCGACGTTGTTGGCCCGACAGCCAGGGGGGGTGGGGCGCCAACTCCCTCACAACTCTCCCATCGGCCGACCGTTGCAGCCCCCCCTCCCTGCCCGGTTCCGGGTTTGGATCTGGGTTTGGATTCGGAAAATCGAATTGGAAAATCAAACTCGAGGTCCCCCACTCCTGTGTGCAATGCGGAATACGAAAGTCTTCAGCGGTGGGAAATACTCTCTACTACTCTACGAAACGAGATGACGTAACAAAACGGAACGAGATGCAGGTGGATGTTGTTAAAATGAAACTTTGGAATATGCGGTCATGATAATCTACTCGGATTTTTCAATTTGCAAACTCGGATTTGCAAACACCGGCTGAAAGCTGAAGGGTGCGGTCAAGTTCAAACAAGTGATGGTGATGGGTGTGAAGTGAAGTGCTGGAATGTGAAGTGAAGTGCTGGATGTGCTGGATGTGCTGGATGTGCTGGATGTGCTGGATGTGCTGGATGCTGGATGTCAATTACAATCACGACTGTACAATGAGCCGACCGGCGGGCGACCGACAGGGGACTGTATCTATGTGGTTGGAGCTCGCGGCAGTCGCCATGAGCTCAATACATATTGAAGAAGATTGAGGAAGATTGAGGGAACAATTCGGGTCGATGAGATGAAATGACATATTTACAATTTGCAAACACCAGCTGAAGGGTGAGGTGCCGGTCTCGACAGTCAAGACTCAAACAAGTGATGGGATGTGAAGTGAAGTTCTGGAAGTGCTAGAATTCTGAATAATAATTGCAATCACGACTGTACTCTACAGCGTACCCAAACCCAAACCCAAACCCAAGCAGCCAACAAGCCGACCGACAGGGGATTATGTGGTTGGAGTGGACGGAAGGGAGCTCGCGGCAGTCCCTGAGTGAAATATGGAAGAAGACTGAGGGAACAATTTGCGTCGATGAGATGATATATTTACAATTTACAATTTACAAACACGGGCCCGTCATCCATCTTCCATCCGTGGAGTACCTACATCCTATGGGAAACCACGTCGTGCTCTTGTCAAATATGGGGGACCAAACACCAACACAGATTGAAACCTTTGAAAGGTGGTAGGCATAGGTATTGCGATTGCAACCGAGCCCGACGATCCTGCCACGCACTACCTACGGTCACGGTCACGGCCGCGGTCATCGTCCCGCCTATCATCCCTCCTCCGTGAGCTGCCCTCGCCACCACCACCACCACCACCTCCTCCTCCGCGATGTCCGCCCCCCCTCGAGCTGCCCTCGCCACCACCACCCCTCAGTCCGTCCCGATGACCCTCCCCCCTATGCCCGCCGCCCCCCCTCGACCCGCCCTCTCCACCACCCCGCCCCTTCCTTTTCCCCAAAATCTCCCTCTCCTTATCCCTCGGATCAATGACGACGAGTTCCTCATTCTTCTTCTTCCAAGTAAGATCCTTGCCCAAGCGATCTTTCTCGAAGCTGAGCGTGTGGCTCCACAGGTCACTCGTGACCTCCCCTGCGTCGTCATCGTCGGCGTCCTGCAGATCCCACTTGCTGCAGCTCTGGCAGTGCGGGATGAAATGCAGGTCGCAGAGCGTCGCGTCTGAGTCCTCCTCCGGTTCCGGGGCGGGATCGGCGCCGGCGGCGGACACGGCGGGGGTGTCGGCCGCATCCGGCATGGCCGAGTCTGTGGGTGTGTGTGTGTCGGTGGTGGTTGCAGGGGGAGGGGGAGGTGGAGGGGAGGGTGGTGCGGCGGCGAGCTTCGCACGGAATTTCTGCAGGGCGAGAAATGCCGCCTCGTCGTCATCCTCGGCCTTGTCGCCGCGGCGGCGGAGCTTTTTGCGGCCCTGGACGGACGTCGGTGGGAGCATAGCTTTCTGCAGGGCCAGCAGGGATTTCTTTTTTGCTGCGGCGGCGCCGCTGGCTGCCGACGCGGCAGGCGGCGATGCAGACCGCCGCAAGGACTTCTGCAGCGCCGCGATCTGCGCGTTGGTTTGGGCTAGGAGCTGTGCGGAGCGCGTGGGTGGTGGGGTCGGTGAGCGGGTGGGTGAGCGGGATGCGCGGGTGGGCACCGCTGCGGAGGTCTTTTGCTTTTTCGGCGGTGGCGAGGGGGTGCGGCGGGGTTTGGTGGGTGGGAGGACTTCCTTGCCTTTGCCCTTCTCCTCCGCCGCCGGTGGCTCCCGTGGCTTCGGTGCCGGCCGTTGTCCCGCATCCACCACCAACCGCGTGTCGAACTTCGGCTTCTTCTTGACGGGTAGCACGGGCGCTGCATCCTCCTCCTCCTCGCCCACGAACGACAGCAGCGCCTTCCCACCCTTCTTCTTGACGACCTTCTTCTTCGGCTTCTCCAGCGTCTCCTCCGCCTTCCTCTTGACCTCCCTGGGCTTGACATCCTCGAACGGATTGACCAGCACCTCCGTACTCAAAATCTTCGGCGGAAACAGCGGCCTCTCGCCTCCCTCCTCCAGCTCCAACTCTCCCATCCGCACCAGATTATATATCGTATCGCCGACGATCTTCCCAAACAGCGTGTTCTTTCCCGTCAACTCGCGCGTATCCCCCAGCGTCAGGAAGAACTGACTTCCGTTATCGTTTTTTTTCCCGGAGTTCGCCATGCCGACGAGCCCTCTGCGGTTGTACTTCAGGCGCGAGTGGAACTCGTCCGCGAACAACCCGCCGGGATAGATCGCCTCGCCGCCGTGCCCCGTGCCTGTCGGGTCGCCGCCCTGAAGGATGAACCCTGGCACTAGGCGGTGGAATATCGTATCGTTGTAGTAGTTGTCATAGCATAGCTGTAGGAAGTTGCGCGTGGTTTGCGGTGCTTGCTGCCCCCAGAGCTCGAGCTCGAGGTCGCCGAAGTTCGTTTTGAGGAGGACCTTGGCGCTGGACGGGCGTTAGCGAAGATGGGAGAGGGAATGGAACGGAGAACGCACTTGGTCTGCGGCTCGAGCGTGTAGAGCTGCGCCATTGAGGGAGGGGGTGACGGGGTGGTGTTGACGGTGGTGGTGATGCGGCGGCAGTGTCGCAGTCGGAGTCGGAGAAGTCGCGTCGCCAGAGAAAGGTCGGGAATCGCGAACGTGAGCACCGGTTCGCCAAGCGATCGATCGTCCGTTGTGTGCTAGGTACTCTAGTCACTCTAGGGTACTCCACTCCATTCTACATACTAGAGTACATGGCACCTGCCCACACCCATAGCTATTACTCTAGTCACCTCTCATCCACACCCAAGAGCACGAATTCATCTTCACCGGTGTGCATGATGTATGTGCTCTACATACTAGCACATGCCTAGCCCGAATCCCCCACCACCTAGTTACAGCTTCCAATGGCACCCGGTCGATCTATGAGCTCTAACAATCCAACAGTCGGCTGGTAGCTGTTGCTTTCGCACCACTACCACCACCGGCACATAACTACCTCCAATACCTCCAATAACGCCATCCTATCCAGATTTCAGGTACCGGCAGTGAGCACCTCTCCGATTGCGGAGTACATTAGGTAGAGTACCTCATACATTAGGTACATACATCATGAACCAACCGCCGCTGCTGCTGGTGCTGCTCTTCTCATCGGCGGCGGCGGCAAGAGCAGGTACGCTGGAAACTGAGACAGTGGGACCTTTCCGTTCCGGCACGGTCGGGGAGTGAGTGCAGGGCAGGGGAGTGAGTGCAGGGCCGGGCAGAGCGTGCAGAATACAGTTGCAGCAGATGTTGTGAGTTGTGCCGCAGAATAGCTATTCTGATAGTTGTTAACTGGGTATTCCTGACCAGCCATCGTGTGGTGATGTGATCGTCCGAGGTACTTAGAATCCTAGATAGTCCCGCACCAGCACTGGCGAATCGAGCGTACCCAGGTACTTGAGGTGCTCTATGTACTGGTTAGTACCGCATCATAGGCAGCTCGAGCGGACTCAATTCCAGCCAGAATCCCACACGTGCACTCGTTCGGTTTACATCACCGTACTTACCTAACTACCACCAAGCTACGAAGCGAAACCCGGGGCCGAAAAGCAGCGCACAGAGCTCCGAGGCCATCATCGAGCATCATCGCCCCTAGGAACAATAGGAACATAGTAGCACCAGCGACGGCACGCACGGCCAGGTCTCTCGTCGGGAATTCTCAAACAACCACCCACACAACCACCACACACCCACACAAATACCCACCACACCCACCCACCCCGGCCAATGATCCACCCCCCGTCCGCCCAGCGATCCACATCACACATCACACATCACATCACATCACTTCCCCGCCATAGGCCAGGCCAGCAACGGTGTGTGAACCTGCACTCACCACGTACATACATAGAGTACTTTGATACCTAAGTAGAGTACATACCACCACGTATCCCGCGCTCCGCATATCACACCCCCTCCCCCCAATCGCAGCCGCAGCCGGCCAATCAGACGCGAGAGCGTGGTCGACCCCCCCCCCCCCCCACCCTCCCCTCCCCACCGCCCCGATCCCACCTGTCTGGAACTTTGTCTCTGTCTCTGGTTCGCCTGGTGATGGACGACGATGATGACGGACGGAACGAGCACGGATTGGGAGGTTTCGGTGCGGATTGATTGCGGGCGATTGCCCGGTTTGAGGTTGAGGGTTGAGGGTTGAGGTTTGAGGTTTGAGGTTTGAGGTTTGAGGTTTGAGGTGTGAGGTTTGAGGTTTGAGGTGCGAGGTGCGAGGTGCGAGGTGCGAGGTGCGAGGTGCGAGGTTGAGGTGCGAGGTTCGAGAGGGCAATGGGGAAGACAAAGGAAGGCAAGGTAAGGGAGGGCTTTGTTGGGAAAAGCAGAGCAAAAACAAAGCACTCGGGGCCGGTATACACTCGTTTTCCGCACCGAGGAAGGGTCCTCCACCCACCCCGACCAGTGTGTCGTGTGTCGTGTACATACATTAGGTACATAGGTACCGCATGTCCATGTCCATGTCGTCCATCGCACGTCTGTATGTCTGACCTCTTAAAGCCCTCGTCCCTCCCCCCCGCGCCCGAAACCCCCCGCGCCCGTCCACTCATGTAGCTACACAATCACATCTTCATCACTGCTGCATCGCGTCGTTCAATCATATCCCATCGTCGTAGTCATACCGACCACTCGCTGATCCTTCTCCCCCTCCCATCCCCTCTTCACCATACCATACCTGCCATACCATACCACACCACCTGTACCTACCCTGGAGCACCGTACATACCTCAATTGATTCGCATCCGCCCCGTCCAGCCGGGCAGTCCGTGGTCCATACTGCTATCCTCCAATCCGAACCCACAGCCCACAGGCCGTCCGTGCCCAGAGACGAGAGCAGAGAGGAACAGAACAGAACAGAACAGAACAACCGGAGCTCCCACCGCCCTTTCCGTAACAAGCGCAACTCCCGAAGCCACATATCCGCACCCACCCACTCACCCACTCACCCACCCACCCTCTGCCAGGTTCCAGCGGAGTTCCAACGAAGTGCTTTTATACCTGCCTGATATACACGCCTTGTCCCCCCCGCCGCCTGCTTCTGCAAACTGCAAACACAATCCCAGCCCACCTTGTCCTACTTTATATACATACACTTGCCTGCCCACACCCCGTCATCGTCTTGACTTCATCCACCCAGGCAGGAAGGAAAAAGGACAACGGATACCGAACACAGACGAAGACGACGGAAGGAAGAGACGGAAGGAACCAGCAAGCCAAAAAGAGAGCAAGCGAGCAAGATCGAGAGCAAGAGCGAGAGCAAAGAACAAGAAGAAGAAGATGTCGTACCTGTCTCTCCCCGCAGGCTTCGCGCCCTTCATCCACGTAGCGAACTTCACGATGACGACGACGACAACGACGACAACGAGCACTGTGTTGGCAGGGCCGCTTGCGGGGCCACTTGCAGCGGCGGCGGGCATGTCCCTGAAGCCCTCGAAGACCGCCAGCTCCGGCTCCGGCTGCCGGCGGGTAAAGCCCGCCCCCAGCGTGCCGCTCGTTGCCAGCACGCCCACGCCCACGCCCACAACCACACCCGTCTTCGCGCCCACAGTTTATGCCGGCCATAAACGCGGGCTCCCCGTTGGCTCCGAGGCGTCGGAGCCGAAGCGGCAGCGCCGGTATGGCGCCTTCCGCCCGCGGAAGCATTCGCGGGCACGGGTTACCGGGCCCAGGAGCGAGGTTTTTGTTGCCGAGCCCAGGTTCGATGTGGCCGAGAGCTGTGTGCTGGGCAAGAGAAGGGGGAGGATCGCGGATGAGAGGGGGTTGAAGGCTAGGGTACGCGCGGATGGGAGGTTGCATTTTGTACTGGCTGGTGAGGAGGAGGGGGGAGAGGAGGAGACTGGGTTCGAGGAGCAGCTTAGGAGGGTGGAGGAGGCGGCGAGGGGGAGGAAGTTGGGGTTGGAGGTAGTGTGCCCCGACCTACCGGCGACTGTGGTTACGGGTGTGGATGGATGCTGATGGATATACAGGCTTTTCCCACCGGAAAGGATGCGGATGTGCGAGCTGTGTTTGAGCTGGGCATTCGGGAAGCAGAGACTGCTGTGCCCATGGTGGCCATCGTTGAGAAGCCGGTGGTTGAGGAGCCTGTACCGGAGAAAGTAGTGGAGCAGCCAAAACCCACACCCAAAGTCATCATAACCCGTAAGTCGCATGTCCGCTGCCCGGTATTTAACGGAAGCAAATCTGACACCCTTGGTTAGCATCTTCGCCCACAGAGTCGGTGCACAACGACTGTCCCACGGAGGACGACGAGGACTCGCTGGCGTCGCCGCCGCAAAAGGCGAAATCGGTGCTTAGCAAGATCGGCAGCCTCAAGGGCTTCAAGAACGCGGTCACCAAGGCGGGCTCCCGCGTGCTGAAGTGGAAGGAGCGCAAGGAAAAGAAGGAGGAGGAGAAGAAGGCAGCGGCTGATGAGAAGAAGATCCGGAAGGCTAAGAAGGCGGAGAAGGTGGAGAAGGCGAAGAAGGAGGTCGAGTCTGAGGATACTGAAGAGGAGGTCAGGGAAAAGAAGGAGAAGAGTCTGAGGAGCAGATTGAAGTCGAAGAAGGAGAAGAAGACGGCAAGGAAATCGACAGCCGGCGAGGACTCCGAGGATGAGGATAAGCCGAAGAGATCGTCGCGGTCTACGAAGGATGTGAGGAGGGATGATTCCGGTGATGAGACGGAGGTTGAGAAGCCACAGAAGAAGAGTGCTAAGGACGAGGTGAAGGAAGAGAAGGTGAAGGAAGAGGAGAAGAAGGCGAAGAAGGAGGCGGAACGGGAGGAGGAATACAAGTCAAAGAAGCGGCTCTCGGTCTCGTCCATCGGGACGGTCAGGTCGTTGAAAGAGGAGAAGAAGGAGGAGGCCAAGTCTTCGGCCACCTCGATCCAAGACGTCGACATGCTCTCGTACGCCGCCTCACTGGCCGAGACCAAGAGCATCCTTGAAGAGATGGACCTCGACGACGCAGCAACCATCCGAGGGGGAGATGACGAGCAGAACGGTGTGTCTCCGCGGATATTGCATGGGCTGAGGATATGAAGCTGATGGTGTAAAAGGGCATGCGAACGGCGTCGATGATGATGCGTCGAAACAGTTGCAGAGTGAAGTCAGCATCGAAGACGATGCATCGGACTCGGCAACCATTCGGGAGAAGCCTGAGTCTAAAGGCGATAACAAGGACGAGAAGGAACAGGGTCAGTCTCCGCTGTATAATGCTGTCGTATTTGCAGGACTGACTCTCTACTAGATTCTGGGTCTTCCGTTCGAACCGTCAAGCGTGCAATCCTAGGTATGTCGCCGCTCTCAGCCTGTACAAAGTAGATTAAACTGACATCCTCAAGCTGTGTTGTCCCCACCATCCGACATGCTCACTCCCCCGCCGACACCTCCTCTTGGTTGCAGCTCGACCAAGACTGGCGACGAGAGCTCCCACTGGATCTCATACAAAGCCACCGGGTGTCAAGGAGACAAAATGTCCGACAGTGACCAGACGGTCTGGAAAGAGACGTGGTCATCAGGCAAGAAGTCGCTGCACCGCCGTCTCTCGGCCATCTTCAAGAAGACCCTTGAAGACAACCAGATGGATCAATTCAATCCATTGAGTACGTTCCTCTCTCTCCGTGCGCAAAACCGTCCATTCCTAACAGCCACAGATATCTCCCGTCACGCCTACCGCGACTCCTGGTGCCGTGATGACGACGACGACACCGAGTGTGACGCCAACTCGATCCTGACCCTCACCGTTCCCTCGCCGCCAGAACATATGGACTACTGCGCTTGGGACACTGATGCCTACGAGCTGACGCCGATCGACTCCTGCCGCGAGCGGGTTGAGAGCTTCAACATTGCCTTTTAGTTGACTCTTCACCCAAATTCCCGCACACACACGTGCACACACACATTCATTCACGGATCCGTTTATTCCTTTTGCCCCCCTTTACGACGATCATTACCATCTATTTCTTTTGTCCATCATCTACAACATCGAGGCCAGTCCTCTACAAACTCACGACCGAAACGAAGTTACGACCCATACGAAACGAAAACGAAACGAAAACGAAACTGTACAAGTATACCCCCCGGCGTTAGGCGTTTGGGGAGCAGAGAAGAGAGGGAAGAGAGGAAGGGAAGGGGCTGTACATCATCATCATCATCATCATCATCATCATCATCATCATCACACCATAATACTTTTTCCTTTTTGCTTTTGCTTTTGCTTTTGGTTGCGTATTTTAGACGGAATTGGGTTTGATTTGATTTGATTTGAATTATTTTTTTGGCTTCCTCTTTTCTCTGCTGCCCGCTTTCCTTACTTCCTTGCGTTTTCATCATGTGTTGTCATGCGTTGTCATGTGCGGGTCTTCTGTTCTGTGCTTTGATCATGTCCGGTGCGGTGTTCCTCTCGACTTTCATGTCATCTTTTGACGGTTCGTATATATATTTTTGTCGCGTTTCTATCACATTCTCATCTGCATTGGTTCGGTGCTTGTTTGCTTGATTTGTTTACTTGGCTACTTGATTGATTGACTGCTTTACTTGCTTGTTCGATATTGTTTGCTTGCTTGTTCCTCGGTTAGATCTAGTTATGCTATATCATTTCCGGTTTTTATGATTTTATGGTTGTGTTATGTTGTGCATGGGACGGGAGTCTTGGAGTCTGGATCGTGCGGGGTTCGCAGGGCTAGGTGCGGGGCGTTGGCGGGGAAGGGGTAGGGCGCTGCGAGGGTGGGAGGGGGAGGAGGGGGGGGGGGCGCGTGAGGGGGAAGGGAGATTTGTTTCTTGCATTCGTATTTGTGCATTGACTCTGGGTTTTCCATTGCCTTTGGGGTTTTCCGTTTTCTAGTTTCCGTTTTGTTTCTTGGAATCTTGGGGTAACGACTCTTCGTACCTATCATACTTTATGTACCTATCATATTTTATGGGCTTGCAAGTCTCACGTAACGAACAGCGTGTATTTCTGCTTACTTACTGCTGCTTGTTTCCCTTCGGTTTTTGGGGGGGTTTTAACTCAATCGATCCAGTATCTTTCTGGAGTATATCGCAAGTTCGCGAGTGATCCCCCATGAAGTGAAATGTGACGCCATCGACCGTAGCAGAGTGGAGCACAGCAGAGCCACTCACAGCCTGCCGTGTGGCGAGTCGGAGCGGGGCGAGTTTGAGGCGACGGAGCGGGGTCAGGGGCGAGTGATTGACGTGTCAATTCTGCGGCATCGGCGCCGTGGCGACCCAGACGGTGCAACAGTGCACGGCGGAAACGGCACCGCCGCCGGGGAAATGTCTGGACTCTGGATTTCGCTATGGTCCACGTGGGTATCATACGTTTATCCTGATCTAAATGTTTTACGGTACGTCATTATTCGGGGTGGCAGACAGACACACAATAGGTACTTCTTAGGTGCTGCGGAGTAAAGGTACTGCGGAGTAAAGGCGGGGGCACTCCCATTTACTCTACCCACCCCACCTATCCCCGTTCGTAAAAACACGTGTACCGTACCGCATAAGAAAACCAAACCATCGAAACGAAACCATTGAACGAAAGAAAAGAAAGAAAGAAAATACAAGTCAAAGAAACGAACGAAACGAAACACCCCAATCAATCAATCAATCAATGAATCAATCACACCCAATCACGACCAGTAAACGCCATCCCCGTCAACCTGTAGATTGTTTCCTCCCTTCCTTGCTCCCCCCCGCTACGAACCCGATTCAGTCAATCTCGATAGCCGCGTCCTTACTCCTTCCGGCAGCCACGTCCTCGCCCTTCCTCTTCTTCGTCGCCGCGCTGCGGAGGGACTGTCCTCCGCCGGTCGAGAACATGCTCGGCTTCTTCTCCTCGGCATCCTTGTCGCCGTCTTTCTTGACTGGCTTGAGGGGGTAACCGAAAAACAGTTTTCCAGGGGGCAGCCGGAGGGGTTGTGGGCCTGATTTTCTTGCTGCGGTGGTAGCGGCGGCAGGTAAGGGTTTGGGGTTGGAGGAGACCCCCGCGACGGGGGTGGACGGCTTCGCGGTGGGGGTGCCGGTGCGCGAGCTCTTGAGCTTCTGCCCCGAGCCCGCGAACTGGTTTGCAGCGGCGGTGGAGGCGGCGACGGCCAGCGAGCTGTAGCCGATCGACTTGGCCATGCTGCCTTCCTGCGTGATTGGGGTGACGCGGCCGCCGCCGACGACGGAGCCGGGGCGGGAGCTGCCGGCAGAGGCGGGGGCAGACCGCACGGGCTCGACGTAGTCCAGTGGCGGAGAGAAGTCGACTTCCACGTCCGTCTCGACCACCGAGACCGCGCCGCTGGGGTTCACCGGCTTCACGTCTTCCACTTTAATCGAGAACGTCTCGTCGTTGTAGCTGAACTGGAATATGTCGTCCTTGGTGAGCGCGCTGAAGTTGCGCAGCACGTTCTCGAGCACCGCTTTGGGGTCCGAGATCGCGTTGAGGAATTTCACCGACTGCGGCTGGAACTTGATGAACGACCCCGAGGGGAGGTCGGTAGACTTGATTTGGAGGAGCTCGCCGGGCTCTAGGGAAAGCGTTTGCATCATCTGCCGGCATCCTTTCCGTCAGCAACACGCACACACATCCACCTCGGAGCATCGCTACCACCCACCCAGTACGGAAGATACACTCTGCCCTCCTCGGCAATAAACTCCAGAACACCGGCATGCGTAACCTTGCCCTTCTTGCCATTATGGATCTCGAACAGCATGGGGTAGGTGATATGCAGCTTCGACAGCTTCTCTAGCGCAGACGGCGGCATGATGATCTTTCCGCCGTAGTTGAGCTCTTTCCGGTCCAGCACCGCGATGGGATAGCAGCGGAAGTAGGAGTCGAATCGTCGGCGAGTGCCGCCGGCTCGCATCGGCGGCGCCCCGCCAAAGCTGCCCATCATGTCGTCGTCGTAGAAGCCTCCGCTAAACTGCGGATGTCAGCAGAGCTCGAACGCGTGCTGGAGGAGCGGCGGGGGAGGTGGGGTGAGGTACCATGGCTGAGCTGCGGCTGAGCTTCGTCTGGTCGTCGGTATCGGGTTCGTGGGCAACTGTCGAATTGAAGTTGTCACTGGAGAAGCTAGGGAGGTCGATGGGGGATAGTGGATACAGATGAGTTGATGGTGGTGGTGATGGTGATGACGGAATCAACTGTCTCTCTCTTCTTTGTCGGCGGACGCTTCACCTTCCTTCTATTCTGTTCGCCCGTGGTTAGTTCCACGCTAGCCTCTTCTTGAACCCGCCCTTGGCATCCAGCAACTCCCTGTGCGACCTCGAGATTAGAGTTCCCTGGCCAGGATGTCGTCATCGGTCGCAACTTCATGACCCCGCGGATTGAGCGCGATATATTGTTCCCGCTGTGCATGAAATAATACCGATCTTAGAGACGACATAAATCGAACCACCGCCACAGTTATTCGGGAAGAACGCCACCAGCTGACGCAGTCGAAGAGATCACGTGCTCCATGGGGGCTTGCGGACCCGGACATCGGAGAAAGAGCCAGACGGCGCCGGGGGCTGCTCTCTCGGGTTCATACAATATAAACGACCACTCGAGGTGGAGGGTGCTGACTTCCCTTGGCCAATACACATGATCCGGCACGCTGCACTGCATACCATCACCGATCTTCCGAGCGAAAGACCAACTGCACTTATATCCGGATACACGTTCGGCGCTGTCTGTGGTCAAGCCGCAAGAGCTGCCCGAGTCATTTTCCTCCATACCTCCAGTCGCATCCGATATTACGGGTGCCGAAGTGGGAATTTGAGATCGAGTCCGTGGAATGCGCTCGTAGATCGAGAAGAATCTTTCCCCTGCGTTCCAGTGCCAAACACGTCTACGGTACCGGAAGGTTTCAACCATCTACCTATCGGAATTCCAACTCGTACCCGGGTTCCTTTGTCCGAAATGCCGCAGAACGTTCGATAGAAAGCCCGTCTTATGATACGATCAGCCCACTCACATCCAGCCGTGGCTGCCGTGGCTGCCGTTCGTCCAGTTCGGATCGATCATCGGCCCTCAGGACGAAGTGGAGCTTGTGAGGTACTCCACGGGGCGAGTACATATATGCAACGTTGCAGAGCACCAGGTGATAGCTGCTCTGCCGAAACAACATGCGGTGTCGAGGACACCAGCCATTCGTCGCAAGGGAGCGGGTGTGCCGGTTCACAGGTCAGAAGATACTCGGAATGGCTCGGCCGTGTGAAGGAGGTTCCAGGCTCTTTCGCATGGCCCAGTGAAAATACCGTACCGCACAGCGCATGCAACGTCCACCGTCTACCGACCATCCGCTAGCCACCGTAGGTCCGTAGCAGTACTAGGTAGGTATACCGATAGCTACATGGCGACAAATGCACCCATTTGCCCGAATCACGTCGCTGGTTCCACTGCCCACATGCATATGTATGTACCTGTGATCCTCGGAATTCTCCTGCAAACCGTCTGTTCGCAAATCCGGGTCGAGAACGGCAATATGGCTGAAACGTGAAGAAACTCCTGCAGATTCTAGAAAGCGTCAATCGTCGGTTAGTGCGCACTGCGTGCAACTACTGGCTGGTTGGCACTCCACCATACAGCTAGATTACGACAGCATACGGTACCTATCAGATAATTGAGGATATGTACCCACCGGAAGTATGGTAAGCAATGCATAAACAACCACTCGAGCCATCGAAAGAGAGAACGTCATTTTGTTGTCGCATACGGCCCAGGTAGTCACTTGAGCAGCCAGAGCAAGTCGATTCGTTCTTCATACGATAGTAAAAAAACGGGAGTTAATTGAAACTGAATGGCTACTGGTATCACGTATCGGCGCATCGACCAGTCATTACCGACCTTAGTACATCGCCTCTAAAAGGGGGCTCAGGGCTGTAGTTGATTGGACCAGATACTCCCCGCCCATATAGCAGCCAAATGGTCGGTCGGACAGAGCAGCCGTGCGGTCATCGCACCTTTCTTCTGCCTGGATATGCATGATTCTATTTGAGCCGTGTAGAACCTCGTTTTTTTTTTAAAAAAATCGTAGCCTTGTAGGTACCCTGCGTAGACCGGAGAGCCTGCCGAGCGACAACAAGCGATTCGCGAGGTTCACATGACATCACCCGCGGTGCGAACTCAAAGAAGGCTCCAAGCCTAGACGGCCCATTCAAACCACCTACAATGAAGGCCGGGATAATGACGTCAATCGAAGCCTCAGGCTCAATCGCCCGGCTAGGCCGATTAAGTCCTCACCACCACTACCACCACCACCGGAGCAGTATTTTCACGTACTTACACACGTAGCCAGCCCGCTCCTCCAAACCCATCCCATTCGCTCAAGCCCACACTTCTTCCAGACCCGCCTTGCAGGTCAAACGCCTACTCTCCTCAGCCTGCCACCCGTCTTAAGTGCATCATACACGCCCGCCTTTCCCGCAAGGCAGGCACCGCGAGGCTCCAACCCGGTCCCAACTCCCAAGCCGCGCATCCGCACTCCCGTCTACGCAGTGCCCTATAGTATAGCATAGTAGCTCCACTAAGCCTGGACCACCCGAGGCTGTGCCTTTCCGGCGACTTCAAACTTGCACGTCATTACGGAGCAGAATTCACCCCCGGTGATATGGGGGGGGCAAACTTTGAATAGTTGGCTCTATTTCCTTTCTTTTCTGCTGTGTTTCCGGTACTCTATCTGGCACCATACTTTACCCATGAAGTACTCGACGGTATGTACTGGTATCATGGTATCAATGCTTGGCTGGATCTTGCGCACAACGAATGTCAGATTTTTTTTGATTGAGTGTGGGGATGAAGTATGGGGATTATTATCCCTCTATTCCAGGGATGTTGGCATTCACTTGCTACAGCCTACAGCGGTGTTCAGCGATGATGGCCCTTCCTAGGTGGTTGTTGGGGGATTAGGCGCGACTACATAGTACCTAGCATGCGGGATCACTCGATGGTCACCGCGGTTGCATCGATGTTCAAACTTTCATTCCATAGGATATGCAGCCAAACATAACAGGTGGCAATAACAAAAAACAAAACGCGGATTCGAAAAACCTAGAATAGAAGGGTTAGCGATTGATACCATGTCGGTTGAGTGTTTATGCAACCTACATACTACCTAGATTGGACCGAGACTGCAAACTAACTACTGTCTGGGCCCCGATTCGCCAGCTATGGGCTGTGCGGCAACATATCGCAGCTTCTCCTCCGTAGGGCTTGGCTTCTCAAGCTACTGCTGGGGCTGGGGTTGGGGTTGGGGGTGGGGGTAGAACCGGAGCATATCGAGGAGGCGGTTAATGATGACGATCAGATCTCCCCGGCGGCGGTAGTCGTAGGGGGGCGACTGGTACACCAAGCCGTGGTCGACGGCCATGAAGCAGAACCTCCATCCGTCCGTCATTAATCCCTGAGCGAATCCGGACCCGTCCCGATCCATGAGCAAGATACTCAGCAGCGGAGCGCAGCCGCGGCGATGGAACCTTTCCGTATCCGGCTCGATGACGGCGATGAAGACCGGCCGTCCTCACCTCCCAGTCCGCCGTACCGATGAGCCGGATGTTCCCGACGTCGGCGGTGATCTTGCGGCTGCGGGTCGCGGTCGCCAGCGAATCCGCGTGCGTGCGGTTGTACGCATTAGTCACGGCGTAAAGCAGCGCTTCGCAGCTGCGATGGCGCGGCCACAGCTCCGCCAAGTCGCACAGGAAGTCCCAGGAATCTGCGGTGGTTGTCAGTGACACTGCGGCGGCAGCGCTGGGAAACAGTAATACATACGGTGTCCCATCGGTAGCCTACAGGCCTGTTCGGTGGTGTGATTCCACAGGAAGGGCGAACAATATTTGGTCAGGCCGAGAGAGAAAATGTCGGCGAGCTGCTCGATGTCCATCTTTCCGGCGCGGACCTTCACAAAACTTAGTATCGGCGAGAGTTGGGGGATCGCGAGGGCGCGGAAGGACTTACGGTTTGGACGTCTGACCGCTGATTTGCGGTGGGAGTGGGGATGTTGCGGACGGAAGTACTCATTTCGAAAGATCGGAGGAGAAATATAAAATGGAAAAGAGGAGTTAGGGGAAAGGAAGTCGGAAAGTCTGGAAGTCTGGAAGTGTGGAAGTGGGAAGAGAGGCAGGGAGGAAAGAGGGGGACGAGTTCTGCCGCTTTATACAAGTATTGAACTTCGATTGAGACACCCTTTAGCAGCTTCAATAAGGCTACGAGTAGTACGATATTCGAGCTTGAGTTTCATTAAACCTTGGGATCTCCACTTTATACAAGTATTAAGCTTACATTGAGTCTCGCCGTTCAGCAAACCTAATACGGCTATAACTAAATGTGTAGTCGCCATGATACTCGATCTTGAGTTTCGTTGAACGGCTAGATCACCGCTTCCGTCCGAACTCAATCACCGAATCAGCTGAAGCCTGGAGCGGCCGAGAGATATGGTCCAATGCACCATAGAAAGACTAGAAAAGCTACTCCTGGAGAGAAAAAAACATGTCCGTCGAGTGCTAAGGTATGAATACACACACGTAACTGGTTCGGGTTGTTGTTGGAGTGCGAAGTGATGAATCATGAGTGATTGCCGCTGCCATCACTCGAATGGCGCTTCATGGACGATTCCGAATCGTTCGATAGATACTTCGAGCTCCGAAACTTTGGAGTGATTCCGGGTTCTCAGGCTCCGTCACCACCGGAGGAAGAACCGTTGATCCAAAGCAACACGCCTGCCAGGCGCATGAGTCTGCCTACCGCTCAACCGGCCTTTGGGTTTGGATTACGGAGCGCAGGCGAGTGTACATGCTCTAGCTTTAGGAAGCAAATAAGAGTTTAGGACTAGGTTTATCGTAGGGAAGCGGGGAAGATAGGATTGAGCATGTATATACTGTGCCAAAAAAGGGTTGAAATTGACACTGGATTTACACCATGTCTATACGGAATATTTTTTTTCCAGGCATTTAGACTAAACCTCGTATTAATCCGGTGCATATGCAAATTATAATTTGTTCAGGTTCGGTATCTATTTTCGATACCACTTGCAAGAAACTCTTTATTTTTATGATTGTGGGGTCTACACGGGGTCCATGACGGATTTCAACAAATTTATATCTAGATCATTACCGGATCAACACCGAAGAAACACCGAGATCATGAAACTCAAATTTTTGATTTAATCCGGTGTCAGCCTGGTGTTGCTACCGTACTTCAATAAATCCGTGTTGAAGAAATCACAAAAGGTATACCGTGTTGATCCCATGTCTTCTATCATGCAGCATTATTACAAACGAGTGTCAGAAAATAATACTGGATGCTTCCGGTACCAATCCGTAATCTACTCGTTTTAGTGGGTACATAAGTAAATCAGAATTCGAAAAAATGAGTGTTAATACAGGTCCCAGTTGCAAGGTCTACACTAGTATACAGATGGACTTTATATTTGAATTGATGTCCTATTTTAATTTCTATTTGCTACAGGATCTGGCTCGACCCCAAATTCATGGAATTCCTGGAAATCCACTCCCCATCGTTACTACGCACTTAGCTATCTTCGAACATTTGTGGCATCTACAGTAGACGTTAGCATGTCCAGTAGCATGAGTAGTAGTAGGGGGAAGATGGCATCGGCAGTGGGTCCAAAAGGGCGAGGAGCAGTACTTACTAGTAGGGAGAGACAATATTCACACCGTTATATTAGCGGCCGGTCCAGCAGGGCAAGGAGCCGTAGGTGGAGAGATAGAGTATCCGCGGCGGTTTGTGATGAGCGACTGAGGAGCTGTCCCTAAGAAAAGGAAGTGTTACCGCCCCAAAACGGTCCAGGAGGGAGAGGAGCAGCAGGAGGAGACAATATCCGCGGTGGTGCCGGCAGGGCGAGGAGCAGTACTTACTAGTGAGAGACAGCATTCACACGGCAGCCAGTGCTGTATCCGCAGGGGGTTGTGGCGGGGCTATAGATGAGAGAAGGAGGAGATATCAGCGAGAGGAGGAGGAGCTGTCAGCGAGAGTAGGTAGAGATATCTGTTAAAAGAGGAAGTGTTGGAGGGACTGTTGGTGAGAACAGGAGGAGATATCAGCGAGAAGAAAGGAACTGTCAGCGAGAGGAAAAGAAACTGTCAGCGAGAGAAGGAGGAGCTATGCGGCGTAGAGCTGGCGCCGCTAAACGTTAAGGTCGAGCGCAGAAGGGGAGTCATGGGAGTGATGCATCGTGACTGCGAATATGCGAGAAGAGGAAGTGATGGAGGGTTTGTGTTGGCGGGAGGAAGCGGATGTGGTTAGTAGGGAACATCAAAATTTGAGGGTCCTGCGCCTCGTCTGCTCTCTTAGTCGTGGAAGCAGTAGGAGGAGACGTTATCCGCGGTGGTGCCGGTAGGGAGAGTAGTAGTAGGGAAGGAGTACTCACAAGAGAAGGTGGTAGGGTTGAGCGTCTATCTGGATGATGCTGGTGATGGGATGAAAGAAAAGAAGAAGAGGAAGAAGAAGAAGGAGAAGAAGAGAGGAGGGGGGGCGGGGGGACAGAGGCCGACGGCTATGACAGCAAACGGCACCGCTCAACTACGCATCGCTGGTGCTGGCTACCAACGCTGGACCCCCCACCGCTGGTGACAGCGTGGAATCCACGGCAACGGTGGTGTAGGAGTATCCGCGGAAACAATGGTGTAGTAGTATCCGTGGCGGCGATGGTCTTGTCCGGGAGATGCCCCTCTTGTTGCCATGTAGGCAGCACGGGAGTAGCTCCAAAGACGTACCGGAGACCCCCCCTTTCGCTGCCATGGAGTGGCTATGGAGACCCCCTACTAGCTGCTGTGGTATCGCCCTGGAGATCCCCCTCTTGCCTACCGTATTAGTGTTTGGTACCATAGCTGCTCGGGATTAATGTGGTGTCTCTGCCGCTATTTCTTTCGTATTCTTATTCATGTTCATGCAAAGGGGCGATGATCAACTGCGGAATAAGTACAAATCCGTGTTCCTTGGGTGTTGGCTAAGGATTCACGCAAATCGGTTTTGAAGCAGGATACCGGTTGTCAAAAACACGAAGTTCACGCTAGAAACACGAGGTTTACACCGGATTTGCTCAAACACCGCAGTCTGTAATTTTAAGCATTTGAGTTTGCACGAGTGGTTGGTAGATCACCCTACTGACATGGTGTCGGGTCTGATACTTCATTAATACCGTGTCAATTTCTACTATTTTTTGGCACAGTACCTAGATGTAGCTGGAAATAGATTATGCTTTCAGCCTTTTAGGTGTATTTCACTAGCCACGCAATGTTAATCGTGATATCCTCTGGTGGTTCGAGGGCCTCATTCGTGCATTGGAAGTCTATATCTGTCTGCCTTAGCGATTCTGCCCGGGCAAGTCCGACGATCAAACGGCAGGCTGAGGAATACCGAAGAATGGATGGGCTCGATCGGATTCGAAGCCCGCACCAAGCCGTGGCCGGCGTCCACCACGTGTGTACATATTGCGGTCACGTCCATACCAAAACTTCCGGACGAATGGAAGCAGAGCTTAGTACTCAGTGGTGCATATGGATGCGAACGCAAATCCAATCAATGGATGAAGCCGCTGCACACTGGGGGCAGTGTAGAGGACAAGACGGCGATGCGATGATCATGGGATACCACCACTCGGGACGCAGCGGATAGAGAGAGAGGAATAGGAACCGACGAGTGAAACGTTGATCCCCACGTAGGCATGCATACATGTTTAGGACTTAGCAGTGCGTTACGGTATGTACTCAGATGTCGAAGTCGAATCGAAATATCTACTATGTTTAAGAGATTTTCAATAATAGAACGGGAAGAGTGAAATACGAGCCTTGGCCGAGTCACTCCATTCAACGGTGGCCACAGAGAAAGAGGAGGTGGAAACATATGCAGCCCAGAACTGTAGCGACGGACATGCCGCCGTTAGTACGTAAATATGTAGATCGATGGATCGCCGCGTAGGAATATCTAGATTCTAGATAGTGTCAGTCCTAGGATGGACTCCGCTGGCACTCCACTCGGGTTCATCGTGAGCACGCAATCGGATTCGCCCGATAGAGTTACATGACGTGAATAGCTCTTCGTGGTGGTTTTTTTTCCATAGAGCTGGATATGCAAGAATAGATACTAACTAGAGTACTGAGACGTTGAGGTCGAGTGGCACTGTCACTGTCACTGTGTGGGTCCGTAGAATGCAGAACAGCCTTGATCCCTTCGGCGGTGGCCGTGGAAGAAGAGGAGGAGGTCTGAAAGAAACAAATGTAGGTTAAAACCTAAAATGCTGGATGTTGTTCGGTCCTGCCGCCGTGGAGAATATGCATATATCTACTCCCGGACACACTAACTAGTGAGCGACACAGCGTTGGCCGTTGGGGCGCTGATCAGCCCCATATTTACTGGCGGATCCGGTCACTTTTGAAGTGACCGAGTACTCTATGCACATAGGAATAGAATATCTAACGCTGGTATGACACCAAGACAGATGTTCCAGCCAACAAACAAACCGACCCCTCCAGCGGCCAGAGCGATGCACCACCACCACCACCATCATCATCACCATCGTCGTCGTCACTGCGACACTCGAGCCCCGTGATTCGTCCGACCTTTCCCGCCAGCCAAGTAGGTAGTGTTTCCTGACGTTGCGCGGCGAACGCGACCGACCACTGCGTTACCAATTTCCGTGACCCAACCCCACCCAACCCATCTTCCGTTCCATTGGGAGAGGAAACATTGGCGCCGCCCGCCCGCCCGCAGCCAAGCTTTATGGGAGGCGGAGCAGTTGCCGCGGCGCGCATTCCAAGCGCGCCCAGACTCGAGTGCGCCTGAAATAGGGTGTCCGGATCCGATGGGCATTGGGCCTGGGGAGCTAGTATATATAGCAGAATCTAGGTCCCCGCTCGGCGCCGAACGAATTGTTTCTTGGGTCTGAAATTCAGAGTCCAGTTATCTGGAATTTTGGAATATTCGGGATGGCCATTTTGGCGATGCTGGTCAGTGGTGGCTGCCAAGTCCGCAGTCCGCAGTTGCGCACCGATTTGGCTCCGTGATGGATTGTGGCCGGTCGTGACGGATTGTGGCTTGTGAAACACGTATGTACATGGTGTATAGTAGAGTACGGTACCTACTGACCATGGCATACCTTGCGTTCCCACATCCCAGTGAGCACAGAGCAGCCAAAGACTTGGATGGCTATATGCTTCCATATGGAGCAAAATTTCCGCTTATGTACGATAACCAGCCGGTGGGAAGGCGGCAAGGAAGCTACTATGTATGTACTAGTTATATACTCTACGGTGACTGCGGGTGTCGAGGGTGTCGAGGCTTCACCGGGTTTCGGGCGTTGGTGATGAAAATCTCCAGTTGCCGACTGACCGACTGACCGGTGAGCTTCGGGGTGAGCAACTGGTGCTGGATAGAGTGCTTACTAGTAGGTGGGTGCATCTATATGCAGGGGCACTTATGGGGCGGGCGGAGCGGTCTCACGGCAGCCGGTGGGCATGTATGTATCGAATATTGAGTATCGAGTCAGGAGAACCGTACCGGAGTCCGGAAATCCACATCCGTCCGTCCGTCCTCCTGCTGCCCATTCGGATACACCCCCAATTCAGGCCGTGACGGTATTGTAGGCTCGGTGCCATTACATGTGTATGTTTAGTACATACCTGCACCGGAGGGAGAAGGAGACCTTGTTGAGACCTTGTATTTGGGAGGAGAGACCTTGTTGGGACCTGGTGGGACCTACCCATTCGTTATGGAGGGTAGACATGATGCGGTCGTTTGAACGTTGAAATGCTTTCTGTTGTGGCTTTTCTGTTGTTCGTCTTGTCGGTCCGTCTCTTGTTCAAAACAACAGACATCATCATCATCATCATCATCATCATCATCATCATAGACCTCCTTTTCAATTGATCCGTTTTATTTGACCACATCCGTTCTTAGGTCCCTCATGAGACGCTCGATAAGAACCATCGGAGAACGTCCGCTCGTTCGTTCGGTCGGTCGTTTTTGACGGGGGATCAACAGTGGCGCTCAAGAATCGAATGTTGACGACAATTTATTGTAACCATAGGGGCATGACAGCAAATACCGGTAGGTAAGTACAGTGGTTAAGCAGAGGCCTTCGGAGTTGATATCGAATCGTGTCGACTACCCTAGGGTACAAGCAATGCGTCAAATACGCATTGCAGGAGAATGGGGTTTTTAATGGGTTTTTCGATGCGTTTTGCAGTGCGTCTACAATGCGTTTACAATGTGTCTGCAATGCGTCTGCAGTGCGTCTGCAATGCGTTTTGAAATGCTTTTTGCAATGCGTTTTGCAATGCGTTGGGTTGTAAAACACGTTTGTGTAGGTAATTTGCAATGTTATCAAATGCGTTCTTTTATGTAATTTGCAGTGCTATCAAATGCGTTATACACATGATTCCGTGGTACTATTCGCCTTGTTCTCCCATGCCTTCCTACAGTTGCCTCGCTGCACACCGTACTCTCGCCGCCGCTGATAGCAGACTCTCCCCGCCATGGATACCACACTCCACCCGTCTCGGCGGATAGCACATTTTCGTCGCCAGTGCCGTAGCCATCCTCGGCGCTATTCTTGCTGTCCTATGCCGGCTGCCAGCCAAGTTGGTGAGCAGGAGCTGTCTGTGAGTGGAGCTATCAGCGAGAGGAAACGAATGTGGTAGTAGTGGGCATCAACTTTGGTGGGCATTGGGGGGTCGGCCAAATGAGGAGGGAGGGACTTGGGCTGTCACCCACGGGTTTTCTTCTTCTTTCTTGATCATCATCTATCGAATAGACGGTTAACCTCCCAACTCCGCTCTCTCCTCTGTGTGTGCTCCCATCCTCGCCACGCCGGTCGACCTGGAGAAGATTGGCACAGTGTTGATGTGAGTGTATGTATTGACGGTGATGTAAAGACAGCGCACGATACAGAAGTAAAAGAGAGAGTGTATAAAAGGACACGTTGTGATAACGAGTTTAACTTCTTGGTGACGAGGCCACAAACCTAGGTGACGAGGCCAGAAAACTAGGTGACGAGGCCACAAACTTAACCACGATGGCCTACCGCCGCCGGTGCTTCACCAAAAGAGCCTCACCGGTGGTGGATGTGGTGATGATGATGGTGATGAGAGAGAGCGCAGAGCACGGCGGCAGTATACCTAGACAGGAGTACTCCAACATCACCGTGATGCGCATCGCGAAGGCCAATCATCGCACTGTCGACATGAACTTCCACAGATCGTCGAGGTCGGGTTTTTATTGGTTTACTCAGTCATTCCTACTCGGTGACTGGAGTCATTCCTGATTATTAACTAGAGTCATTCATTCATTGACTAGAGTCATTCCCTGTGTGTGGGTTGATTGACTCTTCCAATGCTTCCTGGATGACACTTGTACGTAACAAAGACTAATACAACAACTTTCCTTCTCAAAGCTACTCCCCGTCTACCTTTAAAGTTTAGAGAGTAAAACTTGGCAGAATTCACGCATTTTTTGACAATAGCGCAATTTTCACGGTGTGTATCTGTCACTAAAGCTTTGTAACGTATTTTACGACATTTCGGATGCGATAAACGCGTGATCAACGCATTGCTTGTACCCTAGGGTTAGAGTACCTGCCAGTAACCAGTGATCAGAAATTGGAATGTGTGGCTGACCGCATAGATAGGTACGAGGTAGATATAACTATAGTATCATACCTATCGGTCAGTGGCTGGTAGATTTCATGGTTCTCGAATCTCCACTCGCCTTTCGACTTCAAGGTGACAACTGGGTAACCAAGAGCTCGAATCTGGATGGGATCAACAACTGCTTGGTTACTATACCTAGTTAGCAGGGATTTCACAGGACCCAAGACAGCGGGCGGGCGCGACTGACTGACCGAGGGCCCGTCCATGGAAAACCAAGGCCGGCCGAACGTCTTGTCGGCAAGAACCACCACTCAAATCCGACCGATTAGGCTGATTGCAACTGATTGCCTGCCCCCTATTGTGGAGAGGCAGATAAGACGGGATAGAACAGCACAGGAGTCACAGGACAGGACAGCGCAAGGAGCCTGCAGGTGCCAGGGCGTCTCGTCTCGGTGGGCTTCTGGCGCCACCAACCCAAGCACATGTGTGAGTACTCTACTCGAGGTCGGCATAGAGTTTTCGAACCGTCTTAGCGCGAAGGATTTCCGAGACGTGCAAATCTTTGCGTGAACGGCAAATTCTGGATGAGAAACTGCTTAAATATTTGGGCACTCCCTAGGGAAAGGCCTCAGGATAAGGCCAAGGAATTAGCTGCATGTTTGAAAACTTCACGCCCAGCTGCCACCACGAGCACTTACATACCAAGTGAACCCCACTCCACTCTACTCATAGGTCCAAAGGATGGCCGTTAGACATGGGCGGCACGACGCTAACCCACTCCCACTCTGCTCTCCTCTCCCGGATGGAGTAAATCTGACGTGCGAGGCGTCGCAGCAGCACGCAGCCGGGACGCTGATTATTGCACGGCGCCGCAAACGACAGCTGACAACTTTTCCGAGTAGCGACGATACCGATACTACTAGTCAGCAGAACATAGTGAGGAGGCTGCGGAGGAGGCTGTTGTTGCCGCGTTGGTCTGGGCCCAGATGCCTGACTTATTGCTCAAGATACAGCCTTGTTTCGATAGGGACTCGGGAGATCGCGTGCTCGTACACGGTGGTGCTTCTGTTCGCTTCCACGGCGGTCGGCCTAGGGCCAGCCATGTCATGCCATACCAGGCTCCAGCCAGCCATAACCATCTCGCAAGCGCAATCTCACGATGCTTTTTCAAGGGCTCGAGGCACACACAAAAATGCAAGTTTGCAACAAGAGGAAGCTCCGTGTTGTTCATCTTGACACAAGCGCCTTGGCGCCTTGGCAGGCGCGATGGCTTGACCGACTTCACACGGAAACCAGGCCCTTCCACTGTCCAGCGGCCCTTATTGGCCCGCAGCTGTGCTGCTGTCCGTACCTGAACACCTGAACGGAAGGGTGTCATGCGAGAGATTTCCCGGCGAGGAACGTAACTGGACTCTTAGCGACGCCCAGCGAATTGCTTTCCGCCACCTACCGATCGTTGCTCGCGAGGTAGGTACTAGTTGGAGTAGAGTAACCAACTATACAGACACATCAGTCCAGAAAGGGGAACTCTGCACATGGGGTCTCTCCCCCCTCGGCAGCACCTAGGGGAAGGAATTCTTCTCCAGCAGCGTGATATCCACTAGCTACACTTTAGCTGCCGTCTCGATCGGCCCAGCAGCAGGGTTGGTGGTGGTGGTGCTGGTGGCCGAGCCAGCTGACGGAATCGTGAGTCGGCTACTCTGGTTGTTTATATTGAAGACCGCTCCCCCCACCACTTGCTCTGTGTCGCCCCACTCCAATCGAAGGTTTGCAGCAGCGCCTGACGGACAGCCCAAGTTCTTCTCCTTCTCCTTCTCCTTCCCGTGGACGATTCGACTTTTCCTGACCGTGTACTTTCGGCCATCTCGAAGATCAATCGACCACCCACTACCCCTCTGTTCGGGGCTCACTCTCATTCGTTCCTGTATCGTTCGCTCGTTCGTTCGTCCGTCAGTCCTTTTCGTACATAATGGGTGTCCACGATTTCAACAAAAAGCAGCGCTCGTGCATGAGCGGCCTCATGTCGGCGAAACGGCGTCGTTCCTTCATCTTCGCCGGCGCTTTCATAGTCTTTCTTCTCTTGATCCATGTATCCTCGTCCTCATCTCCCTCCGCCTCCTTGTTGAGGGGGTACGGATATGGGAAGATTCAGGTCTTCAAGCAGGCTCCGTCCATGGAGACTTCCAGGTTGACGCTCGACAACGTAAGTACATATCAGCTTCCTTCCCCCGACAGTTCAACCCCGTCTGCACCCCCCCATACCCCCCATCAAATCGGTAGTCTGATCCGGAGACGATTGTTTTTTCTATCCATAGCGGCTATTTGACCATATTCTGGCCGAGTTGCTGGCGTGGTAACATGCGTACCACTGGACGTTGTGGTGGTGGCGGTGGTGGCGGCGGCGGTGGGAACACAGAACTTTTGTACCATCTGTGGTCCAACAATGACTGACGGTTTCTTTTCTTTCGTTTCCTGTCATAGTTATTATCCCCGGACCATAAGATTGTCCGCATCATCAACGAGACTTCAAAGGATTTTGAGCCCGATTATGTCTACCATAGGCGGCTGGGCCGTGGATACGAAGGTCAAGCCGACGTCTACACGTGCCAACGCACAAAGAAGACGGTAATCATCAAGACCTTCTTCTCCACAACTTGCATGCAGCTGGCACCACGGAGAGTGTCGGATCGTCTGTACTATGAACACAACATCACCGACACTAAATGGCCCTGCGACATCAATGCGACCCTGCGCCGCTACAACAACGACTCCAGTTCCCTCACCGGCGAGGATCTCACAACTCACGCCATAGATGCATTCTACGTTCCCAGCAACAGCACCGACAAGTCCCGTCCGCTCCTCTGGAAGATGGTGTTGCCGCTCTACGGCGGTGCCCTCGACTCCCCGACCGAGGCCCTCTCATACCTCAACATGTCCACCACGGCCATCGACTTCCTGTACCGGCCGCGATACCGCACCGTCTTCGAGGGTCTGGCACGCATGCACACGACGCAGGACCCACTGCTCAACAACACGGGCTTCTGCCACGACGACATCAAGATCGACAACCTCTTCCTGCGCAACGGCCTGCACGAGATCATCCTCGGCGATCTCGGCCAGACCCGCACGCTCGACGACAAGTTCCACAACGGCTGGGTTGACTGCCGACTCGTCGATGCCCACCGTGCGTGGAAGACGTACCTCGTCCTCATTCGCGATGCGTCCATGCGCGGCCGCGGGCCGAGCGAGTTCGACGCCCAGTTCGTCACCCGCACCACCGAGTGGGCGGCCGCGTACTGGCGCTGGCTCGAGAAGGAGCGCACCGTGCCGCAGCACATGATCGACGCCCAGGCTGACGCGGAGTGGAATGAGGCGACGACGAAGGGCTTCTGGGACACGGCACCGCAAGGCACTACCATCGATTTCCCCGTGTTCGAGAACGGCGTCATCATGCGAGTGCCGATGAGCCGCGACGAAGCGTTCCAGCATCTGGAAATCATGAGGGTCGAGTTCGAGGCCTTCAAGAAGGCGAAGAACGACCAGACCGCTGGAGACTGGGCGCCGTGGTGGTACTGGAACAGGCCGATCGTGTTTGGTAACGGACAGATCGAGCAGGAGCTGAAGGTCATCAACGGCGCCAAGTTGGTGGGCTTGGGTGGTAACGGCTACAACTGATCATGATGCTCACTCTTTTCTTCTCTTTTCTTTTTTCTCACGATGCATTTTTCGCTGGAGGCCTTTCTTTCCACCTTTCTGCTAGGGAGTGGATCGCTACATACGGTACTGGTACGTACCATACATCATGTAGCACGTAATCTTGTGCAAAGAGTTTTTTTCCTCTTACCTTTTATGTTTTTTATCGGCGTTTCTGGTTTTTTCTTCTTCTTTTCTTCAGATACAACTTTTTGCTCTGCTCTTTGGGAATGGATACGGGGTTTTGGTTTTGGCTTTGTTTGGAATCACGGGCTCTACATACTTTGTACTTGTATAGGTAGTCCAAGAGGGGTAAAAAGAAGTGCTACATACCATATCTTCAAGCAAGCAATAGTGACATATACCGGTGGTAAAGCAGCATCAACACAGTCAAAATACGTGTTTCTAATACCCCGATACCGGTAACTACATATTACACATTACCGCCAGAATAGAGTAGAATAGAGTAGAGTATCTACCCACCGGGAAGCCCCCCCTTTTGAACTAGGTAGGTAAGTAAACATAATGCCCCCCTCACCCCGGGAGCCTTACAGCTTATTACTCTACAGCGGTCCCTGCAGTCATAACTATCGATAGAGTATGGTGGTACACAGCTCGTCTACTGGTATTTAGAGTATGTACCTGCCAGGCTGCCAGGTATGTATGTATATGTGCTTACCTATGCATACTGGATGGTGACTAGACAGCTCTACTATTACTACATACCTCATAGGTGAGTAAGTAGGTGCTCGTGAGTCGTGCCAGCCATAGGTATACTCCAGCAAGTTCCGGAAAAACTACCAACTCTAAGATATTGCGCCCGAGTGCGCCTGCCGGGGTGAAGTACTATTACTCTATAGAGTATCGAAGACTGCAGCTCCCCCCAGTAGTCCGGATAATTACCAGACCCGCCGACCCGCCGACCCGCCGACCCGCCGACCCACCGACCCACCGACTAGCATCCGGCCGGCCGGCGAGGTCCGGTGGGTGGGGGCTCCGGTGGATACTCTATCTAGGGCTCCGTGCGGAGGTTTCGGCGGTTGGGATAATCGCCGGACCCACTGGCACCTGGGTACTTGGGTACTTTGAAGTTGGCCTGTGATACCTAGGTAGGTTATGTAGGCAGTTACTCGCTCATCCATCGACGGTGCAAACAGCTGAACGCCACAGCCATGTCAGCCTTGTCAGCCACATACCGACTCGGTCAATAATAACCGCCAGAGGTCACTCCAGATTTCTCACGCACCCACCATGCATATCTCCTGTCAATTCCATCCATTTTGTTCAACTTTGTTCAAAGTTTTGTTACGACTATTGTGCTGAGGATCCGGTGTAGTTATGTTGCATTACTGTGGTCTGTCGCAGACTTACATCACCCCTGGCGGCGAAGTCCGGTAAGGCTGCATCGCGAAACCTTTGATACCGGGGGCCCGCTGGCCAGACTACCGACTACTACTCTACTACTCTACTACTCTACTACCGGTACTCTACTCTACTCTAGTGTCGGGTGTCGGGTGTGGGGCTACCGGTATCACGATACTACGCTGTTCTCAGCAGCGAATATATGATTGACCGGTTGACCGAACGCCCGGGCGCGGTAAATATGTTGCGGGATGGGGGTTCGGAGCATTACTACTATATACTCTAATTGACGCAGCGGTGGGAAATGCGATTTATTTTCCCGGGGTATATAGACGGGCTGTGGTTGTGCTCTACATCCGTGCTTCGAGATCATGAATTCTCACTGATGACGTTAGCGTTGACGAGTGTTGATATTATGCGTCTTATTGTCTGTTTCCGGTGTCACTGCTACTTTCCACTATCCTTTGCATACTGCCCTCATTTCCTTCGTGGCTGCTTAGCAGTATCTGGCTTCTCAAGTCACCAGCGCAGTCCTGCGGCGAGTATACGGCGACGAGTATCGTCGCATCCTCTATCTGAGGTCCAGTCTTCTCCTCGTGTATATGAGCTCGTTTCCCTTTATAAGCAGTCTTCTTTCTCATGTTTCTCGTATCAATACATCAATCAAGTCAGGTTATTCTCTTAATTTCAACAACGGAGCTCTGGGGAAATTCCAAGAGCCCAGCTCGCCATAGTCTAGTAAGGCTGCATGCGACAATCAATCGATGTTTTCTCTCTCTCTCCCCAAGAGCCCAACAGCGCTCTGCGACCAATACGTTAGCCCCTCGCCGATCCCGTTCGTCGTTCGAGCCGAATACCTACATCATCATCCAGCGGGTATCACTCGGCCCCGGGCCTTCAATTGCCCCGCAAGCCTGAGACTACATAGGTAGCTAGACTACGATTCCTTTTCGGGCATCGTGCCGCGGGCGTTTCGTATGCAGGGTACGACGTGTGTACTACCGAGCGGATGCACGTTTGGAAGGGAAGACGGGGGCCGCGCTTGCCAACCCATTATCTCATCGACATCTTTAACGCGCGCTATTGCAGTGTACCGCAGTTAGACGAGCATACCAGTATATACCCCACAGCCCTGCAGCCGCCAGGGCCCATATTGCATGGATTACCCACCACCGAGCTCCCATTTCCGCGAGCTTACGCCAGACCCTAGACTCTAAGAACAGTCTTCTGCCGCTGCTGCCGCCGCCGCCGGCACAGATCCGAAGAAGAAATCTCTTAACTGCCGATATCCCGGTTTCAGTGTCGGGACTGCTCGTCCACCATCCCGTGCAGCTACATATCTACCTGAGAGTCGACCATGCCCGTACCGACGAAGGGGGCATCAGGTTATTTTTTGCCCACGAGTGAGCACTGAGGATAGACGAAACCCACGCTCCGCCGGCAGCCTTTATCACCACAGGGTTACGCCTCTGATTTTGGCAGAGCGTATAATCCGGCCGAGTGATACTTGGCTATATAGGCGGCGGTGTAGGTATCGCAGCTGACAGTTTGGAAACTACATACCGAGCTGAAGGTATAGTACCTCTATATAGCCTTTGCCGGGGCAGTAGGGGCTTGACTCTTGAGCGTCTCTTCAGTCTTCAGCCCAACCTTTTTTTCTTCTTTTTCTTTCTTTCAAAGTGTGTCAGAGTGATGTGTATCGCCGCCCTAATAGCTTGGAGACTACATATCGAGCTGAAGGTATTTATCTACCTCAATCACTATTACCAGGGCAGTGGGTGCTTACCTCTGAAGCTTCTATTCAGCCTACCCTCCCAACCCTGTTTTTTTTCTTCTTTTTTTTTTTTTGAAGTGTGCTTCGAGTGATGTCGCGTGTTGCAGCCCCGATAGCTTGGAAACCACCGAGATCAAGGTAGAGTAAATAACTGTTACCAGGGAAGAGGGGACTTGACTCTTGAGCGTCCATTCAGTCTCCCCCTCTTATTTTTTCTCTTTTTTTTTGAAGTGTGCTCAGAGTGATGTGATGTGTATCGCCGCTCTGATACCTAGTTTGAACTTTAGAGACTACCGGGCTGAAGATACCTAGAAGGCTCCTGACAGGGCAGTGGGTGCTTGTCTCTTAAGCGTCTATTCAGCCTACCCTTTTCTTTCTTCTTTTCTTTCTTCTTTTTTTTTTCGAAGTCTGCTCAGAGTGATTTTGTGTGTCGCAGCTCTGATAGCTTGCATACATACCTCATACAGAGCTGAGGTTAGAGTACCTATCATACTCCTATATAGCTGTTGCTAGGGCAGTGGGGGCTTGCCTCTCGAGCGTCTATTCCGCCTCCCTACCTAACCTTTTCTGTTTGAAATCTGCTCAGAGTGATGTGATGTTGTGTATCTCGCTCTGACGGCTGGGAGACTACATATCTCCGAGCTGAATATAGAGTACCTCTAGATGGCTATTGGGAAGGGGATTGCCTCTTCAGCGTCTATTCAGCCTACATAACCTCCCGTTCTTTCTTTGAAGTGTGCTCAGAGTGGTGGGTATCGCAACTCTGATCATTTGGAAATTACCGGGTTGAAGATGAATGGCCATTGCCAGACCAGTGGATGCTTGCTTCTTAAGCGTCTATTCAGCCTACCCTTTTTTCTTCTTTTTTCTTCTATTTTTTTTCCTCAAAAGTGTGCCCGCTCAGAGTGATATCGTATGATCTGGCTCCTTGGTTCGCTGAATCATCATGGATCATCACGAATAACTCGCGGAAACTAACTGGATCTACGTTTTCATCCTGGCGCAAGCAAGATTGAGGAGACGGGTCCTCCTCTATGATGGGAACGCTCGACATAGGATGACTGAAAACAAAGCGTTCTGAGAGAGATATTGTCGACTTATTTCGCATACGGCATGTATGGCGGAGGCACTTAACAAACCTTCACTGCCCGCCCTGCGAGGTCAACTATCCCACGAGAACCACCCGTCGAGTGATATCATATCTTCATTCAAATCTCTAGGTAGGTACGCTATAACCCAAATCCGCCCACCCCAAATCCGCCCAAATACCCCCCATCCATAAATCCATAAATCCCCATCCAACCACGCACAATCCATCAAAGTAAACGAAAGCAAATAAAATCGAGGAGAGTCCCCAACACAACGAGAAAGCACACAACCACAATAAAAATACACCCCAACACCTTAGCACCCGTCCCCCACCCCACCCCTGCCCTCGCTATACCGCCCACATCACATAATAACACACGGCTCCTTCGGAGGCCTATCGCCATTGCCATTGCCATGTCCATTGCCATGTCCCGGGCCCCCGGCCGCGGTCGGCGCAATAGGATCGATCCTGTGAACGCCGCTGCCACGTCTCGCCGTAAGCCGCTGCTGGCTCTCTATCCAAGCGCTTCTCCCGTCGCCGCCGCCAGAGTTGGTTGCGGGTCCTGGAGGGTTGCCAGCGCTCTGTGCGCGGTTGCGGGCGGGGCCGAAGTCGTAGGGTGGCGGGGGCGTGGTGCCGCCCGCTTGCCGCGGGGGAAGCGTGGGTGGCTGTTGGAGGTGGCTGCTGGATTGGCTGCGTTGGTGGGCGTTTTGGGGGTGGGGGTGTTGCGGTGGTGGGTGTTGCGGTGGTGGGTACTGCTGGTGTTGCTGGTATTGTTGTTGCCCGTGCGCGTCCTCCTCCTCTTGTAGCTGCATTGCCAGTGCGAGGTCATAGTCTTCGTCGTGGTGGTCGGGCGGGGGTGCGTGCTGTGTGGAGGGGGCTCTGGGCGGCGGGGGCGGCGGCGCCGCGTCGGGGTTGAGCATGCTCTGTACCTGCTGCGGCGGGGGTCTCGGTGGCTGCGGCGGAGGCGGAGAGCCCGTGGGTTGTCCGTTGCCGCCGACGGCGCGGAAGTCGCCCGAGAGGAATACGTTCCCCCGGCCGTTCACGTCCGCGATCCGCTCCCAAACCACCTCTTCGTGCCCCGCAAAGCCCATGTCCGTAACCAGCGCCACGAGGTCACCGTCGTGCAGCCGCACGATCGTCGAGAAGTGGTCGTTGCGGAACAGGATCGCCGGCCTCAGTTCAGGGAGGAAGCGCCGCAGCGTGTCCAGACCGTATGGCGTGAGCTGCGTTGCCGTGCTCTCGATGAATTCGCGCACTACTGGTGCGTCACGGAGAATTTGGTTTTCCGCTGAGGAGGCTACCGCATTGCTGTAAGTCGTCAATTTGGTGATCAATTCGTCTTCCGCGAAGAGCAACGTTTGCGTCTCGTCATATGTCTTCGCCGACTTCTCGAGTGCTTGGGCGGCAGGAGAGCCCGGAGTCGGGAGCCAGCCGTGGACGAGTGGTATCGAGAAAGCTGCGTAGAGGTCTAGCTCTGTGGTGGGCTCAAACGCCCCAAGAGAACCGGCTGGCACGTTGAAGCGCGGATTTACATTCATCCCCGTGTGCAGGGTGATCAGGAACGCAAACATGTCCCCAACATCCGGAATGGGTCGTCCGTCTTGGGTGCGTGTCATCAGCTCCTCGAACACACCTTGGAGGAGTAGCGATAATGACACTTGTTCCCGTTGCCGCAGAACCTCGGACAGAGCCGACCTCTCCGAAGGAGGGGTGGATATAGTGATTGCATTTACGAGCGCCATGAGCGGGCATGGTCCATTTGCATTCTGAAGCAGGATTGGAAACCGGTGCAGCGAGCCCGAAAGCGGCGAGACTAGGTTTACTTGCTTGATTGTGTAAATTTCCGTGGTTGGATCTACCGTCCTCCTAGGAAGCAGCGGCGTGGATGATACTACAGCGGGCACAGGCACAGCTGGCGACGGTTGACGTGAAGGAGGGTGAGTTGGCGTCGGCGTCACCATCCCGTCTCGATCATTCCATGGATTGTTCGGCGCCAGCGCAGCCGGAACGGCCACTCCAGGCCCCGTTATGAGCTCCTTTGGCGGCTTAGCAGGTGCAGTCATCTCGGCCTGTTGGGTCCAGTCGAGCTGTTCCTGCTCCCAGAATTGCTGTTGCAGTTTCTCTTCATGCATCCTCATCTGCGCCTCTTCTGCCCTACGTTGCAGCTCCGTGCCAACCTTAGCCCGTCGCTCGAGATCCTCCTCCCAAGTCTTTGCCGCACTCTCCTCCTCATGCGCCGCTTCCTGCCAGCCTGCCATCCCCACCACTGGCTCCCCGCGGCACCCCGGCAATGCGCGACTGAACGAAGCGTCGAACGAAGACAGATCCGCGCCAGGCTCCAAAACAGAGAAGGTGGATGCGGTGGATGCAATCGAATAGTTCCGTTGCCTCTCGTCGTCTGAGTTCGAGGGCGCGATGGGTGGACGCACAGGCGGGAGCTGTTGCGAAGGGTCGGAACGTTCTACGATATTGGGTGGGCTGTAGAAGGGCGAATACTCATGGAAAGGGCGGTCGGTAGCAGATAAACTGGCCGTCATCAATGCGGGTGAAGCTATATGTACACGCGGCATGTTAGTCACCCGACAGTTTGATCGTCATACAGGGCGCAGCTTACAGTGATCCGAACTGGGAGTAGTCTGCAACGGCTGGGGTGTTTGCGGCGCCGGCGTTTGCGGTGCGGGTGCCGGCGATGCAGGTGATGGCAGCAGCGGTGGTGCCGCTGGGACTAGTGGAACCGACATCGACTTGGGCGCACTTGGTGCCAGCATCGATTTGGGTGCACTTGGTGCCGTCGATTTGGGCGCACTTGGGGCCATCAACGACGACGGAAGCCCGGGCGACACGGGTCGTTGCAGCTCGGCGGATTTTCGGCTCGCACCGGCACGCAGGATGTCCGGTACATCACCCCTCTGGTAGTTTCTCCGTAGCTCGGTGCTCGACCTCTTGACCTCTCCATCCGATCTGTCTCCCGCCGGCGATACTCGTCCACTCCCTCCCCCGCCGACTCTGAGCGAATCGGGAATCTCCTTCTCCTTGCTTTTCAGTGGGCTCTGAGGCGCACCGCCAGCCCTGAGGGATCCCGGTATCTCCAGTCCTTTGCCTTTCGATTGCTGAGGCGTTGGCAGTGCGTCGCTGAGGTTCCGCATGTCGAAGTCTGGCGAAGCGAGTGCTGCCGGTGGCGAATATGGTTCCGTCCTGTAGCTATTGGCGTTGTTGTCTGCGTATTCCTGTAGCATAAGTCTCGCTTGTTCCTCCGTGGTGAGGGGATATGGCAGGGCGGCATTATTGGCACTCGAAGGGCCCTTTTTGAAAGGCATCATCGGGAAGTTGACGCACGACTTTCCGTGGCGGTGGGATGACGCGGCTAGTTGTCGGGAATGGAGGGATGCGCAAGTTGAGTGACTGTGGCGGTGCAGCAGTGAAAAGATATACGTGTGTAAGCGACGACAACAGCGTCCGGAAAACGGGAGAGGCGGGGACTATAAGCTGTCTTGTTCGAATTATATATGAGTGTATGCCTGGAGGCTGCGGCTGATGGCGACGATGACGGCGCAGAGTGGGTGGAGCAGTGCTGTAACGCTCGGAAGGGAGATCTGGCGGGGGACAGAGAGGGGTTGCTATTAAAAGCAGGGTCCAAGCCGTCGGGGAAGTAGGCGATGAGGTGCTGGTAAGGATGGCAGAGGGCCCGACGCACACATCTTCACTTTATCTCTCACGCGGGGCTCATCTGTCGTTTTTTATTCAGGCAACTCTCTTCGCCTTTCTTCGAGTTGCTTCCTTGCAAGTCCGACGTTGCATCACGATTCAGCGACGTTGACTGGCTTCTGTCTGTGTTGATTCTTGTTCTTCTCTCCGCCTTCCGTTGACATCACCGGCCATTTAGCCTCAGCGACCATGCATGTGATCACCCCCACCAACGACGCAGCGCGAGAACAATGGGCATTCGAGGCGAGTGATTCGGAGAGCGTTGGGCGTTGAGCACAGCTTTCCTCCTGACGGCTTGGAACACGTAACGGTTAATTGATTTCAATCAATCGATTCATGCGGAACACAGAACACATTGGTATCCGTTCACCTTCGCCCCGTAAGTGTTCCGAGCTGAGCTGAGCTGAGATGGACAAACAAAACAACACGCTTTGCCTCTTTGCCCCTGGGGCCTGACTGCCCTGCGCCATCCGCACCGAACCAATCATCGCGTGACTCCTGCACGTTTAGCCTCTCGTTCAGCCCCACACAAAAAAGATTCAGTCTCGCACTTGCACGACTCACCACCCCCCACCACCACCACCATGGAGACTACCACAAACCCCACCACAGCAGCAGCAATGTCACCTCCCACCGGCGATCGCATCCTCTCGGGCCAGAACGTGCTCCTGCGCCTGCCCAGCGGTGTCCACAAGATCGTGCGCGTCTCGGCAGACACGACAATCTCGCTAGGAAAATTCGGCACGTTCCCGTCCAACGCGCTGCTGCACAGACCCTACAATCTCACCTACGACATCCTCGACAACAATGCTGGACTGCGCGTGGTGCCGGCCGCTGAGGTGACGCGCGATATTCTCGGGGGTGGCTTGCGCCAGGAGCAGGAGCAGGGTGTTGCCGACGAGACCCATTACGACCTGAGTTATGTTTCGCCCGCCTCCGGCTCCGCTACCCCCACGACGCCCGCCGGCGCCGTGGCTACTCCGACCGAAGAGGTGATGCGCACAAACAGGCTGACGGTCGACACCCCCGACAGCCAGACATTGAGTTGGGAGGAGATTGAGGAGCTCAAGAAAACGGCCGGGAACTCGGGGAAGGACCTCATCCAGAAGTTGTTGGCGGGGCACAGCGCTATCGGCCAGAAGACGCCGTTCTCGCTGCAGAAATACACCCTGCGCAAGGCATCAAAGTTTCTGCGGAGGTTCTCGGTGCACAGGCTTACGGTGTCGTCGCTCACCGATTACCTGCCTATGCAGAAGGAGCCCTACAGGTTCCTGGATATGCGGAATCACCATCTGGGACTGATGTTGTCGCTAGGAAACGTGGTCTACGGCGGTCGCTACTTGGTCGTCGACGAAACCGGCGGACTACTGGTGGCAGCCGTGGCCGAGCGTCTGGGAATACTAAACGCACCTCCATCGTCGACTCTTGCCGCCGCCGCCTCCGACGCCGAAGGCGAGGCCGAGCCCACAGAACCCGAGCAGAAGAAGCGCAAACTCGACGTTCCCCCGCCCGTCCGCAACACGATAACCCTTGTGCACGCGAACGAGCAGCCCAACCTCTCCCTCCTCACCAACTTCGATTACGACGCCAACAGCCCGCCAGCAACACACCCACTCTACACGCACCTCAAAACGCTATCGTGGCTGCAACTCCTCGACCCGGAGAACGACACCTCGCTCTTGAAGCCGCCCACGTCGACGCCCGAAGAGCTCGCCGCACTCAAATCCGGCAAGCGCTCCGCGTACTACCGCAAACTCCGGCGCTGGCAAAAGGTCTCTAGCGCGGTCGCCGACGCGCGCGAGGGCAACTTCGACGCCGTCCTTGTAGCCGCACACATCTCGACGCCGGGCGTGCTCAAGGCGGTCGTCCCGCTCGTCAAAGGCAGCGGACAGGTGGTCGTCTACTCGCCCTCCCTCGAGCAAGCCACTGAGCTCGCGGACCTCTACAGCAGCGCCCGCAGGACCACCTGGATCCAGCGGAAAAACGACGAAACGGCCACGCCTCCGGCCACCACCACCACCACTACCGCCACGGCCGAAGACGTCGCCGCGAATTGGGACGATGAAATCCCCGACCCCACACTCGTCCTGGCGCCTACCGTCCACAGGCTGAATATGCGGCAGTACCAGGTGCTCCCCGGAAGAACACATCCGGTCATGACCTCGAGAGGCGGCGCGGAGGGATACGTCTTCCATGGCACGAGGGTGCTGCCCGTCGCTGGAAAGGTCGATGCTAGGGGCGCGTATGCGAGTCAGAAGAAGAAGCGGAGGGTCGAGGAGGAGGGGGAGGGGGAGAAGGAGGAGACAAGTATGAAGGTCGAGTAGGGTCGAGTAGGAGTGGTTGTAATTGAATTGAATTGAGGCGTATAGATGATGTGATGTGATGTGCGAGAGCGTTTACACGGGTTGGGATTGGACGCTGCGTTTGGGCTCGTGCTCGCATAGGAAATGGGATTTGTACTTGTATTATTATGACACTGTGGGTGGCTCACTGCCGGCCCTCTGGAGTCGATTGTGTGCTGTTGGATATCGTATGCCTAGCAGAAGAAGTTATGTGCATAGTGGCGGCGGACCAATTGTAGCGCAGCTACATCTTGTACTCTACATATGAATGCATACATCTTACACAGATGCCGCGCTCATGAGCAACCGATGAAGTATGTACCGTATAAGTACCTGGTAGATGTGCCTCCGCCAGTCGAGTGCCAGTCGAGTGCCAGGTCATTTGATATGTGCTTACATATGTTATGCATCAGGGACCATCAGTCAAATTGCCAAGTGCTCTGCGTACAGACAACCTTTACAGCCAATGAAGAGTGTGCTTGGCGGATACTCTGTATCTACAACTTGCTCACTGCAGTTATCGTCATAGGTACTTCAAGATAATACCTAGGCGATAGCCAGCTCCGCTTTGCGTGCACGATACACGGGAGGGGGGGTTAGTCCCGCTCCCGCACCGCGTGGGAGGCCAGTGGGAGTTTGGGAGTGTCGTATCCCGTAGACGGGCACGGCACAGCACGCATCCTGTATTGCTCTCCGAGGGACCGAGGGTTGCTTTCCGAGGGTTGCATTCGGCCGTTTCCCGGGCAGGACGGCCGGGCCGGGCCGGTGTATGTTCACTGCCCAGTGCCCAGCCCAAACCGCGTCGAGCTCGTCGGTTGACTGCCGTCCTCCGTCCTCCGTCCCCCGTCGACGGGCGCCGTGAGGTTCCCGTGGGCCCTGGGCAGTCCTCATCTCCGCCAACCGCACGAGCTTATCCCGTAGCCAAGAACCCGCCCCCGCCCCCCGAAAGTCCTTCTCAACCATGTGTCCCAGCGCTCGCCGCTGCTAGCCACAACTTTGACGCGCCGGTCCGGTCCGGCCCGGCACGTGGGCGGTGGGCCGGACGCCAGCTGCCCTCCTCTCCACTGTGTCATGTCTCAACTTCAAAGTTCAAAGTTCAAGTTCAAGTTCAGACGTCGACCTCGAACTCGAACTCGAACTTGAGTGCTACCTTGCCTTTCCGTCCGTCCATGCCATGCCATGCCATGCCATGCCGCACGGCGCACGGCGCACGGCGCACCTATGTAGCCACCAGCCACCCTACATAGAATACGTGCAGCGGTAGTGGCGGCGGGTAAGGATGGAGGAATGGATGCCATCATCCCCAATGATCCCACCCCAGTCGGGCCGGGCCCGCCCACCGTACTCTAGGTACCGTGTCTCTTTTACTCTTTTTCCTGGAAGTTGGAACGGAATCGAACCGTGAAGTTTGAGCGCGAAATAGGTCTTGGTATGGTGGATGAGACAGTTAGACAGGTATCCTTCGTTTCAGGAGTGATCTCAGCCTTCAGCCTCAAGTCTGTTGTGGACTCTGGAGTTCTCTACAGTGCACACAAAATCCAGCTACAAGGGGGCGGGAATAAAACTCTTGAATTCAAGAGTCGAGAAGTGCGGCTTTATTTTTATTTCCGATGTACCGAAGTATCTACCCTACATCCTATTTACTCGAGAGTCAATCTACTCGATCTACTTTGCGTGGTATATCTACCGTGTACTCTACGTATACAGAGCACGATGGGATGTGAATGTGCACTCTCGCACTCTCTCGCCGCTCGCACTCCTCCAGGCTCATCCTCCTCCTCCTCCTCCGCCGCCGCCGCGTGTGGATGTGTAGAATCGAGTACTCTGGCAATGGAGAGTGGACAGTGGAGTCTGAATATCGCGTGCTCGCTGCCAGCCTGCCACTGCCACTGGCCCCGTCCCCGTAGAGTAGATTCCTAAGCATACATAGAGTACTCCACTCTTGCACTCCACTCCATTCTACTCTGCTAGATATGCCTGTGTGGCTGGGATGCTACTCTCCATACGGCCCGGCAAGTACTCTACTTGCTCTACATACCTTGAAATGTAGATATCGATGTGCGCAGTTTGCGATTGGCCGCCCGCGGCCCCTCCCCCCATGGGCCATGGCCCGTGGGATGGGGCGCTGCTGAGGAATGCACACTCTGGAGTACTACCTGGTAGCAAAGTAGAGGAAACGTTGCGACCTCCGACAGACCTGCCTGCCTGCCTGCCTGCCTGCCTGCCTGCCTGCCTGCCTGCCTGCCTGTCGGCTGTCGTGACTGGTGTCGTTCCCTACTCTACCTATCGGGTGGTACACTGGTACATGCCGGGTACTCGAATTCGAGGATCCTCCCCCCCTCCCCGCCCACATCCCTTACTCATCGTCGTCATGGACTCATGGGGAGAGAAGAGAGAAGAGAGTTCGTGCGTTCGGTTTGAACGTTCGCCTGCCGAGTTGGCAAGACTTCTATGTACGGGCTTCTTCTTTCTTTACTCCCGCAAACTCGCATCGATGCCGCTCACCCGTCGATCGCGATTCGTGATGGCGACACGCGATACTCTACTCTACATACTCTAGGTAGGATCAGTGGATCAGTGGATCAGGATCACCACCATGTACCTATCACCACCATGTACCTATCACCACCATGTACCTATCACCACCATCACCACCTATGATACTACGGCACCTCCGCAACTTTGCCCGCGCGTAAAGACCCGGAGAATTCAATCAGTTCGGCTAGATAGACTCCCAGTACTCGTGCTCTATGTACAATCCATATCATAGACATGCATACTCCCCTCCGCCGCGCTCTCGCTGCCACCTGGCGACGGCATCATCTCCTCCGCCCGGCGCCGCACCCGCAAGGTTACACTCGAATGTCTCGCGCGCTAACGTTCGTCACCTACATAAATTCGAGATGACGGATCACGAATTCACAGCCAGCGAGCGACGGGCGAGCGACGGGCGACGAGCGAGCGGACGGGCCAGCCAAGGTAACTAGCGCGAAAGGGGAGGGAGGTGGATGTGCGTGGTTGATTTTGATGCGGTGGACCTGGTGGTGGTGGGTGGTGGGCAGGGATCACGCATTCGGATTCGGATTCGGGTTCTGGGGGAGGCAGGGTGGAGGGTTGGAGGGTGGAGGCTTGGGGGGAGGGAAGGAGGGGGCCGGGGGGATGGGGGGGACGCGGTTTTTGCTTTTTGCTTGTGTGTTTTGCTTTTGCTTTTGCCACGGTCTCGCGGCGGGCGGACAGATGTCTACATTCTCTGCTTATAACCAGGGCAGAGGGCGAAAGTCTGTCTTGAGGAAGGTTGTGAGGGGGAAGCGATGAAAGTCAACGTCAAAGGATGCGCGAGGGTTCGTTCCGTGCGGGGGCGGCGTGGTTGGATGGGATGGGATTTGGCGGAGGTTTCTTTCTTTTCCATCTTGATGCTGCCGTCGACTCGTCGTCGACTCGTCGTCGTCCCGTCGTCGTCGGGATCTAGAACTCAAAGCGCACTTTCGGATACTGGCACGCCGGCCGTCTAAGTACCGGTACCTCTTGTCAACGGGGAACTCAACACATGACTGAGCAGTGCGCATGCCTTCCTGCGTTCTTCAGGGTCGACTCAGCGCGGCCGCCGCGTGTTTCACGAAAAGGGTTCGGACAAACGTTTTCTCGCGCGCCAGCACCAACTGACGACTTCCGATCTGACTCGGCTGGGGTTGGTGGTGGTGGTGGTGGTGGTGGTGTGGTGGTGCACTGGTGGTGGTGGTGCACTGGTGGTGGTGGTAGGTGTGTCAGTTAACCTTGAAATCGGGAAAAGCTATGTGTCTGCCTATTCGGGACTGGGACGGGCTGGGTATGGAACCAAATCGTAGCGAGGAGCAGGGGGAGAGGAGGGAAGATTTGGTTTGAGGGTGGCCATGGTAGTTTTTGCGACGACTCGACTGGGGGGTGGGGGGGATCTGGCCTGCGTGCGAGCTGATTGGCTCGGGGCGGGTTTCGAGGTTTGGGGCTTGACGGAATTGGGGGTGGAAGTGGAAGAGGAAGAGGAAGAGGCGGGCGCGGGCGCGGACGCGGGCTCGGGAGACGTCTTGGACGACTGTATCCCGTCCCACCGCCGTCGTTTTGCGTGTCAGGGTCCGCGTGGACGAGGACGAGGAGATGCACTGCTCGATGCTTCGAGCCGTGATCTCGATGACTGATGCTTTCTTCTTCGTCTTCTTCTTGGAAGGATGCACGGATGCACGAACGCCCGACTTCGAATCGACGTCCTGGATGTGTCAAGTGTCGACTGTCTGTCGACTGTCGATGCCGAATGCATGAAGAAGGAATCCCCGTGGTTTAGGTACTCTACATCCTCCATGTACTCTACCAACCTTCAATGCCAGCTAGCCGATTAACTTGACGCTTGCTGACTCTCTCTACTCTACTTCTCTAACGCCTACAGCACTCTCTCTCTGCTCGCTCTGCCCTTCTCTCCACATCCGCAAAGAGGAGCGAACGAACGAACGACACTTGCCCCCCGTCTCCACCTTCCCTTCCCTCCCCTTCCCATTCTTCCTGTCTCGCAGCCACTGCTCTCCGCCACTGCACGCTTTCCAGCCCTCCTCCTCTCCTCCTCCTCCTCCTACTCCTCCCGCCTACGCCCCCATCCCTTTTGCTTGTATTGCTTGATTGCTTGCTCGGTTGCTTGCTTGATTGCACACCTCCCGGGTCACGACTGAGAAGAAAGAGGGAACCCATCGAGAGATCTGATTGTGAAGGCTTTCTGAGGAATTCAGGGAGGAAATCGTTGATCCTCCTTCTTTGCTTTTCGTTTCATATTCTTCTTCATCTACGTATCTTCTCTATTCGTTCGCGGGACCTGGAACCACCACACCACTACCCACACCGACCACCCCCCCCCCCGGCCCCGTCTTTCCACTTTTACACCTTTACTACTACTGCTACTACCACTACTACTACTACTACTACTACTACTACTACTACTACTACTACCACCACTACATACTACCACTACTACTACTACTTCTTCTTCCATCTACTCCTACTGCCCCTTCCATCCATCTTGATACTTGCTTCTTGCTCATCCGTCTCCAAACGGATCGATCTCCCTTTCTTCGGGCTTCATCGACATCACGTCCTGCAGCATCACTTTCAGCGGAAGATAGAAAAGACGGTGGGTGGTGTCAGAGACAAGCCAGAACTCACTAGCCGGAAGCGTGGAGTGGATCTAGAGGTACGTTGCCGTTGCTTTTCATCGTTGTCAAGGAGAACAAGAGAAGGAGAAGGCGGCCAGCAGGCAAGCAGGAAAGAAAGAAGCGGGCCTGTATCATCAGCATCATCAGCATCATCAGCATCATCAGCATCATCATAGTTCTTCGTTCCGGTCCAAGTCTACGTTTTTCTTTCCTTCCGTCCGTCTGTCTGTCTGCCTGCCTGCCTGCCTGCCTGTCCGTTCGCTGTCCACAGGACCGTCTCCCGAGTCGCGTTTCTTTTTCCTGTTCGTCCATAACGTGCGGACCTTCTTCTTATCCCTCTTCTCCTTCTCCTCCTTCTCCTTCTCCTTCTCCTGCTTCTTCTTCTTCTTCTTCTTCTTCTTCTCCGTTCTTGATTCGCCTCCTCTTTCGGATTTCCCCCTTCGGCCTGCTAGCCGCTCGGCCAGCCAGCCAGTTAGCCAGCCCAAGCACGTTCTCAGCCTCTTGGATTTGCACCTTCTTGAAGGCCGCGATTCAACTGATCTCCCTGACTCCCACCCCCCCCCCCCCTCCCCAATCCCGCAACCCACACACCACCACCACTACCATCGCACAACTCGGCGCAGACACAGGACAACCACTACCCACACCCAACCATTCAACTCCCCCAAACTACCACGCTGCCCCACACCTCCCTTCCCTGCCTTGCCTGTCTGCACGTCGCCAGCTCCACATACTTACTTGTCCCACTCTAGGAATCCTCCACCGAAACGAGGAACCGACAAGACGAACCGGACGGACAGATAGACGTACTGACTGAGAGAAGGCCGTCGTTTTCCTTCCTTCTTTCTCATCTTTCTTCGTGCACTCCCCTTCTGTTCTTTCTCTTCTCTTCTTCTCTTCTCCCGTGATCCTCCTTTCTTTCTGTCTGGGATTCCTCATTCCGCATCCCTCTTCCCACCCCCCCCCCACACACACACACACACACAACCCCCCGGTTTCGGCAGTAGCGTTCGGACAGTTTGTTTTCTCGCCGTCCCCGAGCAATGTGCGCATAATCGAAGCATCATCCTCCTCATAGCCATCCTAACCCAAACCCAACCCCCAAAAAAGCCCGCTGCGAGCTTAAACGACGGATCTCTAATATAGGGGGCCAAACAAACTAAACGTCGACGCAACACACATCGAAAAGACAGATAGACTCTGGCAGGGAAAAGGCAAATTCGACTTCAGTCATTCTGGATAAACTCGACGGCTGAAATCAGCAGTTTGTTTCATTCGACATTTGCCTCGGCTCATCCGGCGAGCGGCTAGCATGACGTCTCGGCATCCTCCATCCCGGCCTGCATCACCAACGCCCTTTGCCCGCCGGCCTTCCGTGTCGACGCACCAGCCACCACCTTCGACTCCATCGTTTGCGTCATATCCGCAGCCGATAAGCCGACCTGCAGATAATATATCGCGGGAATTTCCCCGCGACGCTCCCAAAGGTCCCAAAGCCCTCTGCAACAATAACAACAATAATAATAGCTCGCTTCCATCTTCATCGGCGGCCACGACACCTTCGTCTGCGCACTCGCCGCATAAATCGAACTTCACCTTCCCGTTGACCCAACAACAGTCATCGCACCATTATGCGCCTCCAGGATCGGGTGTACCGCCGGCTCCGCGGGGTCCAGTAGGTAGCGTGGGCGGGAGCTCGTACACGCCTTCGGGACCGCGCGGAGGCACCGGAAGAGGTGGAGGTAGTGGAGGTAGCGGTGGCTCGGTGGGTGCGAATCGGTCGCCCGTCACATCTACCGCGCCAGGTGGCTCAGGCCATCCGGCGCCGCTGGGAGGGCCGTTTGGCAGCGGGTACGTTCCGGAGGGAGACAGGTACAGGGGAAGCAGCCGGAGGCGATCGGGTGATTGGAGTGACTCCCTGCGTGGAGGACGAGGGCGCAGTAGGGAAAGAGACTATTCCGACTACGGCAGTTCGCGTGGTAGTGTGGATCACGGACGGGGTGGATTTGGATCCAGGTTCAACGATCGGGAAAGGGATTTTGATAGGGGCCGCGACTTTCGAGATGGAAGAGGTGGTTACTATGGACACCGGCCGAGATCACCTTCGAGGGAAAGGGATAGGATATCGCCGTATGGTCTTGGAAGGGGCGACAGAGACCGACACGATCGCGGGCTTGGGTTTATCGGCGACCGGAGGCCAGATCGCGAGAGGGACCGCGAACGCGAGCTACGAGACCGTGAGCGCGAAAGGGAAAAGGAGAGGGAAGTCAGGGAACGTGAGCTCAGGGAGCGCGAGAGGGAGAGGGAGACGAGGGAGACCAGGGAACGCGACCCCCGCTTTCCACCCGCACCACGACCAATACCAGTACTGCCGGCAGCAGCAGCAGCAGCAGCAGCGGTACGGGATATCCGAGAGAGAACTCGCGGTTCCGAAACCAGGGAGTTTCACGGCCCTGTGGACTCCAGCCAGGCCGACCGCGACCGGATCAAACGGGAGAGGGATGCCGCAGAGTAAGTTTATTTCTTTTTGTCCTTTTGCTTTTTTTTTTCAATAGATTTTTGGCGCCTTTGCTTGTCTTTCATTTTTTTCTTTCATGGTGCCCTGGCCGTGGCCAGTGCGTACAGCATGGGGCCACATTTTCTGCTTCGCAGACGGCGGGTCTTTTTCTTTGGAGGATTCAGTGGCTAATTTCCTTCTTCCTTTCTTTGCGTTTTTTTCTCAACAGATGGAATCGCAGACGTGAGGCTGAAAAGGCTAGATATTCCAGTAACTCTGGACCCCCGTCAGCGACTTTGCCGCCGGCGGCTTCTGCAGCTTCGCCGCAACCTACGACCGCTTCGTCTCGCCATGGGAGCCAGCCTGCTCCGACACCACCACCGCCCCAGGCACCGCCGCGGATTCCCACATCATTCACCAGCCAACATCCCGCTCCGTGGGCTGTGTCGGTCAATGGTGCTGGTCCGCGGGATAGGGAAGGTGGCATGAAGAAGGAAGACGCACCATCGAAGCCAATTGAGCGTCGTGTACCACCTCCGGCGCCATTGGATCTTGCACCGTCACGGCCGAAACGGGACTCGATAGAAGATGAGAAATCATTCTCTGCGTCTGTACCATCGTCAGCCCATTCACAGCCGACTTCCCAGATACCAAACGCGTCCAGTCCGGCATCAGGACCGCTGTCAGCTCCTCCACTCAGGTCTTACTCACCCTCTATTCCGTCCCAGCCAACCCTCGGTCATCGGTCCGGAAACTCTATGTCAGGCGTTGGTGTTACACCTCCGACTGGCCCTAGAGCAAGCCTTCCGCCCACTGGGCCCCGCGGTCATGTTGGCCAGGGTGATAGGAAGGAGAAATGGTCGGCGGAGCCGACGTGGGGGAATGTTCAGCAGCAGCAGCAGCACCAGCCACAACAACCACAACAACCACAACAACAGCCATCCCAGCAACAGCCTAAGAAGGTTCCCTCACGGGAGTCGCTGCGTGAGGGACCCCGCGAGGCACCGCCAAGGAACGACTTTGGTGGTGCTGGCCATGTTCATCCAGATCGGATGAAGGAGATTGAAACAGCTGCAAAAGTACTAGAGGATAAGGATGTACCGCCGCCGCAGGAACAGACGGTCGCCAGTAGAGATTTCAAGGAAGCTTCCGGACCTCCTCCTCCACCTGCACCCACGCTTTCTCAGCCAAGTTCGAGTGTCGTATCTTCGCGTCCAGGAAGCTCGTCATCGAACCAAGGATTCCGGGGACACTCACTGGGTCCTTCATTCCCTCCGACAGTGCCCGCAAGCTCGACAACGACGCCGGCGCCAACCGGTTCTGTAAACGACATGCATAGTAAGACTCCGCCTACGGGACCCAGGAACTATTGGCACCGTGGGGAGCGGGTAGGTCTTGGTTTCCGGGTTGCATACTCACCGGATTTGAAGGGGGGGCCTGGTGGCGGCAAAAATATCATTCCAGCATTTCGTGGTAATAGAGGCGGAATTGCTCGGGGTATAGACCGTGGCGGCAGACGAACTGGCTCGGGTAGAGGCGGAATGAACGGGGAGCGTGCTCGCTCTCGGGAAACACCATCGGAGGTCGACTCGGTTGAAGCTAAGACCGACGATAGGGGCCGAGAGAAAGATGAGAGACTTGCAAAGTCCGATTTCGACATGGTTGATGCACCCGCGAATGCGATGGCAACCATCGCGAGCGTATCATCAATCAAATCCGAGAAGGAACCCAGTGCCAACGAGAACCAGGAAACAGCAACGCAACCGTCTCCGCCGGTAAAACCGGAAGAAGAAGAGGAAGAAGAAGATGGAATGGATGAGGATGAGGATGAAGATAGACTCACCCAGCAGGATGTCATTGTCAAAATTGCTGACCTGGATCGTGACGTCGAGCGACTGGAAGCCAAACTGTTGGATCTCGCTGCGCGCAAGGCTGAGCACATATCCGCCATCAAGGAGGAAGAAGCACGGGAAGCTCTGGCTACAGCCGAGCCAGTCCCCGCTGTTGAAGAACTGGCTGAGGATTCGAAACTGGTCATCAAGCAGGAGCCGACGGCAACGTTGACACCCTCCATGTCGCCGACATCGCCTACGCCATCGCCCTCTGCATCTTCTGGTTCGCCTGCATCGCCCACTTCTTCCGAAGCGGATTCGATGGAAACGGAGTCCGATGATTCGTTCACTGCTTCCAGAAAGTCTGCTCCTGCCGATCTTCCGTACTTTCACTTTGGCCCGGTTACCAAACCTTCAACGCTGGAATTCTTCCAGGCCAATCTCGAAGAGCATGCTGACATCAAGGATCTACTCACCTTGGAAATCTCCAAGCACAAGAAGGAGGTTTTTGAGAAAGGCAACAAGTTGAAGCGAAAGTATAAGGAACTGCACAACGAGTGGAGCCAGAAGTGTCGTGAGCTCGACAGGGACTCTAGGAAGAAGAAGGGAATCTGCGAGCCGGCCGATGCGGCGGGAGTATTGCCTGCACAGGCCGTTACCCCAGGATCGGAACCGGTTACCCGTCGCCGAGGAGGAAACGTTCCGGTCGGCGATGTTGTTCGTAGCGAGGCGGAGATGGAGCAAGTGATGAGGGATCTTGCGGAGCAGGACGCGGAGAAAGATGCCAGGGCTAAGCTTGACGGTCCCAAGGAGGCCGTCGTACCGGATATGATCTTGGATGATCGGGAGAAGCTGATGTTCCGCGACACCAACCGCCTGCTGAGGACGAATGAGGAGATCCTGCAGGCGTACAGGTACGAGATCCCTGCCGACGACTTCAACGATGAGGAACGAACGAAGTTTTGCGAGCTTTACATACTGTATCCGAAGCAATGGCACAAGATCTCCGCTGGAATGGAGACCAGGGATACCAAAGCTTGCATTCAACACTACTACATGACCAAGAAGTCGATTAACTACAAGGATCTGCTCAACAAGGGTAAACGGACTCGCAGAAAGCGTGGCCGCGGCGGCGCACCGCAAAAGACTCGACAGAGCGCGTTGCTTGCGGATTTGGGAAAGGGAAAGGGAGCCGGAGGAACCGGAGAAGATGAGGATGGAGATACTGAAGATGTCACCCCTGCACCCATCACGGAGAGAGGACGTCCGAAGCGTGCAGCTGCTCCCACTTTCGGCCAGGATCCTAGGAATACCGACAACGGTTTCAAGGCTGACGAGGGCGAGGTTCAGAGCGGTAGTCGGAGAGGCGGGAATAAGGACAGCAAGGGTGATGATGATGGAGCTGAGAAGGGGGGTACTAAGAGAACCAGGGGAGGAAACAATGCTGGACGTGAGAGGGGTAGCAAGCGTGTCAGGACTCCTGCTGCCACTCCAGTGTCCAGTGTTCCCGCCACTCCGATGCCTCAGCCCGTTCTCACCCCAATCGTCGAAAAGAAGCCGGTAAAACCCAAGGAAGATCTGGGGCAGAGGGAATCGGACGCAGTGAGCGCATTAGCTGGTCTTTCGAGCACGACGCCGGAAATCGCGCCGGCCCCTCCTCCGATCAACATCGTCATGTCCACCACCACGGAGATTCAACCTCAAACAACTCCCCGGACCGCTACGTCGACACCGAAGAAGGATAAGGATAGATCTGATCGCTCGATGGGTCCGGCTACGTCTAGTTACTGGAGTGTGCCAGAGCAGACCGACTTTCCGCTCCTTCTTGCGTCCTTCGGAACGAACTGGGGCTTGATCAGTCAGCGACTGGCTACCAAGACGACTGTAATGGTATGAATTCGCTCTCTATTATGGTGAAGTGGCTTGTTTTTTTTTTTTTTTTTTTTTTTTTTTTTGCTAAATGAATATCTAGGTGCGGAACTTTTATACCCGCCAGGTAGAAAGTGGAAAGTCTGAGTACAAGGAAATTGCCGACGAGGCCGATCGTAAGATCAAGGCCGGTGAGACGATGCCTCCGGCGCCAGCTCCTGCTACACTCCCAAAGAAGCGCTACGACATGTCCAGACCTCTGCTCAATGATCCGATGGAGATCGATACCGACAATGTTAACCGCGGTTCTGTTCCTCCTCCAATCTTTGGCCCTGTACTCCCGCCGCCGCAGACACCCCTGCAGAAGCCTGCGGCTGGTGCAGTAGGTACCCCGCCAGTGATGCCATTGCAATCCAGCAGCACGCCTACGCCAATCGTGGTACCAACACCAGTGTCAACGCCAGCGCCAACGCCAATACAGACACCAACGCCGACGCCAGTGCCAGTACCGGTACCAGTACCAGCGCAAGTGCCAGTGCCAGTGCCAGTGCCGATGCCGATGCCGATGCCGACGCAGATGCCGATGCAGATGCCGACGCTCGCGCCAGTGCCAGCACCGGTGGCAGCTGCTGCGCCAGTGGTTGTCAAACTGGAACGCAACATTGCTCCGGAGAGGCCTCCTGCCGAGAGCAAGCCAATGGAATCGTCCCAACGTCCCGTCAAAGAGCGGACGTCATTACGGGAGAGGAATGAAAGGCCCGAAAAGATCGAGAGAATGCCCCCCCAGCAGGAGAGGTACCTGGCCGATCGAGGACCGCATATTCCTGCCACTCCACCTTCTCAGCAGCCTCTATCGGTTGGCATGAATGCCCCGCATTCTCAATCCCAGCACACGTCGCCGGTTCGCCCGGTACGTGGCCATTCACTCTCGATACACAGTGCGTCCGTTCCGAACACTCCGGTGCAATCGACCAAACCACGTGAATTGCGTGAGACCCGGGAAGTTGGGCGTGAAGTGCGGCTAGATACTGCTCCCACTCAGCGGTCGGCCCAGAAGCCGCCACAGGCACCTCCGTTGGCGCTGCCACGCCAGGAAAGGCCCCCGCCCGTTGTTATCCCCTCACGGCGTCCGATAGAGCATATGGAGCGCAGGGAGCTTGGGATGGCGCATATGTCGGCGTCAATGCGTGGCCCAATCGAAGTTTCTGCTTCGTCGCCGTCGGTGCCTCCGACCCAGCAACAGCATGCACGATTCTTTGACGTCACCCATCAAGGACCAGATATGCCTAGGGCAGGGGTCCAGCAACAGACCCAGATGGCCATTCCTCAGCAGCATGCGTACACTCCACAGTCGCAGTCACCCATGCACGCGCAGCAACCGTCGAGAGGTCATCCCCCGCAGCAGCAGTCGCAACCGCAACCGCAACCCCAGCCCCCACAGCGACCGCAACATCAGGCACATCCTCAGCAACATATACAGGCTCAGCAGGCTCAGCACCATCAACAGCAACATCCCCCTCTCCAGCAGATCCAGCAGGGTCCGCAACCATTGCCGTCGTTACAGCCGTTGCAACGTTCTCAGGCCCAGCAGCGTCCTCAGCAGGTCCAGCATCAGCCCCAGCCTCAGTCGCAGCATCAACACCATCTGCACCTCCAACAGCAGGCACAGCAGGCACAGCAGGCACAGCAGGCACAGCAGGCACAGCAGGCACAGCAGGCACAGCAGGCACAGCAACAGCGAGAGCAGCAACAGCGAGAGCAGCAGCAGCGAGAGCAGCAGCAGCGAGAGCAGCAGCAGCGAGAGCAGCAGCAGCGGGAACGGGAACGGGAACGGGAACGGGAGGTGCAGCAGCGAGAGCGGGAGCAGCAGCAACGGGAACAACAGCAAAGGGAGCTGCAACAACGGGAACAGCAGCAACGGGAACAGCAGCAAAGGGAGCTGCAACAACGGGAGCAGCAGCAGCGGGAACAACAGCAGCGGGAGATACAGCAGCGAGAGCAACAGCAGCGCGAGCAACAGAAGTTGCAGCTCCAACAACAGCAACAGCACGTTGTCCACCAGCAACATCACCAGCAGGCGCATCAGTTGCATCTGCAAGCCCAGGCCCAGCCACAGCCGCAGCATATGCAACCCTCGAGACCAGTACCGCACCCCACAAGTACGCCGCCGCCGGGTGAGCCTTTACGCAGACACATGATGCCTCCATCGCCTCGGTCGACCCCAGTGTCCAACATTGCGCACAGCCAATTCCGTCCGCCCTCCAGGCCTCCGTCGCCGCCGCAAAGGTCGATCCCACAGGCTGCGCTCTCGGCACCACCGCCGTCCCAGGCTCCTGTTGCTTCTTCTCCCATGCACACCAACACTCCACCACCGGCTGCTACGAAGCCTGCAAGGGCCATTAACGTTATGTCTCTGCTGAATCCTTCAGATGATCAGCCTACGTCGCATCCTCCCAGTAGACCTTCTTCGGTAGCCCCCACCCGTCATGTCCCTCCCCCTCCACCACCTCCGCAGCACTTCCAGGCCCCGCAGACTCAGACACCGCGTCCGACGTCTATTCATGCGCCACCGCCGCAGCCCCCGACGCAGCATGTGTATGCTACTGGAGACTCGCGCGACATTCGCGACCCTAGAAGCCTCAGGGATCGCGAAGTTAGGGAGCCACCAAGGTATCAGTCTGCGTACGAGCCTGACCTGCGAGGTGACTCGATGCGCGGTGATCCCATGCGCGGTGATCCCATGCGAGGTGACCCCATGCGTGACACGATGCGTGGAGATCCAATGCGTGGCGATCCAATGCGTTTGCGCACGGAAATGCGCGGAGACATGCAGCCAGACCCGAGAGACATGCGAGGTGACATTCGTGGTGGAGATATGCGAGAAATGAGGGAAGTCCGCGAAGTGCCGGAGGCTAGGGAGTTGCCGAGACGTGATGTGTTTGCAGGTTACGGAGTGGGACTTCCCTCTTTTACCTCGCCTCAGACCCATTCGTCCTACCGCTCTCACCAGTATGTCCCACCGCCGCCTCCCCGTGAGCCGGGCTATTCGGCGCCTTCGACACCGGGACACCACCGTGGGGACTCCTATCCGCCGCCTCCGCAAACTCGTGATTCTCCATATTCACACCAGGGCCAACGGGATTACGCTCCTCCTACCGCGTCGCGGGAGTCGTTCGTCCACCCGGTCAGGGATGTCTACAATGCATCATCTCCGCGTGGATACGCTCCGCCTCCGCAGTCTAGGGAACAACCTGTATCGGCGTACTCGTCTCGTCCGCCGCCGGCACCGCTGGCTCCGTCGCTGCAGCAACAGCAGCAACAACAGCAGCAACAACAACAGCAGCAGCAACAGCAGCAACAACAGCAAGCGTACAACCGTTACCCACCAAGCGGACCTCGGGCGTACTCACCATTCCAGCCCTCACAGGGCCAGTACGCGGCACCGCCGCCACAGCAAATGCAGCAGCAGCAACCTCCTCAGTATGGATCGCTGCCACCGCAACAGCAGCAACGCCCACCACATCCACCACACCCGCAGGGATACCCACCGTACGATAGGGGATACGAGAGGCATTGAAGTAGAGGAGACGGGGTTCAGTTGTAGGATTTCGTTGTTTATTATGTTCATTGTTCATCATTAGTCAAGCGTTCGATGTTTGTGTCTCAAGCTCAAGTCTGTTCCGTTCCGTTTCCGCTTCGATGCATATACTTGTGCTTTCCGTTATTCATTTTTTGCTTTGTCGCTTTTCGGGGGGTGTTTGATGTCCGTGGTTTTTTTTTTTTTTTTTGAAAGAGGAGTTTATGGGTTTCGTGGGGTTTGTTCCGGTTATTTGTTCATGATATGCGGAATACAGATTGGATTGGATTGGATTGGATTGTGGATTGGATTGTGGAATGGAATTGGATTGGATTGGATTGGATTGGAAAGATAGTAGTAGCATATATTATTACAAGCACAGGCACAAGCACAAGTGCCTTGTGCGTTCTTGGATCTGCCGGGCATCGTTTTGTGTTTTGCGTTTTGCGTGTGGCGGTGGGGATAGAGGAAGTGGGATGGAGGAGGTGGGATAGGGGAGGAGGATTGTTGTATGTAGTGTGTATGATACATAACCCTTTTCCGAGTCTCCTGTATCGAGTGTGCTGTATCGAGTGAGCATGATGGTGTGTTGGTGGGTTGGCGAGTGTGTTGGCGAGTTGGTGAGTGTCTGCTATGATGTACTGCTGCGATGGGAGATAGGTCGTGAAGTACCTGCCCAAGAGGTAATAATCTGAGTGCTGTTCGGTCAATTTTGGTTTTTGTTTAATCAGTAATTGCATGCGACCTAGGCAGGTACCGTATCTACTCGTTCATAAGATCCAACTACTAAACATTCTGAATGAGCTTGCCTAGTGGGTGGGAACGGGTGGCACGAGCGCGGCGACAGAGGGCTGTACCTAAATGGCGACGAAAGTGGTTAATGGACTTCCATTGCCACTTGGCAAGCTCTTTCGGAATGTTGAGCGGTTGTGTCTTATGAACGAGTAGATAGGGAGATCTGGATCATGGCAATATCACCCCGTTCGCCCCCCCACGTTTCCACGCCACTGTCCAACCCAGCTTTCACTGAGCGGCCCGATGTGGCTTTCCCTGCCTTCCGCCCATGCTATTCGGTCAAGTCAAAACGGCGCCGAATAGATACTGACACAGCCGCGAGTACGAATCGGCAATTGTGATTGAGTCCGATTGACCCCGGGGGATATTTAGTCAATTACCGCGATCGACTCCGCCCCATCTCGAGTCAATAATTGTGATTGAGTCCATTGAGTCCGTTTGACTCGGGAATACCTATGTCCAGTCAGTTTCCTGGGTTGACTCACTGTGGTTACGTGCCCATATCTCGCTGCCAGATCACGCTCCGGATCTGCGCACTTGACTAGAGTAGGTGCTCCAATCGGTCTTCCCGCAGGATTCTTTCAGTGGGTGGCCTGTCGGGACTCAAACTACATACCCATGCGAGCGACACTACTACCGTGCTGACGTAGGTAGGCAGTCGACAAGTATCACAACATATCACTCCGCCTCCGAGCTGTTCGGTCGTGTGAATTAATCGGACATATTATCTAGATCATGGTAGGTTAAAGGAAGAAGCAAGAAGGAAAGAGGAAATGAATGAAGGTACTCATTACTACTTAGAGCCCGTTTGGATGGCCTCAGTTTTCACTTCCAGTTTTAGAGCGAAATTCAGTTCCCCGACGGGACACCAAATTCTGTCCAGTTTCAGTTTCCGGAGAACTGAGATGAACAGAGTGTTTGGCAGTTCTCAGATTACTCAGCCATAAGTCTGAATAATAGGCTTCACCAGAACTTTAATAGTGGACACATTGTGGCCCCGCTTTTTTCTCTTCCCCGTAAAGGGAGTCCATCGTGAAGTTAAAATGCGATACTGAGTAGCGGCAAAGAAATGACCTCTCGAGGTCAGTACCAGTTTCGTCGCTGGAGCCGCACAGTTTCAGTTTTTTTTAAGGTTTTTGTGCTATCCAAACGGGGTCTCAGTTCCATTTGCTCAGTTTCTCGAAAAACTGACAGTTTTCGCTAAAACTGAGGTCATCCAAACGGGTCCTTAGTTATCATAGTCCAGTTGTCGTCCCGTCCGGTCCACCTCCTGTAACCAAGCTCAACCAAGCCCAGCCATGTCAGAAATCCACTCCCTCGCTCGTGGTATTCGTGCATCCTCCAAGCATTCTCCTGAACAACGGAACGTTTTGCCAACGACACACTTTTTGTTTTGTTTTTGTTGTTTAATTATCATTGCATTCGACCTTATGTATGTAGTAGATCATGGCAGATTATATAAGTAGATATCCTTTTCCACCCGGCTGTCTCCGACCACTGGCCGCTGGCCGCTCTCCGTCCAGCCCTCCCCGAGTCCCCGCGAGTCAATCCTCCTCCACCGAAACACTCCGCTCAACCACCCGCTCAACCACCCGCTCAAACTCCATCTCAACCGCCTTGTCAATCGTCTTGTCGCTGGCCTTCTCAACCGCCCGCTCAACACTCTCCACCTAACCCTCCCCACCAGACCCTCTCCGCCAGAACCTTTCAACTAAACCCTCTCCACTCAACCCGATAGACAGAAAAGCAGAAATGGAAAGCAAAAACAGAAAGCAAAAACAGAAAGCAAAAACAGATGAACAGAAACAGGAACAGAAACACGCAGCAAAAACAGAAAGCAAAAACCGAATGTAAGAAATGGAAAGAAAGCAAGAACACCACCGAACGATAGACAGCACATAAGTGCTGCTGCTCCTCCACCGAACCCGGACCACGGACCACGGCTCGCTTCGGTCCCGCTCGCCAGCGGCCAGACCGTCGAGCTCCTCGAACTTTGGGAGAGCCATCTCGACGGTCTACCAAACTGCCAGCCTGGCCCGGGAACGCACCAGTCATCCAAGGGCCAGGACCACATTTCCTATGAAAATAGGACTATCCAATAGATTGTGCCGAATACTCCCGCTCGCTCGTCTTCAGTGAATTGAGCGAGACCGAGAGCACGCTCATCCCACACGGCAGGATCAATCGGACGCCCAGCAATAATCTTCGCCTTCATTCTGCGTGCTCGTATGCAGTCCAGGCGTGTAAACGCTGCGTAGTTGGTCGAGTCCCGCTCTGGAAGATGGTCGTAATGCTGTGCACGAGATAACTCGTGACAACGGAACAAGACGTTCGCGGGAGGGAGCGTAAAGACGCTCAATCGGTACGTCGATGTCGGGCGACAGTGCTCGGCGCCATCTTGCGCCTTTGAAGACAGACAGCACATATGAGCTGCTGCGTTGCCACCGGACCACGGAACACGGACCACGGTCCGCGGCTCGCCTCGGTCCCGCTCGCTAAACGGCCCAAGCTCTGGTAAGGTAGAGCATCCGAGTCGACCCAGCGCGGACTTGTCTCTCAATGCGAAACCGTCGATCATCTTCATGGCTGTCGTCTAGGCCGTAAGAACAGAATCCTTGGCGTCAAACTCGATAGTGGCTGGGAGTAGACTCTCTCTCGGGAAGTAGCCGTGGCGGAATTTCCATTCTTCTCGTTGACAACCTTCAGGCTGTTTTTGTGTTCGTACCGCACTGTATCGATTGTCAGTAGCTGCAACTTGCAGGGCGTTTGGAGCGGGAAGATTAGAGCCAACTTACGCCTCTGAAGAACTGCCGGACTTTCGCGTCAGGATAGTCTTGCGGATAGTTTCCACCCACCCGCAACCATGCCTCGCCGCTCAACCCTCTTCCACTCATCCACTCAACCCGACAGACAAAAACAAAAACAGAAAGCATAAACAGAAAGCAAAAACAGAAAGCAAAACAGAAAGCAAAAACGGAAAGCAAAAACGGAAAGCAAAAACAGAAAGAAAAATAGCAAGGAAGACGGGAATCGGACGACAGACAGCACATCAGTGCTGCTGCTCCTCCACCGAGCCGCGGACCACGGTCCGCGGCTCGCCTCGGTCCCGCTCGCCAGCGCCAGACCGTCGAGCTCCCCAAACTTTCCATTGACAGGCGTGGCCTGCATTCCAGTCCTGAAGGTTCCATATTTCATGTCGCGCCGTATGGAAGAATCGTTTCTTCTCTTCCTCCTCGGCGGATTCCGCGAGGATTTGGATGGCAGCTACACGCTCACCGTGTAGACCCTGCATCATATCATCATCATGTTAGCATACTCGAACAAACTAGAACTGCATAGAAATCTCGCACGATTACTGGGTAGAGTACTAACCATATTGTTGGCCAACGACTGGCAAAGCACCGCGAGGCTTCGCTGTCGGTTTCGAGCTCCAGGGGATCGGTCGTCACCTCGGGTGAGGGCGTGATGGTGTCGCCTGTCACTGGGTCGAAGGGGATGGTGGCTGTGTAGCCCCCCGCGTGCGAGGAGTTCGCCGTGTCCTCGATCGTGAGTGCTGATGGTCCTACTGCCTCAAAATTCATCTCAATGTCGATAGACATCCGGTCATTGTTGATGCCCTGGAACGTAGTCGGCTTTTCGCCATGGGTTGGATCCGGAATTATCGCCATCAGACGGTGGTAGAAGTAGTTTTGCAACTTCAACGAAATGGTCTGGGTTACGAAGGACTGGAGGAAGTAGGAAGTTGCCGCCTGGTAGAGAAGGGATTTGCCAGTTGCAAGAGAGAAAAGCGAGCCGGCAATGCGCTTCTTCTCCTCCTCCTCGGCGGATTCCGCGAGGATTTGGACGGCAGCTACACGCTCACCGTGTAGACCCTGCATCATATCATCATATTAGCATACTCTAACTAGGTCTATAGAAGCGCATAGACATTTCACACGATTACCGGGTAGTTAGAGTGCATGCCATGTTCTTGGCGAATGATTAGCAAAGGGCAACGTGGTGCCCCTGCTCGATTAACGCAGCGCGGCTGCGCATATGAGGTGGATGCCCGTCAAGGGGATTGTCAGGTGTTGATGTTGATGATGAGGATAGAGAAAGAGAGAGAGGGGAGGGCAGAGAGAGGAGCTATTTATAAGAAAATGGCGGGCTAGGTGCGGCCTGGTGCGGCCTGGTGCGGACGGGGTTAAGCCCGCATCCTCCGCATCCCCGCACACGCCGAGCAACTAGGCACCAGTACACCCTAGGGTGGAAGGCAGGGCGTCTACCAGCAACCGGCAACTTCAGCCTCCAGGACAACCATAGATTATAATATCTAGGAATACCTACCTCATTAGGACTATTATACTAAGTAAAGCCGGCCACTGGCTAGCCTAGCAGACGCTTCGCTATCAAAGTTCACACTCCTCAGCCTTCCGGAAGGAACCCGGGCAGGGAGCTGCTGGGGGCTGATAGGCTGTTAGCGTGATCGGCACGCGAATGGTGCGCTAATCGGCCCAGTCACAGGACGGCGATACTAGATCTAGATCTAGATAAAGCGGAAGCGGAAGCACCGGACTGCACAGCCTTCATGAACGAAGAGCACAAAGCAAATACTCGGGCAAGGGCTAAAGGCCCCAGGCCCCCCAGGACTAGATATGAATATACACAGGCGGGTTTCGGACGGGTTTCGGACGGAATCTGGAGCGAACGGATGTGCAGAGAAATGGTAAAACGGCTCCCACTGGAATGGTCAAAAGTGACAAAATTTAGATGGGTGATGTAACTACTACCAAGAGGCCTATTCCCTACATGTCCGGGGCGTGTGTAAATTTGTTGCACTACAAAGTATGCCCGATTAGGAGGCGGCAGTGCGTCTACACGACTACACAGCTCACTGTTTCGATCAGTCTGGTTGCAGCTGTGCTGGTACAGTCACGATTGCTACCAGTTACGGTTGCTAGGTACCATGACTGTCGCTGTCGCCGCCTCTGCAGTCTGACCACCGCTAGTTCAAACATCCTCGGTGCCAATACCAAAGAAATGAGCAGCAGCGCTGATACAGAGGTTATTGGGCTGAGACTCGAGTCAAACATAGGCAGTCATGTTGCAGACGGGCCACCGGCGGATACTACTACACCGGCGACGGACTCTACTGGTACTACTACACTGTCATAGTTGGAAAAGCTTCGGGAGGAGCGAAGTGAGAATGTATGTCGCTAGATACATAATGGTAGAGAGCCTGTTTCTACTAACTTACACAAGTTGCTCTACGGAAGAGTCCACTCGCCGAATGCTTTTGATATCACTCGTTGCCAACCTTTCTGCATCGGTCCAAATTGGGCCAACTTAGTGCGCCAAAGGTTAGGAAGGAGACGGAGAGAAGAAAAGAGAGGTATTCGATAGCAGAGTTGTTCGCCGACGAGCGCTGCAGCGGTGCAGCGAGGCAATCCTAGAGTTTCTAGGAACGACGGATGTGGGGAGAAAAGATCCACCAGATCGGGAGGAGGAGGATGAGGAGGAGGCGAGCATCGCATTGGGGGCAGAGCAAGAGTGCCCAGCAGGGTACTGCGTCTGCGGCCGATGCGAGGAAGTCGGAGAGGAGGACACACGGTGATAAGTTGTGTGGAGCGGAAGCGAAAGACGGGGGAGAGAGGCGAGGGGCAGCAGGAGGAGCGGGCATGCAGGCCCATACCGGTCTTTACTGTCAATGAACTTTTTGCTTTTGCTTGTGTCTGCCCGAGGCAGATGGGCAGGGGAAGTGGGGAGCCGTATCGGACTGGTCGGTATCGGGGATTTCACCTCGACTGGCCAGGGCGGGCAGGAAACGGAGTTCGTGGGTTCGTCATACCTAGTCTAGATGGGCTGCATGTGAAATAAAACAGGAAGATCTCTCTCTCTCTCTCCAACTTAGTGCGGTGCAACAAATTTACAAACGCCGGACACGTAGGGGATATGATGCCAACTGTGCAGTCACCGCACGGGCACTGGAAGCGGCCACCAACTGTCTAGACAGCACACTCTCTCAACAGGGTCACCATCTACGAACAAACAAAAATCATGAACGAGTACCTACCTCATAGATACGGTAGATTAGGTAAGTAGCTGATCCCAGGGGCAGAGAATCTATCACCCTCCAACAGTTAGTCGGTTGAAATGGAAACACTGGTTTAAACAGTTCAGTTCTGGTTGATTTTATTCCCGGTTCAGTTGGGAACAGAGGCTGTCAGTTCCCAGGTAGTTTGGATATGTCTGGCAGTTGTTCCCGGGAAAACTGGCAGAACTGTCTGTTCAGCCAGGGCAGCCAAAGTGGGCGAGATAGGTTCCTATTTTGACGGAAAAAGCAATACAAGTGGGTACAGTACTAGTTATCTTCCTCCACCAAAACTCTCCGCTTAATCTCCCGCTCAACCGCCCGCTCGACATCCCGGTGAACCGCCTTCTCAACCGACTTGTCAGTCATCTTGTCGCTGGCCTTCTCAACCGTCCGCTCGACACTCTCCACCCAACTCTCCCCGCCAGACCCTCTCTGCCAGAACCTTTCAACTAAACCCTCTCCACTCAACCCGATAGACACGAAGACAGAAACAACAGAAAACAAAAACAGAAAACAAAAACAGATGAACAGAAACAGGAACAGAAACACGCAGCAAAAACAGAAAACAAAAACAGAAAGCAAAAACAGAAAGCAATAACAGAAAAGCAAAGACAGAAAGCAAAAACAGAAAGCAAAAACGGAAAGAAAATATCAAGGAAGACGGGAATCGGACGACAGACAGCACATATGTGCTGCTGCTTCTCCTCCGAACCACGGACCACGGTCCGCAGCTCGCCTCGAGCTCCCCAAATTATGGGAGAGCCACAGCAGCCTGGCAGTCTGGCGAGGGGACGCAACGCCAGCCCACATGGCCCAAAAGACAGTCGCTGACTCGTACTTATTCTGCGGGGCAGCGGGGATGCTGCGTCCCTATCGAGTTGCCGCCAGCAAAGGGCGGCAACCAATCTGGCCCTGAGGTGCTGGTAGTGCTCCGAACGGAGAATCTAACGAAGGTATCGTGCGCCGCGGCGCATCGATGCTTCTAGGTGGGTGGGTAGTGGTGCAATCGACCAATTCCTGAGCCATTGTTTGTTGGGGCCTTGGCCCTTGTCGTTCAAAATTGATGATGCGCTGGTAGATGGTCTTGAGCAAGTAGCCGGCGTTGAAATTGTTGATCGGCAGCTTGTAAGTATTCGCCGTGGTTGTCATCCGCAAGCATCTCCGGATTAGCTTGGTTGATGGCTAGTGATATCAGTCAGTTCTTGCGGATAAATAAGAATTAAGGGTAGCGAAAGGCATACATGAACCAGTGACGGGTGTGTCCACCTCCATTGGAGTGGTATTTCCCAGCGCATTATTACCCGTGGATCTTGATCCGAGAGTCGATGTGCTTCTTCTCCTACTCCTCGGAGAATCCGCCGAGGATGGAAGAATCGTTTCTTCTCCTCGGCGGATTCGGCGAAGGCGTCTACACGCTCACCGTATTGACCCTGCATCGTCTCCTCGTCTTTCAACTTCATTAGAGCCTTGAGGATATTCTTTATCCTAGTCTCTATCGGCGTGTCGACTCTCATCATCATGTTAGCATACTCGAACAAACTAGAAGCGCATAGAAATCCCGCAGGATTACCGGGTAGAGTACTAACCATGTTCTTGGCCAACGACTGGCAAAGCAGGTTGTTGCTACCTCTGTTGCGCTTGGTGACGCTCAAACTTATCCAAGAAATTCCTCAACTGCTCCGGGGGGGAGACGTCTGATCTTCTCAACTACATGCGGAGGGAAATTTCTTAGCGTTTCCGGGGTCAGGCTGACAAATTGCCGCTGAGCTGCCGGTTGCTGTGCTGTGGCGCCACCCGGCTGCGTTGTCGGTGGTGGGAACGCGGCACCGCGGGTTGGGGCGTGGTATCGGTCGGTTGAGAGCCGCAAGCGGGGGCTGAGGCGGCGAGCCGTTCGGCGGGAACTTGCTCGCGTGCGCACAGGCTTGGCCCATCCGCTCGTTCTGTAACATAGCATGGCGCCGTTGCTGTTCCAACTGGCACTGCTGCGCAGGGGTGAACGTGGCGGTCGGGGCCCGATTCAATACGGGAAACACTTCCACGCCACCGTTGACAAGGGACCCCGCCGCCGCCTGTTGGTTCTCGTACTGCTGAGCAGTCCGTATCAAGTCGTTCGCCATCGGCTGAGGTGCTCTGTTCTGCACTAGGACCGAGGCCGGGGAAGGTGACGGACCACCGAGCCGTTGTACCACGTTCTGTGGCGTCTGCTGCGGTGTGGGTCCCTGTCCCATGGCCCATGGGGCGGACAAGGATCTTGATCCTCAGAGTCCGCGCGCTTCGTCTCTTCCTCCTCGGCGAATTCGGCGAGGATTTAAACGGCGCTTACACACTCACTGTGTAGACCCTGCAGCATATCATCTTATTAGCATAGACATTTCGCACGATTACCGGGTAGTTAGAGGACATACCATGCTCTTGGCGAACGATTAGCAAAGGGCAACGTGGTACCCCTGCTCGATTAGGCAATGCAGCGCGGCTGCGCATATGCATCGGTGTTGGCATCGCCCGAAGCGAAACCTTGGTACCTACGCCCATGTCGAACAATGGGAAGTAGCCGCCAGCCTTGATGGCATCGCTAATCGCACTCCACGGCTCGGTAGTAGGGCTGATGCCGGTGGGGTTGCGCGGCACCGGCGATCGAAGGGAAAAAATGTTGGCGACATCATCGTGTCGTGCCGCGGCGGCGGCGGCGTATGCCCGCATGGCGCTGGGTTCGTTGAGATTGAGTTGGATGCCTACCGAGGGGTTTGTCGGGTGTTGATGTTGATGGTGAGGAGAGAGAGAGGATAGAGAGAGAAGGGAGGGGAG